GAGTGGACAGAAGGCGTGCAGTTTGACAGCTCGGGAGACCGCGCCTCAAGACCGAATAGTTCCAGGCTTGATATCTCGCTGGGCGGACTAGAGCTGATGGAGTGGGAATAATCCGATGAGCCTGGAGTAGGCGTATGCGATGGAGGAATGTATTCACTGTCCGATAGGTCGTATGGTTTGAGGTGATTGCGATACGACTCGAAGAAATGAGGAAAGCGGACGCGGTCAACCATATATCGTGGCTTTCGCTCTTGAAAGGTTGTCGGTCTGTTTGGTCGGAGGTTGTACCGATTTGAGTTATTCCCATTTGAGGTCAACGGTGCATGTCCAATCTCAGTGCTTGTTGAGTTGAGGTGATTTGGACCCTGCTCTGGACTGGAGAACGAAGGTCGAACTTGACGTGGAGAACTGTGTCCTGTGATATGCCGGGAGTTGGCGATAACAGGCGCAGCAGCGATCGCCCGGCGAGTGCGCTCTTCCAGAGGTAAACGCCTATAGGCCCCGCCGAGTGCGTGTCGGGAAAGTAATGGAAACTTCGCTTTTTGGATTTGCGAGAAGCGCCACTGGCGGATATATCGAAGATAGCATACCAAGTTGAGCTCTTCTTCAGTCCATCTGTGTCCCTTGTATGATCCTTTCCTTCTCGTCATAGGGCAAAATAGTGGAATGTCCTTTTCCGAGAATGCCAGGGATTTGAGAGGAAATGGATTCCTAGCATGCTACAGAGAGCAGGTCGTTTCTGGTGGCAATGTGATACGTCTGGAGCGGTGTGACGTTTGTAGCGGTGTAAGACGATGTTGTCTGTTGTGAAACATGTCTATAGACCATCATTGGTCTAACGACTTTCTGTAGCGGTGTGGTGGCTTTGTCAGCCTTGTGAGACGATTTCGCACAATTCGTTTGCCTGTTGATCCTCAGAAAAAATGTCTTCTCGGTTGAAGAACTAAATGAGAAATTCCAGTTCAGTCAATATATGTATGAAGCTTTCACTTAAGGGGGAAACTTAGGAGTAGAAAGTATTCTCCAGTTTGAGGTGAGCATTGCCGGGCTCATAACCTGTTGATTTATAGTGATGCTTCAGTGTTTATGTTGTTTAGGGGAGTTGATTGTCTAAGATACAGGTAGACTGGTGAACAGGTATATAGGCATGCACGTGATCCCAGCCCACATGATTATCCCAGTAACCGTGATATTTCAACAGGCGGGTTGTCATTTGGGCAACCCAACCCAAGACCCAAATGGGTACCCTTGATAACCCAAAAAGGCAAAAAAAGCTGACTTATCACTTTACATTAAATTATGCAGTAATTTTCGATTACATAATGGTATCGATTGTGTTCTCCTGGTCTACGGCTGAGAAGATTTGGAACAAATATGATGGACGAAGAACATAAGATTGGCTAACTATAAAGACTAGTATATCTCATAACCTCGCAGTCGGCTCGAGGGCATTGTCACCCGACCAGAAGATCTCTTCTGGCTTCTCTCACCCAACTGCGTGATTGGAGGCGGAAGTAAATCTGCTTCCTCGGATTCAACCACCTCTTCCTCCATACCCTCTTCCTCCATACCCTCTTCCTCTTGTTCCAGGTCGTAAGTCTGGCTGTCCATGGTGCTCCGACCAGTCTCTGCCAGCGTACACTCCGCTTGATATGGCTCCTCGAGCTCAAAATTACCCTCGAAGTCCTCGCTCTCTTCAATTTCTTCATCGTCGCTGATCGGCTCTGCATCCTCTTCAATTGCCTTCAGCGCTTCATCCTCTTCAAGTGCCTCTTGGCTGTCGCTCTCCAATGGTTTCTCCAGACGGGTCAGTTGCTGTCCCTCTAGTGTGAACTTTTCTGAGCACATATACATCATCAAGTCTTGAATAGTCGCTTCATGAAGAGATCCTCGACGGTAATGACAAATGTCTCGTGCACTATTGAAAAGCCTTTCTACGCCCGCGCCGGTGGCAGGGACCGAAAGCAAGTCTCGTGCAAGCCGAGAGAGCACCGGGAACTCGTATTCGTGTTCCTTCCAATAAAGCCGCGGTGATACCGGGACATTTGCTATCAGAAGTCAGTCAGTCGTTCTAGTACAGTATGCCAGTTGCTCGTACCTTCTCTAAGATACTGGTCCACTTCGTCATACTCTGCCCCTTCGTGGAGCATCGATGCATCAGGTGGTTCAAGTAGCCGATCAAGCTCTGAGCTATGTAAAGTGGAAGAGCGCTGCACCGTGCGGAATAACAGCTCGGGGTTCTGCTGCTGATACTGTGTGAAACATGCTCTCAAGTATTCACAGTACCGTTTCGACGTATCTTCGTGGCAGGTAGAGTACTCTCTATCATCGAAGGCACTCAATTTATATTGAGGAGCGAGTAATGTTCCAGTGCCATAGAGAAAACCGTGGTCGCGGTAAGTCTTTTCATAGTACTCTTTCAGCTTCTGCCTCGCAACAAGCAAAGCGCCATACATGTCCTTCTTCCAGGGTGTTGCCTTTCTTTTCAATTTCCGATTCGACCTTTCAATATGCTCCAGCAGCTTCCTGTACACGAGGAACACACTATGAATTGTGATGTCTCTGGTCTTCATCAGAGCCATGGTGAACTGAAAGAACGGTTTAGTCAAATGAACCAGGTAGTCAATTTGCCTCCATTCAGCATCAGTAACCTTGAACTGCGAGTATTCATGATCGCAGCAGTATTTGTCGATAACGTTTCTTAGCCGGCGCGCACGGCGAAGCATCAAAAACGTCGAATTCCAGCGTATTTGAACGTCATGCAACGGGAACAGCCGAGTTCCACCTGATTGGAGACACAGAAAGGCATCTCGCCGTTGTGGGCTTGCGTTGACAAAAACAGCAAATGATCGAATCTAGTTCTATCAGTGCTCCATTTATATTGACAGCCAATCAGAGAGAATCTATGCTCACTTTGGTTAGAGTATGAGCCACATCTCCATGGTTGACCGAATCTTTCAACCCATTCGCTTGGGTGTCAGACCAAAACGTCTTTATCTCTTTGTTCCGGGGTGCTGCTTTGATATGCCCCAAAAGTTGTTTCAGGCAAAGTTGAATCACATGAGCCATACAAGGAACTCGAACTATTGATTCTCTGGAGCCAATCGCGCCGGTGGAGATCAGTCTTTCCTGCAAGGCTCGTATGAGAGTTTCGTTATTGGTCGCGTTATCGGTAGTGATGCTAAAGATGCGATCCAGGAGTTTCCGTTCCTTCAGTAGTTGGTGCAAAACATCACTGAGGTTGCTCCCCGTGTGAGGGCCATGCAGCGGTTCAAATCCAAGAAGCATTTCTCGATAGTTCCAGTCTTTGTCAATGAAGTATACCGTGATTGCCATGAAGGCCTGCTGGAATGGACTGGTCCAACAATCCAAGGCAAGTGACACCTTAGCATCTTCAGGCAGATCTTGTAACTGTGACTCCTGTTGAGCTGTAACTGCATCTCGAAGTCGCCGTCGTAGGGTTTTCGCTGATGGAATTTCCAGTTCCCCCGGACCAGAGTGTAAGATGTTCAGCAGTCTTTGGAACACGGGGTTCTCCACAGTCTGAAATGGCAGCCGAAGGCAGGTGATGGTTTTCAGCAGCTGCTCCTCAAGTTCAGATGTTGTGACCCTGTCTGCGGCGAGTGATGCACTAGTGGAATGATTTTGCAACGAATCTGAGAGTAAAGTTTGATGGGATCCTCTCTTTTTCCCCCGGCGACAAGTATTGGACTTCAGGTGTCTGCTCATGGCGCTTGTACCATTTTTCTTGTGCTGCGGATGATCAAGCAAAGTAAGACAGGCTTGACAGATGACTCGTGGACGCCCAGTATCGATGTCAGCTACTTGGTCGAAGTGCTTCCAAACGTCGGCATGCCGCGATTCGGTGGACCATTTTATCTGAGACTGACCATCTCCGTTCAGCTTTTGACCGTACTCCGTTTTTTCCCACCACCCTAGGAACTCTCTCTCTAGACTCGATTCGAACAAAATCCAATTCTTTCTTCGTTGGGGCCCCACACGCCTCAGCGTTCCTGGGGGCCTTCGAGCGATTATATCGTAGCTACTGCGGGATCTAGTGAAAGGCTATAGGTCGTCTCAGCATACCTGTTGGTGGTCTCGCAATATTCAGGGGCAGGAGGGGCCATTCTCTTACAGAAGACTGAATGTCAGAGTCTAGGAAAGCGTCAGATGACGGCTCAATGGAAAGCAGAGGACTGAAAGCCTGATGCAATGATCGCGACGATGAGGAAGAAGAAGCCATATTCAAGAGGCGTGCTATCGGGCTTGGGAATAAATTTTCTCATTGTGAAAACTTGGAAATGGACTTTGTTGGGGGGTCGTGTCGTGCGTTTGGATCTATTAACTTTCGCTTCGCGTTAAACCCGCGGGTACCCAAAAACCCAACCCGACCCAACCCAGCCCAAAATGGACGTGACTTTGTATAGACGCTGAGAAAGTGTGTGTCGCCGATTTAATTTATTAATTTCCAAATAATCATTTCGAGGTGGCTCATAAAGCTCAAACTCATTGAATTCTCGTGAATTCATGGATGTGGCCCCTGATCGCTTGGGATGTAGAAGTGGTGGGATGAAGGAGGTGGTCCCTTTGCAGTAAATATATATTTCCATGCCGTCAGCGTACATTGTTTCGACGTAACACACACCTTAAGGCGTGACAGAAATAAATTACCAAAATTACACTAGGTGACTAATCGAGTTTATCCACGATTTATGCATATTTTTGGGTATTTTGGGCAACCCGTGGGTACCCGCCAAGAACCCACGGGCGGGTTCACCAAGGTCAAAACCCGCGATGGGTTACCCGTGGGCGGGTAAAGAAATTGAAAACCCAACCCAAACCCACGTTTGGCGAGGTCTAGTTCCGATTCCTTGGCGGGCTGACATCACGTGATGGCACTGGTTTCAGCACCAGCCACACTAGCCACCTTTGCCTCCCACGCTGTAGCTCTCTGGAATCTCTAGTGGCATGCGCTCTTTCTTTTCTCTCGCATTCTCAAAATGGACTCGCCGACCCACGCAGGAAATAACTCAGCCATATCGGTGGCATGTCTCAACTGCCGCGACAAACATCTCAAGTGTGATGGGAACCCGGAAGGATGTGGCCGATGTCGCGATCTAGCTCTCTTTTGTCATTTCGTTCCATCACGTCGTGGACGCAGAGGGCAACCGTACAAATACCCATGTATCGATGGCATTGACAGTACACTCGATGAGGGAGATTCTATTCTCAATAATGCCTCGCTAAATATCTTGACGTCGACCGACCTTTCTCCAAGCTACGTCCCAGAGCCTCAAGGCCCACCACAGATGAACAAGCATTTGGTCAAGGTCTTTTTTGAATATTTTCATCCTGCGCACCCGATATTGCCGCCGTTTGATCTATGGATCATGTCTTCACCACCGCAGTATCTCATTAACATTGTGGAGTTCATTGGATTGCACCATATTTCGCCTGGCCAAGTCCCCGAATGCTCGAACGATCTCTGGGCTGCCATGGACATTGCTGAGTTGGCTTTGGAGAAGGCGCAGGCGTACCTCCTACTGAGTATACTTTTTCATGGTCGCAGAGTCCCCGAGCACGCAAAGGAATGTATTGGTCTGGCTATTCAATGCAGCTTCAGGCTTGGTCTCCACTGTCGAGAGCTCTCCGACACCGTGGAGATGCAGAATCCATCTCGCTCTGAGAGCATGAGGCGTACCCTATGGGAGATATTCATCGTGGACACCATTCTGGCCGCTTTGCAGGTGGGAGGCGCCCTGCAATTCAAAATGGAGATACCCGACGTATCATTGCCGTCTGAAGATGAATGTTTCCTGGATGGCCACTCGGGTCTCTCCTCCATATCTGCAAACGATCTACCTCGCCGCGTATTGCTAGATGATGACCGCATTTCCTCGCTCGCATACCGTGTCGAAGCAACTCTCATCCTTCGACAGTGTTTCATTGCGTGCGAGAGCCATGCTCCTGAAGGTACCCTGGAGGTACTTGACTCAACGATCTCAGCCTGGTTTCACCGGTGGCCGAGTGCAAACAGCACTATTCTCCAACCGAACGGAAAGGTTAACCAGATCGACCTCCAGACAGCGATGATAATGCACTGCGCCTGCATCTACCTTCATTTTTCAAAATCCTTTCTGGTCTCCCTCCTCCCAAATACAAGCGAGCTCTTTTGTTCCAGACCTCCATCCATTTCAGCACATTCATCCAAACCGCAAATGCATACTGCAAAAATTGTCAACTCGGCTGTGGAACTCTCCAAGCTGGCCTCTCTTTCTACATGTGTGACTTGCCATACACCATTCTTTGCATGTACTCTCGTTTTGAGCTCTATTGTACAGGTCGCTGTTCTGACTGCCCCTGTTGGCCTGCCATTTGGGATGCACTATTCTTACCTGGCATTGAATATCGGGGTATTGAAATCCATGGGCAACATCTGGGGCATCGCAGCTTCTTCTCTGACGAAATTACGAGCGATCGCTCGTGAGGTTGAGCAAGCTTCGCAAGAGGCCGGTCACGGACTGATTGGATCTGCATCCCTCCCTCCTTGTCTGCAAAGTTAATTCGTTCCTATAATCATCCATCTGGTGTTGTTACTTTCCCAACCAAAAGTTCCGATCACCGGACCCCACCAGATAAACATCCACTGCTGTAATGCCTAAAATTCATATTACAGGTAATGTTCATGTGTGCAAGCGAACAATGCCCCCCTGCAGGAGCGAAACCAGCCATTCGAGAAAAAGCGATGCGCCACTGTGGGTCTGGACCCACCTATTCGGCGAACTTGGCATTGCTAGTCTTGAGGCAATAATGCTTCCCGAACTCTGCGACTAGTCAACCAGCCTTTAGATGCCGCGAGATAGACCAGCAGAGAATCACGCACCTGGGAATACCTGCGTTCGAATCAATGTCAGAGACTATTGTTAGTCATTGATTGGGTTCGGTGTGCGCGGCACTCCCCGGTGGCTCAAACTGCCGGTGAGAAAATTTAGCTAACCTTTCTCACGGCCGAGCTCTGATTCCTGGATCGGAAAATGCATCATCACGGTCGATTTGCATAGTACACTACAATTACACCAACGCTTACGCCAGGCTTCTTATCTGATAACGAAACAATTGACCTCTTATAAAGATGTTTTGATTGAGACTCATATCGTGACTTCTATAAACAGTGCAAAGCAAGTTGTCTCTTGAGCATAGTTCAGTCACCCTGGACATGTGGTAAAGCATAATTTCAGCTTGTAGCTACTAATTGCATGGGATTCTCTAGAAGACAACGTCTAGAAAAAGAACCTATCCTGGGCTAGACCCAATCATCCAAACTGTACCCGTTCTTGAAAGCAAATGCCTCCTGCGGTCCCTCGACATCGATCTCGTAGCCATACACGCAGCGATCAAAAGATACCTTCGGCTGGGAGCGATAAAATTGATCGAATTTGGAATCCATAGCTTCTTTAAGACTTGTCACGTCACCATCCGGGTGCAAAGTACTCCAAGGCTTGATGCACTCAGGGCCTTGACACGACTTAAGCACCAGCAGCAGAGCATCGAGCCTCGAAACGACGCTGGATATTGAGTATCCAAGAACCAGGCTCTGCTTTGAATTTGAATTCCAAAGATTTTTCACCTGGAAGGGGTCCGTCTTTCAAGTCTCGTCAGTTAGATGGCTCTTGGTGAATTACCCAACGCAGAACTTACGCTCAAGTCATAAAGCTCATGCTCATTATTACACCACACCGAGAAGAACAGGTTGTACTCAGCGGCAAGTATACGAACGGCTTTGTAGGTGTTGTTTGGCACAGTGGGAGTTCCTTCTCATATTAACAATAAGTAGATTCGGCATACGAGAGGAACATTCAAACATACCGAGATTTGACAGTCCGCCCTCAAGCATCCCCCGTCCCCAGTATTCAACTGCAACATGCTCATGGGTATCTCCAATTGTTTTATATATTGGCATCGGAGTACCATCAAAGTCAGACCTCAGAGAGATGCCCGCAAGCTTGAAGAGAGTAGGGGCAATGTCGATATGTGTGGTAACAGTATTATCGACGTGGTTTTCAGGGATATTGGGCCCACGAATCATGAAAGGAACGCGAATATCCTCCTCAAAACCACAGGTCTTGCCAGGTGGAAGGCGGTGCTGGGAGATATGGAAGCCATTGTCTGATGTGTAGATGATGAAAGTATTGTTTATTTTCCCGGACTCTTCCAGCCGTGTGACCAGGTTATCAACCAGCTCATCGACACCTTGAAGAGCCCGGAGACGCTGGCGATAGTAGTGATCGTTATAGTCGATCACGGACTGGTTTCGGTATGGAAGATCGTGAATCCAGCTTACGCCGGTTGGCTATATAGATAGGTTGTAAGAAACGGATAGCACTGGCAAGGCCAATTGTCGTCGAAACTCACATGCCGAGGATTGAAGTTAGCTGTTCGAGGAACTTTCGCGTCGGGAAAGAGATGCTTGTGGCGCTCTTCGGGAATGGGCTCATCCATCCACAGTGGGCCGGCACCACCTCCATAGGTTCCGTTCATGTTTGAATGTGGTGCAATGGGTGTCACTGTCATAAAGAAAGGCCTTTCTCCTTCCAAAGCATCGTTTAGGAATCCCATTGCCTTCTCACGCAGAACCTCGGTCGTATGACGACCAAGATAACTGACAGGTTTGTCATGATTGCGTTGATAGGTGGTGTTCATGTAGTCGTAGGTGTAAGGGTCCAAGACAAAATCAGATCCATTGAATCCTGCAGCATGGGGGCTATCATAGTTTTCAAGGGAATGTGAGTTCATCAATTTCCCTGTATAGTAGGTGTCGTAGCCGGCCTGTTGCATCCACACAGGTAGATAATTCTCGTTGAAGCCACGCTCAAGGAATTTAGGATATCCCCCTGTAATATCACGTCAGCAATTACAGAACCAGTAGAAATCAATTCCAAGAAAAGCATACCCCAGGGTGGATTGACATCGGTTACATTGGTGTTATGGGCTTGACGACCGGTGAGCAGACTGACGCGAGACGGACAGCACAAAGCAGTTGTCACAAAATGGTTGGCAAATGTCGTGCCTTTCTTTGTCATGTGGTTCACAGTCAAAGGAGTGAATGAAAGCGAGTCCAGCATGAGGTCCTGGTCATCTGTCATGATGAATAGAAAGTTGGGCTTTTGTGATTGGAGGTCCTGGCTTGGGACTTCCGCATCTTGATGTCCCACTCTGGCAGCAGCACATGCTACAAAGCACCCGAAGGCGGCGATGCTTTTCAACTTCATGGCACTTTTTCGGGGTTTGAAACTTATCAGTGGAAAAGTTGCAATGATGTAAGGTGTCCCTTCTCAAAGTTACGATCCCTCATACGGGGGGAGTTTACAGTACTTTATATATTTCACAAATGTATAACCATTCCCGCTGAATAAGATTGTACGAACCGACGTCGTTTGAGTGAAGATGCAAGCATCATATGTTTAATAATCAACCGAAATCCCTTCTCGTCTTGTCTTGCTTATTTCAGGTCGTCATTCCGCCAAGCAATACAAACATGAAAATTCGACGACCTTTGCCCAAGACAAGCGAAAATTGGAATCCCGCTGACGACCCCACATATTCGGCGAGCTTCGAAAGTCAAATTGCATGATTTCAAAAAGTTTCCGAAATACCAGGTTTACTCTACACCGTAGCCTTGCCTCGACACCGGGTGCCGAAAGTGGGTCGAGCATTTCGTATCCGCTTTAGGAAATTGAGCGGCCCGTGGGGGCGGCTTTCTAGACTCAGTAGAGGATCTAGTACCACTTACTGTTGGCGGCAAGAGAAGGGGTTCGATTTTCTCTCTGTGTAGATAAGTGACCAGCATTCCAGGGGCCTTTGACCGGCCGCCCAAACCGACGCTGGCCCGCCCGCGGAGAAGTACGCCGGCACGACCCATTACCGTAGTGTTATCTACAGTCTAAGATTAATGCTGCATGATTGTTAGGAAAGTAGATCTAAAAAATGTGGATGAATTATCACAACGAAGAAAACTTGAAAATCAGGAGCAATTGAATTGTATGAATAGCCTATAGCAAAAGAATGTTAGGACTTATTTACATCCCTCATGAACTTAAGCAATTTCAACAGCAAGGCAACAATGTATATCCTTCACGCTTGTGCCCACGAAGCACTGGTAGCTGCCCGGATCTATCCTCCATGCCCCAATATCTTCATCATACCAGCGAAATTCATCACTTTGAATCTCGATACTGACATCCCGAGACTCTGATACCGGTACCATCACCTTGCTGAACCCGGCAAGGGTCTTGGGGAAGCTGACAAGCCCTCTTTCGCGGATACGAGTCGAAGGTGAAACATAAACCTGCACAACTTCGGAACCATCGCGATGGCCGGTATTGGCGACAGTGGCGTTGATTGTAATATAAGTTTTCGAGTCCGTGGTCAATGTACCGCGCAGGTAGACATTTGAAAATTCAAAGGATGTATAAGACAATCCAAAGCCAAAGGGCCAGAGGGGCTCAATATTCCGCTCCTCAAATGCCCGATATCCCACCAGGACCTGCTCGCCAATGACAGCATGATCACGCGCCGCTTCCCCGGGGAACCAGTCATTAGATCCATGATCGGCTAAAGACCTGGGGAAGGTAATTGGCATCTTGCCGGAGAAGTTGCAATGCCCGAGCAAAACATTTGTGAGCGCAGACCCGTTTTCCTGTCCTTGGTACCAGCCTAGAACGATAGCGCGTGCTTGGTCTGCCCACGGCATAGTTACCGCGCTGCCAGTCTGGACAACAACCACGGTGTTGGGGTTCGCGGCACAAACAGCTGAGACCAGTTCGTTGGTTCGACCGGGTAGATCCATGCTTGGCCGGTCACCACCTTCGCCCTCTGAGTCCTTGTTGTGGCCGACGACCAAAATTGCGAGGTCTGATTCCTGTGCGGATTGCACAGCACGATTCAGCATTTCCGTCTCATCGACTTCACGAGACATTCCGATACGAAGGCCGGAAATACCCGGGAATAGAGTGTTGTCAAAGGATTCCACAAATGGAAGGGTGACGATGTTGTCAACTCTCAAGGCATAGGAGCGGTTGGAGTCCAGTTGGACTGTCGCGGTACGGTCTTCACTCGAACAACCGAGGAAGCCACCAGTAGTCTTGGTCCAATTGGTGTTGTCAATAACAAGCTTTTCGTCTAGGAAAAGCTTTGCCTTGCCAGTGTTCGCCAGGCTGAAAGTGTATTGACTAGAGGCTGTGGGAGTGACAAGACCACTTGCCCTGTAACAATACTCTTTTCCCTTGAGAGACGGAGGCACATCTCCATCGCTCATCATATAGGTGAAAGAATTTGCCCAGAAGGTTGTCGCTACAACAGGCCCTTCGAAATTGTGTCCTAAGAAGAATTCCACTTGAAGGCCCTGCTTGGAACCGTCGGGTAGCGCAAGTGTTTCTCCAAGTAATGCTGGACGCAACGTAAAGGGCAAGCCCTGCTCGAAGTGAACGTGAACGTCTGGATTGGCCTCTTGTATGGCATCCTTCAGGCATTTCTCTGGCGAAGTGATGTAGAAAGGATTTACTGCTGCACTTCCAGAGCCACCTGCGGTCGGGCTGCGCGCATTAGGTCCAAGGATAGCGAGCTTTTGCAACGACGATGGCTGTAGTGGAAGAAGACCTTCGTTCTTCAGCAGAACCAGTCCGCTCTCCGCGGCCTGTTTAACAGTATTGTGACAAACTGCATCGCAGGAAGGCTGTTCTGATACCACTTCGCTTTTCTGGGATGGGAGGAGTCCCGCTCTATCGAGCAGATGCAAAACCCTTCGTACACTCACATCCAAGTGCTTTTTTTCGTCCACTAACCCATTGCGGATAGCTGAAAGTAGACTTGCTCCGCGTCGAACAGGTGGCCCGGGCATCTCGAGATCAGTCCCGGCAATCAAGCTCTGAACGGTACTGTTACAGCCTCCCCAATCACTCATGACGAGTCGGTCAAATTGCAACTCCTCCCGCAAGAGCTTTTGGAGGACAAAAGGACTCATATCTGCGTGAATCCCATTGACTTTGGGATAGCTAACCATAGCTGTCCATGGCGACGACTCGAGTGCCATAACAAAAGGTTTCATGTAAACCTCCCTGAGGGTTCGTTCATCAATAGTCTGATCGACATTGAAACGGCGCGTCTCGGTATCGTTCAGAATGAAATGCTTCATACAAGCGCCGACATTCTGACTTTGAATCCCACGGATCATCTCAGTGGCCATAGTCCCTATCAAGAAAGGGTCTTCACCATAGCCTTCGAAATTCCGACCTCCCAACGGGGAGCGCGAGAAGTTCATCGTGGGTGCCAAAAGGACATGGCAGCCCTTGCGGCGCGTTTCTTGGCCGAGAACAGTCCCGACTCTTTTCACCATTACCGGATCAAACGTGGCGGCCAAAGATATAGCGCACGGGATCAAGGTGGTAGGAGAGCCATCTGTCCATTTTGTTCCTCGAGCGCCAGCTGGGCCATCTGTCATTTGCAGTGGCGGAATGCCCAACCGTTCAACTTCGGCAGTCTGCCACATGTTTTGGCCTGCTACCAAAGAGACCTTTTCCTCCAGAGTGAGAGATTGGAGGAGCTTCTCCAGGACGACGTGTGCAGTATCGTGTGCCATGGTCTTAGAGGTATGAGGGAGATAACCCAAGGTGTAAGGCGGAGACAAAGGTGACGTTCAGGAATATGTTTGTTGAATGCGCGCGAGATTTGGGTTGAACATAATAAATTAAATGTATCATATTTTCTGGCAGAATTGCTTCAATGCAGGAATTCCACTTCCCTGATGACGCCACCTTTCAGTAGTATAGTCTTGTTGGTTCGCTGTACGAGAACGTCGCCGATATAGTGGGGACTCTAGAACCGGGATACTTGGCATTTCTGGTTGGGCCCCGCTCACCGAACTGGCGGGTCTACATTCCCAATGAGAAATCTTCTCTGGGGGATGGTTCACCAGAATTGGCGGGCCCAATTTCAGCTGCTCGCCCCCAGAAATCCCGTCTCTCCACGCCCCGCGATCAACCCCGGACGGTCAAGAGAGAGGTTTGGGGGTTGTGGGACCCCAGGTGCTTTGGAGAAGCCGGCAGTTAATGCGCTGAGCCGCATGAATGCATATATTCCTCGTGCCAGGTGATCGGATCATATCATTTCTGGTACCTTCTCAAAACTAGAAAATCAGCGTGGCTCATGAATTGTTGTTAAAGACTCGCTTGCGTCTGTTCTGCTGGTGCATGTCAGCATTAGGAACGGGCTCCACTTGGAATGCCAAAGCCGCCACTCATTCATACTTCGACTAAAAAGAGAAAGTATCCCTAGCAAATTTAGGCGAATTCCATTGTGGGATTATCATTGGGCGATTCAGCATTCACAATCGTATAATGCCAGATCATATAATTCGAAACCCGGCCGAAAGAGTCATTTGATTTCCTTAAATTGAAAAGAACCTCAGCCCCCTTCAACCTAGACATTGGACTCCCTGAACTTTCGGAACAAGGAGTCGTGAATAGCATTTTTTGGATTTTCAAGAGATTCATCATGCCACACCAAGCAACATCAAGCGATTCTGTCTGGAACCAACCATGGTTGATCTGGATGGTTGTCATCTTTGGATCCATCTCCTCTGCCGGGTTCGGGTTCGATCAGGCCTGGTGGGCAAGTATCATGAGCTCCTCTCAATTTGTTGAGAATTTCGGATCTCTTGATCCTGCCACGAATACACGGGCCCTGACATCTTATCAACAATCGCTCGGTACTGGACTTGGCTATGTTGGAGTCATCGTCGGAGTGGTTTGTGGATCGCCCTTGAATGAACTCCTTGGAAGAAAGAACACCCTGTGGATCCAGAGTGCCATCGTGGCAGTTGGAGTCATCATCGAGTCTACCTGCAAAACCAGCTATGCGCAGTTCATTGTCGGCAAGCTCATTGTCTACCTGGGTGGAGGTATCGCCACGAGTGTCATCCCTGCCTATCAGGGAGAGTGCGCTCCAAAGTCGATGCGTGGTCTCATGTCCGGTACATACAATGCCTTCCTCATGGTCGGTGGTCTCGCTGCTGCCCTGATCGTGTATTTGTGCCGTCATATCTCCGGCGACTGGGCGTGGCGCATGGTAGTTGTGGCCCAAATTGCTATCCCTGCAGCTTGCTGGATGAGTCTGCCCTTCTTGCCAGAGTCTCCTCACTGGCTTGTTTCTCAAGGCAGACTCGACGAGGCGGCGGTCACCCTCCGTCGTCTTCGAGGGCAATCGTTCCCTGCCGAAGCTGAAGTCGTGGCGTTGCAACAGTACTGCCAAGACCAACGTGAAAGGCTGGCAAGCGCAACATGGGCCGCCTGCTTCACGGATCCGGTCAATCGCCGTCGCACGTTCATCTGTATCGGTGCTCAGGTCTTCCAGCAGGCCCAGGGTATTTCGTTTGTGGCAAACTACCAGGCTGTCTTCCTGCAACAGATCGGCTTTCAAGAAGTCCTCCTCATGTCTGTCGTGGTATACGTGATCGGCGTTACGGCCAACTTCTTGGCCATGGCCTCTACCGACAAGCTTGGCCGCCGTGGGGTGTTGTTGTGCTCGGCTGCGATGCTAGGAGCTTGTATGTTCGTCATCGGGGGTCTTACCACCAACGGGGCGGCTAACATGTCGTATGCAATGCAGGTGGCTGCGGTGGTGATGCTCATGTTGTGGTTCTTTTCCTTTCAAGTCACCTGGGGACCTTTGGTGTGGGTGCTGACTGCCGAGGTGCCCCCAAGTCAGGTGAGAGAAAAGACCGTCGCCCTATCTGGACTGGGTGCTTATGTCACCGGTCTGGTTATTGTTTTTGTCAATCCTTTCACCCAGGCCGACATTGGCGGTCGGGTTGCCTTGATCTATGGTGCACTATCGATTGTTGCTTTTGTGTTTGCATGGTTCTTCGTGCCCGAAATGAAGCAACGCACCCTAGAGCAAATCGACGAGATGTTCCAGGATGAGGTGCCAACTCGAGCGTTCCAATCACATGTTTGTCGCTTACCTATGGAAACCGTGGTCAAGGAAGGACAGGAAGAGTTTGTGGAGAGCGTTTAATCACATAACTCTATGGTGCATCTAGATCCATTTCGAACCTGCTGGCATTGAGCAGGAGGGAGAGGTTATTGTGAACACCATCATTTATTGAGTTAAAAGGAAGTACATTATATAGAAGAGAAATACGAGGATGGAGTACATTTTATTTCTAACATGTGACCTTTTTCCTATCTTTTCATTGCCCTTCTTTCTCTTGAGTATAGCTCAAACAAACACATGCTCACCGAATTCTGCTAGCTCTTCAAATGCTCTCAAGTGATATTGCAGCCAGCTGCCATAGCGACGTCATGTCATGGTAGAAGAACATAGCTCGAGTCATGTTGATCTAAGGTCCTTATAGTCCTACTCTACGTTCAACAACATCATGAATCCTGCACACAACCTCGCCGACAATAACACGAAGAGTCCCTGGCTTGAAAACCATGCTAAATATACGCACTGAATTGTCGGACCTTGCTTCCAAAGACGTAAAATATCCAAGGTAAAAATGCAAACAGGACAGCAAGGAATCCGAGCAAGCTCGACGCCCAGGCGTATCCTAGGTTTTCGTACACTGAGGGTTGTGTCAGAAGATTTTCGATTGCGGAGTAGGAACGGAGATAACGTACTTGGAATGGTGAAGAGGGGAAAAGATCCACCGACAAGGTATCGTAGCAGCCCGTTGGCCGCGAGCGCCGAGGCACCGTATTTGGCACCATACACGTTTGTAAGGTAAAGCATGGTCGAAACCTGATGATGTAAGATCACTTTGATCAGGAATACAATGAAAGTCTCCTGAATGGGCGTAACTTACAAAGATCAATATATTGGAGAAGCCAAAGAGGCCCGTCGCAGCAATGCTGCACATCCAATGAATCCCTGGCTGGGCCGTCCATGCAAACCAAAATAGGGCACCGGTCATCAACGGCCCTCCGATCATAGCTCCCCATAGTGTTCGCTCCGGTGGTGGCGCTGCAGACTTGTATCTTTGGATATGGCGCCTCATAGTGTAGGAGTCAATAAGGACCAAAGAGAATCCTCCCAGGGCACAGCCCACAGCTATCCCAATCAAGACCAGACCACTCTCTCCAGGCGTGAAGTCATAGGTAGTGTTGAAGATCAGTGGGATAGCCGCCAGGAAGCAGAAGAGAATAGAGAAGTTCAAAGATGAGTATAGTGAGCACAGAATGACGATCGGCTCGCGTACGAGCATGTACAATGGCCTTGCCAGCGTCACCGTCATTAAAAAGCGGACTCCAGCCAGTCCGGATGGAATAGGAGATGGTGGGATAGGCAGACCCATCTTCTTCGCTTTGCGGCGCATTATAGGACCAGCATAAGTTTCCTGTGCACCTAGCGAAAAGATCCAAATACCCGCACCCAGGAAGAGCGATGTCCAGAGCGACCATTGCCAATTTTTATACTGCGCGACCCACCCACCCACCAGCTCACCCAGCGCAGGGCCCAGGAATGCAATGGTCATTATGAGGACGACGCCACGGTTGGTATAGACTCCGGTCCACATGTCCATGATAGTGCCGGCCCCGACAGCCAACGGCGCGGAGATCATAATACCGGCCAGCAGCCTGCAGATTGCCAGCGCTGCGAGCCCATTTGCGAAGCCGGCGCCGAGAAAGAAGATCAATGCGAGTGGAGTCACGAAGATGTAGATGAATCTACGACCGAAGGTCTCACTCAGGGGTGCTGAGACGGCTGGGCCGAAGGCGAGGCCGTACACATAGAGTGTAAAGGGGAGGAGGGAGAGGGTCGTGCTGGTGTGGAAGTCTTCTTGAACGGATTCGTGCGAAGGTGAAAAAATTGCCAAACTGAATGAACTGTTTGATGGCTTTTGTATTAGCGAAACTGGCACTTTTCATGGATCACAAAGCACTGACCTACATCAGAAAACATAAAAATGCAGGAACAGCAGTGTTGTAGAGTTTCTTGGCTGTTGACCAGTTCTTTGCATTGTCGGGGTCATTGGCCCAATTTGTAGCAATATTTTGCTTTTCTCCTTGTTCTGTCGAATGGGCCATCTTGCTCTTTGGCTCTCTGCCGATAATTGCGTCGTTATCGGGAATGAGATGGACGGTCACTTTTATAGAATAAGATGAAGTGCTCCACGGATCATTCGGATGAATATGCCAAGAGGCGATGATGCGAGACACAGCGGACGTTCCTGAACTTCCTGACCGGGGATGCTGGGAGCGAGAATGCCTGCATGGCCTGCGTGGGCCTATACTAGCAGAAGCAGTAGACATTGACCGGCCGAACTGCCGAGCCTCGCGTGGGGCACGGTGCCGGCGGCCCACAAATTCGGCGACCTGCTGCATCGACTGCACTCTCCGTTTTCAACACCGCTGATTGCTTGGGATTTGTCATTTTCGGGAAATGAAAATGGTATCAAGCTGTTCATCTTTTCACTAATGGGCCAGAACATGACCGGTCTGGCTGCCTGCCCTGAGTAAAATATTTAGTTCCTGCAAGTCTCCTCCAAGTCCCCTGCAACACATCGAACCGCAGCAGATTCACTGGAGTAGGAACAATGCAAAGCGACCTGAAATCTTTCAAGCTTTACTCACATCCTCTTGGACCAAATCCATGGAAGGTAGCCATCATTTTATCATGCCTCAAACTTCCCTACACGACAGTCTGGGTCGACTTCAAAGATGTCAAATCGCCACCGTTCGTCGACATGAACCCGAACGGCCGACTCCCCGTTCTTTTCGACCCAAACCGGGAAATCACCCTGTGGGAATCGGGCGCCATCGTCACCTACCTGGTTGAACTCTACGATGTCGCCCGCGTGCTCAGTTATGAAGGCTTCCACGAGCGAATCCTCTGCCAGCAATGGCTTCATTTCCAAACCTCGGGTCAGGGACCCTACTATGGACAACTCGGCTGGTTCTCACGACAGGTACCGCAGCAGCAGGCTGCTATCGAGCGTTACGCTAAAGAGGTGTACCGTGTGACTGGTGTTCTCGACAAGGAGCTCTCGGAGCGGCAGTGGCTGGTTGGTGGGAAATGTACCTATGCCGATCTGGTTTTTCTTCCATGGCAGGATATGGTGAGTTGGATGATGGGTGATGGATGGGATGAGGGTGAATTCGCTCGACAATTCCCTTTTGTTACGGCCTGGGTGGCGAGGATGAAACAGTTACCCGAGGTGGCGCAGGTTCTATTCGAGAAGCAGCAGGCAATGGCTACGATGCCGCTGAAGCCTTGAAACGGTGCATTCCATCCGGGCTTAAACAGTCTGTTGAGATTTTGTCTTTAATCAGTAACTATACACATAAAATTGTGTTTTATTTTTATTTTTATTTTTATTTTTTTTCAGCTAAAAGAGATAGATTGCCAGCGAGCCGTGGGTACTTCTAAAACGGGTAACTCATCGTGCAGGGCCTTATCGTTCGAAAATTCCTGCCTGAATACAGGAAATTCTTTCGCCACTCCACGTACTACTTTATAACATCATATCGCAACGTTAGCACAGTGAAGGCTGCGTTCAAAGAAAGTCGATTTCTGACGCAGGCACCAAATGCGGTTTATTGCCAAATGCTGAATCCTCCAGCTGAGATCTGAGATCAATCATGATGTGGCGTAAAAACGGCATTCTGTCCAAACTTATCTTGCTCCTTCACTCTCATGGTATGATTCCCCCTGACAGAGTGGATAGCAAGCATCTGAGAAACGGCAATTTATGGTCAACTATGAAATCATTGAAGCTCTTCTTGATAAGAACTTGCAAAACAGGAAAATGTGTACAATATCATGACATAATAAATCACATCCAACTTAAAACCCTCATTGACAGCAGTTTTCACTTGCATCATTGACATCCTCAACAGCAGACAGCCGGCAAAAGCAAGATGCGAGAATCGGTGTATCTGCAGACGCGAGAGCGATGTCCCTCTGAACCCGGATGGTACTCGCTTCATCATTCTTGTCTAACCGAACCAGACATTCAAGAAGACCATGGAGGCCCCAGACATTATTCAGTCTAGCCTGACGCCGGGGGAGGTTTCCTCCGAGACCAAGATCCTCTCTGTACACTATCTCTGCCTCCTCGGTCCGTCCTTGCTCCAGAAGCAAAGCACCCAGGGCATGCCTGGTTGGCTGCATCCAAGGTGGCGGGTCTGCGTAAGGGAGGGCGTCTTCTAAAGCGGTAGCTTCTCGCAGACTGCGGAATGCAGATTCAACGTCACCTTCTCGATATTGAATCTCCCCTCGGAGCATTGAGGATGCAACGCATAGTAGATCGGCTTCAATGACCGGTACGCTGTTCAGACGTGTTCTGGGCACGAGTAGTCTGGACTTCTCGAATTTTTCTTGCTCGACTTTTGCTTCCTCCACTCGGCCAAGTACTGCGAGCGCTATACTACGACCGTAGTATATCATCGCGGTGGTAGAGCAGTATAGCTGGCGATCATCGGGAATCACAGTCTTGCACAGGATATCTTCCCACTTCCCGAAACGGATCATAACATGTACAGAAGCGCCCAGCAAACTTTCCGTCCAGTCTGCCATCGGCGGGCACGATACTCGGAGGATATCCGGAGTCAGAATTTCAGATAGTCGTTCAGCCGAAGATGAGGCTTCTTGGTACCGTCCAGAGATCAGCGCACTGTAGAGCTTGGCGGATACGTTATGTGCACGGTACATGAAATAAAGGACGGAACCGTTGGTGCGCGCGAAGAATTTGTCGTCGGATAATATAGCCTGGTGGTTTGAGTCGACAGCGCGACGATAATCGCCACAGGCGATGTCGATGTGTGTGGGCATATGTAGCATATGAGACGCATCCGGCATCAATGAGCGTAGTCGGTCGGCGGCTGGAAGAGCAACTTCTGGATATGGAGACATTTCCATCAAGTGGATGTAGAGATGACACAATGCGGGGTGCTGAGGGCCACCGGGAAGACTCATGGCCCTTTCGATAATGTCTCGCGCCTTCACAGTATGAGGGCCACTAGGTTTGCCTGTTTCAAGATCCCAGAGGGCACGCGGGCTAATGCACATTAACGCCTCGGCACAAAGCGCGGATATGTCGAGATGGGATAGGTATTTTCCGTAAACATTGCACATGGCCTGAGCATAATCTTGATTCAAAGAGTCTGGATGGGTTGCGGATGCCTCCAGTATCGGGAACCGATATTGAAGGGCGAGAATCAAAGCGGCCTCGGTTGGACTCACGCATGGTGCTAGGTCTCTGGCCTTCTGGAGGAAGGGCTTGACATATTCGATGGTCTGACGAAAATCGACAGGGTCAAAGCGAATCCAGGCTTTGTTGTAGTTTGGGCCTTTGGAGTAGCAGAGCCCCCAATATGCCATGGCGCAGTTCTCGTCAAGTTTGATTGCCTTGATAAAGCACTGAGCGGCTTCTTCATGATTGAACCCTTGAGCCCACAGGTAACCACGGTCGAACCAGGTTTGGCACTCTGCGGAGCTGGTCGTCACGGTGAACCGGTAGGATCCGAGGTCGTAGTATTCATTCGTCATGGTTAAGGCTCGGAGCGTAGTATGATGACTGAAGACTTTGTCTGCTCTTCAGAGTACCTAGCTGATCACGTTGGTGGCCAGATAGATGACCGAGTAGGTGACTAGATTGGTAATCTCTCTTGGAGGAGGACTAATAGCGCTTTTCAGAAGTTGCTTTAGCTACGTCCCGAGTCTGGGTCGGAGGTGGTGATTTATGATCGGCCTTCTTTACGTGTACGTACGACTGGCTCCGAGGAAATCAATCGATTGCAACTCGGCATAAACTGCAGATGACCCACGCCACTCGCCGAATGAATGCAAGAGGGATGCCGTTCGAGCTGGAACCCCGAGTGGTTCCTGTTCCAATTTCCTCGCGAATTTATCCCTCGGTATAGATCTTCATGCCTTTTGGCCAATGATTCCTTTCTTTTTCTTTGAAGTCGCCGATCCTGGAATGCAGTCCGATTCTGCAGTGTAACCTATCCACAGAAAAATTTGCATCTGCCAGAGGAGATGGAGGGCCGACTGTCCTTTAGGGCACGGTAGATGCGGTCACTTTACTATTGGGAGCCGGAACTGCCCGGATAGTCGATGGTGAGAAAGATGTTTGCGGGACTGGCCGTTGGACGATGTTTTAGGGATGATTGCATCGCCAGGGAACAAGCTTTGGATGCCTTCTCTTAGCTAAGTGAGACCGGATCGTCTTGAGAAATCTCGCCCCTGATGAGATCATAATCAAAGAAAAGGATATTTGGTTTTGGGAAGTACCTACATGATACAGACACGTGACTCCTGGGTACGATGGGAAAGCGCGAGGTGATGTTGCGGCCTCCGGCCAGCACCGGTCGATGCGTCCACTTCATTTGGCCTCTGAAGGGCTACTCTTGTCACCCATTTCTTCGATTAAACTCCATGTTTCCTGTTCCAGCCACTCAGCGGAAAGTAGTGTGCTTCTTGCGACTATTTTCCTTCGATTTTGACTTCTCCGAGTCTACCCAGCTCTCCTTCCTTCCAGCTACAGCGTAGGCTCTTTCATGTTTCAAGCGGCCATTTCCCAAACCCACTTCGGCAAAGGCAACTATCCATGGAAAATCCTGCTAACACTGTTATCGACCTAGCAAACTCGAGAATTCGCATTCAAAATGGAATACTCCGACTGGAAGCAGTACATACAAGTGGGTACCCACACTGTCCCACTAGTCGGCGAACTTTGGCATTTCTGAAGTGGACTCCGCATTCCATCGCACGGTCAGTCCCCGAATAACCCTGCCTCTGTTTCTTTTCGGCGGTAACGTCCCAAACGCTTAATGACACTCTATCCCATACTTGCGAAGGCGGAGATAGTTGTACGGCAACGGCGCAAGGAATCAGCACCGATCGACATGACTGCGGCCACCCAAAACTGTGGGTCATCCAGGTTGACCTGGCCCTCGGTCAAGTGGTAGTCCATCATGTTCTCGGCCATTTCAATAGCCACCATCCATACCATGCTCATATTGGCATGGGATCCATCATGATGGCTTCAAGTAAGTTCGATGGCGAACTTGCGATCTTGGAGTTGCATAGCTGACCAGGCGGGGACACTCCAGTGGCCAGCGGCATTACAACATCTGTCATCCTCGAAACGATTCTTCTCCGGTGCCGCGCCGACCAGCTTTCCTGGCCCATGGTGGCACGCTTCTGCGATCGGCATGAGCGTAGTATGTTTGAAGAATCCATAGGGCGGAGAAATCGCCTACAGTGCAGCCGATCAGACAGCGCGGAGTGTTAAGACCGGCCCGCTTCTATATAGACTTGCCTAGCCAGTAATCTGTTGTCCAGGTTGACAGCAGGGGCCGAACATCTTTAGTCGTCGACGCACTGCCTGCACACTTTGAATGAGGCATTTTTCGCACAGGCTTCTCGCAGTAGCCAAATGACCGGTGCTGGGTAGGTGTCGTTATGGACGGCATCCGACGAAATGCAGAGCGAGTAACTCAGGGCATGAGCCTGGGAGAAGGGAATTGGAATCTCATTTTGTACTCGATGATGATGATGCCCGTCTGCGGATCGCAAGTCGCGAGGTGAAGTGCTCGGAGAGAAGTGTGCCACCAACCATTATTGAATGAAGTGGCCAAGAACGCGCCAGAATATCCGGCTTCAACAACGCACAATTCGCGCGGTGGGTAGACATCGTACGCAGGCAAAATGATTCAAGACACATTGCGCATAAATACCGCAGATGGGGACTTGGATGACAAGAATGAGAAAACACAAAGTGTCCTTTTTTTTTGAAGTACGAGGTTTGAGGATTCAGTTGAGGTCTCACCTGGAACTGTTTGAGATTCAATGATTCCTTCATTAGATTCATTATTGGTGGATTTAACGAGATTCGTTTCTTTCGCAGGCCGCCTTGCCCCCCACAGTTGAGAATACCGTTAAAGCCCGCCCCGATTTGACCTCCCGAGATAGTCACCACTTTATTTAATTCCTATCTCATCTTCCCTTGCGCTACGGTCAGCAAGAGAGATTCGTTCTCACTGATCTTCAAGGGCATATCGTATGATTGATAATAAAACTGTAGCTATGTTTCTGTCTCCATCTTTCCTGCGTCCATGTCCGACGCGTTTTGATCCTATGGAGAACACTTTCGCGTGAAAGCCAGCCAGTACTAGGAAGTATTAGATGGTAATAGAATAATAGATAGTGATCCAAGCTTCTCATTTCAGGGACAGTCACTGTCACGATTAAAAATTGAATCAGTGCAATGATGAAAGCAATCTTTGCCCATCTCTTGTGTCGATGCCCTGTGGCTGGTAAGTAAAAGACTCCTTCAAGTACTTTAACACTGCTGCTCAATTGCTATACTGACTCATAACCCACCAGCCTAACTTAGCTGAGTATCCTAGCCGTTCACCCAATACATCACACCTTCTGGGAATTTTGCATGGCAAGGATTTCTACTCGTTACCGATTTGACCTGGGCCAACGTCCTCACCAAAAGGTGGCCTTTCCTTTTCCTCTAGTGTCTTACTAAGATCGTTACAGAATCAAAATCCTCAAAGACGTAGATTTTCCAGTGCTAACTAAAACAACCCGCTCCTCGACTGGTACTCGAAACATGCATCTGTCACCTAGTCCGAGAGAGCACCTGTAAGGGATGCAGATCCTTCTCCTGGCGAATGTGTACATCGCATGAGATAACGACTCATACATATCCTAATCAATTGGACTTGAGGTAAATGGATAATGCACAATGAAGCTTGAATGCCAGAGTAATGCATAATGAAAAAAACAACCCAATAAATCTCTTAATGTTAAAACTAAGCGAGTAGATAAGTCCCTCCTCGAGCTACAACTACCTAAGATCCAATTTTACGGCAATCAATAGCCTCGATTCTCGAGCCGCGACGATCGCGTCGATTGCCGGCCGCGCAGCTAGACGCACATTCCCGCCTTTTGCAGCACAATCCATTCCAAAAGGCGCAAATGGCCCGAAATGCAGACTTGAAAATAGAACCTGCCAGCCTCGATCCGAGACCGAAATAGTGCCTTGGTTATTAGGGCTGCGGTCAGTACCCGAGCCTAAATTGACCTGTATTGTATTGCCGTATAGTGGTGACATACCCCTGACCCATCGTCGACCGAGGTCCATCAAGTGACCGACTCCACCTACCCCATCCGGGGTCGACCCCAGCTTCGCAAGCTCCCCTTTCATCTCTGTAGCTGACGGGGCTAGCGATCCAAGCTGCTCTAACTATGTCGGATACGTACGGAAGCTATCAGACCGAGATCTACGGCAAGGGAGCCCTGGCGGGTATCCTGCCCAGTGTGACGACGGATCCCCGGCTGCTGGAGGAGCAGGCGCGGAAGACGATGGGTGTGCGGGCGTTCAACTATGTCGCTGGCGGGGCGGGGGAGAAGGCGACGATGGATAGTAATCGGCTTGCATTTCGACAGTGGAAATTGTATGTCTTTCCTCTCAAGTTGATGCTTGAAAATACTAACCACTAGAATGATGTAGAATCCCGCGAATGATGCGCAGTGTCAGTTCCGACTCTCCAAACTCTCCAATCTACAGAGACAAGTCTAACACCTGCATGATCTAGATGAACGGCCAAGATGTGTCAGTCAACCTCTTCGGCAAAAAATACGACCACCCACTCATCATGGCCCCAATCGGGGTACAGGGAATCTTCCACGAGGAAAAAGAAACCGGGCTCGCAAGCGTCTGTGAAGAAGTCGGCATCCCCTACACCATGAGCACGGCAGCCAGCAGCACCATCGAAGAGGTTGCTGCAGCCAACGGCGATGGCAGACGCCGGTACCAGCTCTACTGGCCGCAAGACAACGATATCACGCTATCGCTCCTCAACCGGGCCAAGGCGAGCGGTTTCGAGGTCTTGGTGATTACGCTGGATACGTGGTCGCTCGCGTGGCGGCCGGCCGACCTGGATAATGCCTACGTGCCCTTTATCAAGGGCATTGGGTGCCAGGTCGGGTTTAGCGATCCGGTGTTCAGGGAGAAGTTTGCGAAGGAGACTGGGTCAACGCCGGAGGGTGATGTGATTGGGGCGTCGCGGGCGTGGATTGGTCAGGTTGTTGCCAGTGGACCGCATACATGGGAGGATCTCGCTTTTGTGAGGAAGCATTGGACGGGTCCGATTGTGTTGAAGGGGATCCAGCACGTAGATGACGCGCGGAAGGCGTTGGAGTATGGATGCGATGGCATTGCGGTCTCGAATCATGGCGGTATGTGTGCATCTCCACCTCGATTCCCAACATGATAAGTGATAAGCGGGTGCTAATTCATTTGTTTACATCTTCAGGTCGGCAGGTCGACGGGGCCATTGGTTCTTTGGATGTTCTCCCCGAGATCGTCGACGCGGTCGGGGACAAAATGACCGTCTTGTTCGACTCGGGCGTTCGCACTGGCGTGGATGTCATCAAGGCACTGTGTCTGGGTGCGCAGGCGGTGCTGGTCGGTCGCCCAGTCATTTATGGATTCGGAATTGAAGGGCGCAATGGGGCACGCCAGGTCTTGCAGGGTCTGCTGGCGGATTTCTGGCAGAGTATGGGCCTGGCGGGCATCCGGACGGTCGGCGACTGTAACCGAGAACTGATCCGCAAGGTACAGCACGCGGGCGATGTCAAAGCGATGATGTAGTGGTCTAGACTCGGGTTGTACAGGCAGGCCATAGTGAGTAGTAGTACCAGGGAGTGCCTTGTAAATTGGCTGGCGCCGAAGTACCGGTACGTCATCCCTTAACGCGGATCACATGTGAGCGCGAATCGGGCAGGGGTTACACGCCACTTCTTGTTTGCTTTCTTATACTTTACTCAAGGTAGAGTCAATGAACATTCTCTAGATACCCAGAGGTAACCTCGTTGCGCTCATCTCCATGGCTCACAATGGAGGCTCCCAACAATATTGCAAATAACCCCGACGACACGCAGATCGCCCCCGCGGTCACCCACCTTCCCGCGACGTCGGGTACAACGCTGCTCCCGCGGCCAGTCGCGTCCTTGGTATCACTGCTGACCCAGTCGACCTCGCTCTCGCTGCGCGTGGGGACCTTCTTCGGCGGCGTGGCTCTCGATGGCGCGCGAGCAACCACCCTCACCAGCCTCGAACTAGGCCGCGCCTTGATCGAAGGTATCCTAACGCGCGCCGGGCGAGATGTGGCCATTCGTAGCGGGGACGAACACGGGAGGATGGAGGCCGAGTCGTTGCTGGAACGAAGTGTATGTCCCTTGCATTTCAAGCTCACCCTATTTTCTGCCCCGATGCTGATATAGATCCATAGTTAGCTACCCTGCATACAACTGTAACCTCGGCATCTTTCTTCGCCGCGGCGACATTCCATTTTTCCTCCACGACGCTAGCGTCCGTGGCCAACTTCTCCCAGGCACTTCTGTCGACTCTAGATGCGATCCTAGGCTCGACCGAGTCGTCCCGAGCCATTGCAGCTATCATCACGCTCATCCGGCGTGAGTTCCGGTCTGTAGATTCCAATGCCGATGCCGAGAATATTGGCGTGGGAGATTTACTCATTGGATCTGTTGGCTTTGCTCTGTTACAGCGATGGGGCAAAAAGAAAACTGAACGAACGCTGCGTGAAAAGGGCGGGGATGAGATCGTCTGGGATACGGTCATTCTGGACAACGGTGCCAGGGCCGACGTGGTCGGGGCGCATCAGCTGCAATTTTCGAATGGAGAGCGCGAGGAACTTCCCGCCGAACCGGAAAGTGCTTCTTTCGTGATGCCTGGCAATGGTGATGAGTCTTTTGATGCGGTTCATCGACGATCCAGCATTGATCCCCTTGCCGGATCTCGACTCTCGATTACTTTAGATGGTCAACAACAAGTGTCCGATGAAGACCTTCAGGCTTATATCATGAGTCAACTACCTCAAGGCTGTCACGCCTCGATCAAATCTGAAGTTTTGACTGCTCGGACAATTACGGTCGACATCTTCAATGACGATATGGCCGAGATTGCTGCTCCGCCTGGCACTACGATGATTGAGGAACGGTTCCATCATGACCACGACTATGATAATTCCAATGTCCCGGAATACCAGCGACTTCCCAGGCATACAGTCGTTTTCCGGACCGCGTTCAACAAGTCCCAGAGTACTCAGCTTCGGCCCCACGACCTTCCCAATGATGCGAGCTCATCTGATTCTGACCAAACTCACTGCCCTCTGCCAATGCCAACCCATACACTACCATCAACACATCTGGGGCCTCGCTCGCAGCAAACACAGTCTCACTCAGACTCCAGCAACTCCACCCTCAAGCGACATGTATCCAGCCCCGAACCGCCCAACGGCCAAACCCAAAAACCGCCATTCGGACGGAACTCACTCTCGAAGTTCGCACAGCGAGTCAAGACAAATGGTTCAGAGAAGTCAGAAACACTGAAAAGACCTGCGCCCAAGAAGCCGGCCTCAAAACTACCAGGTCCGACTCCATCTGGAATCCCTACCATTCGTCCTCCTCTGAAGCCTGCTAAAGGAACAGCTTCAGTCGAGGACGCAACAGCAAGAGAGGTTGCCAATCGCGCAGAGCAGAGGAAACGTACCAGCGAAATACCAGATCGACCAAGTACTCCAGCCCCGAACCGAGGACTACGACGATCCCCCTACCCAGGCTCACCCCAATCTCCTCGAACACCAGCCAGGCCCATCCCATCTCGGGATCCTCACGGCCGCACAAACTCCCGCGCAGGCCACTTCGCTGTCCGTGAAAAGAGCCAGGAATGTCTTCTAACTCAGACGGATGCATTTTCGCGTCGTCGGGCGGGCGAACTACGACCTGGATCCCCGGCTACAACGCGCCATGTCCGCAGCAGCAGTTCCATGTCTCTGACAAGATCCGAAACGGATGGCACGGTCTCGGTCAATGACCATCGACCCGGCTCTTCGGTGCTGCATAGACGGTCTCAATCGTATACACCAAGCATGTACTCCGTCGCCACGGCTGGCTCAGAAACATCGCTGCTTCTCGCCCATCGTCCACGCAAAAGCGCCTACGAAGACACAGATACCATCCAGGCTCTAAATCGCGACGGCCTTGTTCCGGGTATTTTCCCAGTGAGACACTTTGTCCAGAACATCCGGCGTTTCTGCCGCTTCTCCTCTGCTTCCTACGGCGCCAGTGCACTGAAAGTCATGGGCGTGCCGAAGGGTTCAAACTTGAAGACTCTCCCACAGATCACATCCGACAGCCACGAGCACAGCGCCTTCTCCGACCACACGGGCCTTCCATCGTCGACGATCCTGCTCTCCTCCTTTGTCGATCCAGCCGGCGGCTCCAACGCAGCCGGCGAGACGGAAAGCGGCTTCCCACTCGTCCACTATCTCTCGGCCGACCATGATTCCAAAGCCATCGTCCTGACTCTGCGTGGAACGTGGGGTTTCGAGGATATTCTCACTGACATGACATGCGACTACGACGACCTGGAATGGCAAGGCAAGAACTGGAAGGTGCACAAGGGGATGCACGCATCCGCCAAGCGACTCCTCGAAGGTGGCGGTGGAAGGGTAATGATTACCCTCCGCGCAGCATTAGAAGAGTTTGCCGACTACGGCGTCGTGTTATGCGGACACTCCCTTGGGGGCGGTGTCGCTGCCCTCCTTGCAACGATGATCTCCGAGCCAAACCCCAATGCCACAGGGACGTCCTTCGTGACAGCCTCGTATCAACCAGCTCCGTGTCCGCGCCTCCTAGCTGTCGACAGCGAGACAAGTCTACACGCCTCAAGCCCAGAGCCAAAGACCTACAACCTTCCCACTGGCCGCCCAATCCACGTCTACGCCTACGGTCCTCCAGCCGTGATGTCGCCATTCCTCCGCCTCGCAACAAGGGGGCTGATAACAACCATCGTGAACGGAGGCGACGTGGTCCCGAGTCTATCACTCGGCATCCTGCACGATATGCACACAGCCTCCTCAGCCTTCAAAACAGATGTCGGCGGCGCAAAATCGCACATCCGGAACCGTCTCCACGAGTCCCTGCGTCAGAGCATCATCCACAAGTTCTACGTCAACCAGCCGCCGCTGGTCATCAATGCCGGCGACGGGGTCGGCGAGGACGCCTGGGCGTGGAAAACGCTCAACCTCCTCCGGGATGAGATGCGGGCGCCGAAACTCATGCCGCCCGGTGAAGTGTTTGTTGTTGAGACTATGCGCGTGCTGCAGCGGGAGGCGTTTACGCCGGCGCCGGACTTTAGTGCGGCGGATTCGTATCCGAGGCTTGGGCGGCCGGCGACGAGGGTGCAGATGCGCTTTGTCAGGGATGTGGATGCTTTCTTTGGCGAGTTGAGGTTTGCGGGTGGTATGTTGAGTGATCATAATCCGGCACGGTATGAGACGAGTCTTGCGGCGTTGGCAAGGGGAGTTCTTGATGAGTGACCTCGCGGGCTAGTTTGTGGTGATGTTTGATTTTTGATGATTTTTGATGATTTTATGATTTGATATACGTTGATATATGAAGCGTGGATATGGACATAGATCGGATTTGGGGTAATATGGATTGGGACTGGATATGGTTCTGGACAGGGAATGGATCTCCGAATGAAGCTCACCAACTAGGGTTTCTTTTGGGCATGAATCCGAATGGATAATCAGCATAGCATAGATAGACACAGTAGACAATCATTTCCAATCCCTCATAGCGCCGACTACATCAGCATCAGCTCATAGATCAACATCCAACCCCTGTAGTACACCGAGCCCGCCACCGGATATCCCCAACCCGAGCAACCTTCAACCAGCCCCTACCTCAACAAGCACGTCACCGGCCAAGCCAACAAACCCACCGGCAGAACAACGGCAAAACAAGAAATGCGACTCGAACTATACTCCACTACGAGTAAGGATGAATCTACCCCCGTCACGGTTCATCCAACCCCTCAAGACTGAAACCACCCCCAGCAAACCCACCAACCCCGAAAATGCCTCAACACCCCACCCCGATAAGACACGAACCTGCATCAGCGACGTACGGCAGTGGATATATCACCAGAAGAAGTGGACATGGCTAATAGGGAGAATTTGGTGAATACTACGTGATGTGAGGATGTTGGGTGAATCGTAGAATAATACATTTCTCGTAATTTTATTTACGATCAGATCAGGGCCATCTATATCCCGTCCAGGGAAAATCCAATCCAATCCAAGTCCATCCGTAGGAAATCCGAAAAACAAAACCAGGGTATCACGGCAGAAGCCATAAAACACAAAAACGCCAACCATCATCATCACGCCCATAACCAGGGTATTTGGAATAGTACCAGTCTCATCCGAAACCGTGAGGGCGAAATCACCGCAAAACATCACCCGCATCTAAGAAACTAGAGCGGTAGCAGCTGGTGGCGCCGGTCGTCCAGAGTGACAGCCCCGCTCGTGACGCTTCATGTTACTGCGCACGGAGAAGGCCTTGCCGCAGCCGGCGTGGGTGCAGCGGAAGGGCTTCTCGCCCGTGTGCGAGTGGGAGTGGATGCGCAGAGAGGAGGGGCGGGAGAAGGCCTTGTGGCAGGTTCGGCAGATATACCGGTCATGGTTCTGCTGGTAGGGTGCCGCTGTTGAGGGCGGGAAGTAGTGGTGGTGTTGCCAGGCCGGAGTCACAGGCGAGATGAGAGAGGGCGATTGAGACTGCGGCGCGGGCGCAGGAGCCGGCGCGGTCTGTTGCGGGAGAGACTGGGGAATGGGCGCAGAGATGGTGGGTGCGAAGGTGGTGGTTGTTGGTGGTGGGCGGGTGTAGTACATGTTTGCGTCGGAGCTGTAGGAGGCGACGCTGGGGGCGGGCGAGGCGTAGGGCCCGTGGTGGTGTGCGGAGCCGGTGGAGGAAATGGAGGTGCGGTGGTGTTGCTCCTTGTGCTCGATCGGGGAGCTGCTGTGGCTGTGGCCGGAGCCGGAGCCGGGGCGCAGTGGTGGTGTTGGGGGGAGATGGACGGTGTCGTAGCGAGCATCGCGCTGGTGAGCGGGTGGGCTCAGGCGTTGGCGCTCTGGGGTTTGTTAGACCCATTCAGGATATTGTATGAGAATGTTGAGGCGACTTACTAGCTGCGTGACCGTCGGCACCCTCGAGAAGAGCTGTGATCGAAGGCAGCGAGCACTTGGGCTGCTCTTCCACTGGCGGCGAGGGAGGCGCTTGCGGGGAGCGCTTGAACTCCTCAGGACAAGCCCGCTTGGGGGCGGCGTGCAAAAGATTGGCCAGATCCATGATGTCTGTACCGTTGCCGGGAGTGTGGGGGTAAAGATGGGAAGTCGTGGGAGGGAGACCGAAGGAGCAGGGACACGAGGTTTATAGAGGCGGGCATCGGGAATCTCGCGTGGATGATCGCCAGCGGACGATGCCGACGGGGGGGAAGTGGAGGCAGTAATTTACCAAAAGGTGAGACAGTCCGTTCCAAAGCTTAATTTGATTAATAGAATATTCAAGGGAACGGAGATTAACGGGTCCAGATGCATACGTACATGCTTTGAAAGTGCAGCGACAATACTACAAATGTGTTGGGATGGGCAATCCCTGTGGGTCCGCTAGGCCCGATATGGGAGGCCGGAAAGTCCCCGTTGCTCACCTCGCCTCCGGTTAGTGCAGATCCTGCTTACCTGTCACATCACGTCCAGCCCCATAAACGGCTGATCGCACCGAACTGATCTTGTCGATCGTTTCATCTGTTGAGAGATGAACATGTGTCCGGAGCTTTGGATGTGCGATGGATGCATTTTGTTTGACCAGAATAAATATCTAGAATATTGTCACGATTATTTACGCTGTTTGACACCTCCGATTCTCCCACGTTTCGGTGTTGGGGGCCCCGGATTGTGTCGCGTGGGAAATCAAAAACGGAAGGTGCAAAGTTACGCTCGGGGCTAACCCGATGCGTGCATAACTCCGATGGGGCCAAATCCTCCTTACATAACCCGAGTATGGTAACGGTGTAATCGTCGTACGCCTCAGAGTGCGGTCGATGACGGCGTGGCGGCTCCAAGCGCTCGGGCGCCCATGTGGGCTCGCTTAGGGCAACCTTGTCGAGGTGGTACAAGCAAAGCTACCCGCTGGTCGGTGCTGGGAGAACTCTCTTTACACTTTGCAATTCCCGGTGTAGATGCTTGGCTGCCAAATGCTTTTTCCATGGTTACTATCTTAAGAAGGTGCGAATATCTCGTCGATCGCACCCTGAAGATCCAATCGACCCACCGTGGCCAGCGACCAGAATGGACAGTCGAAGCGATCGCCGATCTTCCAGAAGGGATCTTCGTCGTGTACCACAATACCGCGTGTCCGTCTGTGCACTTTCTGCACGCTCAGGGATTGGCCGTTGACGGGCCCGCCGTCCCGACCTCGTGGAAGCGAGCTCCACCCAACATGGTCGGGATCGCCTGCTCCGTGCATGTCAGAGGATGTAGTATAGGGTGAGGAGAAGATGCGAAAGGAAATATTCGAGTATCAAGTCATGTATAAAAATATTAATTGATGGATTCAATTTCAAGCAGAGGACGGATATTGTATGTCCTGAAGGTATATGTTGTATGGAGGACTAGATGATCCGCGATCCCCTGATCGGCCTTTCCAAATCCACCAACCACCCTTTGCCCTCGGCATTTCGCTCGGGATCGACTAGCGCTCCTCCAGAGCCGGTGTAAGGATTCCATCCGGCTTGATTGGATGCGGCTCCTGAGTACACCTGAGTAATCGCCGCACTTTTTATGGGGTCGCGAGATGGTGGAGAGCGCCATCACCGTCGTTGGAGTACCACACTTGTCAGGGGGTCCAGACCTGTCCGGACACCCTCGTAGGAAGGTCGTCAGTGACGCTCGGCTGCTGCGGGAGCTGGATCTGGGGCATGGCAGCGCGGCCGGTGCCACGGGCAGCATCGACGCTCTTCATTTCCACCGAACTCTGTCAGAACTCTGTCGAGTTTTCCTTCCCTTCTCGTGTGCCCAGCCACAGAAGTTTATTGCGGGAAAGGTGTGGCCCGGTCCAGGCTGTCGGTGTCTACACTTACTACTCCATAGTGGTGATGATGCTAATACACGGTGATGACAAGGAGCACCCAGCCCCAAACCCTAACCTAAACACGAGCATCCTTCTCCTTGCGACTACGGGAACAATTTCTTCGCTGGGGATTAGGATCGGCTGCAGCATCCAAGTTCCAGCCCCTAGCCCAACCCCAAATGCAACCAGCATCTCACACCTGCGCCGCACCCTAGTCTAGCACCAGGCACTACGACAAGGCACGACAAGGCAACGAGTGAGGAATCCCTGAGTCAGGCTGGGCTGCCCCTTTCAGCGATTCGCCCGGATCCTGGTGATCGATCGGGGATCATCCGGGGCATGGGCCCCAGAGCCACGCGAGGCCCCTTTTTACCTTTTTTTTTTTTTCGTGTTCCACGGATTCCGTCACATGTCGGTGGGGCCATACGAGCTCAACGTATTCTGCACTCGATACGCACTGCCATTATGCTGAGCGCTCGCCACATGGATTGACGAACACATGGCACTTGCATGCAGCCGCATCTGATCTCTCACGTCTCCCGTTAGGCTAGCGATGCAGGATTGCTGGGGAGTTCAAATGGTAAATGGTAATTGTGACCACAATTTGCATCTCTAGTGTACTGAGTAGGAACATGATCGAGGTGAATCATTGCATCACGATAGGACACTTGATCTGCGACTAGCCCGGACTTGCACGACTTGGGAAGGTGGTGTTGGGGCAATCCGGGAATCCGGGAATCGCGGGAATACGCGGTGTCGCGGCCGGCAGAACCGCTGAACCGGGCATCTGCTCCTCGCAAGACCCCGGACCCCCTTTCGCGATTACTACATAGTAGCACTGCTAGTTACCTACAGGTACTCCTTAGTAAGGTAGCTAACGTTCGGGCGGATGTCGGTAACAGACGCAAGGTTTCACTTGCTGGTGCTTTCTTTGGGATATTCCGCCGCGACTAGCACTTCCGTGCTGCTAGCCGTGATATTCTTAGACTTCCCCGTACACCATTGCAGTGTTCCGTGCTTTATCTTGATAATCATGATGCTCAATCTTAAGCAGACATCCAACAACGTAGAATGCTCACGTGGACTGACGTGTCTACTGACAACGCGGACATGTCACAGGCGCCTATCCTCCTTCCTGATCCGGCGGGATCGCCCCGGTGGATCGTCCCAGACAACCACTGGCCATAGCTTCTTTCGGGCAGGCCTCCGACAGCTCAAGGCCGTAGCTCGAACAAAATATGAACCGAGGCCGAGTGTACGAGTACGGGATGATCAATCGCGATCACTCCTAGACACGACACTAAAAATGAAACATGGCAACGGTTCAAGGATTTTGAAAAGTGTCTGAGGTCAGGTGCGGAATTAATCGTACGCGCCCGCGATATCCCGACAAAAAGCCCTCACACAAAGTAAAAAGCAAACAGAAACCCAAAACCGGTATTGTCGTGTACGGGAGTGTATACATACTGTACCTTCAGTGTAAGCGCCTCACTCCTACCCTACCAACTACCCGAAGGGGGGGGGGGGGGGAATCGAGATCAGAGGGTAACAGTGGCATTACTAAGACCATGTCTGAGATGTTCAACCATGATGACCAAGGTGATCTCGAATGCCGAGTACACAAGCGAAGACTAGCGGGAGGCTGCTGAGAGGATCGACCGAAGATCAAACGATCTCGCCTCGGGAAACACTCCAACACCAGTGTCAGCCGTGGTGAAACACGCACCTGTTCGTCACAGCCGGGGACCGAGGGTCGATCTACCCCCCTGGTCGAGCGTGATGTCGACTTGTCCCTAGTGCCAGGATCTTAGCGACAATCCACCGCATGCCGCATGCACGGCCGCCAGCCCTAACTCCTTTGGGTATAAAACCCGCGTGGGATCAGCCGTGTGCTTGCTTTTTTTTCCATTTTGTTTTCTTTTCGCGCTGCCCTTCTCCCTTTTGGGGAGGTGGTTGATCTGACCTTCTTTTTTGACCCTTGCCAGGCAAATGTGGAGGTCGGTGGAGGGACGGGGTATACGGAGTATCTACGAAGTTTGGGGGAGATCCTTCGGATTTGCAACTCTGTAACCCAAGATGAAGGAATAGGAGCAGGAGCAGGAGCAGGAGCAGGAGCAGGATTTACCGGCAATGGCCCAATGAGAGTACGGTGTACTCGGGAAACCCGGTAACCATTGTACATGCTGAAAGCTGTGGACAAGGCAACCCCCTGGAGGTTCATTATTGAGTTGTTCGCTCCGGTTGGGGGCTGGTAAGCATAATCCACCGCGGCCACCGCGCTATGATGTATTGCAAGGATCGCGTTGACGGCGTGGTGGGTGATGGGCCTTGTACGACCTGAGCCTTCCTTTCACCTCGTTTTCGAGTCTTGCCTAAACCAGCCCTCAATTGCGTGGCATCGTGACTCGGCCTCACACCGAAGGCGTCGTAATAGTCGTATTCGTACGCAGTCCGAGGGTTTGCCATTCCCTCAGCTGGTGTTTCTGGGTTGCTGCCAGCTGTCGGAGCTCGCCCACTTACCGATCCCAGTCCGGCGATCGTTTCAAATCCTGTGGCGATGCGGGAGGACGCATCGTGGTCATCCTAATCGACGACACTAGTGTAGTATCACTTTCGTATCTCCCTCAACAGGTACACCTCTGGAGGTGCATCCACGTAGGTTCATCCACGCACCTCCATAGTTTGGGTGGTGCACTAGAGGCAGATCAGGATGATCGCCCTCGCCATCGGCAATTACTTCTTCCGTCCTTACGGCCTGAACAGGAGTGTATCTGGTACCCTACCACTGTACACCACCAATAGGGTAAGGTAGGGAAACATCACCACAAGGTTTCCAACACTCTCGTCCGAGTACTATTTTGGTAATGATTGCTCGTCGACAGGGATGCGCGGAGCAAAATGACCCGACACCATTCATGTCATGTTCCCCCATTGTGCATCCTCTCATCATCCCACCGATCATGATTGCATGCTCGAGCGCGGATCTCTCGAAACTCTCCAGCACTCACAGGTTGTTGTGCGAGTTGGCGCCCCATCCCCCACAACCAACGCCCCTTCCTCATCGCTGAGTGGTAGATCATCCCACTGTTGCATTCTGCGACAAATCCTCGGACTCGAATCCTTTTGCGTGGGAGCGAGGGAGTCTCGTCAGCGCTGGCCATTGGATCCCATCGGCCTGGATGGCCACCCTCGGCGTCTCACGGTATGTACTCTGCCGCCGGATGTGATGCACGTAGCATTTTTACTTTTGTCGTCGGGGTTGGAGTCAATGCTCTGCAGAAGTCCAGGCCAACACAATGTAAATGCAAATGCAGCAAGGCAACCTGGAAATGCCTCGGGCTTGCACTTTCAGGCTGACCTGTTACCACCCCTCCTCTTGGTCTGGTGCTTGCTTCCCCTCCCCCTACCCAGGTACCCAGGCATATCATTCGTACTCTACCCGACCTCGAGTTTCAGGGGATGTCATCTGGTCGTCCAAATCTGAATCTGTCCTATCCGTTCGTGGCTGCGATTGTGCGACACGTCGTGCGACGGTGAGATCGGAACACATCCCACGGTTGTCCTGTTGTGGCACGTCGCTTGTCAATCCCTGAGATATATCTCCGAGCCTCGACCACGTTATTGGAACCGTTAGACGGGAAACCCGTTCCCTGGTCTTGGTCCTGTACGTTCAGTTTGGTACCTCCTGTTGGAGGGGAGCCCAGCACGAATCGAATCACGGCATTTTTCCCTGAACGATGATGTGCTGGCCTTGTTTGGCCTGGTGTCTTGGCTGCCTGCGGTATCGTAGCATACATTTGTAGCCGCTGGGGATCCGCCCAGCCTTGTCATCCCATATTCCCACCGCGGTCCGTGCTGGAGGCTTGCACCTCAACCATCATAATGGACGGAGTATATTCTGTTTTCTCTTTTTTTTTCTTTTTTTTTTTTTTTGTTTGGGACTTGCAAGCGCCCGCATCCACTACTCATCACCTGGCATGGTCATGGAGGAAATTCGATGCATCGCCCAGCCCTTGAGCCACCCCGTCATGGACAGGAGAGGCTGGAAGCTAAATACCCGCAAACCTAGCTAGATGGCAACTGCGTGTGGGGCGCGCACAATAAACTCGTTGGCTTTTTTTCCGGCTTTCTTACAGGACAATAGTGTTCGAATGGATCCTTCAGGGGATGGGGCGCGCTGGACAGGATTCCCAACGCCTCACACTAAGGCGGGCCAACGGATGACGGCGCCATCGGGAGTATTCTCAGGTCGAATGAAACCGGGGTTATCTACTAGTACAGCTGGGTTTGAGCAAGCCATGCGAGGTAGCCTTTCGAGACGAAATGATAATCAATATGGGGAGGGGGGGGGGGGGGTTTCGTGTTGGCTGGTGGTTGGCTTCATGCGTCATTTTACTCTGTGGGGTGGATTGTGGGATCACAAAGTGTATTCCTCCGTATCGCCTTGCTCCAACACCTTGCCCCAAGGCCGATGTGGGATGCCATCACCGGAGGCGAAAAAGGGAGGGGCGGTGAAAGGACAGCACCAGCTGTGTCGCACTGCAGTGTTGATTTTTTACATGGAGCAGCCCCCAGTGCTGCCCCGCCAAACATGCGGAGGCAGCACATCTTGGTCCATGCGCGACCATATGGAAATGCAACATGTGTTTGAGGACCGGTTTGCTGCTGGGAACCCAACCACTCGGTGGACAGTGCCCTTCTGACTGGTGGGATCACCATGGGGATTCTCGGCGGGATCGTGGAATATCGGACCAATCGCCTCTCCCAGCCTCCACCAGCAGATGAGGCGCAGTGTCGATCAGCCCCGTACAGACCTACAGGAGGCCTGTACTTTAGTACATGCTCTGAATCTGCACCTGTAGGAAGGAGGGGGGGAAAGATGACGGCGCATGGCTTAGCGTCCCAGCATCCTCGCAGTGAGCAATGAGCTTGGAGCTATGTGTAAAGACAAAAAATAGATTGCCGGAACCAGGTCAGGTCCAGAAACCAAGGGGGGCATCGACGCCACCGTCAGCACAAATCCTCGACCTGTCCAGGGCCATTCTCGGGTTCGGGATTTGTTTGAGAGGCGAAGAGGGGCGCATGAAGGGCAGGGGCGGTCCTGCTTAACCAAGGCTGGTTAAGGAGCCCCCAGCGGGAGCCACCACGCCAGGCCTAAGCCAGAACCACACTGGCTCAAGAGCCAGTGAGAAAGAGCAGCGATTTAGAGTTGGTCGTAACGAGGGAATGCCCAACGTCGCCCAACGATTGGCATGCAAAACCTCCGAGATGGGGCCTGTGATCTGCGGCGGAAACGCCCGGTGGTCGATCTGCATGACACGCCGTAACGCTCCCTCTTGCACGAGGATCTGCTCGAAGCGAAGTCCGCAAGGGGTGAGCAAGCACAAAGCACACCTGGGCAGTGGCTCCCAACCAGCAAAAGCCAAGCACCTGAACTTGTCCACTTCCGTCGTTTGGTCCGATCGAAGCATGGATGTGATCCTGCGCGTTGTGGGATCGTATCGTTTCGAACTTTCTAGCCACGGAGCCCCCCGGCGCCCTCCCTCCTCTACCCCCTAGTCCACTCGTAGGGTAGTCACACTGGCTGGCAACTGGCACTGACCCTGCGACATTTTGCTTGATCGACGACGATCGCTAAGTAATGTAACGCATCGTCTGATGCAGCCTCGTCACATCCCCGCTGCCGTCCCCATCCCCCATCCCCCATCCCCCATGCGTGCTTGCCCTCTAATCTCCGATTCCCAACTACCGAGCAGTTGGGAGGGGATTGGCACAGACACGGGGTGGCCGAGCATGCATGGGGCCAGAAAGGAAGAAGCAAGAGCCCCGGGGTGTGGGGCCGCCCCGATACCCGCTTGAGCAGGTCCTGGGCTCGCTGGTTATTGCGCCGACAAACAGTCCCTATGGTTCCCAGGGTTAGTATAGTAGGCATTAGTAGATATCGAAGATCGAGACACAATGGTTCGAAAAAATGCACAATGGTGGAATCAATAGTGCAGAGGTCAAAAAGACCAAATAGATAAGAATGGAACAGAATGTGCAGGATGCGATCCATGTTTGATTCTCCAATCCTTCGCCCCCAAAATTTAAATACTGGTAAAATGAAAATGAATCGGTGGCTAGTATGTCCCCTCACAAAACCGTCATGGTGTATCGGAAACGAAACAAAAGTCGTCAAGAAAAAGAAAAACCAGGAACTTCACGCGTGAACATCGACCTGGTGATGGTTGGCGATCGCTCGGGCCTTGCCCTTGCCCTTGCCGATTGACCTTCCGTTTTGCGCTGCGATCGACTTCATGTTTCGAATGGCCAGGCTAAAGTCCAGCGCCTGGTAGTCCTGTGGCATGTGCTCGCCACTGTAGATACAGAGCACCCTCATTCCGGGCTTGTAGGACAATTCTGTCAGCAGCTTGGGCGTAATGAGGAAGTATTGGCCTCCACCGCCGCCGCCGCCGATGGCATTGCCATGATTGTCTGCCTCTCTCTCGTCTGACGCACAAGCAATCTCGACCAGGCGACCGTGGACCATGCGCTCGTTGCGCGGGTCCATACCCTGATTGATCTCATCGACGACGCGGAAGGGTGAGGCCGACAGGGATTGAAGGGCCATCAGGTAGAAGATGGTACTCACGGCGCGCTCGCCGCCGGACTGGCGATGGGCGTTTAGAATTGACAGCTCCTCGGATTGACGGAATTTGACCTGGATCTGAATCGACCATTGGTCGTACTCGTTTTCGCCTGGTTCACCACTGGTGAGCGATTCGGACTTGACCTTGTCCAACCCGACTTGGCCGGCACAGCCAATGCGTGCGAAAGAATCGGAGAAGGCATCGCTGATTTTGGCAATGAGGGCATCCAGTCGTGGCTCCCATCGTTCGCGAATCTCCTCGAGTGCCTCGTTGAGATCGTTCAGTTTTTTGTCCACGCCTGCGAGCTTTTCCTTGAGTGAGCCGATTTGACGCTCGCGATTCTCAAACTCCTTGATCATGTTAGGGCTACCACCGTGAGAAAGCTCCAGGCGTGCCTTTTCAGAGTCAATGTCGGCATTGAGACTGTCCATATTGTAGCCTTCGGTGTTGATGATCCCGAGGACCTCTTCACCACCCTCGCGCTGGTTGGCCTCTGTGGTGACCCTCCTTGCCTTATCCAACTTCTGTTTGCCAGTCTGCCTGGAGTTTCTGAACTCTTCTGAAAGCTTCTGAAGCTCTTGGCGTTTCAGCTCGAGCATCGTTGTTTGATCCCGGCATCGGGCCTGCAGCATTCGGATATCTGAAGTTGCTTCCAGATGTAGCAGCTCGGCCTTCATAAATTCCTCGTAGCTTTCATACAATTGTTCCACAATAACCTATACACCGTTAGCATATATTCTTGAGTTATCCCGCATTGATGTAGCCTTACAGAGTACTGAATTGTCGCCTCGCCCTTTTGCATGGCGAGCTGGTCTTGCTCGATCCGTTTGAGGCGCACTTGCTCTCGTACGCTGTCGTAGAGATCGGTCATGCTTTTGAGCTTTTGCTTTTGCTGGCCTGCAGATGGAAATGATTAGTGACATTTGTCCATCAGAGAGTAAGTCTGAAGAAACATACTGATTCTCCCTGGAAGAGCCCGCCAAATGGTATGAGCACTCTGCTTCTCGGCCTTCTCGGCTTCGATTTGTTCCTGTCGATAGATCAGAATATGAACTTGGTGCCAAAGTCTTGGAAAGTAGACATACCGTTTCACGCTTGATCCTCTGGTCAATTCTCTGATATTCAGCAAGCTGCTCCCGGCCCTGCTGGATTCCATATTCAACCTCCGAGCGCTCGCCCGTTAATTTACGGATATCTTCAGTATATCGCGCCTTGATAGAGCCGTCTGCTGGTTCTGTTGTCCAGGCTTGAGCGTTTTTGAGCTGACGGACACCCGTTGACTTGGCATCGGGTCCATACTCGGGGCGGCGTTTAATAGAATAGGCAGACCCCTTGCAAACGAAGAGGTTAAGTTTTTCTTCTGCCGCCGTGAACGCTGCCTCCGAAATATCATTCAGTCCGATGGCTGCCTGACCCAGGTTCCTGTCCATACAAAGCATGGCAAGAACTGGGTCCGGCCCGCTCAAAAATTCTTTGGCCCAGCCATCAAACCCGAGGCTTTTAATGTCAATGTTTGGAGATTGGCCAGCCCGGCTCAGTGGGACAGAGCAAGTCCTGATAGTGATATCGGAAAGTTTCAGCTGTACGTTGAGATGACGTTGGAGTGTGCGGAAATCTTCTTTGTTTTGCACTGTAATTGCCAACAAATCTCCTCTTTGGACGAGTGACTCGATGGCGTTGGCGTACTTGGGGTCGGTGACAGAGCAAGTGACAATCGGTGGTCCAAAGACTTCATCTTTGAATTTGCTTTGGTTTTCCAGGATCCACCGGTATGCTTTGAGCGTGTCCCTCGAGAGGCTTTGCAGTTTGGCTTCCTGCTTACCAGCCGCAGAATTCAAGCGCTCCAGCTCTCTTTGGACGTTGTTAATCTGTGAATCGAGTTGTACTTTTTTCTCATTCAGTGGACGCGACTCGGATTTGAGTTCGGCGGCTCTATCTTGGTTTGCACGCCTTTCAAGACGTTTCTCGTTCTGCATGCTAAATGTGAGCAACCTAGGGTGTTTAGTAGAGGAATTTGTTGTTCGTTCCCACTCACCAGCTTTTCATTGTAGAAGTCCGGATCGAATTCCACTCTCTCCTCGTCCCGTTGACGTTCCATTTGCTTAATTCCCTGCTGGACTTTTTGGGCCTCTTTCCGGTTTGCAGTATTAGACTTTTTATCCGCATCAATCTTGCCATCAAGCTCCTTGATAGAGCTTGTTAACTCTGCAATCTCCGCCTTTTTAGCCGTGGCCTTGCGAGAGAGTTCCTCCACTTGCTCTTTGCGATATTGTTTCCCCATGGTGATCTCCTCCGCGTATTCCTGTTTTGCATTGAGAGTGGCTAGAGAAGGTTCAGACTCCTGCTTGAGTCTTTCGTATGCCTGTTCAGCCGCAATCTTGCGTGCCTTCAGCTCATTGAAAGCCTGATGGTACTCTTTGTAGTCCACAATTGGGCGCACGAACTCAAAATTCTCCATCTTGCGCTTGATGATGTCCCTTTGGCGCATTCGTTCAACGTCCTCTCGCTGCATCTCTTGTCGGCTTTCGAGGTTGGTCAACACTTCCCTATCGGCCCGATTTTCGATCTCGACTCTTTTTTGTTCGGCGCGCAAGTCCTTTAACCCTTGATGCCACTTAACCATCTCGGGGCCAGCTGCCGCTCGTTGTGTAGAGTGGAGAAGCTCGACAGGTGTGAGCGCCGCGAATTCGGCAACTTTGTCTTGGGGTAGGAATTGGCACAGATTGTCGACCTGGATCGCGAAATTCATGGCCAGTTTACGGATTTCTTTCTGGGATGAGGGTCTGCCGTTCAAGGTGAAAATGTTCTTGTTCCCGTCGCGCTTGATCGTCCGACCGATGATTGGGTTGTGGGATAGCTTCGGTTGTCCGGCGAGCTCAATCTCGATTTGAGCTTGAGCGCAGCCATGTTTCACAAATTCACCAGGATCTTTGGCTCGTCCGAGGTGCTGTGCGCCATTGATTGTTAGTTATTAAATAGTCAAAAGCGGCTAGTGGATTCTTCGCAAGCTTCATACCTGGGGGCCACCTCCAAGACCAAGACAGATAGCGCAAACCAGTGTACTCTTTCCAGTCCCATTTGGTCCAATGACCATGTTCAGTTTGGGTCCAGGGAAGAATTCGGCGGAAGTGTAGGTCACAAAGTCCGTTACTTTGATGCGCACGATCGCGCCCGCTTTGTAACCCCCAGGACCGATCCGATGGTCCATACGGGGTGGCTGGGGAAGCGCTTTGGTTGAGCCATCGGCGCCTTCAGTATCCTCATTCTCGTCGCTCTCGTCGCTATCTTCGAGCGCGGGGCTCAGGCGTTGGCGCTTGCTGTTCGATGCCGAAGTGGGCTGTAAGGAGTCGGACTCATCTACCTCCGAATCTTCACTTCGGTGTCGGCGGTGAGGGACCGAACGGGACGACATTTTCACGCCGTGGTGGGATGGGTGGCCATTTATTGTCAAGGCGCAGACGGATCGATAAGGAGAGACGCGGCGGTTTGACGCGTCGGGGCGATCAATACTCCATCCCAGTTGGGCAGGCGGTGTACACCGCTCTTTGTCTTTCCTCTCCGCGAAGCCGTCACTCCGCAGTCGACAAAGATGCCGTCGCCTCACAATGTGCGCCGTCTGGTCTTGACGGCGGCCGTCACATCAATCACAATTGCGGGATCCCTGTACGGAGCAGGTATCAAGACCACAGAGGAGATTGCCGAGGTGGGTAGACCATGATCGGCCAATCTAGACCTTGACGTCAAGCTAATGTTCAAGTTCTTTGTTCACAAAGACCAAGCGAAAACGCCAGGAAGCTACATTTGATGAGCAAATGAACGCTCTTCAAGGCATGCGATCGAATTTGACGGCCCGAAAAGGCATGCTCGAAACCCAGATCCGTGACCTGGATGCGAAGATCCAGCAAAAGAAGCAAATTTCCCTTGACAAGAACGAGCCAGACGGTGGACGATGAAGACCTGTCAGAATCTTCAATATAAGTTCAGTTTTGTGTTCCAGTGTGTCTACAATGAGCTGGTCTGATCTTTCGGGTTGACATAACTGGTTCTGTCAAACTGAATCTAGTGTCATACAACCCGAGAATCCATACGGATGTGATTTTGTATGATTGCCGGTCAAAGAAGGGGCTTTCTCGCTAGTCGCCTCGTCCTCGGATGAATGGTTACCATTTTTGGTCCATGTCCACGGCCGACATCCTGTCACAATGATCCAGTTCTTCATATCGTCATACCCGCAATTACAACAGTCTGGAGTTAGGCTCTTGCGGGGTCTCCGAAATTCGGAAGCTGTGCTTCATGGAAATTCTCTGGACCGGGCTGGACTTCCATTGTGATCTGAGGAGCCCTTTTAATGGACGACTACACTGCGAACCACTGTAATCTCCTGTAAATATAGCATGTAAATATACCACAAACGCATGATTAGTCAATGTACAAATTCTCAATATCTGTTTCCCCAGAATGACACTGTATGCTTGGTGGATAGAATCTTTTTGTTCTTTGTGCGATCTTCATGAGTATTGTAGCTAGGCGCTAATTATGTTTATGGAGGACGGTATGTACCTGCAGACTCAGACAATCCAGTGTCTCCAACAAAATAGTATCAATATCGTATCAAATCTCCCTGCCCCCTTTCGAATCGTGGCCGGTAGGTCCTTGACTTGAGACAGAGCCTTCTCCGCTCCCCTGGAAGTGCCGTTCGTTATTTCATCTCTCGAAAGAGACTTCTACTGCTTCACAAGTGTTCCAACACATTGCTCACACCAAGCCTTTCAATGTGAGGTGTCGTCTCCAGCACCAGGTTGCCTCTCTTCAGAAGCCTGTCTAGCTCTAGTAGGCGTACCGAGGAGATAACTATTCGCAATCGTCTCATTGGCCTCCTCATCCTTCTGAAGCAAGTCGCTCGTCGGACGTCGAGTCAAGCCGTGCTTAGCCAAATCGCTCTCGAACTCATAATACTCCTTCCACTTAATCACCAGCTCAATGAGGGCAATCACTAGCAACAGAACGGCCGTCGTCTGGCCAAAGTCCCACTCATTCTCGTGCTTCATCTCGCCCTCAAACTTGCCCTGGTTTGCCTGTCGGAGCGCAATTGCCATATACAGGTGCAAGGGGAAGTGAAGCGAGGCGAGAATCAGGATCGTGCGCCTTTTGTTAACCCCACCGAATACGCCGAATAGCATCACCAGTATAAGCCAGCTGCTTGTGATGGCCACATAGACCTTGTCCGAGCCCGGGTGTGAACCACTGTCACTGGTCACCATATGCGAGAAATAGCAACGGCCGGGCTCCTGCTTCGGTGCCCATTGGTTGAGGCGTATGCAGAGGAGGATGGTAAGGGCCAGGTATAGGGCGGTAAATATGAAGGTCGCTCGGTAGCGGTTGTGAAGGTATGTTATTCGTTCGGAGGGACGCTTATTCGTGTCGGGTTGTTTCATCTTCGCTCGGCAGAACCTCCAGCAGACGAGGGCGGCTGTATTAGATACTCCGACGAAGCTGACGATGTCGAAGACGAGGTGTAAGTGATATGTATCCATGATCGATGCTTGTGAGAAGACCGTAATCATGTACGCGATGCCTAGCGTTGATTGGAAGTCGCAGCCAATCATCAAAATATTCGAGACGAATTCTAGGCGCTTGCGTTCAATTATTCGCTTGATAGACCCCTCTGGGTGTATCACGTCCATATTGCCGTGGGTGGTCAGGAAGAACACCCAGGCAGCCAGACCGAGTGATAAGGCGGCTTGGCCGGCGAAACCCACGAGGATCTAGTCATGATTAGCATCGACAATTCACGGCAATGTAAACGGAGAACAGACCCCATTGCCGACCAACGTGGCCATTTCCTCTCCCACCAGCTCACATTCACCGCCTCCTTCCCTTTTCCAAAGAATCATCTCGTCACTTCAATATGTACAAAAAGCCCTGAGAAAGCCAATTCGTCAGACCCCCCCAACGGGGTCGCTTAACCTCTTATACCTTCCCACCCCAGATTACTTTGAGGCTAAGGCGGCGCGGGCCTCAAGCTAATCGAGGCTTTTTTTAGCATGTTGATTGGAGGTGCATCTATATTTCCTAAAGGAATCTAGTCGGTTGATCTGCAGGTGCTTTACCGCCCTCTCAAAAGCCCAACAAAGGCCTGATAACCACACTCGTGCTGCCCTCTCTGGACCCCACGCTGATCGCTCGTCATTTCGGCCCCAATGCAATGCAAGCACACTCGTATTCAAAATATGTTTGATCTTGGCGTGGTCTTGGCTCTTACGTGTCCGATCAGGTTACTATATAGGTGCTAGTGTGCGAGGGCCAAGAACATGGTGAAGCTTAGCTTTTACTTTCACTCACCAGCCATGGCATCGCTCTTATATACCCTATTGGTTCGAGAGTTGGCATTTTGATGTGTCGTCCCCAAGGTTGACTTCTAAGCATTCCGGGAGTTAAGGGTTAATGTTCCGCGCCGCAAGGGTGCCTGAGTGTCGCAGGGTTTCCATCTGCTGCCACATTACACTAGCGTAGGACTCGGGGACACTTCAGGCGTCTCTGAATGGCGGGGAGTGCGTCACATATCCCCGAGGTCTTGTTCTCTTTGAGCTTCAAATATATTACTTTATGTCTTATCGAACACTTCATCAATCCCGTAGTATTCTTCATTCTCCCTTTTATAGTTGATATGTACGTGAGCAACATATATATATCGTGTCGACCATCCACGGTGCCATCTCTTGAACACATTTCGTCGTATCATGACCATGCCACGTATAGACAAGATTCCCTGCTCCACTGCACCGTGCACTGCTGCATCGCTTAAGCCTCAAGATTGAGATTCTCCAACAATGCATCCAACTTCTCCATCAAAATCTCGTAATTCATCGCATCCTCAGAAAACTCATCATCGACAACGACGCCATCCAGTGTACGAATTTCTCGGTGACCATCACCAACAGGCTGTTCGACCGTCTTGGAAACATCCAACTTCTCAACGCCTCCAGCGAGATCGGAAACATCCTCTGCCTTGTCCTCAGCCTCACCATCCGCAGGTGGTGGCTTCTGGTCCAACATCTCGTCAAGACCTGCGTCATCGAATCGCAGACGGAATCGCTCATTCAAATAGAACCGGATATCATCAAGCAACTCAATTGAATCAGTCTCCTGACGTGCTTTGATGCGCGCGGCTGATTCGGCGATGAGTTCCGCAAAGTCGGGTGAGTCGATGTGTGCTTCTAATCTGTAGGCTAAGTATCGGGCGGCGAATTCTTCAAGTCGCTGGACGCGGGTTAACCAGGCTGCTCGCATGATCGCATAGACATCGATGTCGTCTTCGTCGTCGAGTTCCTTTGTTTTCGCTGCTTCGGCTTGGGACATGCCTCCGCTACCGAGGGTGCTGATGACAACGGCAGCCTTGGTCTTCAGTTTCTCGATGAAAAGCATGTCGGCTGCGAAAAGTACGTCCACGGCGACATCTAGAGAGAAATCAGCTCGCTCGGTATAGAGGAATGTGAGAATGATTTCCAGAACTTCCGGTGAGCAGTCGACGTCGATGATGTCCAGGTGTTCTTTCACGTATGCCTCGCGGAAAGAAGAGGTGAACATTGTTTGGAAGAATTCCGACCGGAGCAGCATCGCTCGGTGACAGGGGAACAATGTGGATTTCTGTGCGCCGTTCGTATCTGCTGTAGCACCCTCCTCAGCCTCTTCGGGAAGCTCATCGGCGCGAAGGAAAACGTCCGCAAAAACGCCATTGTCGTGATCCCATTTGACATCGTCCACTTTTGATGTCTCGACCACGATTCTATTGCCAAGCACGTTCGCCCGGAACCACTCTTCCAGCTGCTCCCGACCTTTGGCGAGCTCCGTCGTCCTTCTCTGGCGAGCAAGTCTCCTATCCCCGCTGTCCAGAATACTATCCACCAAGCTTTGAATTTCCAGATACTTGGCAATTTTATCGATCCCTGCGAAGACCTCTGACTCGGTGAATCCAGTGTCAGGGAGGCCGCGTAGCTCCCGAGGAGCTTCGCCCAAGTAAAGGTAACGGATTGCCGCGCCAAATGCCTGGGGTGGAATGTGGCTCGGGAGCTTCCATGTTTTCGACTCCGGTGCGGCAGATAGCTTACCGCGGAAATAAGGGGATCGCGCGGCGAGAATGAACTTGTGCAGGTGAATTGACTCCTCGGCGGCGCTCACGACAATATCTGCGGTCACGGGAGATTCTCGAGTGAGAAGTGAGGCTATATGCGCCGCAAGGGGCTGTAGTGGGTCGGTCGACTTGGAGTAGTCATATTCGAGGAGGAGGTTGCGGATACGGTCGTTTAGGGCATTATATAGACATCTACAATCCAAAAATATATCGTCAGCCACGACGTTTACACAGAACCCTCATCTCTTTTTGTGGAAATTTACCTTTCACCTTGAAATGTATCTCGTTCGCAAAGTGCTCCAGACTCCAGTAATAGCCGTGCAACTTCATAATGCCCACACAAGCTTGCCTGTACGATGGGAACACCTCGGTTAACGTCAGTCCAGAGAGCGTGTTTGTCGTGATGCCCAGCACCCACCAAAATCAAAGGCGTGTAGTCATACCGATCGCGGGCATTGACATTGACACCTTCTGTAATTCTCTCCTGGCACACTTTCAAGTCGCCCATTCGGCAGGCGCTGCAGAGGTCCTGGAATGGCTGGCTTTCGTCCAGCGGGTTATCATCTTTGATGGCACCCTCTTGAATCAGCTTCTTCTCATTATGCAAGCTAATCTCGAGCTGGTCCTTGCGTAGCACAGTCCGTTCTTCCATAGTCTGCCTCTGCTGGAGCACCGTATGCAGCTTGCCACCTTCCAAGTGGGAGGAAAGCGGGATGGCGGGACAACGACCGCTTATCGATAAGCAATCATGTGACCTAAAGAGCAGATTGGCGGAGCTAGGGTTGAGTGGAGAGAGGTTACGATTGGGCGGTTTACTAATAAAGGGAACTTGCAGAAACCGAATTTAACAATGAGATGAAGACATTCATTTCAGGTGATATCAATTCACCAGGCGAAACTTGAATTCAGTGGTGGTCTCCAGCTATTCCATCATCGCAAACACCCGGACTGCACGAATGCGATGCGGCGGGTAGAGGCCGACCGCCTACCTCAAATGGGTTAGCTCGTGACAGCGGTTGCTGTGCAACGGCCAAAATAGCAACGGTGATCTCTACGAACCCCATATTGCGTTGCTTTTCTTTCTTCTTTAATTCTTGCAACAGTACTAACCACAGCACCACCCGCCTTTGTTCGCCTCGTTTATGCTTCTCGAGCACTTCGTTTCCCATTCCTCTTTTCCTTCTCCGTTCTGAAAGCCTCGGGTCCTTTTCTGTTGTTGTGTGCTGCATAGATCCTTAGCCATGGCGATTGCTCTCGCTGAGGCAGACAAGTATGAGATCCTCGAGAAGATCGGTAAGCTCAGCCCAATGAAGACTACATCTTACGATGGTCTTCCTTCTAACGTTATGCTTCTAGGTTGCGGTTCCTTCGGGATCATTCGCAAGGTCAAGCGGAAGACCGATGGATTCGTGAGTCTTTCATCCCATTGAAGATGCAATTGCAACACCACTAACCATTCTGCAGATCCTCTGCCGCAAGGAGATTAACTACATCAAGATGTCACAGAAGGAACGAGAACAACTCACCGCAGAGTTCAACATCCTGAGCTCCCTCCGCCATCCGAACATCGTCGCCTACTACCACCGCGAACACCTTAAGGCCAGTCAGGACCTTTATCTTTACATGGAATACTGCGGTGGAGGCGATCTTAGCATGGTTATCAAGAACCTCAAGAAGGTCAACAAGTTCGCTGAAGAAGAGTTCGTCTGGCGCATCTTGTCACAGCTCATTACCGCTCTGTTCCGCTGCCACTATGGCCACGACCCTGCGGAAGTTGGATCCAATATTCTGGGCCCCCAGCCCAAGTCTACTGGTCTGAAGGGAAAGCAGGGAAGCGTCACTATTCTCCACCGTGACCTCAAGCCGGAGAACATCTTTCTGGGCAGTGACAACACCGTCAAGCTGGGCGACTTTGGATTGTCCAAGCAAATGCAGTCCCACGACTTTGCCTCCACCTATGTTGGCACCCCGTTCTACATGTCACCTGAGATTTGTGCTGCGGAGAAGTACACCCTTCGATCCGACATCTGGGCTGTTGGATGCATCATGTATGAGCTTTGCGCCAAGGAGCCCCCCTTCAATGCTCGCACCCACATCCAGCTTGTTCAGAAGATCCGCGAGGGAAAATTCAACCCTCTGCCCGACTGCTACTCCCCTGAACTCAAGAACGTCATTGGCAGCTGCCTGCGCGTTAACCCTGACCACCGTCCGGATACCGCTGCGTTAATCAACCTCCCCATCATTCGTCTCATGCGCAAGGAGAAGGAAGTCGTGGATCTGGGCAAGATTCTCCGTCGCCGTGAAGATGCGGCCGTCACCAAGGTCCGTGAGATGGAACAGGCCTTAGCCAAGATCGAGAAGGACAAGCAGCAGATCAAGGCCGAGATAGAGAACACTGTTCGCCGCGAGTGGGAAGTCAAGGCCCGTCTTGAAATCGACCGACAGGTCCAGGGTGAACTAGATCGTCTTCGCAAGCGCTTTGAGAGTGAGGTTCAGGAACGGGTGTCTATCGAATTTCAAAAGGAGAAGCAGAAGCGCAACAGTAACTCTCGCGACGATGTTTTCCGTACTAGCACCACCCTTCACCACTCGAATTCCCGTCCATCCTCTCAGGCCAGTGGTCGTGTTTCGCGTTCCTCTGTGAACACCAGCGAGGACTCCAGCACTCCGTCCAGCAGCGATACCAGCCAGCTCTCCCTGGAGTCACCCACGTCCAACTCCCAGAAGCAGAAGCGTGAGACGCGCACACCCTTCTGCCGGGCCAAAACCACCGCCGTCGTCGATTCGCCTCAGGATGTTCAAATGGCCGAACCCTCTCCGATCTCCATCGCCTCCCTCTCTTTGTCGCCTCGCCGTACCTCCGCGACCGCTGGTTCTCGTAACATCTTCGCCGAGGCTGAGCGTCAGAAGGCCAAGTGGGAGCCTACTCTCGCATACTCCGACGATGAAGATGACACTCCTGATCTTCCCTCGCCCACCCGTCCCAAGGTCAAGCCTGACCCCTTCAAGGCTCCTCCCCGCCAGCTTCTTCGTCAGAACACGGCTTGCATGATGCAGAAGCTCAGCACCCAGCCCACTCTCTTCCCTTCGAACGGCTCTCGTCTCCCTCAATCTACCGCCGGCTCCCCCACCCGCTCCGAGGACCGCAATGGCATGAGCGACAGCCGCTCCAAGTCTCCTCACCGTCGTCTCTCAAAGATCCCCTCCTCTGCCAACCTCGCTGCCGATGCCGGCTCCCCCACCCGCAAGACTGCTTCCAAGGGTACCTCGTCTAAGGTGAATGCCAATGGCGGAGACGAGATGTACAAGGCGGTTATGCAACGCAACATGGGTGGCCGCACCCTGGTCGAACTTGCTCAGGCTCGCGCCGGCGGTCGTCCCATGGACGAGGTCAAGCGCTGTGCCAGCGATTCTCGCGCCACTTCCTCCAAGCTGGGCTGCTCCGAGCGCGAGCCTCCTGCCATCTGGGATCCCGAGCGTGATGAGATGCCCAGCCCCTTCCTTGCCCGCGGCAAGAAGGTCATCCGCAACCTGCGCTAAACTCGAACACCTCATTTTTCTCTATCAAATTATTTCTACTAACGTTGGAGCGGTGTTTCAGTTAATGGCGTTGAAATCGATCATTCGGAAAGGACATTTGCTTTGCTCGCCATACACGGGTTTCTATGGGTTTTTTTTTTCTGGTTTCTTTCCTTGCGCATACCTCTTTGCTATCTCGGAGTTGGGAATCTTCCCTTGGTTTGGTTTGGAGATTTCTTTTTTGAACCCATGCGCCAAGTTGGCTTAAGGGTTTCATTCCAGCCGCGCTTGCGGACTACTGACTCGACCAACAACCCTTTTTCCTTTGTCACGCTGTGATGCCCCGAATTGTGTTTTTAATCATCCCGGAAGAGGAGTTTCGTGTACATGTTTCTGCCCCGGTTTTTACCCCGGCGCCTCTTTTTTTGTTTTCATTTGATGCTCGGCTTCATAGATGAGCCTTGAGCCTTGAGCCTGGAGCCTGGATTCGGGTGCCGGTTTTACCCCGTGGCGGAAATGGATCTTTCGCTTGCATTGCGCGGCGTGTCTTGCTTTGCTCTGAGGGGCTTCATTTCATTTCTACCTCTCGCTGATACCTCTTTTGCCGTCTTTTTTTCTCTTTTCTCGGCGGTTACTGATGTTTAGGGGTGTGGATCTGAAGGCGTTTCCAGGTGGCTTGTGCCATTTTCTTGGTACATACTTTTTTAGAACATGATTGTTCTTTTCAATTTTCAAGTTTCTAGTAGATATCTTTGTCTTCTTTCGTCGTAAGTTACTTGAGATGAGTTCACAATGTGATTTCTTGTTCTTGCTCTAGTTAGTAGCGTTGTCGTCCTGCTTTGTAATCGCCGATTTGCCAGGACATCAACGCGAATGGTGCATCTCCTCCTTACAACCGCCCAATTAAAGCACCAAACCTCACTCTGGCTCACATCTATCCATTCCATTCTGCTTGAAGATGTCCCACCTCAGGTCAAAGGTTTTCCACCAAGAACCTCTGGTATGTGCCCGCCCCACCTCCTACCTGAGCACCCCTCACCAAAACCAGGACCCGTCAGAGGCAAGTTGGAAGCGACTCGTCAAGACCACATACGTTGATCCGAACGGAGTAGAGCGAACATGGGAATCTGCCGAACGCATGGTGAGTTTCTCCCTCTCCCCCCCCCCCCTTTTGTTCATTGTCAAGTAAATGACATCTCACAAACACAGACAAGACCCGCCGACTCGCTGGTCGATGGTGTCGGTATTGTCGCTATCCTGGAGAAACCGTCTGGACAGGAACTTCTCCTTCAGAAGCAATACCGTCCACCGCTGAACCAGGTTGTTATAGAGACCCCGGCTGGAATGGTGGATGCTGGTGAGACTGTTCAGCAGTGTGCGGTAAGAGAATTGAGAGAGGAGACGGGGTATGTTGGTGTTGCGACGAAGAAGAGCTTTATCATGTACAACGGTAAGCTCTTGTACTGTGTCTGGTTTTCTCATTTTCGTTTGTTGTGGCATGACTGACCTTTTTTTTTTAGACCCCGGCTTTTGCAGTACCAATTTCAATATGGTGCATGTCAAGGTTGACATGTCGCTGCAGGAGAATCAAAATCCCAAGCCTGACCTGGAAGAGAATGAGTTTATCGACTGCTTTACCCTACCGCTGGACTCTCTCTATGATGAGTTGCAGAAGCTCGAGGCCGAGGGGTACGCGATTGACTCCCGGGTCGGCGCCATTGCCGAAGGCATTGAAATTGCGAAGAGCATGAAGTTCTAAACAGTAGTGAGGTCAAGTCAATAGCATAGATATCCTTCAGTTATTAGATTGAAGTCATGTGTCTCATTAATTAATTTAGGTAGTATAGTAGGTGAATATAGAACAAAGCAGTCAAAGCGCGGTCTTGTTAGTCGACACCAAAACGCGACCCACTCCCGCTGGAAGTCGGACTCAAGATATTACGGAATTGGTAAGATTCCTGATCCTTCTGAGCCTTGTCGCTGATAACCGAGCGGAGTCCGTGGTCGAAGTTCACCACGCATTGAATCGCGCAGACTAGACTCAGCTGTGAAGACCACAGCTGTGATTGAGAAAAGGAGCATCTTATCTTTTCCGTCTGTAAGGGCTCGCGCGCTGTGTCCATATAGGATGATGATTCGGCTTAGGAAGTAGGCGATCAGTGCGAAGTAGCATATCTATTGATGAAGATGAGCTGGTTAGTATGGAGTGAACAGTCGAAGCGTGGCGAGGCTACTCACGATAATTCCGATCATCGCCCACTTCCACTCTTTCCGAACAAACCAGATGCCGAAGATCATGACCAAAATCAGGATCGGGATTAGAGCGACGGTCAGTGAGTACTCTGGCTCTTCCCAGTGGACGTCGATGTAGTTGTATTGGATGATGAATCCGACCGAGAAGAAGAAATTGATTTTGGTCAGGACGAGGAAGGTCTGATGGAATCAGCAATCTTTTTCTTCGTCATGAAGCTGGGGAGATAGCATACTTCATACGCCAGATGCCGAACCTTGATGCCAGAGTCTCCATGGATTCGACGGTAAATCGCCCACTTATACTCCTTGTGAACCTGATACGCAAAGAACCAAGTAGGCATAATGCATACTGCGAGAATAAGATTGATCGCAAGCTCCGCTGGCTGGACATACTTCCAGAAGTCGCGGTTGATATTAACAAGGGTCTCGTTATTCATGGCCCGTTGCATCGGCAGGTCAATAGATACTGCGTGAAGTTCTCGGTACTGCATCGCCGCGAAGGCCAGGACCAGACAGTTGCTGGTGCATATCGCCAGTAGTTGGATATTGTTTTTGAAATAGATTGCATCTATTGAGAGAACGGCCGTGTAGAAACACGCGAAGATCACGATCGCAATGTCAATCGGGATAATATAGGATATCGGCACCTGTGTGACGATCGGCGTGACCCATATTTGCCATTGCGTCAAGATATAGCTGGATGGAGCAGGTCAGACATATGTCTCGTTAAACCGCGACGGACCTCACTAGGTAGGCAGAGGGCCCTGGTTTCCACTGTTTTTAAAATCAAAGCGGATGACTTACATTTCCAAAGCGAGGATCGCAACAGCCTGCAAGGCCATGATCCCGCCAAACGCCCACTCATTCCCAGAGTACCGTTTCAGCATATTGATGAGCTGAATTGCGGCAATCCTGGACGTTGATAGGGGACGTCCACTGGACCCGGGTGAGAGTGTTAGACCACGCCTTAAAACTCTCTCAAACCTTGAACCTTGCCGAAGTGAAACATTCTCTTCGAAATTTGTGGATGCTCCACACAACTCTATTTGCATGTGGAAGAACGGCCGTTATCCGCGGCTCCACCCCCAAATCGAGTAGGTGTCGGCTTTGCCCGGCGCTGCTATTCGCGAGGCAACTGCTCACTAACCACTCTATCGACCAATGGTGGCAACCATGCCCCACCGCTATTGCTTTTGCAGCCTGCCACGGGAAGGATATTCTTCGGCCCCACCGATCTATACTTGGAATAAGGGTCTACTCTTGGAGCTCAGGCAGCCACGCAGGGTCTGTCGGCTGGCGTAATAATTTCTAGATGGGGGTTTAGCTATCTATGTAATAAGAGCTGATATCTTTTTAACTGCAGACAATGGCAGGTTCGAAAGTAAATGGGCCTCAAGACCTGATGATCCACCCCTAAGGTACTTGGTATCTAGATTCTGAACTGTGAGATTCTCCGTATTAAATACGAACGGCGATCTTCCGCATCCGCAAAACGAGGCATGGTCCCGGCGTCAGCGTCGATCAGAACCTGACAGAGAAAGTCAATTGTCTTCCGATGTGAGAGTTTGGTCGCGAAGCTTGGTCAGCAACGGTACAGCTGCAGGGGTTTCATATGAGAATCTATCACCTAGTCGCCTGACAAAGAAAGTGTGTCCAGCAACATCTTAACAATGGGAAAACTGCCCATGCCTTCTCGAAATACAATAGACAGCGGAGTGCAATCCAGCTGTGGCTCGCATCGTCTTGTGATCTGCTCCATGGCCAGGAACCACTCCAAATTTACGTCATGGAAGGAGTTCAACTAGCCCGCTCTCAGCTAAACATAACGCCTAGACTGGACCCAGGTTCCACAGAATTCTTCAGCCCTAGCTAGTAGGTGCTAGATACTACATACTTGGTTAGCTGCTTAGGATCTACGGTGGAGCGTTATGGAAAGCAGATCTTCGTCAGACACCCGGAAAATTCAAGCTGTCTCAAACACATGGCGATTGACTGTTCGAGGGTCATCATGTAGATCACATATTCTCAATGCTGTATTGTACAAAATTAAGCTGGTGTCGGCTAGGCTTCTTCATCTGAGACTTCCTCCATATGAGCCTGCTTGTTCATCTCGGCATTGAACCGAGCTTCTTCCTCTTCTAATGACCGTTGTTCCTCAGCTGTGGTAGTTGACACTGGAGCTGCGCCAGCTCGGTATCCGGCCTTCTCCAGTTTATCCATCTCCTCGGGCTCGAGCAGTTTCCCTTGACCCCTGATGGAATCCTGCTTCATCCGAACAGCCGCCGGAATGAACTTGTTGACGGCCTCCTGCCGTAGATCTCGAACTTCTGGCTTGGCTTCGTAGACAGTCTTGGACGCAACCGCGGCAGGCTTCGCGGGCAGCGCATGAGGACCACGACGCTCGGATCCCTCCTGTGCGCCAGCACCGCGTTTCCGCTGTTGCTGGCGCGGGATGGGGGTGGTGTATCCCGGGGCATCGGTATCCTCCGCACGTCTTCATCCGTCTCGCTGCCATCGCTCTCCTGGTGTCGTCCAAACTCCTGAACTCTCCTCCGCTTACCCAGAACAGCATCTCCGCCATCCCGTCTTTGATCGCCTCGTCCCTCGTGGAACTTGGGTGCCTTGTCGCCGAGGGCTTCGCGCGCTTTCAAAACCGCCCGTAGGTCTTTCTCTAGAGCCTCTAGAATTTCCTTGTCACGCGGTCGTAATTGTTGCCCGGACTCCTCCATAGATTTGAGGTCGTTGATTTGTCGTTGAATGCGTTCCGGGTTGCGGCGAGCCAGCTTCTCATTGCGGCGGGCCAGCGCCTCGGCTTTTCCTTTTTTCAGACTCTTCTGCTTATCCTGCTTCCGCTGCGCGGCGGCAGGGTTGATCGATCTCTCCTTGTCCTTGGCCATAGTGCTAGCCGAATGTGATGGTTGGGTGTCTCGTGAGGGTTCTCGCAGATGGGTTTAGAACCGGTTTCGAACCGGTGGGTGGAAATTGCCAAATCAAAGGGTTTATGGCGTCGTCAGCCCAGTCCGGCAGATTTTCCGTAGTCGTTGCGCCGGATATTTCGCCGATACGTTCTCGATCGTCGACGGCCTCACGTGAATGGGCCCAGGGTCAAACCAGCAGGGCGAGCGCAAAACCCGGTGCCAGGGATGGGTACGAGGGTCGGGAGCAATGAGAAGTGGGCTAGACTTCGCGGATGCAAGAGAGTGCAGGAAAGCGTGACCAAAGCGGCCGGCGTCTCCCAATCCCTTGTGTACTTGGCGTTCAGTCGGGCCGTCAGGTTGGAAGCGCCCGCAGGGCGCGCTGGGGGATCGGAGCAATGAGCGGGCGAGACTCAGAGGCTGGGAGCGACTATGTCCACCGCGTGGGGACGGGCGCGCGTCTGTGAGTCGTCTGCAAGCCCCTCGGCCGGAGTGTCGCCAATGATCAGAGGAATTGCTTCAGCCTCACGGGTCGGGCAGCTTGGAGGGAGGCGGGGAGGCGAAGAGGGGCGGTGGATGTTGGAGTTGGGAGTGGTGGTGGGATCAGGAAAAGCAGAAAGCTAAGGCGGAGCGGGCGGAGACTGCGATCCATGGTTCCATCACTAAGTACTCGTCGGGTGAATACACCAAGCAGTAGCAATAGCGAGAATTAATCGCTTGAGCTGCAAACTGCAATGTATTCTCGCGTACATCCAGATACTGGCGCCGCCATATCCAGTAGGCGCAGGGCTGCCCTCTGCTTAGTATATGTCAAGGTACTTCCAAGGGCCCTGGGTATATATACCATCGGTGACCACCGCAGGATTTCCGCTAGACGACATCTCCACAGAGCAGCTGCAGCCCTACAGTGCGAGACAACGCTCCAGCGTTCTGATCTACGAGTACTTCATCCCACCACTGTGAACCCTGAGCACTCATAGTGTGATTTCTAACCGCTCCACCCGAGGTATCAGTTCCAGCGCCTGTGCTCCCACCATCACACCCGCCGATATAAAAAATCCCCCCCCCACTGGTTCTCCTGTCGCGGTGTAACAGCAGCCGCGCGACTTTCACCTGTTCCCTTCTTATCAGGTCCGCAGCTCGCTCAGTTGCTCTCTCACAGAGGTGCTCATGAAGCTGCTCTCCTAACGTCAACCTACTGCCGGGCCTCCCCCGGAAACCCCTCCCTCCCCTCTCCTCCTCCGTCCACCATGACCTGCGGTCCGTTCGGTCTCACCTCAATCTTGGGCGCGTAGGAGCATGAGCATGTCTCTACCGGGACCAAATGTCCGTCTCAGCAGCCTCCATCCCCGACACCTCGCTTGGCCTCACCTCCTCCGAGATCCAGATCCTCCGACAGCAACAGCAGATCGCCCTGCAGGGCCATGCCGGCAATGGGGTCTCCAGGGGCCGTGGAACAGGGAGAACAAGCAACTCCAGCTCGCGGGCCACCAGCGCCGCCAGCAGTCAGGGCCGCTTGCTGCTCGATCCCCTGAGTCTGCGCGCTCTGTCGCACCAGCTGGACGGTCTGCAGGCTCAGATCCGCGGCCGCATCGAATATGTGGGTGACCCGCCATTCAGCCCGGATCTCATTCAATGAGCCCGCGCTCATGTCTGATCTCTGATCCTCTGGAGAAGATGCCGAACTCAATCCCGAATGTATCGCTGACCCACCACCAGCTAGAGGAACAGATGCAGCTCTCCATCCAAAACAGCTACGACCGCGCCGGAAATGTCATCCGTAATGCCGATGCGGAGATTGCCCGCACTCGCTCGATCCTCGCCAACATCGACGAGCTGGATAATGAGTTGGCCAAGATCTCGCATATTCGCGATATCGTCAAGTCCTTCCGGGGGCGCATCGAGACCCTCGACCACCGCATGGATCAGACTTCTCGTCGGCGGCGCTAAGCACCCTCCCACCTTCACCTCCGAATACCGATAAATCTTCTCATATATGAAAGATCTCATATCTTCGATCCCTCGAGTATTTCCATCAGTTTGGAACGATGATATTATAATTTTTCATCTCTGCACGAGTGTCCGATACCTTTCAGCCTCCTACATCATGACTTTCTCCTACCTCCAACCCTCACACCCTCACCGCATCTCTCCGAATTCGACAAAAATCGTCAAAATTCGAAAACAAAAACACCAAAAAAAGAACCAGGCTTCTATACAAGCACAGTCCTCGCGGACGCCCTTTGTTTGACCCGATGCAACCTATGTGTCGCATGTATTCTTGGGTCCGTATGCCCTATATTGTATCGACAGTCGGTCACACTTGAAAGAACTGCACGCCTCGCGGCACCAGGACTGGCAGTCTTCTTCCAACTTCACAAGCGTTGAAGGCTGAAAGGCCTGCCATCCCATTGAAATGCAGTAAATTGTTGGCGCTGGGGTTCTCTTTTGTGTCTTTAGCTTTACCTCGTTTTCAATCCCCGAGCATTCGTTCCCCCGGCCCACTGGCCTCCGTTTGATGACTACCACGACGATGGAAGTTTTTTAATGTCTTCTCTTATTGTTCTATTCAAGCGCATAAACATGATCTGCTTCTGCTTTGGCTTGGTGTCTTACACCATGTGGTTTCGATTCCCCTCTCTGCATGTTCTGTGTATATTGGTTTAGGTTCTCTGCTTTACCTTGGCCATGTCCAACACCAAGATGATCACAGATTCGTTTCACATTCACATCCAGTATACATTGTATCAAAATGTAACCGTTACTCATATGTAAATTGTGGCTTCGAGGTTTTCCCGGTAACCAGACTCAAACAGCATATGATTGCCCTTGGCTGTGGCTCTGGGCTGGAATTGCAGTCTGCAGTTGGCTGAGACCCGCATGAATTCCGACGGCCCGGTCAAAGAGTGTGCGCAAGGCCGGAAGTTTGAAGCATGTGCTTGTCCTCCAATGTAAGCCTGTTCCTCTCAGGGCCCTCGCCTGTCGCCAAATACAGCACGGTTGATTGGCCGATAAAAAAGGTCCGAGCTAGCATCCGCGGCCACATGATCGTGCTGGGCGTTGCGGCAGGTATCGGGCTTATACGCCCACGAGCGGCATCACGGCTCGCTAGTATCACAAATGAATCTATGCATTGGTGGAAGATTCCGGCTAATGCCATACGCCGAGGGGCCGAGGCGTTGGAGATAGATGACACTGCGATCATCGCGTTTGATTCCAGTAGGTCGAAGGCTGGATGAGGCTCGAGAGCGATGAAATGTAGCTTCATGAAGCACCCTCTTGGACCTGCGTTTGTGCTTGTGTCTGCAGCTGCAGCTGGGCATGAGCCTGAGCTCGACGTTCCACAAGCTTCTTGCTCTTGCGCTCGGTCTGAGGGAATCTTTTTTCAGTGCCGCAAACCAAACAGCGCACAACTAGGACATCCGCCCACGGCTTTTTGCGTTCTCGGCTGGAGTTCTGAATTTCCTGCACACAAGTAGACCCGGAAGTGAGAGGCGTATCACATCGCTTGCAATATGATCTCTTCACGGGTATGGGTAGACGGGTCAGCGTCTTCAGCGAAACGCCACGCATCTGAGAGAGGTAGACTCTGGAGAGATTCGTCAAAGGCCTGGTCGTTGATTGTTGATGACCCTTAGCAGACTTTGTATCTGGCGCATTGGTTCTTTGGGACGTCGGCTGCTGCATCTCTTCGTCGCAGAGGTCGCTAGTAGTATTTTCAGCCGCATTTGTTTGCATTGCGGTCTGCAGATGCCTGGCAGCTTTATCCAGGAAATTCATACGAGCTTTCAAGTGGCTCTTTGCATTCTTGGCGTTTTTCTGGCCTTTGGCTTTTGCCATTGTCGGCCAGGTTATTTTCGGGGGTGCGGGTGCTGGGGTCTGGACGTCAAAGAAGTATCATCATAATGAACGAGGCGGCCGACTTAACAAAGCCCGCCGATCCGCGCTAGCCGCATCCGGCCCCCTTCACTCACGTGACCGTACGGCTCTTCACTCCTGCCTCGTCGCATCCCCTCTGTCATCTTCACCCGTCGCACCTCGTCCTTTCTCCTCATCACCCCACGGACTGTCGCTCATCGGCAATCTGCTTTTCTCTCCCCAATCCGCTTTTCTCTCCCCAATCCCGCCTCGCGCAACCCCATTCGCTTTCTTTCTCGTACTTTTTCGGTCTTTTCACGCGAGAAGACGCGCATCGACCACTTCACACCTTTACCTGATCCAACCGCCAAAATGTCTCACGAGGAAGACCTTATCGATTACTCCGACGAGGAGCTTCAGACCACCACCGCGCCCGCTGCGCCCGCCGCTGCTCCTGCCAATGGCGGTGCCGAGAAGCAGGGTGATCTGACTGTCTCGGGTCGTCCCGACAAGAAGGGCAGCTATGTCGGCATCCACTCGACCGGTTTCCGTGATTTCCTGCTGAAGGGAGAACTACTTCGCGCCATTACCGACTGCGGTTTCGAACATCCATCTGAGGGTATATCTAACCTTTCTCCCACTTGCCTTCTTCCATCTTCCAAGCTGCAACGTCCGTCCGTCTCCGTCTTCGCATGAACAATTATATAATCGGCCGGTTTTATTTTGGGCAAATCTGGGGGCAACCCACGAAACTGCAGGCGACATGAGGGCTATTTTGCATGGGCATCTACTGGGGTCGTCTTGTCCTATCTCCCTCAATGGCTATGTGATCGCGACTGCTTGCAGGCATCACCCGGGCTACCGTCCCCACCGAGGGTCGCCAACATTCCATGCTCGCTCCCTCCTTTCCAGACGCAAGTACTTTTTGTTCTCAAGAGGCTTGACGCTCAATGGAATGCGATGCGATCCGAATCGTTGGCGTTTATGATGACGGACGCCCCTCATGTCGTCTGTGAACTGAGCTCCCAGTACAGGAGTCTCATGCGGCTATGAACTGCGATTGACAGTTTGGCTCTTTATTAAAGGATTTCAAGTGTGTTTTTGATTCTGAGTGTTGTTAAACGTGACTGGGAAATTCGACAGATGGAGATGGACGGACGTTGCGACGCGAACTGTTTCTGCTTCAACATTCAACCGTGATCGAATACGAGTCTAATCCCCCGCCTTTAGTCCAACAGACTTGCATTCCCACCGCCATGCTGAACGTCGATGTTCTCTGCCAGGCCAAGTCCGGTCTCGGTAAGACCGCGGTCTTCGTTCTGACGACCCTCCACCAGCTGGAGCCCGTTGCCGGCGAGTGCTCCATCCTCGTCATGTGCCACACTCGTGAGCTCGCCTACCAGATCAAGAACGAATACGCCCGTTTCTCCAAGTATCTACCCGACGTCAAGACTGCCGTGTTCTACGGTGGTACCCCCATCCAGAAGGACATCGACCTTCTGGCCAACAAGGACACTCACCCCAACATTATTGTCGCCACTCCCGGTCGCCTGAACGCCCTTGTCCGCGACAAGAAGTTGTCTCTGCGCAACGTGAAGTCCTTTGTCCTTGACGAGTGCGACAAGATGCTCGATCAAATTGGTGAGTCTGAAATCAGTGATCCCGTGAAGCGACGTATCGTTAATGAAGGTTTTGCAGATATGCGCCGTGACGTTCAGGAGATCTTCCGTGCTACTCCCTCCGAGAAGCAAGTGATGATGTTTAGTGCAACTCTCTCCAACGAAGTCCGCCCCATCTGCAAGAAGTTCATGCGCAACCCTCTCGAGGTTTACGTCGACGACGATACGAAGCTCACACTGCACGGTCTGCAGCAGTACTACGTCAAGCTGAGCGAGCAGGAGAAGAACCGCAAGCTCAATGAGCTGCTGGACAACCTCGAGTTCAACCAGGTCATCATCTTTGTCAAGAGCACCCTCCGTGCCAACGAGCTCGACAAGCTGCTGCGCGAGTGCAACTTCCCCAGCATTGCTGTTCACTCCGGTGTCAGCCAGGAGGAGCGGTACGTTATCCCTGGGACATATGACAATAGGCACTATTTGGACCTGACTAAATTTGGACCGCTACTAACATCTTGGGATTATAGTATCAAGCGCTACAAGGAGTTCAAGGAGTTCAACAAGCGTATCTGTGTTGCCACCGATGTCTTTGGCCGTGGTATCGATATCGAGCGTATCAACCTGGCCATCAATTACGATCTCCCCGCCGATGCCGACTCCTACCTTCACCGCGTGGGTCGTGCCGGTCGTTTCGGTACCAAGGGTCTGTCCATCTCCTTTGTGAGCAACGAGGATGATGAGAAGGTCCTGAAGGACATTGAGAAGCGTTTCGAGGTCGCCCTTCCGTATGTGTCCCTCCCGGATTACCACGACATGATCACCGGCTAACATTTAACTAGGGAGTACCCCGAGGGCGGTGTTGACTCGACCACCTACATGGCCTAAGTGTGCGGCCATGAGAACCCTCGCGCTCGCTTTCCGCCTCTGCGCTTCTTGTTTCGAACTATCTTCTTTTTTTTTCTGATATGGCGCTAGCTCGGCTATGGTTTTGTTTTTCGATCCGCGGATGAGGCGAGCATGTATGTCGGCCAGACAATATCCGGCAATCAAAATGAATCAAATCAAATTCAAACAAAGGTCAGTTTCTAACATTGTAGCATGTCTGCCAGAGAGTTCTGGCGGCATTCCCACCTATCTTTTCCAAGGGTACCAACATGTCTGTAGGGCCGTGTTGCACCGAGACCATGAGGATGTATCCGTTCCGTGTCCGAATGTGAATGGCGACCTCGACATGTCCCCAACTCGATGTGAATAGACACACACTGCAGACAATCGATCGACATTATTTACTTCCTTTCATTTCCCTCACGAATGACTTCCAGCCGCCTTCAGATAATCGCAGTTTGCCTTGATCGACTGAGCAAACAATCCGATCTAGCGCAGAGCCAAGCCTGCCGCTGGTGCCTGGGTGGAGATGTCTATCCTTGCCGGAATGGAGATGGAGTGAACCCTGAGCTGCCGAGCTGCAGGAGCGGCTGGGCTGGAGCTGGAACTGGAGCTAGAGTTCATTTGCCGGTGGATGTGGGTAGGAATAGGAATAGGATTGTCGATTACACGTCTACTTGATTTACATTGAGTAGTAGACCGAGGGAGGCATTGCACGTAGTGTTGGAGTGATCTCGGTAGACGCATAAATGTACTTTCTGCGACCGACAACTTTCATCCATAGTATTGTGATGGCTTCAGCTTGTGTATCTCCTACACAATGCACGAGTCCTTCGTATACGCAGGTGTACCTCGTACCTGGAGCCACCCCTTCCCGCGTGGTGCCAGCTGTCAAAACAGGCTGGGGAAATTATGACCAGCTCGCATCGCGCCACTAACCGTTTCGAGGCACGTTTCTCGACCTTTGAATGGGGCACTGCACCTACTTACAGGGTAAGTAAGTTTGCGTGGGACTCGGGCGATCGCCGTGCTGGTCAACTTTTGGTCCGGTTTGGCGCGGCCTCCATTAGGTGGTTGTTGGCTGTGATCACCTAATTGTTCGGACATTCACGAGGGTATTATCATTTTTTTTTCTAGGACACTAAATACCCTACCTAGGTGTAGAGGAAGCTGCCTAGGTCTTTAGGCCAGTCGGGGTATTTAGGAGGACCTGAATTGTTGAGATGAGGGTCAGACTAACGCTCTATCTGAGACAGTCCCAAAGAGCACGGATGAGTTCGTGAGCAGAATTAATCTAGCCGATACTCCAGATGACAATTCTGACCCCCTCAAATCATTGAGCCAGTGTCGCTTAGGGTATAACCCCATTCCAGGAAAACACCTTGATTCACCCGAGTAGAGAGTAGATTAGTACCCTACTTAGTTGGTTAGTTAGTACTGGGTAGCCTGCCAAAACAAGGCAGCGCAAGACTAACGGCGCCCAACCCTGTCTTGGGCCTCGCACCAACCCCCCGGCCCCTCTGTCTTGCTTTAGCGCCGATGCTCGTTTTTGGAGAGACTAGCAGGACGCTGCGAGCAGAATTTTCGAGGAGAAGTGCTTCCGTGCTTCCGGCGCCCTCCGTAGGGCCTGCTTGGGGTTGTGGCCGCCGCCACTGACTCAAGTGGACGAGTGCTGAGCTGCCAGGTGAGACAGGGTCGATCGACCTGTACAGCACTAGGAGGGATTAGGCTGTGCGATCCTGCACTTGCCGGGTCAGTGTCTGTGGGCGCCCCTTTTGGCTGAACGTGCCCGGTACTTCCAGAAGACGAGTCCAGTGCGATCGCAGAGCAGCTTGGGCGGGTCGCTGAGGATGATTGTTTCGGCGGGGTCCTTCAGGCATACTGTAGTGCTGGTTGTGGGATTCGATCGATCACTCCGCTGTCACGCCTCCTGAATATCGCGACAATCATGAAATCATCACGCCCATCACTTGCCCCATGCTCGCGACATGATCTCATTGTGGCGGAGCACGACCATGATGTTTGCATTGACTGTCCCGAGTGCATTGCTGTGATTGTAGGCAATGACTGAGCTCGCTCGGGATGGTCGACGGATCCGGAGATTTCTGCAAACGTGGTACGTGGTTCGTGGTTCACGCGTTCCGCGACGTGTCGATAGCAATGGCATGTCTGGCAGTGCCTATGCCTGTGCCTGTGTCTGTGTGTCCAGTTCCTCCGGAAAACCCACCGGGTCCACCGTGGAGCGCGGAAGAATCTTCTTGTGCGCGTTCGGGTCCACTGCAGTCGAGACCCCCAACTGATGGAAATGGAGATACGAGAGTCTCCAAGCAAGTGAAGTGCCATTTTACTATATTGCCGATTGTTTTAACTGTGCAATTCACGGATGCTCTTGAATACAATTGTCTCTCTGCGTCGGTCTCGGGACGATGCATACCGATGCAAACAGCGTCGATCCCGCTGGCATGCCGCAACACCGCCTCCCCCTTCCTCTCGCATCCCTGCTCTCTCAACTAGGCCGGATCAAGAAAAGCTGCAGCTGTCGTGCCAGGTCCGTCTGTGCCTGTGCCTGTGCCTGTGCCTGTGTCTGTGCCTGCGCATGGAGCGGGCCGGTGGACTTGTGCGATTGCGACCGACTGCAGGGTACCTAGGTAAGAGGAGATAAACGGGTAGACAGAGAGCAACTGGACACAAGCCCATCGTACACAGAAGTGTACTAGCTTAGTACTAGTAGTGGACGGACATGGTACGCAAATGCGTACAAGTCGTACGATGGTCTGTTTTGATTTTGCTTTTGCTGGTCACGTTCAGTGTGGGAGTAAGTCGGGCATGGCGAGCAGGAGTATACAGCCGACCTCTGGGTGATAATATGTAGGGCACTCGTGGCTCAAGTATGCCAATGCGACGGCATGCGCCGCAAACCCCCATTGTCTCACGCTAGCGCGGGCCTCAGGGGACCGACGCGTGGATTTTGAAGGAAGAGCGAAGATGTGGGAAATTGTAAATATAGCACATTGAGATAATCCAGAAGATAATAGTACTTCAATGTACGACAATAATACTATCGTGTTGTACGGTCGATGTACCGCCGATCCCAACGTTGTGGCCCCGGTGGAGCCATCAAGGTGTGGTCCCGAGCCAATTTGGGGAGAAACGAAAAAAATCACGGCCTAATTATAGCTCAATGCATGCCGGGAATTCAGTGTATGAAGAGAGGCAGCTCGACTCGCACATCCATCGATCGGAGTTGTACAGTGTAGAGTGTAAAGCGAATGAGGATCCACCAGACCACCAAGTACTCGTAGTGCAATGGTAGTAAAAAGCAGAAACGCCAGGATTGCGTGGAGGGCGACGCGGCCGAGCTCTTCGACCAAGACGCCCTCAGACGGGCACTGCACTGGCAGTCGCAGTGGCAACTCGCACTGTATGAGAAGGACGAGGAGAACAACCCACGGAATCGTCGAGTAGTAACAAACAGCTGAATCCGGTTTCGGCGAGAGACACCACTGAAGAAGGACAAGAGTCGTGACAATCCGAGCAGGAGTGAGAGCTGCATCCATCCTTATCGCTCCGTTTCCGGATCGAGCCTGGCGGGGGATCCACGGCCGTTAGAAGTCGTCGATGGGATGCGAAAAAAAGTAATGAGGCTGATGCCAACCCAGCCCAACTCTCCTTCCTCCCTTCCCTCCTTCATCTCCCACTCCCACATCCACAACTCCCCCCCTCCCTCCCACACCCACCTGCTTTCACGATTTCGCCCTTTACTGCAGTTCATCCCCTCGATCTTTCCTCATCCCCTCGCCCTGGCGTCGAGTCGGCTCTGCTAGCGGCCTCGTGCCCTCAGGACCTCTCGATCTGGTCCTTCCCCCCAACTCCCGCCATCCGGTGTGCTTCCTTCCACATTCGACCATGGCTCCTCCTCCGCGTCTGCGCATTCTGTCCGGTCAGTCCTCCTCCCCCTCAACCACCCGAGCAGCCCGATCAGCCCGATCGCTGCGTCCACCACATTCATCATGAGTCGCCAGCTAAAACATGTCTGTACAGTTGGTGGCAATGCGATCTCTGCCTTTCTCTCCTGGCGATTGCAGGCGACGACCTCCTGTGATGTCACCCTCGTCTGGAAATCCGGCTTCGACGCCGTCGCTTCATACGGTGTCTCTTTCAAGTACGTCCCGGTTCCGGTCGCTCATCCGCGCTCATGTCGCTCGAGACATTCACTAACTCACTCGCAGATCAAAAGCATTCGGCAATGAGCGCTTCAAGCCCCGTCATGGTACGCCCTGTGTTTGCTCCCTTCCTCCTCCGTGCGAAGCCGCCATGCTAATCTCTGTCGTTCTGCAGTCGTCCGCGCCCCCGAAGAAGCCTCATCCCGTGAAGCCGCTTACGACTATGTGATCCTCTGCGTAAAGGCTCTCCCCGAGGTCTACGATCTGGCGTCCGTTATCGAATCCGTCGTCACCCCCCAGCATACCTGCATCCTGATCAACACCACAAATACCATCGGCATCGAGTCCCATATCGAGCAACGGTACCCGACCAATGTCGTGCTCTCCTTGGTGTCCAACGTCGAAATCACGCAGATCGGCCCCGCCGAATTTGAACATCTCAGCTCCAGCGAGGTCCATGTCGGCGCAACCAACAAGAAATCCTCAATTCCCACCTCCATACAGAACGACATGGCCGCCGCATTGGCCATGACCCTGAATACGGGCCAGGTCGACTGCAAGGTCTCGCCGAATATCAGACGGGAGCAATTCGAGCGGATGATTGGGTGAGTCGAATTGCAAATGCAAGCCCTTTTTTTTTTTTTTTTTTTTTTTTCTTGACTTCTCGACCGCCTCTTCCTCTTGCCCGCTTAAGCTCATGGTATCTGGTGTACTAATTGTTCACTCATGCAGCCCGATCGCATTTCACCCTGCCACCGTGGCGTTCGAATGCGCCAATCCCGCCCAGCTCCTGGAAAAGGTTGGGGTGCGTCAACTCGTAACAGGCGTCATTGACGAGCTGGTGGCTCTGGCCACCGCTCATGGCTGCGAATTCCCCAGCGATTTCCGCGAGAAGACAATCGAGAAGATGACCGCGATCGATGCCCCGAGTACCATGTTCCAGGATTTCCAGGCCCGCCGCCCGATGGAAATCGAGAACTTTTTGGGCTCTCCTATTAAACTGGCCCTCGAGTCCGAGACCCCCGTGCCCCGAATTGAGGCCCTCTACGCTATGCTCCACCACATCAACATCGTGAACCAGAGCAGGCCCCGCCATGGGGATTCGCCCCCGGCGTCCATCATGGGCCAGCCTCCTCCCCGCCTGTCCTCTGCGCCGCCTCAGAACCATCCCCAGCGACCGCCAATGAATACCAATGGCGCGATGCGAGCGAGCCGAACACATTCCAGTATGGGCATGCCGCCTCCCAATGCGCGACGAGGCCCACCTCCGGGCATGATGCGCCCGCCCCCGGTGGACCGATGCCGCCTCCACCCAACCGTGTGCCCCGCGACCCATCATTGGAGGGGCTGGAGGAATTTAGCCATTTGGTGGTGTACGATGATATGATGATGGAGGGTGGGTCTCCGCGCCAGAACGGCAATGGGCACCCGGATGGTGCTGAAATGGCGATCCGTGAACGTGAGCTTGCTCTGCGCCAGCGGGAGCTGCAACTCCGCGAGCAGGAGATGGGTATGCGACGAGGCCCTGGCCGTCGAGGCCCGCCGCCACCATCTCGTGGCCCGGCGTCTGTATTCGACGAGGAGGACGAAGATTATTTCGACCCGATGGACTCGATGCAGATCCCGCATATTGACCCCGATCAAGTGGACATGATGAGCCTCACCTCACGCCGCGCACGCAAGGCCCCGAGCCACAGCCAATTCCGCAAGAATCCCGAGATGGCCGCAGGCGGCCCTCCGCAAGGCATGCACGCCAGCCGGCCGTCATCATCAGCATTCGGCCGCTACTTTGGCCGCAAGCGCGCGTCGGATCGGGTCATGCAAGAGATTCCTGGTCTTCATGACTCGCTCATGGACAACCCCATGTTGAGCTACTCGTCGAACAGATACGGTGCCGTCGACCGGAACCAGATGCAAGCCGACTCGCGCGCCAACTCGATGACCGCCAGCCAGATGGGTGACTTTGCGCCCCCGCGTCCCTATCCGCAGAGCCGGCGCAACAGCCAATCTCCCGGACAGCCCTTCCCTGGACCTCCCGGACCGGGACCCCGGATGGGACGCCCGCCGACCGCACACGATCACAGTCTCGGACCCCCTGGTGGACCTCCCTACAACGGCCAGCCGTCGCCACCTGGAAACATGCGGACACCGGTTCCCCGGCTCCCGTCAGGACAAGGCCCGGTTGGACCGCAGCAGCTTGAGCAACACTACGGGGTGAGCAACTCTTATCCTGCTAAAGGCCCTCCCAAGAACAAGAGTCTGACTGGAAGTGCGTCCGCCAGCGCTGAGAGTGGTGACAGCGGGGCCAGTGCCAACATTGATTCTGAGCTCTCGGCGCATAGCAGCCAGGCCAGCCTGGGTGACCAGCAACACATTGCGGCTCACTAAAGTGCAATCCAACGACATGACCAACTGACGCACTACACACACACACTCTACACACACACTACACACACACGCATATCTCCTTTCTCTCGAAACCTACCTGACGTTTTCCTTATTTTCTTTTGTCACATGGACGAACTACTCCAAAAATCGTCCAACCTTTCTCGAAATGTTCTGGGACTCTTTTGCATCGTTGCGTGTCATTCCACGAGGAATCTTGTTTTTCTTCGGTTACCCTCCCGTGGAATGCAATATCCGGTTAATACTCTGCGGTTCGCTTTTACATATACATGAGGGACATAGGGGTTTTCATCGCTCTTGCTCTTTTCCATTTCGGAGTGGTCGAGTTGCTGGGTTCTGGCTTTTTTTTTTTTTTTTCCTTGTTTTTTTTTGCGTTTATGGTTTTCAACCCTCTTATCACTGCATTGATACTCATCTTCGTCTTGCGACATGTCGATTTCCGATACCGAGGCTCTCTCGCACGTTAGATGTTTTTGAAAGCTCTGCAGCTTTGCGGCTTTACAGCTTGATCTAGCGTCTTTGCTCGTCAAAAACTAGTCCAACAAACACTCTCGCACCCGCCTCTCTGCATGAATGTACACTACCGGCGCCTTCCTTCGCCTTCCTTCTCCTTCCTTGTCATGGGCTAGTATACGTCTGCTCTTATTGTCTATCATCATCCGTGCCTGCCTCGGCATCTCCTTCATTTGTTTGTTCCAATTTTTTTTTTTTTTGCTTGAAACTTGAAGCTTCCGATACTACAGCATCGGCCCTTTTTTTGTCGTGTCTAGTCCTGGCGCATTGTGAAAACTGATGACCCCGTTTGACTACCCGAGGGAGGGTACCCTACGGTAGGATTGTATTCCTGTGAAGCATGGTTTGTTGGGAATTACTAGTAATATGGTGTGAGCCGTGAACAGACTCGTATCGACGGGCAATGAATAGACTTTGATATCCTCTATTCTATTGTAGATTTATATGACCAGTGGTGCTGTAGATGTACTGTACCGTTAGTGCTACCTTGGTGTATAACTAGTGAAGTGGTGTGTATACTTGAAGTGGACTAAACACGTGACCAACCCATGTAAACAACTCCCCGCCAAAACAATCTAACACGCCCACTTCAACGACAGCCAGTCCGCCAAGGCTACAAACCCCACGACTCGCTCGTTTTCAACCAATATGCCACCCCTAAACCCCCACCGCCGAACAGACTCCCATGCGTACCGCCCCTCAATCCTTCCAAGCACAGGCCTCGGCCAAAGCCAAAGCACGAATACACTGGGTAGCGGCAGCGCAGGCTCAGCATCCATGTCGGCAGCAAAACAACGCCAATACGCGCACCTCCACTCCCAGCTCGCACAACTAAACGCCAACCTGGCAGACACGGAGAATCTGCTCCGGATGACGGCCGTGCAGGCCGGTGATATGCGATTTCTGGGTGGGTATGTGGGTGCCTTGTTTATGGGGTCTGCGAGGGTTATTGGGGAGGAAGGGGTTAAGGGGCAGGCGGATGTTACCAGTGCTGGCGGTGGTGCTGGGAAGGGGAAGGAGGAGGGAGAGGTTAAGGTTGAGGATAGTGAGGAGGAGTGAGAGGTGAGCTTTTGTGTTGTGTGTGGGTTGGGTGGTTGCTAATGAGGGTAGGCGGTATTCGATTGTGGTACTGTACTGTCTATATGACGAGTGCGCGATACGTTATGTCCATGATTTTGGCGTGCTCGTATCTGCGCCATCTATTCGACGACGAATCCACCGCCGAGGATAATTGCCGGCTCGTCGATGTTATGGTGCTCATAACTTGGACCGTTAGCATTTATCCGAGAGAGAGAGAAAGAGAGGTTGGCATTGCCTGTCGTGATGGGAACGACAGAGTATTTAAACAACTCACCTCAATGTTCCAACACCACCAGCGTCAAGAATCAGCGACGTCTCCGTCAGCGGCTTCCCTATCCACCGCATCGCGAATGCGCGGAGGATATGCCCGTGTGCAACGACCAGCACGTCGCCCTTTGCGTTGCCGTCCTGCAGCACGGGATTGTGGAATTTCTCTTTGATTTCGGCGATTAGCGCGTCGAGGCGGGCTACGATGTCTTCGGGGGATCTATCATAGGATTGTGTTAGCTTTCCAATCCACATCACGTCGTTTTTGGCGGGAACATAGCAGCGCAGCGCAGCCAGATAGAATGAAATGACGAAACATACTCTCCACCAGGACACCCATCTGTCCAAATATTCCAAGACTTCAATCCCTTCTCCGCCCGTTCCTCCCGAATCTGCTTACTCGTCAACCCCTCGTAATCACCATAATCCCACTCGCGCACCGCCTCCGTAACCTGCACCTTGGCCTCGGTGCGAATGGGCTCTTCGTCTTCGGCTTTCCGGGCCGCGTTCCAGGGGAGTCGTTCGCGGCAGCCAAGTTCGAGGAGTTCGAGGGTTCGTTGGGCGCGGGTGCGGGGGGAGACGTAGCTGCATAGCGTTAGTGGAGATGAGATTTTGGGGAAGGAGGGACGAGGGGGGGAAAGACGCACACGTGAACAAGGTTCTTCGGCACGATTAGTCGGTCGTTGCCGACCAGGGCTTTGCCCGTTGCCTTAATGCGTTTTTCGCCGTTGGCTGTTAGCGGGAGGTCAGTTGTGCCTGTGTGGCGGCCGTTTAGGGACCATTCTGTTTCGCCGTGGCGGATGATGAAGCAGCGGGGGGCCATTGCGGTTTGTGAGAGATATGTGGCTGCTTTGTGGTGTGTGCCAGTGGTATTGGTAGTGGGATTGAGGTTGAGGTTGGAGGTTGGTGGTATTGAAGCTGACGGTGGATGTTTTGCGTCATTGGTTGATAAGGGCGCTTATCGTGCCAAGATTGAGTTGAAGAGGTGGAGATCAATGTTTATAGTACCTAAGTACGGTGGTATATTGTTGGTAGCATTGTTGTATTGGTTACATTGTTTGCGCTCAATTGAATAGTTTAATTTGAGAAGTATGTTGATTCTATGTTATTTTATCTGATGTGGGCGGTTCGGATGTTAGATTTTTAAGTTCAGGCTGGTCCAGTACTACTGCTTGACGGTGGCTGACACCAGTATCGGACATCTCGCGACAAAAACATACAATGTAATGGTTACTACAAGAAATGTAATTATAATATTTGAGTCAATTGTAATAGCATAGGCGGAATGGGATAAGTGGCAGTAGAAGAACTACTAGATTAGACTAAATGTCACGATCAGACGAAACGGCAAAGCCCCATTGAGTGAACCAAATTCGATCGCTAAGCTCCCATAAAAGAAATTAGAAGACAAATACCAAAACCAGAGACTACTGACAATCAACTTTATAACTCTTAATATGCTTCTTCTTCTTCTTCTTCTTCGACGAAGTAACAGCACACCTCGACCCAGAAGAAGAGTGAATATCCCCGACCCGCTGATCATGCGAACACTTGCCATCCTTATACAGCGACACCTTGCAGTGCGGATCGAGGTCTACCTTGATAAATGCCAGGGCTCCACCGCTCGGCACATCATTTCGACAGCACGTTGATCCCACGCCGGAGACATTGGTTGCGGAGCCACTACATTGTTTCTTGTGGTATAGATCGAGGCGCCAATTGTATTTGGGACTGGGGTGGTTGGATGGTTGGGTTGGGGGAGGGGCTGCTTCGGCTGTGATGAGATCCAGGAGGGTGAGGAGGGCGAAAGTTATGATGTAGAGTCCGGATTGAAGGTTCATTGTGCTTGTGGATTTGATAGTTGCTGGAAGATACGCTGTGGATGTGGTGGATGGAGGTGCTGGATTGATAGTCGGCGGGAAATGGAATGCATAGGAAAAGGGGAGATTTCGCTTTAACAGCATAATTGCGGCTTCATAAGTGTTCTGGCACATGTCACTTTAGCGTAGCTGTGACCGCTGCCCTGGTGTTCGACCACGGTTGGTGATAGGGGTTCAGCGGGGAACCAACACGACTTTGGGATCATTAGAAAGCGATGACGCAGCTTCCGAGGAGGAGGAGGAGGAGGAGGAGGAGGAGGAGGAGGAGGAGGAGTAGTATGCTGCTACAGGCACTGGCATCCTCCGATTGGAAATCAGTGGTATAAGCGAAGCTTCATTGCTACGAGTACTTCCGAGTCATTCTCAATCATTCCGGGTGAGGCTCTCGGCCAGCCAAATTTCTGGGAACTGGAATCAAAATTTCCAGACCTTGCCCAGCCCTCGACCCTGCCCCTCGACTCGCTGTCCCGTCATTTCCTTGCACAGCCACATGCCTGCCTAAAATGGATGGAACAGATCCGTGAACTACTTTTATGTACATGGTCCTGGTCACATGATCCCCAAATGTCGACCCGTGATGAGATACGCTGTGGAGGAGAGAATGTTGATATGGTTCATCTTTTGATAGACTATGGGGCTTCACTAAAGGTGAAGGATGGGCCGCTTTCGACTCCAGAGCAATCGTCCAGAAACCCGGAGATTACCATGATGCTTTGCAACCATGCGGAAAAGCTGAAGGGGAAGAATAAAAAGAGAAGCAAAAAGAAAGCGCATCTGCCGAAAATTGTAACGATAGCTCCCCCTCCGGAGTATACTAGCTCTCCTCCAGGATACACGAAATATAGGCGGGACAATGAGCAGTGGGAGTAAATGGAATTTGTATATAAATAGACAGTTTACTTTATGGGTATATGGAATAGACTAAGACACACTCGCATCGCAAATTATTCAAAAATAGATCAAGCACCTTGACTCTCACCAATCGCTTTTTCAGCAAGCGCCTTAACAGATCTCTTCTCCTTCTCAACCCCATTCCGCCGCTGAGCCGTATCACAAAGATCAACATTCCCACACTCACACTCCCCCCACGAAGCCAGCGATACGTAATACTCCACCGATCAGCACGAGGCCGAATCGTCCCATCCGGAAGCGTATCATTCTTCCGCTTCTTAATTCCATGCGTCCAATGCAGCCGGGAATCACCCGTCATCTGCATCATACTCCGCGGCATCAAGTCAACCTCGACGCGTTCCTCGCCGCGGCGGAACTGCATCATGGCCGGAGCCCCGAGAGACAGCGCATAGAGCTGGTCATAGGGCGCATGCGCGTCTACATGCGGTGGAATCCCCGCGCCGGGCGGGTAATACTGCAGACAAACCTGGTCTGGGGGTCGGGTTTCGGTGGGAGGGATAAGAGGTTGGAGCCATTCGGGAAATTCCTTGTATGGAATCTCTGGGTCGATGTCGAATGTTTTGTAGTCGAAGGTGTAGCCGTAGTGCAGGGATATGCGTCCTGGGCGATCGGGCCATTCTAGTTCTTTGGTGAAGAGCGATAGAAGGCGTTGCTCGTGCTCTGCGTCGACAAAGTCGTCTTCCCAGATGATACCGGAGGGCTTGATGGGTAATTCTTTGAAATTTGGTCTTTGTGCCATATTCTTGTATTGCTTTGTATTTTTTGACGGTTGATTCGAGGGAGAAGTCGCGATGGTTGTCCCCCACGTGATAGCAATTTCTGCCGGGTTGGAGAGGTGGTTTGCCCCACATTTTACAACTCCCTGTAGTCAACATCACAACATCTACAAAATGCCCAGATGAGCGTGGAAGAGACCCGAGCGATGATGCACGTCAAAGTATACCTGCCTGGTTTTTGAATCTGTCAACTGGGCTTGCCAATGCGCTGAGTTGTGGCCAACAATGGACGCCCGAAAAGGGTTCGGACTCTCAGAATCGCGCGTGCAAAAGAGCAATCAAAGCGCATTGAATAGCGTGGTCCCACATGATCTGGTGCAAAGGACGTACTCTCGACTCCGCGAGACCTATGCGAAGGACCTTTGCGAAAACTGGGCTGAAGAAGCTGAACCACCAAAGAATGTCTTTGTGAGTTTGAGAATTGCAGCTTTTGTCATTGAATCGTGGCGATGTATGTACGGAATAGCTCCCACAAACGAGGCCTATGAAGCCAAAAGCCCGAGCAAATTTTCGGGATTCGTGGATGTGGCATGCGGGAACGGTGTCTTGGTATATGTGCTCCTGATGGAAGGATACGAAGGCTGGGGATTCGACGCCTGCAGACGGACATCATGGAGCGCCTTTCCCTCACGCGTTCAGGAGCGATTGATGGAGAAGGCCTTCATCCCGAGACCGTTCATGAATGTTCTTCAAAAACAGCAGTTTGATGTGGATGTTCATTTGGGAGACTTTCCGCAGGATACATTTATCATCTCGAATCACGCGGATGAACTCACAGTCTGGACCCCACTGATGGCCGCGCTCGCGTGTCCAGGATCTCCAATGCCATTTCTTGCTATTCCTTGTTGCTCTCATTCGCTTTCTGGTGCGAAATACCGCTATCCGCAGCCATCCAATTTCAATAGTAAGGATGAGAAGGAATCCTTCCAAGAAAGTCAACAGCCTGCATCGGGAGACTTGAGAGCACTTAGGGCATTGAAACAGAAGGAAAAGACAGAGGAAGGCATACTCGATTCGATGTATGGCTCGTTAACTGCAAAGATCATGGTTGTTGCGCAGGAGATTGGTTATGAGGTACAGAAATCTCTTCTCCCGATCCCGGGGCCAAGGAACATGGGTGTTATTGGGCGCTATCGAGCCGCGATTGAACGGGGCCAGGGTCTGGGGCAAAGCAATGATTCTGCATTGCGGCGCAAACTTGGGGACATCGTCCAGCGGGAATGTATCAGAGACGGGGGCTTGGAAATGGCTGCTCGAATGTGGGTCGAGCGCGCTCAAGGCCTGCATAGACAAGTTGGGGGAAGATCGCATTGATCAAGATAGACAGCGATAGACTTCTAGTCTTTTCATGAGACTATTTATAGACATGACCGTGTTTATATATGCTACAAACCTGACACCGAGCATGGAGTGGGGGCTTGGAGGGAAGATGATAATGTACAAGAGAAATGGGGCTAAACCTCCAGCTTCAGTCCTCAAATCAAACGCCGAAACCAAATGCAACCCGCTATCCACCCAACTTTGAAAAATAAAGGGATTAAATGTATACCGCAACAAGTTAGCTTCTAGTACCAGAGCTATTGCTCTGCGACGCGCCAGCTTGCTGTCCGCTCTTGTCGACTTCGGATTTCAATGCAGATTCGAACGCAGCAGTCGCAGCAGCAGCTGAGGTTGTTCCCGGTGTTCTCGAGGCAGCACCAGCTGCAGCTGCGGCCGAGTTCTCGCGGAATCGCTTCATCCGATCGGATCGTGCTTCGCCTGGGAGACTACCCCAGACTGGCTCAATGGAGTCGGCGCGCCAGTTGCTGCGAGGGGAGGTGATGCTTGCACGTCTTGGTGATAGCGGTGGAGTCAGGGAGGCACTTCCAACACCACCCTCACCCCACATGCGCACGCGTTGGAGCTTGCGCAGTCGGCCGAGTCCGTAGTAGCAGACGACTGCGGTGAGGACGAAGCAGATAAACGAGACGCCGCCGAAGCCGAAGTCGTCTTCTTCGATAAAGTTCTTCAAGTTCATTCCATAGAGAGCCGAAAATAAGGTTCCTGTTGCGAGTCCAAGAGTTCCGATGCTGAATTTCAGGTCGAGAAGCATGAGGGAGTTACGATTGGCATCGAGAATCGCTTTGACGCTATCTGGAATTAGCATACGGTTTCTCTCGTCGATTTGCTAGATGACTTACACTTCTTCTGTGTTGCGGATGCCGGTAACCAAGCTGCCGCTAGCCTGGACGATTTCATCGCAAACTTTGTGGTACGATTCCAGCAGCATCTCGACCTCTTGGTGGTCATCTTCTTCCCGCTCCTTGCCATGTGACCTCTCAGTGAGGTACATGGCGGCCAAATCGTCGTCGGCTTCGAGCAGGTCATCAATAGCATCTCGAACTAGGCGAGCCTTCTGCTCAAAGGTACCCAGCTTCTTGGAGTAGATCAAGAGATGTCGCAGCTTATCGCGGTCGATATCCTCTTCAAGCGCTCGAAGAACGCGTACGACGGGGTCTCTGACTCCATTGAACTCTTCTTCCAAACCACTTGTCACACTGATCAGAACTGCTTCCAGTGCGCGGAACTCATATGGCAGAGCTTGTCCACCCTGTGCCGCTGGCGAAGACTTCTGACGCAACTTCGCTTCGAGATCATAGATGAAAAGTGATTGCATGTATGAGTCAGTTGACCCATAGGCGTCAAACACAAGGACGCGGTCTGATTTGATCAAGACCTTTAAATGTAGCAGGTTGATGAGAATAGCGCTCGGTCGAACCAAGATGTGAGGCAGTGTAGAAGAATCGATCTTACGTAGGTCGCGGGGGAGGAGGCCATACTTAACACGACGATCGAAATTAGTAAAGAATTTAAACAGAGGAGCCGGGGTTCACGAACCTTTGCGATCAACTCGAGCTTGCGAAACTCCCCATTAACAAGTGTGACATTCCCGCTGTTGTCGAATTCCGTGCATCGGATCCGCAGCTCATTAGAAGCTTTGGCAGCGAGTCCACGGCCAACATTAAATATTCCGTCTGTCCCATCATCAATCAGCGTGGGGCCTGCATTGCGCTGGTTCTTGTATTCGGCAGTCTTATTCCGCTTATAGTCAAACAGTCGTTTGAGGAATGGTCGGCGGACCGTAGAGGCATTTCGGGAGACGGTCAACGGCTCGGAGACGAACGAAGGTGCTGCAGGTTTCGATCGCGCGCCTGAACTGGCGAGAAGGTCTGCTGTCAAACTCGGAAGGCATTGTGTCCGACCGGGGCGTACCCAGTTTGAGGATCTGCGAGATGACCCGGCCGCGAATGACTCCTGGCACTGAAGGCGAGCCCTTGGGCGAACGCGGGCTGTCGCGCCAATAGCGATCTCTGACTGCGATCGGAGATATCGCAGCAGCGACGCCGACGGCGGGGACGGCTTCAACGGTGCCAGCATATCTCGGTGCTGTCAACAAGCGCTGCAGAGGAAGCGATTATCTCAGTCGCGGCTTTTTTCCCGCGCGTCGGAATAAGGTTGGCCCGGGGCGAACTATATTCTGTTCATGAGGAGATTGGGCCGGGAAATCGCTCGCACCCGGCTTATGAAAATAAGAAAGCGAGTTATTGGAACTTCGGGAATTCTAATGTGGCCATTGTGGATTATCATGATGAGATCGCGAAAAATCCTAACATGGCCGCAACACTGAACCACGCCTACCGAAAACCTTATTGTGGAGAATGACCGATTCAACACCAGAAATATCTTTGGATTGCGCACATCACGGATATTAACCGTCAGATTTATGAAAGCTTCTAACAGAATCTAATAGCTTTCAAAGGCTTTTGGACTATTCCTCTGTTGGCCGATCCTCATCCGCAAAAAAGAGAAGGGCCATCTCCGCCACGGCTTTGGAGTCATCGTAGGGACCAGCCGGTCCATCAATAGCCTGAGGAGAGCTCCAAATACTCTCCAAGTGAAATTTGAGCTTGGGAGCTGGCCAGTCATACATCCGACTAAACTGTCGACAAAGTTCACCCGAGGCAAATGCATCGAACTCAAAGTGTCCTTGAAGAGTAAGAACGCGCCCTGGGTAGTAAAGTCCCTGGATAAGGCACTTTTCACTGCTACCAACGTTGATCCAAGGATCCGGCAGATTGAGACGCTCTGGACTCGGAGGAATGTCTTGTGATGGTGTCACGATATCACCATGGATGAGTTGTAGTTGGAGGGGTCGCTCTTGCGAGAATTGGGCAAGGGAGGAGAATCTTGAGCTGAATTCCGGGTCCAAGATGATGGGATGCACGCCAATTTCATGACCGAGGACCGAAGGCTCTACTGAAATTTTGGACGGGAAATCGCCTATGGAGCATTGTTGGCCAGCGAGTAGTGCCTGGGCGATGAGTTGATGTCCGAAGCATGAGCCGTAGATTCGAACGAACGGATATTTCGCATGAACGGTTTGGATAAAGGCCTGAAGACCTGGGATCCATGGCAGATTGTCATAGGCTGCTGCTGCCGCGCCAGTGACCAAGATAGCATCGATTGGAGTCGGGCCAGATTTGGCAGTTGAATCAGTTGGGGATTGGGGGCCTGCCCGTAGAAACTCGGGTGGCGGATATGATCCCCCCACGATATCGTACGCTGTCACATGGACTTGAATACGACCATGTCGCAATGACTGTGGATGTTGATTCAGGCGCTCTGCCGCGGCTTGAAGAAGAACACGGAATTGCGAGCTGTGCAGACCACGCTTGGCGTAGACGGCTGGGCAAGGTACATCGGTGTCGAGGACGGCGACGTGAACCTGATGTCGAGGCGTGTCCTCATTGGCAGGGTTTAACAAAGGCATGGCCGCGTTGTGATAGAAGGATTGACGGGATAATGATCGTGGAAGGGCCCTTCTTTCACTTCTCGAACAGGCCAATGACAGCAATGTCGACTTCTCCTAGCAAACGCCCGTGGGCAAAACTTGAGAATGACTTGAGTTGAAGCTGGATGGCCCGCAGATCTCCCCCTCCTTTTGTTCGGATGATACCCGAGACTCGTCGGCATGCGCATCCGAGGATGCATGAGCCTCCAGTTGAGTAAGATGCTCGGCGTCGCAAGGGGGTGAACCGCTATTGCAACTTCGAATGTTGGACTTCTGAATCGATTTTCGTTGATCTTGAGCTTTGTAGATTGTTATAATAGAAGCGGAACTCATTTTGGCTGAATGCGACATGGATCGTAGAGCGGATCCACAGATAACCAGTCAGACCGTTTGAAAACCACACGACCATCCTTCAAAATAGCGAACAGAGTCTTATCGATACGATCAAGCAGCGTAATATCCTGGAGTGGATTATTATTCAAAATGAGAATATCTGCAATTGCTCCCTCCTTGATGCATCCCAACCGATTTTGCATACCCAGAAGCTTTGCAGCATTGATCGTGGCGGATTGAAGAATTTCTTTGGAGCTGAGAACAGAAGATCGAATCGAGAATTCCTCATTTTGAAGAGAATGAAGCCCCGCCAACAGATCGGAGCCGTAGCAGATCGTGGCTCCAGTTTTCTGCAAGATCGACAATGCCCCGAGACCACTTGCTAGCACCTGGCGGTTCTTCTCTCGGCTGAACTTGTCAAGGAACTGGTCGAAGGGGGGCTGTGTCATGCCTTTGTAGGTGACGAGCGTGGGAGTAAAGACGACGCCCTTTTCCTTGCAATAAGCCGCGGTCTCCTCGTCTATGAAGTTGCCATGCTCGATTCCGCGCACTCCATTGTCGACCGCATGTCGGATTGCCTCGACTGAATATGCGTGGGCTGTGACATACGTCTTGGAGTTACTGGCCGTCGTAGTTATTGCTTGAATCTCTTGGGCAGTGAATTGAAGCATGTCTAGAGCATCTGTTGGCGTTGCGACACCGCCTCCACACATGATCTTAATGAAATCCGCGCCCTGTCGTAGCTCATCGCGAGCAGCATTTAGACATTCTGGAACTCCGTTACATACGCGTGCGAAGGAAGGAGAATAACCCCCGCAACACTTGTACTCGTCACCTTGGTAGCTGGCTCGGAAATCGCCGTGACCACCGGTTTGAGAGAGAGCTTTGCCGGCGATGAAGAGCCGTGGACCAACCAGTAGACCTTCGGAGATGGCATCGCGAAGGGCAGCATCGGCTCCGCCAGTATCACGGGCTGTCGTGAAGCCGCGCAAGAGCATCTCTCGGGCAACAAATGCTGTGCGATAGGCGATAGTTATTTGGACTTGCTGAGAATATATCTTTGAGAGACAGGGATCCCGGTGTGGCAGTGAGGTGGACGTGACAGTCAATGAGACCAGGGCAGATATATTGGCCTTTCAAGTCCACTGCATTTGACTCGGAATCAAACAGGAGCTCTTCAGACCTTCTGGACGTCACCTTGATTATGGATCCATTTTTAATTTTCACGACAGAGTTCGGTATTACCTCGCCGGATTCCGTATCGACCAAGTTGGCATTGTAAAAAGTGATTGTGGGAGGCGAGGTTGAGGGCAACCATGGTTTGCTGCTCAAATTGCCGCTCATATTGAGGTCAAGGCCTGTTCGGGATAGGTAGGAGTAATTTTGAAAGATCGACTTTCGAGCACGCTGGGGATGGAGTTGGAGATCGTTTGATTGAGGAATTCCCGTTGATTCCAGTGCCGGAGTTACATCCGCTCGGCACATTTGGTGCGGGGAACTGGACATCGAGCCAGCTTCGCATGGCCTCGGCTAGGAAGACGCTGCTCGAGATAGCTAGAAAGTTCAGGACGACAAGGTCCCACCGCGAGTGCTAGCATTGAGGGGTTGATATTGGGGCTCGGGAGACGAGCTGACCGGGCCGGTCGAATACTCCAAGGAACCGAGTACCCTAGATAGCACCACTGCGATCGAAAGATTGGGCGATGAGATAGGGATTGATCAATCTGGAATGGAATAAGGCAGTAAGCCCTCAAGGGCCCATTGACAGTCGGGAGCATGAGCGGTTGGAAGGTCAGTGAGCTCGAGTGTGGTCGACTGCCGCCTTTGCGGAGGGCGATTTTGCAGTTCCGCCCACAACTCTCGCCATCAACATCCAGGCCGACCACCTTGGCCATCAGGCCACACAAGTCCTTGATATCTTCTGTTGTATCCTATTTTTGTTGATCTCCGTCGCAGATCGCGAGTTCTTTGTCAGAACCACAACTCGCCCTCTCGGAGACAGCCTCCGACGTCATCTCGGGAGTCCGCCGAGCCAATAGAAGAGCAGATCGAACAACCCCGCAAAGCAGTCCATCAAGCTCGAATGGCGATCTTTACAGCTATTTGAAGGAATTAGTATCTGCATCTGATGGAAGAGCGTTGAAGTCAGCATCACCGCAGAGATGGCTACTTCACTGCCGGCAGGCCTCATGAGGGGGACTAAATTGCCACTGGTTATCAATCCTCTGGGCGCTAGATACGGGACATTTTGGAATGCAAGGTACAAGTCGACCCTATCTATCCCAGCGTCGAAGGCGTCGAAGGATGGTCCGCAACTTCCACCCCATTCACTGCTCCCGAATAAGATGCTGCTACGATCGTTGATGGTGGCTACCGTCTCATCCCACCCGTGGCTTTTATCGGCCGCCCTCAGGGTGCTTTCAACGTTGGTCCACCCCAAATTATCCGTGCTAGATGTGAACAAGAATCCTTTGTTACGCCGATTTATAAAAACGACATTTTACAATCACTTTTGTGCTGGGGAGAATGGCGCCGAAGTCAAGTCGACTATTGGGAATATCAAGAACATGGGTTTCAAGGGAGTCATTCTGACATATGCTCGTGAGATTGTTGTTGATGCTTCGAATCAATCGCCAAGCTCTCCTGAGTCTGCGAAAGAGGCATCCAATGTCCCAGATCCAAAGGAAACTTCCAAGAATGCTGACATAGAGGCTTGGAGAGATGGCGTGCTGGAAACCGTCAGAATGGTCGGCGAGGGAGATATTTTGGCTTTGAAGTGAGTCTCAGTATGTCAATATCTGTCTTGATATTAAATAATCTTCCAGACTCACCGGTGCTGGGCAGCCTGCAATGCAAGCACTTTCGGCTGGCCAACCCTTACCTGCCCAGATGGTGACCGCGCTGAGAGAAATATGCGACCGAGCAGTGGAGCAAAAGGCTCGCATCTTCATAGACGCAGAGCAGCAATCGGTTCAGGCTGGTATCGATGCTATCGCATTGGATCTGATGCGTCAATACAACCAGGGACCAGCCGTTGTTTTCAACACATACCAGGCCTACCTCAAATCTACGCCTACCAATCTCCTCGGTCATGTTGAACTTGCCGAAAAAGAAAGATTCACGCTTGGTATCAAGCTTGTCCGCGGAGCCTATATTAGCTCCGAGCCTCGGGGCCTAATCAACGACACCAAGGCGGATACCGACGATTCATTTAACACCACTGCGGAGGGCATAATCCGTTGCCAGTTCGGAACATTCGGAAGCGAAAAAAGGCCTTTCCCACCGGTTGAGTTATTCATTGCAACACACAATAACGAAAGTGCAATGAAGGCAGATGCGTTGATTACGGAGCAGCTTTCGGCTGGAAAGACGCCCCCAAAGGTGCAATATGGTCAGCTCCTAGGCATGGCCGATGGAGTGAGCTGTCGACTCCTGCAGCTTGGTATGGAGGACAACACGCGGCAGGAGCCACCTGAAGTTTTCAAGTGTCTCAGCTGGGGTACCATTGGAGATTGTCTGTCCTACCTTATGCGGCGGGCGGTGGAAAACAGAGATGCGGTGGGAAGAACCAAGGAGGAATCCCTTCAACTCAGGCAAGAGGTATTCAGGCGGATAAAAAGGCTATTTTGGTAGTTCTCACTCACATGTCACTAGCGCGAATGGCATCTAGTGAATGGATCACTTACATATCGCTCTGTATGGATCGCACCATCGCCGCGCCTTGGACTTGTAAGCGATTCATGTACCTTGGCCGGATGCCATCATGGTGGCACACCCGCCCCCAGAGTAGATAACTGGATAGCTGACCATGTGGATAACTGACTGGATGACCAGGTCGAGGACCAGGCATGGTAGTAGCACATTCTGCTTCCAAATTAACATCCCAATGATGGAGGTGGCATTTCCCATCAATATTGGCACAATGCTTGATCATGGTTCTTAAAATGTAGTCGTGTATCCCAGCAAAGCCATAATGAGGGTGGTTTCCAAGCGTGGTGACAGTAAGCTTCAAAAGGTGAATAGCGATGGAATCAAAGGGCGGGTTTTTTCCTAATTTTTTTTTTTTTTTTTAATTTAATTTATGTCGAGGATAGTGGGGTAGCACCCGAAATAGCTTAGTTCCGTTTGTGTCGTGATATCTTCATTTGTACTAGGGGATTCTCGACACTCCGAGATCGGGAGGTTCAACCCCTCACCCTACTCATGTAAGCAAGGACACCCTAACGTGTCCTCGCAGCATCCGCTCTTTTCTCCTTTTCTTCAATTAATTCATCCTATCTTTTTGGATTGGTTCCCCTTGGTAGATTAGCCCCATTCTTGCATACAATGCCATACTGTATCAGCTAGCTGCGACACTTGTTCACAGGAATATAAAAGCTAAGGTCAACCCTCCAGTTTTTGTGTCCTCCGACTGCGCCTCTGCATCATTGAAACACGCCCATTTGTCCAACGCCGCAACCCCGTATACACCATGGCTACTTGTAGCCTAGGCTATTCTGTCGACCAAGAAATTGCCAATTTCTTCGAGCGAACGACAGCGACTCGCTCGGCCTGCGACACTTTTGCGAGAGAGAATCTTGGTGGTAAAGTCGTTCCGGTAGCTGTGCAGGGTGTGTGCAGCTATACCGTCTATGCTGGACCGAATGATGAATTTGTCGCTCAGTTTCGCCTCAAGCCTTTCCGGTTAAACATGGAGACGGTAAACCTGGCTCGTACCATTTACGGCGATTTTGCTCCCCGGGTCGCCTTTAGGGGAGAGATTGGGGAAGACGTGGAGGGTAAAGAGGCCCTTTATATCTATGTCATGAACAGAATACAGGGCATTAGCTACTTGGATTTCATCTTGGCTCATAACAGTCAAGTTTCCGAAAATTCAGTCGAGTTTTCTGCATGGCGCAAGAATTTTGTAATCGACGTCGCGAGGTATGTCTAGTGCTTTACGTCACACTGCCAAATTGCTGATTACGCGACATGATAGGTTCTTTGCGCTTTCGTGGAAATCCCCTCAAGCTGTTGATCAAAGATACAGCGACAGACTACATCATCAATATAAGAGAGAGCTTGAGTTACTACTCATTTCTCTGCCGGACCGTTTTCGCCCCTTGATCCAGAGATCCATCAGCTCTTTACCTTCCATTTTTTCTCTCCCCATGGTGCTACTACATAAGGATTTTGGTGTCTGCAATATTATGGTGAACGAAACGTCATGCAATCTGGTTGGAGTGGTGGATTGGGCCGGAGCAGAGGTTGCGCCATTCGGCCTGAACCTTCACTCCCACCAACGACTAATAAGTAAGGTTCATCTCAAAACTGGTTGGGTCAGATACGACGATTACATCATATTGGAGGATATATTCTGGAGCACGTTCAACAAGGAAGCTGGAGGGCTGGGCAATGAGACAATTAAGACCATCAAAGCGGCAAGAATTGTCGGCTTGTTGTTGTCGCGCGGCTACACTAGCCGTCTTCCAAATGCCCCGGAGCCAGTACCTATTCGGGACGATGAAAGTGGAGCATATAAGATGCGTGACCTGGATGGGTTGTTAATCAATCCGTCTACGAGATTTACTGATCTGGCATAACTGGAAGATGTACAGTAGAGGCGATGTAAAGAATGGATTATGACATTCAGTGGCTAACAAAGAGTTGGCTATTATAGCAAGGGGCTGCGAAAGCCGTGCAAATCAGAGGACATCGGCCTTGATGAGAGCGGCTTTCAGATCATCAATGTTCTCCAGTTTTGGAAGAGGCTCCCTGAGGTCATTACCACATGTGTTTCGTTTGCCGCGCAAGCACGGGGACTGCCATCTGCATTCTCGAATCTCCAGCCTGTGATGCGGGTTGGCATAGCGTTCCTGACATGAGAAGAATCTAACATGACAGTCCCTTGGTCGAGGATAAGTTCCGACATAGAACGAGCGCCGCAACCAAGGACTTGAAGGCCAATTAGACTTGTGAGGTTGTTCTCGACAATATATTGATTGAACGAACTCATCAAGAAAACGCGGTTCGAACTCAAGAAAGGTCAAGGAGGGGTCCGTCTTGTAGCTCATAGGCGCACAATCTGCCTTCAGTGAAAGGGAATATGTGTCCATGGACGCGACAGGGATCAATATCGCCGATATCGATGACTCTGGCCCAGCGAAGGGAAGGGTTCTCAAAGTCAGTCCCAATCATGACGGTGTCCTCAGGGATCTTGAAATGTCCATGAATCAAATGAATCCCAAGGACCTTGTCAGCGTTATGACGGACGAAGATTTCGGCTAGATTCGCAATATGCTCCTCAGCAACGGGAGATTGCTCGGAGTCATCGAGGAGGGTGTTGTATCTATAGGGTATCAGCTGCTGAGCCAGTGGACGGTGTTACGGGCCGTTCGAAAGAAACAAATTCATTCGGTGCCTACTTACGAGAATCTCGAAGATGAAAAAGGAAAGAGAAAGAAAGAAAGTCCGCCAGAAAAAGAGGGGTTAAGTCCCCAGCAAACGCGTTGTGCAAACGACCCAATATTATGCCTCAGGCATCCTTCCACGAGACGAGGCTATTCCCAGGGTCATCCGTCACAGACGGCGTGGTTTACATACAAGGCGCTGCTCTTAGGACGTGCGGGTCGATTCAACAGAAAAACCACCACAAAACACACGCGTAGCAATAAGGAAATAACGAGAAACCCAAATGTGGGGGCTAGGTCGGGGAGGTGTAAGAAGGTGTATTCTAGAACTAGCTATCCGGCCACCGTATACTGCCGGCTATGTCACATAGCCTGGATGGTACCCATGTAGTAGGGGGGGGGGTCTCCCCACTACAATATATAGTAGTCGTATCCTGCAATCCGCGTTCATAACCAGTAGATTTTACCACTAGACCAAAATCCAATCCGTTCACAGCCTAGTGGATGAAGTTTGTAACCAACTTTCAATTGCGAGGGGTCAGGCTAAATGAAATCACCATCATCATCGACTGCACACAGCCTGGTCGCGGGACTCTGTTCAGGTCTGGTCCATACTTCACTCACCAGCGCTTCTGCCCCAAGCAAAATGCCAGAACACCTCCTGCGAACAGACCGCGCAGCAACAATAGCGGGGCGTTAGTGCTTTCTGTCCAGAAACTAGCGGGGTTGTCATCAACAATTTTCTATTCACGCGGTAATATTTGAATACAGCTAAGCCGGGATTTTTTTAATCCCGAATCCGCTCCAATACACTTGGGCCGGCTTGCGGATGAACAGTAATACCAAGCCGCCTCGTCTCCTCCTACAGAATGCAGTAGTCCACTAGTCCATCTTCCTCGAGTCAACGGATTCAACCCATTCACTCTGTCCCTTATCCGGCCGAGCCTTATATTCTTCATTGACGATGCCGTCTTTCAGCATATCTTCTGGACCACTGGATTTCTGTCCCTCAAAAACTGCATCAATTTCCAACGACAATCCGGCAGTCTCCACATACCACATGGAAACCACAGGAACACATGAAAATTTAGGACCACGTAAATAATATAGTACCGCCAATCAATTTTTCTGATACCAATTGGGGTTACCAAGACCACGGCATAGTTGCAGATCCAGTTGGTCGCCGTCGCAAGACCAGCGCCGCGGTTCAGGGCTGTGTATTCACCTCGGTTGCATACATCCACGGAATGGCTATCCAGGACAAACCGAACACTGTATAGAATGCGAAAACGAAGGCAATCGCCACTGCTGACCACTTGCGTCCACCGACAGCGAGGCCAGCCGCGAGAAGTGCGAAGCAAGTGCCCTGCCATACAGCGCCCCACAACATGAGCCGTTTTCGGCCGTCAATGGCGGTAATGGCGAATGTAGTGAAAATCATGACATTAATGGCATTGCAAGCGTACAGGATCAGTGACATTTGACGGGAGACGTGCAGAGAGGCAAACACAACAGGCAAGTAGTAATTAATTGCGTTGATGTCACCCACCGCTGCATCAACTGGGTGCCCATTCCTAGGAGGACTCTCCTTCTAGTGTGGAGGCTGTCACTTGCAGGAGAGAGCGCCAATTAACTTTGGAGACCTCAAGCTCATGTTGGACGCCTTGAACAGATGCTTCATGTATAGCTAATAGCTCGGAATCACGGATATCTTTAGCATGAAGTCGGCCTGTGACGCCTGGGATGCCTGGTGCTTACAACGGGGGCAGTCATACAAACCACGTCATTCAGCGTGGCGCAGATGATTATCGGTCGATTTATCGCTGGATTAGGCAATGGCGTCAACACAACTGCCATTCCGGTCTGGCAGTCGGAGATGTCCAAACCTCAACATCGCGGTCGCCTAGCCGTTCTGCACCTTGCCCTGAATCAACTAGGCAATGTAACAGCCCAGTGGCTTAATTTTGGACTCGGGTATGTGGAAGCCGGTTTCCTGGAGATTCCCAATCGCTTTTTAGGTTTTCTACGCTCTTGTTACAATTTTCCTGCTTCCATGGTTACCGGATTCGCCACGCTGGCTTATCCAGAAAAGCCGCTTCGAGCAAGCTAAGCCCATATTCGTGGACTATAAAAACAATATATCAAAATTCAAAGTTGATGCGTGGAGGCTGTGAGGGACGATGACTGGAGGTTAGTTCTTGTGGGATGGTTATTGGCCCCGCCCCGGAACTCATTTGCGGAGATGTGCACATGCGAAGCCGCACACGAGATGTGGTTACGCTTTCGGGATACTGATCCCGGACGTGGGAGTCAATAAAGGTGACGGAAACACGGGGTGCTAAATAGCGTGATACTACAAGTACAGATGGTATTGATCGGACAATGCAGCGTTTGTAACGTGTTCCGGGAGATATTCGTTCAGGGTCTTCAATTTTCTCAATAGCTGTTGTATTGAAAGGTTGGCTTTACGTTACAAGTGAACATTTCCCAGAGTAACTGTCTTGATAGACTGGTACTCAGCCATACCATATTTGCTTCCTTCTAGACCATAGCCGCTCTCCTTAATGCCCCCAAATGGTGATTCAGCTGCACTTATCTTTCCCGTATTGACACCACACATGCCGAGTTCAAGCTCTCGTGCCACACGCATTACACGCCCCACGCTGCGGGAAAACAAATATCCAGCAAGACCAACTTCGGTATCGTTAGCCAGTTTGAGGATTTCATCTTCGGTATCAAATGAGAAGATCGGAGCTAAGGGCCCAAATGTCTCATCTCGAGCAACTACCATATCCGTAGTTGCACCCGAGAGAACTGTAGGCTGCATGAAGAATCCGGGAAAATCGAGTGCCGAGCCTCCAATTTCGACAAATGCACCCTTTGAGACCGCGTCTTCGATATGACTCTTTACCTTGTCGACGGCCGACGCGTTGATTAGCGGGCCTTGGGTGCAGGAATCTTCGATCCCCGGCCCCAGACGAAGTTCTGAGACCTTTTGTACTAGTCTCCGAGTGAACTCGTTCAAAATGCCTCTTTGGACATAGAGGCGGTTGGCACTATTATTTTGTTAGGTGTAATATCACCACAAGAAACGAGTAAACTCACCACACGCACGTCTGACCCGAGCACCGGAACTTGGACATCATGGCCCCTTCAACAGCGAGATCGACATCGGCATCGTCAAAGACAATGAAGGGAGCATTGCCGCCAAGTTCGAGGCTGACCTTTTTAAGAGTCCCAGATGCCAGATTGGCCAGATTTTTGCCGATATTGGTAGATCCGGTAAAACTGATTTTGCGAACGAGGGGATTTATCGCGAGCTCTGAAGCTACTTGCCTGTTTTTGGTAGGACAGACCTGGATAATCTTACCCTCAAAGCCAGCCCTCAAAGCTAGTTTTGTGAGAGCGAGACAAGTAAATGGCGTCTCACTCGGCGGTTTGATAACTACGGCACATCCAGCGGCCAGAGCTGGGGCGACCTTGCGACTGATCATGGCTGCTGGGAAGTTCCATGGCGTAATGATACCGCAGACACCAACCGGCTCCTTCAAAGTCATCACTATGGTGTTGGGCGTCGATGACGGGATTGTGTCCCCATAGCAACGCGTCGCTTCCTCTGCAAACCAAGAAATAAAACTCGCAGCATAGAGAACTTCGCCCTTGGCCTCACTAATGGTTTTTCCATTCTCTAGACACAGAATTCGTGCAACTAGAATTGCTGTCAGAGGTGAACCGGATCGTTGAAAAATTTAAGAAAATCCCTTACGGTCCTCAACATTTTTAATAACCAAATCGTGCCATTTGCGTAGCAGACTTCCACGTTGTGCAGCCGTAGTTGAAGTATAATAACTCTTCTGAGCCGCATGAGCACTCTTGATAGCTGATTGTACGTCGTTGAGATCGCAATCTGCTACAGTCCCAAGAACCCGTGCCGTGGACGGCTCTAGTGAACAATGAGAGAGTGTGGCAAAGCGTGATACTTGGAGACGAACCTTGAACACTGAAAGTTTGCTGTTTTCTAATCCAGCGGCCGTCGATGAAAGCTTGATCCTGAACCAATAGTTCCATATCCTTTGCAGTTATCATGCTGCTTGCAACAGCCTCCAAAAGCTCCTGGGAAAAGGGGACGGACATTGTAAGAGGAAATTTTTGCAGATACAATTGTGATGAATTTTGACTGCCTGAACTATACAGATCAGCCCCTCCGGTGCTAATGCATCTCAGCTTTATATGTAGCCCTTACTAAGCCTTCTTTCGGGATATCACTCCCGGGGACCGGCACTGGCTATTTTCGAACAACCACACGCTCGGATATTAGTCTCCAAAATCGACTGAACGCCACTATTTTACAATACCTTGTCCCATCTAATGCAGGAGAGCAGTGTAGATGAACCGCTACTAAGCAACTGCGTAGGTCCACGGGGCGCCTTTGATCCATTTAGCCAGATTAAAGTGAGTGATTGCCCGGCTTGGGCTGGAATTATGGGAAAGTCAGAGGAGTAAGTGATGTGCTCTCGCTCAATGCACTAATGTAAGACAAGTAACAGCCCCAGAATAGTATGTGGTTAGAAGATCTGGGTGTGGGTGCGCCCTATATTTTTCCGCACTATGCACCATTTGATCAACCTGGCTTCATTGAATTTCTATTGGAATTCTTGATGAAACAAATTCTTGCATATATCTTGCTAACAAACACAGAGAGAAATTAAAGAGAAAACCTGCCATTATCGTACGATACCTGTTGTCAAGAGTTTCTTCTCCTAGGGATTTCATTCTGAGAATTGCTCATTGTATTAAGGCGCTTTAGACACTATCTACCTAACCGAGATAGGGAGTTCGTAAAGCGATGATCAATTTTACGCAGGGACAATTGTTGAAATTGGAGCCATAGTGGTCAGCTTCTTTTTATGGTTAGTGGGCTCGCTCCAGCTATAAATATTGAGTAAATTGATCCTTATTCGGGGAAGGCTTTATCCAAGAGGTGAGCCCAGCTCCTTTTGATTACACTGCTCCGATTGAGAAATCCAGTGAGAAGATCTTATATAATTACATTGCAGCATCTGGAAACCCAAGGTCAATGCCAAAAGGGGGGTACACGTATCGGCGAAACAATCCTTTCTTGCAGAGATCATTTGAATAAACCCTAATGAGAGCACAGTCGTCTTCGTCAAGATTGATCAGTTCACAATTGTCCTTGATGCGAGAAAGGTTATTGGATCTCACGAGGACGGAGGATCCACGAGTGGCTGTGATGTTATCAGTATGATGTTGCACATGAATAATTGGAGATTTGGGACTGCAAATCCAGTGAGCTTACAGTGCCAACTCAGAAGAACTTTGGCAGGGGTGGAGTGCTTCTTCTCAGCCAAAGCGACGATGGGAGGTGCAGCAAAGTGTGGACCTCCTGTACTTCCGAAAGCACTATAGGCAATGATGTGAATCCCCATCTGGTGACAAAAATCAACAACATCCTGCTGAGGAAGAGACGGGTGACACTTGATCTGATTGACAGAAGGAACCACCGACACATGAAGCAAAAGCTCCTTAAGATACCGCACACTGTAGTTCGCGACTCCAATGGCTTTTAGTCTGTATTGAAATGCTAGTTCTGCGATTCAATAATATATTACGTACAAGACCAAGGCATTCTGTACTGTCATGTATTATCACAGACCCAAACTACTACCCCGCTCGATATGGCCTCAACACAACCATCCTTACTTTGCTCACAAATATCCAAGACCCACTTATATTTACGGCTCTTAGCTCTCTAAAGGGGCCTACATGCAATGAGCACTGCTGTAATGCCGCAAACCTCGATTATCTGTGATCTCCCAAGCGAGATCCTACTCATAATAGCGCATCATCTTGATGCGTTCAGTCTCATCTGGCTGCGACGTTCCTGCCAGCTCTTTCGTGAAATAATACCGTCTCCTACTCACTTAGAGTTGATAGAGGCGGAAACTAGTCAATTCGGTACCCAGAACGATTTATACGCCTGTCAGGATTGTCTTAGGTTGCGACCAAGAGCAAAATTCGCGGATAATATGGTGAAAAGGAAAAAGGCCAAGTGGGGATACAATGCGGCCCAACGGTGGTGTGTTGACTGCGGTATCAACCCGCGTCCAGGCACCAATAGATACGCCGCCGGCAATATCATCACTATTTTGGGAGAACCATATGTTATCTGCTTGGAATGTCGAAAATTCAGAGAGGGCGCTTCAGAAAACGGGAAGCCGTTATTTGTGTGCCAAGTCTGTTGGCGATTTACGAGGGCAATTGAGGAGCGTGCAGAGGCTGACAGAGCACGGCGAGAAAGGGCCCGACTGCGAGCTGAACAAGCTGAACGAAGAGCCAGAAGACGTGAGGTGTGGGGCTCAGCTTCCGATAGCGACGACATGATCCCGCCGAGTCCTACATCTAGTGAAGAGTACATGGAGATGATCCAGGCCGAAGCTGCTATGTACATGAACAGCCCCGGGCCTGGGTCTGATTGAGCATGCTTGTGTTCAGTTCGCATGGAACATGACAAACTGAGGGGGTGGTCAAATACCACTAGGACCCTTCGGGATGGGCTTATTCATCGTTCACCCAATTTCCACCTAGTATGGTGTCATAACACGCCATAGTTCAAATATAAAGACCCCTGAGATCGCTCAACCGATCTCAACAACCTTCAATCCATTATCTTATTCTGTTTTGGATATCTTCAGTACTAGCCAATACATCGATTCCTCATCCTGACAAATTATTTAGCAAGTCTAATACGCCATGTTTCCTGTACTGAAGCGTAACGGTAGCCAGCAATTTTGATCTGAAGACACAGTTTTTATTAAAATCGGCTGAATAGTCTCACATAGTTAGATCATGCAGCTGTCAACCTATTTTGGATTCTGGCAAGAAATTTTCCATTGTCCATTCCAACCACATGTGAGGATAACTCTCCGTCATTGTATTACAGTCTGTGTGTGTGTGTGTGTATCATTTACCTGACCCCTTCCCTGACGGCGATATGCAGGCTACAACTACTGCTTAAATACACTGCTTTTATGTTCCACGAGGATTGTTCCAAACTTCCTGAGCGGTGAACTTTGAGCCTCACCTGGTAAAGCCTTTCGTAGCCTTTCGCTGTTCGCGCTGTTAGGCTGCCCTTGTGGCGCGGCTATAATGAGTTCCCTGACAAGAGCGCCAACGGTCGTCCGTTGCTGGCTGCATCTCGACTAGGAGTTGGGAGAAAGCGGGCAAAGCTGAGATCAAGAATTTTGTGAGTGACCGTGTGGCAGTTGCGTTCTGATTGCGAGCCCGAGCTCGAGTTCGATTAGCTTGGCTTTTGCAAGATTTCTTGTCGAGTTTGAATGGCGATGGTTTATTGTGGAAACGGAGATAAAGGTCTTCGATTGTGAGCGTGCGTTTAAGAGATCGTGCGGTGTAGTAGGTCTTAGAAGTCGGTTGCGGATGAGGAGATTTGGGGCATTGGAGAACCGAGGCATAGGTGGGTCGTTGGTCTGGTGTGGATGTAGCGTGGGATGGTGAGAGGCGAGGTTAGGAGTCTGAGAGGCTTCTTCAGAGCAAGTGGGCTGAGGATTTTGTGTTCCCGATTCAGGTATCGTGGAGGACTGTTCGGCGGCTGAATCAATGTCCATGATTGAAGGTTCATCGGGCGGAGTGGATGCTGGCACTGTTTCTGGATGTGGTTGTTGAGGTGATGGAGATGCGAGACTTGAGTGGGTGCAAAGGTCGGGTGTTTCAAAGACAGGCCTAAGATCACGACAGATGATCAGCCATATACAGTCTGCTAAGTGTAGCTGCTGCGTCTCCTCGATGGGATTATTCTGGAGTGTGTACAAGGGCCTGCTCGATCCGCAGGCGAAACAACACGCTGATCCGCCAGATCTTGGAGAAGGCTTGCAGTACAAGCCATTCTGGGCCAGCTGGAGAGGAGTGACGTCGGTAAGCACTTGTCTATGGAACGAGAGAACTCTAGCTGCGATAGTAGAGTAGGTGATCGGGATTCGGTGGAGAGGTTCTTCGTTGGGGTGTGGGGTAGTTCGGTGGGGTGGAGTGGTGGGGTTGGTGGGTTTGAGGAGCGAAGAAGGACGGCGTAGCGCTGAGAGGGGCTTGGGCTTCCAGCCTCCTCTGGCGTCTGGATGCTGCGAGCTCATCTCCCTCATCCAGTCCATCGGGGGTCCCTAGGGTCTCCAAAGCTACAGTCCCATTGTATTACAGTCATTCTCGAAATCGGCTTGACCAGTACACAATCACTCTCTCCTGGCCCCACCGCCAAGGCTTTAGCGCATTTCATTTATTGAGCTGCGACGGAAAATTGAGGGCGCAGCAAGGTGCGGCTTGTAAAGTACATAACAGCCTAAGAGACGTTATATTACAATGCATGCACATGAAGTCCGTGGAATCCTATGGGGCTTCGTCGTGGGTTGTAGATCTGGTTGCGCTGGCCGCTACCGCAGTATTTCCACAGATAACCCCCTCCCTGGGGAGGCTCCTGCCCAACCTTCCAACTCAACAACCCCGCCCACGTCTCACCAATCTATTATTCAGTCATTGAAATTGTTGGTATCACCAGCTAGGTACTGTGTACACAGTTAAGTGGACAGTGTGTATGCTCCAAAGCAAAAGTCAATTCTGTTGATAGATGTTGATGTTCAGTCTAGTTGGAAAAACACCCCTAGATCCCACACGCCGGCCTTCGGCGGTCACAACACCGAGGCCACAGCCCAGCGCAAGAATGCGTACACCAAGCAAGGGATGTTATCCATCGGTCGCTAGCAGTGGGTCACAGCCAGTTTGTTCTGACAGGAGAATATATCCCGACAGAAATAAACCCACTGGGAATCGAATTTTTGCCCTACAGCATTCCCTCCGAGCTGCAAACCACTCTTTCCTTCCAAAAGTCCGACGTAGCATAGATGCGCTGTCATGCCCAGGCCCTGTGAGCTGGGCCCGCGTTGCTGGCAGGGTCCTTCTGGAAAGAAGCACTATAAGCTCTACCGCGGTCGCCTGGAGAGTTTTGGTTGAAAACGTGTAGACCAGTGCGACTTCACATGTATGACGATGGTACGTATAAGAGATGGTTCCATAACACTCGCTGAATAGATAATGCCCAAGACTTCCATATATTTGTATCTATATGTGTAAGTGCTTTAGAAACAGTATAAAACATAATCAGAATCATTGTATCGTTGACTGTGTAAAGTACAGTAATCAAATCGCTCGGTTGCTTGTCTTGGACCAGGCATTGTGGTCATCTCAGCTTCAACTGTTTGATACTGTACACATACTGTAACCAAACTTTCGATCTTGAGCAAAATAGGACACCTCATTTCACCACTTTTGACGATGATCCCACGTGCGATGCCGTGATATTTATGGATTCCACTGATAAGAGGACCATCCAGGGGAGCAAAAACACCCCAAAGTGGAGATCACGGTACTTGACCGGCCATGTTATGACGATAGTGTTCAGCGAGTCTCCCTAAGATTTTGCTCAGTTGAATATAGGATATAGTATGATAAGAGAGAATCATCTCCCAGAAGCAAAACCTCGCTAACTAATGATAGCGAGCCTTTGTGCCATCCTCGACCAGAGTACCGTACGTCAAGCTGCACGGGCAGGGCTCTATTCTTCTGAAGAAGCCCTGCAATCTAAGCGGGCTTCCGTTGGAATATTCTGTTTCCAAGTAACTACAAAAAGACGCTCGCGCACGTTACGGCAAAACTATGACAGTGGACGAAGCCAAGCGCGCCGGAGTAACTCGCCTTATGTTCCTTGACTTGTGGCCAAAGACCAAGTCAAAGGGTTAGGCACCAATTTGAAATATAGAGACAGAAAAGCGCTTGCTGCACCTTACTAGTCCGTAAATGATCAGAAGAGGCAGTAACTCAAAAGATAAAAGAAAAGAGAAAAAATGCATTGTCTTAAGTCTTAAGTATGTCAGCCCGATTTACTGCTGAGCGCTGTACACCACAATACCAGGGATCTAGGAGTAACATCAGGTTGCTGATCAATCTTGTTGCAGTTTCGACCCTGGTGTTTCCATCTCGAAGCTGTGACCATTCGAACTGGGTAGTTCGGCCCAAGGATTTTCAGATCGAGGATAGCCTGCGTACCAAGAACGGGATGCCTTGTCGCGCAGCGCTCAGACAGATAATCTAGAATTGTTGGTTACAGTACAAGAACTTTTAGTACCAAACTTCCCTCGGCAACAGCAATGCTAGATCCTCTTTCAAATTGGGACAATGACCAACTCTACACCCTTCACACAGCTCACTATCGTGCGGTCCTCTGCTCTGACCAGAAAAGCTGGGCCGCTGTAACTCAATTCCATTCCTTTTTTTGAGCCAGTATGTCACTCTTTCCGCATAGCACCTGGTATCCAGGACTAGCCGGCCAACTGCTCCGCAATTTCTGCATCGCTAGTGATACACTCGTGCATTATATCGCTGTCGAGTGTACATGCGAATTGTAATGGCGACTTTTTTGCTCGACCAACCGCTGGAGTAACATCCGCTGTTTTGGCATATAAACCGACCCATGACATTTGTGTCCCGTTCCTCAATGTTGGTTTCCTCATTATCGGCGCCAAAGAAGCCTATTTGAAGCCCTTCCTCGTCTAATAGCCGTGCTACGTCGTCATGAAGTTTTGGGTGGAGCGACCACAATTTCGCAGCTTTGCGTCCCCTGTGTGGCATTTGAACCTGGGTGCCGGTTGTGGGGCCTTAGAATGCTCATGATGTCAAAAGGGTGCGCTGGGAACTCGGGATATGATCGGTATATGGCCTTGGATGGGCTTATGAACACTTTTCTGGGAGACAGGCTATCCCGCTTCAAAGCCGCAGCTCTACCTCCTGAGGACAACGTATCGCTACCGTAGCACGAGTTGATTGGTAGATATGTTTCATGTGGTGTAACACGACGCTAAACGCACAGCCGAGATAAGAATAAGCAAGGGAATGTCCTGTAAACAATAAATGGATGAGCAACTACTTCATTCGCGTAGACTTCGCAGATATACACTATCTGGCCAACACTAAGCCGATGTGGTAGTCAAATTCACAATATGTCTAATATTATTACGTCAACCCGGTAAAATAAGACACTACCTTGTAGGTGGCTTGAATACGGTGGTATGAGCCTTCATGTAATGTAAAAGAAGTAAAACCTACATCGTGGCTGAGCTAATTCGAGAGAAATCATTGGCTTGGTGCTGGCCAGGGGGTGAAGCTAGAGAGCGCAGCATACAGACCATATACGAATGGCCGGTCTGGCCGGGGCTAGGATAGAAGCAAGTCTGACGTTGGCTCTTTCGATAATTCATGGTGGTCAGCAAGCCGCTAGGCAATATTTTGTCGCACTGCGCGCCAAGGCAGACCGGTACAACCACCAAGCGCCCGATAACTGTAGGTGTAGAGGTTGGTATCTCCGAAACAAACCGCTACGCTGTAAATACCCGTGGCCTTTCCCTCTGAGCCTCGTCAACTTCTCCCTATCGTCCTGAAATTTATTTGAATCCGACTGTGGCTGATCCGTGGTACGATCACGGGGTAGGGCTAGGGGAGTACAAGGTTGCGGGTGTGCTACCGAAGTAACCAGGCGTGGGGGCATAGAGTAGTTTTCGAATTCAGTTTGACCTCTTGACTCTTCAAACTTGATTCGCGGAAGATACATTCGAGATACACTAATCCCATTGAAGGTCACAGCTCTAATACTTAGGCAGAATGATTGTGGTAATTAGTATACCTTATTCAAGGACGCATTATAATAAACTTGCGATGATACTTTGAATTCCCTAGCCCCCTCCTACCAGTCCAACGTTGAGTCACGAACAGGGATTCGCTCGTGTCGTTCTGTAAAAAGGCGGGGTCGGGTAGCTATGCGTCTTGCGCGCATTTTCAAAGGCACATAGCTTACTTGTTGTCTCGCCGCACGTGCGCTAAAGCGACTAAGTTTTGGCCTTTCTATTCTTTCCTAAATATGGTGAACAAAAGGCGCAATACATCACAGTCGTCAACAGACAGTGATCCAAGAGCCAAAGCGGGGTTAACTGCTTATTTAAATATACTGGGCCCCGACTGCGCCCACGCTTCATCGCTTTATTCTCTTATACTGACTTTTAAGAAAAATCCTCACTCACTCTCTGTTCCAAGAGAAAGTATATTCAAATGGCCCAGAATAAATTTCAAGTCTCGCGATATGAGATAGGGGAATTCAAAGAGGATAAGTGGTACTGTGGCTGTGGCGACCTTCCCAAGAAGCTCACCTCCAAAACAGACCTCACCGGGGGCGATAAATGTAAGTTAGCTTATGTGCTTATATGAACGATCTTTACTCATGAGTGTAGTCCTGCGATGTCCCAATACAGATGACTGTGGGTTTTTCCTTTGGGAAAAGGATGAACCCACAGCAAGGGTATCGAACTCCTCACCCCGGACCCCCCAACAAAATCGAAGACGAAACCCAGGCTTGCTTACTCCACTATCCGGGAAAAATGCTCAGGGAGGACGTCAAACCTTGAATTTTGAATCGTCACTTACCTCTCCAACACCAAAACGACATTTTGATCAGGCGGAGGTGCTGGATGAGCCACTTTTAACGGAGATTCTCGAGCTTTTAGCATCTGCAAATATTGAGATCAAAGCTTCCACGGAACTACAACTACGACATTTAGTCAACATGAAAGTTGCAACATATGAAACCAAATTAAGGACATGCGAGACCACCATCAATGACCTCAGAAGTAAGATGGTAGAAATGGAGAGCTAGAAGATAACATGCTTGATGAAGGCGGTTGCGATGACGAGATGAGACTTTCCAATACAATGCTCCATATGCTGAGTCTGGTAAGATCTCAGCAAGATACGATGTTTTTTTCTGAAAGGTAAAAGAAGATCAATAACCCTGAGATCTTGCTCACTAGTTAGTTAAAGAATATGCTTAGCTCATCGAGTTTAAGAAACAGTTCAAGTGTCTGCTAATTTCGTGTAAAGTACGTCAAGTACGTATGGTACTGAAGATTTATTGTGAGATATATGGAGTATTGTACAAAGCGGTCTAGATCAAAGTGCTTAAAATAAGATCCAATCAGAACTCGCATATTTAGGATTTTATCTTTCATAAATCAAGTCTAAAGAGTGTGAGGTCAAACTGAATTCGAAAACTACTGTACTGCCATTTTTCTGAGTCGATCCGAGGTTGATCTGCATCGTCACCAAAAGAGCTATTGATCATCGCGAATATCTTCAGGGGAGGGGTAGTCTAGAGTTGTACTCCGTAAGGGGTTAGCCAGGAATGTCTGATACCCAATGAACACCCGAAGCCGCCACATGGCAACGAGCGATGGTAATCACGAAACAAATCTTACTGTCAAGCCTTGCCCATCAACTTGACCAGAGATGGACGACTAGGACAGCGTCAGACACTCTCCAGTTAAGCCACTAAGAGATGGAAGAGGGAAGTTACCAGACTACCAACGGTCCCCTAGTTTGCTTGGTTTGCATTGAGCCTTCTAGTCGTCCAGGCCTCGAGAGACTTGTATCCATAAAAAGGGGTACAAAAACCAGGTATCATTACATGTATATTGAAAACTCGTAATTTACGCGGATACCATATTGGGTTTAGCTTTATCTTGTGATCAGGGTTCGAGAGTATATCTCTGTTCCCCCTAATGGAAGGCAATAACGGGCGCTTAAAAAGACCTTGTTGCGTACCCTGCTAGAGAGTGCCAAGCTATGGATATTATGGCTTCAATAGAAACTCTGTAGTTGCTACAGAGTTGATAAGTAACAGGAATGCCCTGTATAGCAAGGGAAATACACTGGATTTACTGGCCAGCGAAAGGCAACGGAATCAAAAAGGGGAAAATACCAAAAGATGCAAAATAGTGTTGATTCTTCCCCCCTCAAACTGCTGGGGGTTGAGGGGGTTAATATACCCTCAAGAATACCTGTGACTCGGTGGTTACATATCCGAGGTTGCGAAAGGTGGCGAAAAGTACGCGTAATCCCGATACCGAATACCATATCTTCGGAAACCTCAGATGTACCGTTTAAGTCAATACAGTGTCGATCACCATTTTCCTGACAATAAGTGATCTTTTCTGGCTGATTGCAAGCTCCAATTTTTTGGTCCACGGTGACATCTTTGAAACGAGAGCCAACCTTCCTTAAATATTTTTCCTTGATTTCGATTTAGGGTTGCGAAATATCGTCTGCTGCTATCGATCAAGGACGCAAAAGCTTTTGAGACTGATTTAAAGGATAAGCTTGCAAGGTGCTGTGGTTTTCCACTTCGCTTTTCGGGCACATGCCCTGTGGATGGCTAGAGTAAGGGAATTTAACGTTCGAACTATCTCGGGAAGGGAGAAGACGAAGGTCAATTGTCAATTTATCTTGGCGAAGTAGTCGTTGATCTCGAGGATCACCACGCTCACAGCCAAATGGGCGGCGAAGAAACGTCCACTGTATACGCTGCCGAGCTCTGTGCCATCGAAATGGCACTCAATTAATCTTGGAGACCACGGAACCGTGGGCGGCACAGGCGAGAAACGGGCTTGTCATATTTGCAGACAGCCAAGCGGCATTGAAGGCGCTCCGCCAACCACGAATGCCATCAGGACAGGTCTACCTGGAAGAATGCCTCCACCTGGTAAGGCAACATGCAGCCAATGGCCGTCAAATCCATCTCAGGTGGATACCTGCTCATCCAGGAATGGCCGACAATGAACGTGTCGACCGACACGCAAAGGAGGCGGCCCAGGAACCAGAAGGACCACAAAACCCAAACAATCGTTATATTCGCCTTGCAGCTGCAGCTAAAAGCCGCATTCGCCGCGAGGCAAAAATCGAGTGGGAAAGGTCATGGTCTATAGAGAGAACAGGTCGACCGACGAAACGCTTAGTCGAACGACCAACAAAGAAGACCCTGGAATACTGGTCCGACCTGCGGAAAGCGACAGCGTCCATTCTGATGCAGCTTCGTACTGGACGAATTGGCCTTGCTGCCTACTTGACTCGCATCAATCGGCGCGAGTCAGCGAGATGTGGTTCTGATCTGGGGAACCAGACGGTCAATCATATCTTGCTTGAATGCCCGCTACTCCAAGACGAGCGCAACTGGATGAGAAACGCTCTGTCCGACCGCGGAGTTACTCTTCTACGCGACGAGCTCCTGACGCGGCCAGAGACTCGCATAATTGTGGCCGAATTCATGGTCCGGAGAGGTCTCTTAAGCCAGTTTCAAGCAGTCGACCCATTTGAAATGCGCACACGTTTTGAAAATGCGAAGCAAACAAGCATGTTCCTGACTACACTTCAGCAACAATGGCATAGACGTAAGCAGGTATTGGCAGAAACAGGCGCCGAACGTGGTCCTCAGGATCCAATTAGTTCTAGCAAGCTTCAGAAAAGAGTTCGAAACACAGTCGGTATGCAGAACTGGGCGGGTACCAATCTAACTAGTCCCTCTGTGGAAACCGGAGTGTGTGCTTGCTGATTCGTCCATGTCTCACGAATCAATCTTTCATATGATGAAAGAGAACCTTCAGGAAACGCAACCGCATCGTATCCCCAGAGCTGCGAATCTCGGCTTTCGTAAGTTCTTGATAGACTGCTGCAATCGGACAATGTGTAGCCGATGAAAATTCCGTGCTGTACTTCGTCGGATCCCAAAAGCACTCAGGATTTCTTGCCCATTGAACAAGATGTGGCGTCAAAGATTCGGATAATTGAATTTCCTTTTTCTTGGAGCATTTTGCAGCAATGCTGGTGCGACTGCGGCAGGGCGGGTCAATTTGTTTCTTCGAACGTTCAGGTAGTTGCTTCCATAGTATTGCGAGGCAATCGACAACCTGCTTTTGATTAGACAGAGAATAACCTTGGAAGGGACTGACTGACTTGCTTGTCAGAGAGGACATGCAGGACCTGATCGCAGCCATTGTCCTCTGCATGTGAACACGCCGCCTGCAGCTTCCCCAAGAGTATCTTGCTTTCCGCGATGCCCATGATCCGAGACTTTGTTGGGGTTAGAGAACTCGAACTGGAGCTCCTGCCTTTAAAACAAAACCAAAGGAGGGCTAAGACGAAAGGAGACTAGCATGTGATAGATCTGCTTGCACATACTCAGCCCCCAAACATCAAAGCGCTAGTATTGCGACCAACCTGCAGCTTGATTATGGATAGCCAGTGAAAAATTTTGTGGCGTTACTCATAGGCCAAGAGTCGTTCCCCGTAAACCCCTGCTCACACTAGGGCCGCCACCAAAACGGGTAACAGGCCAAGAACCGGGGAGCATTCGGGTCCCTCACCATGGTTATTCTCGCTCCCATTTTAGAGATGACAAGCACCACAACACCAACCCTTATGACATTGTCTCTATGTTTCCTTGGCAGAGAGCCCGCGTTTCTATTGATAGGGCCATACTTTCGCGTGTAATTCCCGCTGGCGCTCGTTCTCTGCCAAATCTATGAACTCGCGTTTGAAACGATCATTCAACTCCATGGCACGCTCGTAATATTCGCGGCGTACCATACCGCCCAAGGGAATAAGCCCTGTATCCTGCAGCTCGTGCAGGATTGCAGAAATCCCCTCCAAAAGGTCCATCTCGTCTTGGTGTTGTAACAGCTCTTTTTCGCTGAACTGAACTGGGCATGGTATTTCACCATATCCCATATCAGCCCAACGGGCGATGACTGCGATCAATGCATTGCGTAGAGAGAATAAATCTTCTCGGTGCCAGCATCCAGGGACCAGAGCAAATGGTTTTGTCTTAACCGTGAGGAGGGGATCTGTGTGAACTTCCCACCGGAGAGGATCCGTCTCCTTGACAGCATTGTCGTAATGGTCCAAAAGCTTTCTCTCATGCCTGCTTTTATCTGAATGTGGTGTGCCAGATAGATCAAGCATCTGCGGATAAGGCCGTTGCAGAGATATCGGACACACAGAAGTCTGTTGCCAGTCAATTATGCAAGTGATTCGGTTGGTTCCTGGTTCGACGAATACATTATCAAGGTGCAGGTCTGGATGAGAAACCCTGTTTGGCTGCTCGATGTTTGCAGAAGATGCCAAATATGGAGAAAGGGCCAAGAAGTCCTTCAGAAGGGTGATGTAATCGTTTGGTTTCTCAGAAGTCTCCATAGATCGATGAAAATTGACTCTTGGCCTCGCATGAGAGGTGGCCCATTCAATTTCATTCTTTCCAAGGGCCACGGCGTAGTCAGCAACGCTTCTCCCTAAGCTCGCATTAGCCGGCAGAAGAATCTTTCATCTTGGGGACATACATGGGCCTCTGTCCAAATTCATTGCTATCTTTTCCTGCTCCCAGAAACATGGGTTGGCAGAAGGTCCAATCACGAATGTTGGTTGTTTGTCGTTTTGACAGGTCGCCGATGCCGAGGAAACAAGTGAGTCAAGAGCCTCATAATCCAAGGATCTCGATTTAAGATCTGTCTCGTAGTATATGCAACCGTGCTTCGGAAAAGAGATAGATGCAAGTTTTCTTTCCATACTCACGACCTGGTCCACGACATCCAATTGTGCTGCCAAAGTGAGGTCGGCCCAAACATTTCCGAGAGGCTGACCGCCAGCCTTTTCTTCGATGATATATTCAGCACCCACTGGATTACATGCCTCGGCCGACCAATCATAGATGCGAGGGATTGGTATGCCCATTTTCTCGCGCAACTTTCTCTTTCATTAGCTCTGCCTTGGATAACGGGGTGATAGAGTTCCATACAAAGTGGCGCGTCGCGACTTCTGATGCAATTGTGTAAAACGCCGGTCCCGCGTTTGGGTTGGGCAATCGAGCGACGATCTCCAGGCCATTGCTCATGGTCAGGAGAAATGCTTTATTAAATTGCCCCTCCACACATTTAAGCAGCTTCACACCTATGACTGACATTAGCCAAGGAATATTGCAGTAGATGACAACATACAATATACTTCATCATTGCCCGCGGCTTTGACGGAAGTATCCAGAAGAGCTTGCAAATTGAATTTGCGGTAACGCATCGCGAGCTTTTCAGATTCTCCGCTCCTAAAAAGTCAGACAGTGCCAAACAAGCCAAGACTCGACATACAGCCAACGATAACGTTGATACCTGTACAGGTCGACCATATTGATTTGTTCCTCTACCAGCATGATCAGTTTCCGACCCAAGTGACGGGAGTTAAGGAATCACCTGATCCATCCTCGAGTGCTCTCCAAAGAGGTGTTACTGTTGATTGCATCTTGAGAGAACGTATCGGGTGACTGTAGATGGTCACGAGTCTTCGGAAAGCACCCGGAATGCGATTTTGACAAGAGAAATTCATTGCCGCATAGTGTCGAAAGCTGGTCATCCAAGGGGTATTTAATAGTAATAGTCGGGCTCGGATCCGGATTAATCTATATACCGTCCGAGCAGTTACCGTAATCACGTGATCACGTGACACCACGGGTGCCGCGAGACCCCATGCAGTTGGTGATCATATTAGTTCGCAAAGGTACTCGGGAAAAAAAATTTCCGGATCTGTATATGGGTTTCGGAACCGCTTCATTATGAGGCGCCAAAACATCTCGATAACCAGGTCTTTGGTCTGTTCGGGGAAAGTCTAAAATTCGGCAAATGAGGCTCTATATTGTGGATCATTTACATGACTAATCCTAACCATCCATCGACTCTAATGTGACGCCCGCACGCTCAGCCACGCCCTCAGCCACAAGGGGTAAATTAGGACCAAGATGTAATTTACACGACGACCGTGGCGGATACACACCAAAGTTCCATGGGAAGATCTATACAAGAATGCACCTCCCGGAACAAGTGAAACCGCCCAGAGCTGGCATATCGGCACCGCGATATGAGGAAGAGACTTGTAGGACACAATCTACCATTGGAAGGATTTCAATACGCCAAAACACAGATGTGCATACGCGGTTTGCAGAATATATTGTATGCGAAAGGATGCATGCTTTTATCAAGTTGGCCAACTCTTCGGTGGGTTTCATCGACACCACTACATGGACAGACGGTTGCCTGAATCGGAGATAGATCAATTCAGAGGTTAAGTAACGAGCAAATAACCCTGAACACACCTCAACCACATACAAGCGGCCCGGATCCAGGCGTAGTACTTACGCGGTAGCGTACCACAGCTAGCCTCTTCCTGGCCTCACAGCACAAAGATAGTCTTCGCCCGAATAGCGTTCATACTGAGGAGCGTTTCAAGCCAGCAGGTGCCCTTATGAGAAGCTATATGTCCTTTTAGCGCATTTACTGAGGCTGAAGGGGCGCGCTGTCTCACCACTACTTCGTGTTTTCAACAGCTGTCGCAAGTTCCTCGATATTGCACTTGTCTCCCAACCCAAAACGTATCTTCTGGCCGATTACCTGATGAGTGCCACGGTGGCCTCCAGTTTTGCCCTTAATGAATTCTTTCACAGTATTGTCGGTTGCCTGACTGTTGGCTTGTATTATGCCGGTAGCCATTGTCGCATCTTGGGTGTTTCGGTGGACATCGAAGCGGAGGTCTTTCGTTTTGACAGCGGTCTTGCTAGTCGCATTATCGGCAAACTGAAGGGCTTTGATGGAGTCTGCGTTTTCGCGTATCTGCTTTGCCAGCCCTTGAAATGCGGACTTGGAGATTTTGGTCGTTATGGCGCTGTCTTTTTTGGGGAGCAGGCGGGCTCGGATTGCTATTAGTTGTCTCGCCTGCAACAAGATAGATGAAGAATGCCGTGATCCATTATTCCTGGAGACAGAGGCGTGGCTTTATAGTAAGGCCTGGCAAAGGAAGATATAAAGAGAAGTAGATGCTTGCCAATTCTGCACGAGCTGCTGGTAACGCATTCGAAAACCATAAAATACGATGCGTGGCTCATACTGGAAGTGTCAGCCTATCACGACCCAAAGTTCAAACTAGCAAGGTCAAAGCGACGCGCTGTTCTGATTTAGTCGAATCTTGTCCGCGCGGACAAGATTCGACTAAATCAGAACAGCGTGTGTTTTTGCAGACGACTGCCACGATCGAAGTACAATTAACCATGTTGCAGACATACGAATAATTTGGAAATTTCCAGTTGCGGCGCAGCATGACCCTATCCCGACGACGGACATCCAGAAACATGGATGGAATTATGCCCATAATTTTCTTCGCGAAGCTAAAAATATGCCTTTTCCATTGCTCGTGCAACTCGTGGCAGCTAGCATACGCCGGCGACCTTACAAGCAAGAAATTCTGAAATATTGCTGGCTTCCTAAGCAGACGACCAGTTACGATTAGAGAGCAAGAGGTCTACAGCATAGCGCAGGGCTAGCTCTTGTTAATGTCGCAACGTTTGCGAGCAGACTTATTTTTACTATGCGGCTATTCACACGAATCGATCAGACAGTTCGGCAACATCATCCATAATTTGGATAACTTCTGCCTTTGAATTTGCACTCCAAATCAAATCGATAGCCGCAGTAGCTTCATGGTCAGGAAATTTTTTCCGAAACGCTCGCTTAACATGTGTCTGGCATAGGATCAACACATGCTGTAAATGCTCTGACCACGTCCAGCGAGGATCTAGACCAACAAGATAATCTCCTAGTCCTAAAGATATTATTAGTATCGGTATAACATATGTTTAGTATCTCAACCACATACCAGGTGCTTGTTTTTTACACATATCCACAGTAACAGTACGAATACCATCACACGAATCGTCGCCGCCAAGCTGATACGCCCATTGAACAGGTTTCCGTCCAACATCCCCAAGAGTCTTAAAGATTTTCTCAAAAAGAACTCGATATGCAGCACGGGTCTCAAGGTTCATGAAAGCATAGACATAGGTATTTAACCCTATTATAGTTGGTATATAGTTAGCATATATTTAACGTATTAAAATTATTTTTTAAGCAGCAGGAGGAAACTTCACTTTTTGCCTGTTCGTTCCATCCGGAGATTGAAAACACTTTAGTCTTTCCCTGAACCATCTTGAAGGCTAGATCCATCTCAAGATGTCGTACACATTGAAAAAGCTTAGCTTGTTCATATGTACAACATATAATGAGATAATGCTCCCGCTGCTCGTCAAAGAAAAAGACTTCACGGATCCATTGTTCGTCATTGTTCTTTGTGAGATCAAACTGATATTCGCGCCAAACACCAGCGAGACTTGTACCTTGTGGATAGTATAGTAATCTCTGCTTATGAATTAAAGCAGTCACTTTATCCTCAATATGCAAGCTTTTGTGGATATATCGTAACGCCGAGTCACCATGTTGATGCAGGATTTTCGCAAATGTAGGTGAAACCATCAATTTACCTAAATTAGAGTTAATAACTTAATAATAATAGGCTTTGCTTTGCAAAGAAATACGTACGTGCGGTTAACCCTAGGATATCTTGTGCATGAATTGCCGCTGCGATTTCCTGTCCAATCTGATATGGTAGCTTTGTGGGTAGCGGTGGGAAATGCGAATGAGACCCTCGGGAAACAACGATGTAAAATGGAAAGCGATCCCATGAGCAAGGGATATAAAGATCAATCCTGACAGGGCACTCGGTTTTAGTGATTCTACCTATACCATCAGCATGAACGGAGTCTGCCGTATGGTTAGCGTCTGATAAATGTATGTCTTGCATATGCTTAGTTAACATATGTTAACGATAAATTTAACATACCGCAATGCTGACGCTTCGCTGCACGATGGAGGACGAAATGGCAATCTCTGGTATTGTAACCTATTGCTCGCATTCCGTCCTTCTCACATAGAAGTTTCAAGAACCCAATGTCAACCCTTGCAGAACTATTCGACACAGCCTGAGCATAATGCCAAGTTTGTTCAGGTGAGTGATTAGGGCAACCGATGAAGGTGGTCTAATCTTGGTTAGCATATGTTTAGTATATAACGAGTATATATACTAACTCCATTCCGAATCCACACTCGTGGTTTTTGTCCTCTACATGTCCGATCACCAGTTACGTAGCGGCATGGCCCATCGAGATCCCATGTGTGGAGAAAACCGAAGTAGAGTCTACCTTAATATAAGCAAGGTATATTTTGAATATAGTGAGAAACTTACTCCCTGGTTCGCTGCTCGATCTCTTGCCTAATAGAGCTATACACAGGTTTCGCAGCCTGGGACTGAAGCTCAAGGAAAAGACTTGGCTTAACCCGATTATACCTTGGCGATGGGGTGATAAGGCTGGGATGGACTTGATGGCAATGTTGAATCCCCGTACATTGATAAGATCGGTGCCATGATCTTGACTCTTTGTCTTTGGGGTCTTTTTGGAGAAGTTTTGTGTAGATTTTCTTCGCAGATTTGAGATGTTTGGTTGAAAATTGAACCTAAGAATGTTAACTTCATTGCCGTATATTAGGTATATGTTAAGCATATGTAGAACATACGGATGACATGAGCTGCGTGAATATCTCGTTAATTTCACGAGAACTGCTTTCCACATTTTGCAACGGATTTTTCGAGGCGTGGATAATATGTAGAACACCGTTCTCATCTGTATCAGGATACTCAGGAAGCATAAGGTGGTCTTGGACTTCGTAGGCGATAACAGCATCCCTACTACTACCACTAACTATCGTCCCATCTCGAGACACATCTACTTGATCGAGGCTTATTGTAGAAGTAGGACCTAAAGACGTGGTATTTTCCTCGCTATCTTGACAAGAATCTCCATCAGATGATTGATATTCATCATGGCAATCCTGGTACACGGAAGTCTGGGAATTTGACCTGTCCCGCTTTTATTGAACATGAAGTTAGCACATACTTAACATATGATCAACGTATCACTTACAGGTGGAAAATCGTAGAGAATACGATCAAGTTCTAACACTGCACTAGCTGTAGCTTGTGCATCAGCAACAATCTCAGGGTCATGGGGCCCAAATAGGGGTGGTGGGAAGAAGGAACGTGCCATGTTGTGGAACACACACAACACACACAGAGTATTGAAAAGGGGTAAATAAAAGTGACTGAGATTATTTCAGCGCTAAAAATTATTATATAATACAAGTTTTTGGGTCGGGTATTTGTCGGGACACCTCACTTTTTTCGGTAACGGCACCTCAAAACGTTAACATAACGTGATCCACGGCCGCGCGGGCGGCACGGTCGCGCGAGCGACCCCACCAAAATTGAGAAAACCTTCAATTTTTGACCACTATTACAACCACAATAATAACATAAGTTTAGCTATTGAACACGTGTAGGGCATTTAGGATATGTATGACCTTTTATCCCACAGCTAGAACATGTCACCTGCCGCCGAACCAAGGGGGTAGAAGGTAAAGTAGGCTCAGTAACCAGTTTTGCAGGCACCTCTGGTAAAGATATATCTTTGCTTCTATCTTCATCCTCAACCACCACATCATCTTCACCACCCTCTAGACCACCAAAGATGCCTTTCTGGGTAGTAAACTTATGTTTGGTCTCTCGTTTTTTGGCCTGTTTCTTGTTGGTAGCTTCTAATTGGGTACAGCGATGCTGGAGAAAAATGTGGCGGTGGACTACTTTTATAGTCATCCTGTAGGTCTTCTCAATCTCCTTTTTTGTTGGTGAAGAAAGAAAAGAAGAAGAAGACTCTAGACCTTTTTGATCCGAGATTGCGATTTTGTGAATCTTGAGAGGGTCCAAAGAGTATTTGGATCACTATCACTGCCAGAAGAGAGTGGTCGCTGGGAGAGGATCTCCAGAGGAGGAAGAGAGTCCAGGTGCACATTTAGCTTTTCCAAGACTTTATTAGCATCAAATGGTGCTAATCCAGTAGCCAAAAAGCTATTCTGTATAGTGGAAGACTTAAAAGAACCCATTCTCGCATCTGCGATTAGTTCTAGGAAATCTTCCTTGTCAACGGCGTTAACTCCGTTCCGCACCAAAGTTGAGACCGCTCCTCCATAAAGTCTCTTTAAAACCGAGAAACAACCCACATCCAAAGGCTGTAAAAGATGAGAAGCATGCGGAGGCATACAGATTGCGATGATTTGGTGTTCTTCACATATTTGGTCAAATTCAGGTGTTAAATGACTCCCATGACCGTCAAGGACCAGTAAGCAATATTTTCCCACTCTTGTCCCAATATTTGGGATAAAATGATGTTTTAGCCACCATAAACCAATTGTATTGGTAGTCCAACCATTTGGGCTCATAGTTAGACGAGCTCCTTTTTGATTTAAAAGGAGGTAGGGTCGTAAATGCTCTGGGAATCGGTTTCCTTTGAAAATGAAGAGTGGAGGGAGAACACTTCCAGAAGCTCTTATACACTCAATCGAAGTCACCCACTCACGATTTCCGGCTTGCAAAAGTGCTCTTTTTCCATGGTATTCCGCTGAAGTGATAATCTTTTGCGTTGCGCCAACACCCATGGCAAAACCAGACTCATCAAAGTTGAAGATATCGTCTGAAGCGATACCCCACTTTTCCATCGTCCTTTGAAGCAAATCAAACCATGGTTTAATAATTCGAGGGTCTTCTGAAAGAGCTCTCTGATAGTCGTATTTGCGTGAAAGTCGAGTAGAGAGATTTGGGTGTCGTTTGACAAAATGAGAAGGCCAATTAATACCAGTGGTACAGGGGCCATTTTTCCGTGCACTAAGTAGAAGATTGGCCATATCTCGCAACATAGGCAAAGTAAGAGCTGCACCTCTTGAGTCCATATCGAGTAGCCAGTTTTCTATCGATTGCTCTTCGATTTGAGAGAAAATATGGCCAGATGGCCTCTTTTCAGTAGCAGATTGGCGCCCATTGATCCGGGCCTTCAAAGTTGAGACAGGTATCACAAATGATCGTGCAGCAGCTGCAGCAGAGGGATATTTGCCATCTTTTATAGCTTTTATGGCTAATAAAAGGCGACCCTCCTGCTCTGTCAACTTTTTTTTTTATCAGAGCGTTGGGGGGCATTGTTGTTGTGGTTGAAAAAGATGGATTATTATTGAAGTGGATTTTTGATGGGGTCGCTCGCGCGACCGTGGATCACGTTATGTAATCTTTCAAGCTTAACTAACGTGATAACGTATTGCCCGAGCGACCGAATTGACCGAGCGGCCCCACTAAAAACCCATCTCAAAAAATAACATATCTTGTTTACCACAATAATCATGCCCCCCCAACGGTCTGATCGAAAAAGAAAATTAATAGAGCAGGAGGGCCGTCTTTTATTAGCTATTAAAGCTATAAAAGATGGTAAATATCCCTCTGCTGCAGCTGCTGCGCGGTCTTTTGATTTACCAGTCTCAACTTTGAAGGCCCGCCTTAATGGGCGTGAAGCTGCTTCTGAAAAACGACACAATCGCTTTATTTTCTCTGAAATTGAAGAGCAATCGATTGAAAAATGGCTATTGGATATGGATACCAGAGGTGCTGCTCTTACACTGCCTATGTTGAGAGATATGGCCAATTTACTCCTTCATGCCCAAAAAACAACCCCCTCTACTGTTGGTAGAGATTGGGCATCTCACTTTGTCAAACGACATCCAAATTTGTCCACACGATTATCTCGAAAATACGACTATCAGAGGGCTCTTTCAGAGGACCCTCGAATTATCAAACCATGGTTTGATTTGGTCCAAAATACCGTTGAAAAGTGGGGTATCACTTCGGATGATATTTTCAACTTTGATGAGTCTGGTTTTGCTATGGGAGTTGGTACCACACAAAGGATTATTACCTCAGCCGAATACCATGGAAAAAGAGCTCTCTTACAAGCTAGAAATCGCGAGTGGGTGACTTCAATTGAGTGTATTAGAGCTGATGGAAGTGTCCATCCTCCACTCTTCGTTTTTAAGGGGAAATTCTTTCCTGAACATCTACGCATCCCCCTTGATTCAAATCAACCTGGATCTCGTCTGACTGTGAGCAAAAATGGCTGGACTACCAATGAAATTGGTTTATGGTGGTTGAAATCTCATTTTATCCCAAATATTGGGAAAAGAGTGGGAAAATACTGCCTCTTAGTCCTTGATGGTCATGGGAGTCATTTAACCCCTGAATTTGACCAAATATGTGAAGAACACCAAATCATCGCAATCTGTATGCCTCCGCATGCCTCTCATCTTTTACAACCTTTAGATGTGGGTTGTTTTTCGGTTTTGAAGAGGCTTTATGGAGGAGCGGTTTCAACCATGATGCGGAATGGAGTCAATTCTATTGATAAGGAAGATTTCCTTGAATTGATTGCAGATGCAAGAAAGGGAGCTTTTAAGACCTCTAATATCCAGAATAGCTTTTCTGCTACTGGATTAGCACCATTTGATGCTAATAGAGTCTTGGAAAAGCTTAATGTATGCCTGGATGAACTTCCTCCTCTTGAGATCCTTCCTACACGACCACCCTCTTCTGGCAGTGATAGTGATCCAAATACTCTCTGGACTCTCTCAAAATTCTCAAAATCGCAATCTCGGATCAAAAAAGGTCTAGAATCTTCTTCTTCAATCCTTTCTTCACCAACCAAACGGGAGATTGAGGGGAACTATGAAATGACCATAAAAGTGGTCCATCATCATATTTTTCTTCAGAATCGCTGCGACCAATTGGAGGCTTCTAATAAGAAACAGATCAAAAAACGAGCAATCAAGCATAAGTTTACTAGCCAGAGGGGCATTTTCGGGAGTCGGGAGGATGGTCAGGATGATGTGGTTGTTGAGGATGATGGTGATAGTGAAGATATATCTTTGCTAGATGTACCTGGAGAACCACCTGCAGAACCTGCTTTACCTTCCATGCCTATGGTTAGGCGGCAGGTCACCTGCTCTGGATGTGGGATTAAAGGCCATACTTATGTTAAATGCCCTACACGTATTAAATAACAAAATTTGAGTTATTTTTGTGGTATTAGTCGTGGTGAAAAATTGAAGGTTTTTTGATTTTTGGTGGGGTCGCTCGGTCAATTCGGTCGCTCGGGCAATACGTTATCACGTTAGTTAATCGCCTCGAATCTAGCTGTTCTATTCCGTAAAAGCGGTTTTTCTTTCAAGGACACTAACAGTGTCTGAGCCGTCGAAGAACAAATCGAAGATCGAAGTACTCTTTGTAAAACTTTCAGTAAAGGGAGGAGCAGTAGGAATTACGGAGAGTATTATGTCTGCACTAAAGCGATCTAATTCCTTCCTCTCTTTTTTTTGCTATCTGAAAGCGATGTATATACCGGGTAACCGATTGAACCAAAAAAGACCCCTGCAGTTGCGCTCAAAGCACGAACGGTCTACCTAGCTTAGAGCATTGCGCCTCGCTGAAATAACGCACCTTGTGGACACGCTGTGCATGAGATTTTAGTGCCTGGGGTCCGCGTAAGGCAAGCTTGCAAAATGAATCCGGACACGGTACAGGCTCATCCTGTTTCAATCCGCGAAGGCGTCTCTCGAAATGTTCTCTGGCTTTCCGCGGCGTCGCGAAATAGCACTGGTAGTTCGGCTCAAAAACGCAGAAGAGACAGTGCCGATTCGTCAAAGAGATTGGAGCGTCACGCGGCTCAGAGGTTGGAGAAGGATCTGGCTCAGGTCGAAAGCGCTCTTCAAGCGGCGTGTGCTCGTCGCTGCCGGCATTCTGCATTTTTTTCTCTCGTTTGTCGTTTTCGGACGGTACGCTTTGGACTCGACCGAGCTCGATCAATGCATTGATCAGGGTGACACGACGCATCATGTCCTCTCTTTCAGGTAGATCTTGATGTGGAAGCTGCATCAATTCCGCAACTTCACGCCGTTCTTTGAGGTGATGAACAATCTTGTCAGGCTCGTACATATCATGGTTCATGTCCATTAGCGAAGGATCGAGTTGTTTGTTGATTTCCAGAGTATCAATGGTGGCGAAAAATTCGCTTCGAGCGCCATTGAACGCCGCTTCCTTCAATTTCTTCTTCGTAGCTCTTAATGCAGCTTCCGCCTTGGCTTTGAGCTCCCCTATTTTTGTGCCACTTGCTTTTTTCATGGATCCATACAATGCTCTGGCTTCCAAGGCGAGGGAATCACGCATTTGCTGGAGGCGTAATATCTCGGGATGATTTGATAGAGACGTTACCATACTCTCAGGCTATGGAGCTGATGCGTTTGATTTCGTTAATTTCATGGATCCAGAGCTGTGCAATATTTTGCTGAGTGGGGGAATACCGCGAGCACTCGTTTAACTTCATTATTTATTCTTATCTATTTCCAAAATTTAAACTTGAATGGTCGTACAGCTCGTATTTTCCTCTAGTCTTTGATCTTCCGGGAATTGTACATTTATTTGCTTGTCAATCCATTTTCAATATCTCTTCTGTAGTCTGACCTAGATCGATCGCCAACCAATCTGTCTTGCGTTGCGTCCATTCAAAAAAGCGAGGTAGCTCTGAACACGAGATACAATTCCCCGCGAATTCAATCTAAAGCGCTCGTAGTTGCTCGAGTTAGACGCAGAGTACCCGTAAGAAGTCATGCCCACGCTGGCTGTAACATAACGAGCCCACAGAGTGGCCACATATTCCTCCACGCTGATGATAGGCATTCCGTCATGAGGGAAAACAGACTCTCGGTATTGGTCGGCTTGCTGATCAAACAAATCAAAGCTCGGAGCACTGACAATCCGACAACGGATGCAGCTTTGTTCATATAGCTCGTCTGCAGCACGGATAGTGTGGTGCAAGCTCGTACCGCAGCTGACCAATGTCAGATGGGCATCCGGATGCTCCTCAAGTACGTATGCTCCTTTGGATACATTGAATCTACTTGTCGCTGGTGCGTGATCGACTGGATCACGTGCAACGGAGATCATTGTTGGACTGCTTGCAGATTCCACTGCCCACATCCAAGCGCCGATCACCTCTTCGGCATCTGATGGCCGGATGTATGTGAGATTTGGCATGGCGCGATATAAGGAATCAAGCTCCACTGGCTGATGAGTAGGGCCATTCTGGCCTTCGGCTATTCAAAGTTAGGTGGTTATCTTGCACGCAGTTCCGAAGCAGCTTACCGAACGAGTCATGAGTTGCGATATGAATTGTAGGAAGATGACTGAGAGCCCCCATACGCACCCCAGGCGCTGCCTGTAAGATTTTTGAGCTCCTTGTCAGCTTGTAAGAGGAGATGGGAATTAATATTGGGAACCTACATAGATGTAGAATATCAAGAATGTTGCGGTGACTGGCAAAAAGGTTCCCGGGTTGTATGCTGCGAGTCCATTTGAAATAGAGGCCATAGCATGCTCCCTTATTCCATATCTGATGTATCGGCCCTGGTAACTGACTGATGGATGGAAAACATCGGTGTCAGAGTAAACAAATTTGTTGGAGTTAACAAGATCTGCGCCGCCACCACAAAATGAGGGGCACTCCTCCCAAAGGTACTGGAGAACGATTCCATTTGACTCTCTGGTTGGCATTTTGCTGAGTTGGCTACTGTCCAGGTCTTGGAGGAGTGACCGCAAGTCCGGCTTCGCACCCCGCAGTCGTAAGGCGAAATCACGTGCCAACTCGGGGTATTCAAGAGTGTATTTCATTAACAAATGTTCCCAGCTCTTTTCCAAGGCCTCTCCATGTTGTTTCCGTTCGCGGAAGTAGTTCAGGCCACGAGAAGTTGGATTGTGGGTTTGGGAGGGATCTTGCCCAATCGCCAACTTGGACTTCGCAACGCTTTGCGCGTCAAAGCTTCCGTGATGTGCTTTCGCGGTCCCAGCTGTGCTAGTACCAACACCGATTATGGTGCGAATGTTGATAAAAGTGGGCTTCCCTTTCAAAGATTGGGCATATTTCAGAGATGAGCAAACGGCTTGAACGTCATGACATCCATCCATTACATCAAGGACATGCCACCCCGAGGCCCGCATTTTCTCGTTGATATCCTCGCTATTAATCCAAGAAAGAGGGCCGTCACAAGTAACACCATTGTTGTCGTAGACCAGAACCAAATTATCTAGTTGCAAATGACCTGCCAGCGCAATTGCTTGGAGTTTTCTTAGTATATCGTCGCTTCATAGTTTTGGAGCTGGAAATACCTTCAAGCGCAACACCTTCCATCAAACAGCCGTCACCCGTCATGCAATAGATTCGAGAGCTTACGATTTCATACATAGGCTTATTAAACCGGGCTGCTAGGTTCTTGGAAGCAATAGCCAAGCCAACCGCGTTGGCGATTCCCTGTCCAAGGGGCCCCGTGGTAACTTCAATACCAGGGCATTCGATTTCTGGATGGCCATGTGCAATGGTGGTGAAGCCATTTTCTTTCGCGCTTCCATACCCCTTTAGCTCATTCATTGTCCAGGCATCAAATCCTGTCAAGTGATTGAGCGCGTACAGGAACATCGCACAATGACCTGACTTTTCTCGTCAATGTGGATAAATCGTCGGGCCCCAGTGGATACACATACCATTAGAAAGTACAAATCGATCTCTGTCAAACCAGTCTGGATTTGAGGGGTTATACCGCATGGTGTACTTCCATAAAGCCACACCTATTGCAGCCATGCCAATAGCAGATCCACCATGGCCTCCGCCATTCTGGTTGCAGATGTCTAAAATCAAATTTCTCAGGGTAATGACGGCATGCTCATCGTCGGGCATGTTGTCCGCGTCCTTGGGGTTGGTTTCAGAGAAAGTCATGATAGTTGGCAAGATATTTGGTCTAAATAGAAAATTGAAAGGGAAGTACCTGATAAGTATGTCAAATGGCTCTGTGGCGAGTCTGACCTTTGTCTTATAAGATGCTCGGAATCTAAGCTTTGTGCCGGGATTGAATTCCCGAGAATTTTAAAAGCAGACAAGTGAGGTTATATAATCCCGGACGCCCTCTCAATCAAATCCGCTCCGGAAAGTGAAATAGCGAATAAAATGTCGGGTCTTCCGTTTGTCTTAAAGTTGGTAATATGGCGGAATGTCCGCGGTCGGCAAGTGCTACCGCCATGGAGCCCTCATGCTCTGGAAGGTTTCGACGGCTAATCAGTAGGCCAAGTTCGACTGTCTCGCTCATTACGGCGATATTTACCGCGGCGTCCTGGATACCCTAGAAGTTCCGCGCACAACAGGGCTATAGCCTCGAAATCCGCAAAGAGGCTCCATGCCAAGCCTCTACTTGGCTTGACAGATTTCTGTGGCGTCTCTTTTCCCATCTCAGCTGGCCTTCGATCACTCGATTGCTGGGCATACCTAGGATAAATGAAATATACCGTTACTATTGAGAGCGATGGAATAAAACAAAGTGTTGCATACTTGCATACTTGTCAATTTTGATATCATTTGATTAGAAATTAACGACTGTCTTGATAACCAACTTAGACTCAATGTCTCGTGTCTTACTAGCAGTGTCATAGGCTGATGGAACAGAGTCAAGCCCGACAAACCGATGCGTGATGAGCTTCGTGATGTCTGGTCTGAGAGCATCAACCCTCATACCTTCCATGATCTCAATTGCCCGAGGATAGCAATTAACATAGCGCCACACTGACACGACGTTGATCTCGCGGCCCGTGAGCTCCGCGATTGGCCATGTTTGTAGGGCAGTTCCCATCCCCACAAGCACAATGCCCCCGCCATTCGTAGTCGCCTAGATGAAATCAGTCGTGGGGCTAAGTTTGAGAATTGGAATTGGAACTCACATAGATTGACGTTTGCACGCAACTTTCGACTCCTGTACACTCAAAAATGTGGTCAAGCTGGCCAACCTCATCTCCTCCTGGCCATTTCAACTTCCCGATCTCTAGAGCTAGATTCTTCGCAATGGAAAGACGGCTTCCGATGGTCTCCCCTTTCTTCGGGACGACCACAAACCCTACATCTGCAAAACTATGTTCCAGGGCGAACGCAACCCGACCTTCATCAATATCGGCAATCACAACAGGGCATTCATGTTCGATTTTCGCAACAGCAGCACACAGGAGACCGACTGCCCCGGCTCCAAAAACTAAGCATCGTGCCCCTTGCTTCATACCAGCTCTGTTGATTGAATGAATGCAGACGGATAAAGGCTCCAGCAAAGCACCATCATCATAAGAGAGTGCATTGGGTAGCCTTACGATCATTTTTTATCAGCCGAAGTCCTCTTCCTAAACAAGCACAATACTTACTTGTGGCACCACTCTGCGGGGTGGTCGACGTATTCTTGGAGTGTTCCTTGAAAATGAGGAAATGATGCGCCGCTGCTTCGGAAGCGCATTTCGGCGCAAATATTGTATCGGCCAACTTTGCATCTCTCGCATTCCAGACAAGCAACACCACTCTCAATTGCCACTGAATCACCGACTCTGAAATTCCCAGTACTCAGTGCGGTCGCACCTACTTCCACCACTTCACCAGCTGCTTCATGCCCACCACACAGAGGTTCTTTGACTTCGATTGATCCATTTTTGCCGAATTTGAAGTAATGCAAGTCGGAACCACACAAAGTTGTTGAGCGGATACGGATTCTCAAGTCAGACGGGCCGATAATGCGCATCGGTCGCTCCTCGAGACGCAGCTGCTGCGAGCCATGCAAGTATTGGCCCTTGCTGATAGCGGGAGAACTAGCCATTTTTTGGGGGGGGGGGGGGGGGGGGGGGATGGAGTTTCTCGAAGTGACCTTTAGTAACCAAGTCCGTCACATAGAACGTCTCGGCGGAGAATCCAACGCCTCCACATATACTAGAGCCGTGAAATGAGTTCCGGCCTCCAGAACATGTCCTCAACCCAAAGTTCGTGAGGATTCCGAGTCCGACTGCCAGCAATTCCAGATGAATTAGGTCCGGGATTAGTCTCCCGGAGACGAACCAAGTCGTTGGAGACAAAAGGCAGCAGCAAGACGGTGACTTGGAAATCAGCTTTTACTCAATCTTTCCGAGCTTTGTGCCCTCTACAATCATCTGTTGCACCATCATCTTTTGTGGCCAAAATGGCGTCCTCTTATTCCCCCACCGCCATCATCATTGGCGCTGGTCCTGGTGGTATCTCAATGGCCTACCGTTTAAAGCACGAATTGGGATTTAATGATTTCCTGGTATATCTACAATTTATCAACGGTTGCGCAGAGGGATATTGACATGTTGCAGATATACGAGAAGCTAGATGGTGTGGGCGGTACTTGGCGATCAAACTCCTATCCTGGCTGGTAAGATTATCAACAAGAGCCAGTTTTTATCAGGATCATTGACAATGGCATTTCAGTGGATGTGACCTTCCTTCGCATCTTTACTCTTTCAGTTTCAATCTCAACGCTAATTGGTCCAAGGAATTGTGTGAACAGCCTGAGATCTTGCAGTGTTAGTCAGCAGGTTACGCTGGATTTTCCAGCTACCGAGCCACAAAATATTGGCTAACAAAATCTTACAGACATTGAAGACACAGTCGACAAGTTTGGTCTACGACAACATGTCATTACCTCCGTGGAGTGCTTAGGTGGTGCTTGGAACGAGGACGAAAAGGAGTGGACTGTCCGGTTCCGCGACCTGCAAACCGGGCTGGAATTAACGCGTCATGCGACTGTTTTCATTTCCGCAGTTGGTGCCATCTCATTTCCCCGGGATGTGAAATTCAAGGGGATGGAGAATTTCAGGGGTGGCGTGTTTCACACTGCGCGCTGGGACCACGCAGTCGACTACACTGGCAAGAGAGTGGTAAGTAATCGCATCGTAACTTCCACCCATTCGAACAATTGAAAGTCTAAACTTCTGTCAGGCGGTCATTGGAAATGGCTGCAGCGCCGCCCAAGTCGTGCCTGCGGTCGCGAAGAGGGCAGCTTTCGTGCAGCAATATGCCCGCAGTGCACAATGGTATCACGCTCGGGTAAGTCGATTGTGATATCGATTTTGTTAAGAACATCTGTTCTGACTTGTTACTATCAAAAGCCAAACAGGTCATTTTCGCAACTTGAAAAATGGTTTTTCAGATGGCTGCCCCTCTGGCAGCGATGGCTTCGCCTGCGGATCTTCCTCCAAGCAGAGCGGGAGGCTTACACTTACTTTTCTTCGGAGGCTGGTGTCCAAGCAAGACTCGCAGCGGAAGACGAGTCTCGAGAATACATTCTCTCTCGTACTCCGCAGCAATACAAGAAGGCCGTGGTGCCTGATTTCCCACTTGGTATGGAACCAACTCGCTGTACTGAGAGACCAAAACTTATACTCTCAAACAGGTTGCAAGAGACGCATTTTTGACCCCGGCTATCTTGACTCTCTGCATCAGCCCAACGTAAACCTTCGCAATGAGGGGATCCAGGAGTTTACCGAGAACGGAATCATCGGATCTTCCGGTGTTGAAGACGAGTTTGATATCATTGTGCTTGCGACCGGCTTCCAGGTGTCACAGTTCCTGGCCCCAATGGAAATCTATGGTCGGCATGGCATCTCCCTGAATAAGCAGTGGAACGAGTCTCGAGGCGCGCAGGCTTACTATGGGACTTTCGTGCACAGCTTCCCCAACTTGGGCATCATGTAAGTGCACAGAAGAAAGAAGTATAACCGGTCTAGCTTACACATACATAGATTTGGCCCCAATAGCTTCCCTGCGAACAACTCTGCTTTGTTTGCTTGCGAAACTCAAGTTTGCTTCGCTGTGAAGGCCCTCTTCGAGCCAATTCTCGACCGTCGAACTCGAGTGGTGGAGGTAAAGCAATCAGCAGAGGAAAGGCATACAATATCCCTACAGGAGAAGCTCAAGGGCACTGTTTTTGCAGGAGATTGCTCAAACTGGTATATTAACGAGTATGGGCGAAATGCCGCTTCGTGGCCAGCGAAGGCTACCTTGTTTTGGCTGGAGACCTACCTGCCCAACTGGAATGCTTTCATCTGGAAGAATGGCTCAGCGTCTTGGCCCCTTTACAGATTTTCTAGATGGCTGAGAATGGGATCCTGGTACTCTAAGGCAGCCATTGCGGCGATATTCGCCATGGCGCTATCTCGGAGCGGAGCAGGTGGCGCCTTCGAAGTCACTGGAGTTTTTGAAAACTTGCGTGAGTGTATTGGAGCTCTGGCCGCCTATATTGTTAGCTAGTATACCAATATTTATTGTAGACTAGATTAGTCAATAAATTTTTCTAATACGGTCTCGAAGAAAATTTTTGACTGGCAGTTGGCCGGAGGTACGCATAGTGTTTTGCGAATCTTGTATCGAGTTCAGGTAATTCTCTTCTTTCTCGGATAGGTCTACTCGTTTCCTACCAGAGACTTGAGTAGATTCCCGCTTAAGCTCACACAATCGAGGGCCATTGTGTAATACTATCAAGTGTTTATTGGGACGCGAGGGGTAGTCAGCGGGATGAGGGGCAGTTAACGGGATTTGAATCCCGAGCAGTCGACTTAAAAGGTAACCGCAACTATTTCTCGGGATTAAGGGGATGTCATTCTTGGTCCCTCTCTATTTTATAATTTCACTCGATCTCAAAATATTCACTCAAGATGATGAAAACAAAAGCCAATATCGGTGTTGTTGGATTAGGTCGTATGGGCCAACGTCATGCACTGAACATTCTTCACCACGTTCCCCGTGCTAAGCTCTTCGCTGTTTGTACACCAGCACCCCATGAGATCGAATGGGCTAAGACAAATCTTGTGCCAGAAGGGGTGCATACATTTGAGTGTTTTGACAAGATGATTGACATGCCCGGTCTAGACGCTGTGGTCATCGCGTCGCCAACTGAGCTACACATCACGCAAACGTTGGCCGCAATCCAACTCGGGATACATGTGCTTTGTGAAAAGCCGATCACGAGGGACATGGCTAAGGTAAGATATTCCATTTGCTCTTTGAATTAGTAGTCCTAATGATACGTTCGTAGCTGCGTGACTTCATGGAAACGGCAAAACAACATCCCCAAACAAAGGTCATGGTTGGATTCGTCCGCCGATTCGACGAGAATTATATGGACGCCATACAGAAGGTCAAGAGCGGCGCTGTAGGTGAACCTATCATTGTGCGGTCGCAAGGCGCTGAGAAGCTTGACAAAACTGGCTTTTTTATCGAATACGCTCGGCAGAGCGGTGGAATCTTCATAGATACCGTCGTTCACGATATTGACTTGACTTTGTCTATCCTGGGCGAGAATATCAAGCCCAAAGCACTTTGGGCTACTGGAATCATTGCTCATCATCATGAAATGAAAGATTTCAAGGATGCCGACAACGCCGTCGGTGTCGTTGAATTCTGGGGTGGCCGAATCGCGCACTACTATCACTCTCGTACGACCTCACACGGGTATGACAATTGCACAGACATCATTGGCATGACCGGGAAAATATCTATCAATTCTGTCCCTCACTATAACAGGGTCCAGGTGTCGAACGCATCTGGAATTGTGCAAGACTGTACCCCCAGTTGGATCGACCGATACCGAGAAGCCTTTGTGACTGAGCTGAATGAATTCACGGATGCTATTTTGGACAATAAAGAACTTCCAATGAGAATTTCCGCTGCCTACACAGGGCTCAAGATCGCAACTGCCCTGCAAAAAAGCTTAGAGACGGGCCAGAAGATTGAGTTTGATGAAAATGGTGACTCGATCATTTCCGATGGCAGATAGACGGTTTGGAACTACAATTCCGACGTTGGATAGGACAAAGTACTTGCTTGGACCAGTTTCTACACTATTCTATATCTCAATTAAAAGGGTGACAGTTTTGACAGCCCGCATGCGGGATTTCGAGAGCCACTTTATTTCTAGGCTCTTTTGGTTTTGTTCGCCATCCTTTTTGCTATTCCTCAAACGTCAGTCAGATAATTGAATCGACGTCATGATCGGTCAGGCATCCCGGTGGGTTCCTAACTAAAGCAATTCCGTAGCCCGATGATTGAGAATCGTTCAGCTCTTGGTTTGATGTCTATTTGGCAGAGAGTGACATACGTTAATGTTTTTTAACTTCATATGATAAAAAAAATAAATTATATGTGGCCGCGCAATGTCCGGCTTCCCCCTCAAGCTAAGGTCAATTGACCTGTGCACAAATCGTGCCCAGGCTTCTCGCATTGTCTTGAAATATAGATAGAAAGCAATCTTTTGTTTGGTTTCACTCATCGCGTTCTGTTTGCAAAGGCGTTTATTTTAGGTAGATGATTGCAATTCCCAACACCACCGTTTAGGATTCAAGTGGTGGATGATATGTGATAACTATAATAGAATAACGGACCAAATTAAAGCCTTAATCGTATCTGCTTGAGAAAATCGTGGGCAGTGGTGTGTCCAGGGCGGTGGGTCCCACCACCGCCCACTCCACTCACTTCTCCACCCACTCGACCTTCTTCTCTTCCTTCCTTCTCTCTAGTTAGCCCAGATAGTTTGAATGGACTCTTTCACTGTTCACTGGCTAGCTCACTCATTTAACCAGTATCAAACTATCCAATAATCCCAAAACCAAAATACGTTGCAAATAGTACACCGGACAGCTTCTATCCCGCATATACTGATACGGGCATCTACAGCTTATAGTTTCCAGATGAAACTTGCATACCTCCATCGACAACAAGATCTTGCCCAGTGACATAAGAGGAAGCATCACTTAATAAATACAATGCAGCCATCTGAAGGTCTTCTGGTGTCCCGACACGCCCAAGGGGTGGCGCCTGATGGAAAATTTTTAACAACTCGGGTCGATGAGTGGCAATCGAGAGATTCATGTCGGTGGCAATGTATCTGAATTTGTTTGAGCGACAAGTTCTCGGCACATCAGGAACCTCACTTACCCAGGAGAAACGGTATTCACGCGAATTCCATCTGAAGATAGCTCGTGAGCCAGACTTCTTGCCATTGAGAATACAAACCCTTTGCTTCCCGCATAGGCAGTCAGTAGATGACCAGGGCAGACATGCTGCGATGATTGTGAGCAAATCATCAAGACGCTTCCCTTAATAGCGTGCTGCTTCATATTCTTCACAGCATTTTGCACCGCAAAGAATGTTCCTGTCTCCTAATTCTATAGTAAGCATTTGGTAATTATGTAGCCGACGACATACACACATTCACAGCTTGGAGTTTCTGAATATCTTCCCACTTATGCTCCACGAATGGCTTGTCAACACAGATACCGGCTGCCGTGATTCTGCCCAGCATTGACATGTCAGTTATACATATCCTTTTAATAGTGGAAAGTAGCCTAATCTCACATTCCGTGGATGTAATGTAGCTTCTCAAGGATGTTGGCAAAAGTGCATTCGACCTCCTCCTTCTTAGTCAGATCACAACTATCAAAGTCAGCTATTTGTTTATTTGTGATCCTGCCGTCCAACATGATGGTTTACCGGTAGTAGAGAAGTTGTTTTGGATTCCTATTCCGCCACTCGAGAAATGTGGGATCAGGCTCGGATAGAACGTCGGTGACCACTACGGTGGCACCAGCATCCAAACAAGTTTTCGACAGCGCCATGCCAATTCCACGACCACCACCTGATAAAGGAGTCAAAATGTTTTTGCAGGGCCTTGATCTTGGATTGAGTGCCGTTTACCAGTTACTAAAATCACTCGGCCACCGAGACTGAAACGAGCTGTCAAAGGAGATGGAATGTTTTCTTCGGATGACATGGTGTTCGTCAACTTCTGGGGTGATTGAGCTGAAGCAGAAAGTAATATTGGAACAAAGGGAAAACCACAAGACGAGGCTCCGGATCATATTTATATTTGCGATATATCCTGTAGCGGAGCCTCTGGGTCGAAAGTGACCATCCGGGACTCATATTCCGCCGGGAATCAGTTTCGATGATATTTAGAAGCCGTTCTTTCTGTCTGAATATAATATAACTTCTTTATTATCTGTATTTATCCAGAATTTGTTCAAATAGAAGGTGCCGGGATGAATCTTGCATTCACCATCCTGTCAAATGTAGTCCGATAACCCTGAACGGTATCAATTTGCTCGTTGAAACCAATGGATCGAGCCGCCTCGAGAGAATACTCCCGGGGAAAGTCGAAATCGACAAGCATGAAGTTAGCATGGCCCCAGTTCTGGGACTCAATGAGGCCCTTCTTCAAGCTGTGAGTCTCGACCAAGCGGTCCCAGGTCTTCTTTGCCTTTGAGACGAAATCCTCCATGTTTTTCTGCTTTCCATCTGGCTCAACGCCACAGAGGCCAAAGTAAGAGCAAATTCCGGGCCAAACCTGAGCCCAGGTAACAGGTTCTCCATCTCCACAGTTGAAGCTTGATCCATTAGGACATTTGTCACGGTTGAGAGCGGCAAAAATCTCCATCTTAGCAAGAATATCTTGGAAGGTGTCGGTGTGGCGAGTATTATAGCCGTGTGGCCGACCAGGGAATGGAACCTTAGCATCCTTTCCATTTATCTCCCGGTACAGAGTCAGATAGAAAGCAATGCCATATGCCATGTTCATGACGTTCGTCCCAGGAGCAAACCCAACAATTCCATCTGGCCGGATCTCAGAGAAATTCCACTTTTGGCCTTCAGATAGTCTCTGTAAAAGATCGTATTGATCGTAGTAGAAAATATTCTCTCTCCATGGCAACGGAATGCGTGGCATCTTCTCGTGGAGGGGGGCTGGATTTTCACCTCCTCGGGAAATTCCAATCCGTACCCCTTCCCACCGGTCTGCAGAATGATCGCCTCAAGCTTGTGTGAAACAGCGGAAATGGACTCAACAGCCGTTTGGAGGAGATTGGTGTTGACCTTGCGCAGCGACTGGAAATCGCCAGTCTGGATGTAAGCTAAACGTAGGTTAACATCTTCGGGTGCAGGAAAGAACAACTAACGTGGCAAATACCTACCACAAAAGAAAACCACATTGACCGACTCGACTTCGTTGACCTTCTCCTTGAGCTGAGCCATGACCGTCTCAACAGACTGTGTCAGGTCAATGCCCGAAACAATCCTGACGCGTTCATTATCGGGGAGGAAAGCGTTCCTGTTGCCGAATGGTCGGTTGCACAGACCAGTCACGCGGGCAAAGGTCGTCGGGGTGGGGTATTGGAGGGTTTGGTTCATGAGAGACCATCCGGAAATTCCAGAAGCTCCAAATATGAGCGCATGCTTTCCTGTTTGAGCCATAGTGATCGCGAATGTGATGATGAGAAACGCGTCGTGAGAATGGACAGTATAGGAGCAAGAGATCGGCCCGAAGCTACAGTCGTCTTTAAATCCCTTCCGTTACCAAGGCCGATCACGGTTCAGACTCCCGGGTTTTATATCCCGGATTATTGTAAACCAAACTCTTACTTAGTTTCAACATTGAGAATGAAGATAATGGGGCTAACTATCTGACCTGCATCCGGAATTTGATTCCCGCCTGTCGCCACTCCGAAATCACCTCCCCCTCATTGTCGGGCACATTTTGCTTCTCAAAGACGAACAACAAGACGCACATTATCGTTGTTGGATATGCCACGAAGAATGAAAGACGAGAAACACGCTCGCAAGCATGTTACAACAGCTTGCACTCCTTGTCGAAAGACCAAAGTCAAAGTATTCTACGCTCGCAATACTAATACGTCCCCTCATCCACACTGACCATTCGTTCTGCTAGTGCGACGGTACCATACCGACTTGCAGAAATTGTCAGAGCAAGGGAAAGGACTGCAGTTATCGCCAGCGTGATGACAAACGGACGTATGACATCATACGTGCAGAAACCTTTGGAGAATTTTTGCTAATCCTCCTGCCAGAATACGAGTGCGCATTGCAGTTACATTGCTTGCCAAACGAGTTGGCTCGCTGTCCCAATATATCCGGGACTGTGGCCTTGAAGCCCCTGCTATGGATGGGGAGGACCAACAGAATCTCAAAAATATTCTCCAAGCCCTCGGAGTAGATTACGAAGAGATCCGATCGGGGTCTCGCATATCGAATCACTCGGGCAATGCCCCAGATCATAATAACTACCTTGCAGGATTGCCTCCGCAAGTTGACTTCTATCAAGGAAGTGTGAATGACAACTGTTCTCCTCATTTCACGCCAGATCCCTGTAGGAATGGCAGGGACACGAATGCATCAGCGATAATTCTAACAAACCCGAGCCTTAGTACGGCGGAGGAAGAACTACAAGATGACGCAGCGCTGCTATATCACGACAGTCAGATTCCTTTGCCCATGGACGCCATGCAAGAGGCGGCACCACGAACCAATATACCACCAGACCCCCAGATGCCCGAGGGTGATCCATGCCATTTGCAGCCTGGTGTGGAATGTGATGGTCTCCCAGATGCGGATGCTGATGACGAGTTTACAAACCAACTCGCTTGCCGGCTTGGGCGACTCCAATTGACCCAGGATGGGCAATTGCGATACTTCGGGTCGACATCTAATCTCACACTATTAGATGCTCTAGTCAGTGTGAATTTACCCAGTTCAAGGAACACCCAGACACACGCACAAGAAGTCCTGGAAAAAGAAAATCTTAATATCGACGTCGATGATAATCTGGAAAAGGATTTGCTTGAGCTCTATTTTGCGTGGGAGAGCCCCTCTTTGTATCTTGTCAACTATGAGGTTTTTTGGAAGACGAGAAAACAAAACAAACGAGATGGATCAGAGTCTCCATATTACTCTCGGCCCTTAGTGGACTCAATGTGAGTTTCCCAGACAGACTGAAAAGGAATGATACCAATAAACCATTGTAGGTGTGCCTTAGGTGCTGCATATGTACCCAAATTCCATCCGGAGCTTGTTACATTCCCCCGGTCATTGTCAGAATTCTTTGGTGAAAGAGCCAGAACTCTCTTAGAGTGTGAATTCGAAAACCCATCGCTGTCAACGATCCAGACCCTGGTTATTCTTAGCCACCACGAAGCATCAAACACAAAAGACACTCGAGGATGGCTATATAGTGGTGAGTTTGGCAATGATATCCAATTAGTGCAACACTCATGATTCAAAGGAATGGCAATGCGACTTGCCTTTGATCTAGGCCTTCACCTTGACATGACTCCCTATGTGGAGAAAGGCATCATTTCAATTGAGGAATGCAGGATGCGACGTACCATATTTTGGGCCGCTTATCTTAACGAACAGTATGTCTTTTTGGGGGCCTCTTTCTTAGTCATGTATTTTTACTTACTCTGTCAGGTTTTGGGGCTATTATTTGGGTCGCTCGGTTCGTAGTCCTATGGCCGGAGTCACGGTCCAAAAGCCCCATTGGGATGGCTCTCAATCACCCGCGACATGGAAACCATACAGTTGCTTACAAATCATAACGCAAAATCTCTATAACCCGCTCGAGATGATATGCCAATGGTGGGTCGCCCTTTACGATCTTATGATGCCACTTACCGATGTTTTGTGAGTCGTTCCGCATGTATCCTATCCCTCATCGCATTACATATACTGATCATTCGGGCAAGGTATGGTTGTTCTGAGATCTCGAAGGACGCTCTTCAAGAATTGACGGCCATTACCGTTGGTCGACTGTATGAATGGAAGAAAAAGCTACCGAATGATCTTGATGTCGATTTAACCAAAGAACGTGAGCTGTGTTTACCGCATGTCCTCACCCTGCAGTAAGTTGACCAGAATATGAACCCTTTTTATAGCACGCTTGCCGATCTGACGGAGAAATAAGTATGCAATACCATCAGTTCATGATTCACTGTCACCGCCCCTACATATCAAAACATTACATCCAGCCTCAGCCACCACGGGGACCCGGCTCTTCCCATGCGCGCAAAATGTGCATCGAGTCCGCTATTTCAATTGTTAAAGTCCTCGTCATTTACGCAAATATCTACGGTTTTAGGAAGGCAAATGTGCAGATGGTTTCTTTTACTTTTTCTGCAGCACTGATCTTGATTTTCACAACTGTCCCTGCGCAATTCAAAGGCCCTAATAAGGAGCATACCAAGTACCTTGGCATATGCTTCTGGGCTCTGGATGAAATGGGAGGCTGCTTTGAGAATGCCAAACGAACAAGCACATTCTTGAGCACACTTCAACAGCAGTGGCATAAACGCAGACATACTGTGACTGAACAAGATAGCAAACGTGTGTCTGAGACCCAAGAGCAATGTCACGACGACCAACCCTTCTCTGGGAATGAACGGAACACTCAGGCATGTTCTGAGTACTATCAGCGTCGCTTATCAAGACAGGTCTCTGCGTCCATCGATATGGATCTGCCAGCTGGCTACTGGACCCAAGACAATATATCAGCTAGCGAAGAAACCTTGGACATGGGAGATTTCATGAATCTTGATTTATGCAACATTTTGCTGAGTGAAGGAATCCCCAGATCATTAGTCTAATCAATTAGTTGCGCTTATTACTAGAATGAATCCCATTGGTCCATAATATATTTTTTCTCATTTGAAACTATTCCTACATGTTTTCTTAATTTCATTCACCTTTTAAATGAGATGTAGTGATTGGTGTGAATTCTAATTCTTGTCTATTCAAATATTCAAGTGTAAGTGCTCCTTTCATGCCTGCAACGACAGCAGCATAGCGGGCCCACGATGTGCTATCACGATTTATTTAACACTCACGGCTATTCTTCCTTCCAAAAAAAGCCCGACTGGCAAGGTTCTTTTGGGAAAAGGGAAACCATGATGCTAACAAATCCTATCACAATTGGATTTTGATCAAAGTCAGTGTTTTACTAGGTGAGTGGTCCTGGTTTTGTGCTGAAAGATCCGTGTTTTATTTCATGAGATACATTAGCGACATTGATATAACTCGTTTCAATGTGATGATAGATAGAAAACACCGCTGCGCTTTTCAATGAAACTCTGATATGAAAAAGTATAATTCACCGGATTTAAAATTCCTGAACTGAAAAGGCTGGGCTCCTCAAAGATTGGTGGCAAATGTCATGAGAAAACCTACAATATTGTGCACGCAACATTTGAAATGATATTGAAAAATGGTTTAGAAATTTAGAAACGCATTAAACACGCATAAAGGGCCAATATTATAAAGCTAGGTAGTATTCATGGTGGTTCAGAGGGCAGATGAGAATAATTAAACCCGGCATAGGGAATCCGCTCGTACGGCTGCCTAGACTGCGCCCACCCCCTACCCCGCATTATTACCCCAGATTCTGCCCCCCGTTTTCCCATGGGGCTTAGCTTCATTCCAATCATCCACCCGGCAACCTCAGTCCGACAGCCAACGCAAATTGGACTACAGCAAAGTTTCGGGATTCGTTTCCCTTTTATTTTCAACATATATATATATATCATCTAAATGTTTCATGTCTACCACAATTATCCTATCTTACCCCGACTTGATTCTGATCTTCCGTAAATCACAGCAAATATCAATGTCACCATGTGGCTCGAACACGTCGAAGGATCAGTTCTTACTACCTACATTACATTTACCTGCGCCGCTGGTTTTGCTCTCTTTGGTTATGACCAAGGCATCTTCGGTGGTCTTCTACAAAACGAGTCGTTCGTCAAAACGTTCAACGCCCCCGACTCGACACTCGAGGGCCAGATAACGGCAACTTATGACCTCGGATGTTTTTTTGGCGCTCTGTTCGCAATGTGGCTGGGAGATAAATCCGGTCGCAAGAGAACGATACTTTGGGGTTGTGTCGTCTTGATTATTGGAGCCACTATCCAAGCAACCTCTTTTCGCGTATCGCAACTGATAGTGGGACGGTTCGTTGCTGGTCTTGGCAACGGCATGAATACTGCGGCAATTCCAGTATGGCAATCAGAGACGGCAGCGGCACGTCATCGAGGCAGATTCATTATTCTCCAGTTGTTCCTCAATCAAGTGGGAAACGTCATAGCCCAATGGATTAACTACGGCCTCACGTTTGTGGCTGGAAACAGTGTGGCTTGGCGATTTCCCCTTGCGTTTCAATGTGTATTTGCTATCTTGACCCTCATTTTCCTGCCATGGCTTCCCGAGTCACCGAGATGGCTGATAATGAAGGCGCGGAATGAAGAGGCCTTCTCTGTTCTGAAGAGGCTCGGAGCTTCATCTCGCACCGAACAATGCAACACTGAGGTTTTCAATGCCATCGTCCAAAACGTCCGACATGAAATGGAAGCACGCAGGCTCAGTTTCAAGGCTCTGACAAAGAGCGATAGCCTACACACTACTCGCCGTGTTCTGCTCGGAGCAGGCACCCAACTCATGCAGCAGTGGGGAGGTATTAACGTCATCAATTATTACCTGCCGGTCGTATTCTCTTCTCTCGGAATAACTCGGAACTTATCGCTTATTTTGTCGGCTTGCAATGCCATGAACCTGATGATATCTACCTGCTTCGGCGCTCTCTATATAGAGACGTTTGGACGGAAGCGAATGATGTTATGGGGTGCTGTGGGGCAGTCGGTCTGCTTTACTCTAGTTGCTATTGGTCTCGCTCTTGCTACAAAGCCATGGGAGGCAGTTGCAGTGGCATTCGTCTTCGCCTACTATACGACTTTTGGTTTATCTTGGATTGCTGTGCCGTGGATGTACCCGGCTGAGATCAACACACAGCGTATGCGCATTGCTGGAGCTGGCATTGCCACGGCTACAAATTGGATTAATAATTACATCGTCGTTCTGGTCACGCCAATTGGGATTTCTAATATTGGTTGGAAATATTATCTGATCTACGCTGTCTTGAATGCCGTGTTTGTTCCGGTCCTTGGATACTTTTATGTCGAGACAGCTGGTCTCTCCCTTGAGCAGATCGACACGATGTTTGAAAGTAAATACGCCATAGAGTCCCTTCCGATTGATTCGACATTCGAACAGAAGACAGAGAGAAGTGATGATGATAAAGGTGCACACATGCCACAGATTGTTCATACGGAATGATCAACAGTATTGTGGGCGGGCAAAATCCAAAAGCTGCTGTTCTGGTCATATCCAATACACGCCATTTCACATGGCCATTCAGGATGATTGTTCAACCACTCTCCCCGTCCAACTACCCTGAACTTGGACAGCAAGAATTTTTCATAAACGGATTTGATCTTGTCTTTGCAAATTCAATTTTCATGCTCGTCATTGAGCTTCAGACACTACCCCATACATTTTGTGCTTTTGGGTGTACTTGGCCACCATGAGACCACATACTATGCCGTCGGATATATGCAGTTCCTAGTATGTTATTTCGAGGTATTAACAGAAGAAGATAAATTGCTTTCATGCTCAAGGCCAAGCAGATATCTACCGTTCACCAAACTTCTGGCTGATCAGCGTGGGGATTACCATTTTTTCGATTCACTCTTGATCACATACATTTCTCAGCCATTCTTGTATGAACCGCTTCACACAACCAACGCCCAACGCCATCCTCACGTGTTCGCTCTATTTAGCGCTCCGAAATAGAGTGGCTTTAAAGTACTAATCGAGGCAGTATTCATCATGTGGAAAGGTTAAACAATTGTGCTTGGGTACCAGAATCGTAGTCTTATTGTAACAGATTCGGTTTGCATAGATTATCTGTATTATTGTCGCAGCATTAGAATCATGGGTGTGAGGCACGTTCCGATGGCTTTGAAGCCAGGCTTCGAGCCCATTTCAAAATAATGCGCGCACCAACCATGTGACAAATTTATGGCTTTTTGCTACCGCGGGTGCTAGACTCGCCACACGGTCAATTCAAAATGGCATCTTCTGGGACTTTCGAACAGTTGCGACCACCACTCTAGAGGTAGTTGCATATATCGTCCTAACAGACCTCTGTCCACGGAGATTGAGATTGGATCAGACCGAGAAACGGCTCCGGAGAGAGCCAAAACAGAGCCGTCCACGTCGGACGGCACTGTCTATTCAGATGCCTCGGGATGCGAGGGCCGCCTAGTGCCACCATTGCGGCTCTCAACAGCAACCAGGAGGTCACCAGGTGCATGTAGCGGGACTCAGTAGCATCTTCTATGCGATCAGCACGGTATTCAAGATCACCCTTCAAAAGTTGAGAAGCTTAGACTGTAGATGAAATCACAGCGAAGATCCTATGCGATAGTGGGTCAACCTTGCAGGCAGTTCAAAACGCGAGGAACAAATATGGACAACGGATCGTGCACGCGATCCTTCAAGCCACCACGGAGGTCCCAATACAGGGAATCGCGCTCCGCAACCCAGGAAAGGATGCGGCAGATCGACTCGCCAAGGACGCCGCGTGCCCAGGCAAAACTCATCCTTTCCATTACTCTCGAGGAGAAGGCTCGCATCCGCGGCAACATCATCGCTTAGTGGGAGCAGAAGTGGAGGTCATCCGCCAAAGGCGGCCGATCACCTAAGAAGGATCGACGGTACCCTGCCGGCATCGTACACCAGACAGCTTTATGGGAACGTGCCCAACCGGTCGTACCTATTAACATAGTTACGCATGGGCCACAGTTGGTTTATCCACCTACGCCGCGACAGGCCTTGATAGTGCTCGAAGTTCGTTTTCAGGAAGTGGTACACTCCACCTGTATGTACGCGGATATATATAGCTATTGTAGTGGGGAGACCCCCTCCCCGTACTGCATGGGCGCCATCCAGACTTTGTGACATAGCCGGCAGTATACAGTGGCCGGATAGTTAGTTCTAGAATACACCTTCTTACACCTCCCCGACCTGACCCCTACATTTGGGATTCTCGCTATTTCCTGATTGCTACGCTTGTGTTTTGTGGTGGTTTTGACCCGCACGTCTCAGCGCGTGCTGCCATCGAGCGTTCCCCTCTTCACTATATAGTAGTCGTATTCCGCATATCATATTCATCTGTGAGGGGTCAGGGTGAATGAAACCCATGCATCCATCCATCGATTGTACCTCCCTTGAGTGTATTGTTGCACATAGTTGGCAAACTGATCCTATGTTCATATTAAAAAACAACGCCTTGCAAGAAAGCCGGTTTCACGGAAATGAGACCACACCACCAAAGACACTAATTCATGTATCCCTAAATGGCTGCATATCAGATAGATTAATACTTCATTAGATTAATCATCTCTATAAGGATATGTACAAAAGGACATGACCGCTCAAGAAAAGGAGAAAAACGTGTGTTAATCTATGATGACCATTTCGCTCATATTCTGCAAGTTGTCTTAGTTAATTGAAGGGCCGCTCCCGCCTAGGATATACTAGCAAAAGGAGGTGCTCCTAGGAGGTCATGTCTAAAATAGACGCGTGATCAACGATTCGACAATAATTAAAATTTGGTAGGGTATTGACGCCTTTCCAGCTTCTTCATGTGGGGTGCATACGGCCTATGGGTCATAGAGTTTGTGCCTGCCTATAGTGATGAATGACAGTCCTAAGGCTGAACTAATCCAGAGCATAGAGACAGAGACAACGACCGAAATTAGTCTTTAGAATTCTGTCAAGGGGCGTATGTATTGCCATTGTGAAAGAAAGAAGAGACGACGGAGACCGAGTTCAGGGAAAATTCATTTCTCCTACAGAGTGGCGGATCATGGCCGTCAGCCAATGAACTCAAGTACGCAAGCCCTGGAGAATAGATAGAATGTAATATCAGGTCATTTCTTTGTTCAAGCTCCTAGCCACGACTGTAGGCAGCAAAGCGCTTATCATCGGAGGAAGTGAAACAAAGAAAGAAGCGTGACGTCTGCCAGCTGGAGCATCAGGGGTGAGCGATAGGTGCTCAGGGAGCTCCCAGGGTCGCTCTTGGTCGCTCAGGATTGCTCAATGAGCAGCTCAGGGCGGCTGGGGGACTAACTCAAGCTGGCTCCGGGAGCCGATCGCTTCCCGAGGCGGCAGTGTATTACCGTCACCTTTTTTACGTATTGAATGATTAGAATTTAAAGATCATCCGCTTTCCCCAATACTCACTTTTCACTATTATAGTTACGCACACCCAGCAACTGTTCGGGAATGATGCCCATTTCCAGTGTGCTATCGGCCCTGATATTGGCCATGCGTTAGCTGTCGCGCCACCGCAGACGTTGGACCATGTATTTTCTCGTGATTCGATCAGTTTATTCTCCAATCAATCGATTTCACTTTGAATGAGTGTCAAAACTCGCTCAATCATCCGAATTGCTTGTATTCTCCGAGGATCGTATTGTAGAAGAGCCCAACAAAACCCGACCATTTCACTTTCGTCTTCGGGGATTCTTGTAGTTGGCAAAAAAGACAAGCATGAACGGTAAGACAGACAGGAAAGCGCTGATCGGAACTGTCAAAACTATCGTCGAGGTCCGGCTTGCCCTCCTGGATGGTATGGGGGCGAGCACCAGGAGACGCATCTGTTGCTAGCCTCATATATAAATTATTTGAATCCTGTTATATTAAGATAGCTCGGCAAGCCCACGATCGGTGGCACTATCCGAACTGTGTACACCAGCGGCGGATTCAAGGCCTAGAACAAGTGGAAATCCATGTGAGCCTAGGAAAGTTCATTTGCAGACGCAAAAATGAAGATTGATTTGCAACATACCCGACACACTGCGTTCTTATAAGCTTCTTCCACACTCACACTGCACAGGTGGCGCACAAATATTTCAGAACAGGAACTTAACGCCTAGTCTGCTCCACAGGCGGATTCATTCGAAGTAGTAGGTTTGAAGATGAGGAGAGGAAATCAATCATGATATACTGGAGACGTTAATATGTCTAACAGAAATCGTAAGTAAAAAGTCCAAGTACTTGATTTGCGTGTTCCGAAGAGCCCAGCAAGGGCTGAGTGAGTTGTGAATAGTGTTCATCAGACTTTTATATCTTTGTTTTTTGAGGTAATAGAGATTGCACTCGCGCAAAGAGTCAGAGGAGTCGCTAGAGAGATTTTAGAAAATATCTAGAAGACTTGTGGTTATATATTCTTTGCTCAGGCTTGGAGGATATGGCAATTGAGAAGTCAATGAGCGAACCTGCCATCGAGGATCCTCTGGACCGAGAACCACTTTGTGATGTGGTACCAAAGCGATGCGGTCTTTGTCAAATTCAAGTAGCTCCACTCGAAAGTCCGTGTTGCAGAAATCACACGTGGCGTCGTGAGTTAGAATGAAATGTGGAAATTCCAATGTATGATTATAACTGAAGTAATGCTTGAAAAGATTCCTTATCATGGATGATACACCAGGAGCGGGAAATGCCCACAGACTTGAAAAGTTTGGGGAGGCTCCAATATAGTATCACTGGAATCTAGGATATTTGTCTTTCGGAATTTCACTGACATGATATCCTGAACGCGCAAGTATAAGCAGGATGACTTCGAGTCAAGTAGTGCATCGACTGATAATGGTGCTGTTGACTTAAGATGAGCCACAACTTCAGTATAGGCCAGTGATTTCGGGCTGATGCCATAATTTGGACCGTGGTAGAATTGTCTCATTGCGAGCTGAAGATGACTGAAAAAAATGGGTAATGCGTAGAATCTTCAAAGTACTTTCACCGGATGTAGAGGATCAATTCTCTGTTATCGCGACATTTCCGAGTGCAGGAAACTGGACTTCGAAGATTTGGGTAGCTCCATGGTGCGTCTGATATGTGAGTTCTCTTTGGTCCATTTCACTATGGAAATTGATGGAGCGCACAGCAGGCATAGCAAACAAAGCAAATTGAATCATCTCGCACCAGCCGGGTTAGAGTGGATGACGGTTCTGTTTTGTTGAGTTTGACAATTTGATTCGCGCGAATTCTGTCTTTCGGCTCTCAAATAGTTTGAGAAAATGTCGGCTTGAAAGCGAGAGGCAGTATACGTCCTCGGGCGAAAGAAAATCCGCTACTGATAGTATCAATTCCATAGGAAGCTCGCTCAGCCTGTTTGTGTTGAAGAGAATATGGTGAAGCATAAAAGCGCGAGAAATTTGCTTTGACGTGAATTGCTGAAGCTTTGTTATGGCGACGACACACTCCACCAGGCTCAGGATTATGTACCAGCACAAAAGATCCATAGGATTGCGATAAAAGGCCGGCTTGATGATGATTGGCCAAGAATCAAAATGAGGAGCAAGAAGACCGAGAGGCCCGGGCTAAAGAGACGAAAAATCTGGAGGAAAAGCGTCGAGCCCGAACAGGTTTAGCACTAAGGGCTACATACATGATGTACATTCAAGGTAAAAAGCGATTCGCGGAGGTGAGGTAAACTTCACTGCTAGTAGATTTTGGCTCGCAGGTCCGCGAATACATTGGGTATATCAGGGCACCTTCCAATCTGCGCATCGGGCGCCCTAAGCATCAGCGTTTCAACCGAGTCATTAAGACAACGCTCTCTAGTAAATCCACTCATTTTTCAACATGGCGCTTTCCAATCATTCATTTGTATTTCGAACTCTCAAGTTGGCGACGCTGAGGATTCATTTTTAATTGTCACTCTCTCTGGTAATTTTTCTTGAACAACCCCGGGGCTGGGGAGAAAAATAAGGTGAAGTAAAATATAATAACTAGGCACTGAGTAGCAAGAATAAATAATATTGCAAGCGGTGACAGAAGCATGAGCCAGAGGGAATGCAAAGACACTCAGGCTTGTTTGTACTGTGAGGCGGCACAACCTTTTTGGAAAGAGTGGCAGCACTCGGAAGCTCCTCCGACGAAGCCCCACCGCGCCGGTCCAACCTGCCGACTCTTCTTCCGCAACACCGAGAACAACTATACTACAAAGACGATACCAGGCGGTTCATGGACCATGGTGAATTCGACGTCGCGATCAGCTAACGCGTAAGGGTTGCATGCGCCGCTGGCTCTCTTGCGGGTCGGAGCTCGTGAAGAATGTGCGCTAACCTCGGCCCAGATGCGAGGCATGTCGCCGACGCAAGGTGAAATGCTCCGGCGACCAGCCCTGTCGAGCGTGCTTGAAACATAAATGGGACTGCAACTTCGGTCATTCAGGTCGAAAACGGTTCTCCGAAGCGTAAGTTGTTCCAGCTCTTGCATTTATTATATGGCGACTGGTGCTGATGATCCCGCAGTCAGGTGCAGAATCTCCTAGAGAAGATCCGCGTTTATGAGGAGCGACTTGCAGATAAACCCCCCGGTAAGTGATGACTTAAGGATCTATACACTTTTATAATCTAGACTGATACATTCAGGGACGTCGTCTCTTTCCCCGGATGCTGCCGGCTCAGGGCCGAGTCGTGTGCCCCAGCAAGCCGAGGTCGAGACGCCGGCCAACAGTGGGCCCAGAAACCAGCCTGGGGAATTTGGATACGATGGGAGTGTCGATGGAATCAGTCCCGGTAATTAGACACGCATCCGTGCAAAAAACGAGGAAACTAATCTGGCGAAAAAGCAACGGATCTTACCTCGGGACCAGCATTTGAAACCCAAGTCAAATCCCTCCTCGACCGATCGCAGTCAAGAATATTTTCCGCACGAGATCATCCCAGAGGCCGAGGGCAACAAAACTTACCGTCACAATGGGCGGCAGTGGACCCGCTGCTTGAAAACAAAGACGAGTCATTGCCTTCACTAGAGCAGTCACAGCATCTACTCGACCAGTTCCTCTTCTACCTGGGAGTTAGCCAGCACTTTTTTGACTCTCGAACTTTCTCAGATTCCCTCATGTTGCTGTTTCAGTCTCCGTTTACACGAGAAGAAGTGAAGCGATCGGCCTGGTACACTGAGTATCTTCTTGTTATGGCAATGGCGAAGCTTATGGACGTGGAAACCCCATCGCCCCATCCCCCGGGCTCAACCCTGTTCGCAGAAGCGCTGCGACGACTTCCTCCACTGCACCACCTTGGTGGTGAAGGCATCATTGCTGTGGAGATACTAACTCTCATCACTACATACCTGCAATGGTGCGATCGAAAGCACGATGCATATCTTTATGTACGTCTTTATCACGACCGGCTGCTTTTCAATTTGACTGACGGAGGCAGATCGGACTTGCACTAAGACTGGCCATTGCGCTTGGCTGCAACCTGCCAGAAAACGAGCAAAACTGCCTTCCTTCACAGAGTGCTCATCGCGTGAGGCTTTGGTGGACTGTATACATGCTCGACAGGTATGCCAACTGATCGGTTGTCCCTGGACGAACACTAAAGTAATATCTAGGCGTTTATCATCTGGGCTTGGCCTAGCCGCTGGAGCAGACGAGCGGCAGCTTCGCGCTGGTTATCCTCAGCACGCCGCGGGATTTCAGTCCCCGGTTGCCCTGACTATCAATGTGCGCATTGCACGTATAACAGATGAAATAATGTCCTGTGAGTGTCATGCCCTCATCTTCGCTTTCAATCACTGATATTATTGCAAGCCTTATATGGAAATGCAGCAATCACGCAACTTGACCTGGTCAGGAAAATCCAGGCCATTCTGCAAGAGCTGTATGAAATTGGACGATCCTTTCCACAGTCGCTAGTCTTGGATTTCAATCGACCTCTGGGGACAGTGACCCGTACAGGCTCGTCACTGTATTTAATGCTCTTTCAGGTTAGTCACAGTCTGAAATTTCCGAAATGTGCCTGATTCCGGGGCTGTGACTGACTTCAACGTGTATAGGCCATCATATTATGTACACGACCTATACTGCTACGAAGTGTCCGCCTAGAAGTTCGAAGACAGCAAACATCTGAGCCTCCCGAAGCAGTGCCAGAGGTACTTGTGCGTCTATGCGAAACTTGCAATGAAGCAGCAGTGCGGAGTCTGGCGATCCTGCACTCTCTCCAACGCCAGCAAACAATTCGTAAGTCATTTCGAGGCTAAGAGGCCGGGGCTCCCTGCTAATTTACTGCAAGCACGATATGGGTTCTTCGATCTCGATGCCACATTCTCCGCTGCATTTGTTCTCGTCATGGTCGGCTTCATAGACAACTCGCAGAACAAACCGCCCGCGGCATTGAGTCAAGCATACGACGTCCTACGGTTTCTATCTCGATCGGGTAACTCTGCCGCCGAGCAGCGTCTTCAAGATATCTCTCAGTCTTGCTCACACGTATGGCCGGATCATATCTTTGACCGGGCCTCATCAAGTCCGAACACATCGCCTCAGTCAAACCTTGTACCACGCCTCGGAGAAGATCCCACTCTAGATGCCAACAGAAGGGGAGGCACCATTGGTCAAACTTCAGTGCCTCCACCAGATTACATGGCTGTTTTCCCGGAAAGTCGGCACCGTCTCTACGACGAAAGCCGATTACTTGAGCCATGGGTGAATGCAACTGCGAATACCGGATTTGGTATGCAAGGGGACTGGGATATTGATTTGTCTGGGGAGGCGGAAGATATTTATTCGAGCTTCCAAGATCCTACTTTACCATTGACAGGTGTTGATTATATGGATTGGCTCGAGATTGAAAAAATTCTCAACGGCCCTGGGGGAGCGTGAGCTGACCGAGATGTGCTTAGGGGATCACCTTTTTGTATATGCTCTCGAACCATGACGCAATGACATGAATAACGAACAAATATTCTTCAGTGACACTGAAATTGGCAATCTGAACGATCGGAGTAGGCTCCCGACTTCGGCTGTGATCCGCCGATCAGAAACTCCTCGGCCAAGAACCGACTCAACAAGGAACCCCGCCCGCCTTGTCGGTGACATGTAGAAGCGGGGAATGGCGTAGTAGTTACATGGGGCATAAATTTGTGTCCGAAGGTGGGATTGTCGTCAAATATTGTTCGAGTATATACGAAAATGTCCTCAGATGACCAAAAAGAAGACCTCGGTCTCGCCATGGACTGGAAGCAGAATGCGAAAGACTTAACTGCAGGAGCAGCTGGAGGAGTAGCGCAGGTTTTAATTGGTGAGAGGTAATTCTTTGAAGCAATTCAAGCTCCTGCAAGTAAACAATGCTGACACCCAGAAAGGACAGCCATTTGGTATGTGATTGAGAACGTGAGATTGCAATACCTGCTCGCATATTGTCTCAGATATTGTCAAAGTTCGACTACAAACACAGGCCGGAGGCTCATCTCTGGCAACTTCTCGCGGAGTTTTGAGCAAAGAAGGAGGCTCTGCATTTTACAAGGTGATACCATTCAGTCAGCCTTGAGAATGCCGTCTACGTTCCTGCATGGCTAGGGAACATTAGTGCCACTTCTTGGAGTAGGTGCTTGTGTAAGTAGTACCAGCCCCATCCTGTGCTTTCAATTCTAATAAACCATAGGTTATCATTCAGTTTGGCGCATTCCACGGCTTCAGACAGCTCATTGAGACCTACAACATCAAATTCAGCCAGGGAGCCGAGCGCCAGCTACCGCTATCTCAGTTTTACCTGGCAGGAGGCTTGGCAGGGGTCACAAACAGCATTATCTCCGGCCCAGTTGAGCATATACGTATCCGACTCCAGACACAACCTCACAGAGCAGGTCGTATCTACAACGACCCTTGGGACTGTGCGCGAAAGATAATCCGCACAGCTGGTCCTTTGGGGCTTTACCGAGGCCAGGTTGTTACCCTCCGAGGAGAGTTATACATATCTTTTAGTTCCTGGATTCTGTATACATTTACCCTACTCTTACTTTACTCTCAATTCAATCTCTAAAAGTCTTCTCCGGAAGACCCTTTTATTATTCAATTTTTGTACCTGACCGCTGTGCTCTGTATATACCTCGTCGTATAGTGTCATTAGGCTTACACTACCTCCAATCGACGTGAACACCCTTTTTTATCAATATATCGGCTTTTCCGGTTGTTTGGAGAAGAATGGTTGGGTTTCCTTCATATTGTTACTACTAGCTGAACCTCGACGACGCCTCCGCCGAATACTGCTTCATACGTAAACCCCAATCTCCGGTCTACCATGGCTTCCTCACATACGGCGCCGTAGTTACAGGAGGCATTTTCTTGATCGAATCGCCCAGTGCCCAGTCCGCCAGCTTTTCAGGTTTTTGCTCGACCTCCACCTGCACCGCCACGATCCATTTGTAAAAGTTCTCCATGTCACCGTACATGTGTGTCCATAGATAATTCCAGTCGGTGCCCACTCCATGCTCACCATCATGGATGAACTGCGCATTTTCGTTATCAATAACTCCCTGCCGAAATTTCATAAAACATTCATAACGCTCTCGGAAAAAGGCCAGCTCCTCCGCTGTGAATGCGTCCTTTCGGTCTTCCTCGTGTGCGAGTTTATTTGGTTCATCCACGATATCGTGCAGTTCCTTCAGTAGCCTTTTGGGAAAGTTATCCGAATCGAATATAGCAAGAAGGATCCGCCAGCCATCGCCGAGTCGCTGCCGTAGTCCCAATTCCGCGCGGGAGAGTATTTTCTTCAGCGAGCGTGTCACTTCGAGTCCAAGGGCTTCGCGTCCGTACTTTCGCGCGTAGCATGCGTGGCAACGTAACCCATCGAATTTCCCCCGTGAGAGGCCATCTCCGGTTGCTGTTAGATGTTTTCCAAGGGATGAGTCATCAAGGTATGGCTGATACTCGTCGAGTTGCCATCGTGCATGAATAGAGCCCATCTCGAACATCCGAGCTTCCTTCCAATCCTCGCAGTCAGGACACCGAATCATCAGCATAGGGTAGAAGCGGTCGCGTGAGTATTGTCGGTACACTGCATAGGCGGGCGGGTCAACGTCCGGCCGTTTGTTCTTGAACATTTCCCAGAAGTGAGGGAATACACGATCCAAAGGCGTTGGGATCCTGTACTGTCTGGCCGTAGTAAGTGGGATCCGGGCCACGCCATCGCTGCCCTTTAGGCTAGGCTTCAACTGACCAGACTTGTAGCGGCATTCGTGGCATTTGCGTAGGTGTCGCTTGTTTCCGCACCGGACTTGCTCGATGGCTTTTACCTCCTGATCGAAAAGAACCTTTTTTTGCTCAGGTTCCATGTTGGTGAACTCGGAGATCGACTTGTTTTCGAAGACCGTCCAGTCGCAGCCTTGAAGCTCGATGTATCGTCCACGGATAATGGGTGAAGAGGGCAGCTCGCTCCATTTGTTTGAGATGGCGAGACTGTATCTTCGTCGAATTTTCATTTCGTCGGTAGGTAGTTTTTGGATGCGATTGTCTCGTCGAAGATGTGGCAGGCGTGGGTTAATTTTGGGTGATATTTCCCAGCTCGTGATGTCCTCTGCGGCGGGGGAACCAGGAATAGGCTTGCGGTATGCCAGTCGGAGAATGGAGTGATTGTCAAAAGACTCGTGGGGAAGTAGACGAAGACATCCACTACAGGCCCAGCGCATCGCCTTCCACTCAGGTTGAGTCCAGTCTGGGCTTAGCTGATTATTTCTCGCGTTGAATCGTGGAGTAACACCGCCTTTTGTCTCGTCACATTCGAGCTGAAGGAGTCTTTCCACAAAATGTTTGCGGGTTGGCCGAATGTTCTCTCGGAACTGTTTCGATGTCTGACTGAGAGAGACGAGGCTGGCGGGGTCTAAGAGGCGGAAGATACCACTCTGGATTTCAGCGGGGAGGGTATGCAGAGAGGCCATCTTGAAAGAAATTCAAACATGCCTATGGGGTATCTGCAGTAGGTTAATGTGTGCTGTCCATGTTTCAAGCAAGAGCTAGGATCTCGAATACTTCACAAGTGTTAGGAAGACGTAATAGGTACCAGAGGGTAAGGATCGTCGGTGGCGGTGATAGCCGCCGCATGGCACAGCCTTGTGCCGCGCCCAATGCTGCAGGATGTAGTCCTGAGTCCTCAGTCTGACACGTGGGATCCCATAGTGCATCCTATGTCAGTTCTCTAAAAGGTAGGGTAATAAGCGCGAATATATCTGTCGGATAATACTAAGTATTCCAAGGATACTGAGTATTCCAAGGTACAAATGTAGCTCCGGTGCTGGGAACGCATACACTGTATCATTAAGTAGATAGGTCAACCTAGTACGCATCTCCTAGAACTTTACTGTTTACTGCTCAAGGGACATCAGAAAAGAATGTCTCACGACAACAAAAAGCCTAACCACTTGCACTACATCTGCGAGAATATATACAATGTACAAAGTTCCCTTCTCATGAGTACTGGAAGCCAGACTTTTGGGCAAAACGCTGGGACAAAGATATAGGAAAATAAGGTTTGGTGTTGGCATCCACCATGCCGGCAATGACCAAAAGGTATTATGAACAGAAAAAAGGTTTACAACGAGAGCAGCTCACCAATCGTCATCATCATCCTTCTCGTCGTCTGTGAAAAATAAATTAGTGTATCACTCAAGCTAAAGCGCAATGGGCGGAGAACTTACCACTTCCGCTGACCCGCTGCTTTCTCTTGCTCAGAGCATCCTGTAGGGCACCGGCCAGGCCACCCTGCTGAGCACCTCCCGTGCTAGACGCAGCAGCAGATGACTCGGCGGCGCTTCCTGGGACCATGGCAGCACTTCGGTCTTTCTTGTCTGACTCCTTGACTTTCTTGAGACCACCTCCGCCTTGGCCACCTGATGCTCGGATAGCAGCCATAAGATCATCTCGTCCACCCGTGCTCTTCGGTAATGGGGATGGAGCACCTCCAGATGGTCCCGGAGGTGGAGGTGGTCCTCCGGAGGAACCTCCAAGGGGCGGTGGTGGTGGAGGTCCACCGGGTGCTCCAGAGCCGCCAGCTGGAGGTGGAGGAGGCGGTGGAACTGAAGGTCCAGAGCGACCCGGGGGTGGAGGGGGAGGTCCTCCAGGCGCACCAGAGCTTCCTCCAGGGGGAGGCGGCGGCGGCGGTGGGGGTAGTCCGCCAGGTGCTACAGCCGGAGGGGGTGGTGGAGGAACTGAAGGTGTAGATCGAGCAGGGGGCGGCGGGGGAAGGCCACCAGGTGGGCCAGAGTCCGCAGGAGGTGATATAGGGGCTCGTGGAGGTGGCGGAGGAGGAGCAGCCGGAGTAGATGGCACCGGTCGAGGTGCAGGCGGTGGAGGCGAAATAGGGCCTCTGGAAGGCGGCGGTGGAGGAGGACCCGAAGGAGTGGATGTATTCGGGACTTTGGGAGGTAATTGAGGAGGTGCTGCCGGGCTTGCAGTACGAGGAGGCGGCGGAGGAGGGCCACCAGGAGCCGGGCTGCGGCTTGGAGGCGCGGGCGGAGCGGAAACCTTACGGTCTCCTGCGAATGGAGGAGGCACTCCAAATCTAGGCTGGCTGCCATCCACGGGGTCCTTTGGTGGTCGTGGAGGTGGCGGAGGCCCAGGAGGCGCTCCATTAGCCGCGCCTGATTGTGCCCGGGGGCGCCGCGGCGGCGCTGGGCCTGCTGGCTCAGCAAATTTGCCTGCATCGGCGAGTGGAGGAGGCGCATTGAATCTTCTAGCGGGAGGTGAGGGTTCTCGAGGCGGCGGAGATATCGGCTCCTCGACTCCATCCGAGCGACCTTTGCGGGCCGGGGGGTGGTGGTGGGGGTCCGCGTCGGCTTCCCGAACTGGTCCCAGTGCCCTGAGGACTGATAGCATTTGCCTTAGGCACAGCTGGAGGAGGTGGTGGTGGCGCTCTTGGCTTTGGCTGATCATCAACAGGAGCGGCTGTTTCGGCTGCGCCTTTCTTTTGTTGTATATAGCCCATGATGAAATCAGAATTCTCCGCGATTTGATCCTCTGTGATGCCCATGCTTTGCAGTTCATCCATCAATGGTTTCCATTCCGGATCCTTTGGGTCAAATGGCAACTCGGCCTTGGCAGGCGGCGCACTCGGAGGCTGTGACGGAGGTTGCGACGGGGGTGCCGCGGCCGGGGGTATAATGGACTGCGTAGGCTGAGTACTGGGGCTAGAGCTCGAGCGATGAAGTAAGCTTCCAAACAGGGATCGACCTAGTCCCTTGCCGTTGGCAACAGGTGCAGGGCCCTGCCCTCGAGAGGATGCGAACGGGGTCTGTTTGGTCTCTTTGCTGACATTCTTCTCTCGTTCATGCACTTTCTTGATGAATGTCTTCGCTTCCTTTTCGTCGGCGAAGGATAGGCCGGCGGGGCAGTCTTCAATTTCGAAAGTATGGAAGAAGGTTCGGTCTTGGTTATATGCAAAATTGTCATAGATTTCCTGGTCCCAGATCACACCCCTTCCAGCTGGCTGTATCAACAACTTTGTCAGCAAGTTCGTCCCTTGGTCACCGGGGGATTTCAGGCACTCACCGAAACATCGACAATCTTCAGCCAGCATGTTCGACCCACAAGGTCATTGCAAAGAACTGCCGCGCCTTGGATCCCGGTGTAAATCCATCTCTGAGGGTCCGGATAGGCAACGTAGAGTCGTGCGACAGCTACAGCAAATATCTTGTTCGCGGGTTTCGGAACATTTCGCTTGACAGTTTCCCTGTCGGCGTCGCTGAGGATCGAGGGCATGGCGAATTCACGCAGCCCGGGTCGGGACGGTGAGGGAGGGCGAGGTCGACGGCGGAGAGAACGTTCGGCGGATCCTCAGCGCATGGCAGACGGGCGGTGCAGCAGTTGGAAAGAACAACCCCAACACTCTGATCGATAAGGAGACGAGCGGGAGGTAGCAGGACTGTTGGCGAGGAGGAGTTGAACGAGCGAATCGAGTCGACGGCGAAGGGGTAATTGGAAAGGAGCCGACCGGCGGTTGCCTTGGAGAGAAGAAGGTGAGCTGGAGAAGTCGACGTCGGCGGGGCGAAGTACACCGCAGTACTTGGCGCGCGCGCCTGGCCGCTATGGGGCACGTGGTACCCCCGTGTACTATGCAAGAAGCCGCATGTTCACGGATTCGGCGGGGATTTGGCCAGGTTCTTCGATTTGAATTATACTGCAAAATTGATTTCGGCGTAAAACTGATGAAAGCCAACTAAAACCACTGGTGCTTTGTTGAAAACATTTATGTGGACATGATTGCGCCCAAGAATCTAGGCTTATCGCCCTTTGCCACCCTCAACAAAACCAACCCAAAGTACTAAATATACATACGAGATGCAATGTCAGATTCTTGAAGTTCCTCCAAATCCTGTTTCCAGTCGCTTTCGGGTCGCACAATTAGATCTACATATCCCTTTGTGAAGGAGGCGATGCCTGAGGCTCTCAGGGCACCTTGCTAACTCACTAGTTACCGCCGACGTCATCCCGCTGGGATCTATAGAAAGGGCAAGCAACCACCTTGCCAAGTTTCATTCCACCGCTGTTTCTATCTGACTGGATTTATTTCTTAAGCACTCAGTACGACTTGTCACTTAATCTGCACGACTTCTCTTGGAAGGTCACTATGCCTGTTATCCCAGAACCCTCCGAATTTCCCTCGGCTTCGCAGAAGGGAAATAAAGAAGTCCAGAACAAAGTAGGCGAGCACCGAGACAAGGCATCAGCGGCAGATCATCTGTCCAAGGGACCTCAAATTCCTGAGAGTGAGTGCAGTGTCATCGCCTTGGTTGACTAGCATCGTATTTGATGTGTCGACTAACTCTCTTTGGGTAGACATGCCGCCTAAGGCGTCCAGAGAGGAGATAGAAGCACGCATGAAGGAGCTGAACAAACCGAGTAACTAAGCTCAAGGCAATCATATAATCAATGTGAGGCTGTCAGTAAGAGTCTTCTCGTTATTTTGGTAATTCTGCTCTTCAACTCTTCTTCATACTATTTTAGTTCAGATGTTATTTATCAAAGAAACTTGAAGTGGCCACGTAAAGAGAGGGCTGATTACATTCGAAACGCAACCACTCCGATAAGTAGTTTACAATTAGCGTCTCCAAAAATATGTTATCTCAGAAATTCCCTTGGTTTCGCCTTTGTGCGGAAACAGATCATTGCTGTCGGGCATAGCAACATGACGCTGGATGTCCCTCATTGCATCATAATCACGTGACTTCGCGCTGTGCTCGACCCGCTCGAGCTCTGGTCATCTCCAACGCGTCAAGAAGGGCTCCTCATGCCTCCGGAACGAACAAATGTGCCGGTGAAGCTGTCCTTGCCGCTGGTAAGCCTCTTCCATGTCTCACATAACCATCACGACCGCTAATTCCTCAAATCTAGCAATACCAGCAAGACATCTTCACCGAACTCCGCGCCGATGATGAGTTGGTTATCCTAGCTCGTGGCCTAGGCCTTCTTCACCTGATAACGAACCTCCTCCACTTTTACGATGCACCGGGAAATAACCTGGTCCTGGTGGTAGGAGCAGACGAGCGGGAAAATGAATGGATCGGAGAGGGTATGACTGGTTTCGGGACGATTGCATTGTCGCCGCTCACACCCTTGTGTCTCTAGCGCTCGCGGAGCATTCGGCTACAAGCAAGACCCCTCTTGCTAGAGGATTGAAGATGATCAACACAGAACGAGCGACGGTGGCGATGCGGTGAGCTCTGTTCGAATCCTTCGGTATGGTTGCTATTTTGTGCTAACCACGCGTTAGGGAACGGATGTATCGCGAGGGCGGTATTCTGAGTGTGACATCCAGAATATTAGTTGTGGATCTGCTATCAAGTGTGTTTTTGGCATTTCAAATTCTGTCAGAATGTGGCTAATCTGCTCCTTCAGATCTGCTCGAACCTAAAAAGGTCACGGGGATGGTTATTCTGCATGCCGAAAAGTATAATATCCGTTCGAGCTGCATGTAATTCTTTGCTTACTTGTTTCCAGAGTCGTGGCGACATCTCTAGAGGCCTTCATAACCCGCGTTTATCGACAGAAGAACAAGACCGGTTTTCTCAAGGCGTTCTCTGATTCCCCTGAGCCTTTCACGACTGGCTTCGCTCCGTTGGCCAACATGCTGCGGAACCTTTTCTTGCGCAAAGCATCTTTGTGGCCCCGATTTCATGTTTCCGTGGCGGAAGCACTCGAGGGAAACCGAAAGGCTGAAGTTATCGAACTCGAAGTCCCCATGAGTGACAAGATGCGCGAAATACAGAACGCTGTACTTGAATGTGTGGACATCAGCATTGCCGAGTTGCGAAAGTCTAATACGGGCTTGGATATGGAGGAGTGGACCCTGGACAGTGCCTTGCATCGCAATTTCGATGTTATGATCCGGCGACAGTTGGATCCCATCTGGCACCGCGTCAGTTACAGGACAAGGCAAATTGTGGGTGCTCTCACTGACCTGCGCGGGATCCTTCAGTAAGCATTCCTTCTTAGTTTTCTGCGGATATCGCTAACCATGCTCTAGTGCGTTGCTTACATACGATTCTGTGTCTTTCGTGAAATACCTCGACACGATCGTGACAGCCAACGCCCCTCCACCTGGGTCCAATAAACACAATGACTCGCCGTGGCTCTTCCTTGACGCTGCTCACGTTCTTTTTCAAACGGCCAAAGCAAGAGCGTACCAGGGAAAGATCACTAAGGATTTGCAACGTCCGTTTGGGTCTACGACCTTCTCCGCTGAGTTGCAACCCGTGCTGGAGCCGCTTCCCAAGTGGAATGTTCTTGCCGACGTTCTTGGTGAGATCGAACACGATGCCTATCTCCACCCTGTCGGCCATGATGAGTCGAACAGTACCATCCTGATCATGTGCAGTGACCAACGAATATGCCGGCAGCTCCGTGAATACATCAGCACTATGCATGCCAGGGTTGGGCGGGTAAAGCATTCGGGACATGCAGATGACCCAACCGATAATAGCACTTCCGCGGGAGTCATGATGCGGCGCCGCCTGCGCGATTATCTCAATTGGAAACGATCGCTTTCCAATATCAATAAAAACCTTTCCCAGTCGGTCCAGAACGATGGCTCTGGGAAGCCCGGGGAATCGCCAGGACAAGGTCAAAGTCAAGGAAGACCTCCTCCCAACAAACGCCGCCGAGTTCGTGGCGGGGGAGCAGTCACGTCTGCCGCTGCCCGCGTACCCAATGCTAGTGTCCAGACAGAGGTTGAAATGCCTGATCAGGTTTCAGATTTGCTTAATGAAATTCAACCCACCGAAGCGGAAGAGACACAGAAAGAAGAGATTATCATTGATGATCTGGAGGACATGGAAGATTTCTACGAACTTTATGACATGAACGATCTCATTATGATACACCCTTACGACGGGGATATGGATGGTCACATTCTCGAGGAAGCACGGCCGCGGTACATTATTATGTATGAGCCAGACCCGGCCTTCATTCGGAGAGTGGAAGTCTATCGCAGCTCGCATTCTGGAAGGAACGTCAGAGTGTATTTCATTTACTACGGTGGATCTGTCGAGGAGCAGCGCTATCTGAGTGCCGTGCGACGAGAGAAGGACTCTTTCACGAAACTCATTAAGGAGAAAGGCGTAAGTCAATATGCGTCCACCTTCAAAGGACGTCAACTAACAATATTCCTCACAGAACATGGCTGTCACTCTGTCCCACGACAAAAGCACCGAGGACCCTCAAGAGCAATTCCTCCGCACTGTGAACACTCGTATTGCTGGAGGAGGCAGGTTGGCAGCTACTGCAGCGCCCCCGCGAGTTGTAATCGATGTTCGAGAGTTCCGAAGCGCCCTTCCATCACTTTTGCACGGCAGCAATATGATCGTCATTCCTTGCCAGTTGACTGTGGGCGACTACATCCTTACGCCAGATATCTGTGTGGAGCGCAAATCGGTTCGAGACCTGATCTCGTCTCTCAGAAATGGCCGGCTCTACAACCAAGCCGAAACCATGCTCCAGCACTACAAGAACCCTTTGCTCCTCATCGAGTTTGACCAGAACAAGTCTTTCACCTTCGACGCCTTCTCTGGGGGCCCCACTTTCATGACCGAATACGGATTCTCTTCTTCCGGGTCCGCGACGAGCTCTAGTAGCAGTTCTCTCGCCAATCCCTCTAATCCGAAATCCCTGCAGCATCTTCTCGTTCTCCTCACGCTAGCCTTCCCAAGGCTGAAAATCATCTGGTCTTCTTCTCCCTATCAGACGGCTGAAATCTTCGCCGAGCTCAAAAAGAATGCTGCAGAGCCAGACCCAGCTCGTGCAGTCTCCATCGGCCTGGGTATCGATCTCACGGAAGCTGGCGATTCGGAGAATCTCATGGCGGCGTCTGGGATCGAGCACCGCACTTTCAATCAATTGCCTCAGGATATGCTACGTGCTGTGCCTGGTGTGACGCCGCAGGCTCTCGATCGTTTGATTCTCGAGACGGACAATCTCAGTGATATCGCTAATATGGAAGTGGAGCAACTGGATCCAATCGTCGGTAAGGAGGCTGCACGGAAGATTGTCGGCTTTTTCCAGAAGAGTGTTTTCGATGATTGAAATCGTGACGACTCTTCGGCGAAAATATCAGCCTCAAATATTTCAGGGATGCGCTCAGATGACCCTCCATCGACCTGATCATAAAGGAATCTAATATTATGTATTGGGTGAGGGATATTGTAAAAGCTCAAAATGATGAAAAGATAACGATAACCCCCGTCTAAGCTCCAAATGGCGCCGCTAGCATGACATGCATACAAAATGAATCGTAAATGAAATTGTCCCAGGCCCTCTATCACATCAACTCACGCTCGAACGCAGTTGTATCCCCGGGCAACTCAGTTCGTTTCTGCCCTGCATCCAGTTCGTGGATCGGCGTGGCTTGCTTGTTGTCGTTTGGATATTGCCCAAGAGCCCAAGGGCCATTCTTGGCCGCGCTCTTTTTCCCCCACCAGAACCCGGCTCCTCCGGCAACGATGGCAATGATACCGAGAGGCAGTCCGACACCCAAGCCGATCGCAAGTTTTGTCGATGATGCCGCGCCTTTATCGCCCGCCGATGCGCTTCCTGTGATCGTCATGGTGGCCGTCGCCGTCGCCGTCGTGACGTTCGCGGCCGAGGAGGCATCGCTCTCGGTGCTGAGCGTCACCAGTGTTGGCGCGACGGTGAAGGTCTCGTTTCCATTGCAGCAGTCTCGGTCGTCGCCGCAGCAATAGGTGTCGGCGCCCTCACATCGGGTCATTACAGTCGATTGGCTGACTCGATCATTCTGATGGTCCCGAGTGTCAGTTATATGAACAGCTTCATCCGCGGTGGATATGGCACTTACTGGTCCCGTACACAGATTCTTGGACAGACAGAAGGGTGTGTCCCAGTCCTTCTGTGTGCACCAGTCTCGGTAGTATGCATTCTTGCTCTCCCACAGGCACAGGCCGGAGGAGAGACAGATGTCGGCATCGGTGTCGTTCAATCTACAGCACATTGACGGTGTGCCCTCGATCGAGATACATGGCTGAAACCTTGAATCGGACTCTGTTCCATCGGGCGCATAACAGGTCGCTGCCAGAAGACTGGGGAATAGAACAACAGCCCCGAGGAGGGCAGGTGCTGATCTGGACATGGCGATTTGGTGTCGGGTCCCACTAGGAAGCCAAGATTCGGGCGCCACCACAACACAACAAGGAGGATTGCAAATGGAATGAGAAGCCAACAAGGAACATCCCCTCAATCGACCCGGGGGCCGACTTTTCCATCCCTGAAACGGCCCTAATCGGCCCCCACGAGCAGTTGTGAGCCAAGCTATGATAGGAGGCTGCTCGGCTGAATTGCGGAGATGAGGCATGCTTATAGATCCACTTTTAAGTGCTGACTCGCGCTGTCAATGTGCTTTGTGGCCCAGTGATATGAGTTTGGCCAAGCAATCCTAAAACCTCGCGAGCGCATGGATGGGATCTGAACGGCCATGCGCATCCAGTGACAGACTGTGTTCCCATTGGGTTGCTCTCTCTGATTGTGGTTGGGATCAGATTGTTTGAGAGTGGCTGTCGTGTGATCAGCTCTAGCATGTCTCCATGCATCTAGTTGACTTTGGACTTTTTTGCGAGAACCCGCTGAGATGACATCACTTCTCAAGGAAACAATACCCGCAGCACGAGGTAGATCGCTATTGACATCTTTGTGGTGCTGGCTGCGTTTGAAATGACGCGATCGTCATATGAATCGGCCACTTTTTAGACATCCGGATCATGTTACCATTGTATTGTTCGCACCCGTTAAATAGCGCTCAATATTGGGATCGGCACGAGGGCCTCGAGAACAGACCCTGGAAAAACTGGATTGGGAGAGATGCTCGGCCCACTTGCCCTTGCAGCGCCGCCGGTGGTTTGCCCGCGCGCCCAAGCTGGGAAAGGCTGGTGGGGGAAGAGTACTACTAAGTGGGGGGTCTTTTCCCCTTGCGAACCCTAACCACCCCGACTTGGCCAGTGCTTACCCGAGGGTATTCGCGGTACATGGATGTACATCCCAGTCCATACTGTCTTCCATGGCACGGAGGTATACGCCGATGGCACCTAACCTGTTCTCATGCGGCCGTTCCGATGCAGTTGCTGCCTAGTCCGTGTGACTTTTATTAACCATTTAATCAAACTTTCGGTTTAATGGACTGCCTACCTTTAAATGCTTCCTTACCATGGAATCTGTACCCCGCCCCCGTTCCTTATTTACATCCCCCGCATCGGACCCGATCAACGCGATAACGATGGATTCGCTGCCCCTGGAGATTAAGCATATCATATGTCGCTTTGTATGGAGCAGTGCATGAATATGATCGCATTCTCTTCCTGCTAACAACATCACGTCTAGGTAAAAGCAGATTCGCGCAATGATCTCTCTTCCGTGAGTCGAATAAACCATGCGTGGTACAATACAGCCGCCCCGTTCGTCTACGAGACGTTGAGGATAGGCTTTCATAACGGTGGAAATCTTCCGAATATTACCGCCCAAGTCCACGAGCAGGCACTCGGCAGGCCTTTTCTCAAATATGCTCGTAGGCTTGATATCATCTGCTCTCCTGATCCGTCCCGGCAAACAGCCAAAGCACGCCCGGTCCAAGATATCAATAAGTGGACTCTCGATTCCATCGATTCTCGACTACCCGCAACAATTAGTACTTTTCTAGATCACCGTCTCAAGCGTTGTCACGATCAAGTGCTCTCCTTTTCGGCGAACGAATGTGTGTATTACACAGATAGAGACTGGCAACCTATAGTATCTTTGATCAGAAGGCTGGACCGCCTGACCGAGCTGAACTATGTGGTCCAAAACATCTTTCCCACTGAGCTCTCGGCGACCTTGACTCGAACTCATCCAACTTGCAAGGTAAATGTTTGGACACATCAATCCTTGAACTTGGATCCGCCAGACCCGACAAAGCCCTCGCTGAACCCCGGGCCGCCGTCCAAATTCACCGATCCATTTGACCCAGCCGTCTTCCTCTCAACGCAACTCCATACATTCTGCATGTTTCACTCGATGTCATCTGGTCAGATCAATGGGACAAGTGGCAAAAACATGGATGAATCTCTATTCTTTGCCCTCATAGCTCCCAACCTGAAGCATCTTTCTTTCCGAAATCTAGGATATCTAACCGAGAAAGATGTAAGGAAGATCAAAGGAACATGGGAGAAACTTTCCCGGGCTGGACACACAACCCCCACAGCCTCTCTGGATTCGCTCTCCTTTGATGCCCACCCCTCACTCAGTCCCTGGGAAGATGTATTATTGAACATGACTCAACTGGTCGATCTCTCTCGGCTGCGATCACTCGAAATCGGCGTATACAGCAATCCAAACTCGCTGAGGACTGCGGCATCAAAACTACATGGTCTGGAACGGCTCTATATTAACATGCATCCATGGAAGCTTCATCATGACAACATTCACGCCGATGACGACCAGATGGTCGCAGCAGTAATGTCCTTTTACCCACTGAAGTTCCTTTGTCTGGAAGGGCTCCGAAACTTCTACTCCCTACGCGACATTCTGTCTCGGCACGGCCATACCCTGGAAGGTCTTATTGTTCAATCTAGCACCCACGCGCGCAGACTAGCCGGTGTTCTCGACACAGGCTTCAAGTACCCAGTTTGGACGAATGGTCAAATCACAGAGATTGCCCAAATCTGTCCGAACTTGGAAGAGCTGTGCATCCCATTCAAACGGGATGAGGGCAGTCCACAGGAATGCGGACTGTACAAAGAACTAGGCGGGTTTCCACGTCTTCGCACGCTGGTTCTGGACTTACACTATGACCCGAGAGAGCGACCAGTGGCGCCCTGGCCGGTGGAGCCCGCTACCGATCCGGAAATGCTACGGAAAACACTGTCGAATGCAGCGGTGGACGAGGTTCTTGTTGCCAAGATCTGGCATCTGATCATATCGAACCAGTCCAGTCGGCGCCTCAAGAATCTTCGCGTTACCCCGGTAGGCATTGAATTCTTCGATAAATTGGAACAACAGGTCCTTGGACAGCTTGGACGATCGTTTCTCGTGAGACCACCTAACTTGGGTGAGCTGAGACTCGATATTCAGGAAATTGGCCGGACGGCCTGGAATCTGTGGCGGGAGAGTCAAGTGGGTGAAGAATCAACTCATGTTCCTAAGCCAGTTGAACTTGTTCTGAGGGAGCTCTGGCCTAGCATTCGCTTGGGCAATGGAACGATCGGAGGCTGGAGAAGCTTGCCACTGCAGGATTTTGACCTTTCTGGTCCTCCTCTTTCCAGTCGGATTAACGTCCAGCGGTCTCGGTCGATCTAGGCGCGGCAGGTGATCATTTACGATTATGTTGGTGTGGTTGGCAGATCTACAACGCCTGCTCAACATCAGTCTGAACACCCGGTTCTAAATTCAACAGCGTCCGCTGTGTGTTGTTCTTTGCTTCGCAATATCAACTCGAGCGCCGGGTTGAATTTTTGATTTTTACAGATACCATGACATTCGACGGATTGCATATTCTACAATAGTCACTTCTCAATACAATACCCTGTTCAATTTCGTGTTCGAAATGGGCCCTTAAACAAGCTTGACACGTGCCTTGGCACGGAACTGCTGCTGCTTCGCTTCGTTTCTTTCAATACTTCTAGTGTTGCACTTTGTCCGAAATGTAAATTAAAAAAGCTTTACTATTAAATTGAATTCTCCATCTATAAAAGATTCGAACCGGCCACTCTTTAATCAGTCTTTGATGCGAGACTCTAGTATGGTTCTCGCGGCTGCTGTTTTGGCCGACCTGCGTCGGCGGTCACTTCCTCCTAGCAACCAACCCAACCCAACCCAACAACAAAGACTTGCAGAACGCCACATCGCCCCTAAACCCATTCACATCGCCAGTTTGATCAAAGAAAACGTCAGCAGCCGAGACATCCAGAGCGTTTCACAATCCTCAACGCCAACTTATCGTCTTGGCAGGGATCCACGCAGATCCTCCAAAATAGCAACAGCACGCAAGGTTCCACCGCGCCCCTGAGAGTGGAGCACCACCAGAACTGCCGATCAGGGTGTCGTCCCTCGACTTCATGTTCTCGACTTCTCAATATTCCTAGTGATGCATTGCTGGAACTTGTTGGCCACGGTCGCATTGGCGGCAGTTGCTAGCGCTGGCAAGGATGTCGACCCATGTGCACAGATCACTCAGCTGGTGGCGGATGTCAATGGAAGAGGAGGTGCGTCGCTCATCTGGGGAAGTGAGATCGATCAAGGCGTTAATTAACGGTCGCAGCTGATACTAGCACAACTGTGCCACTTGACCTCGCGACTCAATGCTTGAAGTCTATGCCGTTTGAATCGGATCGAGCGACTACTTTCTTGGCCAATGTTCGCAAGATTCTCGAGTTCCAGTCGACCATCGATTTTCTCAAGCGTGAGCTGATCTTTCGATTTTTATTTTTAATACGGACTAACGTGAACAAACAGAGCCCCCGTCTGGCTACAAAATGCCATCGGTTGATCTTCTGGGCGGAATTGATACAATCCTTGGCAAGGTCAAGAGTAACAGCTACTCTAGCCAATTTGATATGGATCTGGAAGTGACCAGCCTGATTCAATCCGCCCATGACAGCCACTTGGTCTTTCAGCTTTGCTCGACATCAATCTTCAACTATGCCATTGATTTGCCTCTTGTCTCGGTCTCGACAGATGGACTTTCGCTGCCAGAGGTCTACACTTTGAGTATGTGCCTGGAAGTTGCTCTGTATTTGACAGCCATATACTGATTTGCGATACAGATGATGCCAAGCTCCAAGAACGCGGTTCCAAGGATGTCTCCCCTCTCGTGTCCATCAATGGCACAGATGCGGTGAAGTATCTCGAGTCATATGCATTCAGCCAGGCTCTTCAGGATCGTGATGCGCAGTAAGTTTCTGGGCACCCATCTATTTGGATTGACCGACGTTGCTGACTATCCTAGGTACAATCGCATCTTTCCAGCATCAGCCCGTACCGTCACGAACACACCTACTGGTGTCAACGGCCTTTGGACTTCCACAAATCAGTGGAGTGGGGATTCTGAGCTTACCCTCGAGTTTGGCAACGGGACCAAACAAACAATTGAGAGGAAAGCCACCCCGAAAAAGAGAGTTTTTCTCTTACCAGAATGGTACTGAACTCTATCAAGTCAACTGCATTCCTCGCAGCTATAACACTTTGGTAGGCAGCTCGGGTACCGAGGAAGCCTCGTCCGCAGTTCCAGGTCTCCCTGATACAACAAATTGGAGAAACTCGCAAAATTCCTTTGCCGGTTACTTCTCTAAGCTTTCCGGACTCGAGGACACCGGCGTCATATTTCTTCCAACCTTCTCGGCCGTCGCCTCGGACGTATCTCAGATCACTGTTGATTTCTTGAGAAATGCCACTGCTGCTGGCAAGAAAAACATACTGATCGATTTGACTGGCAACCCTGGAGGTTCTATCTCGATTGGCCTCGACCTACTCAAGATTTTTTCCCTCAGGTTACCCCGTACACTGCCACGCGGTATCGGGCTCATGATGCAGCCAAATATCTCACTCAAGCGGAGGCTCGTGATCACAGTGAAGACTCAAACAACCCCTTTGCATACAAAGCCAACGTTGCGCCGGACCAGAAGACTGCGTTCAAATCTTGGACCGATCTTTACGGCCCGCATGAAACTCAAAGCAGCTCTTCGTCCAGCTTACTGGCCAACTTCAACTATACTGCTACATCGACTACCAATTTCCCGATCAGCGGGTATGGACCTGCTCCGTTGAAGATTAAGAAGTCTCTCTTCCCAGCGAAGAACATTGCCATAGTAAGTTATATCAATATAGCAAATTTCAAGGAGATCCAAGCTAATAATAACCGAAAATTCAGCTTACGGATGGCGACTGCGCCTCAACCTGCGCCCTCTTCGTCAAGCTGATGAAGCGACAAGGCGTGCGCACCATCGCATTCGGTGGCCGTCCAACGGAAGGCCCAATGCAAGGCGCTGGAGGCGTCAAGGGCGGCCAGTCCCTGCAGATCAACTACTTGAATGGTTACATTCAGCAAGCCAACCAAGCCATCCAAAAAGCCTCTGGTACTTCATCGCCAATCCTGACGAAATCCGAGTGGGAAAAGTTCAATGAGACCAGCCCGAATCTCGACACGTCGTATTCCTGGAATGGAAACATCAACCTTCGCAACGAGTATGACCCGGAGGACAGCGACACTCCTTTGCAGTTTGTCTATGAGGCTGCTGAGTGCCGGCGTTTCTACACGTTACAGAACTATCTTCAGCAGGAGACAACGTGGCAGGCTGCTGCGACGTCGATGTTTGGGGATTCTGGGTGTGTGAAGGGGTCTACCAAAGGGGAGGGAAGTCTCGATGCTTCTTGATCGAGTCCTCGCATTCTTGTATCTGTTTTGAAATGTATTCTACAGGGCTAGCGGCTGGAGAGTATGGCTTTTGCAGTCACTATAATCCGATGCTCAATGCAACAAGATATCAGACATGGTCAGCAAAAATTATGAACCTTTGCGTATTCTTCATAGTGATCTAAGGCTACAATTACGATGGATCCAGATCTTAAACCAGAGAGGGTATTTTCGATTCTCGTGACTTTTTTGGTGAATCTATCACTTGAAAGGATTGGAAGGAAAGCAAGGCTAAACAGAGCAAGACACACAGCATCAATGCAATGCAAGTCAACAAGCCCGCAGGTTCATCATGCGTGCGTTGCAACCACTTTCTCTCTGTAGCACGATCTCGAAAAATTTAGAATGATAAAAGAAGGAAATCCGAGAGAGACTTTTGACTTCACGAATAACCAATAACATCCAAAAATCAAGATCTTCTAGTCGACTGCTTTGTACCCTGAAATCTTGTCGTAGGGGCGCCCGAGGGTAAATGGAGCCCTCGTCCTCATGACGGGCCAAAATAGAAGACGTCGTCGTGGTCGTTATCATAAGGCAAAACTCTTTTGTCACTCATTCGAAGGCGAAAGAAACAAATGATCCCACGAAAAGGGCCTCGCGAAACAAAGAGGTCGTAGCGGATCGGGAGTAAAGGAGCCACGGCGTCTGAGACGATATCGGCGATGTAGGAGGAAAGATGGCGGAACGTGGAGAGTGACAAGGGGGATGCCTCGTAACACTCTTGCAGGGTAGAAAGCATCGAGCTCTGGGTTGGTAGGGGGACCTTAGAGGTCGTCGACATCGATTTCCTTCTCATCCTCGCTCTCGCGGTCCTCGTCGAACTCGACGTTGTCCTCGAAGCCCTCGTGGCCGTAGGTGTCGGTCTCGTTGATCTTGGCGTGCTCAGGCAGCTCACCGTAGGCCTTCAGGGAGCGGGCCTCGTCGGAGGTGTACTTCATGATAACATCACCCTTCTCGTCCTGGTAGTCACGGAGCGAGAGGAGAATAATATCACCCTGGTTGATCCAGACCTTCTTGCGGAGCTTGCCACGAATGTGGGCCAGACGCTTCTCGCCATCGAAGCAGAGAGCCTCCAGACGACCGTTACCAAGCATCTTGACGACCTGGGCGTACTCCTGGCCCTCCTCCTTGAAGACGAGCTCACGCTTCTCATTGTCGTTCTCGTTCTTACCACGGCGACGGTTCTTACCGCCCTGTTTTCAAAGGTGTTAAAATTTTGTTCACGTGCTATTTGTGCATCTCCAGTTAAAGATGAAATCAGGTCCCGCGACCTGCCATGGTGCCTCATCCTCACTAAAGCGCGGTTGGGCATCCACGGGGGACGGTGGCGGGGTGACACATTCCAACAAGGAGGGGCTGAATATTTTGTGGACTTACTTTTCCCTTGTTCTTGGGCATGGCGGCGGGGCACGACGTGCACTGGACTCAAGTCTGGCTGTGTGTCTGTGCGCTTTTCTGTTCTCTGTGTAAAAGAGAAGAGCCGGAAACTGGAGATTCCCCGGAGTGTCTGGTCGTAAGAAGAGAAGAAAGAGCGAGGTGGGGGGATCTGTGCTCCTGCAAATCTGGTGCTGATGTAATCAGGCACCAAGGTGGCAAACTAAATCACCTGATCACCCGACTGTCAGGCTGGGATGAAATAATTTGACCGCCCGGCAGAAAAGGAGTTGTTTGGATGCGCAGACGAGAGTCGTTTCCCCGGAGTGCGACGGATTACGAGGGTCTGGGCGCCGTGTTACATGTGACCTCTTCTGATCTCAATTGCCCTCGGTCAATACCTGACGCCCCGAAATCTCTACCCGCGAGAGAACAAGACTCCCACCTTGATCTGTACACAGCCCTGCCCGGTTCACCAGATTGTCAATGAATCTTTCGACACATTCGCTATGATACTTATGCGTTTCTCGTCCTCGACTCTATATCCATTCAATTTGAACTGCTTGAGCGACTGCTAGGTTCTCGTCGCCATGGCGCCTCCCGTCCCCTCGTTCACCGGGAAGGTGTATGCCACCTCCGCCAACTTCATCGTCCGATATCGTGCTATACACAGCACGCCCGTCGTTGCGAGTCGCTACCTCACAGCTTCCAACCACCCGATTCGCCCCAAGATTGCCCATATGTATGATCATCGAGAAAAGGATCACTTGTGGTGGCGGGTAAACATCAATATGCAGATTCAACATGTCACGCGGGTTGTTCGGTCTTGGGCTGCTCGGAGAACGCGCGTCGCTTTCCTGCAGGCTCTGAAAAATAATGGGCTAGATCATCTAGGAAAAGTACTTCCTGAGGCAAAGAGCTGGCAGCAGCCTCTTATCGGGACCATGGAGGTTGTTGTCCGCGAATACTCTTTGACTAGCAATTTCGAGACTATCCAGCAGGATGCGAACTCCCTTTTGCAAAATATCCTGAAACTAAAACATCAGAAGGAGAGCTTGAAACAATCCAGTCCTAAAAAAGGCAAGTTCTCTTCAAAACCACCGAGATCAAAATCTTGACCTCCCATTGTAACTAGCAATGGCTTGAGTTTCCTGTATATTACAAGCATTTGCATGGCGTTAAGAGGCTTTTATGTACTACTAGTATGACTGCATATGAGACGCAGTATCTCTGCTCTGGATATACCATGTACGAAATTCTTCTGAATCGATTTCCTCTTTCATCATTGGAATATCTGGCTGTTCTTGCATGCGCGCTGACGAGAAGTATTGTCCGAGTCCGTAAATATAGAAGCCGCCTGGTTAGCTCCCGCCTCGCTAATGCCGATCTGGCGGAATCAACACCTGGGGCCGGAATCCACGTCTTCCCCCATCTCTCCTCCACCACGTCCCCTCGCATCCCTTCAACCTCTTTTTCACCATGCTCGTCTCCTTGACTGTTGGCAAGGTCGACGCCGGCGTCGCCGTCCTTTTGACCCAGGACAATCGCCTTGTGAGTTGCCACCCCCTGGTCGCATGAGACTGCCCCAAACATCACGGTTGCAGTCAGCGGCTTTGCGCAAAGAGACACACGTCAATGGCATGCTAATAAGAATGCGTATAGATTGAATTCCCCTCGGTTCTCCTCCCCAACAACATTTCTTCCGGTAGTATTGTCGACATCACCGTTGCGCGCAACCATGCCGCGGAAACAGCCAACGCGGCCGCCTTCCAGTCCCTTCAGAAGCGAATCCTAAATACCTACGGTGTCAACACGCCATCTCCTCCTGTCCTCCGCCTGCGAAATGCTACACAGACCTCTCTTGTCCTTGAGTGGGATCCTATCGATCTCGCAACCGCATCCCTGAAGTCACTCTCCCTCTACCGCAATGGGTCAAAGGCTGGCTCGATACCTCGCCCTCTGGAGACTCGGAGCACCAAGATTAGCGGTCTCGCCATTCACTCCGAGTACACGTTCCACCTCGTCTTGCGCACAACCGCCGGCACCTACCAGTCGGAGAAGCTGACGTGTCGGACTCACAAGATGACCGACTTGTCTGGTATCACAGTGACCCCTGGAGTCCTCGATACGCATCGGAAGGAGGCCCTCGGAGCTGCACTGGATCGTATTGGAGGCAAGATGATCGATTCGGTCCGGATTGACACAACCCACTTTGTCTGCACGGAGGGTCGGGGCCCGCTCTGGGAGAAGGCTGTCGAGATGAACATCCCTGTGGTGGTACCGGAGTGGGTGGATGCTTGCGAGTCAGAGGGTACAATTGTTGGTGTGCGTGGTTACTATCTCAATGCCGACCCCAAACTTCGCCAACTCAGCACACTTCACGGCTCCTCTCACCAACGAACCACCTCCACCGTATCTGCCTCGACACTCGCCAACCAGGGACGCCCCAGCACTGCACTGCAGCAGTCCAACGAACAAGACCCATCTACGGTTGAACCGCCTCTGACACCCTTCCCGAGTGGTGAGACAAGCGCACGACCCCAGACACAGACACAAGAGGTTGAATCGGAGGATGATGAGGAAGCGCCTCCGCCGCTGCCGCCAAAGGACGATTCTGAGCAATCAGATGAGCCAGCTCAGCCAAATGGTGACGCAGATGCAGCCCCCGCCGAGTCATTAGAGAAGGCAGAAGAAGCAGAGACCGTGGAGACGAAAGATGTAGAAAGCGAGGAAGACGCTCCCAAAGAGAGCACTCTCCCGCAACACATGCCCGATGGAGACGCTGAACCAGAGAAAGCAAGCCCTAAGGGTAAGGGCAAAGAGGGCGAAGGTGACTTCAACGAGGTCCCGCTCTAGATATTTATCTTACACCCATACGCCTACACGATATCCCGTACAGTTTTCACATCGAGTTTGGGAGCTTCTGTTCCAGGCAGGGGCTATAGCTTATGACACGATTCCCCGCGCCATGTTGTTTATTCTTCTGCCTTGCTGTTCTGCACCGATGTACAGTAGATAGCCTTTTTTTAATGCAACCTGAGCTTATTCAATTCGTCTTTGTTCATTCTATGACCTCTATCATAAATAGTCGTAAACCATGGATCCGTAGCCCCGCATAATGCAAATGCCCGAGAAAAAGATATGCTTGCGCTTTTCACATCGACTCCACAGTCTTTGTACAAAACACTGCAACCGAAATCGTATATAGTCTTTTGCCGCGTTGACTTACAGCACGTTGCGGACAACGTCGTCAATGGCCTGAGCAACATAGGCGACATTCTTCTGGCTCACTGTTTCGCTGATAAGAATGTGGCTTTCAAGGCGATGGAATCGGGGTGGTACTTACAGCCGCTGATAGAGGCTCGGCCAGACTTGAGAAGGTAAACGTGGTACTTATCCTTCAGAGCGTAGACTTGCTTGGGGGTCAGGCCAGTGTAGGAGAACATGCCGTTCTAAGAAACGAAAGTCAGCCAAGTTATACGAGTCACGTATGCCAACTGCAAATCCAAGACTCACCTGCTCCACAATGTGCTCCCAAGTACCAGGGGTCTTCAAGCGAACCAGCTCACTATAAAGTGCCTCACGCATAGACTTGATACGCGAGCTCATCACCTCCAGATCCTTGTGCCAGTCCGCAGTCAATTCCTCATTTGTCAAGATCTTTTTGACAATGGTACATCCAATGCGGGGACCCATGGAGAATTCACCACGGATCAAGTGGCAGAGGTTGTTCACAACGATATCCCGGATAGAGGTAGCGCTGCGGTTGGTAACGTAGTGGAAAGCACCAGTCCGCTGACCGTACAAGCCGAAGTTCTTGGAGAAACTCTGCGCAACACACATCTCCATGTCGGGCTTGTTGTTGAAGAAGTAACGCACAGCCCAGGCATCCTCCTCCACGGATCCCGAGGCAAAGCCCTGGTAGGCGGAGTCGAAGAAGGGGAAGAGCTTCTTCCGCTCGCACAGGTCCGCAATCGCAACCCACTGCTCCTTGTTCGGATCCAGTCCGGTAGGGTTGTGTGCACAGGCGTGCAGCAAGACAGCGTCGCCCTCCTGCGCTTCATTCTCGAGAGTCGACATCATGCCCTCGAAGTCGAACGACCGCGTGGCGGCATGGTAGTATGGGTATGTCTTGCGAGGCACGTCGGCCAACTCCCAAATCGTCATGTGGTTCGCCCACGAAGGGTTGGATAGCCAGACGGTGGGGGGCTTCATGTGGTGAGCCAGGAAAAGAGCACCCAGGTGGTTGGCACCGGTTCCTGCGACGGTCTGAACAGAGGCGATGCGAGCCTTGGCCTCCTCTTCATTATCCTGTCCCTCAAAGCCGAACATCAAGTCCCGGGCGATCTTCAAGAACGGCACATCACCCTCGATAGCGGTGTATTCGTGTCGCATAAGATCGTCCTCCTCGGCCAGCTGCTTCTCGGCCTTCTGGACAACGGGCAGAGGCCAGGGCTTGCCATCATCGGTACGGTAGACGCCCACGCCCAGACTGACCTTCTGCGGGTGGGTATCGGCGAAGAAAGCACCGTTCAGGGCGAAGATCTCGTCCGGCGGGACCGGGGCGACATTGAGGCGGGTAGGGACTTTCTCCATGGTGAAATTGAGCGGGATGAACGGGAGGTTTGGGGGATTCGTTCAATTGGGTCGTGAGTCAAGGGCGCGGGGAGAATTTGGGAGTTCACGTAACGAAGAAATTCAGTGACGCTGAGTCAACCCGATATCGCATCCGCCGTTCTTTTTACCCCCGCGGGAACTGCCGCTTAATGCCGGTGGTCCCGGGGCTTGGAGAGAGCCAGCAAACCCTCATCTTGGACCTTTTTGCTGTAACGTGATCAAAAATGCCGCCGGTAGCCACGCTGTGAAGTGCGAACCTTGGGTCTGCCGTGTTTGGAAAAACGTGGCGAGGTGAAATAATCTGGGGAGGCCAGAACTTTATCTGTGGACGTCACCCCATGCACGCCGACTGTCTTCGGCGAATAGCGTGTGCTCGCAGTGTATGTCTGAATTTTGAATGCATTTCATCTATTCTCCAGCGCTTGTTTACTCGAGCTCATCGCCTGATGACCATGGTCCGCTATTCTGTAGGAGAAATGAATTTTCCCTGAACTCCGTCTCCGTTGTTTCTTGTTTCTTTCACAATGGCAATGCACGCGTCACTTGACTGATTTCTAAAAGACGAATTCTCGTCGCTGCCTCCCCTCCTATTCTCTAAGTTAGTTCAGCCTCAGGACTGTCATTCATCACCATAGTCCAGCATATATTCCATAACCCTTAAGTCATATTTTACCCCAAATGGAGCAGCAGGGAAGGTTTCAATAGCCTACCAAAGTATAATCACTGTCTAACCGCTGGTCACGCGTCCATTTTAGACGGGAGTTCCTAGGAGCATCTCCTTTCGCTGGTATATTCTGGGCAGTGGTGGCCCTTCGATTGGCTACGGCAACTTTCAGTGGAATAGAGTCGGCTATCAATCCGGTGTATTTTTCGATCACATCTGTAGCCATTTGCAGCTTAAGTATATGCCAATTCTTTGATTATATCTCTTACTCGGGATTAAGACCTCGATAAGCACGATGGAACCCGCTCAATCAAATTATAAATAGCTACGATTGTACCGGATTTCACGAATCCCTGAAATACATCTTTCCTTTGAGATTTTCATCCTTAAGTTCCTTTTGACAAGACTCTGATCAAATTGCGCCAACCAATTGTCACTATAGTGACGCTAAATTTTCAAAATTTTTGGCAACCGGCTACGGAAACCCCAGAGAATACTTGGATAATTGGCCTAAAACTGGCACCTCGGGGATACCAGGACAATTCATTACTGTCAGAGAATGATACAAGGCAAATCAAGGAATACACAACAGGCAGCTGGGCATGGTCTTTGGCTTCAGAAAATCTGAGAAGCCTTATCAAGCAGCCTGGAGTAACCCATTCAAGGGCCAGATGGATACCATTGATGCCGAGGCCAAGATGACAGATGAAACCTTAAGATGGTTCAAGTGAAGGAAAAGCCATCTACGAAGTCGGAGTCGAAGTCGAACAAGTCCAGTGCGGCAGATGATCTCCACATGCCCTTGCCATCTGTGGTTCCAAATCCCGATCAACTGCAAACACCAAGTCTCCGGCTCAAAAGAGTTCCATCGAAGGCCACGGGCATGGTGGCTCCCACAGCCCAGCCCCACGGATGGCGGGAAGAGTCTAATCAAGCAAGAGCTCAGCTTGGAGGAATACATGCGGTTTGAATATCTTCTCGATTCCAAGTATCTGGACAATGATACCCAAGAACCGGAACTTGAGCATGCCTGTCAGCATGGAAGATAGCCGAACAACCGACGATGTTATCCTGGGGGCAATTGCAGGAACTCTGCGGTCCTTCTCACCGAAGTGCAGTGGATGTGGCTATAATCAGACGAACTTCAGCGTCAACTCAAAAAGTATAACATCTCTGTATAAGGCTGAAATGGTGCGAATGTGGCTCCAACACTAATTCTTGTACATTACTCATAGCCTTTCCATATACTGATTCATTTATAGCGGAATATTGTTTGAACTACAACACAACCTCTATACATTGTGTCCCGAAATATTGTAACCACTGTAACAAGGGCGTCGGGTCTATCTATTCATTTGCAGCTGATTATTATTGATCATTGGGGCAAGTAATCATGCGACACTCTATATTTACCTATCAAATGGAAGCGCCCCTCCGCTGGCTGGGTTATACGGGAGAGAGAAAAGCCGATACCTGCTCATAAACAGAAAAGACAATGCCACCGCTGAGGAGCAGACGTCCCAGGCGCATAGAGCTTCCTCTCCAGAGACCCCGAACTCCATAGTCACGTAGTACGCTCTTGGTTGCCTCAGCGAGGCCTGCTCCTTCAACACTCTGTGCTCGAGTTTTGAGCGTATCAAAAGGCTGAGTAGCATACACAGTCACAAGTCCCGCTAAAGCACCCATTGCAAACGAGGTGAATGCATTCGGGGTGATACCTTGTGATTTGCTTGTTTCTTTCAAGATGTTGTAGGTACCCATGCGTACGGCAGAAGTTGCTGATTGCTTCACAGTGGTGGAAACGAGACCTCGATATAGCTCCCCAAGGCTATTCCTTTTCACCAAAACACTCGCTGCATGAATTCCAGATCTGAATTGCCGGTTTGTCTTCGCATCATCTATCCTATTGACCATTAGCTGAGTGTACGAGCAGAGTGCAACAGGTGAACCAGTGCTAACATTGCCGTCTTGATTCTTTCCGTAGGTGTGACAGCGGCAACACTCTCCACCGCACCGGCAGCCATTCCTGCGAGAACGCCACGTCCGGTTGAAAGTTTGCCTTTTTCATCTGATAGCCAATCTCGAATAGTGTCGTATGACAGGAAACGCACCGCCGCCTTTCCGCTGGTGCCCTATGTAAAAATGATATGTCAGATCGTGAAAGTCATGCTGCCGCTGGGAATCACGAACAATGATCAAGGTGGAGCAGCCGGTGTAAAGGGTAGAAATTCCTTCATGTCGCGCGACCTGGAGAATCAATTTGAAAGGGTCTGAAATATTCACTGCCGCCTTCGATTGCACCAATTGAACGCGAGTCTTGGAGTATTCAAAAGGGTACTTGGTCAATTAGCAACTGTTGTATCAACCATAAAGAATCCTGGAGCAATCCTCGAGGACCAAAGATCTTACAGTTACAGCGGCTTCCACACCTCCAGCAACTCCCCCAGCCACAAGTGAGACCCACTGGGTGGTGATTGGCTATACCCTGGGTTAGAACGAGAGTCACATATGCGGGGAATTTGCTGACCTTTTGTGGGACTATTTCGCTTGCCTTCGGTTGAGGGGCAATATGGGCGGCCATTGTCAACTGGAGCGAATGAGAAGCAAGATCGATTGGACAGACGAGCCGAAGATATACTAATACATATGTATTATGCCCGTGTGGGGGGTAAACGGAAGATAACTTGCCGCGGAGTTTTCACATCCCCCATCGATTCCCGGTTTCCGCGGGCCTTTTGTCTTTGGACCTTTCAAACATCTCGCCCATGGCAAGAAATCATCCGTCCAAGCCGCGGAGAGCCGCGAAAGCTTGTGCCTTTTGCCGGCGAAGAAAGGTGAGTTGGGCTATTCGAGTCGAAAATTTGTGTCGCCACCTAACCCAAAGGAATACCAGTTGCGGTGCGATAACGAGAAACCGACATGTTCCAACTGTAAAGGGTATGGCAATACGTGTACCTACATAGTATCCCCCGAGAAGCAAAGGTATAGCATCGCTGGTTGTTTATTTTAGATGATTCATTGCTGATCGGCGATCGCTAGGCCGACGAAAGCTCGGATTTCTCGGCTAGAAGCCGAAAATGAACGCCTTCGCCAGCAGCTCAAGACGACGGAAAGCCATTCGATCTCGGAAAGCCCGGGTCTTGATTCTAGTCGTGACACACCACGCCAACATGCGCCCGAATCTCCCACTTCGACTTTCCAGGAGCCTTCTGATGCCAGAAGTCGGGACAGCGCGAAGTTGAATCGCCCCCAGTCTACGGTTTCACGAATCTACATATCCGCAAATGGGGACTCCAGCTACCATGGTCTCACGAGCACTCTTTTTGACGATGCGCCGACGGACAGACGTGGTCAGATGCGGGCAACTGGCCCACTTATCCCAGTGGAGCATGTCAAAAAGCGGTTGATGGGGGAAGCGGCATATCAAAGTATGTTAGACAGCTCTTCAAATCTAATATAGCACCACTGACAAGAGCGAAGAGCAGCTTGAGAGCTTGAACCTATCTGAGGGAAAGCTCGATTTCGATGGGGTCGAGCCGGAGCTGGGCATGCACCTATTGTCCCTGCACTGGAATCGGCAACATCATTCATTCTTGATCACTCATCGGCCTTCCTTCATGCGAGACATGGCGACAAATGGCCCTTATTTTTCCAAGCTCCTGCTCAATGCGATCTACTTTGGTGCATCAAAATTTAGCAATCGCCCCGAAATTCGTCGAGATCCCGATGATGTGCGGACCGCAGGCTGGACTTTTCGAATGAGAGTCAAAGAGCTCCTAGGTAGCGCTCTCGATCGAAGTGAGATCACCACTATCCAGGCATTGCTAGTTATGACAAGCTCGTTATTCGCCCTGGGAGACGAACGAAGCGCTGCGTGGTTATATGCAGGAACTGCCTTTCGAATGATTATTGACCTGGGCATGCACGTTGACGCTACAATGTTACCTAACATGCGCCGCATCTCTGATGAAGACTTAGAGGTTCGGCGGCGTGTCTTCTGGGGAGCATTTGTAGTGGATAAAATACAATCTCTGTATCAAGGCCGCCCGCCTAGCCTTCAACACTTTGACACTAATGTTTCGCTTTCGTTCCTTGACATGTACGAAGAACTTGAGCATTGGCAGCCATTCGCATATTCGGGCAACCAGTCTTATCCTGGATCTCCAGCATACAGCATCTCAACATTTACGGAGTTGTGCAAACTCTCACTGATCCTGAATGGGATCTTGAACAAAGTTTACTCAGAAAGAAGCTCCTGCCGATCTCCGCAGGGTCTTCTCACTACCTTGAATTCATTGGATATGCAGCTTAAGGAATGGCATGAAGGGCTTCCAGACCATCTACGCTTCAGCAGCAGTACAGGCCAGGTCACGCCGCCACCTCATGTTGTCTCTCTTCTGGCGCTGTACAATGTCTTGCTAATCCTTCTTCATCGGCCATTTGTCGCCGAGGGACATCTCCATCCCACTGATATATCCATTGCGATTTCCTCCTTTGGCATATGCACATCTGCCGCAAACTGTATCGTCAGACTGCTCCAAGCTTATGACCAGGCGTTTTCCATCAGGCGGGCACCATATCTGATATCCTACGCCACATACGTTGCGGCGACAATCCTTGTTCGGGTAGCGGCGCAACGCGAGGGTGGAAGCCAGGCTCATGCCAGTCTTCGTGTGTGCATTGATATCTTCAAAAAGAATCAGGAGACAAACTGGGCTGTTCGTCGAGCAGAGAATGTAATTCTCCACTTGATGGATAGGATGGGCGTCCAGTTAGATGTTCGCGGTGATGATCAAAACCAACACTCTGTGGATCCTACTACCAGGCGTTTAGAGGAGATTGAAGGAAGGGAAAGCCGAGAAGAAGAGGACACATCACAACCAATTGGCTTCCTCAATCAGACATCTCCATCTGGAGATGCCGAAGCCTCCGAGCTGGATATTGACATGATAATACAAAGTTTCATCCGCCAAAGTACTAGACCTGCCGAGGGCCAGCCTTATCATCAGCCAGTCGACACTTTAATTTCAACTCTCGACGTGGACCCCTTCAATGTCCAACAACCACCTATGCCGACTGCCTTACCGGGTAATGAAACATTGTCTGAGTACCACATTGATGAAGATATGCTATTTGGTTTCAATGGTTCTCTGCAAGATAATATGCGATTTTAATTGTACTTAAGTACTACCAAAAATACGAATTGCCATGAGAAAGTGAGCGTAAACTCCATAGCATGATCCACAACACCCGCAACCGTTGCGTTCAATAAAATACATTTCCTTCAAACAATCGACGAGCTGTGCGGAAAACCGCCACCTGCTGCACACAAGCTTCGCCTTCAGAATCCACGCCCAGGACAGTCTCGGTTTCAATAACACCCGAAGGATGTCGAATGCCTACTGGAATGGCAGCGGCAATCTCTTGACCATCAACAGCCATTCCGTGCTTGTGCATTCTCTCGGTTTTCTTCCCACCTGCAAGCTCCCATGCAACGGTGCCATGGACTGCCATCGCTGCCGCGATGCAGACTGCACCGGTCAATTGAAGACTTGGATGAGGCTTGCCTAGAGAGAACGAAAGAACTTCAATATCTGCTCTGGCTTCATCCCCCGTAACCGCGGACAGGAAGGCAATTTTGGGGGTCCCTCGAACGCGCCCCGCGTCGTTCATGTCTGGAGCGAGTCCGAATCGCACAGCTCCCTGGCGGCGGATCTCTTCGACAACAGACAAGACATCAGAGTCCTTCACATTTGGCCATGGGCAGCCCTGCTGGAATGGCAAAGAACTTGCATCCACGAGAACAAATGGATTGGCTGCATCCACGAGACTAGCTCTGACGGAAAATTTACCTGCAATGAGAGAAGAAACAGCCATAGTTTCCGATTTGAACCCACTTGGAAACATGCTTTCAGTCATACTGCCTTCTGGATTTAGAAAAGCGACTTTTATTGGGCTTCCGCGACCTTCAACCCCGGCTAGTTCATAAACTCCATCCTCGCGGAATCGTCCGTCGGGGCCAACGTGAACGGTTTCGACAATGGTTTGTCTGGTATTTGTATTGAAGATCCGAATATCAACCTGCCCGATTGAAGATCAGGTTCTGATTTATACCGATACAGCAAACTTCAACTTACATTGGACTGTCCTGGTTGTACTGTGACAAGTCCCTCGTCGAGACTAAAGGGACCCACCCCAGAGGCAATGTTGCCGCAATTTCCAGTCATGTCAATTCTTGGTTGATCTGGGGCCACTTGTACGAACGTATAGTCTACGTCAATGCTCGGCCGCTTGGATTTTGAAACGATAGCAACTTTTGACGTGGTTGATGTAGCGCCCCCGATGCCGTTTACCTGTCGCGAATTTGCTTGGACAGATCCCATTGCCGAAAGCAGAATGGACTCCCATGCTTTAGTGGACGGAGGCAGGTCTCTCTCATGAAGAAAAAGACCCTTCGAAGTCCCCGATCTCATCCATACTCCGGGAATTTTTCTTCTCGTGGGACAGATAATAGGTGAGACGAATTGGTCAAGATGCGTTGCTAGTGTCATGTTGGCCTTGAGTTTTCTGGTCGCTTGCATAGATGAATTTGAGATGCGTTATGAAGACTAACTCATCACTGCTATATATTTCTGGCGAAATTACACGCTGCTTGTCTTCTCAATACCTGCTTTACAGGGCATCACCGGCAACTTTGAAGTTCTGCTCCGCGGCACGTATTCTTCCACGGGAGGAGACAACCCGCGGGTACTTCGGTACTTTTGCCGTTCGTTGGTTCATCCAGACACACAGGCAACTCAACTGTCAGTCGAACTGCCGAGATTTCTGGGGTCTGGGGTGCAGATGCGGGGTATATATCACATATGAGGAACATAAATGCATTCATGCCTTACTGCTACTCTCAAGGCATCTTCGAATTTTCTGGTCGATTAAATTCATTTGGTTGCTGCACATGGCTTCTTCGAACAACGTCTCGTCACAGGCGACACCCGTCCATAATGACCGCGTCTATCTGCTGGCAATAGTCACCTCAATGGGTGCTTTTCTATTTGGATACGACTTGGCGTTTATCGGAACCTCACTTGAGCTGTCGTCGTTCCAGAGGTGAGTCTGAATGCATCGGGTTGACTTCTTGTCACGTTGTAACTTACCGCTCAGGGATTTTAAACTTGACGACGCATCAGAGTCTACCAAAGATGCCTTTTCAGCAAACATTGTTTCCTTACTGCAAGCAGGATGCTTTTTCGGCTCTCTGGCGGCCGCCCCTATTGGCGACAGATTGGGTCGTCGAATTGCATTAGGACTCGGTGCCGTCGCATTCTTAGCTGGGTCGATAATGCAAACAGCCTCCGCGGGCTTCAAGGCCGTGATGTTTGTTGGCAGAGTAATTGGCGGTCTGGTGAGTAGTCTAGCCCTTTATATCGTAACTCCCATTGGGATCAATATCCGATGGGTTCTAGTTCTGGCAACTGACTTCACATGAAGGGGGTGGGATCTGCCAGCATGTTGGTACCTCTATATTCGGCGGAATGCGCGCCGCCCAAAATTCGAGGTCGACTGGTTGGAATCTATGAGATCGGCGTGCAGACAGGAACATGCCTGGGTTTCTGGATCAATTACGGCGTCGAACGCAATATGGCTCCAACAAAGTCACAATGGATGACCCCGTTCGCCCTTCAGCTCATCCCCGGTGGCCTTCTATTAATAGGCCTTGTTTTCATGCCGGAGTCGCCTCGGTGGGTGGCTAAAGCCAATGGAAGGTCAAAGGCGATGGAGACTCTGTCCCAGTTACGCAATTTGCCTGCCGACCACCCGGCTGTACAGAGTGAATTAGACGACATTTTTCAGCAGCTCGCACATGAGCAAGACATGAGCTCTGACAGTCGGCTGGCAGCATTGAAGGAGCTATGCCAACCGGGACTCCGATACCGCATGTTTCTGGGAATTGTTATCAATATTTTCTTCCAGATGGCTGGATCGAATGCGATCAACTATTATTCCCCACGCATTTTTCGCTCAATTGGCCTCACAGGAACTCAAACCACGTTGGTATCCACGGGTATTTATGGGATTGTGCGACTAGTGGCAGTTTTCATCGCCATGTATTTCATTGTGGATCGCTTCGGTCGAAAGCCTATGTTGATTATCGGAAGCGCGTTCATGGTAAACTCCCCAGATCAGCCCAATTCAATCGTTGAACTCAGCAATCTGATACTAAATAGGCTCTATCTATGTGGCTCATTGGTGCATTCGTGAAGGTTTTGGGAACTGAAGTCGATGATGGCAGCTCACTCAGCTCGGTGTCGTATGCAGCGGCTTTTTTCATTTTCCTTTTCGCAGTCTCATTTTGCTTCAGCTGGGCTGGAGTGCCGTGGATCATCTGCGCTGAAATATATCCGCTACAAGTTCGTGGAGTTGCCGTGGGTATTTGTGTGGCAACCCACTGGCTTTTTAACTTCGTCATCGCACGAAGCGTGCCGTATATGATTTCTGACATCTCTTTCGGCACGTACTTTGTCTTTGCGGCATGCACGACTCTATCGATTCCATTCGTTTGGTTCCTAATCCCTGAGACTAAGGGCTTGTCTCTTGAGGAAATCGATATCATATTTGAGCGCCAGCCCTCTGGATTTAATCAGAGAGGCGTATCTGGCACTAATGAAGTATTCAACCAAAAGGCAGCTGTGGAACAAGTCGAAACTGTCTAGTTGTCTGATTTATTTTTCTGATACAAAGAAATATCATGATATATTCATCTTTCACTCAGTATATTGAAGTTTTCGAGAAGAATGGTGGTTAGAGATCTCGCGTACTGAGGAAGGCCATATTTTTAATAAAATTATTATTACCCTTGGGAGGCGTTAGGCGTAATTGATAACCCCTCCTCCTTGCTCTCTGGCTCCTGGGGTTCCTTCATCGGTTCAGCAAGATATGCACCTATTTGGGCAATCGAAAGACGCTCGAGTACATTTCCTGCGGCTTCAACTGTATGCGGTAGTCCGGCCTGTCGAGTTTCTGGAATAATGGCTTCGAGCGAGCGGCCGAATTCTATGCAAATTACCTGAAAGGGGATCAAAGAATTTATTTAGAGAAAAGGTGAGGGATAATTGGAGGGCATCGTAAGGAGAATTGATTCTAGGGAGTCGCCGAAGGAAATAGTTTAGGGAGTGTTTGAATAGTGACATGGAGAAAACCTTTGAAGTCAGTAACTTCAGGCAGTCGTTGAGAATCGACGAAAGAAGTAATCATGGCGTCGTTGAAGGAATGAAACGAGGAAATCTTTGAAGGAATTAATTCGAGGAGACCGTGGGCAGAATCAATTCTATGGAGTCGTTGAAACGGTTTTAATTCGGGAAACCGTTGAAGGGATTAATTGGGCGAACATCGTTGAGAATCGTTCATGACTTTAGATGTGACCGTTCACAGAATTGATCCTAGAGTGTCGACGAAAGAATCAACTAAAGCAATTATTGAAGAGAATCGTTGAAGGAGATGAGGGAGTCGTTGACGGATTAAATTCAGGGTGTTATTAAAGGCAATCGTTGAAGGAAATAAATTAGGAGTCGTTGAAAAGATCAACACTGGAGAGACGTTGAAAGAAATGAACAAGGCGATCGTGAAAGAGATTTATTTGGAAGAATCTTTAGCAGGACCAATACCAGGTAGCCGTTGAAGGGATTTACAAAAGGAAGTATTGAAGGAACTTATGGTAAAAGTCGTGGAAGAAAAGATAAACAAGACTGTGTGGTGCGATATAGATAAGATGCAAATTAGCGTGTACGCACGTGATGAATATCTGACTCTGGCCCGTTACACTGAGAAGAATATTGTCTGGAACGTATGTCACTAGAGCAAGTATTTGCTAGGTTATTGTAGACCTACCTTTTATTTTGAAATTCTACTAAGTTTTATCAACAGAAGTACGTGTCGGAAGCACGAGTATGAAGATAACTCCCGAGCCGGTATTCTAGATCGTCCGCAGTTTGCAACCCGCCCAGCTTTATTTGAATAAATGATCCAAAGGTAAAAAAGCCTGGAGATTCTGTAGATAATCATTTATGCAAGGATCTCTCAATCCGCCACGCCAAGAGCTAGAATCCCGCCTTTAGACGTTGCGCTTCTGTGAAATAACGTACTGAGTGGATTTTTCTGTAGTATTTTGAGTGCTCCATGTCCGCGAAAGCAAGTCCGCAAAAATTTATCAGGACATTCAATATGCTCATCCCGATTGAACCGACAAATACGTTTCTCAAAATGCTCTAGGTTTCCGCTGCGAATCGAAATAGCACTTATAGTTTAGCTCAAAGACGCAGAAGAGGCAGTGTCGATTCGTTAAAGAGATTGGACGATCATGACGCTCTGGAGAAGGGGACAAGTCTTTTTTCTGTTGACTGTTCTGGTGGGGTCTCCTGGCTGCTGTATTTGTTGTGTAGCTTCTTTTCTTGAATCGGTCTGTCAGATGGCTTTTTTTCGATTCGGCCGAGGTCAACAAGTGCACCGACCAACGTAGATTCTTTGAATCATATCCTCATTCTCAGAAAGGTCTTGACATGGCATTTGTATCAAGTCTGCCACTCGGTGGCGCTCTTTGAGGCGATGTACAACCTTTTCGGCTCTACGCATCCTGCGTGATGTTTAGAAGCGATAGATCGAGCTATCTATTAATTTCTTAAGTAGTATAGTCCAGGGAAGGTAGACCATCGTCCTTCTCTCAATACTGACTGCACTGTGTGCGTCAAATAGTGCAACCTACCGCATGTAACGAGGACCCAGAATACTCGACATAAGATGGCAGTTTCGCATCGATCTCCGAACTATCTCAAGATGATAAAGACCGAGGGGAGGTCGGATAAGACTCCGTCAACCCCGCGCGGTGTAACGATAGATTTGCGGGGAAACCAATTAGTGTATAAACACTACAGAGCGACCACGCCTCTCAACACGGGCGCCTCTTTCTGACATCCAAGCCACAGCTCTTGATACTGCTCCCACCACTGCTACCTGCGTTCCAGGACACCATACCTCAAGATGGCACCACAAACCAGCGATGGGGATCCCCAGTTACATCAGTTCCGAGTCCCGGGGAATATCTTACCTCTCCATAACAGCATCCCCCTGGAGCTCGTTCATCGATATGATCCTGTCTATGTGGAACACTACAACAAATACAACGCCGGTCGTCTACATACCCACGAGGTACCGATTGAAGAATTCCGAAAGGACCCTGCCCGCTACACTACGGTCTATGGCCGCGCCGTAGGTCCCGATATATTTCGCATTACAGAGCAGAAATGTCCCGTGGACGGGGGCGAGATTGCGGTTCGGATCTTTGAGCCAGCGCCTAAATTGGATGACCAGGGGCGGCCAAAGAAGAGAGCTGCATACCTCAATTTTCACGGCGGTGGATGGGTATTCGGCGGGCTGTCGGCTGATCACGACTTTTGCAAGACGGTTGTCGATGGGCTTGACGGAGATCTGGTCGCCTTTGATGTCGATTATCGACTGGCTCCTGAGAATAAGTACCCCATCGCCGTGGAAGATTGTTGGGCTGCTTTCAACTGGGTATGCTTTATCTCACCTTTGCTGTATCTCGATATGACTGTTCCCATATTCTCCATGATTTAACTTTGGATTTGCAGGTCCGTGGGCAAAAGGCAGTCGAATTCAACCTGGACCCAGATCGACTGTCTGTCGGTGGCGCGTCTGCAGGAGGCCATCTTGCAGCAGTCATCGCCCATCTGTGTCGGGATGCGGGCATTCCCTTACGTTTGCAAGTGTTGACCGTTCCGGTATGCGATATGCATAGTACCTTTACTCCAGATGGTCAGTTCGATCGGGGAAAGTGCCCGTACGAGTCGTATCGGGAGATGGAATTTGCCCCGGCACTTCCTGCGGCACGCATGGCATACTTCCACCGGCATTTCCTCGGGGTGCCCCGGCCACCACCGTCCAAAGATGTGAGTTGAGATGAGTGTCTTCTGCAATAAGAACTATCAAGCTAATACGGACAAGGACTGGAAAATATCACCTATGTTTGCTCCCAACTTTCAAAATCTAGCCAAAGCCTTTGTGTCGACTGCCGAGCTAGATCCGCTGCGCGATGAAGGGGAGGTATATGCAGCCAAGCTCGAGGCGGCAGGAAATCGAGTGGAGCTTAATCGTATTGCTGGCGCTCCACATCTTGTTGCAGCTCTGGATGGCATTCTGCAAGGTGGACAGGAGTATAACCGCAAGGTGATTGCTGCATTGAAGCAGGAGGTTCGAGGATAAATGGGTAGAGCTGCTATGGGTGATTCTGGTACACTCCAACATGTTTGGGACCAAGCATTGAGAGGAACAGACTAGAATATCAAGTCTATTTGTGTTCGTTCTCCCCCAAGCTGTGTCGATCGTCGCAACTTTGAGGAAGCTCCAAATCCAGGGATGAATGTATAAGAGGGCCGCTAATCAGAATACCATACCGTACCATCCCAAAATTACACGGTTGTGCGGACGTCCACACCAAAACCGTCGGGTTGGCGCTCGGCAACGAGCCGATGACGGGGCGCGCACGTTACGGCCACGTAATGCCGATACCGGGAAGACTCGGCATCGCGAACTGGTCACTTTTCTGCTTCACGTTTTGTTTTTAAGGAGACTCGCTGTTCTCGCCTTCTTGACCCTCCCCAGACGCCCCCCCGAGCGAGCCATTGGGATCCAGACCAGTCTTGTCGCACTGTTTCAAGCTCCTACCGTCACAATGAACCCTGCCTCCTCCCGAGCCGCTGTGCGCTCAATGGCCACCCTAACACATGCGACCAGAGCTGCCAACCCCGCAGCCCGCACCTTTCTGTTGGCTGCTGCTGCTCGCGCCCCGGCTTTTGCTAGTCGCCTGAGCTCCAGTCCCCGTCAGATCGGCTCATTCCCCCGCCTTCAACTCCTGAACAACAACAAGAGAGCCTTCAGCACAACCGTCAACATGGTAGGATTTCAGTGCGGACCTCAACGAAAAGACTCTGGCTGATGCGCCCATTCTCTTCTAGTCTTCGGCTTCCCGTACCGAGAGCGATGCCTTTGGCGAGATCCAGGTGAGTTCCGATGCCTCAACTTCCGTGCGGCTTTCTCCTTCGACAGCAGCTGATTAGGATGTTACTGTCTTCTAGGTCCCTTCGGACAAGTACTGGGGTGCCCAGACTCAACGGTAAGACGAGCCCGTCGAATCGAATCGATTGCAAAATGGAAGACCCTCGATAGAGTGTAGGAGAACTGATACAATCATTGGAACAGCTCTCTGGGCAACTTCGACATCAACCAGCCCCAGGACCGCATGCCCGCCCCGGTCGTCAAGGCCTTTGGTGTCCTGAAGGGTGCTGCTGCCACCGTCAACATGAAGTACGGTCTTGGTGAGTGGAACACAACATAATGCGGGGTATGATAGACCACAGTCGATTAACATGCGGTGCATTCGACAGACCCCAAGATCGGAGAAGCCATCAAGCAGGCCGCCGCTGAGGTCGCCGAGGGTAAGCTGCTGGACCACTTCCCTCTGGTCGTCTGGCAGACCGGCTCTGGCACCCAGTCCAACATGAACTCCAACGAGGTCATCTCCAACCGTGCCATTGAGATCCTGGGTGGCACCATGGGCACCAAGAAGCCCGTCCACCCCAACGACCACGTCAACATGTCTGCGTCCTCCAACGACTCCTTCCCCACCGTTATGCACATTGCCGCCGTTGTCGAGCTCGAGAACACTCTGCTGCCCTCCCTGCAGAAGCTGCGCGATGCTCTGCAGCAGAAGGTTGAGCAGTTCGAGCACCTGATCAAGATTGGCCGCACCCACTTGCAGGATGCCACCCCTCTGACTCTGGGCCAGGAATTCTCCGGCTACGTCGCCCAGCTCGACCGCAACATTGAGCGTGTTCAGGCCAGCCTTCCTCACCTGCGCTTCCTCGCTCAGGGTGGTACCGCCGTGGGCACTGGTCTGAACACTTTCAAGGGCTTCGACGAGGCCGTTGCTGCTGAGATCAGCAAGATGACCGGCACCGAGTTCAAGACCGCCCCCAACAAGTTTGAGGTCCTGGCTGCCCACGACTCTATTGTCGAGGCCTCCGGTTCCCTGAACACCCTGGCCGGTTCTCTGTTCAAGATCGCCCAGGATGTCCGCTACCTGGGTTCCGGCCCCCGCTGCGGTCTAGGCGAGCTGATCCTGCCCGAGAACGAGCCCGGTTCCTCCATCATGCCTGGCAAGGTCAACCCCACTCAATGCGAGTCCCTCACCATGGTCTGCTCCCAGGTCATGGGTAACCACGTTGCTGCCACCATCGGTGGTATGAACGGCCAGTTCGAGCTGAACGTCTTCAAGCCCGTCATGATCCGCAATCTGCTCCACAGCGTGCGCATCCTGTCTGACGGCATGGACAGCTTCCGTCTTCACCTGGTGGACGGCCTGGAGGCCAACGAGTCCCGCATCAACTCCCTTCTCCACGAGAGGTATGTTCCCCCACTCCTCAAACCCTCCCTCCCCTTTGCCCTTCTTATGTGTCCTCGCAACCACTCGCTAACCGCATGCCTCAGTCTGATGCTCGTGACCTGCCTGAACCCCGTTATTGGCTACGATATGGCTTCCAAGGTGGCCAAGAACGCCCACAAGAAGGGCACCACCCTGAAGGAGTCCGCCATGGAGCTGAAGGCTCTCAGCGAGGAGGACTTCGATAAGTACGTCCGCCCCGAGCTGATGCTGGCTCCCAAGGAGCTCAAATAAATGAAACGGCCCTGCTGTTTCGATCCCTGTGCCACCATAGAAAAATTCCCATAGGGTCTGTATACTGAAGAATTCATATGTACCTCCGTGCTTTTTATTTTTATTTTTATTTTTATTATTTTTGCCGTAGACGATCTGAGATCTTGTAGTGGGGCTGCCTGCGCCGCTCCAAAAATAGCACTCGGCCATACTACAGCAGGAACAATAGCTGCGTCCCTGGGAAAATAAAAAAGATAATTACGGAAACGCCGATAAAATAGCAATCAATCGCGAGTAGAACGTGCACAGAATTTTCCCGCCAACGCAGCCTTGGAAGAATCCACAGCGCTAGTCGCCGGAATGCACGTATTAATAGCAGACCCCTGGATGTCTCACCCGCCAGCCGTGGTTGTTGACGACCCGATCCCGATTTCTTTTTTAGGCTGCACCTCTTCTCAGGTCCCGTCTGCTCCTCTCACTCCGACTCAATTCCAACTTCCGCATACACCAGATACTCACTTCACCCCGTCGATCTCCCTCGCGCTAAAACCCCGCCGTCTCGCAAATTCGCCCCTCCCCTGACGGATCAACAACCCGCACTTCTCCCTCTCCCACCAAGTTCCCACTTGAAAGAACCGCATAAGACCACCATGTCTGCCCCAGTCACAACCACCACCACCATCTCCGAAACCAAGCCTACCATGAGCTCCACCGTCACACCCGTCGTCGAAGAGACCGACGGCCCCCTCTTCCCAGCAACCCTCATCTCCCCCGAAGTGATCGCCCTCCTGCCAACAGACTACACCATCCGTCCGCTCCGTCGATCCGACTACAAGCGCGGCTACCTGGATGTCCTGCGTGTCCTGACGACCGTCGGCGAAATCAGCGAGGACATGTGGAACCAGCGCTATGACTGGATCGCTTCCCGCAACGACGAGTACTACATGCTGGTTGTGTGCGATGGTGCGGACCGTGTCGTCGGTACCGGTAGCTTGATTGTTGAGCGCAAGTTCATCCACACGCTCGGTTTGGTCGGTCATATTGAGGATATCGCTGTTGAGCAGGGTCAGCAGGGGAAGAAGCTTGGTCTGCGCATCATTCAGGCGCTGGATTATGTTGCTGCTCAAGTTGGCTGCTATAAGGTATGTTCTTTTTCCCTCTCGCGAAGCTTTACGGGGTCAAAGCTAATATTCTGCAGAGTATTCTTGACTGCTCCGAGGTCAACGAGGGCTTCTATATCAAGTGCGGCTTCAAGCGCGCCGGTCTGGAAATGGCTCACTACTACTGAGCAAATTTGAAGTTCTGAAATTATGTGTTTCCTTCACCCGGGTAAACCAAGTTTTGAGCTGGCGTTCAGGGCATTTGGATTAGAAGTCCGATAGGGCTTGCACTTTGATTCAGCGCATTGTCATACATGTGAAAACACAAACCCCCAATCTTCCTATGCCAAAGATCGATTCGTGTTTGGCATATGATGCAGGCGGAGGATGCCAGTGTGTTTTTTGGGCGCCTGCACTTTGAGCGTCAAGCCTCTGGGACACTTGGCACTCGAGGGAATCAATTCCAAGAGAGCATATCTGGTGGTCCTACATGTTGTGAATGATCATTTGGCTATCTGGGGTTGAGCGATTGGGGTTCTTAAGAACTTGTGTAAGATCAGCGATAATTTTGATCTTGGGACATTATCGGCGTACTTGATTGGAGAAGATAGATATTAGATGGTATATATAGACATCATGATGCTGCAATCCAGTCTTTTGGGATGAGATCATCGCTCGTGCGCAGAACATCACAAAATATATATATTGTAGTGGGGAGACCCCCTCCCCTACTACATGGGTGCCATCCAGACTATGTGACATAGCCGGCAGTATACAGTGGCCGGATAGCTAGTTCTAGAATACACCTTCTTACACCTCCCCGACCTGACCCCTACATTTGGGCTTCTCGCTGTTTCCTGATTGCTACGCGTGTGTTTTGTGGTGGTTTTTCTGCTGAATCGACCCGCACGTCTCAGCGCGTGCAGCCATCGAGCGTTCCCCTCTTCATATGGTGACCGACGCAGGGGGGATTGATTTTCTGGGTGGCTGAACACGCAGATAAACAACACGACGGGCGCAGAGTGTGGAAATCGCGAGAAACGTCGAAAGGAAAGTTGTGTCCAGGGTGGGCGATCGCGTTAACCCTGAAAACCATTCGAATTCCGGCAATTGCTGGTATTAGTGGTACGTATTATTGGTTTTTGAGCATTTGATGCTCATTGGGGCCTTGTATGAGAAGAGGTACCCCTTGGCATTTGTGATTAATCCCCTACATTGTTCTGGGGGGAGAACATTTTCTAGGTCGATATGATTGGCCAGGAATTCAAGATGGGATTCCGGCAGGATGAGTACCAGCAGCTATTGCGAATGCTGCTTGCAGACCGGCTACACAGGAGAACTGACCTTCAGTCAGTACTGTGTATGAGACCGATTGACTTACACAACCTGGCAGAGAAGATCTGGCCAGGCATCTACAACCTCTGGATTTCGGGTGTGAATACAGTTTTCACCCAAGTTGTCGTTCATTTTTTACTTCAGAATTGTGCTTTTGGGCCGAAAATATCGAGGTTTTCGGATTGTTTGTTTCCCCCTGGTCAGCCTGAAGACCAGGGAGAGTTCTGTTTTTCCTACTACCGGCATTTCTCGTGCGAGCAAGCCGGAGCAGTCTATGTTTCCTGATTTTGTTTCAATCTCCTCTGTTGATTCTGTTGATCGGAAGGCTGTCACAATGGGTGACAGCACTAATGTTAATGTTGGCGATGGCCAGAGCTATGTCCAGCCCGTCGTCCAGGCCGATGTTCCCTCACCCTTTGAAGGCTACCGAGAGCCTCCTCGCCCAGAGAGCGAAGCGTCTGCCAGCCAGACACAAAGAAACGATGTGCCAGACGCGAGTGAGCAACAGTCGCGACCACTACCACCCTTCCCGTCCTCTGCCTATCAGGCAATGCCACCGCCAGGAGGGATGTGGATACCAAGTGATATGTTTCAATTGATGATGAACCGCCAGGGCAATGCCCTGATGCCAGATCCTGGTACACCTGGTGCGCCGTTATTCAATAAGAAAGATGCGAGAAAGTTCCTTCGGAACTTTGAGAAGTTATGTGAAAGGCGTGGTATCAGCGACCCTGCTAGGCAGTGTGAGCTGTTTGCCGATTATTGTGAGGACTCTATCCAATCGTGGGTAGAGTATGACCCGCTGTGGAGATCTCGCGATTGGGAAGCGTTTAAGGACATGCTCTGTGATCGATACAGAGATTATGACTCTGAGCGCCAGAGGTTTTCGAGGGCATCATTGATGGAGTTAGTGAATCAACCAAGAGACACCATTGATGAGGTTCGCCAGTTTATGACGGAGTTCAAGACTGTGTCTGATGTGCTAGTGGCCAATGAGGTCATTCAGGAGATCCAGAGATGTGAGTGGTTAATAACCGGGTTGCCTAATTGGCTACGGCATCGAGTTGCAAAAAAGGGCATTATCGACTTCGATCGGCCGTCTAGGCCTATGCGGCTAGACTGGATTGCCGATGAGGTGTCCAGCACGATGGCAGCGCAGGATAAGTATGAGAGGGTGATCAAAACGACTGATCGACCTAGCAGTCAAGAGGTGACGTCGACAAAGCTGACGTCGACGAAGGAAAGGAAGAGTGTCGCCTGGGAAGGTGGTTTTTCGGCCGAAAAACCTGCCATTTCTTCAGGGCGTCAAGAGAATAATTTGGAAGAACAGGTGGAAGAGATGCGCCGTCAATACAACGATATGAAGTTAACGGTCAATATGCTACAGTCAGGCATGGTGAAGAAGGATATGAGAAATGATCCTGCTTACGTCCCTGCTGATGCTTCAAGATTGGCCTATCAAGGACAGCGGTCAAGGCCTGCTGATGGCAGAAGCCCTCCGATTTGTTACTTCTGTGGCATTGTTGGCCATATTTCGAAACCGACGTCTTGTCAGGCAATGTCTGACGCGATTAGCAAGGGTGACATGCACGTTGGTAATGATGGCAAATCATACATTGGCCGTGCTGGTGAAGGTGGCCCGACTATGCAGTTTGTCTCAGGAAGGCCTTCTTTGGAAGGACTGCCCTCCCAGCTGCGAGAATGGCGGCGCAGTGCGCTGAGGGCGCCAGCTCAGCAGTTAATGCCGGTGTCACAGCCGACTGCTGATCCTGCTCCGCTGCCTAGGCAGATTCCACATTATGATGGGCAGTCTGTCTATGATAGGTCAGCCTATGATAGGGGTGACATCCAGGTTCCTGGGAACTACATTGGCGTCAGCCTTGGAATTAGCCCTGAGGAAAATCAGGAGATTGATTGCGATGATGAGATCATTGATGCGGGATATGAGAGTGCTGGCATCAATGCTGTTGAAACGCGTGGTAGTCAACAGCAGGATCCTGTACGGGCAAAGCGCCGTGCAAATGGCATCGCTTCCACCAAGACATGGCAAAGTGGTCAATATATGCAGCCTAATCGACAGGCAAGAGTGGAAAATATTGATAATGATGACGTGATGATGGATCGACCCCCAGACAATCAGACTGAGCCACGCACGCAGCATATACCAGTGCCTGCTACCAGCGGAAGATCAAATGTGACCGTCAGCCAGAGAAAATCAGTGCCCGTTAGCCAGGTGAAGAAGACAGCGCCCTATATGACATCGACGGCAGCATTAGAAGCGTTGGTTAAGAGAAGGGTGTTGGACACTAAGGTGGACCTAACAGTTGAGGAAATGGGCAGGATTATTCCGAGGCTCAAGACTAATCTGTTCCGCGACACTGAGGGCCTTCGTCCTGCTATTCCACAACCTACTTCACAATCTGCGAATGTGACGAATGTGACGCAGTTAACGCCATCAGGTTATGGCGGCGACGATCATTTGCAGGTGGCTGTCGGCAATGTTCACCCAAGTACGTACCGTGACGATCGCCGATCGACAGTGGCGGAAGATCGGGTAGAAACACATCGTGATGTGTATTCACTTGGCCTTCTATACTCTGAAGTGATCGTGGCAGGTTATATGCTGCGTGGCATGATTGATTCTGGCAGTGGCGTCGATGTGATGGGCAGAAAGCAAGCAGAGACACTAGGGTTGCCGATCAAACAAGATCCGAAGATTCATGTGGTGCCCGTAAATGGTGTACATGTCAAGTGCCTTGGCTGTATTCAAAACATGCCTGTTTCCATTGGCGACATCACCACTCACGTAAATGTGTTTGTGATCTCGGAATGTCCTGGAGGGTTGATTCTTGGAAGACCATTCATGGAAGCGACGATGATGGCGCTGGCGCAGCAGCCTGACGGGAAGGTTGAGTGCACGGTGTATAATGATGCAAGGACGAGGAAGATTGTTTTTCCTGTCTATTCCCCTGAAGAAAAGAAGATCATTAGGGCCTCGAGGCTGTGGCCTAATGAGATGATTGGTGAGAATGCCCCGTTTGTTGAGGGTCCTTTAAACTCCTGAGCAGGTGTATGAATTCTGGTACGACACCTGCTATTACTAATGTCCAGAGAATTGTAAATTTCGACGATTTGACTAGTTCTGCCGATTCTGTTGATGGTTTTGATTGTTTTGTTGATTGTTTTGATTGTTTTGTTGATTGTTTTGATTGTTCTGTTGATTGTTTTGATTGTTCTGTTGATTGTTTTGACTGTTCTGACCTCGGTGTGTTGACTGATATTCATGGCGCAAAGGCAGGCATGGGGGTGCCGACACCGCTGTCTGGCCATGTGCCTATGAACCTGATAGATGTGTCAGCAGGAAGTGTGAGTGATTTGGATGATCACTACCTTCCGCCTGAATGGAAGGTTGTGGATGTTGACGGTCTTAGAAATGTTGGGTTTGGCGATATGCGGGGTGTGCATTATCGTTCAACCACGAAGGATGTTGACTCTTTGCCACCGTGTCGTGATCATGGTGATGGGTTTATTCGGCCAAAATCATGGCGTTCTCTTGGTGTTCCGTTGAACACGCTGTATAAGAGAAAGGCAGATAAGGTTTTGCCGATGAATGTGCCATTGAAGGATGGGTCAGTGCCTGAGGGTAGGCCTGATTGGCAGAGGATCTGCTTGGAAAAGTACCACACGCGCTTTCGAGCCCCTGATGTCAGGACTAGGTTTGATAAGTACCTGAAACCTCGAATAGCGGAGTTCGCGCGTGGTGCGAGATTGACGCCAGAGAGAGAAGGTGCTATGATTGTGGGGAAGGATTTGATGCCAGAGGAGAAGGAAATGCTTCGAGAGCTGTTGTTCAAGCGCGAGGGTGCGCTTGCCTGGTCTTGGGAGCATATGGGAAGAGTGCGAGAAGAGGTCTATGGGCCTCAGGTGATTAGGACAGTGGAGCACGAAGCGTGGCAAGAGCCAGGATTCATGGTTCCACGGGCGCTACATAAGACGGTGATCGAGATGCTGGAAGATCGATTGAAGAAGGGCACCTTGGAGCCTTGCCATGGCGCATATCGAAATCCATGGTTCTTGGTGAAAAAGAAGGCTGCGAAGAAGTTCAGATTGGTGATTGCGGCGATGAAATTGAATAGTGTCACTATTCGTGATGCGAATATGCCACCTAACATTGATGAATTCGCAGAAGATTTCGCAGGGATGCAGCTTTGCTCAGTTGTTGATCTATTTTCAGGATATGATCAGATCACATTGGATGAGCGTTGCCGGGATCTGACAGCAATCATGACGCCACTCGGTCTTCTCCGTGCGACCACTATCCTGCAAGGTGCCGCAAATTCGGTTCCCCAGTGCCAGAGAGTGGTTCAATTCGTGCTTTCAGAGATTTATGGTTCAGTGGTTGAGGCCTATCTTGATGATTTCGGTATCAAGGGGCCAAAGACAGACTATAATGGCGAGATGGCGCTACCAGGCGTTCGGCGCTATGTGCTCGAGCACCTCCAGAATCTGGATCATACTCTGTATCTGCTGGAGTTGGCCGGGATGGTTATTTCGGCCGAAAAATCGCAGTTTGTGATGCAAGGTGTTGCTGTCGTTGGTTGGATATGTGACGCCAGTGGGCGTCGCCCTGATGAAATTAAGGTGGCTAAGTTGGTTGATTGGCCAACGCCAACATGCGTCTCAGAGGTGAGGTCATTCGTTGGTCTCGCTGTTTACTTTCGCGTTGTGATCGCTGGTTTCGCTATGATCATAGCCCCGCTTTATAAACTGATGAAGTCGGGTGCCCATTTCCAATGGGGCAAGGAGCAGCAGCAGTCATTTGATGAGACGAAGCGGATATTGTCGACATTTCCGGTTGTCCTGCCAATTGATTATGAATACGACCCACTAGTCATAGTGGTGGCAGTTGATTCATCAGCCAGTGGATGGGGAAGTGTGATGATGCAAGTGCGGAGTGCTGTTAGGAAGCCAGCACGTTATGAATCAGGCATGTGGTCTGAAACTGAAAGATTTTATGACGCGGGGAAGCGAGAGTGCCGAGGTGTTCTGAAGGCGTTGAAGAAGTTCAGACACTGGCTGTATGGTGTCCATTTCACTCTCGAGATTGATGCGAAGACGTTGGTGGCGCAGTTGAACAGATCAGCAACGGACCTGCCTGGCGCATTGGTGACTAGCTGGATTGCTTGGATTCGCCTGTTTGATTTCGATGTCCATCATGTTCCTGGCCGGAAACACGGCGCTGCTGATGCTCTTTCAAGACGGCCATATTCTGCTGAGGAGATTGCCGAACAAAAGAACGAAGAGGATGTTGATGAATTTATTTTGGCCGAAATAAGCACCCTCAGGGTGATGATGAATCCAGTGGAGACGTCTATCGGTGGACAATTAATGGACAGTGTTGAGGATGATGTGGGGAACGTTGATGTTCATGTTGGTGAGAAAATGAGGATGAGAATGTTGGATGATTCATATTCAGATGAATCAGAAAAGATTGCGCAGTGGTGCGTTTCGATCAGGAGGCCTAGTGGCATGTCCCCTCGCCAATACAACCACTTCAAGAAGCACGCCAGCAATTTCGTGGTTCAGGGAGAGCACCTTTTCTATAGGGGGAAGGGCCTGAATATGCCACTGCGTCGTGTTCTAGATGGTGAAGATGATCGAAAGCGTGTCGTATCTGAAGCACATGATGGAATGGGGCATAAAGGTCGTGAGGCGACATATGCACTGTTGAAGATTCGATACTGGTGGGAGGGGATGTACACCCAGGTCGCTGAATACGTCCGAGGATGCCCAAATTGCCAGTTTCGGAACCCCATTCGCGTGGAAGAACCGCTACTTCCAAATCGAGTGCAGAATGTGTGGGACCAGGTGTTCATTGACACTGCAGCATTGCCTGACGAAGATGGTTACAGATGCATGGTTCAGGCAAGAGAGGCGTTAAGTGGATGGGTGGAGGCGAAGCCGCTGAAAGGGAAAGCGACCGGCAAGGCAGTTTGTGATTTCATATGGCAGGACATCATTTGCCGCTATGGATGGCCACTTCGTATCGTGATGGATAAGGGCCCTGAGTTTCGTTCGGAAGTGCAGCTTTTTCTGCAGGCTAAGGGCATCAAGAGAGTGGCAATTGCACCCTATAATGCCGGTTCGAATGGTGCCATTGAGCGCAGCATGCGAACATTTAAGGATGCCATCTCGAAGATGACACATGGCTATTCAGCAGAAAATGCTGCTGGAACCACAACAGCTTCCCAGCGTTCACGATCAGTTCGCATTCCCCCACCTTCCTGGCGAGCATGTTTCTATGCTGCGCTATTAGCTGATCGTATGACAGTGTGTGCCACTACTGGTATGACGCCATTTCGATTTCTATTTGGAAGGGATGCCATTCTGCCACTTGAGGCAGAAGTGCCTACATGGTCTACATTACCATGGGAGACGATCACAACACGGGAAGATTTGATTAGTCTCCGAGGACGCCAGATCTTACAGCGAGATGCCGATGTGGAAGAGGCCATTCACCGATATGAGAGGATGCGAGAGAACAATAAGGCCTATTTTGATAGCCAGAAAAGTGTCCGATCTTCACCTTTGGAGGTCGGAAACCTGGTGCTCTTACACGACACGCAAATGAAGGAGAATATGACAGCCGTGCAGAAGCTGCGTTATCGGTGGCATGGGCCTTACCGCATACGTGAAGTGCTAGGCAATGGCGCCTATGCATTAGAAGAATTAGATGGAACGCCAATGTTCCATGGATTCTCGGCTGGAGATGGAATGCGACATCGTGCCGTTAATGGCGATCGTTTGAAAAGATTCTGGCTACATCGTGATGCTGGCGTTCGAGAACAGTCATTTCCGCCAGTGGCAGTTGAGATGGACAATAGAGGTCTAGATCTCAGCCGACAGCGGCATGCCGATGCTAGCGTTGAAGATGACGTCTCTGGGGACGATGTGAATGATGGAGATTAGCCACACTCGTGGGTGTGCTGGTTGAGGTTGCTAGTGTTGCTAGTGTTCTTTCTTTTCCATTGTCTTGTCTATTTCTGTTGATTTGATGTTTGATGCGATGTTGTTTGGTTTTTTTCTTTGATGTTTGATTTTGCATTTTCTTTGATTTTCAATCTTGGCCGTCCTCGGCCAAGTTCTTGGGTGTGCTGGGGTGTGTCTCTCAGCCACCCTCTGAGGCCTTTGATTCTTTCGTGATTTGCTATTTTGATCGGTTTTCTTTTATGTCTTTCGTTTTCGTTGATGCTTTCTTTTCTTTGATTTTCTTCATGTTTTCAGCACTGCCGTGGCAAGTGTTGACTGCCGTGGCAGCTTCTTTGGTGGTTCAACACCTCAAATTATTTCGGCCGAAAATTCTGATGTTAGTCTTTGACGACGACGGCTAGAGAAGCTGATTTCGATGTCGACATTAATCACAAGGATGTCGATGTGGTCATATTGACTCAGAGACGTGGATCTATCTTGATGTGCTATTTGATGGTTGGTGATGCTTGATTTTTGATGTTTAATTCCTCGACCGATCTCTGATTCGACCATTCCCCTACTGTCATCTTTTGATACTCGCAGTCATTTGCCTTGCCGCCTTGCCATTCTCGATTGCGTTTTTGATTGACAGTTGTACCCGTTGGGAGGGCCGCCCTAGATTCAGAATTGGTCGTCATTTCGGTTTGTGTTTTGGTTTTGGTGTTGATTTTGATTTTTTTTATGTCGTCTGGCTGGGGACAGCCAGAGACTTGGGTGTGCTGGTATGTAGTGGGGAGACCCCCTCCCCTACTACATGGGTGCCATCCAGACTATGTGACATAGCCGGCAGTATACAGTGGCCGGATAGCTAGTTCTAGAATACACCTTCTTACACCTCCCCGACCTGACCCCTACATTTGGGCTTCTCGCTGTTTCCTGATTGCTACGCGTGTGTTTTGTGGTGGTTTTTCTGCTGAATCGACCCGCACGTCTCAGCGCGTGCAGCCATCGAGCGTTCCCCTCTTCAATATTTACTTGGTAGACGGCCGATGCCGGGAACAAGATTTAAAATTGGTCTGAGGCAGCATCACAGGCTCAAAATCGTTGCATTTGAATTTATTGGCGCACCGTGAATATATTTGATGGTATCGATTAGAACAATACTATTGTTATAGACAGTTTCATCTGATTCGATATTTGATGCCAGACCCAAACCTAAAACCGTCCTATGAAGGTCCCATTCATAGTTGCAACATAAGATATTACAAGTTCAGGGTATATGAGATACTCGTACTTTTATTTGATATTAATGGACGATTATGCATTCCATGTACTTGATCGCTCCGGAGACCCAGATCAAATGCATCGGAAGCAGCAAAATCCAAACATGATACTCTTCAAAGACGAGAAGCAGAAGTGCTTGCCCAACAGGCGGAGATATTGATTCTTGCATGGTTTATTTTTCATATGGTTCCTTTGTTCCCATTTTCTGCATTGCATAAAGTGTTTCAGAAACAAGGCATTGGCCTAAAGCCAGTCATCAACAGACAGTACTCCAGCCCGGTCCCGCAAGATTCCATCATATCGCAACCGTCAACACGAAAGAAACACCCAATGTCCAATTTCGCTCAATCCAATTTTATTTCAGGGAATTTAGCGGGACTTGGCGGCGACCTTGGGGGCAGAGCCCTTGGCGCCCTGCTTGCTCTGGATGCGCTGAGCACCACCCTTCGAAGCAGCGTTCTTGGCCTTCTCAGCCTTCTTGGCGGCGGCGGAGGCAGCCTTCTTCTCCTTGGCCTCGGTGATGGCCTGCTTGCGGGCGGCCTCACGGGCCTCGGGGCGCTGAGCGCGGCGCTCCTTGATCACATCGAGGGAGGCACCAACGATGGCGCGCTGAGCCTTCACGACACGGCGAGTGCGCTTCTTGGCAACCTCCTGTAAATCCAAAAAAAAGACCCGGTCAGCAAATTGTCCAATACTTCTCAAATAACTTCACTCAGATATTTCATCGCCTTGTGGTGTATCGTGTGAACGTTCCTCCTCTTGCTCCATCTTGTCGAGTATCGAGATGTCGATTGTGCGCCATTCCGATCCGAGACAATGACGGTCTTGATGTCGTCCTCCGCACACGAATCCATCCACATTCACGAAAATTCCAAACGAGGGGTAGTAGGTGATGACCGACCTCAGAGATACCCTTCTTGTGCTGGCGACGGTACAGGACAGTCCAAGCGATCCGGCGGGGGTTCTTGCGCTGAAGGAAGAGCGACTCGGACTTGCCGTTCTGGAAGCGGAAGATCTTGGAGTCTCCGCGGACGTAGATCTTACCCTATAACACCACAAAAAAGAAAAATTAGCAAGGCCGAGCAGATTCCAAATGATATCTTCGTGCGCGGCGAGGGTGGGTAATCGTAGGAAACATGTCGACGGCGTTATGTGTGGTATAGCATCGATTGTGTGGTGTAATGTCGTCGTCGCTTAAATTTCCGTGGATTCCTCCTCGCACGCACGAAAATCGAACAGGGTGAGAACGCACCTTGCCAGGGTAGATCTTCTGGCCGGAGAAAGCGTCGTCGTAGGTACGCATCTTGACGGAGGGATGCGCTGACGAGTGTCGGTTGGCGTTGGGTGGTGGTCGAAATTCGGGGATCGCGGTTGACTCGCTGCTGGGGCCCAATTGTGGTGCGCCTCGCTAAACTGCGTCACGTGCCGCGCTCTGCCCTTTGCGGATGGCTCGCAACACGTGACCCGCGTCATGCCGAGTTGTTATCGGGCCATTCCAAATTGGGTCTAGTGCTTCCTATATCGAGTCTGGGAACTATACGAGGACCACTGGCTGGTAATATTACCACCCACTGGTACAATGTGAGGTATCAATGTTGAAAGTTTTATGAATTTTCACCAAAAGTTGTTTTTTAGTTGGCGTGGAAGGTCAGATGTCCTGAGCACTTAATCTTGCCGCTAGCCCAAGGACAATTATTTAAGTGACCCTCGAGACCGGAGAAATCACACACCTCGCGGATCATAAACTGACCCAATTATGAGGAAAGAAAGCATTTGAAATGTACTGATGGGCTTTAACTCATGATTTGTATCAGGTACCCAGGCAAAGAATCCTCAATCAATACCTTGTGGTTAATGGATCTTGCTCCATTGCGCTCTGTAGATTGATTGTTGTATGAAGCGCCAAAGCTCTCGAAATGTCTCGCTGCTGGGCCATTCTTAAAAATTTACCCTTATCATAATAATAGCCATAGATACCCCTCCAATTTCAACTATAATCGCTCTCCACTTCGAAGTTGTTTTAGATTAGTTCGTAACTAATCTATTCTATCAAAGACAACCTGGTTTGCTTCAGAATTTTGATTCACCCATTAAATCCCAAAGAACCGCATGTCAAAGAATCTTTTCTGCTTTCGAGCGCCCAATATTCAGCCTCTCTGGCTATATTTTGCCCCTCCTCGCCCATTTTCTCTTTTTTGTTACCTCTCTACTGTCTTCGTTAACCCTCTCTCCATCAACACTATTCACCAACATACTCGTAAAACTTTTCATCGACCCTCTTTGTCAGTCCAATCATGCCCCCCATCTATGGCTCTGTTGTCCTGGACTCAGCCTTCGAATGGTATCTAAGGCAATCCAAAGCCCAGCTACAGCCTCCTATCTTGTTACAGGATGTATATGGAACTTTCAGATAACTATTCGCTATACTAACTCATACATCTACATTATATAATAGGTCAATGGTATTTACAATATCTACGATAAAGAGAGATATTGTCGTGCTCCAGGCTCTTGCATAGCAGTGAGTACCATGTCACTAACCTTTGATAGCCCTTGACTAATGATAGACTCAATACAACCCCACAAATAATCTTCAAAAGCATTATGCGAAAGAGAATCCTGAGATAGTTCTCGAGGAACGCCGTGCTGGCCGTCCATCTTTTGCTGTCCAGGCTACGGCTGTCGGTAAGTGAACCAACCAACTTGAATCTATTAGATAGCCAACCTCACCTTTAGTATGGTATACTAGCCTACGAGAGACCTAGAAAGCAAGGGATACTGCTGGACCTCGACGTCGGACTCCTCGGAGGCGAGATGGAAGAAAGTCTCTCCCAATATCCGGACTTCCATACTAGATGTAGAGGAGGACATGGATGATGGTTTTCTCTTAGCGTACTTCAGAAACCTCATCTACCGTTTCGGCGCGGGGCTATATAAGGAGACAGAGTGAATCAAATGTGATCAAAATGGAGTTTCGTACCACTGTACTTATAACTACTAGTAAATGGCCAGTGCTGTCGCCATTTGTTACTACGTAATACTAGTCATCTGGAATAGACCCACCTTGAACCAGCGCAAGATATATCTGACGTAGTACAAAACATGCAGGGGCCAATTGAAATCAAAATCAAATGTTTTTGAGCGCACAGATTATCCAATGCTTTCGAGAAAGGTTTACCTAAGTTTCCTGCAGCTTTGATTTAGAGGCAACTTGTAGATTGTGCATTGGCGATAAAAACCGCATTCCAGAGAGTCGCCGCGAAGTAACTCCATTTAACACATTTAGTTCTATGCAACGCCTTGAGAGAATGTTGAAAAATTCGTCAAACATGAAAACCAGATAAGATGAGTAGTGCAAAGACTAGGGTCGTAAACAAAAAAAAAAAAAAAAAAAAAGAAAAGCTGCAACGAACCCAAAAGGACTCGGCATCTAGTTCACCCAGGATATTTGAAGAACCATTGTTGCTTATGAAATGTTTTTGTCATGGTCACATCATTTGCAAACGCATTCAAGCCATGGCATGAGTGCGAGTCCATTCCTTCGCAGTCTGAATGGCAGCGGGCTCGTCATCTTTCCAACGCTGAGCAACATCATTGGCGAGAGGGTCGTCGGGGTTCGGAGCACCGAGGAGGGCCTGAATCGAGAGCAGGATCGTGCGTATCTGAAGAGCGGGGGACCAGTTGTCTTTTCGCGGACCGTCAGTACCTGCGTCACGAGTCTCTTCCAAATTGACGGGTTGGACTTACTCTTCAAGACATCCAAGCAGATACGGCCGAGACGATCAATGTTTGGATGGTAGATCTTGGTGAGGAAGCGAATCTTGGGAGGAGTCATGGGGTAATCATCGGGAAGGAAAAGTTCGAGACGGAAGATTCCACCTAAGTCAAAATGAGTTAGTTATCGTAGCCAAAAGGGAGGATCGACGTGTGTATTTACCCTCGTACGGAGACTGGGCCGGGCCGTGGATGGAAACATCGAAATAACGGAGGTTATCCTCGTGGGGAACGGCATTAATGCCCGGGACTCTGCAAGAATCACGTAAAGTTAGTCCGAAGGATCAGCATAAAAAGAGCGCGGGGGATGTCGTACGGTTCCGCCATCAGGCGCTCCGTTTCCTTAATAATGCGCTTCGGCAGGGCCATGTCGAATGCGTGTTGCCGTCTGGAAGCGATCGGATCGAGTTGGGACAGATTCGGACGTCTTTCGTAAGGATGAACGAACAGCGAATGTGTGTGCGTCGGGTGTCGATCTCCAGAAGGTGAGGAATGGACGGAAACTTGGAGTGTCAACAAAATGCGCAGACGCAACCAGAGGGGCTGCCTGCACCGCGGGGCTTTGCGGCGCCCCTGTAGGTCACATGCAGCACCGCCACCACTAGCCACAGCCGTTGCTCTCCGCGTTATCTCCTTTGAGGCACGCGAGCCACCGCTGCTGCTCCGCAACGATCAGCTCGAGGATCGAGTCCTCGCGATGCGACAAGCTGCAGCCCATGTGAGGTACCCTTGCGCATAGCCCCCGCGAACCCGCGACTTTGCGACGGCTCCGATTGGCCCGGTAAGGACCATACAGCCACGATGTCGAGCTCCATGGAGCCGCGGCCGCTGACATCGGCGTTCGAAAGCCCGACCTTCGATGAGGATAGCTCGATCCATGTGGAGCAGCCGGTCGGGTCCATGTCAATCTCGCCCTGTGGGCGAGATGTCGTGTTGGCCTCCAAGGAAGGTCTGCATGTCATTGACCTGGATTCGCCCTACTCTCCACCCCGCTATCTTCCTCATCACACGCCATGGGAGGTCGCCGATGTACAGTGGTCGCCCTTTGCGTCTCGCGACTACTGGGTCGTGAGTACGTCGAACCAGAAAGCCCTGGTCTGGAACCTAGCTATGAAGACCTGGCAGAACTCCATTGAACATGTGCTGCACGCCCACTCTCGTGCGATTACCGACATCAACTTCTCCGCCTTCCATCCGGACCTTCTCGCGACATGCGCCGTGGACAGTTTCGTACACTGTTGGGACCTGCGTACACCTTCTCGCCCGGCCATATCATTCTCGGATTGGTTTACTGGCGCTACCCAAGTCAAATGGAATCGTCAAGACCCCCATGTCATCGCCAGCTCCCACGATAGGTTCCTGCGGATCTGGGATGATCGAATGGGTGCATATCCTATTCGGTCCATTGAAGCACACGACACAAAAATTTACGGAGTCGATTGGAACCGTGTGCGACGAGGGGCGCTAGCTACTTGCTCGCTCGATAAGACCATCAAATTCTGGGATTATACCTCTGAAATGGACCTACCTGAGAAAATGATCAAAACCCCGTTCCCAGCGTGGCGGGCCCGAAATACACCTTTTGGATGGGGTGTGTTGGCCATGCCCCAGAGAGGAAATAGTGATCTTCATCTATACAGCCGACGGGCTGGCGATGGTGCCAACCCTGATGACGATTTGCCTCTGGTGCACAGCTTCCCGGGCCACAAAGGTCAGGTGAAGGAATTCCTCTGGCGGCCGCGTGGGGGTGTGACAGATGGAATCGACAATCGCGAGTTCCAGTTAGTAACTTGGGGAACCGATAAAAAACTTCGCCTGCACCGCGTGGATCCTGAAATTTTGGAACGGGTTGGATATGAGAAGGGGAAATCATTCATCTCGACTCGTAACGTGACTCGCTTGGGCGCTGTCTATCGAAGCTTCCGAGATGTCAACTCGGATCTAGACTTGGAAGACATTGAACCTGCCTCGTCTATTGTGCATCCTATCGCAAGCATTAATTACTCCGTTGGGCCGGGCATGAACGCCATATCAGTACCCCATAATCGTGGCTATACTCGACATACCCATGTGGATAATCGGATGGGCATGCAGCCACGCTCAAACCTGAGAGCCGACACCAACCCCATTGCCTGGATGCGTGGAGTGAAAATATCCGGCTGGGATATCGAGACACTGGGAGATGAGATCAGTCATGTGGGCGAGAAGTTTACGAAAGTTGCTTTCGAGTCTGTTGATGTCCGACAAAGAAAAATTACAATTTCACTGAATGGGCCCTGGGGAACGGATGGTGACTCGCTTTTCCTGAAAGTGGATATCAAATTCCCTACGAGCTACCCGAAATCCGCCATACCGACCTTTTCCTGCCAAAAGACTGCAGCCGTGACCGATGAACTGGCGGGGAGACTTACTGGAGAGCTTCGAACGATCGCCGAAACCTATATGTCCCGAAAACGCGGGTGTCTGGAAGGCGCTGTTCGCTATCTTCTGGGCGAGAGTACACTGGAAGAAAGCATCGCTTGGATATTGGGCGAAGCTGGCGAGAATGTCAAGTCTCCGGTCAACGACGACTTGGAGGGGGAGTCTAGTGACGAAGACGAAGTTGGCATGACACAGAGTCAAGAGTTGGGAATGAGTTCTGAACTGCTTCGTCCCGTGAATGCCAATGTCATGGTACCTGTCGCCAAAGCATGTGGTGCCCTGTGGGCGAATGACGGTCGCTTGATTTGCTTTTTCCCACCGAAGAAGGACAAGTCCACGGAGTTGTTTGACAACATCGGATTCAAAGAGATGAGCAGACTGTCGAGAACCGATAAAGTCTTTGAAGGATTCGGGCGCCTGCAGACTAGCTCGCCGGGTCCACGCATGAACGGAACAATTACGAGCACGGACGATGGGGCGTCCGATGATTCTGATGACTCGTACTCTGATGACTCTAGCTCATCAGGTTCGTCGTCAGATATTCTGTCCGGGCTGCCTACGCGATTCCAAGCACCACAAACTTGGCGCAGCGTCGGCAGTATCGGCATTTATCGACCACGGTCTACGGATCATTCTCAACGCTCCATCGGAGGTGCAGCAACCACTAAATCAACCGATGCACCGCGGAACATCGTTTCCATACATGACCTAAGCGATATCTTACCGGTCAGGAAGGAGCTCGCCAGCAAGTATCGGATTTGTGGTAAAGGTATTGACGTGTGCGCCCACAATGCTGCTGTCGCACTTGATGCTGGATACTACGAACTTGCTCAGATCTGGGGCCTCATAAAACTGGTCCTGCATGTCCGAAGGAAGCCAGGGTCTCCTAACGAGCCACGACTGGGATTGAAACGTGCCTTACCTGGGCACGAAGCGAATGCAAATCAAACTCTCGAGGACAACAGTCTTTACAAAGATCTGGCTGGAAGTGTGATTCGATGGGGCGATCACCCAATGGGGGAGTCACTGGCTTGTGCCAGCACTCTTTGATCATTTCGAACGGATTGGCGATATACAGATGGTCGCAATGCTCTCCTGTGTGCTTTTGGAAGCACACCACGAGGGCAAGCCCGAGAATAAGCCAGAACCCCAACCCGGCCTGCCGCCCCTCTCCATGGACGTCTCGTCGGTTGCATCGACCGTCCAAAACAAGTCGCAGCTCACCACTCCTGCTTCCTCTGTCCCGAGAGATTCACAACCTGTTCCACCTCACACATCTGCACGATCTTCGAGCGAAATTTGGCGTGTTGACTCTACTCCTCCATATTCGACTGGAACCACCCCTCCTTTTGTTTCTCGTCCGCGCGGAATCGCCGCCGACCGAAAGGCCTTGAGCCATAACGTCTCTCTTGCTGCCTCTCCTGAAGCATCTCAGCCGCGGAGTGGATCTGGATTCGGATCGGTGCTGGCATCGTCCTTATCTCGTTCATTTACATTCGGGCCATCGTCGGCGTCTCCCCCCGCGCACACTCTAAACAAGAAGAAGCCGAATCCGGAACAGGCCCCACGCTCTTCAGGTCTATCTAATGACAAGTCGCCCCTGGTGCCTGAAGTCCTGACGCCTGGCACGGAAAAGACCCAGTCTGATACTGAAAGCGATCGGTTACCGCAGCCAACAGAGCGTACAACACGATTCAAGGCCGTGTTTAAAAACCAAAGTGTATTCGACGGCGATGGCGACGATGATTTTGCTCCAGATTCCCTTCTTGACCGAAATAAGGAATGGCTGTACCGGTCGTACCGCGGTGCCTATGCCGACCTTTTATCGATCTGGGATTTGCCCGTGCAACAAAGCGAAGTCCTCAAGATCGGTGCAGTTGCCGACGCTGCCGAGGACATGCAAACCAGTCAATACTGGGGCAGCCATAGCTCGAAGATGACTTCGTTTCAAGAAACAGTTGTAGGGGACACTACGTCCGGCTTCGAGGGCCTTGGCTTCCAGCGTCATTGCGGTGATTGTGGTCATGCATTACAGATCTCTATTTTCACACCAGATCCTATAGTCCCCGATACCCCGTCCAAACGGAAGCGCACCAAAGCCTCTCAGCGGTGCCCGAACTGCAACCCACGCTCGCCTCTTCCAACAAAACTTCCCTGCGTGATCTGTGGCGAAGCGGTCGAAGGCATGCTGATTCCTTGTCTCAGCTGTGGCCATGTTAGCTGCTTCGAGTGCCACAACCGCTGGTTCCTTCATGACGGTGCCAGCCAGGATCACGTCTACAGAACTTCCGATAATTTCAGTCCCCCGTCTTGCCCGACTGGATGTGGCTGTTTCTGCTCCGAGCACATCGCAGCCAAAGTCCCCATGCCGGCGTGGGAGCCCCCGGCAACTGCCTCGCCGCGGATCAAAGAAACCCGCGCCGGCGCCAACCGGACCTACTCGCATGAGAAACGCCATCGACGCCGCCAGTCCGAACCCCCCGGTACGGAAACTACTGGAAATACCACGCCCACAGCGCGCCGGGGAGTGGGTCAGAATCAAGATGACCTTGATTTATGGCAGACGGCTTCGCCTTTTGCGTCGCTTGCCCGAGGCATGGGCGGTGGACTGAGTCAGGGTTTGCGGTCCAAGGACGATCGGAGAAAGAATCGGTCTGTGGCGATTACTACGCCTAAAGGGAAATGGAAATGATCTTTCCCGGTTGATGGCTGGGGTCTGGATGGCGTTTTCTGGGATTTGTTTTCTACGATATCCACTTTGTTTTTATCTTTGTCTTCTTATTCAGATACCATTTCGTTGCAATGTATGACTATAATATCATCTGCATTTGGCTATTTCTTTTCACATCCAAGTTTGACATGTGCATTTCCCTCTTGTCAAACATTGCGAAGGTGAAGATACTTTATTTTGATATTCTCCATAAAACAGCGGAGCCGGGCGAATCGTACACCAGTATGAAAGCCGGCAATGCCGCTTACGCCGATCCCCCACTTCCTCGAGACCCCTCCATCTCGAGCCAAAGTACGGACTAGTCCATGTTCTCAGGCTGTTCTGGTTAGGCGAAGGGGTGCCTGCGCAACGATCAGACTGTTTTGAGCACTGGCCTCCCCGGCAGGTCCCGGACAATGGTGGCGCACCAATCAAGGCTATAGGTACCTGACACTAAGACTTCAAGTTTATTTGAAGTGACTGCAGGGAGAAGTCTGGAAGTATAGGTAGATCCATTGGGGAGAACTACGAGGAAGAAATGATTGTCATAGCTTCATTAGGATGGTATCCCTCTATCGGAAAGAAGCAGAGAAGCAAAAGGCGCGAGAAGCTAATCTATGTTCGATCGCCACGCAAAACCACCGCCTAACCCATTTTCTAGTATCGGACTGCTGCACGCATGCGCTTACAGCTGCTTGTAGACGTGGTCCGCGGAGGTGACCTCGAGAACGTTCTTCTCCTTCTCCTTGGCGGCGTAGGTGACCTTGCCGTGGTCGATGACCAGGGCGTAGCGGTAGGTACGGCCCTCGGCATCGGCCCAGCCGATGGACTTGGAGAACTTGGCATCGGGGTCGGACAGGAAGAGCTGGAATTCGTTAGCATATGCAACCCTTTTGTTGGTGGTCGGAAGAACTTACAATGTCGTCGCCGGTGACACCGTTAGCCTTGCCCCAGGCGCTCATGACGTAGGCATCGTTGTAGGCCAGGACAGCGACGGCGTCGACGCCCTTGGCGCGGAGCTCAGGGAGCTTCTGGATGTACTCGGGGACGTGGTTGGCGGAGCAGACGGGGGTGAAGGCACCTGTAGGATGTGGCGGTCAGCGAGAGAACCTTGGGGGAAAGAGGGGTGCCGATTGCAGAATGCAGGGTGCAGATTGCGACGAGCGGGCAGAGAATTTGCGGAAGTGAAGTGGCGGTGACACGTACCGGGCAGAGCGAAGAGGATGACCTTCTTGTTGGCCCACTCCTTGGAGGCGTAGAAGTTGATGGGGATACCGCAAGAGGTGATCTCGCTGGACTCCTCGGACCAGGGGATATAGCTGGAGGGAGAAAGTGAGTTAGCCCATTGTCTCAGGATTGACGATGTTGGCGCGAGTGAGGCCACCGGGAAAGGGTGGGGTAGAAAATTTTCACGTACGAGAAGGTAACACCCTCGGGGAAGCTGTCGCCGGCCTTGAGAGACATGATGGTGGATATGTGTTTGGGTGAGAGAGAGAGAGAGTTGAAGAAGTTAAGTTGAAATACGTGAAGAGGAAGAGATTAAGTTGGGAGAAATGCTATTAATATGGAGCCGAGGGGCTCTGGGACGGGCTTACACATATCGGCCCATCGGGATCGCGCATATGACGAATGGTGGGACACGAATGGGCCTTATCCATGAGGTGATCCGAAGCAGAAAGATACCGAACCGCGTGGATATTACCAAGAAAGACCGAGCGAGAACCGGATAGAATGCCTAATTCCCGAGGTGTCGAGAGGGACCAGGTGATGTCAAGTCACGTGCGAGGGGCGTTGGCCGTTTCTGCCGGCTTGGGGGTGGGGCCGCCTTCCCAATTGAGGTCGCCGGGCCTGCCAAGCCGAGATGTTTTATTGGTGCCTGAGGCTTGTAAGTGGTGCCTCAGGCTGCCATCGGGACTGGGTTCCCGAGCCAATTCCGAGGCGATTCCCGACGAGCACTCGACCTCCGCCGCGCAAACATTCTCCGCGTTGCTGACCATCAAGCATGGATCGCAAATTTTCGAACCTGGGAAGTCCGAATGTAGACAGAAAAAGTCAAAAAAAGATGACCACAGCGGAAATCTTTGTTTCTGTCTTTCTGGGTTTCCAAGATGGACTTAGTCAGGCACCATGTTCACCTGGGGCAGTGAGCGGTTCCCATACTTCGCACCGGGAGGACCGCCGCAAACCTCCTCGCGTCCCGACAACGATCTTAAATGAAAATCGAACTATGTTTGTGTATAACTATCCCGAGCCCGAGCCCTACTCTAGGGTATTACCCAAGTCTCACGTCTTGTGACCCGGTGCAGCAGCATACCGGCCATCCTGCCGGTTCACAATCCGCCACCGTCCACTGGCTAGACGCCCCACGGCCGGCCGCCCTCCCGGGGATACATACGCGCAGCCATGGACCGGCATTGTCTTATCAAATCGATATCAACGAAAATTCCAATCTTTGGTACCCTACCTACCGCATCTGGACGGTGAACCCTACGATGGCCCGGGGAAGCTCCCCGCGGTCTGGTCACCTCCCGGGTGATAGCTGTGTCGGACAGGCGCCCGAAACCATGGGTGTAAGATAACGAGCTGCGCTGGCTTGGGCCATGGGACCGCGGGGAAGATGGGATGGGCGGGGTAGCAGAATATATGATAAATAAACTAGCTGGTACATGGTCAAGCAGCAAAGCTTTTTCTGAGTTATTGTCTCTTCACTCATCTGAGCTGTGCAATGACTCTCCGGCTCGCTGGAAAGCCCCTTGGTCCTCGCGCGGGTGATATCCTCGTCGGACAATGGACTATCCTCCCTAAACAGGCGTCGAATGGACCTATGGTTCAAAGGCGGTTTGCCTCGTCGCAATCGCAGCGTCGACCGGCTTCGACATTGCAGGTGCAAGCGGATGCTGCTCCTCAGACTGTTTCCTACCCCCTCTCTGTGATTCCTCTTCGGGTTCTGCTACGATCACTTCTCGTCGCCACCATCTCATCTAAGCCGCTCCTCCTCCACTCCTCTCTCTGGGTGATGTCCATTCTCTCCAAGCCCAATCGCGGGTTCTTGTTGAATGTCGACCGCAATCCTATCCTCCATGGCATTTTGAAGAAGACTTTTTACGAGCAATTCTGTGCTGGCGAGAATGCGGCCGAGACAAAAGCCACCATTAAGGAGCTGAAGAATATGGGATTCCGTGGTGTTATCATGACCTACGCCAAAGAAACTGTCTTTGACCACCGTACCAAAACCGAACAGGGCCTTGGTGTTGCTGCTCTGGAAAGTAAGCAGGCTGGTAAAGATTTGGACCCTGCCCTTTTCCGCTGTGCCAATATTGAGGCCTGGCGAAAGGGTACCATGGAGACTGTTGAGCAGTTGGAAGATGGAGATTACCTGGCTGTCAAGTATGTACCCTTCTTCTTATATCCTTGTTTTTTTTTTTTTTGGTTATATATATCTGACTCCTTCCAGGGTTACCGGGGCTGGTCCTACTGTTACCGAAGCCTTCTCCAAGGGTGAACTGCCACCCCAACAAATGATCGACGCCATGGACGAGATCGCCACCCGCTGCAAAGAACGTAAAGTGCGAATCCTCGTCGACGCCGAATCCCAACACTTCCAAACAGGCATCGCCCGCCTGACCCTCGACCTCATGCGCAAGTTCAACCGTGACGGCTACGCCGTCGTCTACAACACCTACCAAGCTTACCTCAAGAAGACCCCGGAAACACTAGCCCGACACCTCTCCGCAGCCCTGGAAGAAGGATTCACACTAGGCCTCAAGGTCGTCCGTGGCGCATACATGGCCTCCGACGAACGTTCCCTCATCCTCGACACAAAGCAACAAACCGATGACCAATATAACGGCATTGCGCAGGGCGCCCTCAAGCAGAATATTGGCGAGTTCGGCTCCACCAAGCCCTGGCCTTCTGTCAATCTTTTCCTTGCTAGCCATAACCGTGACAGTGTCATGTCTGCGCACCAGCTGCACAAGCAGCGGACCGCTGCTGGTCTTCCTACTGTTCCTGTTGGATTTGCTCAATTGCATGGCATGTCGGATGAGGTTAGTTTCTCGCTGCTACAACTTAAGGAAGCGGATGGGACTCCGGAGGTTTACAAGTGCTCGACCTGGGGTGGGATGGGTGAATGTTTGGCGTATCTTTTGCGCCGTGCGATTGAGAATCGGGATGCTGTGCTTCGTACGACTGATGAGTATAATGCGTTGAAGGCGGAGTTTGGAAGGAGGTTTAGATCGGCTTTCTCCTTTTCCACGCAGAAATAGGTTGCATAGATTACGAATTGAATCTACGAGTCATGTCTACCCACAACGTTCATCATCAACTACACAACCTCCGACATCCACAATCCCTCCCACCCCAACCCCCAACCCCCAAAGCACGACCTCCCGCTTAATCCACCATACAGTGTGTAGTTGTGGAGCAAGTCGCGCCTCGTCACACAAACAAAGCGAAACGCCGTGCACTACCGAGATAAAGTCAAGGTGGGACAAAACCGCACCAGATGACCAACGGGAGGCCTACCGATTGGGCCCACGTAAACAGGATTGCAACCGGTCGCATTTTCAAACCTTCGCCGCGGGTTCGCGGGTTGGCGGGTTTTGGCTCCTTGGGCGGTATCCCGATTCTAGTGGTGGGGGATGCATTGCCGTTTTGGGATGGGACTCCTCGCTGAAGTGGCGGTGTCTCGTCGCGGGTTGGGTGGTGGGGTAGTGATGGTTACATTGATTTTTCTGTGTGATTAGGAAGGGTGATTTTGTTATTTTTGTTTTTTAGAAGAGGTTCTTTAAATTGTGGTGGTGCGAATTGGGTGTTCAATAAATGCGGATGAGGCTCTATTTTGGGACTAGTGGGTTCGGAATAATTGAGCAGTTGATTGGATGAGGGCAGCTACAGTTATTAAAAATTTCCCAAGCAGGAACTATAGACAGAACTACGCAAAGCTACTTGGTAGATTATTCAAATAAAAATGAATGCATTGCAGCTTTTTAATAAACTCCAAATAGAAATCTAATGTGCATCAACTATACAATTCCAAGACTTGCTCTCAATCTTACTCATGACGCGTCATAAACTTAGTGGTTGCTGGGATAAGTGAATCCAGTCTGGGGGAAGAACTCCTCCTTAATCAAGCGCGGGCTGGTGAAGCGGCGCAGGACATCGGAGCTACCAGCCTTGTCGTTGGTACCGCTGGCACGAGCACCACCGAAGGATTGCTGGCCGATGAGGGCGGCAGTGGTCTTGCAGTCTGAAAGGTTTGTTAGAATTATTTTCAACCGAGAATTTTTGGGAGTGGACTTACTGATGTAGAAGTTACCGGCAGAGTAGCGGAGAGCATCCTCAGCTTCGCGGATGACCTTGCGGTCCTGAGCGAAGACGGCGCCGGTCAGGGCCAGACCGCCGCCGGCCTCGTCGACCTTCTTCAGGGTCGAGGACCACTCGGCATCGGGGTAGACGTAGACGGCCAGGACAGGGCCAAAGATCTCCTCGTTGAAGAGCTGGTGGTCGGGGGAATCGACCTGGTAGACGGTCGGGTGGACGTAGTATCCGACGGAGCCGTCGTAGGTGCCACCGGCCAGAAGCTTGATGGAGGGGTCCTTGTTGCTTCGGTCGATGATGGAGGTGATCTTGTCGAAGGAGCGGGAGTGGATGACCGGTCCCATGAAGGCCTCAAGGTTCTTGTCTGGGTTGCCGATGGTGATCTCCTTGACGCCAGCCTTGAGGCCAGTAAGGAACTCCTCGGCCCGAGACTCGGGCAGGTACACGCGCGAGGTGGCAGAGCACTTCTGGCCCTGGTATTCGAAGGCACCGCGGATGGTGTGGTTCACGGCGCTGGGGATGTCGGCTGTGGGGTGGATCAAGTGGAAGTTCTTGCCGCTGGTCTCGGCGACGACGCGGGGGAATTCGCGGTAGGTCTTGTTGGCGATGCCCTCGCCGATGCGGCCGTAGAGGGAGCGGAAGACGTCCGAGGAACCGATGAAGTTCAGACCGGCAAAGTCGCGGTGGGAGAGAGCGACGTCGTTGATGGTCTCAGGCTCACCAGTGACGAATTGGATGACGTTGGGAGGGAGACCGGCTTCGCGGAGGATCTTGTAGATGATGCTGCTGGCGTAGACGTTGGAGGGAGAGGGCTTCCAGATCACCACGTTACCCATCAGGGCGGGTGCAGAGATCAAGTTACCACCCAGCGCGGTGAAGTTGAAGGGGAGATGGAGTAGACGAAGCCCTCCAGAGGACGGTAGTCCAGACGACTGGGAATTTGTTAGTCAATTGCCTCTTGACTGATTCATAGAGAGTATCTTACCTCCACATGCCGTCGCTACCGCGAGTAGGCTGTCTCTCGAGGATCTCAGCAGCATAGTTGCAGTTGAGGCGGAAAAAGTCCGCCAGCTCCGCGGCGGCATCAATTTCACCTTGCCAGATGTTCTTGCCCTGGCCCAGCATCGTCGCGGCAATCAGCTCATAGCGGTACTTGCCCGTCACCAGCTCGGCGGCCTTGAGGAAGATGGCCGCTCGGTCCACGAAGGGCGTCTCCTCCCAGTCTTTCTTTGCGTCCAGCGCAGCCTGGATCGCAGCCTGGGTCTGCTCCTTGGTGGCGAGGGGGTAGTTGGTGAAGACGGTCTCGTGCTCCGCGGGGAGAGGCTGGTCCCACGACTTGGCCGACTTCTGGGCCTGGCCATTGTAGACAATGTTGCTCTGGACCGGGAGTTGGGCCCGGAGCTTGACGAGAGCTTCCTCGAGCTTCACGCGCTCCTCGGAGCCTTTCTTGTACAGCGGCTGGACACGATGTCATTAGTACAAGCTTCTTTTGCACATTGCGGCCGAGGCATGCTCACGTTGGGCTCATTGCGAGGGTCTGGGAGACGGAAGGGCGAAGTCGCCTTGCCGCGCAGCTGGAGGAATGGGCGCGCAGGGCTCACACGCAGACGAGGAGCAAAGGATCGTGCAGTGCGCAGGTTCATAAGAGTAGAGGAGGACATGGCGATGGAGGAGGGGAGGATGAACTGCTGTCAACATCTCGGCGACCACGCGACCTTTATTCAGATGCTGTTCGCCATAGTCGGAAGCATCGCCGATGGCCCGGAGCTACCCCGCCACTGTCGCTGGGAGTTGGGGCCGCGGAGAAGCGCGCGGAGGAGGAACAATGGTGGGGATGCAGCGTCGGGACGTTGGCCCGATGCGCATCCACACAGTCTGGTGCAGGTGATAACAGTCCCATCAAGTAAAAGAAAACCCCTCTTCGGTCCCAATGACCGAGATCCCGTTGGATGCCTCCCTAGGGTATCTTAGGGTAGGGTACAGCTCTGACCGACTCGTAAGTCATCTACCCTGGTAAGGTAGTGTAGAGTTGAGTCTGCTTCCTCCCAGCATGGAAACATGGCGATGCAGCATCGATCAGACGAGCAACACGATCTGTGGACGAGATCGCTCTTCAGTCGTCTAGTCGCAGACACAGGTGCTGCAACACTTTCCGCGACCCTCGTGGCACCCGCAGTGACAATTATCGACCGGTGGGTTTTGTCCTGTTATCTTTTCCCGTCTTGACATGAGTTGGTGTAGAGGTATAGATCTAATAGATCTAACCGTCGCAGCGCGCTCGTGGAGAAATCCCTCCTCAACCAATCTCTCCTCCACGGCCTCCGCAACCATGCCGTCGCAGCCCTCAAGAATCCCGCACGATTCACATTCCAGCTGCCCTTCGGCCTCATCTGGGTCCTCTACGCAGCAACCTTCACTGTCGCCAACACCACCGACACCATCGGCCATGCCATGAAAGCGCCCGCCACAAGTATGATCACCTTCCTCTCCACGACGGCAGTCAACGTCCCACTAGGCGTGTGGAAGGACATGCGCTTTGCCCAGATCTTCGGCACACAGCGTGCCCCCGTCGCTGCGGGCGCCGTGGACGTCGCACGCCCGGTGCTGGTACAGAACCGCGCCGTCGCCCGCGCCGCGACGGCCATCTTTCTCCTGCGTGATAGCGTGACGATCTTCGGGTCGTTTACGCTGGCCCCGCGGCTTTCGGCGGCCATTCCGGATAGTCTTGCGACGCACCCGCATGCGAAGCCGGTTATTACGCAGTTGAGTGTGCCGGCTTTGACGCAGTTGGTTGCCACGCCGGTGCATTTGCTTGGGCTGGATTTGTATATGCGGCAGCAGGCGGTGCCGTTTGTGGATCGCGTGAAGCATTCGCAGCGGTATTTGGCATCGTCGACGGTTACGAGATGTATTCGGATTATTCCGGCGTTTGGGTTTGGGTGTCTGGCGAATATGGAGTTTAGGGAGATGTTTCATGAGAAGGTGGGAGAGAAGTAGAAGAAGTGGAAGGGAAAGAGGAATGTGTCATGATCTATTTTAGTCTTGTCTAGCATTTTGAATCACTATAGAGCATTGATCCCATCGAGACTGCCGTGATTGTACACAATGTACCATGAGAGTATACTATCCTTTTCTAACGCCGAGTGTCATTAACATGCTCCTGCGTCTCCATCAGCCGCGCCAAAGTAACAGCCTCACGCAACGCCCGTCCCACCGAGCCTCGCACGCCCGCCTCCTCCATAACCATCAATCCGCCAATCGTACAGCCCTCAGGCGAGGTCCCCTGATCCTTCAGCAGAGCCGGATGCATCCCACTCTGCAACATCGCCGCGGTCCCTTGCATAGACTGGAAAATCATCGTATGCGCCAGCTCGCGCGGCACTCCCACCGCCACCGCTGCATCGATCATGGCATCGCAGATAACCGCGAACATCGCCGGCGTCGACCCGCCCACGGCCGTCGTGGCGTTCATCAGCTTCGGGTCAATTTGGACCGCCTTACCGATCTGCTCGAAGATCGCCGTCGTGATTTGCAGGTAGTGCTCCGGCGGCGCGGGCTCCGAGACCTCGATGGCTGTCAGAGATTGCGAGACTTGCGCTGCGATGTTGGGGAGTGTCCGCACCACCCAGGCGCGGTTGGCTTTGTTGGCGTTCGTCGTGGCGCTGCCGTAGATGGTTTCTTCGAGTTTCTGCCGCGTCCAGCCGGCTGCGATGCTGATGATCAGCTTGTTCTCTAGTGCCTCTCGGAGCCCGTGCTGCGTCAAGACGGATTCGATGTCTGCTGGGTCGACGCCGAGGATCACCACGTCCGCGTCACGCACTGCGCGGGCGTTGTCCCCGCGTTTGATGGATAGTTTGGAGAGGTGTTCTGGGAACCGCGCGGCGAGTTTTTCCTCGGTGGCTTGGCTGCGCACGCAGGCGATAAATTGGGTGAAGAGGGCGTCGCTTTGCTTCCCATTGAGCAGGCTGTCGAGGATGGCACCTCCCAGGTTTCCTGGTGGGGTCACTAAGAGCTATGCGGCGATAACAGCTGCAGCACTGAAGTGTTGGATTTACTCACCACATCCAAGGAGGCACAGGGTCGTGAACTTGGCGTCAGTCATGATGCTGGTGATGCGAATGCTGCTGCTTGAGTCTCGTGTCTCGTAATTCAGATAGTATGTTACAGGGAATCAAGCAGCTCGAGAAATTTGCTTCCCCGCAGAAGCAGCTCGGCCGGCCGTCCGATGTTGTCTGCGCGGTGGAGACGAGGCTGCTCCACTCGGCTGGTCTTCCGGTGATAAACAATTGGGACACCACCTTAAGCTGCACTAAATTGTACTAGGGCGAGATCGCGACAAGAAACCCGGCGTCGCATGATAGACCGATTCCGGGACCGAGCTGGCAGGTTGACAGGGTATATATGATGTCGGGCGCGGGGCAGCTGGCTGGATAATTTCCCATTACCTAGGTACCCTCAGGTATTCCACCATGGTCTCCAAGTCGGATCCCATCATCATCGTCGGCGGCGGCGCCTTCGGTCTCTCCACCGCATTGCATCTCGCGCAAAAGGGCTACACCAATGTCTCGGTATACGACAAGGACGACCACATTCCCCCCGCTGGTCGGCCGCCAACGACCTGAACAAGATCGTGCGTGCCGAGTATGAGGATCCGTTCTACACGGATTTGACCATTGTATGTCCAACACCCCCACCACCTCATATTTACCCTCGTGGCTCACGCGTAGAGGTAGAAAGCCATCTCCGCCTGGAAGACCCCCCTCTTCGCCCCTTACTTCCACCAAACCGGCTTCCTGCACTGCGTCTCCGGCGAAGCCCCGGAAAAGGCCGTCGGCACCCTGAACAGATTCCGCGCCTCCGCCGAGCGCAATTCCCAAATCAAGCCGCACGTCGTCCCCATCCAGCACTCCGAGGACGCTCGGCAGGCGTGCTGGCAGCTAGACGGCCCCATGGCCGGGTGGCATGGGTACCTCAACCGTTTCGACGGATATGCCCACTCGGGCGCCGCGCTCGCGGGCGTATACCGCGCTGCACAGGCGGCGGGTGTGCGGTTTTTCCTGGGCGAGCGGAATGGCGCCGTAGAGGAAATTGTGTATGTCTCCAAGTTGGAGGGAAAGAAGGCTGCTGGTATCCGCACTAAGAACGGTCGCTTCCACCCTTCTTCGCTGGTTATTGTTGCTGCTGGCGCTGGTGTTGGTCGGCTTGTGCCGCAGCTGGGTCAGACGGTTGTTGCGAAATCGTGGTCGGTTGCTCATGTTCATCTGTCCGATGAAGAGACGTCTGCCCTGCGTGGTATCCCTGTCACCTACGCGCGTGATTTGGGATTCTTCTTCGAGCCTGACCCCAAGACCAACTTGCTGAAGATGTGCCCGATGGGCGGAGGCTACATCAACACCGATCCCAAGACGGGTGTCTCGCATGCGCCCGAGTCGCTGAAGGAAAGCGCTTTCCTCCCGCAGGAAGATGAGACACAGTTGCGCAAGTTGCTGGCGCAGACTCTGCCCTCGCTGGCGGATCGGCCGTTCGTGCAGAAGTCGCTGTGCTGGTTTGCCGATACCAGTGACTCGGATTTCATCATTGATTATATCCCCGGTATGTCGGACTCGATTATTGTCATGTCGGGCGACTCGGGCCATGGATTTAAGATGTTCCCCATCGTCGGCTCGTGGGTGACGGATATGCTGGAGGCGCCGGGTGCGCAGCAGCCTGTTGCTCGTTGGCGATGGAAGCAGCCCCCGTCGCAGGGGAAGAAGGGCGATTGGGGTGGTGATGTGAGTTGGCGGGTTGGAGAGACCAAGGAGTTAGCGGCGATTCTGCCGCCCAAGGCCTCGAAGCTATAGATGCATGTTACTGTACATTTAGAAGTTCAATATTCCTGCAGATCCATCAGAATCGAAAAAATTTTCTATAAGTTTTTTGAATGATCTCTCCATCTAAATTCTAAATTCCGGTTTATTTGTCATCCGACAAGGTTGAGGCATGCAAGTCTTAAGCATTCCATAGCCGGTGCTTCTCATATGCACGAAGCCGCTGCTGAGCTGGCAGAAACAAGACCAATGAATCTCAGAGAGATCATTCTGCAAGGAATTGCAATGCAGAGAGTTCTATTGACGATAAAACTAGAAAAGACCCCTTCAAGTCCAACTCATTGAAATAGCAGCCTCTTTGGTCCCATGAACTCGAAAGCACACTCTCGGCTCAAAGATCCTCGAAAATCATATGAAGACAAATATAATACAATCTCAGGAAAATCTCTCAGCATACAGAATACAGCTGATGAAAATGTGCCTCTTCGAAGTCCTCGAATATACCGGCCGCTACGGCTGCGGTCACTTCTTCATCAACAGCGTGGACCAATGCATGGCATCTCGAGTGCGAACCGATCAGAGGCCCTGCATACGCCCACCCACGAGAGCGGTAACGCCTGGCTCGGATGTATTCCGAGAGTTGGTGCGGTGGTTCTGTCCTGGAAATAACAGGGTTGCGGGGAAGTGTCCAGCTTGTTGTAAGGGGATGATGAGCGAAGGTGGGAATCAGTGGATTTAACTCGAGTTGAAGTAATCGATACCATTGAAAAGGTAGGTGCTTATCTCTAAATTCTGATTCAAACACGATCTATCTAGTAATTCATTCAAGTCGTTGTACATAGGCATCAACATCGTCACATCAATCACATCGCGCCGATACCCAAGGGTATGAACCTAGGTGAAGGTGCTGCAGGCTACCAGATACTATGCTCAATCATCGCATTCGACATCCACTCCGTATCAATACTCTCAATCGAGTCCGCGACAGCCATAATCTGCTCCGCCGTCAACCGGCTCGTGAAATCGCTCCCGCCCATCGTGATGCCGGGGTCAGAGAGGATGTCGTGGTCCAGTGCGTGTGCTTGTGTCGAGGGTGGGAAGGAGGTGGCGAGGGGAACTTCGGGGTTATTGAGGACGCCATTTGGGAATGAGACTGGCGCCGAGAGGCAGCGCGGGTGTTCTTGTGGGAAGCAGCTGAGGAGTTCGTCGAGGAGTTGGAGCTCGGATCGTCGGAATTTGGCCACCAGGTTCCCGCTGTCGATTATGTCTTCGAAGATTGCATAGGCTTTTTCAAGCCAGAAGGGGTAGGTCCAGCGGGTGTCGATTGCCGGGCCCATTAGGAGGACGACTGTTGAGACGAAGATTGATTCGAGGTCGAAGGAGAGGAAGGTTTCTAAGAAAGGTGTGTTAGGTGGGATGATGATTGTGAGGGCGTGTGTGTCTTACCGAGGAGTCCTTCTGATTGAAGGCTGTGGAGAATGCAGATGATCTGCTGGGAAGAGTCCATGCACATTTGGATCAGGTTCCTGACTGTGCGTGAGGTGTTGAGAACGTCGACGCAGTTCTCGGGCGACTCGAAGCGGATTTTCAAGAAGCAGAAGAGGAGTGGTCGGGTGGCGAGGACGATGCATTGGTGATAGAGGAGGTGAAGGTAGGCGGATATCCGGGAGACGCCGCTGATCTCTCGGTCCATGTGTAGAGGAAATGCTCTGCGGAGCTCGTCGGCCAGACTGGCTATACTTGCGAGGGCGGATTTTGTGCGGAGGAGGAAGTTTCGGTTGATGCGTCCGTCGATGGCGTATACCGCTGTAAGAGATTCAATGGTTAATTATCAAATACATCTTGTTTGGAGTAAGGAATATCTGATGCTTACTGCCATTGATTTCAGCAATGATGCGAGAGATTTTAATGTGCATTCCTATCGCGGCGGTTCGTTGTACCGAGCCCGGGAATGAGGGTAGAAGGGTGTTGATATGATCATCGTTGAGTGTCTGGGGAAGGCCCATCAAAGATGTCATCTCGCGATCGAGAATGTACACTGTCCACCAGATTTTGCGACATCTTTGGACCATGTTCTCCCCGAGGTATTCAATCGGCATCTGGGTGTGCATGCCCTCTGCCATCGCCATCCGCATCGCTTGTCCAATCTAGAAAAAAGTCAGTTTAGCGTAGCTGATCAGAGATTGAGGCTCATTATCAACCTACATAATTGTGCGCCGAAGACCTGCAATCCAAAGCCTGCAGGTAAAGCGCAATGCAACAAAGAACCTCAGTAGACTCGATCGGTTCTTCATGAAGAACACTGACACCCGGCAACATTTGAAGTGCCTTCACGAAGAAATCCGCGCCCGGGGGCCGATTCCCCTGTACCTTGTGCTTCACGAACCCCTTTCCGAAGGCAAGAACCAGGAGAAAGTGGATATACCACAGCCCGGTCGTTGCGTGGGGTTTCGGTTCAGTGTAGAATTCATGCAGTTTGGTCATGAATTCATTCTCGTCGAATAGATGATACAGCTGTCCACAGCGGAATTTCACAACATTGATCAAGTACATGGCATGGTCGAATGTCGGGACAGCGGGGACTTCTGAGCCATGGCTGCTCCGTAGCCCGTCCCAGCCGAGATCGTAGGTTGCGCCGTCGAATATCAACGCCCCCGTGGGTAGCGCTTCCTGGTAAACGTGCTCGTGAGTGAGGCTTAGTACTCGGCGAGTAAATGACCAGTTGGACGATGTTCCTAGGTAGACTATCCGCGTGTCAATCTCAAGACCTCTTTTCTCGGGACGCTTGCCGACCTACATGTTCTCCCATTGTCTGCCGACATGAAGGCTGGAGGGCCGGTCGAGAGCGGATTGGTGAGTCCCGAAGCCGGGTCTTCAATTTCGTTGTGAATTTGAGGGTCTTCATGCTCTTGAGGTGATGACCGGGAGAGCTGGGGTGAATCTTCCTTGAGATCTGCAATGCATGAGCACGCAGGTCAACACAGTCGTGATGGGCATGTACTCACTAGGAGATCGATCCTCCGCGTAATCCGGGCTCAGGGGAACCGGATCAATACGCTCGCCAGACTGCTGTAAAAGCTCTATCTTGTGATGCAATTCATCGATATACCTGCAGTGATCTGGTTCAGCCACATGTCTTCTTTTCCCGACGGGGGGCGATCCGGTCCCGGCCGCTCGGCATCATACCCTCTCGTCACCAGGATCTTCTGATCACGGTCGTCAAAAATACATGTTAACTTGCGCTTGTTGCATCCATCGCAAGGCTGGGATCCCGAGCACTTGATTTTCTGCCTGCGACATCGGGTGCAGCTAGATCGAGGTCAGAATCTCGGGCAAATCATCCTTAGAACAGATAAGAAGAACATACGCATTCAGAGAACGCTTTGTCACGCGTGAACTATTGCCTGCCATGAGGAGCTGATATTAAACAATATGAAGGCGTGTCGACAGGAGGGGGAGGATGAGATATGCCGTCGGGGTGGCCAAAAGGGCAAAATGCGGGGGAATCTCGCCCGGTGGAACCGCCTCCAAGGCGGCCCTTGGCGAGATAAGCGTGGCGAACGTCACAACTCAGCACCTATCTATAATCTTCGCAAACAATATTCACAATATTGATACTTGAGGCAATACTATCTAAGGTAGTACTAGTAGTATCTATGCTGATATCGAGGCAAATTTTTCTACCATGGCGAGCACATCAAGTACGATACTACACCAACTTCTCACTTTTCCGAGGGCAAATCTGCCCTTAGTTCCTGTCGACTCTCTAGACGCGGAGTGCTTCTTTCCGGCCATCTGGCAAATTCACCAGCTTTCACAGGACACAACTGCCGTGCAGGCCCGAGCAACACCCCATGACGGACACACGTTCATGCGGGGCTCCGGCCAGGCCTACGCCGGAGTTCGACCGAATCCACTTGAACCACTCTGGACGGGCAGCGAGGGGATGACAGCCAGCGTGGACCGCCCTTAGTGTGAGTCTACTGCTGTACACGTCCATGGAAACTGTACTCTGAAGTATGTTAGCAGCAGTGTAGTCCTTGTTTGCTGGTCGGGAAGACGCCCGGTCGGTAGCCGTTTTGGTGCAGCGAATCCGCCTTATCGGCGGCTCCACCGGGAGGCTTCCCGGTGATCTCCATGCAGATGTCTTGGTGACTATGGAAATGGAGTATACAGATCCAAGGAAGTGTCTGCGGGGATTTGGAGTCGCTAATTTCAGACATACTCTGAACTCAGATAATGAGATACTGCATGTGGATGTAGGTCACGCGATAGAATTCACTAGCTACATTACAGACCAGATCGCGTCTCGCTCTCCTCCAAGCGGGATGTCAACAGCAGGGCCGACGACACACGGTGATTATGCATTAAGCATGGAGATAGCTCAAACATGCTTTGAAGAATACAAGTGGAAAAGAGGAAACAAAGGAAAAGCTGACGAAGGAAAGACTCCAAGTGAGACAGAAGTAGTGCGGGTCGTGTGTCTGGAAAGATAGGGAAAGATCTGAGATAACAGCTAAATTGTGACAATAATAATACTGAAAAAAATGAATGACAGAGTAGATGGACGTTGATTCAGACAGTGTGCTTGACAGGGGAGAATGATAACAATGACTTGGAAAAGCGAGTGTAGAGGGTGAGACCGAGGAAATTGTAATGCAATGGGTGCTTTTGCAGGCTGAAACGCAGGATGGGAAGTCAGGATGAAGATGAGTACTGAGAGAGTCAGGTAGATTGAATGAGCGCAGATAGTGAGATATGTGTGGTAGTGATTAGGCATTCGGAATGGTGTCGAGAACCCGAGCCATCTTCTTCGCCCGTGCGGGATCTTCAACGACCATATCGCGAGATTTGAGCATCGATTGAACCGTCTCGACAACCTTATTGAAAGAAGATGCGGCTCCGCGCTCTTGCTTGAACCGGACAAGACTGAGGTTGGCTTGCTGTCCGTGCTCCAGCACAGTGAAGAACTCGGCAGTAAAAGCGACCTCGCGCAGACGAAGGACTATTTGCGGTTAGTATACATCATGTAGAACGACAGGGAAAAGGGGCAACCTACAGTTGACTTCACCGACTCGGCCATGAACCGTACTGTTGCTCTTGTCCATGCGCACATCTTCCATGCCGTAGTCGCGCCATTCACGCAGCATGCGGTACACCTCCTTGCGACCCTTGACCTTCGAAGTGTTCAGGGCAATAACCCGAGAAGCTGGCTTGATCTGGAACACCCGGGCGAACCAGTTGTGGTTGGCGAGCGAACGGCGCTTGCTCGGAGCAGGGTTGTGGAGATCATCTGCCTCGAAAGAGCTTTCAGGATCCGGGAACCCCTTACACATGAGCGAGGCGTGGGGGTTTTGTGGTTGATCATTAGAGCTGGGTCGCTCTTTTTCTGTGGTGGAACTAAGTATCGGTACAAAAGGGATACACATGCTGAACTTACCAGTCTCCGACTGAGCGAGATTCTTGCTAGACTTCTTTGGCATCAGCTTCTTCAACAGAGCCCCACCAAAACGTTCCATGGACGTCTTTCGGGTCGGGGCTGGGGGCGCCTCTTGTCTCGTCGGCGAGCCAGGACCGTCAACGGGAGTGTGAACAACAGTCCCATTACTGGGGATGATTTGACGTTGCCGGTCCTTGGGGGAAAGAGATAGTGCGACTTCGGGAGCTTGCGAGCGATGCTTGAACCACGACCATTTCTTGCTGTAGGATCCCGTCGGGCGCTCCGGTGAAGCAGGGGTCTCATCAATCGGATCCAAGCCGCAAGCATTGCGGCTCTGCCGAGAGCTTGCCGAAAAGTTACGCGCATTTTGCTGGGTGCCTTGATCCAATGTCACCTCCTCAATACCTCCAACCTTCTTACGGATCATCAACGGCTTGACTTCTTCCATGGATCGAAGGGAGCTGTGGGGAACCATTCGGATGGTAGCGCGAGGGTCACCTCGCTGGCCTGGTGGTGGGAGACGTGGCTTGTGTCGCAACTTGGGAATGTTTTCACTCGGGCCACGCACAGGGCTGGCGAACTCTTCCGTGATAGCAGGAAGAGCTTGCTCTTCGGCGGTCAGGTGCCCTTGGACAGGTGAGCTTGCTTCGTCGTACCGACCATGGCTTCGCTGATCTTCCTCGATCAACCGGTCGAGGTGGCCGATAACACCAGACAAGTAGGTTGGGACATTGTCGCTGCGACCCTTACTATGCTCGACAAGTTTGCGACGGGTCTCCGTCAGCTCCTGGATGCTGTAAGAGCGACCAGGCTCCCTTGTCGCACTTTGAGGCGTGTCCACAACGACCTTCGCGCTGGCGTGAGTTGTTCGATCCGGGCTGGCAATGGAAACAGGAGTAGCAGGTGTTTCATAACCCGTGCCGGTACTAGCGGTGCGGATTGTGGTCACAGAACTACCATTGAAAGCCTCCTCGCAGATCTGGCTAAGCTCATGTGACACCTTGCGAGTGTCCTCCCTCCAGATAATATCCGATTCACGAACCCGCCGGGCTTGACCCAAGCTGCGGACCCTAACCCCACTGGGTCTAACGACGGTTGGTTGTGCTGGAAGAGGTGGACTACTCGGCATCTGAGGAACATCAACACCGTCGGCGATCATCTGCAGACTAGCAGCACTGGGGGATCTCTTGAGATCACCTTGTGGGTTCTGGTTCTGTGCTGTCTTTCTTCTCTTAGGCTTAGTGGAGCCCTGAGATTTGTTACGAGCGTGGCGGAAGGAAACATTGCGACGATAGCTGGTCGAGTGAGTGGAAAGGCCCGGGCAGCGAGAGCTGGAATGGGGCACTTTAGTGGACTGGAACGACTTCATGGAATTGGGCTTGTGCTTTCGCTTCTGCAACACGGTGAATTCCGAGTTGTCCATATCCACACTGTCATTGTCTTCCGGTTCGTCCACCTCCGCAATGGATGGAGGCGGTTTGACAACTGGCGAAGACTCATCCTCTTCAGGGACATCGGGTGGTGTGCGGTGGACGGTTATTTGAGCATATTGGGGCTCGGCCACGGCGCCACGGTTCTTCGGCGAACGATAAGGATCATAGCTCTCGATACTTGCACAGGAATTGGGCTCTTGGATGGAGCTGATCTTGGGGTGGATGTCCTTGACGGATTGAAGATATGAGCGCCTCTTCGGATTGTTTCGCCCATTCTGGCTACGTCCCCGGCGAACTTTACCACCGGGGCGGGAGATATGGTGGTAGTCGCTCGCCGAGTATTCCAGGGGTTGACCCTGATAGTTTTCCAGCTGCTCGTCTCGGAACTTGGCGAGGGCATTGTAAAACATCCGCTCGTGTGTAGGTCTATCAATAAAGTTAGTACTGCGTTTCCCTCCACATCATGGGTCAGAGGTAACTTACTCAATGCAAAGTATCCTGTCAATCAAAGTATCAGGCTTCACGTCATGCCACAAGGTCTGGAGGTTCCGGAGGAGGTCCATGTCCACGTCCTGGCGGCTTGCAATTGGCTCTCCACAATCCTTGACAGACAACTGCGGAGGCGGTCCGATATAGTAATCGGCCATGGCATTGTGCAGTTTCTCATATTTCGTCAGCAGAGGGTGTCGCCAGATGTTCGACATTGAAATGCGGTCCTCGGGTCGCTTTTGGAGGATGCGCTGAATGAGATCTGCCGATTCCTCACTCAACTCAGGCGGAATCATATAGTCTCCCTTCTTCACCAGACGCAGGGTATTGGGTAGATCGCCGCCGTCGAATGGGAGGTATCCGGTCAGCAAAGCATACAAGATGATTCCACAGCTCCACATGTCGGCTCGGTCTCCACGGTATTTGCGCCCATATATGATCTCGGGTGCTGCATAGTGAGGACTACCGCAGGATGTGTTGAGCCAGTGACCGGCGGGCTGGAGAGCAGCCATTCCAAAATCAGCGAGCTTAACGTTATGGTGTGAGTCAAGAAGGATGTTCTCCGGCTTCAAATCACGGTGGCAGATGTTGAAACGATGGCAGTAACCCAATCCAGCGATGATCTGGCGGAACAGACGAACGGCTTCTTCCTCGGGTAGGGGACCGTTGTTGGAGACGTAATCGAACAATTCACCACCTTCGACGTATTCGAGGACCAGATACCTATTATTCAGTTAGCTGACTGTCACAAATGCTGTATGGTTGCTCTCTTGCAGTACTTACAGTTCGCCGCGATTTTCCCACACATCGTAGAGGCTGATAACATTGGGATGTTCAATCAACTTCATGATGACAACCTCCCGTTCAATTCCACATGGCATGTGACGAGCATTAGTAGTAAAGCCATTGAAGTTGATAACGTTCCGATCCATGGCTGCAATGCTCTCGCTTTGGACCATGGCAGCTGACTTCTTCGAGACAATCTTGATGGCAGCGGTCTGGCCCGTCACGGCATGCTTGGCTAGTCTAACACGACCAGTAGCGCCCTTGCCCAAAGTTCTACCAAGTTGCCAGGGACCAACATGGGTCTTACGCTTGCCCTTGTTCGAGAGGATGGATGCTGCGGAGACCACAGAGTTGCGAGCCGAGTCGGATTGGAAATCGGTGACAACGGACAATCGTTGGTTTTCCTTGTCACGCGGGGTGGGAGTCATCATGACCGACATTCGGTCCGGAGTCTTGAGCTGATTCAAGTCCTCGACGTGGACTCGAGGCGTTTCGACCTTGGGGGATCGCGCATTGTTGATTCGACCCGATGCATCAGTCAGTGGCTGGCGTCTGCGATGAGGATCGTTCAGATCCAGCATCGAGTGATCCATTTTGGCAATGTTCGGCCTCCTTGTTTTCAGAGGTGCATTAAACGATAACGTCGACGGAATGGCTTGAAATTAGGTAGGAGCTGGTGCTGGTCTTAGTTGCTGCCTGCGAGTCACGGGCATCGAATGCCTGGTCTTGGACTTACTTGAAGTGGTGAAGGGAAAAGAAAGAACGGACAAAGACTTGGATGGAAGATGGAAGAAAAGAGGGACGGTAAAGATCGGCTCCAGACGTGCCTGGACAGAGTAAAGAGTGACAGTGGATGGGTCAACACAGCATGACGAAGCGAGATGGGAGACGGACGAGGGAGCTGAGTACCCGAAGCACAGAGGTCGACGACGGCACGAGAAAAGAAAGTGGCTTGGCTCGTGTGGGCTTTTCGCTGGAGACAAAAGAGAAGAGGTGCGGTGGGAAGTTGAGACGACGGGGGTGGCATGCCTCAGCACGACTGTTGTGGCAGGCGCGGAATGCCCTCCATGGAATGCTTCTGCCAGCGCTCACGACCTCGGCGTGCCCGCTGCACCTGCACTATTTACTGCGCACTAATTCCCTCCATGCTATCTTCCATCTCTATTCATCGAGTTCGAGTTGACTTGTCTATCGCATACTTCTACGCTTCGTCCCACTACCTGCTCTTCCGTTCTAACGGCATCTTCCGGTGTATACATTATGCTTAGTCGTACTGTTTACCTGCCACACAACAACCAGTCGTTGGGACATCTGAAACAACAATTCTTAGGGCATTTGGCAGATCATCTCCCGTTCAATTTTTTTCTATGCAGTTCTACGTGAATCCAGCAACAGCGGAAATCAAGACTTGTTTGTGGTGGGGGAAGGGTCGTCCGGCGACATTCCATCCCAGCCAAGGGGCCGCACTACTATCAGTTCCAAGGGGCGCCCTCCACATTATCTTCGACATTCTTCTCCCTAGAGTCCTCACCAAATTTAAATGAGATTAGATTGTCACTGTCAGATTCCAATTATGTTTGTGGATGCTTGTTCCCTTATATTCTTCGTGGTCGGCAATCACCCGCGTGGACGGCTTGCCGCCCTGGATATCCCACTGAGGATTAGTACGTTTCGGAGGTACCAGGGAGAGTTGATTTAGCACACAAATGTTGAATTATTTTTCCTGGGGAGAGGTTGCTTCTCGTCTTTTTTCCTGAAAATAAATATTCTCTCAAGGCGATAATAGTTCGTCGGATCCGTGTCCATCACAAGGTGAAAAATTCTTGAAAACAGCGATCAGGCAGTCAGTAATCCTACTTGAAACTTAGATATTTTTTTTGGATAGTAGCTTAACAAGAGACGCTACATTATTGTAGGGTTGGATCCGCCCGGGCGCTATGAAACTAGGACTATAACTAGCATAGAAGTCAGAACGGGTAGGTTCAATAACTGGAGGGTACTCAGTATCTCGTGGGAATTTCCTTGTACAAAATGATCTAGCTTAAGATGAGTAGTATGATCTCTTCAGTTAACCCAGCATTTTTCGATGCTTTTTGATATACCGTGGCCATTTGACGAGGCTCGCCCGCTTTGGAATCTCTCAGGGAACAGAAGACAAGGCTAACAAGCCAATCTACCTAGGTACGGAACACTGTGTACTTTGTAACAAGCCATTTCTGATATTGTATGAGCAGTGCCTTGATTTTCATTTGACGCCTTCATATTTACACCTCAGTGTGTTAGGAAAAAGCGAGAAAAACGGCGGAAATGATCCCCGCGAGATCCTTCAGGCTCGGGCTTTGCCAGCAAATCCCGGAATCCCGGTCGGCTCTATCGGAAACCACAGAGAATGGGCCGAAAAGAGGACCGATCCAAAAATTCGCTGGGGTAATGGTGTACTGGTGTCTTACACTACTGTAAATGCTACACTACTTCCGTGCTCTCCAATGTATGTTTACACTGCCAATATATATATTGCCTTCGCGCACCCGCCATTTCCGAACCGCCACCATGACTTCTCACCAATCACTACACCACATGATCAACAGCATGGCAGATATCAAACCCCCCTTCACCGAAGAAACCGCTCGTCTCAAAAGTCAAAGCCGCACAGAACATGTGGAATACGCAGTGAGTCCCGATTTCCCTTGCGCCACGACTACACCGTCCGCGCCCATGTGGTCAACGTAAGGGCAGCGATCCCTTGCATCCCTCATATCAACCACAATGTGATGTTTGTCCGTGCGAGGCCTCGAGCTCACATGGGCGCATGCTTCTGATACCACGGCTCGACGTCATGATCGCGCCCTTTCTTGTTCCTGCTTGCAAGATTCTCAGAAGCCCTGCGCCGTGGTACAGAGATGACGTAGTCCCATTCAACGCTGACGATGCAAAGGGACCCTGCCAAAGTCGCGCTGGCATACACCCCGACTTGCATCTGGCGAAATCGCACTTCGTTCTTCGCGGGGACCGAGTCGATTGTCGAGTTTTTGGCGGCGAAGTGGAAGCGGGAGAGGAATTATCGGCTGCGCAAGGAACTCTTTGCGTTTCGGGATGATCGCATCGCTGTGCAGTTTTGGTATGAGTATCAGGATGCTGATGATGGGATGAAGTGGAAACGCTGCTATGGGTTGGAAGACTGGACTTTTGATCGAGAGTCTGGGAAAATGTGTAAGCGTATGATGAGTGGGAATGATTTGCTTCTTGGCCCAGATGGGAATGGCGAAGGACGTTGGTTTGTGGATGGAGTTGATGTCAATGAGGTTCCGATCGGTCAGGAGCACTGGTAAAAGCTTCAATAATGTGAGGCAACGAAATGAAAACTAAAAACCTTCATTGGCTTTTTCGATGCGATTGAAATAATAGTTTCCCACTTGAACTAGTGTAGTCTGGAAGTAGTGTACTAGTGACATCAATATATCGGGTAAGTAGTCTCATCCGTCAGACCGTCCAATCTGCACGGTGCTGGTGCTGAAGCAGAAAGCAAGCATCTCTGTTCTTTCATCAGATCCAATGCTATTGTTTTTTTGTGATTAACCTTTCATGATTCGAAAATACAATTTAATGTTTTCAGTTAGGCCCCCATATTTATGACACTGAACTGTGACTCTGCATCAGTGTGCCCCAGGACCCCCTACCCCTACTTTGATCAGGAAATTATTCATAGTGCAGAAAAACTGCTTTTTCGTGCTCAATAAGTGGGACCGTGATCCTTTTCTTGGTCTCAAAGAATGAGTCGATTACCTTCAGACAGGACATGGGCTATCATCCAATGGTTACTCGGCTGAGCAAAAGGTACGAAATGCTATAAGACCAGTCACCAAACAATACTCTCCAGTTCCTCCAGAAGAAGAGGGGAAAGGTCACCAAGCCACTCCCACAGTACCTACTCGACAGCGTGAGATCCACCAAGCGCACCCCCTTCAATCAAGGAAGCTATTTGCCCTCCACCGTCCCTGAAATCATATACAGTGTGAAAGAAAAATACAAGGAATCGGCATCTATCCCGTCGCCCTACCCGCACCCTTCACTCTTTTAACCGAAGGGGCCACATAACAGATGCAAGTGGACCTCTCTTCCCTTAAAATATTAGACTCACCGCATCTCTTCGGACTTTAATTCAAATCCCTCGAGGTATCATAGTGTATATTCTCTACGATCTCAAAACTAGCCAACATTGACTTGGCCCCTGTCCTCGAATATGAGTCTTCGACGGTCACGCAAAGCTCTATCAATGTAGATGCTCACCCTATCAGACCTGACGACACAACTCAGGACAAAATTGCATTTTTTTCTAAGTATTTTGTCAGTGCTCATTTTGTCTGAAATTAATTTATTATCCAGTTGCATCGCTATGGTCGGACGCGAGATGGCTGTTCGATGTGGAGTGGACAGTTGGTGAAAGTGCGTGGGCCGAGCCAGGCATCTACCACGACAAAGATCTATCTTTCTTTCAACTTTCTCCGTTTATTTTCTAGGATTCATTCTGCAACATGTACATACGATTCGTATGCATGGACTTTACATCGAACGCCAGGATCTCAGGGTCTTGGTGGCGCTGAGAATTACCATGATAACTTCATTCAGGCTGAGATTCGCTCTCAACAGGGATGAGACACTGCTACGATAAGTGGATACGAGGGCTATTGACCATTTTCCAGGGCTATATAGACAATATAGTGAGCATAACCGGGGATTGTGGAGATGCTTTCCGGGATATCTCGGGCTGGCTCGACCCCTTGGGAACGGGAACCGATGCGAGTGTCTGATATTGCCGGCTTGAAGGTGCTCTCGAGGATGCAGCAGCATATATTGATGCGACGACTGGGAAAATGGTCAAAGAGACGACAATTTGAGTGCTCTTTTTCTGAGAGCGTTGATACACAAGCTGTGTTTGAAGGATCCAAGGGTCTATATCACACTTTGATATGACGTTCGCGTCCACGGCGCTTAGATTCAGCGCGGCTAAGTCCAATGACTGCACCAACCCTAATCCTAGTACCCGTTATCCAATAAACAGAGGAGCAAAAGTACCTTGAGTTAATGTGGACGTCGGTCTTGAGGAGCTCTAGCAATTTCAAAACATTCAGTCTCGAAGGGACAATGAGTCTGCAAGTCGAAGAAATTGACATTCTCGTCGAAACATTTCGTCGATTCAATATGAATTACACTACAAGTCTAAGAGAAGTGGAAAGAAATGCACGATGGCACCAGTGGATTGACAGGTGCTAGTCGAAGATGAGCACAGAGAAACATGCGAGCGTGGTAATCGATAAAAAACAAAGAGTGATCAGACAGCCTTCCCATAAAGCAGACACGATGTAAAGATAGGAAATCGCAAAGACGTAAATCGCAGACATAAGAAGATAAAGCGTGGAAAACATAGAAGTTAAAAAATAGGGCGAGAAAATCACAAAGCCGACCATCTTTTGTCGCATAGAACGCGGATTTCAACGAGATTGCCTTCCGAATAATGTGAGTGTGAGTACTTCGAAAAATAAAATAGACATGGAACGCACGAGGGAGAAAAAGATATCTTATGGTGAAAGATACGGTAGAAAATGAAAAATGAAAAAATCGAAGAACAACCGAGCCGTAAACGCAGACGCAAAAATTGTCAAATAGCCGCCCGAAATTGTGACAGGTGTATGTTGGTTGCTTCCCGTGTAGGGGTTTCAGAGCACGGGAGCGGATGATGTGATGTGGGTGTTCGTTGATAGAGATGCATGGGGGGTTGATGCTGCTGTATCGGCGTCGTGTCTTGTACTTTTGCCCAGGGGAAGACATTCGGTCTCACTGGTAGTTCGATGGCGCACAGTTCCTGCAGATGCCGGAATGTGACGTCTCAACTTTCGACCAGTGGCAAGGAAAAAGAACTGGATTTGGTTTCAGAACCCACAGGGATTGCGAATTCGTCCCCATTCCATTCCTTCAGACACAGCAACTTCAAACCCAGCCGCAATTAATCAGAGTCGATGGTGAAACGAAAAGTATTGGAAAAATGAAAAAGTCGAAAAAAAGGTCGTATGTCAATAACTCTCAAGACCATCGATCTGGCGATCTCGGAATAAATTTCGTGCGGCTCGTAAAGCTTCATGGCTCCGCGTTTCATGTTGGCGTTGTCCTCGGAAACAAAGACAGAAAAAAGACCGTAACTCGTTTGTGTAGAGAGATCCACTCCTCAAACCATTGAAATGTCTCAGAATCTTTATCCAATCCTCCATTCTCGAATTCCGATTGCGATGCGCGTGGGATTCCGATCGGGTGTAAAGGGAGATTTGCATTGTTGTTGGTGATGTTCACTTTGGGCGTCGTGATCGGCCGGCCCAAACGGAAGGATATCAAATTCCAGAGAGGAGAAGAAAGAAAATCCATCGACAAAAAGTCCGATCCAACCGTTTTGCTCCGATAAGACCGTTTCCTGACTCATTTGTTTTGTTTTTCTGCCCTTGTCAAACCAGATCCCGACAAAATCTGATTTCTTCCCACACCGTGTGGCCAGCACACGGCAGGTTTCATTCCTTTGGCCCAATTGCTCGCATTCCCCGTCGCCTCCACCAGTCCCCCATCCCGACACGGTCGAGACGGTTTACTGGTTGAGGCCACGGCGGTTCAGCGCATTGAGCATGTCGCTATCGGTGCTGGACCGGCCATGGGAATCGTTGCCGTTGCCCGGGTTGAGCATGTCGCGCACATTCAAGCCGCCGCGTGCCGAGCCGCCGGGAGTGGATGATGGGGGTGGAGTCGGGCCGCCCTGCGTCATGGGTGGGTATGGCGAGCTGTGAGGGGAGGAGGAATGGCGTGCATCGTATCCATAACCCGCTTGCTGCGGCGAAGTGCGCCGATCCTGCGGTGGAGGAGGGTAGTAAGGAGGGGGGAGCGGTGTGTGTCTGGTATCCGGGACTGGGGGTGACGGGTGCGAGGTTTGTCGGATCAGGGTAGTCGAATCCTGAGCCAGAGCCCCGGCGTCCGAGGTGTCGCTGTGGAATCAAAACAATTAGACTTGCGTTTCGGGGAGGGATGCGCGAGAGGGTCCGAGAATGGGAGAATGGGCTGCCTTACCGGATCCGGCATGGAAGACGCAAGGGATTGCGGAGCGCCGTCCACGGGAGGTCGTCCATATGGCGGAGCGTACATCCCTTGAGGCGGCGGCAGGGTTGACTCGGCTTGCTGCTGGGGAGGGAGAGGCTGCCCGTGGGCACCGTAAAGGGTCAAGCCCGCGCTGCTGGCTCGGCCGCCCTGCTGATTGCGCAGGTGAGGATAGGCGACTTGCGCGGGGACAAAGGCTTGCGCTTGTGAGGAGACGGGCGTAAACATGCACTCCTGGTTAAACCGGATGCAGTTGGTGCAGCGACCATCTTGCGAGGTATCGAATCCCGAGCAACGGATCTGTAGTCGTGTCCCATTAGCCAGCTGTTTTCATTTTCCCGATAATCCTCTCCATCGCAACCCATCACATGTAGTCTGGAGTCGAGTTCGCTCCACCGAGCAGGGTCACGAACCTTTCGTCGGCGACAGTACCGGCAGGCAATGGCTGTTCGCTGGCGCGGGGCCGCTGCTTGATAATGGACGACTTGCGGCTGGCCGGGCGGAGGGCCGTATGGATCGGGCCGGTAGGCGCCCGGCGGCGGCGGAAGACGGTAGGGATCTTGCCCATGGGCGTGCGGATGGATGGCGGCCATGTTGGCAGGAGGGTATTGAGGTGGCGGCGGATAGTAGGCGCGATCTTGCTCGGGGGCAGGAGGGTAGGAGGCCGGCGGGTACTGGTCCAACGATAAGTATCCTGTCTGCATCGCAGGGGAGAGGGAAGCGATTCCCGAGGCACGTAGACATACCGGATATTGCGCAGGATGTTGGTCGTCCGACTGACCCTGACCGTTCCACTGGGGTGGATACTGTCCCTGTCGATTGGGGTCGTAGTCGGGGGGAGGGGGGAGGGCCGGACATTTGTGTGTTGAGGGGGGAGGAGGGAGAAGATGAAGGATGTGGTGAGTCAAGGGTACTTTGGAGGTACAGGGACGTGACGTCGAGTTATGAAAGGGGGCAGTCGAATCACACGGGCGACGCCAGCATAGCGCGGTCACGCAGGGGAAAGGCAGATGCAGGCAGATCCGATCTGGTCCCAAAGAGAGGGGCAAAAGCAAAGAAAATAAAAAATAAAATAATAAAAAGAAAATCAGAAATCAGAAATCAGAAATCAGAAATCCGCAAAAAGCGAATGGCAGAAAAAGGAAAATAGGAAAAATAAAAAATAGTAAAAAAAAGAGCCTCGGCGGACTATGACGTGAGCACGATGGAAGAGGATGGAGGATGGAGTATAGAAGGAAAGGAAGGGAGGGAAAAAAAAAAAGAAAAGAAAAAAGGGAAAAATCAAAAAAGGGCGGGGACGATATGGAAAGGACGAGGACAGGTCGACTAGTCCGGTAGCTAACCAGGTATACCCCAAGCGACGAGCAGCGAAAAAGAAAGGGCATGCAATTTTCTGATTGGAACGCAGACCAGGATTTTTAGACAACGGGGTGGAGCCCGGGCAGCGCGGGCTAAAGCGGCGCCAGTGACCCGTCGACGTGGATGGGGGACCCTCTTGACGCTAGGGCATCAGCTGAGCCAGGTAAGCCCCAGGTGGACCATGGCACGCTGGCCGAGAACGGCGATGGTGCTACATTGTATGTACATTCACTATTATACTACCCAAGGTATATAGGATGAGAGATCGTAGTATAGGTATATCCTAAGGGATAGGTAGTATACTGGAGTATGTCCTCACGTCCGCGGATCTGATTATGTCCTCCAGGCAATGTTCATCGGTTCCTCGTCCCCACCCTGGAGAGCGTGAGATCGGCTCCGGAGCCTGATAGATCCTGCGGAGGAACAGAGAAGTCCATCACCCAACCCCCCAATCCGCCCATCACCGGGGGCGAACTGGTTGCCGTACACCTTGTCCTCCACGTATCGTGGTTTGACATCATCCCCTTCGACTTGACTCCGGAGAGTGTGTGCCAGTGGCTATATTGAGTCCAGGTCACTGGCAGGTGACTCGGATTCGGCTGCCAGGATTCCATTTCCCATTTGCCATCCCCTCCCTCGCTCTCGCCCCCTGCACGAGATGGGCGTGGATCGACCTGAAATTGTCCGTGATTCCTGGCGCAGACCCAATGGTTCAAGGTCCATGGTTTATGTTGCAAGGTCCACGGGTCGACGGTGGGCGATCCACTCTGAGCGCGACTCGGACCGTCGTCGCACAACCGCAACCGGGCCCGCGGAACCAGGATTCTCTTCCATGGCGATGGGCTCGGGTCGGGGCGAAAATCTGGATTTGGTTGCGACCCAATCCCAGTGGGGGAGCGGGAGGGCGCAGATGCAGGCGACCAGACGTGATGGAGCTAGTCATCGTACCTGTACTGTGCAGTCGTACTGTCCACTGTACAAGTAGTCTGTAAGACTGTTAGTCTGGCACCCTAGTCAAGACGGAGGGGGCGAAGCAGGAACTCTCAGCGGAACTCGCACCGTGCAGTGCCTCTCCCGGCCAAGTACATGAAGCTACTGCATGTACTATCGAACAGCTCGCCCTCTCACGCCGCCCAGCCGGCCGTGGCGGTGTGAAGTGGCGATCAGACTTCAGCTGACGAGTGGAGTTCAGCCCTTCGCCACCTTCTCTCTCCCCAATACGAGCCACGCTGTCTGGTGACGAGAGCGGAGCCCCCGTTCCAGCATACTGACCGGAAGTGGAGGGCCCTAAGTTCCCAGTGCACTGCACTGGATCCGAAAAGCCCATCATGAGCCATGGTAACCTGCATTAGCGCTGCGTTGACCGCTGACAGGGGGCGGGTGCCTTATCCCAGAGCCACAACCACGTTGTATGGGGGGACGGCCTCCGTCACCGCCAAATCCCGGTCCACTTGCAACCTCTTCAGTCTCTGGTCAGTGGTGATGCAACTGGTTTGCAAGCAGCCAGTCCCCTCCCGATCCAGAGGGACTCCCCACAGGACGCAGGTTGTACTGTGCTGGTCCATGTTCCGTCGGCTGAGGACAGGGACGAATGATTGGATCGCGCGCGACGACGACCGGTCCTGCCATTCCCAGGTGAAACAAGGGCCTGCCACCCGAGTCATCGTCATGGGTTGAACGGAGACGAACTTTTGCGCGGTCGGGGTACTTGTCCCACGGGCCGCTCCGGCCTTCCCGCCGATCTCATGCATGTGTGCCATCTGGAAATGCGTAACCTGCGCGATGATTCGCGCCCGCCATGAACCTTTCCGCTTTTGCGCCATCCGGTCATTTTTCTTCATTTTTATAAATTTCATTTTCTTCTGATTATCTCTGGGGGGATCCATCCCCGTCACTTTGCCACGTTCGGCTCCTCAGATATCCCCTGCCACCCGTGACTGCCGCGCCTTCCGTGACTCCTTGGCTCCACTCTCTCCCGGCCTCACGCTTGGTTGAGTGTTTAGTGTACCAAACCTCACCCTCTACCACGGCTCCACCAGACCCAAATACGCTGACCACTCGATGCGGTTTGCCCGGGGGACGCGCTAGTCGATTTGGACCCAAAGGAGGGACTGAGCGTCGGCTTGGAGACCCAACCGCCGCCCGACCGCAGGCTGCGACGTTCCCTATTTTTTATTTCTGTTCGCGCCGTCCGAAATCATTCGTGTCCCTTCTTTGTGGGATTTTGATTTACTGTGTTTCTTTTTTGGGAAGGGGGGGCGAGCCGGCTTCCCCCCTCTTTTCTCTCGTTACCCACACGGGGCGCGCTCCCGGCGTCTAGCAGCAGGGATGGAGCACGTCGGGCACTAATAGGCGCATCCCGCATGGCTTGTCGGTCACGGGAACACGGTCGGCCTATGACAAGGGCTGCGCCAGCGCTCTGTGCTCGCAATCTGACGTGGCTCTGGCCTCCCCCCAAGCCGGGATGCATGCGCTGTCGATTAAGAGTATCCTGATGACTGGGAAACCAAACCCGGGTGTCGTGTGATGGGAGGTGTCGCCAGGCCGCGAACTGGCGGTGACACACTGTTGCGATTCCAACTCGGCTCGGAGCGAAAAGAGACGGGTGTGTCGTACAGGGCGGGACGATCATATTGGTTTTTTTGGCTGCTGCTTCCCGGCGCATGAGCGATCTCCCTGATTTGTCGTTCAGGGATGCTCCCGGGGTTGGCGGGTAGCAGACCATTTAGCATCTGGCCGTTGATTCGGCCAAGATGGCTTAAACCGTACACTAGTGTAGTCCCAGGATCATGATGCAGGCATATCCGCACCTGAGAGGGTTCCAGAGAAAGCGTAGGCCCATGCAGCGGGCAGTGCCAGCCTGTCGTGCAGTGATGACGGCAATGACCGAGATGACGGTGCTGCGGAAGGCGATGACCGACACTGCCTATCGAGTCGCACCGGCACGTGGGCATCACAACCACAAACCCTATCGCAGACACTTTTGGGCAGCAACGAGTCTGAACGAAAGTCTGGGGATGCAAGGGGATACATGTGTCAGTTGACTTGAGAGTTTGCTCTCGGATCACGGCACGGCAATGCGGTCGCAGTACACGGACCTGCTAGATGTATACACTAGCAGCAGAGTCGCTTCAATACGGCATCGTGTTCAGGGTATTTCCGGATTCGAGTCACGAAAGTCGAGTGTTTGTTGGAGACAAGTTAATCTGGTGCGATCAACAAATATCCTTGTCCAAGCGTGTTCCACAGTTGCCCGAAAGTCGATGTCGGCAGATACAATGTATGCTAGCAGCTAGTCCGGGCATGGCTCAGGTTGATGACGCCAGAACTCGGAAGCCAAGGGTTTACTCAAGTGACCAGACGAAAGTTTTTTCTGGTTCTGAACCCCAAGATCGGGATTTGGCTTTTCTACTTGGGTAGTCGTCCATACAAACTTCGTCATGATATATATCCTGGTTCGGCAGGCCATTATTTGCGGGAGATATAGAATATTTTGGAACAACCACCCATGCACGTCATCGCAAGACTGTATGTGTTTTTGATATAAGACATCACATCAGACCAAAGCCCTACGAAAGTATGAATGACCCTAGATAACCCAATCTAAGGCTTCAACCACGCGAGTTATCCACTGCCCTACACTACAAACCTTCCGGGCAGGCCGTGCCCTACCCTAACCTCCTTAGCCCGGAGTATACGGTACAGCACCATGACCTTAATTTGGACAGGAAAATAAATCCGCGAAGACTCCGTCCTCCCGCTGCCAAACCCAAAATAAAGAAAAAAAAAGAAAAGAACCTCGGAACTCACCCGACGGCAAGCATAAAGCGACCAGTCCCAAAAACCCCCTCATGTCATCCAAAGTGATCGAGACTAAAACGAGAACGAGACTGACCTAAGTAGAAACTACAGCCATCCAACCCATGGAATCGGAACTGACCCTCGAAACTCCTTTCCAGAGCAGGAAGGTGGTTGAAAATTGGGAAAAGTATTATTTTGTTCGAGTTCCATATTTTCGCGATTCCCATTTCCAGCCCTCCCACTGGCTTTCCACACTTCGCCCTGCCCACAATGGTGCCCTTCCACTCCCCCGTCCCAGGCTTTGCGAGACGGCGGAGGGCCCTCCCGACCCAACCACGCGCCGCCGGAACCACACATCCACTCCCACATGCGATGGGCCCAAGGTTTGTCCTAGCGGGCTTGCCCGACAACGGGCCGAACGCGGCGCGGGCGCAAGCGGGCGCTTGCGAGTGCAGAAGTGTGGACTGCCTGGCCCGTGTGGGCTAGGCATTACTAGAGAGCTTCAATTCTAGAATTCGTTTGGTTGTGAATGGTGGTACACTACTGCTGGAACCCGATCCTCCACGGTCCACACCGTGACTACTTTGGCCTGTTCGAGAAGGTGGATATGTCGGGCTTTAATTATTTTGGTGATGGGGGCATTTTGTTCGCCGGTGTTTTTTTTTTTTTTTGAGGGGGGGGTCTATTGAGGACCGCGATCATGAAGGGTCCGGTGAATTTGGGAGCTGGGTGTGGGCTGATTTAGAAGATTGGGGCTGGTTTGACATCGTCGGAGGCCTTTTCATTGGTGCTGCGAATTAGCATTAGGTTTGGCGATGTATGAATGCTTTGCTGTGTGCTCTTTCTTTGTTGTCCTCGACGCCTACTTGTGATGTGGGATGTACGTTTTTTTTTGTTTTGCCCCCTACAGTAGTCCGCACTAGAGAAGGGTCTAGGCGAGTGCCCTACAATACCATGTTAGACTAGTGTGGTGTACATGCGCCAAATGCTGGTGCACCTGTCGGAGGATTCTTTGCGGAGACTACTGCTAGTGCGGGAGGCATGTCTAGTATCGGAATAGGCAAGTGCGCGAGAGGGAGGGGGACTGAGGGGCACCAAGGCGCCTCTCTAGATTTCATGATTTCATGACAGATTGTATCTCGATCCTCGGACGCCAATGCAGCTAAATGTGATGGGGGCGTCGGTGGAACGGGATTGTTTCTTTGTTGTACCATGCATGCAGGCAAGAATCCTGGACATATTGGTGGTTGGTTCGTGGAATTTCTTTGCTTCTTCCTTGATTTTTGACGTTATTTTCGGGTGTACATTGCAGGCTGCCAGTCTAGAATATAGGCATGAGACCAGATAAAGAGGGAGAACAGGGAAAAGCAAAGCCCTCAAGCAGGCTTGTGCAGGGCGCCATTGGTGTCAGATTCTCGCAGCGTTGGGGAGTACTAGACGGAAAACTAGACGGCATCATGAAGGAATTACTGCGCAGACGCGTATGAACAAGAGAAACATAAAGAAAACGAATGAAGCTAACCATGGATGGATCCATGGGGTTGGGAATATGCAATTGCTCATCACTATCACAAAGTGGTGCACGAATGGATGGTGCGCCCGACAGGCGTGCACCAGGCTCTGTGAATTTTTGCTTTCTCTGTGCGGAGAAAAGAACCAGCAACAAGCCCGATGGAGGCGCGAGATTGGAGACTCGCCGGCGTAATTCGTGTTACGGATCAGGCATCACGACGCTGTTGAGATACGTCACCTGTCGAGGGAGCGGTCAGCAAGGGAGTCCAGGATGAAGCAACGGAGCGCGGGCAGGTGTGACGGCTGTGTAGCCCTCGCTGATTCGGTGGGCAGAAGGGGGCCCAAGTGGCTAGCTCAGAAGGGAAACGAGGCTAGTCGAGACGGGGCAAAATCGGCGGGGGCAAAGGGGGAGCTAGATCAGCTACTGACCAACGGTTCCATCGCCCCAATCAGGGCAGCAATGCGCTCCTGCGCATCTGGCGCCAGCATCTCTGCGTCCGCGATGGGGCGGCCGACGGTGAAACTGCGCAGCCGGAGCAGAAGGATGTTGGGATTGTCAGCCTCGTAGCCCTGCGAGTTCTTTGTTAGTAAACGAGTAAACGAGAATCGGAGGGACCGAGGAAGCAGGAGAGAAAGGGAGATGCAGATTGGACGACGCCCATCCAAACGTGGAGCCCGTGCCAGCCTGAACCATGGAACCAGAATGCACCGTCGACGAGCGTCCAGCAGTGCCACTCTGGCTGATTCTTGTGCTGCTGCGGAAAAATGATGGCTTGCAGTCAGGCACAGTCACGACGACACTATTACCACTGCTGGGACGTCTCGTGATCTTCGTGGTGGCCGTTTGGGTCTCATCAGCCATCAAACACCACCACCACCATCATCATCATCATCATCAACCATCAACCATCAACCACCAGGCCCAGTTTTGACGACCATCGCCACCAGAATCTGAGCGGCGCTTGCTGGAGGTCCCTGTCGCGTGTCATAGGCTGCCGCGCTCGGCCTGGTCCGTTGCTCCCGGCCCGTGTTGGCGTTCGCGGAGATCCGGCTGAAACGCGTGGTCAAAACAGATCCTTGCCCGCGAGCCCTAGATGAGTTCATTCGTCTTTCTGGCATACGCTTCCATGCCGTGATGATGATGGCTGGCTGGCTGGTTCAGATGACGATAGTCCGTTCTGGACGACCCAGTCCGATCGGGTGAGTCTCGACCTCGACCTCGATCACGCGCATCAAGCACCTCCGAGCCCCCTTTCGATGGCATCGAGCTGGCTCGTCCATTGCAGCAAAGAATGCAGAGAGCCGGGCATACCATTGGGACGCGACTCTATGGCTTGAACAAAGAAAAGAGCACAAAATCACCTTGGGGCATACTACATACCTTGGGCTTGGTCTTCAGGGCAGACTCCCGGTTGTGATGAGCGAACGCCTTCACGACCGCGTCATCATCATCGGGCGCGCGTCCGAGAAACTCGCGGCGCATCGCTGGTGCCCGGAGTACTTCTTTCCATCGATCCGCGTGTTCGTCGATATCCTCTCGAATCAGGGCTAACATGTCGGCCTCAGGGTGCCAGAGCCCGCATCCTACCCCGGTGTGAGCCGAGGTGAAGAGGAGAACAGGAAGAGTGAAGAAAAGGTGGAAGACCTACCCACAAAGCAAGAACCAGGTTGAAAGTGCACATAGTACGCGGCATATGGGCCCTTCTTGCCCGTACGGGACCTAGGGCCTGAATGAGTGTCACTGCTCGCCATTCCCCCCACCTTGTGCCTGAGATCACTTACCACGCAGCCGAGAAATGAATCTATTCGTCCGTCAGCAGGGTTCCTACACGCCGCTAACAGACATCACAGTCACAGAAGCGGGATTATTACGCGCAGAGCGGAGTCGGGCGAAAAAGGGGGGAAGAGAGCTTGACATACCTTGTACGGAAGAGGGTTCTTGCTGAAGCGGACATCACGGTGAATTCGGAACATCTAGCCTCGGTCAGCGTCTTGTCGGTGCCAGGACAGAAGGAGCGATGCGCCTACCAGGTCCTTGACCGGCAGTTCAGGGATGGTGGCATCCTGTTGCGCGATCTTGGGCGTCAGGGCTTCGACGAACGTCTCGAAATCCTTCTTTGCCGCGCGGTAATCGGCGTCATGCGCTGCGGAGAAAACCCAGTCAGCTTGCTCGCTAGCCGCGGGCGACAGTCGTGCCAAACTGCGCCAGCACGGGCAGTGATAGGGCCGACCTACCTTTGAGCCATTGCCGGTCGTTGTTCTTTTTCAGATCCAGCAGGAACAGCTTCGTATTGGGGTGCAGCGTCTCGTCCTCGTACGGCACACCTCCGGCATCGCGCGCCTTCGGTTTGGGAATAAAGACCTCCTTTCCGGGCCCCAAGCCAGTGCGAACACCCTCGCGCCAGAGCTCCTTGCCCTTCAGCGATGCCTCCACGGCGTCCTGGTCCTTTCCCCGTCCCTGCTTGCCCTTGGCACGGCCGCTCTTCACGCTCTTGGTGTCCTCGCTCTCGGATTCTTCCTCCGGCTCCGAAGGCTCGTCCGACGACTCCGCGTCTTGCCCCTCATAATCAGAACCGGACTCATCAGTCTCGCTGGTCGGCTCCTCGTCGGAGCTCTCGGGCTCGAAGTACTTGCTCTTCTTGGTCGTGGACTTGACCTGGCTGCCCAGATCGGTGTTGGACTTGACTCGCTTGACCTCGGCCTCCGAGGCGGACAGCCTGGCTGAGGCGCGTCGCTTTGGCGCCGCCTGGGGCGCTTGCGGCGACGCAGGAGCCGGCCGAGATGATCGTCGAGGCATGACTGAGTGCAGGAGATAGATTTGAAGGTCGGAACGGGTTCCGCGTGCCCTTCAATTGCCTTACGTGTGCTTAGATTGTACTTGTTGTCCGTAGCTTGTTTCCCCCACCAAATGCAACAATCAGCTGTGAAATACGCGTAGAATCCAATCAATGCTGAATGAATGCGCCCGGACAAGATCGCCCGGGTCGTTGCCAAAATGTCCTTGATCGTTCTAGGTGCAAATAGCGAATGTCAAACAAAGAACAGGCAGAAATGAGCGGGCATGCCGTTTTATAGCCGGCATTTTATTTGCACGGCGTAATACGAGCAGCCGCCTCCGCCTTGCGGGTTTTCTGCCTGGCGGGCCCATCTCGATCTCCCTCCGATCGCCCACGCCCTGCCGCAATCACATTCCAGCTATTGCGGATTTTTTCAAATCCAAAAATATTATCGTCTTGCTCCGTGAACTGAACTGGCATCGCTCAGCGAGCGAACAAGGCCATCACAATGAGCAACCACCAACAAAAGTGTATTCCGGTGCCTTTCCCGGTGCAGTTCACGGCCCGCAAGAACAAGATCCTGGAAGAGCTTGCCATTCCAGATGAAGACTACACTGATCTCTCGCCCAAGGGCTCCGTCGATGTCGGGGTGCGCGATCTCATCCGTGATATCAATAAGCTGCCTGGCCTGGTCACGACGAGCAGTTGTGCGGGGCGAATCAGTGTTTTTCTCGAAGGGAGGAAAAAGTCCTCTACTCAAGAAACTGGGTCGCTGGAGCAGAGTCAAGTCCAGAATCAGGATCAAGAGGAAGGCGAGCAGAGACGGTTTGCTCCGTCTGGCGGGAAGGGCGCTGGGCGGTGGTTGTATGTTTCGCATGATCCCTTTCAAGAAGAGAAGACATCTACGGGTATGAAGTCGTTGCTTGAAGTTTTTGGCATGGTCCCCGGCGATGGAAAACCACCAGCGCCAAGTGCTGGGAAGGCGCTTCGACTTGTTCGATTTCACTTTGATCCCCTGGTATGTGTTCCTATTTCCTTGTCGGAGTTACAGTTGGGGTTTCCTCAGCTGAGGCAATGTAAATTACTAACTTCGCCAGATCCTCCACATAATGGCGGCCAACTTACCCTGCGCAAGTACAGTTCTGTCCGCCGCATCGGCCTCTGGATTCCGCGAGAGCGGACTGCAAAGCTTGCGCTGTCTGGAGGGCGAGAACGCCCCCAGCCCCGTTGTTGCCGTCCGCTCAGCCGGTCTGTCGTTCGAGGCTGTAATTGGCTACTGCGATGAAGAGGGGGTTCCGACGAGCCTATTGTGCGCAGTCTTGTCACGGAAGAGTATCTTGCTCTGCTGATCGCCATGTCGAATGAGCGGTTCAAGGTGAATGCTGAGCGGAGGGAACGATTCCGGACGAGCTTGCTGGACGCGTGCCTCTCTAATGGCAGTAAGGGCAAGCAGGGTGATTGGGAGGATCCAGATTCGAGGAAGGCGAGAAAGCGTGCGGAAGGATTAGCAAGGCAACGCTTGTTGGAAAGTCAGAAAACTAATACAGAACCTGCTGGACAGGTCGATGGACTGGACTTCAAAATCCAATGACGTGTCTGGACCACGAGAACATGTTATGCAAAATACATGTTAGATCAATCGAACGAGGGCTAGGGCTAGTATTGTAGTGTGTTAATGTATAAGATCATCTAGCTCTATCTATACCTAGGCTCTAATGAGTAGTGGTAGTAGTCATTCGATGGTAGCCATTCATGCGCAAATCATCAAGGAGGACTTGTTTGTATGATGTCCAACTTAAAAAGACGAGGGGTGCAGAGAAAGTCGTAGATAAATCCAATGCCCGGACACTGAGTGCCAGGAAGCTTATGAATCAATCACTCTGGACGTCTAAGAATGAAGGTCGAAAAGGAAAGGATATGCGTAGGCGTAGAGCAGAAGAACGAAGAGAGCAGAAAGTGAGTTAGTGATAAAATCGTATGACGAAGCAGGAGAACTTGGGGATTAAATTTTTTTTTTTTTTTTTTTTTTTTTTGGGCGGGGGGAAGGGGGGTTTTGGGTAATAATAAAAAATGCCACCAACCACCCCCCCCCCCCCCCCCGCAAAAAGTAACAGATATTGGCTAAAGTAATGTTTAAAAAGAATAAGGGTAGAGATAAAAATAAAAATAAAAATAAAAAAAGGAAACAAAACTCGCACTTTGAAAAAAAATCAAAATCAAACAGCAATAAGAGAAAAAAAGAATAAAACGAAAAGGCAAGAGTGTCTCCGAATCAGAAGGGCTCAAAGGCCTTTCGCTTCGCATATCACCAGACATCACCTAGAAAAGTCTAAGGGAGTCAATCACCACGCCGTGTTGTTACGGCGGTGGCTGGTTGCATCTCCATCGCCAAGCGCGCGCCAGGCGCCAGGCGGGCAGACACGACGGCGAGCCGCGGCATGGTCCTCGGGTTGACGCCAGTCCCGATTCAGGTAGCTTCGAGCCGGGTCGTGGAAGATGGACTTGCGCTCCTGGACGCCGGGTCGCCCAGGGGTAGGGGTAGGGGGGACACCAGCCCAACCCCGGCAAACAAGAGTACGAAGGAGTTCCCTCTCCCGGCGGATTGTCTCGCCGAACTTCATCTCCTTAGCCTTGTTCTTGTCCCACCGGAACAGCTTTGCGCCGTACATGCTCGAGACATCCTGGCCCTCGTGGAGGTTGACAAGTCCCTCCGGCAGGATGTTGGTGGTGTCGGCCCGGGCAATGAGATTCGCATAGTTCTAGAAGTCATGTCAGTGATATGTCAAACAGATTAGATAGGGAAATGAGCGGAGGAACACTCACGAACAGAGTGGTGGGATCACCGCGAGTCGGCAGAGTGAGGGACTCGAAAGGGAAATCACGGTGGAACCCGGCGGACATGGCCGCCTGAGCCACGCGGTCGTTAGCGACAATCGCCAAGTGCCACTTCATGCGAGGGCTGAATGCGGGACAGTGCAATCCAGCGCGGACCAACTCACCGAGGAGCAGGATGTCAAGTCCCAGAATAGGGACGGAGCCATTAAGAACATCCGCCAGCTTCTTGGTCATGGCACACAGCGTCTCGAAGACCTTGTTGCGCTCATGAAGGGTGTAAAGCTCGGTGGCGAACCAGGGAAACTGCAACAGGTTGTCAGCAAGCTGAACAAACACGGAAGTCAGACGTCAGGAATGGCCGAATCTTCTTACCTTGTAAAGGGTGCTGATCATGCACTCGTAAGTGCGCTGGCGAGCCTTGTTTGCGTACAGAGTCTGGGAACTGGGTTAGCGTACAAAGTTCCGGCCAAATAAAAGAAAATGGAAGACACGGACACATACCCGACCCGGATTCTCCGCAGCGCGGCGCATGCAGAACATTTCTTCATCAGTGAGGAAGTCTTTGAAGCCAATAGACCAACGCTCATTCTCGGGAATTTCGGTTAGGACGGGGATACCTTGGGTCCAGCGGATGTATTTGGCCAAAGGGAACAGGCTCTTCTGCAGAGTATCCTGGTCACTGATCGAGATATCAATTGCACGACTTCCGATACGAGGCCCAACAGGGTACCCACTGGTAACATCTTTCGTTTCGAACGTATTGAGAATTCGGTGGTAGACATACCGGGCGTCCTCGGGGGTTCGGAATTCAACATAGCACTTGATCGTCTTGCAAGTGGTCCGTTCCATAATGATATGAATGGGGCACTCGCTGGGAACACGCGCACTTCGTGGAAGGAGTTGATTGATTTCGTTGCGAGTCACAGTAAAGGGAATCTGGTAATTAACAAAGAATGGTTAGTGCTTGGCCAGACTTTGAAGGTCTGGGGAGACGGGATACACTCACATCGTCAATGCATAGGACACCGGAAACAGTGGGAATACGAGCGTCCACATCTTGGCCGATCGGGATGCTGTCGAGAACGGTGTCCAAGCGTACCCGCATGAGCGGGTTGTCAAAGAGCGTTTCATCAAATCCACCCGGACGGGCGGCAGAGTCCAGAGCCATTTCAGTCACGACGAGATATCTCACAGGTAAGAGGACGGTGATTCAAAGAGACGCGCGATAGTGGACGGCGAGTAGGGTGAGATGAGCCCACACCAGAATGGACTTGATGCCAGACCTGAAGTCGAGGACGTAACAGAGGCGCGAGACAAGCGAGGACGAAGAGGGTTGGATGAGCCTGCACCAGAAAAGACTTGATGCTGGCGTGGAGTTCGAGGGCGTATCGATGGCCGAACGATGTTAGTGGATAATAGTCAGACGAGCAGAAAGAATGTTAAGAGATGCAGAAGTAAGAGGGGTGAAGAAGGAAAGAAGAAAGAAAAGAAGAAGGCATGCTTGTGAAGAATATATGCTGTCGAACCTTCAGGCAGGTGCTGACGGCCTCGAGTGAATATCAACTCATGTGAGAGCATGTGCCAGACTATGGGTCGCCAATTGGGCGTCAAAACAAGGCCGTTAGAATGTCGTGAGAGGTGAGAGGAAAGGAGAGAATAGCAGCGATGCCATAGTTCCCGAGGGACTTTGTCGACAACTAGGTAAACACAACAAAACCCACAAAGCTCCCGAGCGGCCGGGCATTGCGGAAATGCCGCGCGGGTAAGGCAACAGGGGGAATCAGGCACCAATAGACCAATGAACATCGTTCCTCTGAACAAAGAACCCAATCAGCGTCGGCGCGTGGCATGAACCAGGATCCACCGTCAAGTGCACGCACTATACGCCGACACTGGACAGCATCGTGGACAGCGTCGTGAAGACCGTGAAGAACACTTTGAAGTTGCCAAAAGAAACCAGTGAATGGCCAGGGTCGCAGTGCAAGAGCTTGGCGAAGTGCTCCGTGGGGAATTCTGTGCATCAAAGGATAAACTTTGGACGCTCGGTATGTCTGTTATGCTTGCATGTGTAGGAGCGTTTAGCAGAAAGACAAGAGGCAACAGAAAGATAACAGGAAATCTACCTTGGGTTACAGGGTACACATGACTTGACCGCCTTGAGCCAGATGGGCGACCAACGAACCCCAAGTCAGATACTAATAGCTCCAATAGTAGCACAGTAAGAAAGAGAATGGTAAATAAGTGTGGATTTTACCTAGATAGGCTTCACTGGGAAGCCAGTTTTCTGTACAGGAGAAGACGGGTCATAGGCTAATACAGTTGCCCAAAAGCAACCCCTTGGATTGAAACTGGTAAACGAAACGCCTTGCAATTTAATCAAACTAGTGCAGTGTTAGCAACCCGTCCTGAGCCCAAGAGCGCAAAGGAAGAGGAACGTACCGGAGTCAAGAAAGATTCAGCGACAAATCGCGCCCGAGCATTCAACTAAACGCAATTAGCATATGGCTCACCCAAAAGCGAGGGCTGCAGGGAGGTTACGCACAAATAACTTCATCTCCGAAACTTCCTTGTCCACCTCTTCCATAAAAGTGATGATGAATTCGACTAGTTGGTGCTTCAGGAGGTGCTCGGTATGATAGTTTGTAACCAAAAAGCTGATATCGTATCCCTAGAGAAATGTCAACACTACAGCTCTGCACGACGGAACACCGGACGACAGTGCCACGAACCTTGACGGGCTTCCTCCGCAGGATAAAGAATGATTCAGCTCGCTGTTGCAGGAAGCGGGTGAACTTGTGGACCAGCACTTTCTCGATTTCGTCCGCCTGCTTGATGCTCAAGCTAATTCGAACCGAGTTGACGGAGGGTTCGATATCTGAGAACGAGGTTAGCGGAGGAAGCCAAAATGTTCGAATAAAACGTACAAAGCTTCTCGTGTTCGTTGCGGCTGATGGTGATCCTGTGGGTATCTTGGTCAATGACGTTGCCTAAACAGACATGCTTCGCATCGGGGATTCTCACGGGTTTAGGACCAACTCAGGGGAGGACTGCGCCTCAATTTCCGGAACGTTATGACGCTCAGATGTCTGCGAGGCGAAGTTGGAGATTGCGAGCGCGGCGGTAAGGGAGGACCGACAGCATCTAGGCTGATGTTAGCACGTGTTGTTGCGTGCCTGAATGGTGGGACGGTATTGAGCTTACTGGAGATAGGGTCGGAGGGATTGAGACTGGGCGAATGGTCAGCAAAGAAAGATGCAGCTCGGATACACAGAGACATACCATGGCGAAGCTGTAAAAAGAATTGCGCGGGGGAAGTGTTCAAGACGGAGGGGGTAGTCAACGTCCCGCGCTGCCCGGGGCGGTGATGACGGTTGGCAGCCTCAGGCGGTGAATCCGGAGGCGGATTATCGAAGCCCCGGATAAGCAGCCCGTTATCGAAGCTGACGCATAATCATTCCGAATGTCGTTCGTGTTTCCTCGGACAAACCTGCACAATGCAGCTAGGACAGCCCAGAGTGTCGAGAAATGATGACTGAGGCTCCAAAGTCCCAATAACTACCTCGTCGAGAGCCTTGGAGATTACTCCGCAAATGTGGCTCTCGGCGATTTTCCACCTTGCCCCGACTGAGGAGGCCCGGAGTGAAGCACCTAGTTCCGCCCATGTGACTGTCATTTCCGTTTGGTTTCCGTCGGTATACGGACATCTTAAAGGAAGGGCTGGTGATAGGAACAGAAGATTTATATCTCGGCCGAAAACGAAAATCATTATGTCTTCACCGACTAGCTCCTTCCAAGTGGGCTGCAGAAGGCGGAAGAACTCTGGGATTGCTATATTAATACAGCATGGAGCAGTGGAACAATTGTCGACTATCCGAGGACCTTCCTGTTTTTTGGCGAAGAATATTCTAGGATTATCTTCAGGCCAAGCTTGACTTTGCTTCATGGCAATCTGCACTACCATCACAACTCCTGTGGCGTCATTTGAGCAGCCGCTCGGCCTGTACGTTATTCTCCCATTGCGCGAGACTTGAACGGTATATAAGATAAGGCCGAGGCTCGAGGTTTATCAACAATAAATTTGTCGCAGGCTCTGAGGGCAAGACTTTCCCTACGATCAATCCGACAAACGAAAATCCTAATTGTGGAGGTTCACGTGGCAAATGAGAAACGTCGACATCGCGGTGCGGGCTGCCCGCGAGGCCTTCGAAGGACACTGGACCAAGGCCGCTCCTTCCGAGCGTGGTAGGATGCTGGCCAAGCTCGCTAATCTCTTTGGGCGTGATGTCGATATCGTCGCTGCTATCGAATCTTTGGATAACGGCAAAGCTTTGACAATGGCACAGGGGGACGTTACAAATGCGGCTTTCGCTACTATGGAGGCTGGGTGGATAAGATCTGTGGCCAAACGATCGATACAAACCCAGAGTCTCTTGTTTACACCCGGCATGAAGCTATCGGTGTTTGCGGCCAAATTATTCCTTGGAATTTCCCTATCCTGATGTGGACTTGGAAAATTGGCCCCGCTCTGGCTACCAGAAATCTCCTGTCGTCAAAACAGCTGAACAGACACCTCTCTTTGGTCTCTATGCAGCGAATCTGCAGACGAGGCACTCATGAGCATCGGGGCCGTTGGATTTTAGGCAACAATGTCCCACACACTTCGGGATCGGATCAGGCAGAGGACGGAAGCCGTTGGGAATCTCTTCAAACTTGGATTATTCCCAAGATGTGCGGAAGCCCATTGATGAGATAATTGCGATGGAGAAGGAACGAAAGCTTGCCGTTTAAGCCTGTGAGTTCATCACTGAATTAAATATTGAGATAGAAGATAGACAAAGCTCACGAGAAATATGATGTCGCCTGAATACTCTCCAACCATACTTCTCTGTCATTTACGCTCTTGCCACGAGGTCGGTCGAAACTTAGATATGTGATCGTAGCTGAGTGTATTGAGCCTGGAGGTCACCACTGGTATATTTGTAGTATAGTCATGTGCAGGTGACTTCTCCCGCTAGTCAAAGTTGACTTATGAGAGCCAGCAGGGTGAAATGACGCAATCGTCGTGACGGGAAAGGAGTGTTTGCTATGTTTGTCGTGTTTGTCATTTTTGCAGCGCCCACACCTCTTCCATCATCTTCCCCGGAGCTGTTTACTCAACACTTACCAAGCTCTCTTCCCGTATTTTCACTGTTGCCGTGACTCGTCAAGATGGCGGCCATTCCGAGTAAGCTCCGATCCAGAAATCTCAGTATGCAGCACTTCGGATGCAACTAACCTGTAGTTTGTCAGTCATTGTCAAGCACGCGGGCAAGCGCCACGAAGTCGAGCTCGACCCGACCTCCAACGGCGAGACATTGAAATACCAGCTTTTTTCCCTCACAGGAGTCGAACCTGATCGTCAAAAGGTCCTGGTTAAGGGTGGCCAACTAAAGGATGATACCCCGTTGTCCTCCCTCAAGGCCAAGCCAGGGCAGACTTTCATGATGATGGGCACCCCATCGGGTGGCCAAGGATCTGCAGACCTCGGTCGGCCGAAAGAGACAGCGAAGTTTTTGGAGGATATGACGGAGGCGGAGATTGCCCAACAGGAGGGCGCTACGCCTGCTGGTTTGCAGAACCTGGGCAACACTTGCTACTTGAACTCCACCCTGCAAACACTGCGAAGTGTTCCTGAGCTGCAGGAGGAGCTCCAGCGCTATCACCCTGGTCGCTCTGGGCAGACTGGGTTGGCCGACTTGAGCAGCTTTGGCCTCGGCGGCTTGGATAGCTCCAGGGACATGGCTGCGTCGCTTCGGGATTTGTTCAAGCAGATGTCGGAGACCCAAGAGGGCATCCCCCTCTCATGTTTCTGAATGCTCTCCGTACCGCCTTCCCTCAGTTCGCTCAGCGAGACCGTAACGGAGCCGGATATGCCCAGCAAGATGCTGAGGAAGCTTGGTCGCAAATCGTGACCCAGCTGCGGACCAAGCTGACCATAACTAACGGTACTGGAGAGGCTTCCTCTCAGACTTCATTTGTCGATAAATACTTCGCAGGCCAGTTTGAGTCGGTTCTGGAGTGCGATGATCCTGCAGCGAAGGAAGCCGGCGAGCAGCCGACGAACTCTTCCGACGTCTTTTTCAAGTTGGATTGCCACATCGGAAAGGAAACCAACCATCTTCAGGACGGCATTTTGTCGGGATTACAAGAGCAGATTGAGAAGCATTCCTCTGCTTTGGACCGGAATGCCTTGTACACTAAGAAGTCGCGCATCGCTCGACTGCCCAAGTACCTCACCGTGCATTTCGTTCGCTTCTTTTGGAAGCGTGAGACTCAGAAGAAAGCCAAGATCATGCGCAAAGTCACATTTCCTGCTGAGCTCGATATTGTGGAGTTCTGCACCGATACCCTGAAGAAGCAGGTTATTCCGGTTCGCGACAAGGTCAGGGAGATCCGTAAGGATGAGGTCGATATCGAGCGCTCTCAAAAGCGCCAGAAGCTTTCTCACAAGCGTGAGGAGGAGCAAAAGCAGGAAGAGGAGGAGACTGGTGGAAAGAAGGAGCCGATGCAGAAGAAGAAAGAGGCCGCCGAAAACAAGGAGAAGTCGAAGGCAAACGACAAGGACGGCGACACTAATATGGAGGAAAACTACAAGACCGATGCTGAATATGAGGCCGAAAAGATTGCTGCTGTTCAAGCTGCTAAGAAAGAGCTGTATGACTTGGTCCAGCAGAACGGCGTCGCCGATAGCGGCACAAACCAGTCTGGCTTGTATGAGTTGCGGGGTGTGATCACTCACCAAGGAGCCAGTGCCGACAGTGGTCACTATACTGCCTATGTCAAGAAGCAGGCTCGTCAGGACAACTCTCAGTCCGGTAGCAAGCGTCGTGAGGGTGATGACGATGACAACAAGTGGTGGTGGTTTAACGACGATAAGGTAACCGAGGTCGAGGCCGACAAGATTGAAACCCTTGCAGGTGGTGGTAAGTGCATATCTTCCTTCTATTTCAGCCTTGCCTTTCCATTCGGATTGTTCTAACGGATTCCATAGGCGAGTCTCACTCGGCTCTTATCCTGCTTTACCGCGCCATTGAGCTGCCCACCCAGGAGTAATTGTTGACTTGTTTCAAGGCGATTTCCACGCCTGCTCATGTGCGGCAAAAAACATACGCCTCTAGATGAATAGATACGAGTCTCTACGAATCGATGCTCTTGGAGATATGGAGATATTCCTATTCAATGATTATTTTTGAAATTTGATTACAAAGTATCAAATGTTTCTTGTACACCGTAATTACCCGTTTGGGACATACGACACCACGTGACGTCTACCTCGGCCCCGATATCAGGGCCCACCTGAACAGCTTCATTTCACTCACCTCCGCAGGACGGCGATGTGACCACCATGAATTCCTCTCGGATCTTTCAATTGCCACGGCTAATTCCTTCCACTCGCGTTTCACTTCTCCCTCGAACATGCTTGCGAAGTCTCGGCACTGGTACGCACCAGAATACCTCGGCTCCTTCCATGTCGCCTTGGACGCGACGTCTCATCTACGCCGGCATTTTCGGTTTACTTGGCATTAGCACGGGAATATCAGCGAGGAGTTACGTCTCGCTGCCTTCAATTCCTGGGTCAGCCGCAGATCTGACCGAACTCGAGTCCATCAAACGTACCTATGAAAAGACACTCCCGATTGTGAAGCGATTACGACAACATCCGGACTATGTCGAGTCAGATGTCTACGAATACTTTTCGGATGAAAATAAGACACACCGGCTGACTTCCGGCCCATTGGCTGGAAGCAGGGGGCTGGGATTTCAGGTGCGTTGGCCAAGTTCCATGGCTGCATCGGGGACTGTCGACGTCTTCGTCTGACAAGCAACTGCCGAAGCTTTTAACTACCGAACCTCGGGATACCGTTGGAGCTAACTTGATTTGCGAATCTACAGAGAGTTTTCTGGAATGACAAGGACAAGAAGATTGTTAGTCTCGTGCACTTCGGGACCGGTAGCGAAGGATGGCCATTCATGGTGCACGGCGGCGCTCTTGGCACCGTGATTGATGAGAATCTCGGGCGCGCAGCGATACGACGTTTTCCGGCTAGGACTGGTGTCACTGCGAACCTCAACGTTAACTATCGGGCTCCGGTCTACTCGGGCCACTTCTATTCCTTCCATACCACCCTCGACCAAGAGCGAAGCACGGACCGGAAGGCGTATGCCAAGTGTGAGGTACGCGATATGGCAGGGGACTTGTGTGTGGAGGCCACCGGCCTTTTCGTTGTGCCCAAAAGGCTCCAACTTCGAACCATCGGAGAGACCTTCTGAGCGGTGGAGTGTCCATGGATGTGGCATCGGAATGAACAGGATATACGAGTCATCAGACCTCGTATACCTTATTGCAATAACTTGATTGTGGGGATGCTCAACCGACACGCTATCGCAATGAACGACGCACCGCCACTTGCGACCCGCTCGAGTCAGGACCCTTTCTCCGTTTGCCCAAATGATGAATCACTGAAGTGCTGAGACAAACCCCTCCCCACCCTCCCCCAATCCTCCTTCCTCCCGGGGATTCCCCTGTACAATGCCCAGAACCCTATTCTGCGGATAATCCGCATAGGCCCCATAAGTTTCATGTATATATTCTATTGAGCCATTTTTTCGGCAGCACAATGACATCGTGTGCAGCGTGCAGGGCTCGCAGTAGTGGGTGCGACTACTAATAGTACTAGTGCCATTGTACATTAGTACTTATCGTCAGTAGCAGGCACAGGCCCTTTGATAGGCGAGGGAAGGACCAATGTCTCGTCGCAGTTACAGTTTCGGGGCAGGCTCCCTTTGCGGCACTCCGCCCGGGGAGTCGCCCCCGTCAATGATGGCATCCCACCTTCTCCACGTCTCCCCCGCATTTTCCTCCCGTGTACCCCGTTGACTCGCCCATCGCCCTCCAAGCATTCTGGCCAAGCCGTCGCCCTGCCTCGGTATTTCCTCGATTTCGAGCTGTCCCTTCCCGGCTATCGCTTATCCGCACCTGGACTTGCGCGTTCGGCTGGGGCTTGTTTTCTCGTCTCGACGCTTGGTCCTCCGATTGGTGACCCTTTCCACGGGCGGACCCGGCATGGCGAAGAATAGCCTCCTCTAGGCCTATCGCTGTCGTGGTGTGTAGTAGTCGCGTAGCTATGGAGAAATGAATATATCTATCCAAGGTCCCACCCTTACCCAGTGGGGAGGAACTGCACGCCGGTGGGATTGAAACCTGGTCTGTCGCACTCGATACCTCTTTCCTACATAATTTTCTTGTACGCTGTGCAAACTTTTTCATTTGAGGACCTGACCGTGTCCTTGATCTCTTTCGATTAGCCCCACAATGACAGGCTCTGTGGAAAACCCACGCCCGGTCCAGCTCGATGAGAAGTGCATTCAGCATGAGGAGAGTCGCGATCTGGAGCGACGACACAGTCACCAGGAGGTGGCTGATTCGAGCAGCAACGATGCTGAGCTTCACGAGTCCGAGAAGGACATTCCCGTGAGTAATGTTTCTCTCATTAGCAGTAGAAGGCAGTAGAATCTACAATTTGCTGACTTGGGTTTAGATGACCTTCCGTCGCTTCATGGGATTCACAGCAATGGCTTTCTTGTGGACTGGCAGCCAAATTCCGGTCTATCTTTTCGGTACGACACAATAATCCCTAATGTGCGATAGACTTACTGACCAGCTTTTAGGTGGCATTCCTCCCTATATCTACGGATCTATTGGCGGAGCAGACCGATGGGTGTGGTTTGTACGAAATACCCCAGTTATCTATTGCCGTCATACATGTACTGATAGTTTCAACCCTCAGGTCCTCGCAAATCTCCTCGGTCTTGCGGCCGTCTGCCCTTTCGTTGGATCTCTATCTGATCTGTTCGGCCGCCGCTATGTCGCCATTTCTGGAGCCTCCCTCATCTGCCTCGGAATGATCGTCAGCAGCACGGCACACACAATGAACATTTTTATCGGTGGGTGATTTTGGAACAATGATCTTCTGCAGTAGCTGACTCAATGCAGCTGGTATGGCGATTGCTGGCGCCGGTGCCGGTGTGAATGAGTTGACTGCACTCGCGGCGACCTCCGAAATGGCGCCAACTCGCAAACGCGGTGTTTATGTCGCCGTCCTAATCTTCTCCATCGTTCCATTCTGCCCCTCTGTTCTGTATGCTCAGCTCATTGCATACTACAGTAATTGGCGATATGTTGGCGCGTTCTGTGGTGCGTGGAATGGATTCGGTCTGTTGGTCACGATCTTCTTCTATTTCCCTCCTCCTCGAACCAACTCCCTCGGATTGACCCGCAAGGAAATCATTGACCGTGTAGACTTTGTCGGTGGGTTCCTGAGTATCACTGGCTTGATTGTATTCTTGGCCGGAATGCAGTGGGGTGGCTATATGGTATGTTTAAAAAGCCCATTTCATGACTGCTGCTAATGTCTTGCAGTATCCCTGGACCTCTGCTCATGTCCTCGCCCCCCTGATCATCGGCTTCCTCCTGCTAGTCGCCTTTGCATTCTGGGAGATTTATGGAGCCAGATACCCTATCTTCCCGACTCGGTTAAAGCAGGAACCTCGGACTCTTGGTCTCACTCTGGTCATCACGTTCATTTCTGGCGCCAACTTCTTCTCCGTCCTCATGTTCTGGCCTACTGAGTCCTTCAATGTTTACGGCCATGACCCTGTCGATGTCGGTATCCGCAGTATTCCCATTGGATTCGGTATCCTTGGGGGAGCTTGCATTGTGCTTGTCCTTCTGAGTGTGTTCCGTGGACATAACAAAGAGCTCTTAATCGTTAGCAGTGTCCTGATGACAGCTGGTGAGAACTACCAAACTTCGCTATATTGGAATCCAGAAACTAATCACCATTGGCTATCAGGTTGTGGTGCGCTATCGATCGGGCGCGTTGATAATCTCTATCAGCTCTGGGGACTTCTCGTTCTGGCCGGCCTTGGAATAGGAGGCATCGTCGTTCCAGCTTCGATCATCACTACAATCATTTGCCCGGACGTAAGCTTTCGATTCTTCCCGATACCACGAGCAATACTCACACACATTGCTAGGATCTGATCGCCACAATTTCCGCCTTGACCCTTTCCATCCGAGTCGTCGGTGGTGGCATTGGCTACACAATCTACTACAACATCTTCATTTCCAAATTCGTCCCCTTGACTAAGCACTACATTGGTGGGGTGATGATGACTCAGTTGAACATCACCGATGTTGCAGTGATCACTGAGGTCATCGAGCTCACAGGCGCATCGCTCTTGGATGAAATCAAACACGTCCCTGGAATCGCCGGTAATGAGCAGGCATATGAAGCTGTTGTTGCCGCGGGGCAAATTGCATACTCGGAGGCGTACAAGTGGGTGTACTATGCCAGTATTGCATTTGGTGTCGTCTCCATACTGGCTTCGTGCTTCCTGGGCAACATCACCAAGTACATGACCAACCACGTTGCCGTTGTCATGTAAGAAAATGGGCCTTCGTCTTAATTGTGTATCTATCAACTGTGTTCAATGGTGGTGAGAGCTGGCTTCTATGACTCGCCAGATATGAGAATGATTGAATTCAATGACTTCGGATTTTGCAATACTGCTGTTCATATAATACAAAATACAAATGGACTCTCTGACATTGTCCTGGTCAACTTAATTCTGGTCCGGGGAAGAAACTAACTTTTGCTTCAGCCAGGGGACTTCCTCCAGGGAGTATCGATACGCCCGGAACAAAGCATTGGACTCTCCAGGGAAGATATTCGCTGTTACATCATCGGGGTATGGCGCGAAATGAGGGTTGATGAACTCCCAACAAATATAGCCATCCGAGGTGACTTCAAATACACGACCAAAGGCACTCTCACACAAAAGTGTGTTCCCATTGGCAAGCCTCTGAGCACTTCCCATGAAAGGGGTAAAAAAATAGAGCATTTGCGACCTGTCCCGATATTCCCAGACAATATTCTTCGTTGTTCGGTCGACTTCAATTGCGCGAGTATATGTGATAGATTCACCGTTCCGAAAAGTGCCGTTGTCGAAGATGAGGATATTCCCGTTCTCCATTTCTGTTGCGTTATGTTGTTGCGCTAGAACATCGGATCCAACTTTCCAGACAATGTTCCCAGTGAATCTTTCAAGTATAACGACGGCTGACACAGAACGCATGGAGATGAGGATATGTTTCCCATCCCGCAAGGGGAGTACGGAGTTGATGAGGGGATAGTGCTCCCGTGTGTAATGCGGCTGCAGTGAATATTCATCTCGCGGAAGTCTTTCGGACGCTTTCCACTGCCAAAGAAGGTTGCCGTCTCCATCGACTTCGCGAATTGTATCGGTGTAGGTGATTCCGTCGATCTCGGTGCCCGGCACTCCACCGATTACTTTTGCCGAATCTTCTGCGGAAAGAGCTTCCAGGGAAGTGTATATGATTCGACCATCGCCATAGTGATATTGGTCATGATGGCCAAGATGATCGGTGAATTGGCGAACAACATTTCCGTCGGGATCGAGCTCCGACATCACACCTCCGCCGTACTTGTTGAAGAACGGGAATGGATATGGACCTCCGTCCGCAGTCGTTTGTTCCGGAGCTGGACGAAGTGTGTTCACTGCGAGATTGCCATTTGGTAGGATTCTTGCGTGACGACCGATTCTACCTGGCAGTTTCCACGAATGAACTTCTTTGCCATCAATATCGACAAGATGAGCCCGGTCACTTGTGAGAGGACAGAAGAGAGTGAAACCTCCGAATGAATGCTGCTTGTCCACTCCGGTCAAGCCGACGCCCCGTCTTTTGAGGGTATTTTGCTCCATTATGGCGGGATGGATGAGATGGGTTGTGAGAAAATATGCGAGCTTCTGAGCCAATAACTCAAACTATGGCGACGATAAGCAAAACTTATACTTTGAAATACTTGATGCACTTTGAATGGCAGCCAGCGGCATCCCGTAGGCACATTCGGTATGTCCTCGGTTTGCCGGCGGCATGCCGTCGGCTTAACAACGGAGGCCCCCTTTATCAACTGAGGGCCCACCTGTAAGAGAGCATTGAGATAGGCGAGTCCTGATAAGCACGCCATTATGGCTTTCATGATATCTTCAAACTTCGAGGAGACCAATCTGTCGTGCTCGTCAGTTACGTGGACTTGTCGCTCTGTGATAATGTATAAGACTAGCAGCATCGCTCGTGTGAAATAGCCCCGGACTGAGATAATAATAAAGCAATAATACCACACCAAGACTCTCACCTTCATGGATTTCTGATACAGACATGGATGCACAGTCTGAGAAGCATTCTCCAAGCTCCGCTCTCGATGAGCGCAAAGATGAGACTGTTTCGGGTGGAACAAACGATTTTCCTGGATACAATGCGAAAATTGAATTTCAATCAAGAGAAGCTCGTAATGTCTTATTGAAAGTTGACTTTCTTATACTTCCGCCAATTGTGCTTTGCTTTTGCTTTCTCCAATTCGACCGCACAAACATCGGAAATGCCCTCACTGATACCCTGAGAAAGGATATCAATGTGGGAAATACAGAGGTCAACTTGGCACAGACGCTTTTTACCGTCGGCTTTATCGTTACTGAGCTGCCCTTTAACATGATCAGCAAGTATATAGGACCCGAAAGATTCCTTCCTATCACGATGTTCCTTTGGGGCATTGTGACATGGTCTCAAGTCTTCATGAAGAGCGCGACCGGTCTTTACGCAACCAGGTTCTTTATCGGTGCTCTTGAAGGTGGATATATACCGGGATTTGCCCTGTATATTTCCAAATTCTACACAAATCAAGAGCTTGCTTTTCGATATGCGATTTTTTGGGCTGCGAACAGCTTTGCAGGAGCTCTGGGTGGCCCTTTGTCTATTGGCTTACTCTCACTCGGTGGACGTGGTGGGCTATATGGATGGCAGTGGCTTTTTCTTATTGGTTTGTGGCGCCCTCTCCTTCAGCTATCACACACTGCATCATATTGACCGGTCATTATCAGAGGGTGCCCTGACATGTTTCCTGGGGATTGCTGCTTATCTTTACTTCCCACACAATGCGGTCAAGCCGAAATCCTTCATGGGAAAGAATCTCTCAATGTTTACCCAGCGTGAAGCTTCTATTCTTGTCACTCGAGTCCTCTGTAATGATCCGACGAAAGCACTCCGCTACGGAAAACCAGTTCTTCCATCCCACGTCCTGGATACATTCAGAGATTGGAGATTATACGGCCACCTTGTTGCTGCGCTACTTTCAATGGTTATGATATCGCCGATGAACACTTATGCACCATCAATCATCAAGATTCTTGGGTTTAGCTCCTTGCAGGCAAACGGTCTCAACTCTGTCGGGAGTATATGTGCTTTGATCTGGTCTGTTTCTCTCGCGTTCAGCAGCGACAAATTTCAGGAACGCGGATTTCATATTGCTGTTGGATACTTATGGGGAGCCGTGGGCCTGTTGTGGCTTGCATTAGCGCCTGAGAATGTCGGGAAGTGGATTCTCTATGGTACGTCGACATCGGATGAAAGCCGAATATGAGCATAAGGCTAATCGGACCTACCCACAGGTGGTGTTGTTTGGACGCAGATGGGCATGGGTAGTGCGCAGGCCATCAGCGCCGCCTGGCTGACTGCAAAGATGGAAGACCACAAGCGCCCGGTCGCCTTGGCCGCGTATGTGATGTGTATTCAGCTTGCAAATTTCCCTGGGAATCAGCTATTCCGTACACGAGGTATGTTAAATCTGATTAGAGATGAAAGAGGAAGCTTGGGTTTGAATAACACATGATAATCAGATGCTCCTCGATACAAATACGGCTTGATAGTTGCCGCAGCCTGCGCAATTTCTGCTACAGTGGTTATTTTGGTTTGGAAACTGCTATATCGTTTGTTTGATGGCGGAGATGCTGGAGTAGAGGCCAAAAGAACGAATTCTGAATACTGCAATGTGGGGCACAGATGCAGAAGGGCATCCCGCGGAACCTTACTGAACTAGTCAGTCTTTGCGTCAATAAATTAGGACCCAGTTACCCGATGTTGACGTGCAATGTCCAATTAAATGAGCATTTTATGCAGTGTTAAATGTATAAGTAATCTGTGTGATATATTGACTGTTTCATTGACAATTGTTGTAGAGGCAATGCTTTTGCTGTCGCAAGTGAGAGCAGAACCAATATAGAGACTGATGCTTCCACATCCGCTTTGTCTCAGACCACACTCCTCACAGTGTCATATCTTCACTCAGATGATTCAGGGCTAGAGCCTTGATTAAACATGGTGACAATCTTGATGCTAAATACTACCTCCATTACCTAGGTATGATTACCTAGGTATGGCCTTGATAACCTGACACCTTTATTCTATTTACTGCCGCCAGGTTTATTGTTCAGTCACCTATCTCGTCAACTACCTAGTCATCTACGCAGTTACCTACGTGATCTGCTGCCTGGATAGCTACCCTGGAGAGTAATGTATTATCATAGTGCCAAATACATGGACTCTTGGGCTTCAAGCAAGAATACTTTCAACACTAGACCTGAAGCGGAATATTCGAGTGGGTTCACATTGCATCAATTCCCTAAAATACATCGTTTGGTTTCAATTGTTTTCCGTCTCAATATCGATTATCCAGTCATTATGTGTACATCGCCTATTACTATTTCTAATCTGAAGCATTAGCTAAGGTTGATGCCCTGTTCTGAACTTGCATACTTGTATACTACATACTGGTGCAGTGTAGCCTACCTTTCTGAAAACCACGTGACCTCCATATTGCGCCATCTCATCGGGATCGATCGCCAACCACGGCGATGTCCATTCCAAATGTTTGCTTGAAATCGGTCGAAGGCGGTCCGCTTCCCCGCGCTATACCAGAATCTATGAAGGCCTGAAGAACGGGCGCGTATCATGCCACCTCTGCGCTCGGGAAGAGCTTCGAAAGCATGTGACCTGTGCCGTAAGAACAAGACGCGTTGTTATGCCAAGGATGGAGCCGGAAACACCTGTTTACGCTGTCACACGCTGTCTTTGCCATGTTCATTGAGGGATTTCCCCAACAATGGATTATCTGGTTCCCCGTATGAGCGACTGCACCGACGGGGAGTCAGTCCTCAGCGTCGAAGCCCTGAACAACCCTCATCTACAGATGCGAGGTATGCCCCGGTCTTGATATCTCATTTTGGATAGATGAAATAACAGGCCAAGTATAGACTTGAAAGACTCGAGAGGACTGTCGGTGTCCTGGTGGAACGCTTGGATTCACAACTAAAAGATGCCCGGTCCGCCTCGGAAACTGCTGTTCAACCCCCATCCGGAGATCCCAGAGCACTATCTGAGCCAAATCCTGCACCGGTCATCCTCATCCGTGATGCTGCCAATGATGCTGGTGTCGCCTACTCAGGTCAAAATGAGTCACACGCTAGCATGGTATTTGATGTGATAACACTTGGCCTAGTCACCATGCCTACGGCTCATTCATTATTGAAATTGTTAGCTCGATGTCCCCAGCGGAATACAATATGCTAACATTTCCAGGTTTCATCTCCACTATGGACGATGGGTGAGATTCTCAGAAGATGCCTCGATGGATGTTCTTTTGGCTCAAGTGAGGAAATCGCCACTGTTGCTGTGCAGTGTCTTGCTGATTGCAGTACGACATACCACGCAAGAGCTTGCCGCTGAATTAGCACCGCGCTTATTTCGCGAAGCAAAGCGCCTCATATCAATCTCTCTGTTGGAAATTCCGCAAACCATTGAACATTTCCAGGCTACACTCATTCTGAGCCTATGGTCTACTACAATCGGTCAGGTGCCATTGAGCATCGATAGCTGGCTCTTGACAGGCTACGCTCTCCAACAGGGGTCTGCCAGCTCGTGCTTCCCAGAAATTCCGATCGACTTTTCCACCAGAGGTCTTCACAAATCCCAAATTGATGCATGGTGCCTCTGGAACCATCTATGCGTGGCCCATTTACAGTACGTTATGTACCATACATTCAGCCGCAGAGATACTAATCGTGTATCGCAGATATTGTGTCGGTACCCGCAGGGAAACTGTTTTGACTCAATCACATATTGATCGTTGTCGCATTTTCCTTGAGTCTGGTAATCTAGAAAATTATGAGGCGAGAATGGTAGCCGAGGTAAAGCTATACTGGGTGATATATGAAAAGTGCTGCGGGCGCCGCATTGATTTGGCGGAAGCCAAGCTCGCTCTTCAGAGTTGGAAGGACCAGTGGGCTAGCTTATTTGGTTCGTTACTTCCGGGGGTCCTGGATGACCGAGTTTGTCAAATTTACTAAGGCCCGTCTAGACGAACCTCGCTCCCAATTTCTCCAAATGGGGTTTCATTTTGCGCATTTTTTGGCTTACTACCAATCCGTGCGATCACCTGAACGCCTCATGGATGGATCTGCTATTATGGAAATGATCGATCTCTCAAGAACCATCATCAACCTAGCTATCGACACGACAGATGATCGCACCCGGCATCTTACTGATCATATCTATCACGTTGTGACATTTTCTGCTCTCACTCTCTGCCGCCTTACATCTACATACGATGCGCAACTACGCGTCGCCGGTATTGATGTCAATGGACTAGACAGACTTGTCATTAAGCTCATTGCTTGGCTTCGGTCTATTGGCTTGCCGTGTCATGCTGCTCACCTACTCAGTGAAACTGTTGCGACCCAATTCAAAATCTTACGCCCAGGATCTGAGGCAATGCTTGCCAACCTTGCATGCTACTCCGAGAGAGACTATAATGTGCTGCCGGCCATCGAAGCATCGCCTCTGACCTCTAATATTGGCGTGTTCTATCCGGATTTGATTGGGTCAGAGCTGTTCTATATGGATGATGGGACGGCATCGTGGCCGCAGTGGAGCTAACCCAAGATTGAAACAACCAATTGAAATAAAACAATAGAACGAAACATGTAATTAATCCAGTCCATGGCCAATCTGCCCTCAGTTTGGTGTTTACCAGTAGATCGACCGTGGCCCGCGAACAATGAAAGTGTGGGGCCGTCGAAACATGACGCGCCAAGCACCCGCAACTTTTTTCGATCTCCGCTGCTTCAGCTGCAACGTCCAAGGTGCCCTCCATGCCCTCCAACCCCGCCAAGCGGAAGCCCTTTCCGTCGGGCCCGCATGGCTCGACGGGAGCAGCTCGAAAGCGCGCCAAAACCTTTGACGCGCGCACCCTGGCCGTGCAGTCGACTGACGCTGCCCTCTCCGCAACAGGCGAGCTCGATGTCGCCGCGTACGCTGCTGCTCGAGCATTCGAAATCCAAGCCCTGGAGGAGGGAATGCAACGATCAAAAAATTCCCTTACTAGCCGAGCTTTTCAAAAAGTGCCTCGCGCATTGCGACGTCGAACTGCGAGCCATAATGTCAAACGGGTCCCGCGAAGGCTGAGGGCGCGGGCAAAGCGAGAGGTAACCAATACTTCAAAGCCCCCGATGGTTGAGACTTGAATACTGACATTCTCATGATTGAAACAGATGGTCGAGGACAACACACCTACCGTGACTGCTCGAAGACGCAGGCCCACCCAGCTGATGCGCATCCGTCTCGAATCTGCCCGCCGCTTGCAAAACCTCAATGCCCGGACGAAAAACAAACGCCTCGCCGCGAAAATTGCCCGAGACAAGGTGACGAAGGAAGAACTGAAGGAGGAAGGAAGCCACAGCTTCGATATCGCCCCTCGAATCCCCAAAATCAAAAAGAATAAACTCTCGAGGCCGCCGCCCGCCGATGCAAAATACCGCAAGCGCCAAAAATGCAAGACGTGGCTCCCAACACATTTATTCCATGCGAAGCGAGCACACATGGCAACAACCAAGAACCCACTCTGGAGATTTGCCGTTCCTCTGTCCCCTACCGAAAAAAGCTATCGACCTACTCATAGGGCCCGCGGCGCCCGCGGTGCTATGGCGTGGGATATGAGCTATATGTCAACTATACAGCTCGAAGGTACCGAGTCGTGCATCGAAGCTGTGTTACGTGCGGTCGGTGTCAATGGAGAAGAGACATGGGGCAAGCAGGGCAAAAAGTGGAAAGCTGGCACTAGGTCTTTGCATGCGTGGACGTTCGAGAAGAACCACCCTACCAGGCCGACTGCTCCTGTCACCTTGATCTGGTGTGTTGCACCGCAGTCGGAAGATGTTGAAATGGTCGACGCAGACAAACCCTCGTCTACTTCCAAAAAGTCACGACGGAAGCTCTGGGTCCGTGTCCATCCCTCTGCCTTTATGCAATTATGGAGCGATTTGCTCGAGGCATCAAAACGTCAGAATCCTCCAGTCATGATCGAGGATTTGAGGTTTGAAATTGGAAGTATCGAAATCACCGGCCCAGGTTCAACAGAAGCTTTGCTAGCGGCGCTACGGCCTCTGCAGAGCCCTGAAAAAGCAGAGAGCCCAGAGAAGACCTGGTCCTCGCTACTAGGTGTATCAAACCCGTCATCTTTGCCGCAGAATGCGCTGTTGTCTTTCGCTGTCTCGGATCCCCGCCTGGAATTTCCACCTCGCACGCTAAAATTTCCTGAAAACGAGTCTCATATGAATGACCTTGCCATTTTGCTCGCTAAATGGACTCCAGATCAGACACTGGGTTCATCTGAGCTTTTCGATCGGCCTTGTCGGCTCGCAGCTGCACGCCAACTGCCCAGCCAGAAAGCCATCAACCGTCGTCGTACACTTTCGGGGCCTGGGAAATTCCCTGACCCTAAGCCTACGGACCCACGGATTCCTGTCATGATTCTTGCCAACCGTTCACGAAGCCATCAGAATCGGAACTCCGCTCCTGGATCGTGGACAGTCCTCCTACCATGGAAATGTGTGGTCCCAGTGTGGTATTCTCTCATGTATTACCCGCTCGCGAGCGGTGGCAACCCTCGATTTGGGGGTGTAAAGCAACAGCAACAGCTTGCCTTTGAAGCGGGTGAGGCTTGGTTCCCTGGCGACTTTCCCGGTACGCGGGCTGGATGGGAATGGAATCAGCGCGAGGCTGAAAATTCCCGACGCGAATGGGAAAGACGACCCAAGGGTCGTCGCATTGAATTTGACAGCATTGTCTTGGGCGTGGATCATCCCAAGGGGGAAGTTGGGCATGGTTGGGCCTGTGACTGGGAGAGACTGGCTCAAAGGCCGCCTAATGATATGCCCGTCGACAAAAATCATTCTCAAGAAACAGCCAATGCGGCCGAATCCGATGCCAAAGATACAGCTGATATCAATATTCCACCTTCCGACCTTCACAATCTACGACTTCCAACACGCGATACAAACAAAACTCTCTCCAGCCTCACCAAAACACACACAGGACCCAATGCGCTCTCCACAGTTTACGTGACACTAACCCACCGCGGCACACCTACTCCTTGTGCACGCATCTACCGCCTACCCACAAACCCCTTTTTGCGCCAGAAATGGCTGGAACTGGCTTCGGCCACCAAACAGAAGTCAAATGAGCAGAAATTCAGACCCCGAACATCTTCGGCTGTCTCAGACGAGGAAGCCCGTCGTCAACTGGCCGAGTCACTCATCTCTGCCGCTCCTGAAGACTCCCAATCGGACTTCCTGGACGTCCCCACGGAAGAAGATCTCATTGGCTTCATCACCACTGGAAATTACAATCTTTCCGAGGGCAAGGGTACTGGCATTGGATCAGTCCTGCTGTCGAAGGTAATTGCACCTGATGTCACGCCTTCTGAAAAGAGAATGTGTATTGTCCGAGCTGCCGGAGAGAAAATTGGCAGGCTTGGAACTTGGGAGTTGATCTGAGGTGGTTTTTGATACCCTGAGACTAGTGCTATGATTCCAATGACGAAATAAACATCATCTTTTCGTATCTTCATTGTTTACAATATCCTACCTAGTACAGACATCTACGGGTGATCTAGAGAAATCTCCTCATCCAAGGATCATTTTAATCTCATGCAGAATGATGGCAAACTTAAAAAGACAATCTATACATACAGTACAGCAGCCACAATGAATCCTGCCGGCAAGGCAAGAAACAGATCTCGCGGCCCAGACAAAGCAGCGATTTTGGTATTTCAAGTGACCGCTATTTAACCCACAATGCGGTCCACAAAGGCAGCCTCCATGCGCGCAACCTCCTTCTTAAATGCATCAACCTCCTGCCAGCAATCCAATGGCCGACGGTCGTTCAACCGCAAGCAACCAATGACGTTTGACTGAGCCTTGGCAACACCCTCGTCCAGGTCCGCAAGCTTCCTCCGTCCATCGAGACGGGCACGGAGAGCCTCAATCTCAGTATTCACGGTCTCACGGGATATCTCGCGGTTCAGGGTCGGCTCGGCACTTTCGGCGGGGGGAGCGGCCACGGGTGTAGAGTCGTACTCGCGGCCGGCGAACGGGATGCGCGGCGCATCGAGGTTCAAAGAGCCAACGGGTCCGGTGCTGGCGGGGGCGACGGGCGCAGTGGCGGCTGTCACAGGGATGGAGCCAGCATCCTTTGCAGAGGCGAGGCGCTTCTCGATCTCGGCCATGGTCTGCTGCTCGCGCTCGCGGAGGCGCTGGAGTTCTTGGGCGACACGGTTCTGAATTTCCAGTTCAATCGCCTTGGCGCGGGAGGAGTCCGTCTGTTCCTGCTTGTCAATTCCGATCTTGTGTTTGGTCGTGCTTGCGGAGCCGGGATAGAAACGAACCTCGGAGGTGGACTGGAGAGCGTCGACTAGGTTCGAGGAGAACTGAATTGAAGAGTTGCTGTGAAATCACTATTAGCAAATGGCTCGGCTTGCAATGAGCACAATCGCCCAATGTTGCCATTGCTGGAATAGCCAACAATTGCGCCCACCGATCAAGTGCTTGATCCGGTTCCCACGCTCAAGTGTAATTTCGCGGCGGGCTTCCACAATATTGGGACAATTTACCTGGAGAAGACATGCTTGGAGCCGCCCGCAGCGTCGGGCTTGGAACTGCCAGCACCCATGATTGTGAATGGCCGGTGTGAATGCCTCGAGTCGATCGAGAGAAGGGCGGGTGTGAGAGGACCCAGTTCACCCGAAGCTCCGATACTTCGGTCACGTGAGATTAGTCATGCGCTCTTTATCGCATTCGTCTCCACGCTGAGCGCATCCGATCACTTTTGTCATCCCATCCTAAATTTCGCCTCTGAAGTATGAGTCGGTCTGTGATTTCTGCTGTCGATCGAAATATTGAATATGCAGCTTAACTCTCTGGGAGTTGATATCTACGTCACAGCTCCACAATGTCATCTACAACATTACCACCGAGGTGCTATATCAGTCTAGCCTGCTCAATACATGTGGGGTTTACTAATATTCCCTGTTTGGAAGATCATTAATCGCATGTTCACGATGCCGCAGACTTAAGTGAGAAAAGACATTTTTCAGAGACATGATAAACCGTATTAATATTACGAAGGGTCAAATGCACCGGTCCCGACGGTGGACCCTGTGCCAGGTACTTCTCACACCACTCGATAATCCATTTTGGATACGGAGACGCGAAAATGCTGAGATCTTGCAGGTGTGCAAGCAGCCAGTTTCACTGCACATTTCCACTGTCCCGGCCGCCTCCTCGGTTAACTGAGCAAACATCGGCGGGAGTTCCGCATAGGTATTGACCCGTGATGTTCTCGCAGTTCCAGTACTAATTTGCACTAGTCCGAGTCCGAATGACAAAATAACCCATCTTGAACAACGCATAGATGATCTTGAGTCTGTGCTGGGAGCCTCTTTCCGTTCAACACAGCTGGCTATTCAAAAGATTTCATCGCACATTGGTCTACCGGATGCCGATCAGCCAGTCGCAACCGGCAGAACTTCACCTTTACTCAATAAAATCTCAGTCAGTGAGACTGAAATTCCAAGAACCGATCCAGATGATACTCTACAAACTCATCAAGACTTCCCAGATCTGGTTTCAAAGGGTACTCTTACAGAAGCTCAGTGTAGAGAGCTGTTGGACTTGTGTGTTTTAGCCCTCGATCATGAAATACGATAGCTGACACATAATCTCTAGCTTCAAAGATAATTGCAGCGAGGCAATTGCTTTCTTCGACAATACGATACCCCCATTCGAGATTGCTCGCCAATCTCCTGTTCTTCTTGCAGCAATCTGCGCGATTGGAGCCCGAGCTTTTGCATCTGCTTTATATGATCGATGCTTGAAGGAATTCTACGTGCTTGTTCAAGACACTCTGTTGGGGCCCATCCCCACTCTTGGGACACTTAAGGGTATACTGTTGATGTCAGCTTGGCATAAGAACAGTCGACTCTGGGGTCTCGCTCTATCAATTTCGTATCAGATGCGCCTCCCGGAAATAGCACTCGGGCTTCAGAACGAAGATTCCAACTGGGATGAGGTTTCTGTCGATCAGGCAAGGACGTGGCTGACATTCTGCTGTATGGATTTGGGGTCTGGTTCCCCTTCTCTAAGATGTTTCTTCACTGCGATGAAAAGCTAACCTTCGGACGATAGGCGCCATATCAACCAAAATTACTTCATCAGTGAAGTGACTCGCTACACTGAACTTGGAAAGCATCTCCTTTACACGCCCTTTTGCAGAAATGTGGACTTTCGGATTGATGCTTACCTTGAAGTTCTCTCAATCGCCAGTATGTCACATTATGTGGTGTAGTATCCCCTTTCTTCGTGCAAGTCTAACATTCATTTTGTTCAAGACAATGCGAGAAAAACCTTCCAATTCTCAAACAATTTCAAATCAGAACCGATCTCAGTGGAAAATCTTGAGTTACTGCAAGAATCGAATCACAAATTGGATTCGTGGTATCATCGCCACAGCACGGCTGTCGATCCAGTTTACCAATCATATTCAAAGCCTCAAGATCGAGATAGGATGAAGATACCGTATAATCTGATTCGGATGTAAGTGGTATGACTCAAATTAAATTCTTCATCTGATTCGCTAATTACGAAAGGTATACGAATGGATACGTTCTTCATGGTCTCAAACCCGGCGTCTCTGCTATACACCCACTCCGCGTTCATTTCGTTGGGATTGCAGTTGATGCAGGAATCAAATTACTTGACTGTGCGCTCCAGTCCATGAATTACCAATCAACGCTGAAATACTCAATTGTATATTGATACCCACATCCCCGGTTCCCAGCGTGCATCATCTGACTTCGATAGGATTACTCGGACTCGTCACTTGGCTCAGCAATCAACTACTTGCTCCATGCTTGCAATGTTGCCTTTCACTACGTGAATACTAACGAGATCATTCAAGTTCTAGAGCGAGCCCAGAAAATGTTCCAAAATGCCAATTTGAACTCGAAGGCACAGGAGTTGAGCAATGCCCTGGGCCAGCTTGTGCAGGCCAATGCGGTATCATCGGAGATGAATACTAGTAGCCACCAAGATCAAGCAATGAACGACCACCAGATGTCGGACAATCCAGATTGGCTCTCGAATTTTGTATGTTCATTGACGCGTTCTTCGAGTTCTCATTTGCTAACTACGTCGATCTCAAAATTAGAGGCTTCCACTTTCAGATTTTTCCCTCGATGAAGTCTCTCTAGAAAACATCTTTCTCTACTCCGGTGAATGAATGATCGAGCACCTGTGCGGCTATAATTTATTTACTAAATACTCTGCAACGGACACACATCGTATATGCTCTGTTATACGAAGCCGAAATCATACTGAAAACCCGTCGCTATTACGGTGACCCTAGGTAGCATGAAGGTGGTATAAGAAGACCAAGATTTCAGATTCCCCAACTGACTTTAATTGTACCTGCTTTACAGAGCATATCGGAATATCTTATCCTCCATCTGTGCAGATTTGTTAGCATCTGGCTTCCTAATAAACGAGAAAGTCTAAGGCGACGGTTACATACGTCAGTTAGATCCAAATTGGTATCTGTTGCACCACTTCCGACATCCCCCGCAGATTGAACGCGGTCCCTCTGCATTGCTTAGTCCCTGGCTTTAGGCTTTCTGGAGAGGTATTGCTTACCTTTGCGTTTTCCCGAGCATAAAGGAAAAAGAGAGCACACAGAAGCGCAATATCAGCAACAAGACACACGATGATGGCGATGAATCCCGAAGCGTATTTCGGTGCTTCTCCTTCGAAGAATAGCTGTGGGCCGATCAAGTTCCCCACGCAATACCTAGAATATGTCAGCCAATTCTCTAAACATCATCAAGAGCGTAGTTAAAAGGCGTACGAAATGAACAATATGCTGGTCACAACAGTCTTCTTGGTCCGACCGGCCACATTAGCCTGGATGAGGCCGAGAGAAAGGGTATACGCGGCGCTGAATCCGACGGCAATATAGTAGCCCCTGCAAAAAGTTAGATTCAGTTCAATTAATAGCCAACGCTCATCCGAGAGACTCATACAATAGTCGACCAATCTTCTCATTGTTCGGAAGAGCGTACATCAAGCTCATTCCAATGATGGAGATCGCTAAGCCCCCACACATCAATCCGATCCGGCTATGTCTGATCACGCTGGCAAGTAGGCCGCTGATAAGAAGTGCCATTATTTGCGTTCCGCCCATCGGCATCCCAAGGAGGGTAGTTCCCAGTTCGGAAAAGCCGAATCCCTTGATGATCAAAGGGCCGAATGTCGTTATTGCACCCTGGAAGAGTTAGCTTGGGACACTCGACTATTATGATGGCGCAGAGTGTTTACATTCGGAATACAATTTGCAATCACAAAAAGCGCCAGAACCCATACTTTGATGTCTGTAAGGGCCTCGCACATTTGGTAAAGCTTGAACTTCTTATTGTCCATGCCTGTTCGATTTTCCAAGACCCTTTTCAAAGCAATTGTCTTTTCTCGGGGTGTCAACCATCTCGCGCTTTCTGGGTTTGGTGCTGCGAGGAGAAAGAATGGGATCGACCAGACTATTGTCAATGCGCCAAATATGAGAAACGGTAACTGGATTCAGTTAGCACTGGGCACTGCAGGTGAGTTGACAAAAATGAATACCTTATACGAAGCGACATCGGCATGGATATGGCCGATTGCGTACCATTGGGGGTTAGTATATCGTAGCTTTTTAGTTCAAGATTATGGTATTAACAAACTCACAGCGACGAGGCCACCGACGACCTGGGCAACACCATTCATGCAAAACCATGCACTGGTGCGAAGAGGTTGCTCCTTCCTAAAGTCGCGGGAGTTAGAGTGTTTCAGGTATTCTGAGGCCAGAAGATCCACCTTTTGTAGAACATTGAAGTTAATTGAACGAAGCATGGCGTAACACCGCTTTCAAAAACACCCAGGAGGAATCGAACCGCCAGAAGACTTCGAAAATTGTCTGCAGCTGCCATGCAAATCAGCGCAGAGCCCCAGAGAAATCTGGCCATAGTGACGTTAGACCAATGAATCTGTTTCTGGTAGCTCCTGAAAACTCACATCAAAATTCCGCAGGTCTTGGTAATGTGAAACTTTTGGAAAAGAAAGTTCATCGGGAATTCTCCGACGAGATAACCCAGGTAGAAGATCGTGGTCAGCCCTGCAATCAGAACACGGATTAGCTTTTTCACACCCAAGTTTGGGATTGGTTTTATAACGAACAGGAATATTGGTTGCCCTTGAGATTTGCCTCTTCCTGTAGCCCCCACAAGGCAGAATATGCGATGCACGTCTTGTCCAAGTATTGGATGAGATAGGTTCCCATGAGCTTGTTCCGTCAAAATAGAATCCCAATATTTGATTGTGAATGGTTTCTCACCAAGGGAAGAAGGTGACAGTCGACCTTTCTTAGAACGACTTTATCCTCTGCTTCTGTATAGCTCAGATCTTCGATCTCTTGAAGGCTACACGGTCCCACATCCTGAGCGATAGTGGACGAATTGCTTAGCCCAAGGGCAGCGTCTGTCGCTTTTTCCATGGTTGCAGTGGTCTGAATATTCTCCGAGGAAGGATTCGGTGCGGCGGAAAGGTGGGCGACTTCTTTTTCGACGTCGTACTAGTTATAGGCCTCGAAGAGCCAGCCATCTGGGATGTTCTTTGAGATAAGAAAGTGGACCTCGGGCATTTTGCGGGGTACATAACACTCTCCCAAGACGCATGGTATCGCGCACTTGGCACAAACAACCCTTTAGCAATTGGTGGATGATGCTGGTGTACAGCATACTTCCGTCCTTGGCGGTCCGGGACCTGGGGTGGGGGAAAAGGCGTGGGCGATAAGCATCGGCCGGCCCGACCGATCAGCCCCGGCCGACCTATAGACGCGGGCAAGCGATGCAACATGAACGAAGACCTCGGGATAAGAGCGCGCCCAAGAGGGGGTATTAAAGCGACTCAGCTTGGCACTGATATTCGCGTGTTCTACTATTTTGACTAGTGTTTATTTGGTCAGCCGTCTCACTTCATCCAATCATGTCGTCCCAGCCGTTGAGCAGCCCAGGACGCGGCTCATCCGCTCGTCCTGAACTATCAACTGAGATCCTCGCATTTGTCTCGCATGCTATTGACTTTGCATCTGTGGAGTTGCGAAAGCTGAACCTGGAAGTAAGTCTGCCCCTCCCTTTGCCTACGCTACATACTAAATGTGACTAGATTTGGAATAATCCGGAAACTAAATTCCAAGAGGAAAAGGCCTGCGCCCTTATCACCAAATGGCTCGAGTCGCAAGGTTGGACTGTCAGTACCGGGGTCTACGGAATCAGCACAGCATTTGAAGCACGCTTTTCGGTAGCAGAAGGTGAGCGAACAGTTTGCTACAATGCTGAATACGGTATGCGATACAGCCATCGAAATAGGATGTCCCCAGCGAAGATGCCTAACTGATATTTGGTATTTGACTAGATGCCCTTCCAGAGATCGGACATGCCTGTGGGCACAACCTCATCGCCACCTCGACACTCGCATCAGCAGTCGGCGTCTCAGCCGCCATGACGAAATTCAACCTTCGCGGAACACTAGTTGTGATCGGAACACCGGCCGAAGAAACAGGCGGGGGAAAGTACATCATGGCCAACAATGGGGCATGGAAGGACTGTGACATCGTTATCATGACCCACCCGATGCCCGACTTCTCCAGCGCCCAAATGACAACCAAGGCGTCTTGGAAATTCCGAGCCAAGTTCCACGGAAGAGGTTCGCATGCAGGCGCAGCACCCTGGGACGGAGCAAATGCATGCGATGCCATTGTTATGGCGTACAATGGCCTGGCGCTTCTTCGCCAGCACATTAAGAAGACAGAGAGTATTCAGTCAATCATCTTGGAGGCTGGAAAAGCACCCAATATCATTCCTGATTATTCGGAGGGTAGCTTTTCGCTTCGTGCTGAGGACTCGTCGTCTGTCGAGAAGCTGAGGGAGCGGGTTATTCCTATTTTCCATTCAGCAGCTGCGGCGACTGGTTGCACCATGGAGCTTTTTTGGTGAGTTAGCGTACTTCAAAAGGGCGCCTTGGGTATAGAGGTAAAAAAGCTTGAAGCTAATCGAGGGTTAGGGATGCGCTGTACGAGGACGTCGTTAACAATATAGCCCTGGCCAACCGATACACCGAGTACATGCTGTCAGGGCTCGAGGAGGATCCGAAAGATTTCCTGGACCCATCTGCCCAGCCCAAGTCGGCGATAGGCGGAAGCTCGTATGTTGAATGCTCTCATTTAGGACTTTGAAACAGCCCGACTGACTGGGATTAGTGACTTTGGCAACTGTTCCTACATCAAGCCCGGCATCCAAACGCTGTTCAAGATCAACGCGACCAACATGCCCCACACCCCCGAGTTTCAACATGCCGCGGGCACCGACTATGCCCACACCGAGGCACTGCGGGCCGGCAAAGCCAATGCCATGGTTGGGATCGATGTGCTGTTGCACGAGGAGTTTTATCGGGCGGTGCAAATGGAATGGGAGGAGTCGATGAAGGCGCGGGGGCGCATCTAGGTCGAGAATGTACTCTGATCTTTTGGTAGATTGGTAGTTGAATAGTACACCCTCTTCGGCCTAGTGGCATTTCAGAGTATGGCAAATTGTTCTACGTTGAAGCCACCAGACTGCAATGTGCCACCACTGTCTCACGCGCTGTCTCATTTGCCAACTGCCAAGTGCCCTCCGAACACGCTAGAAATGCAGTGGCACCCGTTAGTCACGGATTGCACAGTTCGGGATCTTTTTCTCGGGACGCACACTCGGGCCGTCCATCGGGACCAGCCCGAGTGCATGCCGAGTCCGAGACACAACGAATATTTCATTGTTATTTAGGCTGGGAGTCGTTCAGCACTGAAATGCGCTTTCAGAGGCTGTTTCGGTCGGCTGCAATGACCTGTTTCCCATGTCTCGTACATGCTCGCAGTAGCGTGCTCGGTTGCTGGTGAACGAGTTCCCCGTGGTCTCCCCAGACCCCCGGCTGCATGCGACGCTGTGCAAATTGCCCATGCTCGTCGCCCGCGTCTTAACCGCTGTTGCTCACCGGTGAAGCCGGGGGGACTCGTGTGGGAGAGCCATTGACCACTCACAGCCACTCCCCACACTCGTCATCTCCGTAGTTTCGCGGAAATTAGTGCGTCATGGGGAAAAGCCGGAAACTGGGCATCTCATAAAAATACAAAGTTTTTGTTTTTATTTTTTTTTTAAAAAAAAAAAAATGTTAAAATAACGAACTAGTTAGCTAGTTAGTTAGAATAAAATGATGACTAAATAAGGTGGAAGGGTTTCAGTCGGACAAAGGGGCTGTGTGACCTCGCGGAATGAAGGGGTGAGGCTGCATCCGGCAGTGCGAGCAGCAGAGCAGCGCCAGCATCAACTTTTAAAGAAAGGGCCCTTCCGGAAGTCTAGAGAAGGGAAGAGACAGGACTCGTGACCCCAACCAGCCCACCGCAAACCCTCGCAGCGCCATTGACGAGGACTCCGGTGAACCCGGCGAATTCCACAGTGCCAATACCAAGCCAGCGTCAGCCGGGGGACTGACCTCATGGACCCCGCCGTCATCCCACTTGCGCTTCTTTTTCATCGGCCGTTTTCCAGCCTCTCTTAACTCCCCTCCCCGCTCTCTGTCTTTTCCGCTTTCTCTCTTCTGATTCTCCTCCCCCTCCCACTCCTTCCTCTCCGATTCTTCGTCGCCCAACATGTCGCTGCTGGACGAGGCTACGCGCATTGCGCGCGAGTTCGACTACCCCGCCGAACAGGTTCAGCGCGGCGTCGCCGAATACATTCGCCAGTCCAACGAGGGTCTGGCCAAGGAGAACACCACTCTGAGTCAGATCCCGACCTTCGTCACAGCCGTGCCCAATGGTACCGAAAAGGTCAGTCTGCCCCCGCGCATGCTGGGCATCCAGGCCAGAAGAATTCCCGGCTAACCGCATCTCCAGGGCCTCTACCTCGCCGTGGATCTCGGCGGCACCAACTTCCGTGTCTGCTCAGTTCAACTGCATGGTGATACCACCTTCTCCCTCACCCAGTCCAAGATCATGATCCCCCGGGAGCTCATGGCCTCTGGAACCTCTAAGGACCTCTTCCTCTTCCTCGCCCGCCAGATCGAGGCTTTCCTGCGTATCCACCACAACGAGCACTTCGAGGCTCACCTGCGTCGCCGCCGAGATGGCAACCGCGAGGAGGACCTGTTTGACCTGGGCTTCACCTTCAGTTTCCCCGTGCGCCAGATCGGTATCAACTCTGGAACCTTGATCCGTTGGACCAAGGGCTTCAACATCCCCGATGCCGTCGGTCACGATGTCTGTGCTCTGCTGCAGTCCGCCATTGACGACCTCGAGCTTCCCGTCCGCGTTGCGGCGCTCGTGAACGATACCGTCGGTACCCTCATGGCTCGCTCCTACACCTCTCCCGGCGAAACCGGCACTTTCCTGGGTGCCATCTTCGGAACCGGCACCAACGGCGCTTACGTCGAGAAGATCGATAAGATCACCAAGCTCCAGCACATGAAGGATGTCCACTATGACAAGTCCACTGGAGAGATGATCATCAACGCCGAATGGGGCAGCTTCGACAACCACCTCAGCGTGCTGCCCTCCACCGTCTACGACCGCGATCTCGATGCCGAGAGCAACAACCCCGGCATTCAGATGTTTGAGAAGCGCGTCTCTGGTATGTTCTTGGGTGAGATCCTGCGCCGTGCACTGCTGGCCATGCACAACAATCCAATGCTGGGTCTTTTCAAGCCCAACCAGACCTCCAAGGTGTCTCTCCCCTCCGACTCGCTCTTCTACCGCCAGTGGGGTCTGGATACCAGCCTGCTGAGCCAGGTCGAGGCCGACACCACCAAGGATTATGTCGACGTCAAGGCCGCGCTCAAGAACCACCTGAAGATCGAGAACCCCAGCAACGACGAGTGTGAGGCCGTCAAGATCCTCGTCCACGCCATTGGCAAGCGTGCGGCCCGACTGAGCGCCGTCCCCCTTGCCGCCATCCTCATTGACAACAACAAGCTGGCCACCGATGACGTTGTCGACATTGGTGTCGACGGCAGTCTGGTGGAGTTCTACCCCAACTTCGAGGGCTATGTCCGGGATGCGCTGCGCGAGGTGCCCGAGGTCGGCCCCGCCGGCGAGAAGAAGGTTCGCATTGGCATCTCCAAGGATGGCAGTGGTGTCGGTGCGGCCCTGATCGCCCTGGTCGCCAGCAAGGACGAGACCCTGCGGAACCCGCACGAGAAATGAGCGGCAACATGTGGCGATTCGCGTGTATCACTTTGATGCCTTATTTTGCTTTGCGATCTCTTCCAATGTTCTACCACTGGCTGAGGAATTTATTTGCTGGCTGGGTCCAGTAGTCCCCGGCTCCGGTCATCCTATCCTCGTTTTGACAATGAGCTCCACATGACCGGTCCCGCGACATCAATCGGGCACCGCCGTTCGAATTTCATCTTGCCCGCGCTTCCCCTTCCGCATGATCCGCTTTTCCCCATGGTCAAGGGCCGGCTGAAACCCGCATTGTAAATTCTGCCGGCGCATTCTAGGGAACCTTGGCACTGACCAGGGGCCGACCCTGCAGGGATATGCGGGGGTTCACGCGCCCTTTCCCTTTTTGCTCTTTTGTCAATCCTTGCGGGGATTGTATCATTAGGTTTTGGCTTGGTTATGGAGTTGCACAGACGTGGCATCATGACATCGTTTACTATACTTTTGCATATACGGCTTGATCAATATCATGGTTTCAGAGCTCGAATCATTAAGTTGAGAGGTTCTATACACTAGTGTAATCATACTACCTACTAGTACGTAGTACTAGCAGTAAACAATGTCTACCCCTTATTGTCCCAGCTGGTAGCCAATCGCGCGCGGTGACATCACCCAGTCAATCTTGCCCGCGGTGCCAGCCAGGAAGTTCATCGTTCCATCGGTCGTCTTAGGATCCGGCCCGATGAAGTTATTGGGGAACCCAACATCAAACTCAGTCGCCTGCTCCAGGAACTGAATCTGCTTCTCCGTCAAGCGAATATTCAACGCCTGGATATTATCCTTCAAATGCTCGACCTTGCGCCCACCCACAAGCGGGAAGACATACGGCGCCTTGCAGAGCACGTACGCCAGCGCAATCGCCGTCACAGACTCAATTCCGTGCTCGGCCGCAACCGTCGACAACGCTTGCGAAATCCGCTTCTCTTCCTCCGTCTGCTTATCACCGAAGACACTGCGCAATCCTTCGCCGCTCTTCTCCCGCTCCGCCATCTGCTTCGCGCTCTGGAAGTGGCCGCTGCCCAGCACGTCCCACGGCGCAAGCGCCATGCCGAAGTGTCGTGCCATGGGCAGGATATCCCTCTCGAAGTCCCGGCGCATCACGTTCCACCGGCCCTGGTAGATGGAGAAAGGTGTTTTGCCGTGTGCGCGGGCGTATGTGTTGGCCGCGGAGACGATCCAGGCAGGCGTATCGGAGATCCCAAGGTACATGACTTTACCTTGTTCGACCAGGATGTGCAACGAGTCCATAATTTCCTCAATGGAGGTGCTGTGATCCCACCAGTGGAGGTAGAGGATGTCGATAGAGTCGGTCTGAAGTTTGCGGAGAGAGTCCCGGACGCTGTTGAACATGCTGCGCTTGTGGTTGCCGCAGGCATTCGGTGCTTTGCCTTTGCCCAGCGCGTGGCTGCGGTAGTCTGTCGTGAATTTGGTAGCAATCACCATTTGGTCTCGGTTGCCGCGGGCTGTCATCCATTCGCCCAGCCAGGCTTCGGATTGTTCGTTTTGGTAGTTGTTGGACGTGTCGATGAAGTTGCCGCCGGCGGCGACGAAGGCGTCTAGCAGCGCGAAGGATTGCTCCTTGCTCATGCTGCCCATGAATTTGGACCAGCTGTCGCCGATGGACATCCCGCCTAGCTGGAGGGGGATACTCGGATCCCGGCGCTGGGGGAAAGCACGCGGTAGCGGCCCAAGGGAGTGGCGGGCTCCGGGGCAGGTGCGAAGATTTCTTCCATTGTGATTGTTGTGGTTGATGAAGATACAGTTGGAGATGCTGTGAATTATGAGCTCTAGTCTGGGTCAATCCTTTCTCATTTATAGTCTGTCTGTCTAGCCTGTAGGGTTAGAATGTCCATCCTGTCATCCGGACTTAACCTCTCGCCCGTCGGTGTGGAGTATGTTTCCACTGCCATGGCTTAGCAGGTCCGGAGAGATAATTTCATCATCACTAATTCAAATGTTTCCATGATGATCCGTACTGCGGACGGGCTGGAGCCGTCGATTCATCTCGTCACATGGTATATCCCATCGAAATCGCCACTCCACGGCCTCCACGGATACAGCTCTGGCCGCGTTGAGCTTTGCGCCTGGATCAGTATGATATCATGAGTCCACCTCGGCATCAATTGTGCCGCTGCCCGCGCGATTTCGATGCGATTCTGCAGAGCACTGATGCTGATGCTCTCACCGATCTTACTCCGGAAACTCAGATCCAGACGCCCGCCGGCCGCCGTCCGGGCTTTAGGTGTGTTGTGCAGCAAACAAGCTTAACTCCGCCGCCGCTGACCCCGGACCCTGCTAGTCCGCATGCGGCTAGCGCTGACACGCTGCATATGCTGAGTCATGCGATATGTCTGCCTTGTGTCTCAGGCGCTCAGGCCACCAAGGGTGCAGGTGTACCTTAACTAGTACATGTACATAGGGTAGCTTTCGGCCCCTTGCGGTCGATCTTCTCGCGTTGCGCTCCTTTTAACCTTGTCGGGTTGACGGACGGAGCTGATGCTCACCGCGAACTCCCGGTCGATCATATCCGACCGGCCGTTTTGTCAATTCCAACCTCCACGCGACGTCGCGGGCGTCCTGACGCGTCCTACACAAAGATCAATATCTCATTGACCGGGCAAACGTGTACAATGCCCAGAAGAAGGGTGCTGCTGCATTGACCTCAGATGGTTACTAAGGGAGTTTGAGCAAGGAGACCTCACTATTCGATCCCTCTCGCGGCCCCGCCAAGCAGCGCAGTCCACAGGGCGAAGGCGCCTGCAGAAGATAGCCCGAGGATCCTTGCATAAATATGGTCTCCTGGCCGACGCCCCCCCCGGCTACAGCTGAGACGCAGTTTCATCTGCCTATTTTCTCACTCGGATGTTTTTTGCTTTGCTTTTTTTTCCTTTTTTTTGCGGCGATCGCAGACTAGTGCATTGCGTATGATGCATTGGCATTGGCATGGCTAATGTCATACATACCCCGACACATTCAACTTGACGCTGTGAAAATGTACACGAGAACTGAGCCCCCACTTCTGAGCAGGCCATGCAGCTGCAGAGTCTTCTCCGTACTATTGACTGCAGACCGCTACGGGAGATTCACGGACCACATGGGATGTGAAGGGAGACAGCAGGATTGGCCCTCCTTCATGTCCCGACTGCATCGGCAAGGTCGCCCTGGTCGAGGATGAGACCTGTACAAAGGGCCAGTTGCGTTGCCAATCCTGTGCTGACGGGGCCTGCGTCGACTTTTTAATGTCTTTGCCTCCCTCCACTTTTCGTGTCCCTCTGTTCCCTCATCCTCTCGCTCGTTCCTGACCCTTCTCCTCTATAATGTCGACCTTCTTTAATCCACCCGAGCAGCCCAAGGAAGGCATTGTGCTCGGGAATAACGCTCCCTCGGACTCAGATAGCCACAGTCGGCCCCAGTCCAAGGGCAAGTCGTCCAAGCCGTCCAGCGAGAAGGAGAGTACCTTGGTCGAAGAGCCGGGGAGGTTTTCTGATGCCGCCGGCGATGATACGCAGAAGGAGACTGCTCCCAAGCCTCGAGATGAATCGCCGAAGGAGGCGATCCCCAATGAAGACTCTAATAAGGAAACGGCCGTCAAGGACGATGTGGAGAAGGAGACCAAGGACGAATCGAGTAAAGAAAACAGCGATGCTGACGGCGAGAAGAGCGAGGAGCCCGAGTTTGAATACCCCTCGGCCTGGCGATTGGTCCTGATTACCATCGCGCTGTGCCTGTGTGTGTTTTGCGTGGCATTGGTATGGCTCAACAGAGGAACACATCGGAAAACGCTGGTCACTGATCCAATTGACTCCAGGATAACACCATCATTGCAACTGCCATCCCCAAAATCACCGATCAATTCAACTCCCTCGACGATGTCGGTTGGTACGGTAGTTCCTACCTGCTCACCACTTGCTGCGTGACTCTGATGTTCGGCAAATTCTACACCTTCTATTCTATTAAGTGGATCTATCTGCTTGCTCTCTCGATCTTCGAAATCGGATCTCTCGTCTGCGCCACCACCCCCAACTCCGTCGGCCTCATCTGCGGTCGTGCCATTGCCGGTCTCGGTGCCGCTGGTCTTTTCTCTGGTTCGATTTTAATCATCGGTCAGACCGTTCCCCTGGACAAGCGACCCATGTATACCAGTCTCATTGGTGCGATGTTTGGTATCGCCAACGTCGTTGGTCCTCTGTATGTTCAATCCGCTGGACTCTCGTTGAGGTCAACAACTAACTAGATCTAGCTTGGGAGGTGCTTTCACCGATAAATTGACCTGGCGTTGGTGCTTCTACATCAACCTGCCCATCGGCGCGGTGACCTTCTGCTTCGTCCTCTTCTTCTTCCAGGCAAACAAGGCCCTGAAGACCAAGGGTAACTTCAAGCAGCAGCTGGGTGAATTCGATCTTCTGGGCTCGTTCTTCTTCCTCCCCGCCATCATCAGTCTTCTGCTAGCTCTGCAGTGGGGTGGTACCCGGTATGCCTGGGACAGCGGTCGCATCATCGGACTCTTCGTCGTCTTCGGCGTCCTCATCATTATCTTCACCTTCCTCCAGTGGTGGGGCCAGGACCGAGCGACTGTTCCTCCGCGCTTGATCAAGAACCGCAATGTCTGGGGCGCGGCCTGGTATTCGCTTGCTCTTGGTGCCGCCTACTTTGTTCTGGTCTACTATGTGAGTTCTCTCCTGCAAATGTATACTCGAGGTGTATTCTAACCTCCACAGCTCCCCATCTGGTTCCAGGCCATCAAGGGTGCCACAGCCATCAAATCCGGCATCATGAACCTGCCCATGATCATCGCGGTCGTTGTCGTCTCCCTGCTGGCCGGCGGTCTTGTCACAGCTTGCGGCTACTACACCCCATTCATGATCGCCTCCGCCATCCTCATGACCATCGGCGCCGGTCTCCTCTCCACCTTGCAAGTAGACTCCGGCCACGCCAAGTGGATCGGTTATCAGGCGCTCTTCGGCATCGGACTCGGACTCGGCATGCAGCAACCCATGATGGTCATGCAGACCGCACTCAAGCCCACCGATGTCCCGAGCGGCACAGCCATTGTCATGTTCTCGCAGACCCTCGGTGGCTCCATCTTCGTCTCGGTCGCCCAGAATGTTTTCCAGAACCAGCTGTTCCAGAATCTGTCCCGCTATGCTCCCGACGCTGATGCCGCCAAGCTTGTTTCGGCCGGTGCCACCATGCTGCGCCATTATGTTGCTGGTCCTGTGCTACACCGCGTTCTCATTGCTTATAATGAGGCCATCATGCAGACCTTCTATGTGGCTGTTGCCATGGGTGCGTTGACGCTTGTTGGTCCCATCTTCGTGGAGTGGCTCTCCGTGAAGGGCAAGAAGATCGAGATGGCGGCTGCTTAAGTGAAGCGATGGCCTAAAACCTCGTTCCCCATTCTTACATTCTTTCTCCTTTTTCCTCCTTCATGCATATTCTTTCTTTCCTGTTGGCTATGCGGTAATCCGGGTCTGGTCGGGATAGTGTAATACGGTTCTCTATATACCTCGCGCTTTGATTAATACAGTTAATGAGTGATGATGCCCAAGTAGATCGTTGTCTAGTTCTATGCCGCTAGTATTGACGCTAAGAAAGATACAAGTGGTAGAAGAGAAGGACAATAAATGAAGAAGGCTAGACCACTGCGTAGAGGCTCAAATAAATTCCCCATATTACACCGCACGCGCTGCCAAAGACGACCCGCCGGTCCACGGGGATGACCGTGTACATCAGCGTTGAGACAATAGGTCGGTACTTCAGGCGGGCAATCATGATGGGCCGGAAGACCTATGCAGTTCGAATTAGCACTTTTCCGCTACTGTGATCATAGAAGGAAAGAAGGAATACCTCAAGAACTAACTCCCAGACCCGCTTCACAGCCTCCCCCTTCAGCAGATTAATCAAGACGACAAAAAGCACAATATTGACGATGCCGGCAACCGTCTGGTCAAAAAGAAACTTCATCACAAATGCATGCAGCCCCGACTTCCTCGCCCGCGGCGCCCACCGACTCGGCCCCTGTCCCTGCGCTTGCACCTCTGCCATCTTCTCCTGCTCCTTATCCCGATGGTGCGGGAGCTGGTCCTCGGTCGCAGACCAAGGCCAGAGAGAGGATAGGAAGGCGCGCAAAGAGGAGAGAGTGAGGGCACGGAGTGAACATGAGCGCGATGAGAAGAGGGTGGATATCTCAGCGCGCGAGGGAAAGCCTGGATACCGCGCTTCCAGGGCGCGTTGCCAGTAGAAATTGATGGGGACGATCAGGAAGCCATATGTGATGAATTGTAGCAGGGCTAGTGCATTCAATGTAAATGGAGTCTGGTATTTCATTGTTAGTGACTTTGGGGATATTTGGGGTTTTGGAATGTGGGCTTTACGGTGTTGTTGCGCTGGTCGATGAGCTGGGCCAGGATGTTCGAGATGGCGTTGAGCACCGTCGACTGCACGAAGGTGACTGTCAGCGCGGAAGGCATGACTGGCGACCCATCGAAGGGGTTGTTCTTCGTGGACTCGGAGTCAGGTCTGATTTGATCTGAGTGGTGGCCTGCGATTTTGCGAGTCGTTCATTTGGAACCGCGACGGGGCTGCCAAGACGCGCAACCGTGTCCTGAGACGGCCGCGATCGACAGGCGGCGGCCATTTTGATTCGACAGACTTTTGATGAGGGCGAGATTTAAGTTGAGGTGGAGCTGAGTTTGAATCCCTCTTTTTCAATTTGCCCGATTCTTTGAAAAGGTGGTGGACGTAGGGTGGTACTCCATTCGTGTTTCGCTGGCATGGTTGTTGCGGGACCACGATATACATTGACGAGACATCTACGAACAACATCAAAAACTGTCTGAACACAAAAGGTCCTCGAATGCAGTGTGAGATAAAGTCAAATTGGTTACTTCACATAGAATGGGATTATTCAAATGGAACCGTAGCCCATTAAAAGATTATTGTACATGCAAACTGCCCCCATTGAAACCTTTTGGAGAAGAATCATAACGCGTATCGTATCGTTCATTCTATAGAATCATGATGGATGGCATACCTCCGTTACAGATGTAGTAGTAGTGACATGGTATGTGCGACGCCCTGCTCATTTCACCGGCACAAACTTTTGAAACTCGACATTCGGTCCATCCTTCGCACTCGTAAAATGATCCACCAGCGCCAAATGCCCCTTCGCATCCTCACCCTGCCGATCCGCCAAACTCATATCAAACAGGAAGACGAGTCGCGCTAGCGTCAGTCGCATCTCCATAAATGCCATGCTCTTCCCGATACATCCACGCGGTCCAATACTGAATGGACAGAATGCCCGGCGGGCTGTCTCGATATCTTCTTTGCTGGTTTCCCAGCTTTGACCAGAGGATGTGCAGACGGCACCTTCGATCCAGCGTTCTGGGATGTACTGCTGTGCTTCGCGGTAGTATTTTTCTTGTCGGTGGATTGAGTAGGTTGGTGTACCGCAGTCTGTACCGGCGGGGAGGAAAACGCCGTCGACTACGGCGCCGCCTTCCATCACTTCACGTGGTGGTGCGCCTGGGACGGCGGGCGCGAGACGAAGGGCCTCGTCGATGCAGGCTTTAAGGTAGACGAGTTCGTTAAGACTGGAACCGCTGACAATCTCTTCGACTTCTGTGAAGGCGTTGCGGACTTCGGCAGTGAGTTTAGCGAGGGCGGAGGGGGATCGGACAAGGTAGAAGAGGGTGGCGGCGAGGGTGGTCGAGGTGGTATCGCTGCCCGCGATCATGAGGACGTTGGCTTCGCCCCAGAGTTCAGGGGTGCTGAGTCCTTTGCCTGTTTCGGGATCCTTGGCGTTGAGGAGATAGTAGAAGAAGTCTTTCTTTGCTTCACGTCCGGCGGAGGCTCGCTCCTGTGCGCGTTTGTTTGCTTCCACGCGTGAGTTCATGATGAAGTTCCAGCGATCTTGCGTGAGGCGACGAATGAAGATTTGATCGAGGTGCCAGCGGTCGAGAGGCATCCACAGTCCGCACTGCGATTGTTAGCATTCAGCCCTGCAAAATACCCCCACGGTGCTAAGAGTAGTACTCACCACATAATGACGGTTGGCCGCACGATCAACCAGCCCGATCATGTGTCGACGGCCATCAGTGATCAGCATATCGAAGCTCTTTCCAAAACACAACTCGCCCATGACATCGTATGACAGGTAACTGAACCAATTGCCCATATTGCGCACCAGACCCTTTCGATCCTGGGCCTCGTACCCATTACTAGCCCCATCAAATCCAGATCCCGCCAGCACCGCGCAGAGCTGCCGCACATGCAACAGCATGACATCTTCCATACCCTTTAGGGCCGCGTCGGAGAAGGCCTGGCTCAGGACTCTTCGTTTCCGGCCGTGCATGGTCTTATCGATGGCATTGTGTGTGTTGTAGACGCCCTTGATGGCCGGGAATGCATTGTAGAAATCAGCCTTCTGCAGACGCTTTCCATGGCCGTAGATATCGTGCAGTCCGCGGTCGGTATTCACCGAGACAAAATTCGGTGCGACACGTACATGTGTCCCGTATTTCTGGTGACACTCGTCGAGCCAAAGGTGTCGATCGCCTTTGAGACCGTGGTAGAGCTGGACCCAGGGGGTGAGGGATGCTAGGAGTGGTCCTGGGATGCGGCGGAGTGGGTGGACGAAGCGGTTGTAAAGAACGTAGGCGACGGTCTGGAAAAGCTAGTGTTAGCTTTTGGAATTGCTCCTTTGAGTAGGTGCATCTCGGGGGGTTTTTGGTGGCGGTTGTGAGGAATGTGCACGGAGATGGGCTTACCAGCACGGCCAGAACGGCCGTCAGATCGCCCAGCACTCGATGGAGTGTGAGATGTTTGAGCACAGGTTCGGCCAGCATAGTCGGTAGAGAAATTACTGCATTGGGGTTTCGTTGAGGTGGTGAGTGCACCTGACGGGGCTATACTTTATACTCGCCGCGGCCGAAGGTACCCGCGCCCAGCCGATCCGCGATGACGGCGTTCCAGCAGGAGCTGGCGATGGCTTCCAATGAAGTCCCTCAGAAAGCAGTGATGACCGATTCTACGGCTACGACCGGATATTTGGGTGTCTGCTTGCTGCTTCCGGCTGATGGCGTATCTTGCTAGGGAGGCATTGTTATGAAGGGCTGCTGGTGGATAGCTGAACTATGCTTAATTGCTCCACCTGTCGCAGATTGCGGGGGAGGTCCAACGCCCATACACTGGAATACACTTTGCGGCAGCCAGGTTCGCCAAGCTCGAAGTATCAAAGGTATAGTAAGCATTGCTATATTTAAAGCACGGTGGCTGGATGGGTCATGTATGGCTGCGTTTACTATCCCCTGGGGTTATTCTAGGTCTGATGTCTCCCATATCACTGAGTTCTTATAGGTCAGGGATGGTCCCTGGACAGGCTGGGTGAGCTGCATCACCAGTGTTTCCCCAACAGAACGCCCACAATAGTACACTTCAGAGTGTAGAACCCCACCACGGTTGGTCGTGGCTTCTGACTGCGGCATACCGCCAGTATCCGAGTATCTTGGTGGATTCCCGCCCCACGCAGTATGGAGGAAGTGGGGGTGCTCAGTAGTGCTGCATCATGTGCTGCACATTTCCCTTATCAGCAATGCCAGTATTCAAAAGAGGAAGTGAAGATGCACTGTACGGCTGGAATCCACGAAGCGGAAATCAGCACTAGTCTTCCCGCTCAATCAATGGGGAAACTGCTGACAGTAGTCGTCTCGGGTTGAATCCAAGCTTATGGCTGCGTAGATCCACGGAGCTCTGACACCGAGTTTAGTCGAGTCGATGCAAATAGACCTGCTTGGCATGGTTTTGTAGCCAACCTCCTACGTGCTGTCGGTGTCGGGATGCCCTTGAGTCCCACCATCCAGGATCCACTGCTCGTTATCATCATAGTCGTCCTGAACTCGCCGCCAGGTCTGTTTTCGCTCGGCGCGCTCACTCGGATCCACCTTCTTGCCCTCCGGAGCCTTCCAGATGGGGCGCATGAGTCCTCCTGCGGCCAAAAGGGGATTTTTGCTGAAGGCGTCTCCTCTGCTCGGAGGTGCGTCGGCCTCGGCTTCCTCCATGGGCTCCGGTTCGCTGGAGTCAGGGGTCGATTCGACCGCAGCAGAGTGATACACCCGCCGGACTTTCCCGCCCTTGATATCAAGGCTCATCACGGTCTTTTTCTTTTCCCACTCAGGTCGAGCCTTCTCGTCCATTTCGCGTTGAATGCGTTGCTGCTTCTTGAGGGCGAGGGCCCTCTGCGCAGGACTCATCCAGAGGGTCGACGCGACATTCGGTGTCTCAAAATCGGCGGCTTCGTCAACGACCTTGGTACGCCGGGCATTTTGTGCCTGGAATGAGAGAAGCTTATCGCGATGTGCCTTCGCTGCATCTAGTTTGCTCGAGGACGCAGGGTCGGGACCAGTAGGCCGTGGTCCTCCGCTGTGGTGAACGCCCTCATTGTGGGCCCGCATCTTTTCTTGTCCACGCTCGGCTTTCAACTCCCGAATCATGCTCTGGACCTCCTCTGAGGAGAGAAGGGGTGTGCCGCAGAATGAACACGGCTGCAGTCCCTCCAATGAGCAAATAATTTTGCCACAGTTGAGACAGTTCGGGGCCGGGTCGAACAGCGAGTGAATTGTAGCATAGCAGTCGCACTTGCGCTTCTCGCCAAGGGTCGGGTTGGTCGAGACTTCCAATGCAGCAATTGCAGCTGTCAGGTCCGTGATATCGTTTGTTGTCAGCGCCGCACCACCTTTTGACGACTTGGCGGACCCTCCAGGTTGTCGTGATTGTTTGCCTGTCTTGGACCGCACATTTGGCAGCATATCTGACAGGACCGGGCCCGAGGCTGACGGAGGCGCTTTGGACGATGACGGGTGCACGGGCGATTGCGCACGCGAAGAACCCGAGGATGTCGGAGCAGAAGACTGAGGCGGAGGCTGCAGTGTATGCTTGCTGGCGGTCATGTAATCCTCCTCTTCCTTCGACTTCATGTAGCCGCCACCCACATCACCGTAGTTGGCCGGGCGTCGCGTCGGACCGGCGCTATGGAGCGGCGGCTTGCTCTTCTTGCTCTTTCCCTTCGGTCGGCCATTGTTCGGGGCATAGGTGTCATCGCGGCGGGAGGAAGTGGGCGCTGGCGAGCGGGCGCTCTGGCGGGCGTTGAAGGAGGCAATGAATTCGAAGGCCGCGGGGGAGTCACCCAGGAGGTTTTTCAGGTTGTCGGCACAAGCGTCTGGGGGAAGACTGGCGGAATATTCGATGATCTGCTTGAGTGAATCCTCGTCCAGCGGGAGCAGCTGGCTGATTCGTGGAACTGCCCACGCAGTGAGGTCGGCCATGTTGACGAGGTGAGGTGAGGTGAGTTCCCCACAAGTGTTGATCCCGCGAGGAAGAAGTAGTGGGCGGGGCCTACACACGGCAACTATGAAAAAACTCCGCCCTCAACATGCCACCACACGTCAACCCCTGCTACCAAGGCAGCTTGCGAGGCTTAATGCTCCGAAGCTGATGCAAAAATTCAGTTTGCATCTGGAGAACGGAGGAATTCTTACGGGCAGATTCACTCTCCCGACAGAGCAGGCCAGCACGCCCATTCCTCTTCTCGTCTGCTTGCACGGAGGCAGCTATGATTCCGAGTATTTCGATGCCAGTGAGAGTCTGAGTATCTCTCGAATCTCAAAGCAATTCAGAGCTCCGGTGATCGCCATTGACCGACCAGGTTACGGGGGCATCCATCATGTCCCACCCGCAACCCCTGACTCTGACTTGACCTACGCCCAGCAGCAAGGCAAGTACATCAATGGGGTACTTCTTCCTGCTATCTGGAGAGAATATGGCGAGAGATCAAATTCGGCCATAGTGCTGCTTGCGCATTCCATCGGCGCCATGATGGCCACCATCACCGCTGGTTGCTACACGAGGACTGAGGGATATCCACTAGCTGGGCTGATCACCTCTGGTATCGGAGCTGAATTGATAATAGCATCAGCTCTAAATTCCAAGGTCTGATTGAACCTGATGCGGAATTTGTCTTATTCGATCCGGCTATCAAGGACAGATCGATGCTCCAGCTCCCAGGCATGGACTTGGTCTCGCCGGATGTGGCTGAACTGACGGCTGGCTTAAACAAGCCAACGCCCATCGGAGAGCTTATTGATATCAACAAGACGTGGCTCGGCTATTGGCATGAATATTCGCATGCTGTCAGAGTTCCGCTCATGTATGGAACCAGTGAATTTGATGAGTTATGGAAGTCGACGACGGAGGCACTTGAGAAATATCGTCAAGCTTTCCCATCGAGCAATGGAGAATTCAATGCTGTTAAGAATGCGCCGCATTGCATCGAGCTGAGCTACCAATGCGATCTGTGGCTAAGGAAATGTTTTGACTTTGCCTTTCGATGCATAGTGCAGTACGAGGGCAGGAGATAATTATCATAACAACGGTGCATGAAATGAGACAATACGTTTGAAGTTGCTTCTAAGCCACTACTAAAGACTGGAGCTAAATGTTATGACACTCACTAGGTAATATGAATGTCCTACTATTGCCGACCGTACACTATAGCAACTACTAGTAGTCACTCGGCGAGCACGTCCCTTCGGCACCGAATCAGATCTTCACGATATTATGGTCACCATTTGATTCATACAATTTATTGGATTCTACGCATTTAAATATTCATGGTCACAACTGAGCTCGACATCTTCCCGAGCCTCGTGAGGGTGAAGTGAGGTAAACGGAGCATTGCCCTCCGAAGCATAACATCACCTCTTCGCAGCTGCGCCTCTTCGCCTTTCATTTTACCAGACACGTGGGATGTATTCCGGCAGTTGCCTCGACTGAAAGGATACACCCACCTCGCCTTATGTTTTGAGCTTCCAGACGACTCAGAATGGCGCGCCCTTGAACGATCAAAGAACCGGTACCAGTCACTGACCGCATCAAGGCGGTCCTGCCATGGGTCGGTAGTGCAGTGGTAGTACCGGCACAGGACCTGGATGCTCGGGCACCTTCGAGATAGCTCGATGCCCACTGACGGAGAAAATTCTCAAGTTCCAAGATCGGACCGCCTCTCTCCCGAGCTTGAAAAATACTGCCTAGTCGCTATTTGACGTCTCCCATCTATCGAGCGAGACTTCCTTGCCAGACAGTTACACCGACACGGATGATCACCTTGCGCTAGTGTTGACATTGGCAGCCAGCTGGATCAATGGAGGTATCATACTGGATTGTGCAGCTCAACATAACGTCATGGATATGTCAGGCATCGATCAGTTCTTCCGGCTCTTAGCAACGGGGCTACAATCGGAAGAGTTTCCCGAGAACAATATAGACGTTGACTCCGTCGTGACTGAAGCCAACCTTAAGAGCAGAGCGAATCTATCCGCTCTGATGAGATCGGATGAGACAATGCGCGATCACTGAGTTGGGAGTTCCTTCGACTCTGTCCTCGACATATCGACCAACCATCAAGTATATTGGATGAGGCCATTGAACTAGGCCTGATATTTTGATATCGACGTTTCGAAAATCAACTGCGTGCACCCGGTCTACAGCTTTAGGAATCTACGAACTTAGGAATGAAAAGTTCCAAATCAATGCATTGTGCCTGGCTTAGGCCCCGTAAAATCCAGAAAGCTCCACTGTCTACAGCAATGCCAGCTGAGCCCAGTGTATGGTATGAAGTAATGTACAGACCTATCCTACCCTTATCATCATCGTCATCTATGCAAATCCTCTCAAGTAGCTCAGACCAAACCGGAGACGCCATAAAGGAAGGTGAAGAAAGCAGACTGAAAACGCCAATGACACCCGTGATGGCACAAAAGGAAACAGAAACGATTGACACTCTTCCACATTTCAGCTCAACTTAACTCAATCACGCATCGACCTGCTCGCTCTTGACTCCGTCATTCTCCTCGGCTGTGAACGAGTTCTTCAGCTTACTTGGTCCGGGTTTGCTGGACGAAGGCTTCTTGGTTGAGGGTTTCTGGGAGCTTGGCTTATTGGTGGAGCCCTTCTTGGGGGCGTTGGGCTTCTTCTTCTTCGTCGGACTGGGACCATCGTCGTCTTCATTTTCGTGTGGCCGTTTAGGAGCCGAGGACGTTGGACTGCTGGCGCCACTAGCACCGCTGTCCGTGGGCGTCTTATTGCGCAAATTTCGACCGGAAATGTTCATGCATCGGTCCAGATGCTGGGCCACCCGATTCATCACGAAGTATCGCGGACAGATAGGACACTTGCTGGTCGGTATCTCAGGGATGGTGCTGTCTTTCTGATCCTTGCGCTTCTTGGGGTTCGGCATGATGGCGAACAGTTTCCCATGGACGTCATGGCCCGGCAAATTGATCAATGGTCCGTTCTCGCAATACTTCTTATTTGGGTCGGGAGGGGGCCGGTGACCGACGCCCACCGTAGGATAGGTTAGACGGGGCAATCCGCATTCTGGGCAGATGACCTCCTTCACGGTTTGCAGCGGGTTCCCCTTCAGGTACACTTTTCCGTGGTCGAAGATTGCGGCGTCGGTCTCCAGGCGCGTGTTCGCAAGCTTGCCAGCATCAATTGTGACCTCCTTCGGTTTTCCATCGCTCGCGGTATTCCCGGTCGTCTCATCGGGGACGGTACACTCTGCCTCGGCTTTTTGCTGAGCAACCACCACGGCGGAGCGCATCCGCGCCACCTTCTCCTCGCGGTGGACCTTGGCGACTAGGTCATGGATGATATTATGGAAGGTTTCGTTTAGGATGTCGGTCGACTAGATGAAAGAGAGTTAGTCGCGATGTCTCCTGAGCTCGATCGCATCCTGGTCTCAACTCCATACCACTTTCGCGATGGTGCCGGCAGGGTACTTCGGCGGCTGGCCCGCGGTATTGGAGTCGGCCATACTCGGAGTCGCCCTGCGACGTCGACCTTGGTCTGTCCGTTCTTGAGGGACCGACAGCTGTGTCTACCCGCGCGACACAGTCAATACCCTTCTCGCGCCGGTGCGTGGGCTAGTTCTCCATGTGCCGGAAATCTATGCGGCGAGGTAACAATCAAAGTAGACAAGTCGAAATCGGAATCGGAATCGGACCGAGCAGGTAAGGAGCGTGCAACATAGGAAATCCAACAGAGAGAAGCGATGCGGCGGTGGTAATTGTACCCTTGGCGCAGGTGGAGTGAATGTCAGTGCAAGCTCACGGGTCTCGGGTACAGGTGAATGAGGCTTGACGGGGGATCCGAAAGGGGAAAGGGGGATGAATGGGACGAGCGACCCAGCGAACTCCGCCGACTCGATCGACTGACAGGGAAACAATGGACTCACCGATTGAGGGATCTGCCGGCGCGGCTCTCGAGGAGTTCGGGGTTGGTTGAGGCGACGAGGCTGGCAAGTTGTTCAACCCGCCTTATCGCTTATCGCATCTCCGCATCCGCCTTGCCCTTCGCTGCTGCTTTTGTACAAGTCAAAACAGGACGAAAGACATGGCATACCAGTTCTTTGCGAAAGCCCCAGGGAAACCGTCCTCTTCGTCGCCGGTGCCTCCACGGCAAACACAAGGCCATCCCCCCATTCACCCTCCGGCCCTGCAACCGCCCAAGTCCGCTGTCGCAAAGCCCCGACCAGTCGCGGAGCCCTTTGAGCCGTACCCGCATGCAATTCCCGCAGGCTATGCGACATCTCACCCTCATGTCACAGTCGAGACGGTTGGAACCGCGCACATACCATCGTTGACGCGCATTACGGGTCTATTGCTGCCCATTCGCTACCCAAACTCATTTTACACAGCCACCATTACGGACCCTGTCATCGCGTCTTTGTCACGCGTTGCGATCTACCATGACCACCCGGTGGCCGCTGTGCCAGACTCGAATACCTCGACGGAGCCCGGCAAAGTGATAGGGGGTATCCGGTGTCGACTAGAGAGGCAAGACCCCGCGGGGGATCAAAGCGAACAGGGAACGACTCTCTACATCCAAACCCTGCACCTTCTTTCGCCGTACCGAGGCTATGGTGTTGCGGCAGCCCTGTTGAACTCGCTGCTCTTCGAAGTATCTCCGGGGTTGAAGAAGCAACATCGGGTCTCGCAGTTAGTGAAGCACTATCATATACGCCGAGTGACAGCTCATGTCCACGAAACAAATGAGGATGGGCTGAGATGGTATACTGCGCGAGGGTTTGAGGTCCAGGAGGGTGTTGTGGAAGGCTACTATCGACGTCTGAACCCATCGGGCGCGAGAATCGTCAAGCTTGACTTAGAGTGGCAGGACGAGAATGAACAGGCCGATGTGGCCAATAATAAGGACGAAGAGGTGCTCCAAAGCACAACTCGCAGCGATCCAGATGATGAAGACTGGGAGAAAGTTGAAGCAAAGGATGGAGATGAAGGCGATCATGGGGTCCAGCCTTTGCCCGATTCACAATCTTTTGACGAAAATACCCCCTCAAAGAAACGCAAGGCAGAGGACGAGAAGGGCAATGCACCGCAAAGAAGGTGAGGTGTGCGGACTGCGTATATAGCCTTATTATGGTGGATACAGTCATACCAGTATATTGGATACCCGAGCATCAATAAGAGCTCTACTTGCATCAGCTTGAAATTCTATACAATCCACGATTGAACATTTACAATCCCCTGCCTTGGACCACCTGGCGAGCATAATAGCCTTTTGAAATGTATATGCTGCAATTGATCTCATCTTGTCAGGATGGAAAAAGATTTGAGGTGGATGCCGAAAGAATAATTTAGGGAAAGACTGTTGCCACAACCCTTCGGATAGGATTTCCCTTAAGACGATGAATTTAGGACCGATGTCAACGGTGCCAGTTTTCATCTCGGCCGTTGCTATAAATTGCTAGCAGAGAATAAACGCTGATAGAAAAGATTCGAGCGAAACGATGGGTATATTTGCTTGATAAATACATAGGCTTCAGACAGGATCATGTGTATGTTCATAAAATGACAAGCTTTGAAAACGCCGCGCGGCGGGTATCGAATCACAAACGCAACAGAAATGAGATCCACTGCCAGAAAGGTGGATCACTAGATCAGATGTTGTAGTTCTCCGCATGCAGGAAAATCTCGTCCTTTGACGAGCCAAACAATACTTGCGTCTGTAGCTTAGCCACTGTACTAGCCACCTCGACACGCATGGACGGTGGACCACACACGAAAACACAAGCACGTCGACCAAAAGTTTTCGAATACTCGGTGAGCATTTGAGAAATGTTGGGGCGGAAGTAGTCGGTCTTCCAGTTTTCTCTTCGCTGAGAGGGATGGTAATAGGCATAGCGGGGTGTGGTGTTCCTCTGCGGTGCGGGTTGATTGTTGAAGCCAAAGTCAAAGGGGACATTGTTGGTGGTATTAGCAGCATATGGGTCCATAGGCTGCTGGTAGTGACGGTTGTTCGCGACATGCGAGGCAGTATATGCACTTGGCAGGGCGGCGAGGCCATCCTCATTTTCGCGACGCAGTTCCTTCTCGATTTCGGGGTTGCCGGCCGCTTCCTCGCGAATATAGGCGGAGTTACGCTTGTCAATGCCCTGCAACATGCCATAGATTTTCTCTTGGACCATATCACGGCCTGCCTGGTCCTCTTGCTTGATGCCGGTCAAGAAGAAATGGCAGTTTACAATATTGGATGGTGCACTGTCTCGGCAGATTCGAAGCTCTTCTTGGAACCATTCCATGGTCTCAGGGGTTTTCAATGCCCAAATGACCTTGACTGATTTGGTGACCGCCTTGCCATCTCGAATTTTCTTGATCAAGTCCAATAGTTGACTAGCAATCGCCGTGATACCACTACCTCCGGCGAAGAAAATCACGTCGTCGAAAGCTGACATCTCACGTTGCATGCCACCATAAGGTCCCTCCAGGAAGGCTGAGTAGACTTGGTATGGTCCATTTTCCAGTGCCTTTCTGAAGACTTTGCGTGTGAATCCATGGAATGGTCGGAATACCAGGGCCATATCACGATAATCTTCACCATATTCGGAAGGAAAGTCTTCGCTGCAGAGCGAAGCGATCGTAAAGGGATGACTTTCAAAGAAGGCCATTCTCGGCATGCGCAGATAGACATATTGACCAGGACGCCAGCGCATTTTTGTGGGTACAGTCACCTTGACCGCACCTTGTGGAAGGAGAGTGACGGCTGACTCTTCTCCGATCATAAATGAGGAAGGGCGGAAGGGGTTCGTCCAATTCAGGTAGAAAAGTCGAATGGTGTATGAAATGATCCAAATTACAACTGTAGCCCAGAGATAACCCCATGAAGAGAGAAAGTTCTTGGTATGCCAAAAGAGCATGGCCACAAAGATCCACGATACCGGAATGTGGATCACAATGAATAGTTCGTACATCTTGTGGCGGAGAAATGGGAGCGAGTGGACGCAAAGAACGAATAGAGGAACTATGGCCGCGATGCCATTTCCGTACACATACATCGGCAAAGTGATGAATGTGCGGTAGTTGATCATCGCACCATCCTCCCAAATAGGTGTGATGTAGAAAGGGATCATGTGTACCAGACTCAGGAAGAGGCAGATGTAGGCAGACCAGCGGTGCAATCCGTTCAGTCGCTCGGGTCCCAGACCTGTGAGAATGCTGATAAAGTTGGCCTTGGTGCTGAGTGCCACGATCCAGGGAACCATTGCGACTGCGAGCATGCCGGCTCGAATAGCGAGTGGTGGTGATCCCAGGGCGATGGAGTAGTAGTACAGAGGCTGTGGCACAAAACAGTATAGCGTCACAAAGATGAGTGCAATCAGCACAATTGCTGTCACCGCCAGAGATGGGAAGACGAATTCAAGTTTTCCAATCCTGACTACTGGCATCGGACGGTAAAAGATCCAGCGCATCAGCGCAATGGCCTTCTTCAGCGGCATAATTCTCTGAACAATCCATTCTCGTCGTTTTGGTGGAGATGGCGGCGATGCGGGTGGGAAGAAATGCGCACTCGACGCATCTGTGCCTGCGCTGGGGAGCTCGTACTCCTCCGCTATATCAGACGCAGCAGGTTGCAGATGCGGTCGGTGCTCCTTGTGCTCCTTGTAGTAGGCGATGCGCATTTTATCGCCCCAGATATGGTAGAATCGAACGAGGGAGGTGATAACCAGCAGCACGACCGCAAAGTAGACGAACCCATATCCATATTTCGCCGACTGGTTCCATGGGTCTCGCTGCATTTCCGCCAGCTGCTTCCCGGTTGTCGATGCGGTGACCGGGACCTTGACTCGCTTGGCGAGGGGAAGTATTGAATTCCACATGGTGAAGAGGACAGACACGGCGTCACGCAATTCAATGGTTCTTTCTAAATGACAATACTGTTGTGAGCTTCGGTCGCAATTACATCTTCCCAAGCAACCGACCTACCTCAAGGTACTCTTCTGGTTCTCTTGCAGATCGCACTGCGATCCCAGAATATACACACCCTCAGATCTTGGGTTTTCAGAGCCACACCGAGCTCATAGCTTCACCAGGAGCTCACTCAGAGGTCGATGTAACCGATATTTGGAACAGAGCGAAACGGGAATCACGAGGGGGAGATCTGGACTACATGTATGGGACACAGCCAGTGGGGTCGCACCAGCAGTGATGCGCGTCCTCGCGCCGTGGCGGGATGCACTGATTAGCCATATTCTCGCACGGCGGGCCAATCGACTGGCCCCAAGAGCTCAGCACGCAGCGTGTCGCCAGGGCGAGGGCAACGAGCGGCGATGCGGAGGGATCTCCCCAGTGATGTGTGATGGTTTAGCGCCGCTGGGGCCAATCTGCACCAATCGTAGCTGCAAAACGGGTGACTGGGGTGATCGGGCCGCATTAGCGTGGTGGAAGCGTGAAGAACAGTCGAACCACTGCCAGTCGGTGCGGCGGGATTATTATTAGCAAGGTTCTGGTCAATGTCATCGTCGTTGCGATGCGTGCAACCGAGTACTGGGTTCAACGGGTGCAAGTACCACTCTTTCGGACGCCTAGTCTCGATCTTGAGGCGGCTCGGGAATCCTCCGCGGCCATCCTCTAGAAGCGATCAGATTGTCTTTACTTGTCGATCTCGGCCGAGCTGTGTAATCTGAAAGTGACCCTTCGCCAGAAAGTGGCCCATGGTTGGAGTGTGACGGTGTGACGAGGGCTTGCGGGGAAAGCATTCTAAGGGAATATCTTCCATCGGCTAGCGGCCAACGTCTGCATAGTTGGAATGCAAGTCTACAAAATTGGATTCCTAATCCTTGTGCAAAATTGATATCGCGGTATGTTTTTGTAAGCTAGGATGCGAGAGCTTCGATAGCAGTGTTTGCTTTTGGTCGTACTCTGGAAACATGGCACGATCAGATAGTGAGATTCATGGATAGTCCCATGATATCAAAAGATAGCGTTGACAGTAGATGTTCGTTGGTGACCTACCAAACTGTGCTGCAGTACAGAAATGCCATGCCTGTGGACTTAATGATCCAACAAAGTGGAGTTCGCAACTATCTCATGAATATCTCTTTTGAGCTCCTCGTGCATCTGGAACAATAGTTAGTTGAAATATTTGAAGGCCATAAATAAAAAAACATACTCGGATAGCCAGATCTTCGGTACCCTCACATGCTGCAAGTCGGAGTTGATTCAAAACTTCCATTTTCTCCTTGATATCAGCGTCGCTGCAGGCTTGATACAAGCGCAGGTCGCCAAATTTACGAATTGTCGGCGTGATGAATTTCGTGGAAATAGCGACATAAATCTGAGTTGCCCTGAGAAGAAAATTGAAGCTGGCTTTCATTTTGAAAGCGTTTTCGCGGAAGTCCTTTTACATTGTTAGCTTGCGATTATCCATATGACAAGAAAAGCAAGTACCTGTGCTATAGATGGCTTTGCAAGCTCGCTCTCGGCAGCCGTTTTGATTGCAGGTTCACTGTTTTGAACAGTTCTACTGATAACTCGCGACAGCTGCAGCAATACTTCGATGAAGTCTTGTACGCGGACTTGAAGTTCAGTCAAGTGGCATACGGACTTTATGAGGATCTCGGCGATCTCAGCCTGCAAGGCAGCTGTTAGCACAGTTCCATTTATATGAGAACTCATACTCGGATACACGAACGATGGATATACTCTCCGAGGACAGGTTTTCAAGCGTAGCCTGAAATTCAGAGATATTCTCTGTGACCTCGTTGATATAGGCCTGTCGCTTTGCTTGAGCTTCTTCCATACTGAGAACTTCCCACTTCAGATATGAGTAGTAGCAGTATCCAATAGCGCCCGAAATGGCTACCTGGGGCAGCAACGGAAGTATACCAGTAAGACCAGAAGTTGTTGCAGGCCTTTGAAGCATGGCAGCTCATTCGTGAATCTAACATGAAAGAGGCTGGATGGACACTGAATCATATTTTTGACTTGCTCCGGTCAGCGGCTTCCTCATTTGACCCGTCAATCATGGTCAAATTTTGGCGCATTTCGTGATATTTCTTGCGAATATGCGAGACTACTGAGAACCAACAAATATTGACAATATTCTTCCGTGACTTCCGATTGATGCTGTCAATATACCATAGTCCCACACATCCGCTTCTACGCCTGCTTCATACGTTGCAGGAAACTCCACGCGAGAAATTGCCAATGACATTGAAGACTGGCTATCTGAAATCCATACATTCGCTAGCCACCTTTGGCGGATGGAGACATGCAGTGGTCCTATCAATGTGGTCCTATCAATGTGGTCTAATTACCTCAAAGAATGGGATGCAAGCAGATTCGCTGAAGCAAAGATTCAGACAGGCTATGAAAAGCTTTTCGCCGAATCTGAATCTATACATGGGAAATTCTCCCAGAGAGTGGTCTCCATTCTCCATTCCTTTACCTATGCGGCTTATTACAATGTCGGAGATGATGTGAAGGCTTTTCAACTAACAAACGATTTGCTAGACCGAGCCCAAAATAACCTGTCACAAAACGGAAGATACCGGTGGGATCCATTCATGTTAGCATTTGCATTCGCTTCAAAAATCCTTGCAGAGATTTATCATCGAAAGGGGGATGTTCGGATGTCAAGAACGTGCTACCAATTTGCCATTGACATTCTACAAAATGGTGATCGGGATTGTCGCATCCGCGCGGGAATGCTGATGAAGGAGGTGCAGTAAATGTCTCGAATACTACCAGGCAATGGAGGTGGAATTCTTGTGATCTTGTGGCTCAGCTCTAGGTCGTTGCTTTGCATCGCCTTTATAGACCAATTCCTATACACGAAAGCTCTGCTAATACTTGAGATTGTCACCAGAGAATGATACCGAAGTTATCCGGCTGCCACCCAATTCCCCAGAACTTAATATTGGGCAAGATGTTCTTTCGTTTTTGTAAAAAAAGCATACAAAAGCGTGCCTATGAAAGCACCGATAACTGGAAGTTCGGTATTACTGCTGATGTGGAAAGCATACCAATGCGTTGCGCCAACAAATTGATTGATTCAATGTCTTCGAGACTCGCAAGAGTAATCGCAGGGGAAGGCAAGCTGATATAGGGATTATTGGCTATCGGAGTCAAATAGTCATCTTTTGATTGTTGAGGATGCTACCCGCGAACCACCACACTCCTGCTCGCTGTCATTTATAAAGAATATTAATAGCTGTTTTTTTCCCTATGCCTTCGCACCAAACCTCCGAGGCAAATTTTCAGTGACCAAAGGATCTTCTGAAGTGACGTGGTGGACACAGAATCCTCTATTGAGGACTACCAATGCTTAGGCGAGAATCGTGATCTCACAAGCACGGCCGCTTCATACCGTCCTCACCACGCTTCCGTTGATTCATCGGCCTATCACCGCGAGAGTCGAGATATTGCTAGGCGGGCAATTCTCACCATTGAGACTGAGGGATCAGAGCCCACTTTTTTCTTCACTCTCGTGCCCGACGACGTTCGCTCGACACCACGTGCCCCGGCGCAGAGGCTTTCCCATAGCCCCGGGAAACAGGATAGGATTTTAAAGCGGTCAGTGGCTGTGGGCCGTCCAGCTTGCGGGAAAGGTAAACGCCGACCTTATTCTCCCGACGACGACCACCTGCTAGTGAAGTTGAAAGAAGAAAAGAAGTTAACGTGGGAGGAAATTACAGATCACTTTCCTGGCCGCACTTCGTCAGCATTGCAAGTGCACTATTCGACCAAATTAACGTCAGCCACCGAATCCTGAGCCCCGCAGAGCCTCAGTCTTGTTCCATCGTGCTCTGGGGTCAAGCTCTCTCTGGTCGACCAGCCACATCGGGTCTCTCACATCTCCCTCCTACATTGTAGTAGGGCGTCCGATACACCTAAGTTAACCGGCGCGATACATGACCACCAGGTGCCGTTGTCATTGTCTCCAGCGATATGACCGTTACCGATGGTACGCTCGACATGATCAACATCAGCAACATCATATCACCAACACCACATGGCCCCTAAAGAGTACTGAGTTTCGAGGCGACGGGGTCTGTATGCACCCTTTCAGGGCCATCCAGGATGATAAAATCATGACATGAAACCGCATATAAACTTTTCCGACTCAGGGTCAATTCGGCACAGTCAAACTCCGATACGGAGACAACACCTTTCATTTGGGTTCTCCCCATGTCCAAGCTGATGTTCGATATGGCGCACTGTACTCTCTACCTCATTCTCGTAATCCTTTTTAGTCCTTTCGTAACAATCAATATCGAATGCGCAGCCCTCGTGTTCAAACCAATCTTGGACAAACCCAAATTCATGGTCCTGTTGACCTCCCCATCCTGCAAGACCATCTAGTCCCGCGAGCTATGAAAAGCTATCACGCACTTTCTTCATCATCATCGAATGGGAAATGGAGAAGGACCGCAGTTCTCTCCATCTCAGTGCTTGAATGTTCCATCAAACCATCCTTGATACTCCGAATGACAGCCCTGGCCCGTTCAAGCTCATCCTCATCGGAAACCCACCCAAGGGCATCTGTCCCGATTAGGTCCCTCATCTCGCCCAGTTCCTGAGTTTCTCCTGTTCTTGACGATGATCCTCCTTTCTCCACCTTGGAGTGGGAGCACACTTGAAGTCGTTAAAAGTACAGCTTCACAAGATCTTCACATCCACCTCATCAGGCTCCCAGGATAAAACCCTTGTTCTCGTCCCTTCCAGTTTCTCCTCGACTACCTTTTCGATGCTTGCTCTTTCGTCTTCGGTAAGAAGGTCTATCCGTTCTTTCCAACGGTCGTCTTCGGTGCTCGTTCCGGGTCCAAAGAATCGGCGATCAAGCTTTTTCCAGAACACAGCATCGAATGCGAAGCTTTTCCTCGCCGCATATGTGACCCAAAAATCACCGCTCTCCCAGCTTCGTTGCATTGGCCTTGAAAGCCTTTGTTCATCTTTCAGCCTGCCACCGTCTATGGCCACGTCCTCCTGTTCGCGTAGCACCTTCAAGAACGTCTGAAGGCGTGCCTCATACACCGTCGTCCACGCTTCCATCCCATCCGGCCAATACTCTGGTTGCTCAAGAAGCAGCCACCACGGTGGGGCGTAAGAGAACTCCACTGGTGCAGCATAAGTGAATTCCCAGTCCACAACCCCTACAATTTGAAGATGTTTGTTGATCAAGACATTAGAGGGCCGAAGATCGTCACACCAGATGTTAAATGGCCCGAGATTCGTGGAAGAAGTCGTGAATCGACCCTCCCTAGCGAGCTTGCGGAACAATAATCTTGCAATATACCTTCGTCGACAGTCATCCGCGGAGTCGACGGCATCGTTCTGTTGGTGTATGAGATGCTCAAGGTGGAGATCTGCCAGTGTATTGAAGTAGGATGACGCTGATTGAAAGATTTCGTTCGCCCTTGGCAACTTCGAGCGCGGTAGAGTCCCTAGACAGACGAGCTCATTCGCGTTATAGGATAGTGGTCTTTGAGCCACCTCCCACGTGAAATCGTCAATCTGGACCAATGATCCTATCCTAGGCAGCCGTAGCGTGGACAACTGAAGCAAAATATCCGCAAACTGTCCGTATAGCAGTTCAAGCTTGGCGTCATCGATGTTTGGGTCGAGAATCGGACGATCCTTAATCGCAAATCCAGGAGTGTTAAGGACGTCGCTCAGGTCCATCACATGGTCAATGTATTCCATGATGATAAATGGACCAAGGCCGAGAGGGTTTTCCTCTTTGGTCCCCCAGTGCAGGACAAATGGCACTGGAATCGTCGTATGCTGGTGAATATACCTAATTATATCGACTTCACTGCGCACCTTCTCTTCGGGAAACATCGTAGCACCGGGTTTGGGAAATCGAATGATTGCAGAGCCTCCGTCCTCAAACTTCATTCTGAAGGACACATTGAATGCCCCGGCTTTTGGATCACACAGTTCAACTGGCACTCCTCTTCGATGTTTCAGGATAAATTTACCAATAGCCATCAAAGTCTCTTCCTTGAACAATTCGTATACCCAAGCGTCCTGGATGGCCTCACTCCGTTCCCACGCCACATTGTCGAAGCACATGCGAGTCAGCATCCCTGAAACTGTGGTTTGGACGGACAAGAACGCGAATATGCCGATGCTTGACGATTGAAGAGGACGACGCGGCGCTCTTAAAAGGGGGTGAGCACTGAACTGTTGGAATCCATAGCTCGGAGGTGGATTATCTAAATTGCCGATTGTTTTGTATTAGTCAGCTTCCCCCATAAATTGCCGGATATGGGCTATGCAGCAATTCAGACTCTTTTTGCGATTCCATTGGTTGAAGCATATATCCACTACACCCTGGGTTGCGACAGTTATGAGCCCGGTTCGCCGTCGGATTCGTCAATTTTGAAGCTATACACATAGGCTTGTGGTAGCGAGTGTTTAGACGATTACCCCTGAGCAACAACGACAACAACAAGAAGCAGCCGTCCCCTAAAACGAAGCGGACCTATAAAAAGGATGGAGTCGAATGTGGTCTCCGCCATGAAGGGCGATAAATTGAAGGATTCTCCTCAATGGAGAAACTGGTTTGCAAGAGTGAAGCTTTTCGCTCGCCAGAAGATGGTGTGGGACCTCGTAAACCCACAGATTGAGGAGGATGAACTCGAGCAGCCTATGCGCAAGCCGAGGAGACCTCAATATCCAGAGGGCGGGAGTGAGAATGCCAAGCGCGAATGGAGAGATCGGCTTGATATCTATAAGCTTGATCTAGCGGAGTGGGAACAGCAGACAAAAGGGCTAGATGCTGTGAATGAGTGGATCATTGCCAACCTCGATCCTATCCATCATGCCTTCCTGCTTGATTATGAGACTCCGTATGAGCGATTAGTGTATCTCGAGACTCGATTTGCCCGATCGAATGCGTACGTGGAAGATATTCGTGCCCAGTGGAAGCGGTTCTCATCATCTCCTCCAAGGAAAGGTGTTGATATCAATCGCTGGCTAGCCGACTGGAATACCCTAAGGGTACAAGCGGTTAGATTAGATTTGCCTGGGGTTAAGAGTGCGAATAAGGTTTTCCTTCGTGCAGTGAAAGACATCTTGCCTACCTGGTGGCAAGCGAAGTACGAGTCTATCATCATGAATCATGAGGATTGGGAGACTCGAGACCTGATTGAGAACTTCCGAGGGTTCTATCAGAAGATGATGCCTCAAAAACAAGCTAGTACGATCTCAAAAGCTTCGTTTTCAACATTCCAAGACTTCGAGGAGGCAGAAACAGATTCAGATCAGCCTCAGCAGCAGAAGCCATCACCGAAACAAGGAAGCAAACCACCGATCCCTAAGCGCTGGTGTCCTTGTGGAAATCGAGGGCATAAACTCTGGCTTTGCTACATGATTAATGACGCTGTACGCCCTCAGGGTTGGACAGTACAGAAAGCAAAGAAACAGAGAGTGGATAAGGCCCTTAAGGATGACCCGCAATGGAAGAATTGGATTGATATGAAAGTTAAGGAGTATAATGAGAGGCAGCATAAGGAAGAAAAGCCAGAGGTGGCCAACAGCGTTCTGCCCTCACGGATCTCCTTCTTCACGTCAACAGACCTTGCTGCAATAAACAGTGCACCAGAGAACTTCCAGGATCTGAGATCTCGATGGATCCTCGATAATGCCTCGTCGATGCATGTTTGCAATGACCGAAGCAGATTCACCACGTATACACCGACGAATTCGAGTCTAAAGACTGGTGACTTGACGACAAAGGTAGAGGGACTCGGTACAGCGGAACTTCGAGGTGTGGACCCTTCAACGGGCAAGGAGAAAGCTATTACGCTGAGTAACGCCCTATATTCACCGGGATTTCATACCAACCTTGTGTCGTACGGAGCGTTAAAGAAGAAAGGTGGACGCTGGGACGAGGATGGAGATTGCATTCGTGACCCTAATGACACACCAGTTGTCAGCCTGAAACCACTGGCTTCGTTGAACCTATGGGCATTTGATATACCCCAAACAGCAGGTCATGCCTATGCAGTACGAAGGTCTGAACAGCCAATTGTGGCAGAGGCCTCTGCAGAGATATGGCATAGAAGACTTGGGCATGTTTCACCACGGGTCGTACAGAAAGCAGCAGATATGGTTGATGACATTAAGATCAAAGGCGACCTATCAGTATCGAGTCAACCGACAGACTCAGTGTCGACAGAAACGAGCATTTGTGAGGTCTGCAAGCTATCTCATGCACCAAGACAGATCTCAAGGCGTCCTACTGGACAGACATTCGGACGGTATGGGCATGACCTGCTGTTTGGGGTATATCAAATGCCCATAGGTTCAACGAAGCCAGTGGTTTCAGGCTGACAACTGGTGTGTCATTAGGGTCACGAATGCAATCTCCATCCTCGTCCCAGCGTCCACCTTTCTTCTTTAACGCTCCGTACGACACAAGGTTGGTATGAAATCCCGGTGAATATAGGGCGTTACTCAGCGTAATAGCTTTCTCCTTGCCCGTTGAAGGGTCCACACCTCGAAGTTCCGCTGTACCGAGTCCCTCTACCTTTGTCGTCGAATCACCAGTCTTTAGACTCGAATTCGTCGGTGTATACGTGGTGAATCTGCATCACCACCTACTCCACCCTACGAAACTCCACAGGACGTGCCGCAGGATATGTCACAAGAAACAGATTTGAGCCCTGCCGCTGCTCAGGGGGCGGAGGACCAGCCTGAACAGCTGGCACAGTAGCTGGATGACGATCAGGAGCAGCCGCCAGGTCTCCAGGTCGAGGAAGAACAGGTGCAACTCTCAGACAGTGAACAACAGCTTCAGCAGGAGCTACGAGCTCCACGCCGCAGAGATGATGGCATCGATACATCGAATGTGATTAGCGGCAGCAGGAAACGAAAAGCTAGGGAGGATCGAGAATATGTGGCTCATGCCACTACTGAAGCCGAAGAACCCCTGAGCTGCTGAAGGCATTTGCAGCTGCCTTATACAGAAAATCCGATACGACGTCATCGAGATGACTTGCCATCACCACCGGGAAACTGGAAGGAGATGCTAAAGCATCCATACGCAGAAGGCTTCATGCAAGCATGTGCGAAGGAGATTCGTACGCTAACAGAAAAGTCAACGTTCACGGTTATGGATAGACCAAAGGACATGTCGAAGCAAGTGCTACCCTTGCGTTGGGTTTTTGCGTATAAATTCGATCAGGATGGCTATCTTGTGAAGCTAAAAGCTCGAATTTGTGTTCGTGGAGATCTTGAGACGATCAGTTCCGAAGAGAAGAGAGCAGCTACATTAGCTGCCCGTACAGCCAGGATGATCTTTGCCTTAGTGGCCGCATTTGATCTTGATCTCCGACAGCGAGATGCTGTTAGCGCCCAACAGCAAGTTATTGAAGGAGATCTATACACGGATGCCAGAAGGCTTCGACAGCCACGGAAGTGTTGGAAGCTCAATCGTGCATTGTATGGCTTACGGGTCTCACCGAAGCTATGGCAACAGGAGGCATCGATGGTGCTCACAAAGCTTGGCCTCCAAGTCGTTCCAGAAGACCCTTGCGTATTCGTGAAGAGAGGCATCATTGTCGTCTTTTACGTGGACGATATCCTTATAGCCAGCCATCCAAGTGTACGAGATCAAGCAAAGCAGCTTGAGAGAGACCTTGAAGCACACTGGGAGCTTACGGACCATGGTGAAGCAGAATGGTTTCTTAATATTCGAATACTGCGAGACAGACAACGGCATAAGCTATGGCTATGCCAAGATACATATATTAGCACTATTGCTATGAGATACCACCTTACACATCGCACCTGTCCTTACGCCACTACCTATTGAGGATTTGAAGCCGTACGAAGGAATGGCTTCAGCGGGAGAGATCAAGATCTACCAGCAGAAGGTTGGCTCAGCGCAATATCCCACCATCATTACGAGACCAGACGCAGACAAAGCGACGACTAAATTGCTCAATTCCTCACAAATCCTGGTCCACAGCACCAACATGCGATTGACCGAGTAATCTGCTATCTATACACGACTCGTTTCAGAGCGCTAGAGTACGGCACAGGAAGCGGTATGGAGTCCATCGAATTCGCCAGCGATGCGTCATACGGGGATAATCCTGAAGGAGCTCAGCAGGCTATATATGCCAGGTGTACGGAGGACCAGTAGATTGGAAGGCTTCAAAGCAGCCCACAGTTACCACATCTACCACTGAAGCAGAGCTACTTGGTTTGTCAGACGCAGCACGCTCTCTCCAGGGGTGGCAGCGGTTTATCTGCAGGATCCAGTTCGCCCCCGATCGTACGATATCAATTCGATGTGACAACAAGCAGACAGTTGAGCTATTGACCTCAGAACAAGCTAGAATCGACACGAAGCTTCGACATGTCGATATTCATGGACACTGGCTAAGGCAGGAGGTCAGAGAAGGTCGAATCAAGGTAAAATGGGTGCCAACAGGCCAGATGGTTGCAGATGGACTCACCAAGTTACTTCCTCGTCAGAAGCATAAGCACTTCGTCAAATTGCTCGGGATGACCGATATTAGTCACATGATCGACTAGCCTAAAGTTGAGACTGAGGTTAATCGAAGGGAGGGCTAGAAATGAAGGATTCCAGGCCGTATAGCTCTCTCTGCAATGGGAAGAGCTGAAGGGGTGCGTTGGAATCCATAGCTCGGAGGTGGATTATCTAAATTGCCGATTGTTTTGTCTTAGTTAGCTTGCCCCCATAAATTGCCGTATAGGGGCTATATAGCAATTCAGACTCTTTTTGCGATTCCATTGGTTGAAGCATATATCCACTACACCCTGGGTTGCGACTAAAGCCCCGACGATAGGTTTACCCGCGAAGAATCTCACTATACAGCTGTGACGAGGTGTGTGCTTGATCAACCTGCTAGAGTGACAATGGAAAAGGCCCCTGAAGACTTGGCTCTGCCGGCTGTGTTGGCCGAGGTGGCCAAGATCGGCTTCAATCGGGAGTGGGACGACGAGACCGACGAGTCTTGCGGTTGCGACTTCGAGCCCTACGAACACTTCGAGGCGCCAGAGGAGACTGCGTCGTGGTTTCGCCTGTGGACCGGTAACGACGAAGTCGATGGCAGGCAATTCCGTTTCTTCGGCTCGACCGCGGCAGGCGACTATGCCGGTTTCTGGCTGGTTCGACCAGACGCGACGGTCACCAGGCAGCCCGTCGTCTTTATCGGTTCAGAAGGTGAGCTCGGTGTGATAGCTCAGGATCTCGGTGATCTGCTGTGGCTGTTCGCAAACGGTTCGGGCCCAGCCGAGGCATTTGACAATCCAGGGCGTGAGACGCAACAGAACGAGGCGTTCCGCGTGATTGCAGAGAGATACGCAGCACGAAGGAGCCGCTCCACAGCGGAGATCGTCGCTACAGCACGGAAGGAGTTCCCAAATTTCTCAGAGCTCATCGGCGCGATGTGTCGATGAGCGAAAACTTGCCAGCACAAACCACCTGCCAGTGCCGTTGCAGGGCTGGGTAGTGCAGCCACTCCCACACGACACTACCGGAGCGCGTCCGGCTCCTGCCCCGGCAATCCTAACCAACCGGCCAAGCGAGGAGCACATACTCTACTGCTTCAATCCGGACACCGTGTGGAGCTGACCTTCCTGGGCCATAGCGACCCGGAAACAGCAAAGCTATCAATTCAAGTTCAAACCATATTTCAGTATATTTCAATATATTTGCTAGAGATGTCATGCCGGGGAGGTTGTAGGGGAGGGTTAATGCGTTCAACAATATAATTATGGGCGAAATCCTCGCAGGCCAGACATAAAGCTTATAGACTTCCCACCAATATGTTGAATGATAAAGAAGTGAGCGCGCTTAAGTGGCAGCTACGATTTGGGATGTTGCCGAGAGAAAGACGTCTTCACCAAGACATGAATAGTTTAAAACTGTTCAATCTGTCATCAATGAGAACGGCATCTGCTCAGATGATATCTGCAACTTTAATGAGACTGGTTTTGCGATATGCCTTATATCAGCATCAAAGGTGTTTACTCAAGCTGAGTATCATGGTCGTCGGGTAATTATACAGCCTGAAATCGTGAATGGGTGACTGTTACTGAGTCAATTGACTAGTTAACTAGTTAGTGCGGCTGGTTTTGCTTCCCACCATACATGATCTTCAAAGTCAAAAACCACAATATTAGTTGGCTTAATAGGCTCTCAAAAGTCTTGCAAATTGACGTCCCTCCAAACGGCTAAAATTCAGATGAAATTAGCATCTGATGGCTTCCAAATCTATTCATCCTAATCACCTCAACTCAGATGGTAATTTATGCCTCAGGCGTCAACGTACACCGCCCCCGATAGTTAGCATTATTCTGCCGCCGCCGCTCGCTTTTTCGTCGCTGCCGATCTCCGAATTCGCACTTGATAGACACCGTTCGAACTCTCGAAGCTCTCAAGCATGGTTTCCGCTGCGACAGTTGCACCTGCAGCTCCACAATCGCTCTCACTTCCTCCTCCGCAGTTCGCCCGGCTCCAGCCTCACGCCTACCTACTTGCCCACCTTTCTCCTCCAGTCGCAAGCAACCAGCCTTCAGCTCGCGCCAATGGCCGCGCCCCCTCGCAATTTCGAGTCACATCTGCAAACTCAGGCTCGTTGACCCATACCAATGGCAGTGGCATGGTGCGTCTCGGCGATACGACCGCCGTCTGCGGTGTGCGGGCCGAGCTTCTACACACAGAAGATATCCCCTCGTGGAGTGTTTCGCAGTCTTCGAATGCCAACAAGCGTCGACGCCTGGCGGACTCGATTAAACTCAGTGGACAGAGCGGGGATCATGAAGAGACGGAAGCCGAGGTGGAGGAAGACCGGGCCCATATCGAAGACCTGAATTTGCTTGTCCCGAATCTTTCGTTGAGCACTGGCTGTGCACCTGGCTTTCTTCCTGGTGCTCCGCCCGCCGCGCTTACTCAGGCGCTTTCCCATAAAATTCTCTCTCTTCTGCACAGCACGCGCCTGGTCCGGGCGGAAGACTTGCGGGTCTGGTATCAACCGCCGAACCTGGGCCCGGAGGAGTTGGAAAGGCATAATGATGAAGAGCACATGGACGTGGATGCGGATGAGGCTGAAAGTAAGCCTGCGGAGATCAAGGCCTTCTGGGTTCTTTACATCGACATCATGATCATCTCCCTCGCCGGAAACCCATTCGATGCAGCTTGGATGTCTGTGTTGACTGCTCTACGTGATACGAAGTTGCCCAAGGCTTGGTGGGATGTCGATAATGAGACCATTCTCTGCTCTGACAGCATCGCCGAGTCCCGCAAGCTCTCTTTGCGGGGACTTCCTATTCCCAGCTCATTCGGTGTCTTCGAGGCCGATGCTGCGGCGGGATGGCGTGCAGTTGTCATTCCAGATGGCGAGAAGCTCAAGGCTGAAGAGAAGAAGGGCACAGTGCAGAAGTGGATACTCGCAGATCCGGACGGCTATGAAGAGGGCTTGAGTCAGGAGCGAGCTTGTATTATTGTTGACAAGGAGCAGAACGGCAAGACGGTCATTGTTAGCATGGAAAAGCACGGTGGCTGGACGGTCGACACTGAGGACCTCCGGCAGTTAGTGGATATCTCTGCTCGGAGATGGGACGAGATGAAGCAGATTATGGATCAATGTTAATAGGGACCGTATCCTACGCTGTACGAGAATATGATACCACTTGTTTGATATTCCTCAAGAATCAGAATCGATTCCAAAACTAATACAGTAAAATGTTTCGCTTCGTTACAATATAATTCATGTTCGCACACTTTCCCTAATAGTGCCAGTGGCTAATGCAATAGACTCCTTCCAGTGAGTTCTTGCCAACTTCTCATCAGCGGCTCAAGATCACACGAGTTCGTACGCTTCCACTAAGAAAGGAAGGTTGATACTTCAAGAACTCGTGGACTGCTTTCGGGGCGTTCCCCGGCGTCTTTTCATTGGTGGTTCCTCGCCCCATTCGCCAACCCCAGGAATGAACACCACTTCATCCTCGGAGGATTTGTCATTAAAGCTTTCCTGCTTCTTGCTCTTGGACTTGCGTGGGAAGGAGATGGAAAACAATACCAGGTCCGAATCTTCCTTCTTTTTCTTTTTGCTCTTCTTGTTTTCGCTTTGGCTTTTCTTGGAGTCGGTTTGCTTGAAATCGTCGCTCGCAGCAGCCCTTCCAGAGTCCTCCGCCGCCTCTTCTGTCTCTTCCTTAGAATCCCCCTTTGACGACGAATCTTTAGGTGCATCTTTGAAAACATTGAAATCCCCAGAGAGGATACGCATGAACAAACCCTTGTGTTCATGGGTCGATTCATTCTTGTTCTTCTCATCGGCTTTCTTGGCCGACTCCCCCCCTTCCTTCGACTCGTCCTTGCCCTCATCCTCATCCTCATCCTCGTCTGCGTCTGAGAAATCTGACATGGCACGGAGGTCACCTTTCAAAAATGCAGTGCCCCAAAGGGAAATCAAGACACCGGGGACCAGATAGAGTAGTGCTGGCTGGGCATGATCAGAGTACTGCATGGCCAGCAAAGTACTGATCATTCCAAGCACGTACCCTATGATACCAGCCGTGAAGTATGTCTTGGGGAAAGACCGAGCATCGTAATAAGGAGGCTGGAATTCGGGCTCGCGAGGCGTGATAGTCGGTGCCCAAAACCGTTCACCCCAGAAACCAGTCGCGGGCTGATACTCCGGCTTGACAATTGACTCAGTTCCTTCAGCATGTGCCTTCTGCTGACCCTTTCGTTGGTAGTAGAGAAACAGGTCAAAGCGCAATGCGAGCGCCACCATCATTCCCGGAACGACAATGTCGCCGAGACCCAGCATCGCCAGTGCTTGAACACCAGGGTCATCTTTCGGGCCAGCTGGTCGCGGAAACAAGAGCTTGATCGGCACGTCCAGCTTCGTTGCGACTGTGACCATGATGGGCGTGAAGAAGACAAAATAGATATCATAGAAAAACAACGATCCCAGAATGCAGCTTCCTACCCAGAAGCTGACCGGAGACATGAATTGTACTGCACCGTAACTGAAGCTGAATCCAAAGAAGTTGGTGAGCCACCATGGCTTCGTGACAAAGGCGAAGTATCCCACAGTACCTATACCAACGATCCCACTGAGGAGATCGAGAAGGCCCACAAGGCCTTTGCCATCGATAATGCCCCGCACAAGGACGCGCAGTTTGAGCCGCTGGTAGGCCGCATTTCGCGAAGACCATAGAAGGACACGAATGCCTGCCGGCATCGGAATTCTACCGAAGAGGCCAGGAAGTGGTGAATGCCGGACTTCGTCGTCGGCTCGGAAAACGCGCTCGGCTTGGTTCGCTCGCCAAAGCTTTCCTCCAGAGCGGTAGTATCGGGGAAAGATAAAAGATCGCACGATCAACAGGAAATCCTTCAGGAATGCAACTGCGAAGAACACTCCCATCAGGGAGAAGTAGTAACCCAAGATCTTGTTGAGAATGGCAGCATCGCCTAACCACTTGATCACCAGGTACAAGCCACACAGGGTAATACCGGCTGTCAAGGGAAACATCAAGGCATCCTTAGCTTCCAACCCCTCCAGCTTGGGCTTGTTTTTATGGTCCTCATCGTCTTCATCGGCGGTGTCATCTTCCTTGCCTCCATCTTTCTTTTTCGGCGGTTTCGCTGCTGAAGTAGGTCTTGCCAGAGAGGCGTGTGCACCAATCCATATCGGGAAAAGAGAGGCAACGAGCAAGTGGCCGTAGGTGGGAAGAAGCGGCCTCATGCGCTCGTAATGATAGAGGGCGTGTCCTAGTAGCTCCGCGACGGGACTGATATCCTGAACCTCCGACATGGTTCCTCGTTACGCCAGTGATGGCTGTATTGAGAAAGAAAGAAGCGGTTTGGTGTCCGGGATCGTAAACAAGGGAGCGAAATTCAGTCCATGGTGGGCAGAGGATGGAAGGTGGGACGTGAAAGGTGGTCAATCAACACAACCGTTTGGCGGGTTCTGTAAGCTACCGCCAAGCTCCGCCGCGCGCAGTCTCCCGCCTTCCTCTTTTCCTCTAACAAGTCAACGACGCAATCCACATTCAAGCACTGCGCATACCCCAGACTTCACTATGGCGACCGAAGTGGCATTCGATACCTCTATGGTAAGCTTTTCCGTGCACTCTGTACAGTGAACAGCAGCTAATTCTCACAGGGCTCGTTCACCGTCGAGCTTTACAACACCCATGCGCCTAAGGTCAGTACAGCACCTCCGCCAACAGAGCCAGCTGGCCCTGTATTAACTCTCCCTTCCATAGGCCTGCAAAAACTTCGCTACGCTTGCCCAGAGGGGATATTACAACGACGTCGTTTTCCACCGTATCATCCCCAACTTCATGGTCCAGACTGGTGATCCCGCTGGAACTGGCCGAGGAGGAAGCTCGATCTATGGCGAGAAGTTCGAAGACGAGATTCGCGATGATCTGAAGCACACCGGCGCTGGCGTTCTGAGCATGGCCAACAGTGGTCCGAATACCAACGGAAGCCAGTTCTTCATCACCCTCGCGCCTACACCGTGGCTGGATGGCAAGCACACGATCTTCGGTCGGGTTAAGAGTGGAATGCGTGTGATCCAGAAGATGGGGTTGGTCAAGACCAACGCCGAGGACCGGCCAGTGGACGTTGTGAAGATTATTCGGGCGAAGGTGGTGGAGGAAACGGAGGAGTGAAGCAGCCAGAAGTCGTCGGCAGGACGAAGTCCTGCACACTTTTGGCTTCTCTTCTACATGGTTTCTGCGATTGACGCGTGCATCAATCATGGCCCTAAAAGGATGCACACTCCGCATCGTCTCTCACACTGTGGCGGTGAACCCCTCAGCGCACCCGGCGCAGATTGGGCTTGGGTTGCAGCAGCTTCGCTCATACCCTCAATCCTGAAGCATGAAGCGTAAGCATGAATCCGGGTTCGCGCCCATTACTACAGTGTACGAAATACATCGGACTGGAGCGAAACCTAGCAAGATATCCACCAATGCGATAATAGAGGAATGAATGTATCACTACAAAACGAACCGCTTCTATCAGATGTCACCATCTAGAGCAGCAGATACAGAGTGAATTCTGATCTACCATTCCCACAACGTCGACCAGTGAAGGCCTACGTTAAGAAACCCAGGATTGTCATATAATGACAGCCGGGTTGTGCAAGCACTGGGAGTGGCGTGGAGAAAAGAACGCCGATGAGCGATGCAAAATTTAATTTATGGTGGATGCGGTGAGTAATCATGTCATGTGACCCTCCAGTCTAGTGTTGATCCAGGAACTGTGGATACGGCATCTTGGAGTGTCCTAACCCAGTCCAAAGATCTAATCGTGTTATTGATGCTGCTGCCTTCGAATACAACATCGAGGGCCTGATAATATGCTACGACTGCATATCCATTTTGTGCAAGGCTGTGCTATTGATTACCCGGGTACCTCCCGAACGGACCGGAACGCACCCGCTTGTGTTTCCTGAGATGCACTATGAAATCATATCTCCCGTGATCTGTTCCAGTCGAAGATGAATCCCACAAGTAGTGTAGGTGCTTGAGAGCTCACTCCTTCTTCTGATCGGTATTTCCCCAGGGTCGTGGCCAATGTCAACCCGGAAACATTATTTCCCCATTTATCGAAGTGTTCAATTTCAGGACACCGGAACAATCCCGGTTACAATGTTGAGATCTACTACTATAGGGTTCGTCCTCTAAGAAAATCAAAGTTACCCCGCATTCTCCCCCGATCCACACGGAAAGAACGAGCCTCTAAGGTATCAATTTGTTCGAGCTTGGCTGATGTTTGAGAGTTCCTCTATGCTGTAGTGTTCCCATGACGTCGGCCATATTCTTCGACCCCTTTCCAGTTTTTATTCTCTCTGCACTACTTCTGTCTGGTCCTCTTCAGCAATTTGATCCGGGTTCTTTCCGAAAAATTGATTTAGACCCGGAACTCCTGGATTGATCAATATGCGTGGCTATATATGTGTCTTCCTTGCGCTTTTCTGCGTAGTTTCGACAGTCAGGTCGAGTGCGTTCAATGATATCAAGGACAAAACCATGGATTGGCTGGAAGATAAAGCCCTGGGGTGGATTCATGCACCACCAACCAACAAAATCGATACTCATCATCACTTCGTGCCATCATTCTATGCCGAAGGTATGCATGCTTCAAACTTGATCATGACGAGACAAAACTGACTGTGACCAAAAGCTGTTAAAAAGGCAGGAGGTAAGAAGGAAATTGATCCTCTTCCTTGCGGTTACTCATACCCTCACAGGAGACCCCAGCGGCTGGCCCACACCATATTGGACACCCAGAAGAAGCAAACTGATTATGAAACGACTGGGCGTCAAGACTGCCGTTTTATCCGTCACAGCCCCCGGTCCTTGTATCCTCAAGGGCCAAGAATCATTCAACTTGCGCGCAAATTGAACGACTATGCCGCTGAGCTGCGCGACAAAAATCCTGCGAACTTCGGCTTCTTCGCCTCCTTACCCGACATCTTGAACATAGACGCAGCTCTTTCAAAAATCGCATACAGCCTTGATACATTGCATGCCGATGGAGTCACTATATTCACTCGCTACGGTGACAATCATACATATCTCGGCGACGCCTCCCTCGAGCCAATCTGGGCTGAACTGGACCGCCGAAAGGCCATTGTCTTTGTTCACCCTACTCATCCTGTTGATACAACGATGGTCAATCCGAAATTACCACAGCCTGCATTGGATTACCCGCACGAGACTACCCGGGCAGCGATGGATATGATGTTGTCAGGTACCAAGTCGAAGTATCCAAATTGCAAGGTCATTTTGTCGCACGCCGGTGGAACACTGCCATACTTGGTGAGCCGGGTGGCCACTCCAATGCGCAAGGCTCCTGATTTCGCGACTCAGTATCGCATGGGAACTACTCATGACAGGATTATGGAGGATTTTAGAAGCTTCTATTATGATTTCGCTCTCTCCACTGCGCCGCATGTGCTTGATGTGGCGTTGAAGGTGCTTCCTCATGACCATATTCTATGGAGTAAGTGATGTCTAACAAAGCCACTCAATTTCGTCTTGGCTGATGACTTTTGGTTTAGAGTGATTTTCCGTACGCCCCCATCACGGCATACCCTGCTTTCTTGGAGGGCCTGGAGAACTATGAGATGGACGGGGATTTACGAGATAGAATCAATTATGGCAACGCTGCATCTCTGATTCCACGACTGCGGCAAGATATTTCTGAGAGACCGTGAGCCTTGCTACCTTTGCGAGTCCCTACTGTCTGGCTGCATAGGTTCTCCAGCTGTTGGAATTTTTTCCGTCTCTTATTTGAGACATATGCCACTCACTGACTACGGCAGGGTATCGCGACCAAAGCTCACTTTCCTTTTTTTTCGCCCACATTTATGCCCTGTTTTAGTTTGGTAGTTGATCTTTAACACCGGCCGCTGAAAGGCCATTCGAAATATGAAGATATTTTATATCCATACCACTTGTTGGAGCTTCGTCGAACGTACAAGATTAGGAGTGGCGATATTACCCAGCCCTGGAGGTAGGCAGGTGACTTTTCAGATGACTGTTCAGATGACTGTTCAGCTGATCGTTCAAAAGACTGCTTGCGAGACTGCTTCGATGACTGTTATGTAGGGCGGTCAGATTGAGGTGCAGATCTCTATATCTCTATAAAACAGGCGTCAAGCCCGACTGAAATTGGAAGGTGAGCTCCGGCCGCTATACCGTTCCGTACAATGATGCACATCCGGGTAGATGTCACATCGAAGATTTGTCATTAGAAATATCATTATTCTTCCTATCCAACCAGTGGAATAAAAGGTACATTAAGAACTTTCCGCCGCTTTTTACTGGGCAGTCATCTCCCCGGCATCGAAGTTCTGACAGAAGGAAGACAAGAGGTCGTCAAATTCTGCTTCGTTTCCAGTGAAAGAGTGGCTGCCTGGATCTGAGGTCGAGACGATGTTGATAGGGACTGTTTCTTCTCGCGGTTTCAGGTCAAGCTTCATCTCATGGCTGTTGCCATTCTTCACTTCTAGTGTTCGGTATTTCCAGACTTCTTTGGATCTTCCGTCTGTCAGTGAGTTGAGTGTTGGCTGGACGGCACAGGACGACATACACTATCCGTTTCCAGGCTTCAGCCGAGAGCTGTACGTCGTCAAAAGACCAATCGAATGTCTCTCGTACGACTGGCTCGTCGGTCGGGTCATGATATAATGACAGATAGGGATGCGAAAGAGCATCTTTGGCGTTGATTCTCTCATTGACGTCGAATACTAACATTTTCTCGAGCAAATCATTTGCTGGTAATATTAATATGAAGTGATTCTTTCTTTCTTTCTTTTTTTTTTCCTTTTTTTGTGATATTGGAAAAGATGCATACATACCCTGCTTGTGGAATTCAGGGAAAATCTCTCCGAAGGGTCTGCGTTCGCATTTTGGTAATGATTTGACGTAGCTTTGAGTCTGTGTTGGGTCAGCATGTCTTTTCTAAAGGGACCAGAGGGGGTTTAGCTCTACACTGACGTGGTTGTTGGTAATCATATCTACAATCCATACAGGAGGATTGCCCAGTAAATTCACGATCACATTAAATTGATCTGCATGGCTGGTGGCAGGGAAAAGCGGCTTCCCCTGAAGCATCTCGGCAAAGATGCATGCCGTGCTCCAGATATCGACCTTGGCTGAATACTTTTGCCAGGTAAGCATGATCTCTGGTGCACGGTAGATTCTTGTCACCACGTAGCCAGTCATCTGGGGTCGCTGCAAGCGGGCATGTTCGAATCCACCGATTTTCAAGTCGCAATTCTCGTTGATCAGGAGATTTTCTGGCTTGAGATCCCGATGTATAATTCCCGCTGAATGAACATATTTCAACCCTCTCTGAAAAGGTATTATATTAGCGGCGTCTCGATGCGACTGGGCGAGAGGGTTCCATACCAAAATTTGATACAGAAAATACTGAGAAAAATCATTCTCGATGGGCCTTTTCGAAATAAGCCGCCGTAGATTGGTCCACATGAGCTCTGTCACAAAATACCTGTCAACCGCAAATTAGAGAGAGGATAGGTATTCTGCTGGCCTTCGTGCCACGTACAAGTCCTCTGTCGGGGAGATGAATAGATCTTTCAAGCCGACGATCTTGCGTCATGTTAGCGAAAAGGCACTGATAAGCTCGATGCTAACAGTGGCCCCGCATGATCCAAGCTTCACTTACATTCTCGTGTCGCAAATACCGCAACAGCTTAATTTCGCGCAGAGCTCGCTTGGCGAGTATGGGGGAGCCGAAGGGCTTGGTGACCTTTCGGATTGCGACCACATTATGCAAGATCTGATCCTCGGCGGAGCTAATGATGTTCGTCAGCCAACGTGTCCATTCCAACATGTCCACGCCTTCCACTAAAGCAAGACAGACCAGACAAGACCCGCCGCATCCAGTTCGACCGCCTGCAGTTCGGTGTATCTACGATCGCGTCAGTGATGCTGCGATATCTTCGCGGACGGACACGCGTCGGCCTACCTGCGTGTGATTTGGAAGGTCACTCCCATCACCTGCGTGGAGGTGAAGTCGGCCATGGTCAAAAGAAAAGCAATGGAAAGTAGCTGAGCGCGGGGAGTCGGACAGGTTAAAAAAAGAGAGGCGCAAACAAGAATCAGCTCTGCAAGGCAATCTTGCAACAAGGAACCCAGCAGCAGGAGGGGCCAGAGCCGTGGGAAGTGTGGCGGGGGGTCGCAGCCTAGCCCAGACCGCGGAAGGTCGACCTGGACCACGTTTGCCCTAGACCCTAACCAGTTCCAGTCCCCCGGGCTGGAAGACCAGGAACGAGCGCCTGGTTTCCAGGTTTTCGCTGTCGTTGCTTTCCCCGTTTCTATAAATGCCGGTATTCCCAATTTCGTTGACTTCCGGTTGTCCCTATGCCTGTCCCGCGAGCATTCCAACCGCATACGTGCAGCCTACGACGGGATAGAGATGGGCTTTCATATAATCAATCGCTAAATAGGAATCCCGGATTCCATCCTACTTCACATGAACTGGCAGCCGATATGGCACGCTGAGCTGGGCGGCATGGCTGAGATGAATTCGCTCGTGCCTACATCACCCTCTCCTCGTTTCGCCAGATCAGGTCATTCACATCATTCACCCAAGCACATGCCTAAGCAGCCCGTGGTCCACGCTGCACGCTGCCGACTACCGTGATTCCCGCGGTTTTTCCATCGCGATATCCGAAGCACGTTGACGAACTGAAGAAATGGGCGTGTCTCGCAAAACTGATATCGCGTGGTCTAGTTCAACGGATGACCCACTTGCGACGCTGCGGTCCCTGGAGTCCTTCCCGATGGTGCGGTAGGACGCAGTCTTCAGAGGTCTGCTGGCCCCGTGCAATATGCAGCATTCTTCCGCGATGGTCGTATCCGCGGTGGAGGACAGGCCAACGGTTCTGCGATGTTCGATGGCTGTGATGCATGTTCATAGATCGCCGTCGTGTCGAATTGCGGCCGCTGATTGGTGGACTGCGTGCCGTCCAAGCGGTGGTCTGCCCTGCTCGGCTGGCTCCGTCTGGCGTCATCCTCAGCCGCGCGCCCGTACATATCCGCCACTGCCAGTTCCACTGTGGCGGGTCCGTTGCACAGGTCCCTGAATCAGTTCATTAGATCCCGCGAATGAGATCGGTGCTGTTGGGCTTTGCCACTCTTACCCCAAAATTGGAAAGAGTTCTCCTGTGGAATCAAACAGTGTCGCCTGCAAGTAGTCCTCTGTACCTACGGGATTACCGTATACTACATACTGCCATTATCATTCGAGGCTGCCACTCGGTTATGTCGTGTCCCCACACGAAAAGATTGGCTGGAATTGCACCCAGGGGGAATTACGAAAGAGCGTTTCTAGTCTATTCCAGAAATCGCCGATTCCGTGGGACAGCCTCCCGGTCCGATGGCCCACTGTGTATCTCCCTCATTAGGATAAGCACCCTCATATACTTCTTAGCCGCGAAGGCCTCGCCCGTGCACTTGTCTACTACTCCTCTTCACCTCCCACCCCCCTTTCCGGTCCTCCTTTTCCGACGCTCTCGGCCTTGTCCCCACCACTCGACATTTTCCCCACAGCCTCACGCTGTCATCTGATCTTCGTCACAAACATCATTTAGCGCTTCTGGTTTTCTCGATCGCCGATCGTCCTCTTGCCGCGATCGACTTGTGCCTTCACTGCCCCTCCTCTGACTAAGACAATCATTGTACCTTCGTCGGCGCAGAACAGGTTTTTTGGGTACAATCATCGGTGGTTTTAAATGTCCGGTTGATTGAAGCTCGCGTCGACACCCTCTTCATTGTTGCGCAAAAACATATCCACCATGGAGCCTGCGTCTCCCACCAACCGTCAAGAAGACCATGCGGCCGGCCGCCGCGCCCGCGAAGTATACCGGTACTTTCGGCCAGAACGCCCAGCGCCTATCTACAAGAATGCATCATTATCCAGCAGTGGGACCAGTCAACTCGACCTCTCTGCACAGCCCGATCGATTGCCCGAGGTACAAATACAGAATTATGATGCTCCCGCGCCGTCGCAGACAAGCGCCCCACAAGAATCGCGCGAGCCGACCTGGGCTCCCTTGGGAGCTCTGCCCGAGTCGATGGTGTTGGGCAACTCCAGCTCAACATTAAATTCATTCGCACAACTCGCCGCGTTGCGACTCAATGTCGATCGCGTCTTCATTAGGTACGAGAACAAGAGCAATGACCCAGAGGCTTCGTCAACTCCATAACTAACTGCGTGATTCAGCGTGTCTGATCGCGACTCTCAATTTATCATCGCACAGGCAGCCCAAGCGACAAGGGACAACAACAAGTATGACGGCCTCAGTGATGGTGTTTATACGGGCTGTTCAACACTTGATGTGAGCTCATGGACCATGTGCAAGGTTAGTTTCACGTTAAAAAGGATGACTAGTGGATCACTGCTGATTCGGTTTATACCAGGACACTGTTGCGCTCCAGCCATCCAACCGAGAAACGGGAGAGTATAACTTCATCGTTTCCCATGACCTCAGCGAGGATGATCGATACAAGGACCTGCCAATGGTCAAAGACGACCCGAAATTCCGCTTTTACGCCGGCACCCCACTGACCACCGATAAAAATATCAATCTCGGATGTTTCTTTGTTCTTGACACCAAAACGCATCATGACTTTACCGACCTGGAAAAAGAAACGATGGGCCATATGGGTATGCTCATCATGGACTTTTTAAAGGTCAGTCGCCAGGCATCCGAAGGTCGTCGCGCAGCCCGACTGTCGCATGGTCTCAATTGCTTTGTCGAGGGAGGCTGGAGTTTTGCCGATGAATCGCAAAATCCCGTTCTGGGTGCCATCAAACAGAAGGCCCGCGCTGAGTCGTCAGAAAATCCTGCATCTGCGTCTTCAACTCACCGGGATCAACTAAGCGTACAGGGATCGCGCTCCCGTAGCAGTGGCGCCAGCTCGTATCGTTCGGCCTCAACAAATCATAACGATGCAGAACCACCCCAAGATGATAAGGCTTATCCTGAAAATACTGGAGAGGACAAAGTACAAAGCACGACATGGACATTCCAAAGAGCTGCCAACCTGATCCGCGAAAGCTTGGAGTTGGAAGGTAGTGACGGTGTGGTTTTTGTGGAGGCTGGGAACGCCCCCCTGCGCGAAAGCAGCTCGGACAGTGATGCCTCGAGCGCGGCAGATACCAGCAAATCGGCCTCGGTTCTGGCGATCTCGACCCAGGACAACCCCAACGACAAGACCAGCAAGTCCCCTGTCTCTCGCTCCATCCAATACCTACACGAAGATTTTTTGCGCCGCCTGCTCAACCGATATAACCGGGGGAACATTTGGTGTTTTCATCGAGATGGCATGTTGTCGAGCTCCGATGGCGAAGATTCGGGATCATCATCTCGGAAGAGTCGCGGGAGAGAAAGACCGTCGACATTACGAAATAAGGCCCAAAAGAAAAGGAAGGCTACAGAGAACACAGTGCTCAACAGGTGTTTCCCCGGTGCCACCCAGATTCTCTTTGTTCCTTTGTGGAATTCTGCAAACTCTCAGTGGTTCGGTGGGTTCTTTTGTTGGAATACGGTTGAGAGCAATGTCTTCAACCCTTCCGTGGAACTTAGTTCCTTGCTAGGCTTTGGGTCGTCCATTATGTCCGAATGCAACCGAGTCGAATCACTGATCGCTGATCGACAGAAAGCGGATTTTTTGGGAAGTATCTCGTAAGTTTGGTATACCCTCGCTTCTCCGACTTCAAAGACTAACAACATTGCACAGCCATGAGCTGCGTAGTCCCCTCCACGGGATTCTAGCAGCCGCGGAGATGATGCAAGATACGGAGCTCGTGTCATACCAAAGCTCCCTCATGGATACCATTGATGCCTGTGGACGAACGTTACTTGATACGATGAATCAGGTGCTCGACTACAGCAAAATTGTGTCACTTGAGAGACAGCTCCGGCATCTGAAAAAGCAAAAGACATTTTCTCCAAATCGGAAACACTTACGTTCTCTTGCCACCCACTTGGACCGCTATACTCCGACTGATATCTCTGTACTAGCCGAAGAGGTGGTGGAGGGTATGTGTCTCGGTCATGCTCACAGCCATAAAACCGCATCCCCTTCATTACCGACAGACGGCACGAGAATCACGGATACGACGAATGATTCGAGCACGCCTTCACCGCAAGTGGACGTGGACATCGACATCGCACCCAATGACTGGGTCTACTATACCCCTCCGGGAGCACTACGTCGCATCATTATGAATGTCTTCAGCAATGCAATGAAATATACCACCAAGGGGCGGGTCTCCTTGCGCTTGGAAGTAAAGGATTCTTCTGAGCCACGTCAAGCCCAGAAGCGAGATCAGGTGACCCTCACCGTTTCCGATACGGGCAAGGGTATTTCGGAAGGTTTCCTGCGCGGGAGGCTTTTTGTACCATTTGCACAGGAGGACACTCTAGCTAGCGGGTCTGGACTTGGGCTCTCGATTGTTCGCAGCCTCTTGAAGTCGCTAGAAGGCAGCATCAATGTTCAAAGCAAACCAGGCGAAGGAACGACTGTCAAAGTTACTCTTCCTCTTTCTCGGCCGGAAGCTGACGATTCAGACGGCGTTTGTCGTCCCGTGCTCCCATCATCCCTGAGAGGGAGAGAGGTTGTTCCGAATGAGTCCAACCATCTTCTAGCAGCTTATCCCGGACGAAAGGCTGCCATTCTCGGTCTGGAGCCTGAAGATGCTTTTAAAGATCAATCTTGGGCATGTATATCTCGCTATTTGACCGAGTGGTACGGGTTCAATCTGGTATCCGCATCGTTCGAGGCTCCCATCGACATCCTTCTGGCTGAAGAAATGCCTTCGGAAGAAGATTTAAGCAAGTTCTCTACCATCTCAGCCCTTCTGCTTCTGAGCAACAAGGGAATGAGCTATGATACGAAGTCAGTTTACTGGCCTTCAATCATCAATGTTGTCAACGTCGTGAACCGCCCATGTGGGCCACACAAGCTTGCACGATTTATTCGAAAAGGTCTCCAACAGTCACGGGAACTCATAATTGGTTCCGTGCCCACCTCTCTAGCTAAGAGGCCCAAAAATACACTTATCAAAGAGGTCAACCCTATTCCCGACCAATCTCAGCCACCACCTGACAAAAATTCATCAACTACTCATATCAACCCTACTCCGAAGATGGAAAAGTCAGATGATCCGAAGAACAAACGTGAACCCCGCATTTTGGTCGTTGAGGATAACAAGATCAACCTCAATCTCATGCTCACATTCCTGAAGAAACGAAAGGTACCAGCATTCAACTCGGCAGAGAACGGCCAATTGGCAGTTGCTGCCGTCAAGGAAGAGCAACAAGGCTACGACATAATTTTTATGGGTAAGTATATATTCAAGACAAATAATCAAAATTGATGCACTAACTCCCCATTCAGATATTTCTATGCCAGTCATGGACGGCTTCGAAGCCACGCGCAATATCCGCGCTATTGAAAGGGAACGCAATGGCAAAACGAAACCAGCTATCATCATCGCCTTGACGGGGCTGAGCAGCTCTCACAATGAATTGGATGCACTTGAATCCGGAATGGATTTTTTCTTGACGAAACCTGTTGCTTTTAAGCACGTTACGAAAATTCTTAATGAGTGGTCTGAGACGGGCCTGCAGGGGCAGAGCCAGAAGGTCTGGGCTCAAATTACTTCATAAGTTTTGTACATAGATTATTATACCCGGAATCTTACGCGTGAATGACTAAATTACGCAAGGAAATGATGCGTTTAAATTAAACGACTGTGGATAGTCAGGACGAAGCCAGTTGTTGATGTTGATAATTCCTCTTGAGAATTCAGTGTGACGTAAGATGATGTTGGTAGGTTTGAACTCTAAGCTACGTCACACGGGTAACAGCACATTATTATACATGCTCTATCAATATTCAAAACAGTCTTTTAAACAGTTTTCTAGACAGTCTTCTGAACGGTCAGCCGAACGGTCAGCCGAACAACTATCTGAACAGTCACCTAATAGCATAGACCACTCCTAATCTTGTATTCAAGAAGCCTCAACAAATGCTACGGATATGAAACTTTTTCCTGTTTCTAGTGATTTTTCATCTGTCGGTGTTATATCAGCCATAGATTAAAAGCAGGGCATCAACAAGGGAGAAAAAAGGAAAGCGAGCTCTGGCCGTTATATCCTTCCGTAAGTGTTGATCAGTTGTGGCCCACCGCGGGAATAACTAAAACCGGAGCTCACCGCCTTCCCGCACAAAACAGCTCCGCGGCCTCGAGTTTTCCTCTTTTTTTTTCCCTCTCCCAGTGCTGTGAGCCTTCTCCATTCCTTGGAATTCAGGGATGCTCGCGAGGACTTGAACCAGATTCCGCTTGATCTTATGCGAGTTGGATCACCTGCTGTAATTCTCTCATAACACTGGCACAGCTCAAGCCTCGGTCGTGACATTTGAAACCATGGAGTCACTTGCAGACACAAAGTGGGATGTCATTATTGCAGGCACTGGGCTGTACCAGTCTCTGCTGGCACTGTCAGTCCTCTTTTCATGACTGCCGGTCATTCATTGCTAACAGCGACCAGAGCACTCTCGCGATCCGGAAAAAAGGTCCTTCACTTGGACCAAAATCCACACTATGGCGGATCGGACGCGGCGTTTAGTCTGGACGAGGCACAGGAGTGGATGAACAGTGTCAATCAACGTGGGTAGCTGCCGAGGATGTCCTTCATGCTGACCTGTCTCTGATTACTGTCGTCTGGTAGGTCCAGGCCGGTCTCCGTTCGAGGATGCCAAAATTTTCACGTATCAACATCCCCCGGATTCTCCACGCTCGCCGCCTTCCCAAAGTGACTCCGAGCAGAGTGAACGTCCAGCTGGCACACCTGATTTACGTCCTAAGCTGGCCGCCAGTCGAGCCTACACTCTCTCCCTCTCCCCATACTTCCTCTACACCCGGTCGGCACTAATCTCTATCCTAATCTCTTCCAAGGTTTACCGTCAGCTCGAGTTTGTCGCGCTGGGAAGCTGGTGGATTCATACTCCTGACAGTCCCACCAACGACACCGCCGAGCTGGGCGCTACAAGAATCTTCCACCGTGTCCCGGGTAACCGGGAAGATGTCTTCGCTGATGCCCACATCAGTATGAAGTCTAAGAGGACACTGATGCGGTTTTTGCGACACATCAGCAAGTCACAGGATGAAGATAGTGGGGAAACCGACGGAGACTTGTCGGTGCCTTTTGGCGAATACTTGTCTACCAATTTCAGCGTTCCCGATGATCTGCTTCATGCTCTCCGCTCGCTCTCGTTGTCCCAGCAGTCTCCGCAGGATACCCCTGCAAGCTATGCTGTTCCTCGTGTGAAGAGACATTTAGCATCGATTGGTTCAATGGGCGTCGGATTTGGCGGCGTGGTATCGAAATATGGCGGTGCATCTGAGATTCTTCAGGTCGCCTGTCGCGCTTCTGCGGTAGGCGGAGGCACCATTGCCTTGGATACCGGCATCTCGTCCCTTAAGGACGGCGGAGTGACATCCGAAGAAGAACACCCGGTTGAGGTACAAATTTCCAGTGGGGAAACGGTCCGAAGCAAGTGCGTGGTTGGATCTGTCTGGGATCTTCCGAACCAAGAGCTACCATCGCTCTCCACTAAGGTGGCACGGTCGATTACTGTTGCCTCATCAAGCTTCGCCTCTTTGTTTCCTATCACTACTGAAGGAGCTCCCCTCCCCGCCAGCACTATTCTCATGTTCCCTGGCGATACATTGAGCCACCCACAGTCGCCTCCAGTGTACCTCCAGGTTCACTCGAGTGACACCGGCGACTGTCCTCGTCAGCAGAGTAAGTTCTATCTGTCTTTTTTTTTCTTTACACCTCCACCCTCCCAGCTCATATGATGACTACCTTTAACTTATCTACATTGCCTGTAATTGCATTGATGAAACCAATCTATCATCAACTGATCACGAGCAACCCCATTACAATTGTTATCTCACTGGAATTGTTTTGGTTCATATGACTAACAGAAGTCATCACAGGTGTTATCTACGGCAGCGTCGCCATCCCTGGCTCCGAAGGCCACACTCTAATTGAGTGTGCGGTAGACCGACTCCTACGCGCTGAGGGTCCTCAGGCCGTCGTCTTGTGGTCCATGCGGTACACCCAATCGGGCCGACTCAGTACTGATGGATCATCGCCCAATATCCATAATCCCTCGCCCCATGTCTTCAGCTTCCCGCCGTCTAGCTTGGATCTGACGTGGGAGGATGAGATTGTCGACATGGTCAAGCAGGTTTGGGTTAAGATTGTAGGAGACGAGGTGGACCATGACGACTTCATGATTTTTGAAGATCGTGAAGGCACCACTGATGATTGATTGTAGCGTTTTTATAGCTTCATGATCCCGCTTGACGGGCTTGTACAGACATGATATCCAATATGATGATTAATGTTTTAAGTCGAATGGTTCATTGTAAAATACCGGTCGTAATAACTAGGCCAATTACTTTCCTCGCCTTAAGCATGCTTCACCTAGCAACTCGATGTCCACCCCCTCAGGTCACAGCATAGACATCCCAAATACCAAGCCTCCCCCAAAACACCCAGTCCAACAATCCACCTCTTCCAACCCCCATTCGAAACATCATTTCCCTCCCGATCAAACCCAGGCTTCACAACAGGGACAAGTTTCCCAAGCTTCACATCCGAGTAAGGCGGATATCTGGCCGCCATAACGCCCTCCATCCAAGCAGGAAGCGCATTCGTGACCGTCCTCAAATCCGAGAATTCGCGAATTCCGTACGGACCATGATAATATCCGTGTCCACTGCCTCCGCTTCCGCCAAACGGTGCATCCTTGGCGATAACGTGTAGAGTGCAATCGTTGAAGGTGACGCCGCCGGATTGTGTTTCGGTGAGGATGCGTTCTTTTTCGGAGGTCGATTGCATGAAGGCGTAGATTGCTAGCGGGGTTTCTGTTTGTCTGGTAAAGGTGATGGCTTGGTCGAGGGTGGACTCTAGGATTGGGAGAATGGGGCCGAAGAGTTCTGTTTGGAGGAGCGCGTCGTCTGCGTCGAGGTTTGTGACTATCGTCGGGGCGAAGAAGAGGGTTTCACGGTTGCGAGAACCGCCGTACACTATTTGGCCCTTTGTTTGTTTTAGTAGGGTGTCGAGACGGTCGAAGTTGCGAATGTTGATGATATGCGTGTAGTGCTCTGCTTGGGGTTTGCTACCCATGAAGGTGGCGAAGTGTTTGATTAAGCTGGTGATGAAGGCCTCTTTAACACTTGGGTCGACGAGGACATGATTGACGTTGAGGCAAATCTGGGCTCCTGTTAGCTGTCTGTTATTTTCTTCAAATGGATGCTGGATGTACCTGGCCGGCATTGGTGAACTTTGTCGCCGCAACATGTTTCGCGGACAGCTCAATATCAGCTGTTGCCGTAACAATCGCAGGCACCAGTCCTCCCAATTCTAAAGTGGTCGGGGTAAGATGCTTCGCAGCTGCAGCATGAACAATCTTGCCGACGCTGGCTGAGCCTGTATAGAATATATGGCCGTAGCGTCTTTCAAGAATATACTGCATCTCCTGTGGACCAGCGCTAATACACCGAATAGCATCACGGTCCAAGTATTGAGGGATGATGTCGAGGAGTAGATCTTGCGTAGCAGGCGCCATATCTGATGGCTTCAGAATCATCGTACAGCCGGCGGCGATTGCAGCAACCATGGGCTGGAGGAGAAGCAGAATTGGGAAGTTCCAGGCACCGATGATCAGTGCGATTCCCTTTGGCTCTTTGCGTATAACAGTGCCGCCGAAGAAATTGAATAGATCCCGTCTTGTCGGCTTCTCGTCTCCGGTCCATTCGTCGAGCTTTTCGAGCGTGCGGAGGATATCGGCTTGTACCATGGCGATGTCTGAGAGGAAGCTCTCTTGACGGTGTCGGTGGAGGTCTGTGTAGAGTGCCGAGCTGATACGGTCTTTGTTGTCTTCGATCATCCACCAGGCGCGCTTGAGCTGTTGTCTCCGCCATCTTTTACTCGTGGTGGTCCCTTTTGCAAATACATTCTGCACGCTGGCGTAGGCCTGGGACGTCAGCTTGATGTTTGGCATGAATGTCAGAAAGAAGGAACTTACTTCATCGAACTCGGCGACAGAACTGAACCCCATGTTGGTTGTTTTTGTCTTGGCTGTCTGGTAGATGGAGATAGCCGTCGTGCTCCTGCTTGGTTATATGGGCGAGCACCTGCCTTGTGCCAAGCTTCACGGCACGATCGCCATCACCGCCGCTTATCCATTTGGAGCAACATTTGAAGTGTGGGGAAACCTGGCCTCGGTAACTGTCTATCCTGTACATCCGACCGGACCGAGGAGTGTCATTGTGCATGAACGCGGCCTACGTACTTGCACATGCAGGAATCAACCCAGTTTTCTGGCAGGCGGCCTTCCACCATGACTGGCTTGATGGAATTCCGGAATATTTGCAGTCTGGTTTGCTCTTTGTGGGGTCTTGGGGTGACACGATGCCTACACCAGTGTAGGTATGATATTTGAAGGTTAAATGTACCGTGAGACTAGTCTATCTTTGTAGGTATGCGTGGTGATGGAGGCACCAGCGGGAGGTAGTATGTTGGCCCTGTGGCAGCCACAGCGGAAACAGCCGTGTGGAATTCGCCGCGCTTGGGTATTTTCTTGTAAAGATATATTCTCATAATCTCAATTTATTTTTAATTATTTTCTTTTTTTGGATAAATGTCTAACGTAGACCGCACCGACTTTGACAGTCAGAGACAATCATGACGGTTCCATGTCCAGGTGCTTTCCAATTCATGGGGATGTGATCTGGATGATTAGGACTTGAGTTGTGTCGTGGTACACCCTCGTATACTAACAATACCTATTTTTTGGAGAAATATTCTGTACTAGTCAATCAAATGATATACATATCTTTTCTACGCTATTATTCTGCTCGTTTATGTAGAAACAAGTGTACCAGATACCTACACTGAGTAGTGTGCCCACGCCTGGCTGGAATTTATAGCTAAAGTGGTGGGGATATATCCGTGCTCCGCCGCCCAACGGACATCCAACCCAACGCCAATCAGCACCACCACATCGTGACACCCGATGTCTGCTTCATGCGCCCCATGAATTCTACATCCACCCGAAGCAATGAAGAACGCCCGACCCATCCGAAGATGAATTCCGCTGCCGCGGACTCCGCACGGGCACGCGGCGTCGAGTCTGGCGGGACAACAGAGAAAGCTTCATCTCCGTTCGAGGATCAGGACAAATGACGATCCCCGCCGAGCCTATCATACCCTGCCCAGGTGGTCTTCGGTAGTCTGATTAGACCTGTGCCTGACGTGTTGTTCTTCGGACGACCCCGTGCTGAAGAATCTAGTCTCAGCCTTGAGAGCGTTCTTTGGTGGGGTGTTTCGTGTTTCATCAACTGCAGCCTTCAGGCACAGTACCTGAGGATAGGTATCACAGAGGAAGGTTCGGACTGCTTATCTGCAGGCCCCGCCGCTTTGGACCCTGGCGGTCATTCCTATTTGCTCGAGTATGTGTCCTGGGGGACGGTACAGATACAGGGTATGGTTCACACTGTCTGCAGGGTCGGTGTCTACTGCCCATAATTGGTGATGATCGGTACCCTCTGCTGGTGTGCACATCCAGGTTCTGTGCCTGATAAGCTACAGAACGCGAAGCAGGACAGGCGCAGCACGGACACACCATCTCACCCAAGTCTGCCAACCAGATGGCCGCGAATGCCGTTCACACGAGGGTTACCCAAGCCGGCGAGGCCCAATGGCGGACCGTTCGGGGCGGATCCTGCGCGATGGCAACACAGAATGGCGACGAATGGCATCATTGGGCTGGCATGATTGCAGCTGGTGGTCCCTGGTCTCACTCTAGTCCAGCCACCTTCGGCAGACCTTGCCATTATGCATATCTCGACTTCATCTTCGGGGTCCCTCCTTTTCTCCCTGACGAGGGGTTCCTGCAGACACTGTCTGGCCTCACTGTCGAATTGTGCCTTTTCGCAATCTATATTTGTCTCGACTCGGTCCACATGGACCAGAACATTCTACACATCGTCTCTCCGAACCGAGAGGCAAAGAGGGACTGGCGATCAGGGGCCGGGGGACCCACTTGGTCAACCTGACACGCAGGCTTTCAGGGTCTGTAAGATTACCGGCTCCGTACTCTGCCCCTTTCATTTTTAGCTTATTGGCAGCCCCTACGGGTTCCCTTAAGAGTGCCTGAGGGCATCGTTGGTGCCAAATCCTACGATGACAGCATCGCCAAGACACGCTTCGAGCTTAAACCCCGTGGAGTCGTCCTGCAGAGGATTCGTAAGACTCCGTCTAGGCAAACACATACACATAGCACTCCCCTATGTACGCCATCGTCAACTAGACTATTGTCCAATATATCGTCCTAATTTACTGACGAAGGACGTTGGACCTGCCAAGTCTTCGGCCCTGATGGTGACCTTGCCAAGGGCGTCACGACACTTGGCCTAATTTCCTCGGGGGCACCACCTGCACCGCGCCTCCATCGTGAGAAGCCCTACTTGGCTTGAGGTTAAACGTCGCTTAGAAAACCAACGGTAGTGCGAATCTGTCGTGAGATGAGAGTCCTGGCAGTGCGTAGTACATTGATTAACTGTTGGAGTACTTCTGTGAAACGCCACCAGGGTTAATATATATAGAACATCGCGCTGCCCATGACTCAGCTGTCTCAAGCAACCTGAGGCTGGTCGCCTTGGATCGCCTCTCGTCGCCTCCTGTGCTCTTTTTTTCCATCTGCACGCTCCTGGCCTGAGCCCAGGGCCAAATGGTTCCTATGTCGATCATGGCCCACTGCGCAACTGGTCCGGCTGAGTCGCCACCGCGTCCCAGCCTGCGCTGTTGGTGTGTGTCTGCTGAACGACTCCGCGATAAGCTTTCAGGGACCTTCGGAAGTTGGACAAGGCTGGATGGACGCGCAGTCCATGTTCCACGGCGTTGGCGACGCCCATTCGATACTGGCGGCGCAGTGAGGGTGGTGGAGAGGACACGCGTCGGTGGGGCCAGTCTGGGCCGGGTGGCCACCGCGGCGGGCGCTGAGTGGCAGACAGCCAGGTGACGAGCTGGGACGCCAGGGCGATCGACTTCAGATCATTTCCTGGAGGGCTGTAATTCACCGATACACAGTACAGAGGGACTCAGGTACAGTATCTGATACATTGGAGAATACATGTACTATAGACTATCGGACTTGTTATGGCCGCCATTCTAGAGGACTACATGTGTAGACATTTACTGTACTATTATACTAGTCCCATTGCGTGAAATTCGATTATACTGTCATTCTATCTTATACTATTCCTCCTGTGAACATGATTATGTCGTCGCTACGTAAGTGACGTGATCAATACCGTGGGTGCTCGCGAGGACTGCGATGCCATAGTCATCATGATGGGATGATTGTGGCAGGGGAATGGCCAGGAATTCACCCTGAAGCGGGCGACAAGACACAAACGGCACCTCGTTTGGTTGAGAACCATCCGACTGATCGTCCCGGGCTCCGACGGCCGTTTCGATCTCTCCATAATAATTCCATAAAAGAAACATGATGGCCGCATCGAGATCGATAGACGCAAGCGATCCGCCTGCAATGCCGTACCGTATGTATCAAGGTACCGATGAAATGCCAGATAGGCCAATTCGGTGCCGACGTACAGGCACCGCGCCGATCACTGGTTTCCCATGATACACGCCTATGGATGCGCGCATTCCAGGATCAGCACAACAGACAACAAAAAGAGTTGAACTGGAGAGAAATCAATAGACTGCGACAAGCAAAGGGAGATGGAAAACAGCAAGGAAATATCGAGCAGCAACTGTTCGTGGTGCTAATAATGATAGAATGAAGTATAAGACTAGCCAACAGTGAAAAAAAAAATAGCGTAGATGCATTCGGAAAATTACCAGCGTCACGCCATTACGCGGGCACCAGACATCGCCAACCCCATCAAATCCCCCCCCCGACTTCCTCCTCCCTTTTTTCCTCATCCTTCATCCTCCCTCCTCCCTCCCATCGCCAGCTTCGATTTCTCTCGCTCTGGACGCCTTGTCCAGCCGCGTTGATCTTTCGCACCTCCTCCTCCCTTCTTCCCACCCCTTGGACCGTGTCGCGGGTCCCGACGCTGCCAGCCTCTCGTTGATTTCCGGCATCTGATCTGCCTGTCACTCTTTAATCCCACGCTTCGGTACATTCTTTTCCCCTTTTCTGTCGGGATTAGTCTCTGTTCGGTGGCGTCTGCCGGTCGCAAGTTCGCCTACGTCTAATAATCACCGGGGAAACAACCTATTCTAAACCACCCATTCGAACTTCCGCGCCGAATCTCTCCCCGATTCCCGATACGGGAATAATTGGAAAGAAAAGGGCGTGCCGATATTGCCACCAGCCCTCTACTCCTATACCACCTAGAAAACCTCCGAGTACATGTTGGAAAAGTCTTCGCCTGCGACCGTCAGAATGCCTCTCTTCCGGCTGAAGACGGTGTTCCCGCTGATTGCCCTGGTGTCGATTGGAATCTTCTTCTGGTGCATGGAACGCTATGACCGGACCGCCTTCATTCGGTTCAAGAACCCGATGGATCGCGTCAACCTGGGCACCACGAATAGCCCGCAATTAGACACGACCAACCAGGCCACCCTGGAGACCGCCAGCAACACCTGCGAGGTCGATCCCAAGTTGGCCGCCCCCTCCCCCTTCAACGAATGGCTCCCGCGCAAGAACTACACCCGCGCGTACTTCCGTCCCCGTCTTGTGCACCCTGACTCCGATTTCCACACCCTGGAGGAGATTGAGAAGCCTGTCCTGCCTCCTATGGTCGCCATGGAGCGCGGCATGGTTGTCTCCCCCGAGAACAAGGCCGAGAACTTTGTCTGCCCCGAAATCATTGATATCGATGTGGCCGCCGATGATGATGTCGAGGAAACCGCCAAGCTCCTGTTCGGTCTGGCCACCACCGTCGATCGTCTCGATCGTCTGCTCCCATCCCTGTTGTACACCTACGGTAACACCAAGGCCGGTCTGATTGTTCTGGTGCCCGAGTCCGACGATGATCTCGAGAAGCAGGAGACTTATTTCCGCAACCGCGGTCTGGATCTGACTCTGATTGCCTCCCCGCTGGACTTCACTGCTCGCTACTTCGGCATGGTCGAGGCCTTCACTGAGCACATCCGCAAGCACCGCCCCCACACCACCTGGGTTGGATTCAGCGACGATGACACATTCTTCCTGTCTCTGCCTACCATCGCCAAGGAACTGAAGCTTTTCGACGAGAAGAAGAAGCACTACATTGGATCTCTGTCCGAGGCCAGCTGGCAGGTCGACACTTTCGGTCACATCGCCTTTGGTGGTGCCGGTGTGTTCGTCTCTAGACCTCTGCTTGACGTGCTGATGAAGTACTATGACGAGTGCCAGTCTTGGGGCGAACAGCCCGGTGACCAGAAGCTCGGACAGTGTATCCAGCGCTTCGGCGACACTCCCCTGACTCTCTGGCCCTCCCTGTACCAGATGGATATGACCGACCCTGTCGACGGTGTCTACGAATCAGGCCGCAAGATTGAGTCCATGCACCACTGGAACAGCTGGTACTCCAAGGACGTCGTGAAGATGACTACTGTGTCTGCCGCTGCGGGCCGCAAGTCCGTCCTCCGCCGCTGGGTCTTCGACCAGGAGGAGATTGTTAACGCCGCCACCGGCGAGACTGTCCGCCACTTCTGGGTCCTGACTAACGGCTACTCCCTGGTCAAGTACACCTACGACCAGAACGTCCCCGACGATGCCATCAACTTCGACGCGGTCGAGAAGACCTGGCCCGAAGACCCTCGCGGTTTCGAGGAGCGCTTGGGTCCCCTTCGTCCCGCCGAGGATGAGGGTATCGCCAAGGACCGCTGGTTGCTCCACGATGCCTACGTCGTTGGTGAGAATGTTCACCAATTCTATGTGCGTGAGGAAGATGAAGGTCATAGTGTGATCGAGATCGTCTGGCTCGGCCCCAAGGGCGGCGGCGGCGGTGGTATCAGTGACCACTACATCCAGGGTACCTACCAGCAATGATATCGCTTTGCACTATTTCGCCTTTTTTGCATTTGCTCTGAATACCGCTGAGAGACCCTGCAAGTGATTAAAGGCTGGTCCTTGGGGGTGATCCATCTTTCTCGGTTTGTCCAACATCTTCACTTCGCTGCACATGATTCAATCCCTTTTTTATTACTACTTTTTTCCCTTCTCATTTTCTCTTACTTTTTTTTTTTTTGACAACTCACATCATGACGCCAATTCATTCGCATCGACCAAATTTTCTCAACGCCCCCAATATCCCCCTCATATCCCACACCCCCGACCCTTTTCTTTTTCCGGATGAGACTCGTGATCGTGACCTGAACTCCGCGTCCTCCCGTTTCTGATATGTTCATTTATCCGGCGTTAGCATTTGGCGGAGTCCATTCTGGTGCAGGAACCTGGTGGTTTTATGTGCTCCCTATATCCCCAGCCTTGAGCGCCACCCTTAGCTTTCCCGATGAATTTTCCCTCAATTCAATCGGGTCTTCTCGGGCTTGCTCTTGTGTCCTTCCTTCTCTTTCTTTTCTTCTTGGTCGTTTGTGTTTCTTATTCCTTGCGTGGGCCTCTTCTTGGCCTCAAGAATGTGGTGCCATGGCATGCATTGTTTGTAAAAATAGACTTGAACCGAAGACCGTGTTTGGGTCTCCGTTGGTGATTAGCGTTGAACTGTGTTCATTACGGAAGAATATGACGAGTCTGCTTCTACGTTCTGTGTTTCCCTTTACAATCGTTCCTTTCCGTCATCGTACAGTAAAAGTGTGTCATCTTGTCGATCATGCCCAGGCGTGCCGCCCTACCGAGCCCTTTATATCGGACCGGCCCGCACGGCCAGGGCACCAGCCTGAACAGGCGATGAAAATGGCTATCTGCGGAGAAAATCTGACTGAAGTAAAATGCTGCTCAGGAACAGACGCCCTGGCCATGCTGATGCAAGAACTCGTCGTGGTAACGAGTAAATCCTCCGAGCTGGACCGTTGCACGGTGAAACAGACACGGTGCCGATGTTGTTGCGGTGAAGTAGAAGTTATATCGACTACTCGAATCGAGGTATCTTATCTGCAGGGGAGATAGTTCCATCTACGACTCGTACCCAGTACATACTCCATACTGCAAATGGCCTCATTCATCGTACCTTGGGTGATTAACCGATGGCGCGGTCGTGGGCAGGCGGTCCATGATGAGGTTAAGGGGGGATCAGTTCCCGAATGTCCAATGGGTAATTTGCCTGCGGCCTGTCTTTCCCCCTTATTTCCTTTGTGGACTGTATGAATCCAGCGTGAGAATCGATGGCATGAATGCGAAACTGATCTTGGAGGCCTGGTTATTTCCGCAAGCGGTTTCTCTCCGGGCTCGATGGTGTACGAGGTAGATGGAATCCAGGGCCATTCCACACTGCGCCACCGGACGCAGACAGTGCAGAGTACCTCATGTCCACCGCAGACTGGGATTGGTACACCCTGTCCGACCATCGAGATGCCTCCTTTCAAGAAGATACGCACTGTTCTTCGAGAATCTTGTTTGTTCTCTCTATGTCTGCCTTCTCCTGTGCATGCTTCTGTATCTTTCTGTCTGACGCTTATTCTTGCCAGCTGCGGGGACAGCGGGAGTTGGTCTGGACTGTTCGCCCCGCTGGGGCCAAACCGAGTGCGGTTGGAATGCAGGATGCCATTCCGACGAATATAGAACAATGCGGTCCTGCAATCGACCGTCCAGACTGGATTGGACTTGCCAACGGCGAAGGGAAGTGCATGTCTATACATGGAGAGTAGATACGACCTTTGCGAGGGAGTGTACAGGGAGGTATGGTTGCGCGTACGGCGAGAACCGAATACCTGGCCCAATACCTGCGGACCCAAGGGCGGGTACCGTACCGGAGACGTAACCGTACTGACGCTCACGGAAGAAGCGGAGTGGAGCACCACTGGGAGGGGAAGGAGGCAAATAACCGTCAGCAAACCGCTCACCTGATGGGGTACTTCCGTCCTGTACATAACAATGCGGGCGGCGGCCCCCTCGGAAGTACCTTTCCCGTCCTCGCCCCCAATACGGCGTATTCAGCAATACGGGCCTCACCTGACCGCCTGCCCAAGCCAAACCGCACTTTGCCTTCTTCGCCAGTGCGATCCCCCCCAAGTTGCCCTTCCCGACCTTCTCTTCTTTAACCCTGCGATCACAAAACGCGTTACTCGATTGGGTATCTCGATTCCCTTCCCCTTTCGGACTCCCCCAACTTCCAACTCTTTTATCTTTCCTACCATGGCCGACATGGCTGCCGTCGATGAGAAGCTCTCTCCTGGTCACGATGACCTGCAACAGCCCGGCAACGGTCCTGATGCCCGCGGTACCAAGCGCGGCCGCATGAGCGCCGAGGACGACGACGACGATGATGACAAGCCCGGACGTGAGCGCCGCAAGATCGAGATCAAGTTCATCCAGGACAAGTCGCGTCGTCACATCACTTTCTCCAAGCGAAAGGCTGGTATCATGAAGAAGGTACGGTCGCGTTTCCCCTCTCCTCAACCCCCCCGGGGGGCCCACCCCATACACATACATCCAGATCCAGCGTAGTACCATCATGATCTACCACAACACCACCACCCCTTCTTTCTCTCGAAGACTCAAGAATAATCTTCATTTGCTAACGCACATCGCGATCCTTAGGCCTACGAGCTGTCGGTCCTCACCGGCACCCAGGTTCTCCTCCTGGTCGTCTCCGAGACCGGCCTCGTTTACACGTTCACCACCCCTAAGCTGCAGCCTCTCGTCACCAAGGCCGAAGGCAAGAACCTCATCCAGGTATGTTGGAACCTCATGGAAGCCCCCAACCCCTTTGCGATCGCTTGATGCTAATGCTTCTCTAGGCATGCTTGAACGCTCCCGACCCGACCACCAGCGAGAATGGCGTCGACGCCGGCGATGTCCCGCCCGAGGCGCCTGAGGATGTGGCTCACAACAACGTGAACGCGCCCCAGAACAGCATGCCCCGTCCCGGAATGCACCCTGGCTACATGACCAACGAGCAGCAGCAACAGATGGCCTACTACCAGAACCTCCAGCAGCAACAGCAGGCCGGTGGCCAATACCCCGGCATGCCCGTGGGCAACCGCATGCCCCCGCAGCACCAGCCCACCGCATAAAGACGTGCAGCTTCCTCTTGCTCTTTTCTGCGTGCAGTGGCCAGGGTTCCAGATTACTGCGTCTTCCTGTCCTTTTCCCTGCGCCCGTCTCTCGCGTTCATTTGATACCCGTCCATCTGTGCTGATCATCCCTCCTATCCCCTCATGGAAATCCTCTCTCTACTCGCACCTGTCTCGTGTGGCGATTCCTTCTTTGTGAAGTGTACATTTGTCCTGATAATGGGTTTGTCGGTGTTCTAACACCAGCCTGTTCGGTTCTTGTCTTGCTTGATGTCGTTCTCGACCTCGGCCTCGATACCGGGGGACAGCGTCCGAAACAAAGTCACTCTTCCAATCTTATGCTCTTTTCTCCTTCGCTTCGACTCATGAATTCAATCCCCCAAGAAGAAAAACATCAACAAAACAAAACCCTCAAAAAAAAAGTCGTTACACCCCCCTTCAAAAATCATAAGAGAGATCAAGAGCGCAAGCAACGCAAATCTGGAACTTTACGCGATTCTGGCTATTCCCTGGTGTTCCTCCCCTTTGCCCCTCTACCTAGACTCTCTGGCTGAGGTTGGTGGTGTTTGTGGTGCATTGATTTGTTGGCGTGGTTTCCCAGCCCCTCGGAGGGGTTCTGATTCCAATGGTTGTTTCTGTTGTTTTTTTGTGACTTTTCTTTTTCCTTCGTCACGCTATTCTGCTGAGTGTCTTGTTTATCTCATACGACCCATTATTGACTGTCTAACTTTCTTGCGCCCGTGCCTGTCTCGATGGTATCATTCTAACACTTTTTCACTTTTTTTTTCTCAGTCTAATTTCAACTGTTCACTTGAGAGTCAGGTTCTTTTTCCTATCTGGTCGTATGGTTCTGCGGTGGATGTCATGTCTTCCCCGAGTGTAGCTCGGTTTCGTTGGGTCAATGTGTTCATGCAGGCTTGTTGGACCTGTGTTGTTTGTACCTAGTATGGTTTCGTTTGCGGCTGGGTTTATTTGTAGTTTTCATGAGGCCAAATATTATGTCAATGCACCGGATTATCGTTGGTCATTTACAACTTCGATTTCAATGCTTGGCCCATCAGGTAGACCACGCTGGTGTAGGTACACAGTGTTTTGATATGTGACTGCGTGGCCCACGTCCACGACACTAGTGCATACCATGGTTGGAGTCGCGCTCTGGTATACTACTACCACCGCTGCAGCAACAATGGGCTTGTGCAGTGAGTGTCGTGATGTTAGTGTTATATATTATTGCGCGTGCAGTACGGGGCATCATGAAATGTCATAACTAATGTATTTGGCTATACTTGATCACGTCAGCACTGCGCTTGGCACAATATATAACTAGTTACAGCTGATCAAGATAGGCAACATTTGAGTCCAATTTTTACCTAGCACACAAAGCGAGACTAATGACTGATTCCGAACCGTATTTCAATATCATGAGCTGCTAGTACAAATCTGTATGTAGCGCAGGTGACATTGGTGCTACGCAAGGGCTGAGCCTAAACTACAAAGTACTAACTCAAATTACCCTACATCGGATAGTACCACCGGACATTGCAGTTATAAAGCCTACAGGAAATTCCAGCTTATGTCTTAGCAATCATTATTGTGATATCCTATGCACAGATCCGTCCATCATCCCCGAGGGTCGTATATAAAAAGAAAAATGGTATCGTAGGCGAAGTGAACAGAAAACAAATCAATCCCCAACCTCTACCCAAATATGGAGATGGGGCATTCTGTTCCTGAGATCAGTCCCTGCTGTACACGGCGGAGAAAGAGCGAGGTTCCGGGCGGGTCTTCTGGTATTGAGATTGGGACCGGAAAATCTAGAGGAAATAACATAGTAAAAAGGTACCTGTGATCTTATAGTCGATTTATAGAGACGAGGGCGGCTTTCCGAGCGCGGAATTAGGATCTTGTAAATTGCGAGCCCACGGCGGACGAGCTTCGGCGCGCGGTAGCAAGGGCGAAGAGGAGCCTTCGTTCTCGCTGCGATCTGATTGATTGCCCGCCCGCGGGTTCCTCCATCGCGAGAGATACTGTCGTCCGTTTCGCCAAGCACCCAGCAGAGTTCTTCTCGAGCCTGCGAGAAGCCCAGATACCGAGCTTTGCCGGGAATGAGAAGACTCCCCTTGCCAGGCGCGGTTATCGTCTTCTTGTATTGTTCCATAACCATTGCTTCCCAGAGCATCAGACGAAGTAGTGATAGGGCTCAAAACAACGCGTCGTCTCCGTTGGGGTCCTAGAATTCCCGACAATGGCGCCGATGCGCGTCGCCAGGAATTTCCCTGAGTTGATGAGCCTGGGCCGGGACGACGGGGTCCTCGCACGCGATGGTGCGGGATTGGTCCAATGGTTGAGTGACGTGCCAGTCCGCGCATCGGTTCATTCAAGGCGGCGCTGCTGCTCGAGCTGCGTGGTCTCTCAGGACGCGTGTGGGGATCGACAAGTTCATAGTCGGAATCATCTAGTTCGGCCCAGATAGAAGCTGCGTTGAGATCTGCTGCCTCGCGACGGTCGACGGGCGGGATAAATGGGAGGCTAGGTGCTCGTGAACGTTGGTAGGAAGAAAAGCGTCGAGATCGGGTGGTGCCGTGGAGCAGAGGTTCTCGTTCCCCTATCTGATGTTCTTCATCTTCGCCATCCATAAACCCGGGCGAGGTTGGCGAGTGTTCTTCGACGATCGCCATACCAGGCCCAAGGCCGGGCTGAGGAGGACCAACAACAGTGACGGCGGCATGGCTGTCGACGTCCTCTAGTCGCCAGGAGAGGCAAAGGACTCCGGCTAGAAGAATGACAGTCCCGAGCGCGATCAACCCTGCGTGGAATCCCGCTAGGTCGGAAACCTGTCGGAAGTAGATCAGACCATCCATGATGGCGATAATGTTGTAAATACAAAACACAAATGGATACAAAACACTGGTGCTACACAGCTTCAAACCGCGGTGCAAGTAGAAGAGCTGTGTCAGAGCGAGGAAAATCATGCCCAGCAAGATCACCCACGACTGCCATCGATTAAACTGGTTCACTCGATCAACAATCGTGCGCACCAGCAGCTCCACCGCAGACTTGGCCAGCAACAGCGAATGGGCTGATAAAATGCCACTGACAGCGCCATAGCACATCCCCCGGAAAAGCTTGATTCGGCTTTGTACCTGGAGGATCTGTGGCGTAAAATGGCCGGTCGGGATAGGCTTCGCTCGTGAGCCCGGGAGGCATGCTTTCAATAGTTTCGATCCGATCAGAATGAGAACCACCAGCACGAAGGTAAATCCCATCCAAATAAGGAATGGTCGACCTTGCAAGAGTTCCAGTAACTGATTGAGGGTATGCGCGGGTTCTCCGATGGCACCAAATGTCGCGATCAACACAGCACCGATGCAAACAAGGAAAGTTCCCGCAAAGGAATAACGAGTGAACGGTTCGCCGAGGATAAGTGTTGCGAAGATCGTATTAAACACAAGTCCAGACTGTCCCGAGAAATTACGTCAGAATACACCAAGTTTCTGTTCAGAATCTGTTGTAGGAACGAGCAAGGCAATACTCACGGCCTGGAGCGTCGAGAGCACCGGAAGGGGCAGTGTAGTGATCTGAATGGTGCTGCCGACAATATTCGAGATAACGAACATGGACATGCCTAGCTGCCATCGCCGGCGCTTATAGGGAGGTCTGCGCACATCATACTGCGGTTTCTCGTCTTCGAGTAGGTGGGACTTGCGCTGGAGGGTGAGCCCGATGGCCTGCAGACTGGTTGATATGAGGCCAACGAGAATGCCGACCTGATCTTATATCAGTCATTGAGGCTCTTTCTTCTCAAATCGTTCTGTCCACCCACCGCGATGCTGCCTTGTTGCGACAAGTTCCCCAGGTTTCCCATCTTCACGTAGTCGCAGTTTCGTACACCGGTCGAAGACGAGCAGGACCGGAGGAGCGCATAAGCCGGACGACTATCGGAGCACAGATTCCATGATGCGAGGGAGCGTAGGACTCGAGAAGGGGTGGTAGGGCGTGTGTTCAGGGCAAGCCGGTCAGACAGGGAGAAGGAGAGAGGGGAGTTAGAAGCACTGGATGCGGCCGCCAAGGCAGCGCGGCGTGGGCGGATCCGAGCTTAGTTGGACACACCTCCAACTCCCTTTCTCTCCCCACGTCATTCACCGACCACCACATCAACACCTTCCACCCCCCAATTTAGCCCATCATGTCGCAAAGCCATGCCCTCTCAGATGATCAGGTGAGTAGCTCTCTCGATGCTACCCTCCCCCAGCAACCCCCGGCACCTGCGCGGTGGCTAATCCCGTGGAACTTCAAGGTCGCGGGCGAGCTCCGCAAGATGACCGCCTTCATTCGGCAGGAGGCCATGGAGAAGGCTCGCGAGATTCAGTTGAAGGCCGACGAGGAGTTTGCGATCGAGAAGTCCAAGCTTGTCCGCCAGGAAACCGCCGCTATCGACACCCTTTACGAGAAGAAGTTCAAGCAGGCCGCCATGTCCCAACAGATCACCCGCTCGACCCTCTCCAACCGGACCCGTCTCCGCGTTCTTGGCGGTCGTCAGGAGCTTCTGGACGACCTTTTCCAGAGGGCTCGTGACGAGGTCACCAAGGTTGCTGGCAATGATAAGAAGTACCAGGGCATGCTGCAGGGGCTGATCCTCGAGGGCCTGTACTATCTGAACGAGGATAAGGCGGAGATCCGCACACGCAAGAAGGACTTCGACACTGCCAAGAAAGCGATCGAGGAGGCCGCAAAGGAGTACCAGAAGAATGTTGGCTCGAAAGTGTCTGTCAGCCTGGACGAGTCGGAGCCGCTACCGGAGGGATCGTAAGTTGACGTTCCACTATCACGAATTATTTGAAGGGCTCGAAACTAACTCTTTGTGTAGTGCTGGCGGTGCGGTTATTGTCGGTGGACAGGGCAAGATTGAGATCAACAACACCTTTGAGGAGCGTCTGCGGCTATTGGAGATCGATGCTCTTCCTGCGGTCCGAGAAACACTGTTCGGAAAGAACGAGAACCGGCGGTTCTATGACTAGATACATCCATTTGTTTTCTTTGCAGTTAACGGTTTGTCCATGTAATCCGTGGCAAGGTGTTTTTGTTGTTTCATACTACTATAAGTTCGGGCTCCTTCTACGTTATGGCTGTCTCCATAGAGAGGGAGGGTTTCTTGCACATCTTATGCCTGACCCGCCGTATGGTCAAATATCGCTGAGCGTTTATCTGATTCTTCAAGCGATAAGTGGCAGAATTCTTGGTAGAAAATACATGTCAAAAATAGTTCGCCTTGTTCATGATCATCAATCGTCACTGGTCATTGAATGCAAGTACACACGCCGATGCGAACCACAGTACGCCTGGTATGAACATGGATCCCACATAACAGTAGCATGCGGCGCAAACTATGTGGCAGGATTATCTTGATGTTTGCGGATCGGTATCTGGGTCTCGTCTCCTTCATCGGTTTCTCCCTTTTGGACAGGGGGCTGACGCTGAAGGTATTGGCGGATACTTTTGTTCTTGTGATCCTTTCCCAAATTCTCGAACGCAGTTCTGCGAGGCGGTGGCTTCGACCGAACCGAGAAGACCAGACGGTAATGCAGAATCTCAAGAGCCCCTTTAGCCAGCATCCGCTTCAGGTGAGTTGCACCAGACTCCTTCATAGACCCGAAGTTCGTTTTGAGTTGCGTCGCAATCTGGTCGATGGCAACGTTGAACTCCGTTTTCCGATCTGCAGGCTTGTACCGCATATCAAGCAATGCCTTATTAAGCACCACTTCAAGAAGTAGAGTCAGATGTATCAAATCTTCATAGTCGTACCCGTCTTCATTTCCGTTGTAAAGACTGATCTGGAACCGCCTTTCTCGGAGTAACAAAGTGATTCGTTCCAAATTGAGAACATCCTCGACAGATTCGGTCAAAGGCTTGGGGCTTTGTAGTAGGAAGGCCATTGCGAGCCGATATCGTAGCGCCGAAACCCAGGGTGATGTAGGTAGGATATGTTCTACCATGCAACTCTGAAATTGTGTATCCTTGACAGTCTCGTACAGAGATGTACTGAGTTGGCGCTCCTGATTCTCGATTAGCGAGAAGACTTTCAATCAAACGATACAATGAGATGACTCATACCAGATGATCGATCTCGGCTTCTGCAACATTTTCCAAAAGTGCAGTTATCGCGCTTTGCAGCCGCGAAGACAAGACATAATCTGCTGTTACCGAATTGTCCAGTGACATTCTCAAAAGAAGGTGAAGAGCATGCGTCCGGACTTCGACGGAAAATCTGCATATTGATCAGTCGCCGCTGATTGACTATCCTTCAAGGAGACTTACCGCTCCGAGGCATCTTGGAACAGACTGAAAATGGACAGCAAAATTCCTCGGTATTTGATATGAGAGTCTTGAGTCGATTCTAATTAGGAAGATTAGTACAATCCAAGGCAACTTTGTATCGTATAGGGGCGGGCCTTACGGTATGTACGCTCTGCAACGATGACGCTTGAGAGGGCCAAAGCTTGAGGCCTGGCTCCCAATCGTCGAAAGAGATCATCAATATCGCCTGAACCTATCTGCGATTGGATGCTTTCCAAGGGTACATTCTTGCTGAAGTTAGTGAAAGAGAAGCGACAGCTACATTGGATGGACATACTGTAAGGATTCGACAATAGGCCCTTCTTAACTCCTCCCGGGGTTCGCATGGAACTGAGCAGTCATCAGTATCGTACGAGGGCATGAATGATTTCACACAACTGACTGGATAGAAAAAGCCACTTGAGAAATTCATTTGGTAGGCGTCCAAGTGATGAGACAAATTCGAGAATGCCCGACTGGATCATACGCGCGCGAGTTTCGGGCTCTGCTTCAGTCAGCAATTGAAAGACGAGGAAACCAATTGGGATCCATTGGACTAACCTCGTAGTGGCGCCAGATTCGATTCAGGTTGGAAAAGGTCTCTAGGGAAATCCGGCGCGATGGGAGTTGCAGGAGTCTGGTTAAAGAACCTCCAAACTCTCTCCTGGTCGAGGGCCTCGGTCCTTCGAACCGCATCCAGCAGTCGCCGCACCCCAGGTCCACCCTCCTCGTCGTTGGTGTCGCCTAAAGCCGAAGTCAAGACGTCTTCGTTCAGGGCCGGTCTGGCTGCGGCCTGGTTGGAGGCATCCTCGGCATTGGATTGGACAAAGCTAGCCTTGACCCTGGCGACATGAGCATCAACCTCATTTTCATCTAGCGCATCGTGAACCAGGCTATCAATGCTGTTTTTGTACTTTTTCGGCGCCGTTAGCCGGGCGAGGTATGCCTTGTCCACTCGGACAGGCTTTGTCTCCACAGGCTCTTTCTTTGGTTCGGGCTTTGGCTTCGGCGCAAAAAGCGTGGACGGATCATCTAGATCATCGAATGCATCCGTTTCCTCTCCATCCGAGCTAATGACGATTTCTTTGCCTCCCTTGACGATGCGTTGGGAACTGGCGAGGCTTGTGCCCAGGGACGACGGCGGCGCAGCTGACTCGGCGCTCAAAAAGCTTTCGTTCTCGATCGGGTCCTCGGGCACGTACTGAGAAGCTGCTTCTGACAGAGACGCATTCAGCTGCTCCCCAGGGCCATTTGGAATTTCCGGCGCGGTTGTTGACACCGGTTGATTGGACGAAGGTGGGGGATCAGCAAGCGGGGAGGACGAGACTTCAGCGCGCTCCTCGACCTCCCGCGAAGGTTCCTTGACTGGTGTTCGACTGGTGTCCAGTACTTGCGCGAAAGCTGGCTTGTTAAAGTAGCTCTTGAGGTTCCGCATTGCGAAGGTCATTCAGAACGCAACGTGGCTCCGGGCCGCGATGGCTCAATTGACCGATCCACCCGCGTCGCGTGGAGGGCAGCGCGAGATCACCTGATCTCCAGCCTGAGGCAGGAATAGCTTAAGTGCGCCAAGGCCGGCGAAAGCTGCACCATACTTGGGTGGCATGGCCAGGGCAACTCTGCCGAGCAAGACATTATTACGAGTTCGAGTTGCTAGCAATCCATGCTCTCAATACTACAATACATTGCGGCAATTCTATAGTAGGAAGGGCTATTTCATAGCTTGTATGTATTGGCGAGGGGGGATGTCTTCGATACCAAGGTGTATGCCCCATGTACATACATCGCACCTGCAGAAGCTGGCGCTACAAACTGAGCCCGACGCCGTCCCAGCTGACCGAGTCCCGCGAGGGTCCCGACCTTGCATTCGATCGGCCCCATCTACCCGCCATCTCAGTGAAACGACGCCTGTCAGGTGCACACCTTCTCCTGTACTTACTTACAGTAGTTGCACCACACAGGCAGAAATTCAGGGGCGCCATTGCCGATCCGATTTAACTTTGCGAATCGCACCGTCCTGCTCCACCATGGTTCGTGGTCGATCCGCGCGGGCTGACGACGCTCCGTCATGGTTTGATGAGGGACAAATGGAGATGTCAATTTTCTACTTGAAGCCGGACATCCTGCAATCTCTCCATGCAAGATTTGACCCGCCCCAACCTCCATGTCGGGTTGCCGTCTTCGTCATTGATAGACATTTCCCCTCCCCCACCAACGGCGTGGCTGGAGCCGGCACTGAGACACAGGGACAACACAACAGGAACTGGGGGACTCGGCAATTTACAGTGATCAACAACGCACCGGGCCCGCCTGAGGGTCACCGCATGATATTTAGCGCAATTGCCCCGGTCAGGATCCTTTCACGAAGCGCATCCATCGCGCGAGAGAAAAGGGGTAAAGGGGAGAGCCGCGTCGGCGTGATGTATCGACATCCCGGATATATATCCATGCCACACCAGATACACTATCGCCGGATTCGAATCCCCGCTGGCGATTGGAGTTATATTCAACCCGAATCGGAGCTCCGTCTGGCGGAGCTACTTACTGGACAGATATGTATGTACCCAGGTTGCGCTAACCGATGACTTGCCCAGGAAGGGAATGGGCTCACAACCACCAATGGAACAATCTGCAAACCTTCCATCGAATCCACCGGTGGGTCTGGCGCGCTGACTCAGGTGGATCGGACGCTCGTGCCGTGTCACCGGTCGTTTCAGGCTCGATGCTCCGACCCCGAAGACAAACAGACAGGATTGGCTTCGAACGGCAAGGTGGCCTTTGCACGCCTGAGGTCATTCCGGGGGCCGTTGAGCCCCCGTAGCGTTGCCGTGGCACTAGGAAAGGTGCTGAATGCGAATCAATGAACGCCGACCGGCGAGCACTCACATGAGGGGGAAGTTGACTCGTGTCCAGAGCACTGGGAGCACCCGCAGCGGAGACCGATGGCAACCCCCTGCCCAGATTTGCCAAAACGGAGCCCAGGCAGAGCAGTCCCAGAGGTTCCAGACGGGTCGCAAGAGTGGGCTGCAGAAGTAGGTACCTAGGCACCCTCACTATGGGACAAAGTACGGAGTATGACGGAGGCATAACCCATAACCCTCCGGGTCGGGACTGCACTATTTTGCATGCAACCACAGCCCGCAGCTACACGTATACGAGGGCTGTGTCCCTCGTGCAGAGGGGGCCGTTTCTTCTTAAAATATCCCCAGACATCGAATCGTGACCGGACTTAACGGCACTGCCATCTCGTAAGGCGTTCCTGCCGAAGATCCTCGCCGTTGCCACCGTCAAAAATTTAGTTGGTGAACCAGACATGGAGGGCTGGGATGCCGGGGTTGAGGCTGGTAATGGCGTTTTCATACCGGAATTACGGTATCCCTGCCGAGCCGCCAACACGACCATCGGGACCATAGAAGGAGTCATACTGGCTTCGCAGGGCTGGCGAAAAGAACAGGCGGAGAGGAAAGACAGTAGATTAATAGTGGAAATCGCGTGATGATACAAATGATTCAAATGTAGCGGCAGCGTGGGGGATTCTCGCGTTCATAGTGCCCTTGCAACCACTGCGCGAAGGCTGTCGACCGACGCGCAGATCCCCATGCCAAGCCCTCGCTGACCAAGCCGGCATGTCAGCAGCCCGTCACGGCCGTACCGTCACAGCCGTATCCGTACACCCCCCCCGAATCCAAACCGGCCTCGCATCCTCACTCATCGTCGTCGCCCCTCGAGGAAAAAAAAAAGGCCCTTCCCCCTTCCATCTCTCTTTCCGCTCTCCAGATTGCATGGCCCCGCGTGGGTGATACGCCTCTCCTCGTCACCGACCCTCGATTCTTCCTTTCCGACCGTCGACTCTGAATTCCCTTTGAAGCCGCCGTGATCCGCGCGTCCATCCAAACCCGTGCTTGCGATTATCCTTCCCCCTGATGACCTGGCACCCATAAATTTCCTCGCCCGTGAAAAACCGAACAACTCTGTCCCAACCCTCCGGCCGCGTACGGCATTGTACTCAGGTTCCATACGTCGGATGGTCGTTCGTTTCGTATCCTCAGGTTATCGTCGAGTTTTATGCCCTCGTTGGGCGCAACAGTAACCTAGATGGCTTTCGTGCACTTCCCCGGGGACAATAATAATAACGAGGCGGCGAGTGACATTCAGGAGGCCCCCAGCAATATCTCCAAGCCGACGAAGCGGCAAAGATGGGCGACCACGCGCGTGGCTGGCTCCGGCGGCGTGCGGAAACGAGTCTCCATCATTGATCGCTTCCACAAGCGCTCGGAATTACGGGATGAGAAGCGCAAATCGAATGCGACGAGCTCGGCAGGTGATAATGCGTCAACTGTCGGCGAAGAACAATCGGAGGCGAATCAGAATCGAACGATCTACTTCAACATCCCGATCCCTGAATCCGAACGAGACGAAGAAGGTCACCTCAAGATCGCCTATCCCCGCAACAAGATCCGAACGGCCAAATACACCCCCATTACTTTCGTTCCGAAGAATGTTTGGCTCCAATTCCACAACATCGCCAACATCTACTTCCTATTCGTGATTATTCTCAATGTACGCCACCCTGGGTCCCCATATGCATTTCGCGCGCACCAAGGTCAGAAATGAGCCTTGGCTCTAACTACAGTATAGTTCTTCCCCATTTTTGGTGCCAACAACCCCGGTCTGAACGCCGTTCCCCTGATTGTGATTATTGTTGTGACCGCGATCAAGGACGCGATCGAAGATTGGGGACGAACGGTGTCTGATAATCAGGTGAACAATTCGCCTGTTTATCGACTCATTGAATGGAACAACGTCAATTCGACTGAAGACAACATTGGTTTATGGCGTCGATTCAAGAAGGCTTGCACTCGCGGCACGATCGCTTCATATAAGTGGATGAAGGCCCAGTTCCAAAAGAACCCAGACACGGAGGATGAGGGTGGTGCACCTCGCCGGGATTCATTCATGACAACAGCGACTCCGCGTCAGTCCGGCATGTACTCACACCGTGACTCGATGGCGCCCGGTGAGGTCGCCATCCCGATGACCGATGTCCCATCGCCACAGCCTGAGGCCCGTGAAGAGTGGCCGAGCAAGCCTGAAAACAAATTCCTCTCCCCCGACAGTGCTAATCGCGACAACCTTGCGGTCAACCCCGATAAAAAGACTGGAAGTGTGGTCGACGCATCCAAGCAGACCCCCGGAAAGGCCCGGTTCAAGCGCGATCAATGGAAGAACATCCAAGTTGGTGATTTCGTTCGCTTGTACAACGAAGATCCAATTCCTGCCGATATTGTGATTTTGTCCACTTCGGACCCCGATGGAGCTTGTTATGTTGAAACCAAGGGTCTGGATGGCGAGACAAACCTGAAGGTCCGCCATGCTCTTCATTGTGGTCGCGAGGTTCGCCATGCCCGTGATTGCGAAAAGGCCGAGTTCACCATCGAAAGTGAGGCGCCACATGCCAATCTGTACGCCTATAACGGTGCGATTCGCTGGGAGCAGCGTGACCCCAGCTTTCCGGAGGCTCCCCGTAAGGAGATGGTTGAACCCGTCACCATCAACAACATACTGCTTCGTGGTTGCTCTTTGCGCAGTACTGAATGGGTTCTTGGTGTCGTGGTTTTCACCGGCGGAGAGAGCAAGATTATGCTTAACTCCGGAGCGACCCCTGCTAAGCGTGCCCGCCTGGCCAAGGACTTGAATTGGAACGTCATCTACAACTTCATCATTCTGTTCATCATGTGTCTCGTCGCAGGTATCGTGAACGGTATCGCGTGGGGTACTCCAAACAAATCACTGGACTTTTTTGACTATGGCTCATATGGAGGCACTCCTCCAGTGACGGGTATTGTCACTTTCTGGACTGCTGTCATTCTGTTCCAGAACTTGGTTCCGATCTCCCTCTACATCTCTCTCGAAATCGTGCGCACCATCCAGGCGGTGTTCATTCACAGCGATTTGTACATGTACTACGAGAGACTCGGACTGTACTGTGTCCCCAAATCGTGGAACATTTCAGATGATGTTGGGCAGGTCGAGTACATCTTTTCCGACAAGACGGGAACTCTCACGCAAAACGTCATGGAGTTCAAGAAATGCACCATCAACGGCGTTTCCTACGGTGAAGCCTATACCGAAGCCCAAATAGGTATGCGGCGTCGCGAAGGTGCCAATGCTGACGAAGAGGCCGCTGAAGCTCGAGCGCAAATCGCCGCCGATGGTGTGAAGATGCTCGAAGGTCTCCGTCGCATACACGACAACCCGTACTTGAAGGATGAGAATTTAACATTCATTGCGCCCAACTACGTCACCGACATCGAGGGACAATCTGGAGAAGAGCAGAAGCGAGCAGCGGAACATTTTATGCTTGCTTTGGCCGTCTGCCACACCGTCATCACTGAACATACACCTGGTGATCCTCCCCAGATCGAGTTTAAGGCGCAATCGCCGGATGAGGCTGCCCTCGTCAGCACGGCTCGCGACTGTGGCTTTACTGTTCTCGGCCGGGCTGGAGATGATCTGCTTCTGAATATAATGGGCGAGGAGCGCACATACACTGTCCTGAACACTCTTGAGTTCAACTCGTCCCGAAAGCGAATGAGTGCAATTATTCGCATGCCGGACGGGACCATCCGCCTCTTCTGCAAAGGTGCCGACAGTATCATTTACTCTCGCCTCGCTCGCGGGAAGCAGCAGGACCTCCGACGCAAGACCGCCGAACACTTGGAGGACTACGCCAAAGAAGGTCTCAGAACCCTGTGTATCGCCGATCGGCTACTCAGTGAGGAGGAATATCAGGCTTGGAGCAAAGAGCATGATGTTGCTGCCGCCGCTATTGAAATGCGTGAGGAGAAGCTGGAGAAGGTTTCAAGTCAGATCGAACAGGAGTTGATGCTTCTGGGTGGAACCGCTATCGAGGATCGACTGCAAGATGGTGTGCCAGACACCATTCAGCTGCTTGCCGATGCAGGTATCAAGCTATGGGTTCTTACTGGTGACAAGGTCGAAACCGCCATCAACATTGGTTTCTCTTGCAATCTGCTCAACAACAATATGGAATTGATTGTCCTGAACATTCCTGAAGGCCAGCATGACAAAGCGACCACGGAGCTGGATAAGCATTTGCAGACATTTGGCCTCACTGGCTCTGATGAGGAGCTCATTGCTGCGCGCAATGACCACACACCGCCAGAAGCTACACACGCTGTCATTGTTGACGGAGAAACCCTCAAGCTGATGCTTTCGGACGAGCTGAAGCAGAAATTCCTTTTGCTCTGCAAGCAGTGCAAGGCGGTTCTTTGCTGCCGTGTCAGTCCCTCCCAGAAGGCTGCTGTCGTTAACATGGTTCGACATGGATTAAACATCATGGCGCTTTCTATCGGTGATGGTGCCAATGACGTGGCTATGATCCAGGAAGCAGATGTTGGTGTTGGTATTGCCGGTGAAGAAGGACGACAAGCTGTGATGTCTTCGGATTACGCCATTGGTCAATTCCGATTCCTGCAGCGTCTGCTCTTGGTTCATGGAAGATGGTCTTACCGCCGTCTGGGAGAGTGTACGGCCAACTTCTTCTACAAGAATTTGGTTTGGACATTTGCTCTCTTTTGGTACTCTATCTACAACGACTTTGATGGCTCCTACCTCTTCGACTACACCTATATCGTTCTGGTCAATCTGGCATTCACCTCTCTGCCAGTCATCTTTATGGGTATCTTTGACCAGGACGTCGATGACAGAGTGTCTCTTGCTGTGCCGCAACTGTACATGCGCGGTATTGAACGCAAGGAATGGTCGCAGCTCAAGTTCTGGCTGTACATGGCCGATGGATTGTACCAGTCCATTATCTGCTTCTTCATGCCCTATGAGCTTTATAAAGTCGCGAACTTCGCTACTGCAAATGGCCGCGACATCGGTGACCGCACGCGTATGGGTGTCCTGGTCGCAACTTGTGCCGTTATTGCAAGCAATGTTTACATCATGATGAACACTTACCGCTGGGATTGGTTCACCTGCTTGATCAACGCCATCAGTTGTCTCTTGATTTTCTTCTGGACCGGTGTTTACTCTTGCTTCACAGCCGCCGGCCAGTTCTACGATGCGGCTAACGAAGTGTACGGGTCCCTCAGTTTCTGGATTGTGCTACTCATCACGTGTATGATTTCATTGCTCCCCCGCTTCGCCTATAATGCTGTCCAGAAGGTGTTCTTCCCGCTCGATGTCGACATCATTCGCGAGCAGGTGACAATGGGCAAGTTCAAGCACCTGGAGCAGTTTGAAGACTATGTGCCCCCAAATGCGGGTGCCGGGACCACCAGCTCCAGTGATGAGTCGGCTGCGTCTTCAGAACTGGCCAAGCCGATCCAGCCTCAGATGAAGCATGATCCCGGCATCCCCGATGATGAGCGGCCTTTTTATCCCCCAGCTGCCGTCCACCAGAACGGCCACAATCCCCGCAGCCAGAACGGTAGCAACGGCACCAACTATACTGCCAGTCTGGATCAATACCCACGGCCTCAATCTGTGGATTATGTTCGGCGCTCTCAGGAACGGACTCGGCATTCGTTTGAACGGATGAGGCAAAGCTTCGAACAGAGCAATGATTTCACTTCTGCTGCCATGCTTCAGAGGATGGAATCTAGCCACGGACATGAGCCCGTCCAAGATCCGTTCCGAGCTCCCGGCGAACCTCCTGCACATAATCTGATCTGAGGCACGTTCGCACTTGCATAGACATACTCTGATGACCCGTCATTGACGACCTTCTCGCCTCGGCTGGCTAGCGTGATCTAGTCTTTTAAGACAGAATTTGCTGATTACCCTCCCTCCTATCTTTCATGAGCAATATGCTGTGGTGTTTCTTTTCTTTTCTTGTCTTTTTTCTTCCGCCCACCCCAAATTCACAGCCTTAAATATTCCCCTGATAGAAAGCAGGCGTTTGGTTTACTACACCCGGATGGTGGCTTGGCGCATTTCCGTTCTTCGTTCTTCCGATTTCCATTTTCTCATTCCCCATTCCCTATCCATGGCAGCCCTCGGCGGCTCCTTTTCCTTCCGTCTTTGCATGGCTTATATATGTCTCGCTCTTTGTACAAAAGCGTTTCTCCTTCCTGTGCCGCTGTGTCGGCACCCGCATCCTCTTTTCCCATCCTCGCGTTTCATTTCTGAGGTCATCTTGGTTGATATTTTACCCTCTCTTTTGCCTTCCCTTTTCATTTTTTTCCTTTGGCCAGCCTACCCCCTCGAAATGGGAGATGCAGGTGGCCGAGCTCGGGGATGATCTTCATGTATTTTATTATATGCCCTCAACGAGGAATTACTTAATGCGGATATCCCATGAATTCTGCCACAAAGCCGGTAAATTCACTAAAGTAAATTATTTTTGCCACAAAGTTGTGATAGAGTCGTAGCTTCATTTTTAGATAATATTACAATATGGTGCTATGTGAGGTCCCAGTAGATTCCATTGTCGACCTCGCGCAGTCCAAGCATCTCCGATTAGCAGATGGAATAGTACATTGACCTCGAGGTATTCATTCTGAAGCGAATCTCTACATGGACGTTTCAAAACCACTAGTGCCATGGGACTGCCCTCTGCCTGGTGAAGGGGTCTGATTGTGCCAATTCTTTATTTTCGCCTGGATCAGCCCAAATTTTCTATGTACCATTTCGACGCCCGTCCGGTTCTTTGTTTAACAACAGGCATGAGACTCCATCGTGTGTCCCGTGATTACTAATATTTGTCCTCCAAGAAGATCACTCAGCTGATCTTCTTTGTCAAAATTTCTGGAATCGATGAGTCAACCTAATGTTTCGTCGCGTTGGTAAATCATTTAGGAGTGAGTGGTCTATTGCATGGGTAGGAGAAGGCCAGACTCACTGCCTCCTCTGCTTCCAGGGCTGTTCCCACTTTGAGTATAATGCAGCGCGTCAACGCGTCGAGCCCCGCTCACCGCCTTCCGACCGTGCCGGGCAAGCTGGATTCTGCCCGCGTTTTGCGTTTTGGGAGGCTTTTATTCACTGGACTATCTCGAGGGTCTTTTCTTCGTCATTCATTCGGCTGTGGGTTGCCCGTGCACTCACAGTCATCTACACGAAGGCACAGCAGCCGGGTCTTCTTCTTCTTTCCCTCTTCACCGACCCAACCAGACAAGACATGTGCTGAGGCTGTCCCTCGACTCAAATTCCGACTTCGTGATACTTCGGCACAATGGAGTTTGTGGATGCTATCAAGTACGTTTCTCGTCAGTCTCCCGCGCTCCTGGACTGTCATATTGACCCGTCTACTTTCAGAGAGCTTAGAGAGCTCCCTGAAGGCACTCACCTCCTCTGCCCCCGCCAGAACGATGATGATCACCAACGCTACGATGAGTTAGAACAGGTCGATACCCAGGGCAGGAAAATAAAGGATCTGGTCGCCGAAGCGAACACTCGCAGAGAAAAGTTCCTCTCCTGCATGCGTATCCTCGCCTACAATGCGGATGGCGTCGAGGAGCTGCAAAGCTGGGTCCTGAACAAACTGGATGACACCCTCGAGAAATGCGACTTCTGCGTCAAGCAGTACTACATGGGCAAGACCTGGCTGATGGATCAGCTTAAGATGAACTACGAAGAGGAGGACATTGTAGCATTCTTTCAGCGAGTCGACGAGTTGGATATCAAGCGCATTACACGCAATCTTGCAACGGCTACTGCGCAACTGAAGAGTGTTCCTCCTGAGAAAATTGCACTGAGCGTCCTGGAAAGAGCGGCTCTGCTTTCCATTTTCGAGACACTGAGTTGCGAGGCAATGCTGCGCAATGAGAGTCTCTTAGCCGAACACTTCGATGTGCCATTCCGACTGGTCCAGACTAAACGAACCTTGAAGATCTCGGATTATGTCCCAGCCGTCACTCGATTCCTTTTTGACGCAAACCAACTCCGCAGCTTCTGGGCCATCTCCACCTGGACCCGATATGCCCGCCCCCCAACGGCTTCGGAGTTTGACTGGGCCATTCGTGATGGTCTACTCGGTGCATTGCAAATTGCCTCGGTGCAACCGCCTCAGCTTACTTCTATCCAACGGCTGTGGCGTGGCATGCAGCTCATTGTTAGGAAGCTGGATAAGGAACAGATAACTCACCAGCTGCGGGCGCTGGACATTGATCCAATCCGTCTCTCGGTTGACCATCTGAGCTTTCCAACCCCGGGATTGCGCTTTCTTCTTAATACCATCCAAACCTTCCTAGAAAAGGCACCCACTGATTTCTGGGACGCCATGCAAACAATTTCTCCCCAGGCCATTATGGAACATACGTTCTTCAACACTCAGTTCAATGCATTTCTCATGCAAACCACCGAAGGAGATCCATACGAGAAGTCTGCAATGAAGGATATGCTATCATGGATCGAACCGTTCCTGGATTCATTAAAGCCTGCTCACTCGCCAGCTGCATCTAGATTCCTGGCACTGCAGCTGCTCAATCGTCTGCAAAGCTCGCAACTCCCTCAATTGTCCCGCTATCATTGCTTCCGCATCGGCCTCAATACTCTCCTCCATACCCTACGTCGCTTTACCGACAACGAAGCCTCGAGAAGCTCAGTCGATCACATTGTGCTGGAAACTTTGATGGGCGTTCTTAGCGACATCATCAACATAATCTTGAATACACCTAAGTTTGACATCGAGGAGGGACGCCAACAGGAAATCGTGTCGTCATGCATGGACGTTGTTCGCAACGCACTCGCACTGGAGTGCCAATCTCTCAAAAGTGACTATGAGGTTCTTCTTACGAGCGGTTCGCTCTCTCACCGATCGTCGACATACTCTCCACCGATTTGGAATGCCGTTCTGAAACACCTGAATGAAGACAACCCCGGTCTCTCTGCAGCTGCCCTTCTAGGTATCATCCCCCTCGTGGGCCTGGAGAAATTCCCAGTAAAGGGCGAAGAGAGCCAAAAGATCACTTTCAACGAGACCTATGAACATCTCACACGCTTATCTTCTCAAATCATTGAAAATTTGGCAGAGTTCAAACCCGACCATCTTGAAACACTCTTCAAGACTCAGGACACGAGCAGCGCGCTCATATCCACCCTCTTCACGGCCGATATTCCCGCATATCAAGCGTCTGTGGATCTGATTAAGAACGTCAGTGGTAAACCTGCTCGGCGAGATGCTATCTCTTACCTGCTCGAGCGCAATTTTACAACCACCATGTACGGTCTTAGCTGGTCTTTTCGGCGTATTTCTAACATGAAAACGTTCGGTCCTGCTCCTCGGATGCTCCACACTGGCACCGATATCATTGAGATCCTGTGTAACAGCCAAACTGGCATGCTTCGCACACGCACACTTGTTGACCGTCGAGAAGTGCTGGCGCTGCAGAAGCTCTGGGACTTTTGTGGCAGGCATTGACGACCATATTCAACGAAACCGAGAATTGGTCTCTTCGAGGAAACGATAAGTCCAAGATGCTCGAATTTTGTCGTGATACGATCCAATTTGCCGATTTTCTCTTCAACCAGTATGCCGTCTTCCTCGGTGCCCTGGAAAGCAGCGTGAAAGATGCGGATCCTAGCCAGAAGTCAGCATCTGAGAATTTCCTTAGGTCGCCGACCAGCATTATGCGTGCTATGGTAAAATGGCTAAGACTTAAGGATGAATATCTCGCCACTACTACGGTTGGCCTTGTGTCCAAGGTGCTCCGCAGACTGGCCAGCTTAGACGTGACAACCGTACAGCAGGATGCTTTGGATTATATCGAAGGTGTATCGGTCAATGGAACCATCCGTACAATCCTGACCGCACCCGACAAGGCTGAGTTGGTTCGCTCGCTGGAGGCTTACTACAAGAAGCCTGTAGTCACTGCGTCTACTGCCGCATTGAAAAAGCAAAGTTCAATCACTGCATTTGCGAAACCATCTGATACCCACCCTTCACGCTCATTCACTTCGAGCGATGATGAATTCACTGATGTTCCCAACGATACTCTTCTAGAGCTTTCCCACTCCGTCGAACTCAATCGACAGCGTCTTGCAACTCAGGCCAAGCAAAAAGCTGAACAAGCTCGCAAATCGACATCGATGGCTACGAAATCCCGCCAGACCATTTCTCAGCAGATTGCCACACAGCGTGTGAAGGACAACGTCGTCGCCGTCTCATCTTTCCGTGAGAGACGCGAGCGCGAGAAGGAGGCGAAGAAGAAACGTGATCTTGAAGCGGCAGCGAGGTTAAGGAAAAACCTGCCAGCTCGTGGAGTCGCCGAACAAACGCCCGAGCAGGGCTCTGGCCTGAAAGGGATTGGCGTCAAGGGCAAAGATCACAATGTTCAGGCAAACAGCATGATGGTCTCCTCTGGGTCCGAAAGTGATTCCGAGAGTGAAGACGAGCTTGACCAGGAGTTGTTTGGTGCAAAGCCGAAAAAGTCCGAAGCGGTGGCAGCTTATGAGGAGAGTAAAAAGAAAGCTTTGCAGCAACAACCGGTCAGGAAGGCAAAACGCGCACGTTCTGCTAATGACATGCGTGCCCGCTTGACTCCTGACCTGTCAAACCTTCAGCACACCATCCTTTCCTGGGACTATTTCGCCACTGGCAACTATCCACCCAGTTCTGGTAAATGGGATTGCACCGCGGTTTCCAACACATACCGCCATTGCACCGAATACCAGGCCACTTTCGAGCCCTTGTTGGTTCTCGAAGCATGGCAGGGCTTCCAGCAAGTCAAGGAAGAAGGATCATTTCGATCATTTGAGTTCCAGGTCATGTCCCGCATGACTATTGACAATTGGATCGAGGTCTGTATCAAGCCAGTTCAAATTCTTCCGAAGGATTTGCACATGGGGGAGGGTGACATCATCTTGTTCTCCAACTCGTCTCAACCGACCAGTGATCCCAAAGCAGACCACGTCCTTGCTCGCGTGGCTAAAGTTACCCATACAAGGGGAAAGGAAGAAATTGTTTGCCGGCTGAATGGCGCGACTGGAGCAAATGCTGCCACGAGCAAATTTCTTGCGTCTTTCGCACCCAAATTTGAGGCTTGGGGTGCGAAGATTACGTCTTTCACCCCCGTGGAGCGAGAATACGGCGCTCTCATGGCTCTGCAATTCTATGACTTGTGCCATGAGATTCTGCAGGCCAAGCCATCGCCAATCCTTACCTACGGGGAGGCCAAGCTGGACCCGTTCATGAAGACCTATTCGGTCAACCGTGCCCAAGCCATAGCAATTCGGCACACTTTGGACAATGATGGATTTACTCTGATTCAGGGACCTCCTGGGTCCGGCAAAACAAAGACCATCACTGCTCTGGTAGGAAGTCTCCTGAGTGGCGTGCTTGGCAAGACTGCGACTTCTATCAAACCAGGCTCCCATGCGCCTTCGTCCAGACCCGGCCCTCCGGTCATTGGTGGACCTCCGGCTAAACCCCGTGGGAAGCTGCTTATCTGCGCCCCAAGTAATGCTGCCGTGGATGAACTGGTGATGCGATTGAAGCAAGGCGTTACGACGAGAAATGGAAGCCGTGAAAAAATCTCCGTGGTTCGTATGGGAAGAGGCGATGCGATCAACTCAAAAGTGCTCGAGGTTTCTCTGGACGAGCTGGTCAATGCTCGTCTGGCCGCAAATCCTAGTTCCAATGGCGCCGTGGATATGCAAAAGCTGTACGAACAGCACAAAGAAACCGATACTCGGTTCAAGGAGATTCGGTCTTCGTTAGATGAGCTCAGAGCCCAGGGCCGGCACCCACCAGAGGAACTCGAGCGTGAATACGACTTGATGAGGAGAAAGCGATCCCAACTGAGTACGGACATCGACAAGGCTCGTGACAAGATCCGAGCCAGCGCTCGAAATGCCGATCTTGACAAGCAGCGCGTACAGAAAGCTGTGATTGACGAGGCGCATGTTATTTGTGCTACGCTCAGTGGCTCTGGACACGAAATCTTCCAAAAGATGAATGTGGAATTTGAGACGGTGATTATTGACGAAGCAGCTCAGTCGATTGAGCTGAGCGCATTGATCCCTCTCAAGTATGGATGCTCGAAGTGCATTCTGGTCGGTGATCCCAAGCAGCTGCCACCGACTGTGCTTTCGCAAATGGCAACATCCTTCCAGTACGAGCAAAGTTTGTTCGTCCGGATGCAAAAGAACCATCCCAAGGATGTGCATCTGCTGGATGTCCAATATCGAATGCATCCGGCCATCAGCCAGTTCCCCAGCGCCACATTCTACGATGGCAGGCTACAAGATGGGCCCGGCATGGTCAAGCTTCGACAACGGCCCTGGCACCAGAGTAAGCTGCTGAGCCCTTACCGATTTTTCGACGTCCAAGGCATGCACCAGAGTGCACCCAAGGGTCACTCCCTGGTCAACTATGCAGAAATCCGGGTCTCGATGCAACTGTACGATCGACTGATCGCGGATGTCAAGGATTACGACTTTGCCGGGAATATTGGCATCATCACGCCTTACAAAGGCCAATTGAAAGAAATGAAGATGCAGTTCATTCACCGATACGGTGAACAGATTCTGAAGCAAGTTGACTTCAACACTACCGATGCCTTCCAGGGCCGGGAGTGTGAAGTGATCATTTTCTCTTGCGTTCGAGCGTCTAACAAGGGCATTGGTTTCTTGGCTGATATTCGCCGAATGAACGTCGGTTTGACACGTGCCAAGTCGTCGCTTTGGGTGCTGGGCAATTCCCAGGCTCTGATGCAGGGCAAGTTCTGGGGCAGTCTCATCAAAGATGCCCGTGGGCGGAACGTCTATACTGACGGTGACATCCTGAAGCTGCTCCAGCAGCCGCAAGTGACTCCTGGACAGCCGCTGTTGGATGTCACCCAGGAAGTTGAGACGGTCAAGCAATCTTCACCGCCACCCAAGCCTGAGTCTCCTCCAGCGCCGTCGAAGAAGGCCGAGTCTCCGGCGCCATATAAAAAGGACAAGTCTCCTTCGAGGTCGGCGTCGTCCTCCGATCAAGGAAGCCCTCAAAAGTCGGCTTCCCGTAGCCCCTCCAGCGGGCGTGAGGATACTCCCAAGGGGGGCCCAAGAGGATCCTCACCCCGTGCCTCCTCCCTCCGCCGAGTCTAACAAGCGGAAGAGGGGGAGGCAGACGAGGCAGACGAGGCGGATCCCCCCGCGGTGCCTGCCCATCCCCCTCGGCGGCCCAGCATGCGGCCGGCCCAGCCCCCGATGAAAAAAAAGAAGCCCGTCGACATCTTCATACGGCCTAAGCGACGGTGAATTTTTCGGCGGGCTTCTTTTTCTTTTACGACTGTGATGATGACCGGTTTTGTGTTTTATTTCTTATCTTTATTTTATTTTACTTTCATTTCAAAATCTTCCCGATTTTGTCCTCGTCTTCCACACTTGAATGACTCGTATGACCTCTGTGTGGCCAATTAATGAAGTAATAGAAGGTACCGTCGACATAAACGTAGATTGGATCTGGTGTGAGAATATTATTGTAGAATATTGAACATGCCAATACTCATATTAACCAAGTGATTGTTTATCTCAACTGTCATGGTGTATTAGGGTACTGTGTAAAACCAGATGTGTGACTATGAGAGCACCATGCATAATTCTCTGCAGAGGCCTCCTAGACCAGGTTCACACGTTTCTTTCATTCACCGCCTCTCATCTTATTGAACGAAGCAACCTTGCAGTACACGTCAGGCTGCCCAGCATTCTATGAGGTAGATCCCGCAGCGCTTATTGTGGAAGGGCGCCTCACATGATCTCATTTCTGCTTTTACTTTGGACCTTGTGAATGAACACAACTAACTCACAGTGTGGTCTTCTGGCTGGTCAGCTACAATGTGCCCATGGCATCACATCATCCCCATAGTGCAACATGGACATTCTACTACACTAGTGTATGCCGACGTACTATATAAATCCCACGACCTGTCCAGTCCCTTTTTCTCTTCACTCTTTGACTACCCCAGCGGCCATAAATCTCACTGACAGCTTTTCAGGGTCTAACAACAGACCTCTTAGCCAACAGGAGTTTTTTCTCGGTCAAGTCACGGCCTACTACATACCGGGAGAGACCCCAGCACGCGGGACTATCCATGCAACGGCATTTTTTCCTCATTTCCCCCGCCTCATCTGAACTCAATCTCGACAAAATCCGAACAATGCTTGGTCTTCATTCCAAGTACATAACGGGGGGGCGAGGCAGATATCAAGTGATCCTGACATGCAGTTCCCCTCAGCGCCCCAATATACGGCCCTCGCCGCCAATGAAGAAGCTCAACCTTGAGAGATCGGCTGACATCTTCATCTGCGTTCAGCGGCGCTGATTTGGCTTTTTACGACGATGATGGATTGGACTCGCAACGACGTTCCGCGGTGAGATAATTCAGGGAAGAAATTTCCCCAAAGGCCATTCTCGGCCTCTTCTCGGTCCGCTCTGCCTAAAAGCCGGGCAAATCCAACGACGGAGACTGCCAAGTGAAATGAGCGAAATCAGGTCGCTGCCGAAATGTCTGGCGGATTCCCCTGGTCTTGTCTCTCAAAAATCAAACCCATGGCCTCTATGAACCAAAAGGGGAAGCCTGTAAAAAACTTCATTCGCCCGAAGTAACAGGCATCATGGGACACGGCCGTTTGGAACTGGTTCCTTTTCTGCGTGCTCTTCCTCGATTGGCTCACTTTTACAGATCCACTGGGGTCGACAAGGCCATCAATCAGCTCGAGCACTGGAAGGACAAATACTTCTCCGGCCAGGCCTAGATTGTCTTAGGTTAATATACAGACCTTGGTGTCATATATTAAGCAGCGGACCGCCTCCACCATCGCTACGTGTTTCCACGTAAACGGGGAGAGCAGCAGGAATTCTCCGTACCGGTGCGAAGATGGTGACAGGTGGGGGGATCCATGGATTGACAGATCGCCTTTTGTGCAGATGTGGAGTCGCGCTTTCTTCGTCTCCCTACTCGTAGCGTGCTCGGAGGGTGTAGGATTCTGCCACTCGACCGCGCTTCCACGCTTCCCCGTTACCATTCACCTTCCATCCATCTGCCTCGCGGTCTCGAGCGGGGTCTTCCGTGCCTCCCGACATTGAGTAAATCCAGGAACGGCGCATCCACCTGCAGCGTTAGAGCGTGTCCGGAGAATAAAAGCGACAAGACGAAGGAGATCGGAACGCAAGGGCCGGTGGAGCCGGTGTGGGCTATCGTCCCGCGGCCTCAATAATCAGCCATGCCGCATGCTCATCCCTTCCGCTGCGTCGCCACGCTAAACACGCGAGGCACAGATGATTGGGCTCCATCTGCTGCGAACGGCCAACGGGGCCTGCAGCTCATCGCTGCGATCGACTGCTACCCGCCCTGGGGATCCCTGGGATCTGCGGCGAACTCCCGGACGTGATACCTCACATTTCACATCCTGACGTCGCTTATACTTTGAGGAGGGGGCAATGGCCCAGCTCGTTGGGTCAGGCTCCTTGCGTGTGGAGCAAATCTTGGTCAGAGCGACAGAGAAACAACGCGTGAACAGGGAAAAAAAAGAAAAATGAAAGGGTATGATCTCAGCTCGTGTCTTCGCGCCGACTCCTTCGCGCCGCCATGTTCCAGCACTGGGCAGGGTTGCACAATGCATTATGCGCACCGAGGGGCAGAAGGAGTTTGTGCTGCCCCAGAACTCGGCGCTGCTGGAGAATTGCTCCTGCTGCATCCAATCACTGGGGGCAATGCATGCCGACTCCGGGCGAGGCCGAAATAGTTTGTCAATCAAGCCAACTGCTGTGTCATATTGCGGCCCTCCAATCCCGAACCACGCTGCGCAAGGTCGTACCCAGATGACCATGGCAAAGACATGGCAATCCAGAGCCACCCACGGCCAAGGGCTCCGTTCCCCTACTCGACGGCCCTAACGATTTTAGCCCCAACCGTATCGGCGCCCTTTCCAGGCTATCTGCTTTCCTTGGGCGGGCCCAAACCACTCCTGCATCTGGATCGGCGATTCTAGGATGGCTCCCCCCCCCCCCTTCGTCCTTCGAGGAGATGCGACAGCTCAACTCTAAAAAGCTGCAGTGCCTGGCGCACTTAAATCCAGGACCCCTCCCTTCCGGTTGCCTCGTCTCCGCTGTCCTTTTTGCATCGGTTTCTGTTTTGACGGTCAACCCCAGACGCCGCCCCTGCAATCTCGCTGTACATACTGTGGCCCGTCTCTGTATATAGTATACCTATCATTTTTGCATTGCATACCCGGCCTATATTCCGCCACCCTTCCCTTTCTGATCTCGCCTCTTTGCCCGTGAAGAGGTAAGTACCTCAGCAACCATCTCGACCTTCGAGACGATAGTCTTCTAACGTAACTCCAGAGAGCCTGCTCCGCTGTGCGCCGCCGCCGCTTGATCCTGATGAGACCCGCAACTAGGCGGATTGCAAAGGCAGCCAATTGATGCCCCTATGCATCATTGGGATCCGGTGTATGAAAGTGCCGTTGCGCCGAGTCCTATTGTGCCGACCTACCGGCCCGATCCCCTCCCCCAAAACCAAAGCTAGACGCAGACAGTCCAGCATGCCGACGTCCGTCTCGGGCTCGCCAGAGCCCCCCGCCAGCGAGGGGTAAGCGCCCCGAGGCCCCAAGCTCGCTCCGCGGGCATGGCAGAACGGGCTCCTCGGAATGAAAGTCTAACGGATCTTGTGCGCTTTTTTCAAACCCAGAATGCCCCTTTGGATAGTACCACCACCGCCCTGCCGGCGGTGAAATCCCCCAAGCAGCCCTCGGAGCAAATTGCAAAGGAGCTGAAGCCCTTGCACCGACGTCTGCTGCAATTCACCCAGCGCCAAAAGAAAGAACCCTCGTCAACAAAATCGAAGCAAGATGAGCATCAGCGACAAATTGAAGCGCTCCAGCGCGAAGGATACCTCCTTCCGGCGCAATCGAAATCAAAAGATCCAAAGAATAGCCTGGAACGAACCTCGTCGAAAACGTCAAAAGCATCGAAGACGTCCAAATCTTCCAGATCGTCCAAAAAGCCAGACCTCAAGAAGATTGGCCAGCCATGGTTGGAGAACAAAGGCCATAGCAAGACATCCTCCACCGACACCAAAAGCCGCCTGGCTTCACTGGATCTGAGCGACTTTGGATCAATGGTCGACGTCGCCGTTTCCATGACGGAATTCGATGATCCTTCGCCTCCGCCGTACCAGATGCCGACAGCAGACGGGCCTGCTGTCCGAAATGACCGGGGTGTATCCTGTCAGTCAGCCCCTGCACTCCCGATTCCGGGCTCGTCAGAAAGTCGATCTACCAGCACGGAGGCCGTAACATACTCATCAACCTCTCCAGTGGGTTCGAATACGAATGTACCAAAGAATGCGCTTGTCCGACGAGCATCAAGTTCCAGCAGCTCGATCGTCCGCATTGTAGACCAGGAGACTAGGCCGACTTTAAAGAATTCCACAAGCCAGTCTACTAGTCTACATACCCTGGACTCATTCGATAAGTCCGTCAAGAGTGAACCCAAGCCAGATCAAAGCACGGAGCAAGCCAACCCCGCTATCGATACATCGAATATCAGTTCAAATGGAGCTCCCTCACAGCACTCACTGAAGCTGTTCCCTGATGTGGCGCCACCTCGCATGTCGAGTAAGAATGCGTGGAGACTTTCATCAGCGCCTCGATATCAGCTGCTTTCTGGCCAAGCCCCCTCTATCAAACCAAATGCCTCTGGAGAAGCAAAGGACTTTGTCAAGCCCACAGAAGAAAAGGCTCCAAAGGCTGCCTCTACCTCAATTGTTCCCAAACAAGAAACCGAGGGGCCGCAATGTTCTGGTGCATTGGTACCTCCAGCATGCTCCGAGTCTACAAGCCCAGACTCCACTGAATCCAACCCGTCGGAAGACATCGACAAAAGCCAGAACAAACCAAGGCCTACTCCTTCATTGGCGATGGGCACTCTTAAGGCTTTCCCCTTCCGGCACCGACGAAGCCGCTTCCATCGATTCCGAAACCGACGCGTGCTCCGCCTGCTACTCCCGATAAGTCACGTTTGTCTGTACAAATGGCTCGACATAAGAACAAAATGATGGATTTGCCACCTGGGCAGCCATCACCCATCGCAGAGGATCCGCACGAGCCTGAGTCCCAAGAACTTCGGTGTGCAACTGCACTAGGATTCGTTGGTGAAGCAGAGTCCGTCATCGACGATGACAGCGCGAAGTCACTGATGTCCATTGAAAGATCCCACTCGACTTCACCAGAGCAGCGCACTCCACGGAAGCGTGCCTCCAGTGTCCGAATCCCCAAGATGCAGTCTCCAAATGGCAGTGATGAGACGACACCCGGACAACCCATTGCAGACTCACCTGTTCTGGGTCAAATGATGCCTACCAAGCTTCATGGAAAGAGAGCCCCTCGCAAGAGTCTGCAGATAAATTCCAAGGTTGACCGCAAGAATCTCCCCTTCGGTCTTCCTTCTCCCCCTCCGAGTGGCGCCCTCCCGCCAGATCCATCGTTGCCAACATCCCATGAGCGATCTCTCGCTCAGCGCAACATCACCGCTCCCTCAGGCCCATCCAGTCGTGCCCTGGAGGCAGCATTTGGTTCAAGTCATCGCAGCTCGATGATCTCACGCAGCAACAGCTCACGGAGCAGCCTTCGCCATGAGAGCATTCCGGAATTCTACGAGGCAAGCCGTTCTGAATCTCCTCTTCCGTCCTCGGACGACGAAGGCTTTGGTCCCAGCGCCGATACAGTTCGCACTCGCCGTGTTGCGGAGAAACAGCCAAAGCGTGCTCAACCGGTTCGCCACAAGTACGAGACCGTGGATGGACGCACTGGTTATGCTAGACCGCGCTATCCCCATCCTATGAGGTCTCTGACTCCACAGGGTCGCAGCAATTATCACGACGCCGACAAGATTGAGTCACCCAACTCTTTGTACTCACAACCCTCCTACCCTTCACGAGACCCCCAAAGCAGCAGCCATCGTATTCAACTGGAGCCGAACCCTTTCTTGGAAGATCGCATCGCCAACTTGGAGCGCCAAAACCAGATCTTGCAGGCTGCTCTTTTGGCTGCTCTCAATGCCGGTGTGAAGAACAGCGGGATGGATGATCTTCAAGCTGCACTTTCTCCTCCATTCTCCGCCGCACCTCCACGACCATACCAACGCCCGCAACACTTACATCCACGATACACGTCTCGCCCTGACAGCTGGGTCAGCTCTTCTCGTAGCAGTGAACACAGTGGGTTCGAAACGCCGGGATCTGTCCGAGACAGTCGAGCTAATATCCGCCAGCTGGATAACATGATCGAGGACATCGAAGCTGGCTGGCTTTCGGATAAGTCAAGCTTGAGCGGGCCCCGCATGGCTCGCAAGCGCTGAGGCAGACCATTCTTTTAACCCTGTCGATGCTCATGAGATTCTTCCTTTTGAATATTTTTCTTCTATAACCCATTCTCTTCTTCTCTTCTTATGACCTGACATGATACTTTTGATACCTGGACTGAACTTGGACGACTTTGATTTTCCTTTTCCCATTTTGCTGATTTGCTTGCCTCCTGTAACTACAATCTTTCTACGATACCATTCTTCTTTTATTGAATTTATTCCCTTTTTTTTTTTTTCTTTTTTTGATTTCCACAACCCTCACTCCAATTAAATCTAGCAGGACAAATAGCAGACGACGATACTTAGACTTCAAGGTTATAAACCCCCACCCAGTTGCAAGTTTTCGAAAGCGGACTCGTCTGATTTGTTCGCTCCTTGCATTGCCAACTAGCACCGCCAACCTGACCAAGGGCATTCAGCGAGCCACCCGGAGAAGACACTCTGATGTAGAAGCTCTCGAGACTATCAATCCCCTTCGGAAAATCGAGCAAGTACTGGTTACCGGTGCAGTTCCACTTGTGGGAATTGCCTTGCTCTGCGGACCTACATTCGACTCATGTTAGTCCTCTGTTATTTCAATCTAACTATCTCCCCTGTATATTATTGCCAGGTATGGAGCGGACATACCAGCTACCACCGCAGTCAGCGCTAACCCCTGCGTTGGGATCGGTCAAGGCAAAGTTTATGAAGGTTGTTGCAGGCGACCACTCGTCGAAGATCCTCCCGTTGAGATTCCTGAGTTGCAGGGCCTGGGAATCGCGTTTGGCTACGCGTTTGAAGTTGCTTGGTGGGACAATGGCGGTGCTGGCGGCGGCCAGGAGGACGGTGGAGATGGCGGCGGTCTTCATTGTGATTGATTTGGGGTATATCGGGACAAGAGGTTGGCTTTGCTTTCGACTGAATAATTTGAGGGTTGATTTTGTGTTAAGGGCACAGATTGTGCCTTTTATAACGAAGACGCTTTGTATCTATGCTTCTTTCGGGAGCCTAGACTTCAGCTGTGAATAGGCACCCCTCAACGACGAGTAGACTCAGAAATAGCTCAAAGCCAAGCAGGAGTGGACGAGAATTCCATGCCAAGTCAATATACTGGCGAATTAAACACATTCTCATAGCTCTTAATGAGAAAGTTGTAGAAGGTTGGACGCCTTCATCGGACGCCTCGTCGGCGCCTTAGACAGCACCCTGTACTCTCCAGGACGTTTAACCGACAACGAAGTAAGCTCAGGCTCAAGCTGCGTTAAATTTATCAAGGGCTAACTTTAATTGGCAAATCCGAAGACTCGATGTGTTTATCCGAACCTATTCCGTTGTTTTTGGTTAGGCGTCCTGTCCAAGCCTTAAACAGCGCACAGCCTGCCTGACCCGAGGGGTCACCATCTCACAGTCGCAAAGCGTGCCGGATCATTGAAATAGTGCCTATCTTATGGACATATTTTGACAGTTTGCGAAGGAAGTGTGAGCCCTGTGTAAGATGATGAGATGAAGCTGAATAGGTGCCAGAAGAGATAGATCACGTGACTATAACCTTGAGATTTGATATGCGCAATTCTGGACATCAATCGAGGGGTAACTGGTACACTGCTCCATGCTATGATTTTCAATTATACTCTCGATTCTATTGTCGCTCCAGTGGAATATCTGGTTTCATAGGCCATTTTGTCCGGTTCAATCTAGAAGCTGGCCATTACATACACAAACTCTAAAGTAATGTTACTAGGCTCGCCAAGGCATGACTTGACTCGCATTAGCCTAATACCAGCATGGTCCTTGCACTCCATTGCTTTTTTCGGGTTCAACTTCAGGCCTAATTCCCTGCAAGAGAAAGATAATTTGTTCCAAGGGTTCGAATTTACAATCCACTCTGGTTTCATCTGATCCCCGAAATGAGCCTACTCAAATTTATGACACTGGTAGCAGATCCCGGAGGTCTTCCGTGCGTGTTTTTCAATCATCTGTAAGCCGACTGATGAGCAGAAACGGCCCCTCCACATGTCTAGAACTACTATTAGTAGTAATATTTGCCCCCTCGATGCTTCTTGTCGCTCGGGCAGTTTGATTCGTTCCTGGCCAAGCTGGATCCTCAAGATCTGCTTGCGCACAGACGATACGACCAGGATGATCCACATAGACATGCATTGAAAGAAATTTTTATCTCAGTTTGAATGCGATAACTTGAAATACTATTTACTACACTGTAAGCCCACAGCAAGATTTATCATAGAATACATTGTATACAATGTATTCTGCCATCTGACGTCTCGAAATCCCCATGTGCAGATAGGCTGTTTGTCTTGATCTCTAGTATTACCATTTGTAGGAACCACAGATCAACCTGCGTCACAAGAAAGGCGATAGATTTGAAACGCTCCAGTAACTCCCCGTCGGAAATGTTTATCAGCCCCTCAATCCGTAATCCTATCTCGGTTAGTTTCCAAAGCGTACATCTGCCGATACCTGCCGGGGCTGTGGGAAGTGGGTCCCGATTGCATCTAGTAAATTCAAGTCTCGAGTCCACTTCGGATGCTAAAATCACGAGTCTCAGTCGAGTTCCCGCCCCGTATTACCCGTGATGAGGTCCACAGACTGGCTGGACCCTTCATAAGAGAGAGAATTTGGCACAGACAAATAAAATCTTTACAATAGTCGGTTCGAATCTATCGAGATGATTCGCGAAGGCAATAAAATGACTTAGGTATAGCTTCGGATTGCGTTGCATTAACCGACGTTTGTCGACTAATCAACGCTCTGACCATTTGTATAAAATGCTGCGTAATCGCTGTTTCCTAGTGGACTTGCGCCAGTGCAAAATGTGGAGGTGGCGTTTGATGAGTGCATAGCCTTACCATAGCAGTGAATCCTCGTAGTTCCCCCTTCGCGCGGCTAGAGCGGCTAACGAATCAAATCGACCTCACCCCATATAATTCTAGGTGCAGACTCAGACTTGCCAAGATTTTCGGAGACGGCTTCCAATCCGTGCCGTTCCCCAATCCTTTGCACGGTGGTTTTGGCCACACGGGGATTTCAGAAGTGAGTAGAGCTCTCCTGTGATATATCTGGATGCCGCAGGGGCCTTTACTGGGGATCCCACTTGACGTACCACCCTGGCTGGACCTCCCCCCACTCGGACAGCCGCACGTTGACCTTCAAATTGGACTTTGTATCAAGCGAAGTGGATATTGTATTGTAAGTCACCTTACGATGACATGCCGCTTTGCTTCAGAGCGAAGCCTGAACTAGGGACGTTGCGTTTGAAATTTCCTATAAGAAGTCTAGCAACACACTAGGTAGGTAGGCACTGTATTTGTCCTCTTTCATTTTATCCCTCGATTTGAGTTCACTCGTCTTCACCTTGGAACTGTTCAAATTCGATATGCCTTCTATCTCCAACAAAAAATACATATTCCTCTATGCATTCGCCGAAAGAATCGACCGACTGTCAAGCTTGCACGAAATCTCTGCTGGGAACATCTCTCAGCTTCCGGCCATTACCAGTGACAACTTTCAGCCTGGTGACAGAACCGGTAGCGCCTTTGGAATCCAAGACGGGCTTTCAGATGCCATGGAACGAATCTACTCTCTCCATGTTCAATCTAAGAGAAGGCCGAACTTGGAATCCGAGTTAATCGTCAATGGGGTTGAAATCTGGAAAAGTCTCGATGATTTAAAAGCTCAGCCTCCTCTTGACTCCACGGATTATTTATGTCTTCATTCTTCATGTACTTCAGCCTTGTATGCGTGGCTTTATTTAGTCGTTCATCCGGACGGAATTGAAGACACGAGGCTTCAGACGGCGGTTGAAGAAGGTCTTTCGAATGCCGAAGAGTTGAACTCCTCCGAGCTTTCTCCTTTCTTATTCATTCCAGCTTTCTGTCTTGGGTTGGCCGCCATCACACAGGAAGATAGAGATTCCGTGAATGAAATTTTCCAGAAGATTGGCAATATCGCCGCTTTTATCGACATAATTCCATATCGAGGAGTTGTGGAACGCAGTTGGAGAAAAAAAGACAGGGGCGAAAGGAGAAGCTGGGATTGGACCGACTAGCCCGTGCATTTTGCCAAGCGCCTGCGAGCAAATATCAAAATTGATGTGTTTGACAATATCAGTCGAAGGCAATCGGCTTCGCTAGTATACTGTTAGTTTCTTCACTCCTCGATTACACAAAGTCTGCCCAATTCAGCTTTGATGAACCGACAACTTGCTATTATTTTTGTAATTCAAACTGAGGTTATCATATACAGGTACACAATGTGACGGTCGATCATTCTCATCACGTAACATCGTCCTAAAACAGACCCTTCTTGTCTCTTAGACGGTAGAGTAGATACCACAAGAGGAGTAGCTCGCAGGCACCAAAAGCCATCACAATTCCGCTAAAGAGCTGAATGCTGAGAAAATTCAAGTCGGAACTACCTTCGGAGCCAATTGAGGCGAGGGCACCTGCAATAGGCGGTCCAATAAGAGACGCAAAGCTGCTGAAGCTCTGTGCCATGCCCAGCCACGTGCCAATCGTCTGGGGATCAGGGCAAACATGGGGGAAGACACTCGGGGGCAGGGGAATCAGAGCACCAGAAATCCCACCTAAGTAATAGTTAGCTCCTGACATACTTCCGGATACTAGGAGTTTCCTTGCCGTAAAATGCCGCGAACGCGATGAACCGCGCCAGGCTGTCCGCGCTGATCCAGCAGAGACACAAGATGCCCGATATCATGCCACAGACGACCCAAGATATCATCGAGCCGTAGTAATGCGCAAAGACGGTGGTACCGACTCGACCAATGATTGAAGCCCCCTGCGCTATAATCAGGATGTAAGAGGCGAGCGAGCGGGATGTACCGAGTTTCGTCTGAGCATAGGTCGGGATGTAGTAATATGGCGTGATATAGCCAAGATAAAGGAAGAAATTCGCCGCCGTAAAGCTCCAGAATGGAAGATCTTTGATAGCTCTGAAATCGATGAGCCTCCTTGGTCGATTGCCCTGTATCCTTTTTGTGTTGTCTCCATGCCACAGCAACAGACCAGCGGCAATGATGAAAAGTGCGAGCATCAGAAAGCCCATCACCCGGACCGTCCATCCAAACCCCAGGTTTGAAATGAGCTGGTTAAACATGATGGTGTAGATGATGCCCCCTGCAGGCGCACCACTGGTGGCAATCCCCAAAGCCAAAGCGCGCTTTCGAGCAAAAGATCGGCTCACCAGGGCAATACTGGGAATGTATAGGAGGCCAAAGCCAGCACCCATGCATATGCCTTGGCTGAGGAAGATCGAGTAGTACTCCCTGGACAAGCTGAGCATCATGAACCCAAGCACGGACAAGATACTGCCAACCAAAAGAGCCGTTGGGTAGTAGCCAAGGTCCAGGAGGGGTCCCGAAAACAAGCCCCCGACGATCAAAAGCCATGCCTGGACAGTGCCAATCCATGAAATCGCGGATGCCGATGAGGATGGAAGATATGTCAAAGTGTAGAAACTTTGAAAGGATCCGAACGCGAAGTTGGCTCCCCTTTCAGATGGTCAGTAGGAGGGACACGCTGCTTCCAAAACGAGGTCAGACAAACCAGATATTGAAAATGATACAGAAGACGCCAATGACTTGGAAGAGTCCCCGGATGCCATCTTCGACCACCAGGGTAGGTGGACTGGTATGCTGATTTTCCTCGGGTGGTTGTGACTCTCCAAGCTCTTTGGCCTGCTCATCGGGAGTCGGTGCAGCCATTGCTTCAGTTCCAGCAAGTTCAATCTGCCATGAGCAAAAACCGGACTCGCTGCTGCTTCGAAGAGTAAAAAGAGCCCGAGGTTTCAAACGACGCAGATTTCATAGCGGTAAATCTTGGATGACAAACCGAGTAGTTGCGAGTGTCGTGCGAATTGGAGAACAGCGGGTATTCGGCAGGGCTTTGCGGGGTAAGGAGCTGCCATCGCCTATCACAGCGAGTAAGCGTCCAGCCGGATTACCAAGAATATTGATGGACCATGTCGACATTGGCTCGCGCCATCGGCGCTAGAATGCCATGTCCGGCCGTGGACGAACAATTGGAGCTGTTGCGAGACCCCGCTTGTAGGCCTCGGCTCAGGGCGACGGCCAACCGACATGGGAGCATTTCCAGCACCGACGTCCGAGTCTGCCTAGCTTCGTCGATTTGATCGACTTTGATCCTGCGAGTTGCAGATCAGGAAGCTTATGTGCCCGTGATGACATGAAGTGTGCGCTTGCTCTGGTTACAAACGAGGAAGAGTGCGAGAGCGCGGGAGATTGCCCAGAAAGAGGAAGTGGCAGTATGGCATAATCACACTCTCCGCCCTGGCTCTTGGGATTCCCAGAGCAGTTTCCGGGTGTCTTTAGATCTCTAATCAGAGTATTCATCTAACGTTAACTAGTAATTTGAAGTACTGACTCAAGAGTCAACCGTGGCGTGCGATCTCGGAGCCGCCGCCAATCGGAGTTCGCGTTAGCCGGCCTCGCGGAGCTACCGCCAAATCACAATCGCCCGTCGGTCTCACAGCATCCAACTTCACCCCCACATTTCGCGCGGGAAACATCGCCTGCACGCCTTTAAAGCACGCCTCGCCTTCGGTGACTGTATAGAATATTCGCAAGTCACATCTCCTCAGAAAGCATAAATAATGACCGAGGCACGACCGTTGGGACCGTTCGTCTCATTCTCTCCGGCCCTCGCGCCGTCCAACAAAACAATACTCACCGGACGGACCATCACACTCGAACCGCTGGCACCCAAGCATGCAAAAGATTTCTACACTTTGGTCGGGGGCGACGATCCGGCAAAGAATCATCTCTGGGACTACTTGGCCGATGAACCCTACACGCAATTGGAGGTCTTCCAGAAGAGCATCGAAGCCAAGTCGAAATCGCTGGATCCCTTGTTCTATGCTATCATCGACCAGCGCCCTGCAGTGTTCACTTCTGGCAAGCCGATCGGATACCTCGCGTTGATGCGGATTACTCCCGAGCAATGGACGATCGAAATCGGCCATGTGGTGTTTTCCGCTGCTTTGCAGCGCACCACTGGCGCCACCGAGGCCATCTATCTTCTGGCTCGCCACGCATTCGAAGATTTGAACTACCGACGTGTCGAGTGGAAATGTGACTCGCTCAATGCACCATCGCGCAAGGCGGCTTTGCGGCTCGGCTTCACCTTTGAAGGCATCTTTAGACACCACATGGTTGTGAAGGGACGAAGCCGGGATACTGCTTGGTTTGCCTTTTTAAAAGATGAATGGAATGCTACGATCAAGCCCGCGATGGAGAAATGGCTCGATGAAACGAATTTCAATGAGGATGGTAGCCAGAAGAAGTCGCTTCAGGACCTAAGGGCACAATGAACTGAGAAACCGAGGGTCTGCCACAAAATTTATTTTATATAGACTCGATTTCAGCATGCGGGAATCATAGAAATATTCAGCATAGAATAGGATGTCGACCTTTGAATTGCGTCTGGACAGCGTCGTCGAGTGTTGCACTGAATTCGGACGACATGTCTTTGGATTTGAATTAGAATTAAATGTCATGAAATAGAGCAATAACGCAAAACCCAAAACACTTGTAAAATGGAGATATTAGGCTATTGAATGATCGTAGGGTATACCCAAAGGTAGTATGTGACGGGGGGAGAGGGTGCACTAACCTCTTACGGAAGTAGCATTGGGGTATTTCAGCCTCAGACAGCAGCCACAAACAAACTTGTCAAACATGCTCACCTATCCGGTAGCCAAACGCCGTTTATCCTCAAGAGCCTACAACCCTCTTCCCAAAGGTTGTTTCAGACACTCGGACACGAGGGGCCAGTGACAGTGGCAGTGCCGTCTTGCAATGCCGCCTGTCAAGATCCAGAATGCAACTACATATTGTGACACCAGCTGCTGTTAAGAACCAGACATACTATACATAACCAAACTACAACTTTTAAGGTAAACTCTAAGTTACATCTATTGTATCTAGATGCTATAATGTTGATATTCTTTTGGTATAACTATATGAGATTCAATTCCGTCATTTTAAAGTTACTGAATTTATTGATCGTGGTTGGAACTCGGGAATTTTGATGGGGTACGATTAGACCGCCACGCACTGGGGACAAGGGAGCACGCACGACGGACGAATTAGGATGCGAAGAACTGAAGTCAGGGCTGATATTCGTAGCTACTGGGGTGGGTATAAAAGAGGCAAAGTGACGTGTATAAGAAATCCCTACAGAATTATTTCTCTTTCAGGCACAAAGCCCATAACCCCTCGCTAGATTATTTGGGTGCATCGGCGGCATCTGAGGACAAGGGACCACTCCAATTACCCGTAAGACGGGGATTTACTGCTCTATCCCGACAACACAGGATGGATTGCTAGCCACGGGGTCCAAGCCACCATCAATCCACTCCAGTCAGCATACCGGATTTAATATTGAGACATAGGAGCTATGTCCGCGTTCGAGAATCATTTCCCAGCGGCTTTGCGTAGGCGCCAAGGACCGGCTTCGGCACGGAAATACCCAATAGTGTCATTGTTGCGAGGCACCCAACGGACTACCAAACTCAATCAAGCTTCCGAAATGTTTCTGTTGGCCACGGCACACGACTTAGTAGATAGGCCCGACTTTTAGTCTCCGGTCAGATAGGTAAATATGCCACCCGCTAGCCAAGTTCAGTCGCCAAGATGGTGATCATCTTGGAGATATCCTCGTGGGGTCAAGATGGCAAAGTTGGCACCACCTGGACCACCCGGAGAGCCGAATCGCAAGTTATTTGCGAGCTTCGAGAGCTAGACAGACCGATGGGATATCGCTGCGGACAAGGTATTGAATCGAATCTCCCCACACGTTGCTCTGCGTATCCGGGATACTCGCAGGGTTTTCTCCCCGCGAAGAGAAATGTGTGGAGTCCCCGCACCCCCGCGTTGGGATGCCAAGACACCAATTCCCCGTCTCGGTAGAACTCCGGCTATCCAGATAATACCTTCCATGTTTCTACTCCCGGCAGCTTTGTCTTTCCCCATACCCCACTAAAAGTCTCTATACATGCACGACGGTCCGTGGTTTGCAAAATTGCGCTCTGGGGGTGCGGGGTGAGGCCTATAAAAAGGAGTGATCATCCTACCATGGGGTCTCCAGAGACTCCTCGAGCTTTCGCCTTTTAACGAAGTTGAGAACAAAAATGGTCCTCATCGTTGAGCTTGTGGTATCGGGACTTTTGGCTGCTACAGTGGCTAATAGTCAGTCATTTGATGGAACCACTCGAAGTGAAGATGCTTTCAGTTATGTCCAGCCCGAGAATACAACTATTCTGGGCCCTTACGGACACTCACCTGCCATCTATCCCTCGCGTACGCTTACTCTGTCTACCTTCGATGTATACGATTGGACTATTGCTGACCTCTATCACAGCGAATGCTACTTCGTCAATCAATTGGGAGGAAGCCTTCGCCAGGGCCCAAGAGTTTGTGGCTAAGCTGACGGTGGATGAAAAGGCCGATATGGTCACTGGTCAGCCAGGACCATGTGTGGGTAACATTGTCGCTATCCCGCGCCTCGGCTTTCGAGGTCTCTGCTTGCAGGATGGGCCCCTGGCCATCCGAGTAGCTGACTATGCCAGTGTCTTCCCTGCCGGTGTCACCGTGGCATCTACCTGGGATAGGGATCTGTTCTATGCACGAGGTTACGCCATGGGACAAGAGTTCAAGGCCAAGGGTGCCCACATTGCCCTCAGCCCTGTGGCCGGCCCCCTTGGCCGCTCTGCTTACGCCGGCAGGAACTGGGAAGGCTTTGCTGCTGACCCTTACCTGACTGGTGTCGCCATGGAGAAGACTATTCGCGGCCACCAGGATGCCGGCGTGCAAGCCACCGCGAAGCATTTCGTTGGTAACGAGCAGGAAACTCAGCGGAATCCAACCTTTGACTCGAATGGCACCCTCACGGATGTTATTCAGGAATCCATTTCTTCCAACATTGATGACCGGACCATGCACGAGTTGTACCTTTGGCCCTTTGCCAACGCTGTGCGCGCCCAGGCTGCTAGTTTTATGTGCTCATACCAACGTCTGAACGGTTCCTATGCCTGTGAAAACTCCAAGGCTCTCAACGGTCTGCTCAAGGAAGAGCTCGGTTTCCAGGGATACGTAATGTCTGACTGGGGTGGCACTCACTCCGGCGTCGCCTCGATCGAGGGCGGTCTCGACATGAATATGCCCGGTGGTATTGGCATGTACGGTATGAACCGCGAAGCTGGCTCTTTCTTTGGCAAGAACGTCACCTCTGCCGTGAGAAATGGAACGGTGGCTGAATCTCGTATCGATGATATGATCATCCGTATTATGACCCCTTATTACTGGCTCGGCCAGGACAAGGACTATCCTGAGGTGGACCCTTCTTCCGCGGATCTAAACACTTTCTCACCTCGTTCCACTTGGATTCGTGACTTCAACCTCACCGGCGAGAGAAGCCGTGATGTGCGCGGAGACCACGCCGAGCTGATTCGCAAGCTCGCAGCTGAGGCGACTGTTTTGTTGAAGAACGAAAAGCAGGCATTGCCGTTGAAGTCTCCTAAAAACATTGCTATCTTCGGAAATGACGCCGGCGAGAATACCATGGGTGCTGTCAACGAGGAGACATTCGAATTTGGTAGCCTCGCTGCTGGTGGTGGCTCAGGTACCGGTCGCTTCACTTATCTTGTCTCTCCACTGGAGGCTATCAAGGCCCGCGCAAAGATGAACAACACTCTAGTTCAATACTTCCTGAACAACACGCAGATCGCGACTGAGAACGTTACCGATCTCTGGGTTCCCGAAACCCCGGACGCCTGCCTGGTCTTCTTGAAGACTTGGGCCGAAGAAGGTGCTGACCGTGAAAACCTGTCTGTCGGCTATAACGGCAACGACGTCGTCGAGTCTGTCGCCAAGTTCTGTAACAATACCATCGTCATCACCCATTCCTCCGGCATCAACATCCTCCCCTTCGCCAGCCACCCCAACGTCACGGCCATCGTCGCGGCACACTATCCCGGCCAGGAAACCGGTAACTCCATCGTCGATGTCCTCTACGGTGATGTGAACCCCTCCGGGCGCCTCCCATACACCATCGCCAAGAAGGCAAGTGACTACAATGCCCCGCCCACGACTGCCGTGTCCACAAACGGCCCCTATGACTGGCAATCCTGGTTCGAAGAAAAGCTCGAAATCGACTACCGCTACTTTGACGCCCGGAACATATCCGTGCAGTATGAATTTGGCTTCGGCCTCTCATACACTACCTTCAGCCTTTCCAACCTCCAAGCGGAGCCTGTTTCTGACTCGGTTTCTTCTATCCCCGAAGACCAGCCCATCCTGCCGGGTGGTAACCCTGCCCTGTGGGAGCCTCTCTACAACGTTACTGTCTCGGTTACGAACTCTGGTGCTGTCGAGGGTGCGACCGTTCCCCAGTTGTACGTCACTTTCCCCGATAGCACCCCCGATGGCACCCCACCTAAGCAGCTGCGTGGCTTCGAGAAGGTTTCTTTGGTACCGGGCGAGTCCCAGACCGTCAGCTTTGAGCTAATGCGCCGAGATTTGAGCTACTGGGACATAGTCTCCCAGAAGTGGCTTATCCCTGAGGGTGAATTTGTCCTTCGTGTTGGGTTCAGTAGCCGCAGTTTGGAGGACGAGATGAGCATTACTCCTGTTTCTTCTTAGAGGGCATTGCACATGTGTAACTACATAGCGTCAGGTATTCGTTGCTAGAGGTTCATGCAGTATCTATCCAAAGATTAGTGATTTCCATGATCAAGTGAATTGACACTAGTCCGTTCTTGTATGCCAACCAAGATTTGGAGGTCCATCTATACGTGCCAATCAACCAAGGCCAAGTCCATGTCACCGTCAGCACGTCATTTTGGATTCCGTTGGAAAGTGATTTGTACCGGTGATACTCTGAGCGACGCTGAAGTAGGCAATACCTCCAGATAAGGGAATGAAATCTGGTAAGGGGAAAAATACAACTAGGTAACTAGTCAAGACCATCCCACAGGCGGACAGGGAATACATACATTGCTCCAGCTAAACCACAACCCGGCTCAGAGCGTGTACTTGAAGAGCGGAGACTTATCTCTTATTACCAGTAACTGTGTTGCTCGGGACCTCTACTATCGATCAGTGACAAGTAGATGACATGCCTTGAAACTGACTCACCAAGTAGAACGTAGGGGACAAAATTTGAGCAATATTACACTGAATACCACTCAGGTCCGATTCTTCTACAAGCCTCAGGGTCTTTGCATTGCCGCTATTGGCCTGCCCATGTGAGAGAACAAGTAGAGTATGCACAGCATTGGCACCAGCCTGATATTAACCTGCGATATAAGCGCTGTTAGTTCCGTCCTAATCAGTGCGGTCGTTGGGCCGAGCCTTTCGTAAGAGCTTTTCCTTTTGTTGGCCGGCGGAGAAGTTCCGATAGAAGCCTGCATTCCTTGGAGCGAAGACCAAAGACCTGGGTGTCGTCAACGGTGCTGATGATGGCGCAGTCCTCCACTTTCTCGACATTCTGGGCGCTGCAACCTTTCTCGTCGACCAGATCGTCACTAGGTGCGTGTCCTAGGTGCACTGTTGGCAGGGTGGCATTGATTTGGCTTGTAGATTTATGTACGCGGAAAATGCATGGATGAGTATATCGTAGCTGGGGTGTGCCGGTTGACTGCCATTTTATTGCGGACAACACATGAAGCCCAAGGGGCCGTCGAAAAAGGCCGAGCTTGACCAGTTTTAGCTTTCCAAGTCAGCTCTTGAGACAGCTGGGCGGAGTGCGAAACCCGCTTCCCCGCGCGGTTATTCCGTGCACGTTTCTCGCGTGGGGTTAGATGCCGCTCCGACGTCTACGGGACCCCAAGGGGCCTAACAGGGCCTGTCTAGGTGTCTGCCTCTGCGGACAGCGGATCTCCGCCGCCCGCGAATAGGCAAGCCAGGTTGGTGTGGTGATATGGCTTTTCATAGATACGCAGACGGATCAGACAAAATTAGAGAATTGCACGGATGTGCATACAGCCGGTGGAAGCAATGAGACACCCATGAATAGGACCATGATCGGAGGTAACTAGTGGTAGCAATCGTATTACAACTTGATCAAGAAATCCTATTCCCTCTTGTCCCACCCTTCAGATGAGTTTGTCTTACCGACTCAATTTGACCGAATCCCAGAATTCTTACCCGGCTCTCGGTCCTTGACACCATTGGTTCCTGGCTTACATATTACGACCAAAGTCCAGAGACGATTCTAGACACGTGCTCGTCCAATCTAGCTCGCGGCGTAGTCTGTGTTGGCTACTACCAGTTCGCGAATCTTCGCTGTTCCCGACCTTTTACTTTTTGGCCCTTAAGGATCCTTCCGTGGATTCAATTCGACCAGGCAGGCCCCTACTCGGGGATAAGGAAGACTCTGGGCTTCGTTTCCCGCGATGACTGGATCCTGCGTATCTGGCCTAGCAAATGTAGAATACTTTAGAAAAATGCTCACATACATTTTCTGGAGTTTCAGCTGCTTACGACAGTCCGCTCTGGAAAGTTCCCGGAGTGACGGCTTCGAGCCACCGGCCAATTCTTTCCTTTGGAAGCCAAAACCCATATAGCCAAGCGAGAAAGCTATACGAATCAAGCTGCTGATACGTAAATGACTTCTGAACCCATATTTTCTCACAGAGACCGACCCTATGGCAGGAAACGTAACAGATATATCCAACAACTGGTAATGTAGAGACACGAACAGGAGCCACGGTCTGTATATCCCTGATTCCGTTCAAAGAACATGATTGGGGCTGTACTGCGCGTTTAAATCAAGGTTCACTAACCCACTCTGTTAAATCTCCATTAGATACTAGCCGTGCAAAAGTCTTCTTTGTAGATACTTACCTTCACATTTTTGTTGTCGCAACCGTAAACGTCACCACCAGAGCAGCTATCATTGAGTGCGTCCAGTGCAACGTTACCGAGGGATAGGAGACCTCCATTGCCGTTTGAAAGCAAAAAACAGTTTGGTCCCTTTCGCACACTTTGCCGCTGTTGGGTTTGGTGTTGCCGGCAATAGCAACGGCCACAAGGGCGAGGATCGTAACAATGGCTCTCATATGTGCTGAAGCAAAAAAAAAAAGGGGGTGGGGGGAGGTTGACGCGGATTCTGGACTTCCTGTAGTCCTGTTGGGTATGACTACCCCACGCCGTCCTTCTAAGTGGAGAAACGAGAGCGGACACACGAGCTGTCAATCATAAGAAAAGAATCCGCTAAGCTGATATGATATAATCGATGGTGCGGACCGGAGTTGTCGAATCACCTTCTAATTGCCTTTGCTGGATGTGTGTGCCACTCATTCTTTTGGTTCGTTGGTTGAGTTTTCACATTCCCAAATCATAAGCCATCAAGCCAGGGTCGAGACCAGCGTAGATCTTGGTCATCAGCCCTGTAGGCGTGGCGGGTTCTAACTTCGGACTTTAGCTCACGTACCTGCACAGATAACGTTATGGGCATTTACTAGAAAAAAGGAAAGTATATAGGTAGACTGGTACGTAAAGGAGGGGGCCCGAGGAGCCCTCGTTCATTAAGTTAACTAATCCGAAGCTGACTCAACAGTGTGGTTTTCAAATATCAACTTGCTAGATAATAGAGTTAAATCTGGGAATGATCGACAGTACTTTCGACATTAGTGTCACCACCTGTGAACACTCTTTGAATGTTTCTCACTCTCCAGTATCATAGAGTGCCAAAAGCTTTTAGGAAAAGCGTATAAGCCACATCATCCGAAGGAATTATATCGTAAATTTCACTTGCTTTCACCTGACCACAGAGCAACTGGCGTATTGTTCCCTTTCCACTCCTGTGGTGTTCGAGCTGTCCTGCTAAATAACGTATTGCTTTTTCATTTCAATGTGACTGTTTGGTTTAACCTTCGCGACAGGTAGGATCGCCCTTTCCCTTCTCCCTTGTGGGTTCTTCATCCTCAGAATTTTCTTTCTGGAGGAGAGGACTCTCTTTGGGACCCACACTCTTCCTATACAAATCTTCGGTGGCATCCTTATCAACATTACTCGCGGCTGGGATAGGGGCATAGGGTCGCGAGATGCTCTCCCGATGGGGATGTGCTTTGCCTGTGTGGACGTCGCCGTTGTCGGTCATATGATCAGTGGTGGAAAGAGCGAAATCGCCAGAGTCAAAGTAGGTCCGTTCCTTCCAGTTATTAGTAAACATGCGCGTTGTAATAGACTGTAGTCTAAATACCCTCGATTGCTGGGCGAGTAGGCCTCCACAAGGCAGCTTTCCGTACTTGTTGAGGTGGCGTTTGTCAGTATTTGACAATGACTGAGAGAATATTGTTAGCACCTTTGCTTCAAGTTAGAGTGGGTAGGCCCTACTTCGGAATCTAGTCTCTTGCCTCCTGACTGCATTCTGAAGGATGGGCCCTGTGATTTCAGAAAATTTTTTTTTCAAGCACCCGATGAAAAATCTATCTGGGGTACTGCTCCAGGTTCCCAACCCAAAATATTTATGACGTTGTTCTGTCTTACCATGTTCCGTTCGATTAGTCATCCACAGAGACTGCCTAACTAACCTAGTTAGTTAGTGACCTGGTGACCCACAACCAGGTGGCAAACCTAGAGTGTATATGTGACCTGAACACCTGCGGGTGGGTCAGGCCACACCTGATAAGGCAGATAAGTGCAGGCCACACCTAATTTCTTGGCATCTGTAATGAATTTCTAGCGAGTACATATCCCATCCCAGATATTCGCGAGTGTTTCATACTCAATATGGCAGTTGTTCTGGAAAGGCCTTAATATTGGGGCATAACCTGAGCAAAAGATTCAATAACAGCTTAATAGCGAGGAGATTCAGTTCCCCCTACTATCTAGGGTTCTCCTGAATCTTTGCATGAGCTTTTCCGTACACAAATGATATTAATATATTAAGAATATTTTAAAAGTGTATTATGCCTTGTTGGAAACGGCTGGTAATGCCAAGAAGTGTGTATTTAATCTGGCCAATCATGATGGATTACTAATCTATTCTCTACACCTGGAAAATTGGTTTTCCGGCCGGGTGTGGCCCGACCCCGACCTGACCTGCGTCCTGGCAAACGTACCCATGATCGCATCCATAGCGCGCATCATTACTAATTGGATAATTTGTATTGTTGTAGTGTAGAGAAAGGATAGGGGGCTAATGGTTCCCACTCCCTCTGTCAAGCGCGAAACGCAATAAATTGTTGAAGTTTGACCTCCACATAGATTTCTCACACTAATGAATAATGGAAGTCGAAAACCATTCATCGAATCCAGGAGCTGTGATAGTTCGTTCATCAAAAATGAGCCAAACCCGGGACCAAGCATCTCAGGGGTCACTGTCAAAACTATTCATTCTTACTCTTTCCTCCCATTGTTTGATCATTGGATGGCACGTCAACCCCTCAATAAATGAAGTATCCATGTAGGTTTTCTTTTAGCGGATGTTCATCATTCCCGTTCACCATCAAAGGGGCCCGGCTTTCTCTGGCTTAATGTGACAAAAATTTAAATGGCAGTAGCTTTGAGAAAAGGAACTTTGACGAGGGCCCAGAGTAACGTTCCGGGCCGTATTCAGGAGCGAAAAGGAGTCGAGGGGTACGAAGTTGAAGATTAGAGTTTTGCATGTCTTCACGAAATCAAATTTCAAAGGAACGAAAAACGATAAATGGCCGAGATTAGACTATGATGAGATGAAGCCTTCCCAAACCCTGAATATTGTAAGCTTCGCCCGACGATTTTGTTGAAACGAGAAACTTTTTGCTTTCGGCAGCTTCACCACCTCCAATTCCGATCTGCCACCCTTTGTTACCACACCCTCTCTCAGATACTTCATTTTGTCCTCTCTTCAACGACTGCCTAGTGTTTATTCTGTTAGTAATTTTACACCAATCAATTTTTTCAACGACTTAAATTATTTCCTTCAAATAACTATCCCCTTGAACAACACCCTAAATTTGAATCCTTCAATGATTCCCTATTAATTCCTTTGATGATTCTTAATTGTTTCCTTCAGTGACTTCCAACAATAGCCTTCAACAACGGCAGGTGCAATGGGAATATAGAGCTTCACCACCATCATCCACCCGGTCTTCAACTGACCTGTGGAAATACAGACGCCAATATACCCGAGTTCTACTTTCTACGCAAGTCGTTCCCCAGAAGGCTTGCCATTGCCTGCCGCATTCTCTTGAGTCCTAGCCAAAGCCAGCAACGAGAAACGTGCTCAACTGAAGCAGCAATATCAAGAAACTCCGGCGGCCCCCATCTGTAGGTGGTCGCCGTGTCATACTCGCTTCGCCCCAATGAATGCTAAATTCTTCAGATGACCACCTAGGTCTTATCATTACATCCAGTCAGATCCGTCTACCGTACAGCCACCGGGTGAGGACGGATATGCATGGTTGGTCCGTCACGGCCTCCAATACTTCTCTCTTAAACTCTTGCCTCCGCAGCGGAAGCGTGGGCCTCTTTCAGGTTTTGCAAAGAACTCGGCCGGTCGCTCGAAGTCGTCACTTCGGAAACTCTACAGGACGAACTGTCGCATGCAGCTGGAACTCCAGAAAATGTATGTGAGCGTTTTTCTAAAGTATTCTACAATTGCTACAGACCCACAGGATCCAGTCATCGCGGGAAACGAAGCCCACATCACGTAGCGGAAGCCGCAGAAAAAGACAATAATAGAAAACTGGTCGCCCCAAGCGTCCAGTGGAAATAAAAATTTTCGGTCATAGGTCCGATCGGAACGTTCTTTGAGAAATTATCTTTCTTCTTAAGCCATGCCACCTCTTCGATCCGGAAACCTCTGTCGCTCAGTTCATTCTCTTCAACTATTGTCTCGATCGCTTGCACGCTCGCGTTTTCGAGGTCGAAGTCCTCGGTCGGGGTCCGGTGTACAACGATTCCGAACCGTGGCTTAACTAACTTCGTGTTGTTTCCCAGTTCATTCAGCCATTCGGAGTTGTTGCGGGCTGCCCCGGCTGACTTAGGGTTCTTGAATCGAATCAAGTATCCCGTCTTGGTGGTGCCAATCTCAGCAACTTGGGCAGCTTGTGTGGATGGAGCACTCAGCAGCGCTGTGCGGATGCGATTATTCGCGGAATCCATGGAGAGGTACCGGCTGAAGGTGTTGCCGTCATCGTCGGTATTGTCTCTTTGATCCACGCAGGAAATCTCTGAGTGCTTAGTTGAACACAGTTCTGGTCCTAAGGACGTTGGTGGATCGGTTAAATTGCGTGGAACTGTTCACTTTCGAAGACTTTGATTGAGTAATTTTCTCCTCTTTGTAACGCATGGCAACGTCATTATCGTCATTCTGCATATTTGCGCCATTTTCGTGGATAAACGGATAGTCATACTTCGTAAGGAGCACCAGCTACAGATATTAACTAATGGTATGTATCTCCATAAGATACGTTATAATATCGCCTATCCTTGTTCTGTCGACTCCATAATCGCCCCACCGTTCAGCCAGCCGCGGGGAAAATAATCAAGCCATTAGTTCAGCACTGGACATCCCCCTTACTTTTGCCACCGCTCACTTTTCAAGTACCCCTCTTCGTATAAGATATTCTTGAAGAAAGGATTTGTTTTGACGCAGGCCATTACATAAGTCCTGAGTTCTCTTAGATTCTGTATGTTACACAAACTCTGTCATTTCTATTAACCAAATCGAAGAGCACGGCCCCGTAGTTCGTCCCCGCACCTCGAAGATCGACATCTGATCTTGACCACGTTCGGAAAGGCGATATGTACGCTCATACTGATCGTCGACACTATGTGTTCTGATGTTTACGTATTATGGGTCGACCTCTTATCCTGATCTTGCAGACTGGGTATAAATATGTCGTCAAAGTCCTCTCTGTATTTCTCCTCCTAACAATCAATCCTCTTGCATCTCATAATAATCCTTGATACAACATCTGCACGCATTTCCATCATGTCATCCATTAAAGAAGCTACAAAGCCTTTTCGGCACACTTGGAAGTCTCTGCCTGACACTTGCCGAAACTTTCGCTGCGTTACTGAAAATTTCCATGACTTGTCAAAGCGGAAAACTTACCTCGAGTGTGATGCTCAAGATTTGAATGGCAATTGGAAGAAGAGCAGGTTTCTTCTCGATGAAAATGTCAAGTTTGGAAGAGGTGAGCATCCACTGTAATTCCATAAGAAATTCAATACTGATTTTGACTAGGTGGCATTGAGTATCGTACTATTCCTAGCTACCGATCAGATACCTTGTCTTCGAATCTTGTGTCTCCCCATCCTAGGGTTGTCATGAGGAATGGAAAGCTTGATCTGATAGCACATGGCCACGGGCCTAACGGCCCAATATGGCGAACCGTAACGCTCCATGATCTCAAGAATGAGGATGGCGTGGTTTTTTCATCTGGTAAGTATTACCCTATCTTGACCCCAATTCATTACTTGGAGACTTAAAGATTATATAAATATAGGCGGAGGGTTGAGTCCAAAAGGACTTGCAGTTCGACTAGCCTGGATAAAAGCGGATAAGGCGAAAAAAGAAGCTGAAGCGGTGAGGAAAGAAGCCGAAAGAGAGGGGCTAAAGCCTTATTTTAGGAAGGAGTGGCTGGTATGTCTGCAATTGCATGATATTAACAAGTCAGAGGTCTTACTTTCTTATAGGAACTCCGCAACCAAGAAATCAAGGCATTGGAGGAAATGCGTCGTCATCTACCTTCTGACTATATAGATGGCAGAATAAAGGAGGTAAAAGATTTGATGGCAAATGTCCCTGAGATGCCGGACGGTTGGAGGCCAGAAGGTTGGAGGTCAGAGCCAAAGTCGAAGCTTTAGTTCAACTTGATTGTGGATGATAGCCTCTTCATTATCATTATTACAATCTTTCAATGACTGATTGACAGTTTGGTGTCACACCCTGAGGGTCACAAGTATATTGAAGTGACATAATTTATCAGACAAGTATTCTGTCAGCTTTCGCTGGTATGCGATGACAAAGCAATTGACTGATGCTAAATCATATAACCAGAAATGTATGGAAGAAGAGTGAGATCAGTCAAAGGGATAGAACTGTCTGATTAACTAATGATGTAACTAAGTAGATATTGAAGAGGGGAACGCTCGATGGTAGCAGGCGCTGAGACGTGCGGGTCGATTCAGCAACCACCACAAAACACACGCGTAGCAATCAGGAAATAGCGAGAACCCCAAATGTAGGGGTCAGGTCGGTGAGGTGTAAGAAGGTGTATTCTAGAACTAGCTACCCGGCCACCCTATACTGCTGGCTATGTCACATAGTCTGGATGGCACCCATGTAGTAGGGGGAGGGGTTCTCCCCACTACACTATGTAATTACGCTTATGCTTTTATTGTCTTGTAAAACACATGAAGCCCGCATTCTTTATTAAGTTGGACACAGTCATCCAATAAGTGGACATGTTTCTGAGACAAATCTCATCAAATCGGAATATGCATGAGTTAATCAGATAGGCTGGCTCCGATAACACCTGATCGGACATCTAATCAACCTCGCAATACGAGATCAATCGACCTAATCATTTTTTGCTAATGAATTTATTGATATTGACTCCTGCTCAGACTCTTCAACACTGGTCTTGGTGTAATTTGGACACGTGGTCACGTGATGTGACTTTTGGCGGTGGCACTGTGGTGCCTACGTCATGGCTCGGCGACGCGCTATTCCAGTCATTCTCATCTTAGACAACCCTCGCGTGATATCGGTTACCAAAGACATCGCTCGTGGCACATATTTCTTATATTATACTATCCCGCAGAAGCAAAATCTTTCGACGGTCAGCATTTGACACACGCAAAAACGGATCATGCCGGAGGCCTTGCCAAGTCCTCAGCAGCATTACCCTTTTGAAAACGTTCGATCACCAGATCCATCTTCATCAAACCATAGCCACCACACAAGGAGAGACAAAGGTAGAGACGCACAGGATCTCTGCAGCCTCCATGTTGCGGATGGACTGGGCAGGAGATTATCAGGGTGGGGGTTCTTGACACCAGAATGTGAACGTTGTTCTCATACACGACAATGCATCTCAAATCAAGGATCTTCGGACCTTCCAATCGTCTCCAACCAAAATGGAATGTTTTTAGGAACACTGGAGTCCGCTCAGGCCCAGAGGATCCTTGCACCAAGCACCCAATCAGGGCGGGCATCGTTCACAGAAGAATACGGAAAATTCATCAGAGTGCTCCATTACAACAGTACCAGCACAGTCCGGCTGTTCGAGAAAAAGGCACCTGCACCATCTTCCGAGACAATGAAAACTCGACAAGGCTCCACATTCACCAATTTCAGACGTGCATTTATGCCCAAGCCACTGATCAAAGAACTCTACGCAGTAAAGGTGTTTCATCGGACCAAATCCAACTCAAATAATGTGCCTTATTTTTTCCGCGACCGAAGTCAAGAATCCTCAATTTCTCACCCCAATATCATCTCAATAATTGATATTCTATACAATAAGCAGGGGAATCTCTGTCTCGTCATGCCCTACTGCACTGGCGGTAACCTGCACACCTTTCTTCAACAAGAAGCGAAATCAAAATCAGACTTATCAATTGAAGAAGTGAACTGCCTAAGCATTCAAATCTTCCGTGCTGTCGGGTTCCTCCATGAACACGGCATCGCTCATGGAGATTTGCGGCCAGAACATATTCTCCTCACAGCCCGAGGCACGGCTAAGGTCGGTGGCTTCGGAGAAGACGAAGACGCCGTACGAGAGCTAGCTCAACTATCACATCATGAAAACTCAAAATCATCTTCTTCGAGATACAGCTCCGGAAATGCACCAAGATCTAACTCGAAGCTGCTCCTCTGCGTCCGAAGGAGAGTGTCGGGGTCGAGTACCCCTTACCTTCCCCCAGAGAGATTTTCCAGTCGCAGTGACTCAATACGTCAAGGATATACACATCAAGACCTCTATGATGTTAGAGCGGGGGATATATGGGCATGTGGCATGATATACATGATCTTACGATCTGGCCGGCTTCCTTGGCGCGGTGCCCAGGGAGTCAACCGTGACAAGTCATACGTGGAATACCTTCATTGTCGTTGCAAAGTGGACGGATATGGTCCAATACAAGTCCTCGAAACCGTAAGTTCTCCAGGTTTTAATCACCCGGAGCGGCAATATAGCTAACCTGGCAACATTCAATAGCATTGTCGCAATGTCATTTATGCCATGCTTCATCCTGACCCGAGCTTGAGAATTACTGCCACAGAGATCTTGAGGTCGGAGTGGGTCCTTGGAACTGCAGTTTGTGAAGCTGGAAACATGGGTCTGTAATGATTCTGTAATGATCAAGCCGCGCCCGGCTTCTGTATAATGGTTCCAATTTGCGCAGTCAATTGCATCGAACTTTCCATTAACTGTCTTTTGTTAACCACCAACATCCACATCAGTTGGCGGCCTAAACATGAAGAGCTGCTAAGTAGGTGAGGTTGATCTGACTGGACACAATGCCTAGTAATTTGCGTCTGGGGTTCCCTTGTAACAATACTGGATGGTAGGTTGACCAACTGCTTAACACTCACCATGACCTGTTAGCAAAAAATAATGCAGCTAATTTTCGCTAATGAAGTTTAGCAGGCACCAAGGTCGGCGATCATAACCGTTTAGCGGATCACCAATACTGGTTATGCCATCTCCTGAGGTGCCGTGGGTCTCGAGAATATGATGAGAGGCGGGCACGTTGGCATCCGAAATCAAATTAACTGCCGATGCTAATGACGCGATACTGCTCCCTATTATCCAAGCGTTGGCCTTGTTTGGCATCCGGTGGCCTTCGGTGGCCTTTGGTGACATCTTTCTATTCACGACTCATCGTAGATGAAGTCTTTTCGAATGAAAGGCCCCAATTATTTACGATGGGTGCTGGATTTTAATCTGGAATAGGTTACCGTTGCATTTAACACTCTCGGGATAATATTTCTAAGGATAGATATATACATGAAGGGAATGCCGACGTACTGCATCAAAAGTGACCTAGAACTGCAATAGGTGATCGCATAGGATCATCTGACCAGGTCTAGTGCCCCACCCCAAAGGTATGGGAAAGTGCTAAGCTACGAACATCAGGTCGAGTTCAGTGAAAATGGATAGAACTGTTTCCAAAACCCGGCCAGAATTGGGAGGTGCAAGCTGAGGGCCCAGCAGTTGCTAAATTAAAACAAGATGTCTTCGGTTGGGGTGATGAAAGTCCCACGTAGACCACTGCACAGGTTTGTTTGCAGGTGCTGGAGAAGTGAACCGAGGATAAGCAGTTGGTGGACGAGGTGAGAAGAGCTGCAATAGGACTAGATGTATATGTACCATCCTCTAGGGCTCATGCGTTGATCTGATTGTTACCAGGTTATTGGGCCTGAACTACTGGGGGAAGGAGGTGGTTGGGAAGTTGGAGGAGTGGGAGCACAGTACGCACAACTGATTGGACTTAAACAGGAGGCCAATCTTGTCAAAGAAATCGGCACGGCGGGGTGAAACGAAGTAGGCATCTTGCTCAGCGGTCGATCATTTATTTGTGCCTGATGGATTAAGAACATTCACGGAGCGATACTGTGTTGAGGTTCCAGGATAAGGCACCGAATTGATGCCTCATTCCCAACCTCTATCGGCATGCCTACCCAGGGAAACCGGAGGCACTGAGTTTAGTATGCGTTTCAACGTTCGAGAGATCTTCATGGAAGAACCCCGATCGAGATCGATTATGAGGGATTTACTACTGTGAGGGGCTTGCTGCCCGTTCAGGGATAAATACCCCCAGAATCGCATGTAGACAATAACACACAAGTTCAAGTTCCGTCAATTTCATTAAGGTCGATTTGTCTAGCAGGCCCTCATTCTATATTCAGTGCTTCATCGTAGCCAATCTCAACATACTGCCGAACCTAAATATATTGGCCTACTACCTAAGCGCCTCCCTGGATTAAAGCACTCTCTGTGATGCGTGACCTGCCTCAGCCTGGTCCCTGGTTACCCAGACCGCATTTGGACGTCGTTGGTTTAGGGTCAAATGTACAACCATCGGCCGGTATAGAACCCACAGTGGAGCTTTTGCTCTGTTCATTCACCTCGCTTCTTCCTTCGACCCGCATTATACCAACACCCCCCGACAGACACCGAGACAGAACAGACACGCATCTCTGACAGTCTGTAATGACTAGTTTAAAAAGCATTATGGAACTCTTGCATATCGGTAATGTGTACAAGCATATCTTGCCAATCCCACTGTTGCTGCGCCTGTCATCTGCAACCACAACGAAAGCTTGCCCAACAGCGTGAGCCTCGACAATGGGCCCATTTTACAACACATTGCTTACCGTACCACAGTGTAAGCGAGGAACTCTCAAAGTAGAGGACACTGGTTCATCTGCCATTCCGTTGGGCCCTACGCTGTCAACAATGAACGCACTGCTGGACCCAGCTTGGCCGGCCTTGACCAGCAATGGAAAACTTTTCCAGGATCGACCAGCCTTGCAGCATCAGCAGAGCCCCAATGTGTTGGTCCCACGGAAATATCTCTCCGGCCTTCTTGAAGAGCTCATCTACCGCCGCGACTCGCATTAGTCCATCGCGGGGATTGGACGCGAAGGCTCCCCTACGGCAGCCGATAGTGAGGTAGGGGCCAAAAGTCGAATTTGGCAGGCAGAAAACGGGCGGTAGGATTAATATAGTAATCTCGACACCTAAGGTACGTAATTTTCTGCCAGAATCTATGGATAGGGAATTTTGACATTGCCAATTAGGTTTCGTAGAGAAGGTGACGTTGGTTTTATGGATCATATGACCATATAAAAAAAGCTCTCCAAGTGCCCATAATCTGTTTACGTGCCAGAATTTGACCAATTTCGATGATTTTAGGTGCTCAAAATGGCCTAGATATGCATTTGAAAGCTACTTTAACTAACCAGACTCTGTTGTTCCACCACGGGGGGCCATACTGCGCGTACGCCGCGGTGAGGTGGCCCCTGATAGTGCCGAGAGTGCTGCCACTGGAGTACACCTAGCTCTATCTTTCCTGACACCACCACGTCGCCGCGGGCGCCCACGTTGCCGGGCACCTGAAGCCTCTCTTCGCTGCGTTATGTCCTCCTGCGGTATCTCCTTCGATGTCTCCTGCTGGTGTGCTTTCTCTAGCTGAACAATTTTCTCACTAGCAATTCTAAGTCTCTCAGCGAGGATCTCCTCCTGTGACGCGGTACGCGACTGGAAGCTTAGCCCTGGGGTCTCTGGATTGCTCCAGTTACTGACCAAGCTTGCCTCACGGAGAGGCTCTGGCTCGGACTCAGGCTTGATGACCACGTCCTTATCTATCTCTTCTTCACGTATGATGATAAGGTAGATCTGGCGTGCTTGGCTACCGAAAGTAAACTGCGAAGCGAGCTCTGCCGCGCACGGTGCATGGTTTTCAGTAGCGGATAACCACTGTGGTTCCTTCTTTGGTTTTTGGCCCTTTAGCCCAGTCGCGAGCTGGTATCGGTCGATGTGTGGTATCGGATTATAGGCTCCAAGCTCCGGACTAAGCGCAGGAAGAAGGTCTCTTGTAATAAAGTCTTGGAAGTTAAAGACACGGTGGGGAGAGATCCACTGGGAGACGTCAGCTACAGTGTAGCGTCTATTAGCAAGCGCGCCTTGAAAGAATCAAGTAATAGAGTCATGCTTACTGAGTTCGTCCATCGTCCAAGTTTTTCGATCTGATGATGGCTTTCGCCAGAGACAGAAGTGGATAATTGTCGGAATTCTCTGCTGCTGTGGTGCTAGCATCTGCGCTGGTCTGCTCTTCTGCATATGGAGCTTGCGATGCCTCCCTGCTACCCTACCCGTTATTCGCTGGCTGACTAGGCTGTATGGCTCAGGAAGGAGGTGTTCGTTTGGTATGAGCTGACCAGGTCGTCTCGGTGGTGCTCCTGAGTAGACGGAAGACGAGGAGGATGGTGAGTCATCGTATGTGTCTGTTAAATCAACGAGATCGGGTGTGTCGCTTGGGTAATAGTGAGAGGCCATGCTTTGTAGATGTAGTAGCCTAGGAGATGCAGAGGGCGCAGAGTAGGTGCAGAAAGCCTAGGACGCCCTCTACACCCTGTCTCCCACTAAAGTTGAAAAAACTAATGATTGATAGTCATTAAGGTCCTACCAAATATAGGTATTGATCTCCATTGATCCCCATTAATCTCCACCACGGTGCGGGCCCGCAGCCCGCACCCTTAATCCTGCGCCCAGTTAGGGGGCATAGTTGGCTTCTCGCATAGTGAGAGGACGGGAAAGAGGCCCCCTTCGGTATGATCGACAGCGAGCTCCCGTAACCGAAGGTAGGTATTGACATATGGGTGGGTGCCATGGTCTCTCGCTGGTGGTTTTTCAGGGTCAAAGCCCATGCCCAGTAGCTGAGTACGGCACCAGTGTATAGTCTCTGTAGGTAGATATACGTCAGTATCCCAACTCCCCACGTCAGTCTTGATAGCATCAAGCTTTGTAGGGTCAATATGATGCCTATAATCCTTAATATCCTCCTCGTCACGCCCTGGGTAATAGTAGTTCAACCATGGCTTGCCTGGAACGCTATAGGGGCGACCCTTCTGCTTCCTGATCCGATGGGAGTTCCATGTGAGCACGAACTCCGCACATGTATCCTTAATTGAAGGCATGTAAACAGCAAGAAGTGCAACTTTGTCGATCTTAGACGCCTCGTAGTAGCCTCGCTCTTGAAGCCAACTAAAAAGCTCACGCCATACGAAGTTCGTAGAGCTTGTAAGCTGTCCCCACCAGGACTCGATGCGCTGGTTTTGGGTGCTGCGACCGTACCAAAAGCAGTCGGTAAACTGTAGTTCTGGGTGGCCATCAACAGCCTCAGCGCCAGCTTTTCTTAATGCATAGTGGGCGTCTGCGATCAGCATGGTCTCTGTACCATAGTCAGAGCGGATCGCGCGCGGTTGGAAACCAGTGGTCGATATTGTATTCAGATACTGGTGGAGGACACTGAATCCGGTCCGCGTGCTGATGCCCACGTAAAACCAGGTAACATAGCGCGAATACCCATCAACCGCAGCATATATCTCGATCCCGAAGAGCTCTAACTTCATATAGCCATCAATATGCCATACAAAATTCGGCCCAGGGCATCGGTATGCACCGCGAGACCGCTGTAGACCGGTCGAGCGACGTAGGAGGGCGTCAGGCCGTAGAGAGCACTATACATCGAAGATTCGGTCTCGGGCGAAGACATGACCATGACGGCGTAGATGGGCCCAGAGGTGACCTTTTCCATATCCTTCAACAAGGCCAATGGCCTGTTGGTCCACTAATATCTCGAGTATCTCGTCCTCCTGCTGCTCCTGATCATCCTGGTCGTCAATGCGAAGACGTATACCAAGTAGGCTACGAATTCGCCTGAGTGTGTCGGTAGAGATAGGTGTTTCATCGAGCGAAAGTACCTGAAGGATCTCTTTCGAAGAGAGATTACCCTCACAGATAAGGGTCTCAACACGCATTTGTAAGGCTCTGTTATTGGTGATACCATTTGGTGCTCGCTGTTGGATGCCCCAGGCCCGCGTGCGACGTTTGAATGTCCTCGGTGACATTTTGAGACCGTAGTATTCGTGTAAAATGTCTAAAATATTGCTTATAGGTATCTTCTGTGCCAGAAGCATGGTAATTTGGTCTTTGTATGGCTCCACGTCGAGCCGTGGGCGACCAAATGGCATATCAGGTCTCTATAGGTGGTCAGCGTAGTCAAAAAAAAGAGTATTCAGGTCATTTGGGGCATACAAAATGGAGCAAAATTGGTCAAAAATTAGTAAAGAAACCAGAATTCAGTCCCCTGGAGATTTATTTTGATGTATTTTGAAATCCAGGTTTGGATCCAAGCCGAATAGACTTAGTATGACTAAAAACCCCCTACCATATGACCCACAAACCAGCGGTATCTCTCTTCCGAAACCTGGTTGGTGGATGCTGGCTTGAGCGGTCAGGCCGGCGGGGTCTAGGGCGGTGAGCCGAATGATTGGTCCTCGACTTTTGACCCCTACCTCACTGTCGGCTGCCGTAGGCTCCCCTCACCATAAGGAACTCTGCAAACAGACCCACATCAATGAGCCTTTCGAGAAGGAACTAAGTGAGATCAGGAGATCATCAACAACGCAGCACATGGAGGCTTCTCGGAAAGAGCGCACACGCATCCGCTCGAGATTTCATCTGACTTCTCGACCTTCAAGCAGAAAATCAACACAATGAGGGATAAGCTGCAAGGTTTTAGCCAGGAAGTTTCCAAGGTCGCTAGCGAGGTTGATACCGACGGGACACTCGGGGGCCAGGCCAATATCGAGGGCATCCAGGGCATCTGGCAGGAGCTCGCAGTCAATGTGAACACCATGGCTACTAGTCTGACCACGCAGGTCCGCGAGATTACAAGGGTGACTACCGCAATCGCTATGGGCGATCTGACATACAAGGTACAAGCTCATTGATACGGAGTTCGGCGGGCTAGTATTCCGCCCTACCAACCGATGAACTTTCTAATATCAGATTTCACTTCTACATGAACCAGTCACTGGCTATTATTCGATGTTCTGAAGAATTATGTCAGGAATCAGCATACCCGTACTGGCTAGTATCGAGGATGACGAATTGATGGATGAAATGGTTGATTGAGTGTGTGCATCTCTAGGGTCTTTTAAAACGATCCAGGGTCTATAGAACGCATGTTACAACACATTTCTTCCGACATGGCCCGATTTACCATTCAATCACTAGCTAACTATGGCAATGAGGGTGGGTGCTGAATAATCCAGTCCTGTGGAGAACGCGGTAGTTAACTAGTTTATTTCACCTCTCTCACAGCTGACAGATTATTCCAGTGATTGTGGTCCGCTTAAATCCGGTATCCCCGTTACACTTATTATAAATGGTTCGTTGTTGCTTTGCCGCTTTCACCGATTATCCGACCATTTCATATTCTTTCGCGAAAACAACGGGAATTGGCATTCATTCCCAAGCCACCTGTCAAGATGCAGCCGTTTCAATTCACTCTCTCCAACAATGGCACGGTAGCTGGTGTGCACTCCGTACTGCAGTCATCCGCTTCACGGGACGATCACCGTCCTCTGGTCGTTGGTCTTCACGGCGGCTGCTACGATCATCAATATTTCGATGCCACGCCCAAATACTCTGCCGCATTGGTAAGCGAGGCTTTGGGGGTGCCATTTGTGTCCATCGACCGCCCTTCCTACGGAGGTTCAAGTTCCGTCCTGCCCATTCCAGAGGGCAGCGACTTTTATCAAGAGACGGGTCGGTGGTTACATAGCTACATCCTTCCAAAACTTTGGTCTGAGTTCGGTGTCCCTAATCGGTGCAACTGTGTCGTTCTTTTGTCCCACAGTTTGGGGGTGATGGGTGGCATCGTGGCCGGGGCTCTGCATGCACAGGATGACGCACCATTGTATCCCCTCGCAGGCCTCATTGTAAATGGGATGGGAAACACTCAGTCACCGTTCATGGCCGGCGCATCTCCTTCTTTTGTGCCCGTTGATGACGACCACGCTCTTTTCCCTCCAGACAAGAAGGACACAATCATGTTCAAACCGGGAACCGTGGACCCAGATATTCTGGCGCATTGTGAACGTCTGAATGCAGTGGCCCCGCTCGCAGAACTGACCCAGTTTCCAGCTATGTGGCTCCCTGTCTGGAAAGAGAAATGGGCACCGCAGGTGACAACCTCCGTGATGTTTTGTCTTGTGGAGGACGATCCCTTCTTTGTGGTGAACGAGGAGGAAATGGAAGTTTGTGTACGAGCATTTAGGAACAGTCCTCGGGTGGACGGAAGTTTGGTTCGGACTGCGCCTCACTGTATGGAGCTTAGCTACTGGTCGCAAGGGTGGTATGCTCGATGTTTTGGTTTTGCGATGGAATGTTCTGCCGGTTTCGGTAGCTCAAACTAAATCAGAAACGAACCAGGATCTTGCAAGTGGCCCATATGAGAACGGTATCTTTGAATAATTTCTGTCCTCTATTGTCCGATTTGTTGTTGCTGTGTCTTACACCCCGTCGCCAGGTCTGGCCGGCGTCATGTGGGGTCCTGTATTGATAGACCTATAAGTCCTATATAAGCCAAGGGAAACGGGCCTAGAGAGTACCCATATTGAATGGAATGGGATATTGCCGTCAATCTCCTTAGCCAGTGGTCATGCATGTCCTCTTAGGGTAGATCGTTAAATAGTTAATAGTATATCGCTTCTTAGGATTAACTATGAGAAGGTGAGAAACTAAGTCCTAGGTTAAGTTTAAGATATAGTCCCACTAAGGCGATAGGAACATGAACTAGCTATGCGCTACTTTCTCAGTGAGTACTTAGATACTCCCGTTATAAAACAGAGAGAATCCGCATAGTAAAGTTTAGAGGACATATCCTATTGTCTATATATCTACACCCTTTAAATAGTGCTCACCCTTAACGATCTTAGGCGTAGTGTAACTGACAGTTCTAGAAGGGGTCACTAGTCGAGTGTCCTAAATAATTTTCAATAGACTAAAGTCAGCGATCTTAATTTCTCAAATACTACCTGAGTGTGAGGGCTTCGTACTTAGTCAGCATAGTTTACGTCAGACTCGGCCGTAAGGCCCGGGCCCTGACGCTTCAGAATGGACCATCTTCCCCCTCTCTGGCTGATTTCTACGTTCCACGTAGCATTTCTGGTAGCATGTCCTGATTCGTCCTTGGTGCATCCGGACATCAGACATAGCTCGCCGAGCTCCACTACGTACGACCTGGACCATCTTGGGCGACCAGAGGTCAAGATCGACCTAACGTGAAGTTATCATCCAAAATCGCGACATCCGACACAACCACGCCGAAATTTTTTTTCTGAAAAAGTTGACTTCGTGCGTTGTTTACGGCCATCCACTCTCTCAGCGTGCACGGCAGCTTAACGTCGATCCCTGGCTCGATCTACGTCTAGCGCCACCATCTCCTCTGGCGCGCGAGATCCGGTCGCGGGTCTCGCCACGTGACAGGAACCCCCACCCATCCCGTTGACGCCTATCTGACACTCGTCTGACACCGACGCCTGTCCACTAGTCTTATTCGGGCATGTCACAGAAGAAGCGTCGAGCTACTTCGTCACGCCAATCACTCTCATTGCCGTCTGGTTTATCCAACACCAGATTCCGACAGGTCGTCAGCGCCGCGTACCAGCTACATCTTTTCCGAAGTCATCCTAATCCACATCTCGACCTTTTCACGCCCGAACTAGGAGCTGACATCGCGTATATCCTTGCGACGGAAGATAGACCTCGACTTCCACTCCACTACGAGTATCCACCAAGCTGGGCTATCGATCGCGCTGCCCTAACTCGCTTTATCACCGAGTTTCAGCGCCTACTAAGTCACGTCGAACGCAGACAGATAAATCTGCTGGAGCGAACGCCGAGTCCGCGTTTAGTACCAGTTCCCGTCTCACCTCGACCAAAGACCCCACAACCACAGCCACAGTCTTCTTCTCCCCCAGAATACGCACAAGAAGTCTTATCTACGGACTTAAGCGGTCTTTCCATCGTCGAGACTCAATCTCGCCCAAGATCATTCAGCGACTCGAGCCCTCGACAGGAAAATCCGTTTAAACTACATCCATTCGCGAACACAGGCTCGATTTTCGGTCCCGGACAACGCCGTCACCTACCTTTACCTAGACTTCAATCCTCTGTACCCCCCATGGCATCTGCATCTGGTCCCCGCCCCCAGGACGCTCCGATGTCCCGAGAGGACATCGCACGCGCGATCCAACAAGGCATTGACCAAGCGGTCCAATCCGTCCTCGACCGAATGGGCCAGTTCCAAGGACCGCCAGGTCCCCCTGGGCCACCGGGTCCTCCAGGTCCTCAGGGCGAGACAACGGCGTCTTCAGTATCCGCGACCAATTCCTCGTGGAAGTCGGAGGACGTCGGCTACTTCGACCCTGATCCGAAGTCCAATGTTCATGTCAAGACTGATCGCGGTGTGACAATCTACTCAAATGTGTACGCCTTCCTAAATCAACTTCGAGCACTCATCCCGCTTAAGACCGAGGAAGTCGTTCGCGCTCATGTCGCACTTTGCCTCCGGGGCGCGGCACAACGCTGGTACACAACTGAGCTTTCTGACCTCGAGCGCTCTGACTTAAACACAGACCCGCTCGAGACAGGATGGTTTCGTTCTCTCGAACGTCGCTTTAAGATGCGCGCAGCCACAGCACAACAGAAACTTCTGTCAGCAGCCTACACCTGGGACGATGTCCGAGCTGACCGCTCAGCCGTCGAATGGGCCCACGGTATGTTACGAGACACACAAGCGGCAGACCTAGTCGGCGGGATGCCGATCTCGACGATCGCTCAACTTCGTGCAATTTGGCTCCGTCTCGACCCATCTTTACAAAAAGATGTGCCAGAGCCAACCCATGCAACTACAACTTCCAGTTTCATGGACCTACTTGACGCACGGTATCAGCAGTGGTCCGACATCGCCACACGACGTATGAGGCCCCAATCCCAGACATCGCCGATTCTACGTCGATTTCCTGCTAACCCAGCCTACGGTCAGCCCTATGGGCGTACGTTGAATCAGCCTCCGACCCAGAATAGTACACGGCCAATGTTCCGACTCCCAAATGCGGCAAATGCTTATCCACGTCCTCTGATGCCGGACAATCAGTGGCGTCCCCAACCACGGCCCTGGCCGCAAGGGCAGTACCAGCAACAAGGCTGGATACGACAGAACCAATGGCAACAGCAGAGACCTCAGTGGTATCAGAACCAGGGTCAAGTACAAGCATCCTCTTCGCAATCCTCTACAACGTCGTCGTCGTCGACGGCGCCACGTTCAACCTCATCTCACACGAACCAGCAAGGACAGAAATTGCTAACTTCTAAGCCATGGAACGGCCCTACGGCGAATACAGCTTATGGAAATCGTGGACGAATGCCCTGGAATGGACAACGAGCGACAGCTTACCACGCAGATCAGGAGGCGGTCTCCGATCAGCAACCGCCTGCGAGCCCGATGTCCTCTGTAACCACGATGCCCCCCGCATCCACTATGCCCCAAGCCACATCGCAAGTCCAAGATGCGTTCATAGCTGATCCCCTGCCGACGGTTGACGGGTATGAGTCTGCTCATACAGAGCACATTGTCGATGATCAAGGCACACACTACGACGCCCCAGCATACTATGAGGATTACGAGACAGAAGCAGACCTAGGTCCGGACCCGGAGTGTTATGTGGCCAACCCTGCCGTCGATATAGTCTGTCTACATTGCGGCATGCGATTCACATCAAACAACAAGCTGCACAAGCACTTACTTGGGTGTAAGCCGGGAGCGGCGGCAGTCGACGAGGCAGCCCTAGCCTTTTTCGCAACAGAAGATGATCAACTGATACCAGAACTCCCAGTCATCGAGAGCAGCAGGACCGTAAAGGAGGTCACACCTGGAGACATTTATCGATCATGGAGGTATGCGTCCGCAGTGGTCGGCGTCAACACACAGACCAACCTTCTGGTCGCCTGTCTCGACTCGGGTTGTTCCATGACTTTAATCGACCAGGACCTGGCCAGCTCACTAGGTCTGCCTGTTAAGAAAGCAAAGAGACCTATCCGTGTCAAAGGCATTGGATCTATGCACTCGTCTACTGAATACGTCGACTTACCAATTCATTTCCGAGGAGAATCAGCTGTAGCACGAATCACGGCAGAAGCACACCTGGTCGAAGATCTGCACGCCCAGTTACTACTAGGGGTCGACGTGATGGCGACAGAAGGCTTTAGAATCGACTTCGATAAGCGTGAAGTTCGCATCGCCTCCTGCAACGGTTTGACCTTCCCAATCGCTGTACACGCCAAGCCAAAACATCATACGGATCGACCCGTGTATGCGTCACGTCGAGTGCTTATTCCCCCAAAGTCTTATGTCACAGTTGCCGCCCACGTCCGCGGAGAATTGCCCGACGGTCAAGACTACCTCTTCGAAAGCGAGCATGCCACAGCCGCGTTCCAGTCTTCCTTAGTCGACGCAACATTCGACTGGGTGCAGGCAGTTAACGACACAGACAAGCCGATCATACTCGAACGAAAGTCCAGGATTGGTACCTTGTTCGAAACGGATTTTCCATCAGCCTGTTTCGTTTACTCTGAGGCCAACAGCGAGTCAGATACAGAGCTCGCTTTCGATCAGACGATGGCGCCAAGTCATCGCCCCAAGCAACGAGTGAGTACCACGCTAGGCACCGACCAGGTCCTACAGAAAGGACTATCCATCCCTGATATGGAAACCATCCTTCCTAATGGTGTCACGGTTTACGGCAACCCTGAGGTTGCCGCTCGTCTCTCCGAAGTCGTTGTGGGCTACGATATCTGGGGAGAACGAGTAGGTTATGTCAACATACCTGAGGATCAATGGATGACTATACCCTTGATCGACGGATGGGAGACACAGTTGCCAAAGACTAAGATCTATCCTGTTGGGCCACAAGGACGTCAGGTCATTGACGAAACATTCGACAAGCTTGGTAATGAGGGTAAGCTACGACGCGCGATTAACCATTGCCCATTCGCATGGCCAGTGTTCGTGGTCTATCGAAAGAAGTTCGACAAGGCCACAGATCAGGACGTCTCGACTCCCCGCGTGGTGGTTGATATCCGAGGCCTTAATCGTCTCACAGTGCCCGACGCCTATCCAATCCCGGTCATCTCTGATGTGCAAAATCTGACGCAAGGAAAAAAATTCATCACAGTTATAGACGCGACCAAATTCTTCTACCAGTGGCGCGTTGTTCCCGAGCATCAACAGAGGCTAGCAGTTGCCACACACAGAGGTCAGGAATTTTTTCAGGTCGCAGTAATGGGTTACAAGAACAGTGTTCCCTACGTCCAGAGACAGATGGATTACATCCTACGCCTACTTCCTCGCGTCAAGGCTTATATTGACGACATAGTTATCGCCTCCGACACGCTTGAGCAGCACATCCAGGATCTCCACGATGTCTTTAAGCTCTTCCAGGACTACAACATTCAGCTTGCCCCAGCTAAGTCTTTCGTCGGCTTTCCATCCGTGGAGCTTCTAGGACAGAAGGTCGACGCTCTTGGTATCTCAACTCCTACTGAAAAGATCAGGGCCATCGCCTCCCTAGAGTTTCCCAAGACCCTACAACAGCTCGAGACGTACCTTGGGATGACCGGCGCTCTCCGCCAGTATGTTCCGTCATATGCAGCCAAAGCAGAACCACTACAGAGACGTAAGGTAGAACTGCTCAAAGGCAGCCCTGTCGCGGGAGCAGCACGAAAGCAGTGGTCCCTACGCACTCGTTTTCCGGAACCCACAACGGAAGAGGCACAGGCTTTTGACGCGATTCAAGGGTCTTTCAAGAACCCACAGTGGCTCGCCCATTGGGACAAAAATCGACAGCTTTACGTTGACATCGACGCATCCAAAGAAAGCGGGCACGGCGTCATGGTTTTCCACGTCAAGCCCAGTTATAAGCACGTGAATCTGGCCAAGCCACCAGCGTCTACAGCAGTCGAGCCTGTGCTATTCCTAAGTCGTACATTGACCCCAGCGGAACGCAACTACTACATCACAGAGCTGGAGTTCTCCTGTATGGTCTGGGCAGCTCGCAAACTCAAAGCTTGGTTAGAAGCAGCTCCAATCAATATGCCTCCCGTGTTCTACACTGATCATATCGCGTCGATCTACCTCGCGACGTCCCTGTCGACTGCGTCTCCCGATCGTTTAAACCTACGTCTGGTGCGTGGATCTCAGTATCTACAGCAGTTCCGCATCAAGGTTTACCATCGCGCGGGTGTGACGAATCGTGTCGCTGATGCTCTATCGCGTCTGCCTAGTGCTTCACCTACAGCGCCTAGAGATGATGATGACCTGGACGCACTCCAAGCCTCAGCTTCAGCTTTCCTCACATCTACGATCGAGATGAGTGACGACTTCCGCACACGTCTTGTCGAGGGCTATAAGACGGACACACGTTGGTCAATGGTCATGTCAGAATTAGAGCGCGTCCAGAAGCTGAACGACCCTATGGAGCAACAACTGCCGTATGTCGTACGAAATGGAATCCTCTACTCAGTCCAGCAAGATGGCGACGAATGGATTTGCATCCCACACACTATGGCTAACGAAATTTTCGCTATGGTCCACGACGATCAAGGACACCAAGGTATTCAACGCTGCTGGGAAAAAATGAAGGGCTTGGTCATTTACCATGGATGGAGCAAGCTCAAGAAATATATCCTGACTTGTGATGAATGTCTCCGGAATGGCGTCCGTAGACATCGACCATACGGTTCGCTGCAACCAATCGAAACTCCGCCTATCCCTTTTCACACAGTCACAATTGATTTCATCGTGGCTTTGCCCCGAACCCCAGAAGGATACGATACAGCAGTCCTGTGTACTTGCAAGTACACAAAGCGGATCCTCGCTGAGCCAGGACGTGTCACCTGGAATGGCCAGGACTGGGCCGCCGTTATCCTACGTCGATTCTAGGAAGGGGACTGGGGTATTCCGACCGTCTGGATCTCCGACCGCGACCGATTATTCGTCCACGGTTTCTGGCAAAAATTTTTCGAGCTACTGGGAACGAAACTCATGTATTCGACAGCATTCCATCCTCAGACAGACGGACAGTCAGAACGTACAAATATGACCGCCCAAATCTGGCTCCGACACTGGTGTGCGTCCCACCCCGATAAGTCCTGGATTCATGCCCTGCCACAAATGCAAGCTTCGTTGAACAGTTCTATCAACGCATCCACAGGACACACCCCACACAAGCTTATGTATGGCGTGGAACTGCGACATCCTTGGGATCTATTTAGGCGAGCCCTGACTATTTCTCGACGACAAGAATTCGAAGCGCGAAAGGACGCAGAAGAATGTATGAGGTTTGCGAAGGTGCAAATGAAAAAGTACTTTGACGACCGCCATAGACCGGTGTACTTCACAGTGGGTTCCAAGGTTTACCTTCGGCTACAGACTTCACCAAAGGAGGGTGGCTACACCATTCCCGCGAACAAGGGCGTGTCTAAGAAGTTCCAACAACGTTACGCAGGCCCATTCAAGGTCCTCGAGCGAGTGGGGCGTCTGGCGTACCGGCTTGACTTACCAGGACATTGGAAGATACACCCAGTAATCTCAGTCGCACACCTCGAGCAAGCACCCAACGACGTCCGTGCTGAAGGCGCACCGGAGCCTACGACAGATGAGAGGTTCCCGGATGATGAGGACCGTTTTGACGTCGACGCAATCTTAGACGAAAGCACCAGATATCTCGGACGACACCGCACACCAGTGAAATACTATCTGGTACGCTGGTCGAACGCAGGCCCAGACCACGACGAATGGGTCCACGAAAGAAACCTACAGGGCGCAGAAGAGAAGTTGGCGGAATTCCGTCGCTCTCGTTTGTCTTAAACGTCTACGTCGCTCATATGTTATCCTGCATCCAATATAACAGGCACTACATCGACCACCCAATATCTGATATCAACCCTTCTCATTTCCCCCACCCAATCCCTATAAACACTTCTTACCTGCCTTTTAAACTCTTCTCTTTCTCACCTCACTACTTCGTCGCTTTTTCCGAATAGCTTCCCCAACCTTGGGCCACAACATCAACGGAAGAGCGACCTGATCGAACAGAGGACGAAAGAAAAAAAAAAAAAAATATTCGCGGAGAAGACGGATCACGGCTGACAGGGACACGATTCTACACAAATTTATTTTTTTATCATCCCACCGAGGACGGTGGTGGTTTTTTGACGGCGGCAGTTGTGAGGGCTTCGTACTTAGTCAGCATAGTTTACGTCAGACTCGGCCGTAAGGCCCGGGCCCTGACGCTTCAGAATGGACCATCTTCCCCCTCTCTGGCTGATTTCTACGTTCCACGTAGCACTGAGCTAAAGTTTAATGTGAACTCACCTTTATCTTCCTCATACTTATCGCTAGGCGGTTAAGGTTTCAGGTACTAGACATCCTTTTTAGGTTTAATATCAATATAAGAACTCTCAGTTACGTTTAACCGCAGACTTAGAACTAGTATACTCTAGTGAACGACACCTAACGTCTCGTGCAGATATTCAATAGCTTTGGCAATCTATATAATCACATACTTGCTAAGTCCCTCACTAAAATATGTCAATCGCACAATCTGATAGAACAGTTCCCCTCTAGGGCACAGTTCGAGGATAATATAGCAGAATTGGCGGCTCTCGATAAAGTCGATCAACTTAGCGATTTTATAATAGTCGATGTTGCGTATTATCTGGACCTCGTTAAGGATATCAGCGCGCTTAGAGCAAACTGATGGTTAATAAATGATCTTCAAGAAAGAAAACGAGGCTATAAGAAAGCAGCACGGGTTATAACTACTAAGGTTGGGTGTAGCCTAAGGAAGTTCGAGCAGATCCCGAAACCCTTGTGACCTCCTTCTCGCCAAAATACACAATGGTCTACGATAAGCAAATCCAATGGTTTATTTGCCGACTCGAATATGCACCCGAAGCCACGGGGAAGGGAAGAATGAGGAAGTAAGACGAGTGGGTAACGCTACCTGATTACCGTCCATTTGGAATGATCTCAACACTTTGACTGCCACCTCACCAAACTCCATGGCTGAATCTCGCGGGCGATATACGGCATCTTGGACCGGTTCACTATTTCTACCGCCACCAAGCTTTCGATTCCCATGGATCGTTCATCTCGAATCTGATCTGATGTTTCCTGCGTTGCTGCTCGAGCGTACTTTGGGGCATCAGTGTCGGCCACTTCCGTGGCGAAAGAGAGTTCACTCATGAGCTTCGTCGAATCCTCGGCATGGATTGTGGAAAAATCGGGCGCGTTTCTTTTCTCTGCCGAATAGAATTCTTGGTGGTCTGTATCTTGGTCATGGTAGATAGGTTGGAGGAACGGCGCACGGGGGAAAATGGGAAAAGGCCGTCAAATAGCGACGACCTCGTCAAAGGCACAAAATCCCTCAGACTCGCATACAAGGGCCAACTCCAGTTGCTCCGTAAGTTCACGGACGCGGTCTGGGCCGGCTGTCGCTAAACAAAACGGTCAACAGCTGGATATCTCTTCAACATTGGGAGCGGAGCAATCAGTTGCCGAGAAGCTTTTTGCACGGGTGATAGAGATTTTCAAGACGACGCTTGGAGAGAGCAACCCTGATACCCTTACTACCATGGACCAAGGACAATTTAGCATCGATTTTTGGCACCAGGGCCGGTGGGAGGAAGCCGAAAAGCCCTTGACGTGCGTGATATCTACTCGCAGCTGACAGGTGCGAATTGAACATTCCGAACTGGTGGAGGATCTTATAGAGGTAGGCCACTTGGCTGATATAGAGGATTCTGTTCTGTCGGTCTCGTCGGATGGACATGCCGAGATAGTAACTGCACGGGCCTAGGTCTGTTATTGGAAAACGGTTTCTTAGGCTTCGCTTGATCTTCTTTATCTCTGCAATGCTTGGTCCAATGATCTAAGTTCGTCGACGTACACAGCAATGTACATGTTGGTAAGAGTCTAATACCAAACACGGGGCACCTGTTTCAAGGTTAGAGTGCCTTTTGAAGCTTGTAGACGCTCGATGTGCCATCCGTTGTGTGATGGGGCTGTTCGACATAAATCTCGTAGTCTATATCTTCGTATTACTCGGAGTCGAAAACAGATTCCCCGTACACACGCGGGGAATAATTTTTTTTTTTTCTGCCAAACCGTATCATACCACGTCGTATTCTATATATTCCAAGTCGTAGATCACTGGTTCCTAAAGATAGCTCCATTCTCTTCCTACAACGACTATCTGACATGTAATACCGTTTCCTACATGAATCTCGCGTACAGGTTCGACCCCTCCACACAGTCGACATGCTTTTTGACTTGTCACGCCAACGCATCCTTCTACCCAAGAACTTCCAAAGAAGATCTGCGCAGTATGGCACCGAGACTATCAGCTTTGAAAGCTACTCTTCATTCGTGATATAATAGAGTCACTGACAACATCTCAGATGGCTGATGCAGTTTCTCGTTTTTAGTGCGAGACACGCAATTCCTCGTACTCAATCATCACATGTTCTCGATATGCGTTGCGATTGGTGAGTGCATCATAATATCGACGCAAATTAGGACGCTCTTTCCGGGTGATCGGGATGTCGAAATAACGGAACAAAATATGCCCAAATTGAATGTCCGCCAGCGTAAAAGTATCACCGGCGATGAATAATTGAGTCGATAACTGCGTTTCCGCTATGTCAAGGAAGCGATCGAGATGTGCAATAGCACTATCGATAGCCCCTTGGTCCTGCTTTGACGGCGCTGTTCTGACGACGCGCCAGAAAATTGGCGACGTAAAAGCCATTGCTATGTTCAGTTTTGACCATTCTGCCCATTTGTCAACTGAAGCGCGTCTCTGATAGTCCTTAGGCCAGAATTCGTCCTTCCCGTAGCGATCGGCAAGGTATCGTAGTATTGCACCTGTCTCCCAAAGCGGTCCACTATCGCCATCCTGAAGAACAGGGACCGTGCCGTTGGGATTCATAGACAAAAATTCGGGCGTTTCGTTGCCACCATAACGATGTCCTATATCGTGGCGGTTATAAGGAAGACCAAGCTCGCCAATGCACCACATCAGTGCTTGAACATTGGACGAAGTCCGACGACCCCACACCTCGAGCATTGCCATTTGCGTACTTAGAGTCAGAATAGGCTGTATATGACCAGTTAGCTGGGAAAATAGAGAACGGGGACCATCAAAGTAGGCGCTCCAATTTGCGAGGGCTATACCAGGTTTTCTACCTTAGTCGAACCCTTCCAAAGTCATTTCTACAAGGTTCTGTGGGGATTTACAGTATTTTACGCTGACTTGCCAGGCGCTAAAAAGAGCACGTTACAAGACAGGATGCGGCTCTAAGGGGGAATCTGTTTTCGACTTTTACTGTATGGAGCGCCCCCCAGTGAGCTCACATTGGGCGACAGTCCTCGCCAGGCTGTTGGGACAATGGATTCATACCTTCTCGTGGTGTCCGGTGTTAATCCCCACTGGGTAGACGAAAGTTAATCCGCCGTGGTTGTGCGGTCTGGCCCGGTGCGCGTGGTGCGGGGCACGGCACGACCGCACAACCACATCAAAATCAGGGGATTTGGGAGATGGAAACTATAAGGCTTCTTCTTACCCGACTCGCACTCGGACCCAGATGCTGGTCTTGCATTACCAGTGGAAGTTGTGTTGCCCTAGGACGCAGACAGTACACTCCTGAGCTTGCATACAGTCTGGGATCGCATCGTGCGAGATGCGGCGAGGCAATAGTGAGCTAATGACGCAGGCAGTCAAGCTAATATCAAACAGATCTCGTTCAAGACCCAGGGGCCTCGTTAAGACTCGAACCTCTTAAGGCTCGAAGAAGTCGTTGACTAGAGATCTCGATAAGGCTTAGCACGGGCAAGCTCTAGTGCGGCTGTTCTGCGAGACATGGGCCGAGATACGGATATCGCTCTCGGGAGACATGGATAATCTGTAAGATATTGGTGGTTGGATGATGGCAACCGATAGAGCTCGTTAATGCTGTCCCACAGGTAAGTCATCGATCATGTTCAGTCAGTGGGGACCAAGCTTCGTTAGTGGAGAGCGACCGACATACACTGCCGGCTGGTGCGTATATGAGGGCTCTCTGCAAGACCTCCCTAGGTAACGCGAAACGAGAGCGCGAGCTCTCACGGGGCGTGGTGTACAATAGCAGCCACTGTGACGCGGTTGGGCCCTGTTAAGAGACTGTCTGTATAGCCCGAGATAACGGATGCGCGTGTCGGTGTACAAAGAGACGGGAGTCAACTACCTCACTCGGACTGGGGGCCTGAGACTGACCTCGGTCGGTTGAAGCGGTGTCGTCCTAGTTTGTCTGCCCGTGATGTATGCTTATAGAGCAAACTGAGAGACACCCAGATTGAGAGGCGTGGTGAAATGAAATGCCAACGGGTTTGTCAGCGGTGCCTTGACCTCCAACCCTTCTCTGTCAGTCGTAGCGGCTATATTGCTGGGGCGCGGATCTTGGTCTCGGCCATAATTGTTTTCGAAATGACAAGCGAGTTTTGCATTGCTCAGCGCGCATTATATCGTCGCTTTCTGGTCAATTCCAGAAAACTCATCCTGTGAATCGGCAAATATTCCACAGGTCGCATCGCTCAGTCCGTATCATTTGCCACCAGTGAGGTCTAGTAAAGGCATGTCTTTCCGGTATTGGGTCAGATCAGCCACATATAGAAAGACTAACCTCTCTTATATAAGACTAGTCATCATACTGCCTCGTCTTTCAAGGTGATCCAACTGTTCCAGACTACACTGTACAGCCTCTATCGCAAATCCATTCATTCCTCTTCCTATATCCTGGATTGTTATCTACCAAGGAAGCTATTCTTCCCCAGAGAGGTATCATCATGGCAGAGTACATTGGGCTAGATTCCGGGGTGGCAGAGGATAAGTCCGGGCCAGTGAGTCCTGCTCCTGTGACGGAAGATGCAGTCTTTGGCGAGATTACTGAATCAGGGCTGAATTATCAAGACGTAGGTGTTATTTCACCAAGTCCGTCACAACTGACTAATGGCTCAACAGGTCGGATGGGTGGGAACAGTGGCTCTCATGATGAAAACCCAGTTCGGTCTGGGTGTTCTTTCCATCCCACAAATCCTTGATTCGCTGGGAAACATAACAGATATCATATACCTGTCTGTTATTGCAGCCATCACCACCTGGTCCAATTATGTTATCGGCACATTCAAGTTAAAACACCCTATGGTGTACGCTATCGATGACGCGGGAGATCTGATATTCGGTCGAGTCGGCCGCGAGGTCCTAGGCTTCGCAGTCTGTATCTGTGAGTTATCAAAAGCACCTGTTTTTTGTGAATCACTTAATAGTTACATTTCAGACTGGATCTTCTGTTCCAGCTCTGCATTATTGAGCACATCAATCAGATTAAATGCAGTCTCGGCTCAGGGGACGTGTACTGCAGACTTTGTTGCGATGTCTGCGTTCGTTTCATTTGGCCTCGCTAGTATCCGCACTCTGGGGAAGATAAAATGGACCGCGTGGATCGGGGTGGGGTCTGTCTTTACGGCTGGTCGGTAGGCAACATTCATTGTCGGCTTCCAAATACTGACTGCTACTAGTCATGATTACCACAATTGAAGTCGGTGTTCAAGACCGACCCCCAACAGCACCCATGACTGACCCCTGGATATCGGACTACAAGCTTGTTGGGCATCCTTCTTTCACAAAGGCAATTACAGAAGTCTCTTCTGTCGTGTTTGCGTACGCGGGTATTCCTGGTCAGTCTATTGTTGTCGCTATGGTCCGAGTACATTAAATGCCATGGTGACCACAGAAATCTATGAGTCTCTGCTGAAATTCTGTGACTAATTATCCAACACCAGGCTTCTTCCCGATTGCTGCTGAAATGCGCAATGTTGCATTATACACAAGGTCTCTTTTCATATGCCAGGCTGCGATGCCTGCGATATACATAGCTATTGGTACTGTGATCTACTATTATTGCGGCTCTTATGTGGCATCTCCAGCCCTTGGATCTGCTGGTACGTTAATTAAGAAAGTGGCATATGGGATCACCCTCTCGGGCTGATTGCTAGTACAGTCATCGTTCTACACGTGAATCGCAAGAGCGTCCTCTCATGGCTTTCTCGTTAGCAATCTCAAGTTTTCAAGCAAATACATCTTCGTGCGCATAATGCGAGGGTCTGAGCATCTGACAGCCAACTCCTTCAAGCATTGGGCAAATTGGTTGAGCTGCACATTCACCATTACAGATTCCTCGTGTCTCATTGCCAGTGGCATTCCAATCTTCTCTGATCTTGTGTCTCTCATTGGGGCTCTCCTTGGGACTTTCATGTCCTTCCAGCCGATGGGCTGCATGTGGCTATATGATAATTGGCAAACTGGCAGGGAGCAACCAACACTCAAGTGGATGTTACTTTCATCTTGGAGTATCTTCGTTATTGTTTCAGGGTCATTCTTGATTGTTGCAAGTACTTACGGCTCTGTGGTCAACATCATTGCTTCTAGCAAGCAGCCTCGGGCTCTTCTGCGTGGTCGTGCGCGACAACTCCAATTCATGATCCCGGGATGGTTTATATCAAGACTATATGAACGCAACACCTTTACCTCCTTGTACTTTTTCTCCATTATGTTCGCTCCTTGTTACTGGACATCCCCTGCAGTACGTGAATGAAGCAACTCAGTGCCTTCTGTTAGTTGGGCATAACTTCCTTCACTCCCACTCCTCATTTCATATCACTTGTCAGATATAAATATTTCTCGTTTAGATTCGGTCTTGATATTAAAATGAGCACTTGGAGAAGAGGCGAAATGTCGTTGCTGGTCAGGGAATCATGACAGTGCCTAGAAACAAGAATCCTTCCTTTTTATCCTCCAGGTTTTGGCTCGACCATCGCTACTCACAAACATTTGGCGGACTCCGTACCATCGCATACATATATGAAGCTGTTTTTTAGGTAAAATTAGAATGGGCGGATGAGAGAGACTCAGAAGATATTCAATGGTGAAGTGAAAAGCTTGATAAAGTGGAACTAAGATGAAGTTGTGGAAACTTAGTACTTTGATAGCTGCTGAACTAAGAAAAACTTTTACTGGGTAAGAGCAAATCATCTTTTTTGAAACTAGGAGTGCAGAAGAAATTTGCGAGGAAGCAACTGCACTCTTATGGCAGTACTACCAAGAAGAGGAGAAAGAAAAAGTGAAACGGGGATAAAGGAACAACGTACCAGTGCTCAAACTCCGAATGACCCCATCCTCGGCAACCCTATCCCTGAGCAACCTGGTCAAGAATGATCTCCAAATCACCAAACTCACTGAGGCGCAAAACCAGAGATGCAAGTTTCTCCAGTCTGGAACGCAAGCCCCCATCCGACGTGTCCCGCCTGATGTCATTATTTTCGTCTTCTGTCATGGACAATACGATACGTATTATCGAGAGAACCAGGAAGTTATCCACTTCCAGGGCCCTCCATACCCCCCGGCCCAATGTCAGCCACTTCAGCCCTTAAACCCAGTTGTTGAAGTGTGGCCACTCGACTGCTCCGGTTGATGATCGCATCAAAGAAGACAGTGAGGTAGTGATCGAACGAGATGGCGTCCCAGTCATTGGGAGTTCTCATCACGTAACGAGCCTCGCTAGCAGATCTTTTCACGCTTTGGTCAACATCATCATGTCGATAGGCCGCATGGTACAGAAGCTCGTAAAGTTCGTGTTCTTCGAGCAGGCCGAGGTCAGCACGTATCTCCCAGCGGGTGATAGGATAACCATCCCGGTTAGCGTGGGATCATCTGTTGGCCTCGGACGTAGTGGATGTTCGGAGTAGGGGTGGTGATAACGGGGTCGGTTATGGCGATGAGTGAAGGGGATGAGGTGGAGAGAATTAGAACTCACCAGCTTTCGTTCGGGGATCGAGTATGCCCTGTTCGTTTTGCCGCGGGCGACTAGGTTGGCGCTGACGATGTGGGAGGACGGTGGGTGGTGGATGAGAGTAAGAGGGTAGGGGAGAAAGAAAGCAGACCTGGAGTTCAAAGTGTAGAGTGCAACGTTGGCACTAGGCACCCATTCCGACCCGGTAGGTAGAGGTCACCCAATACCGGAATTTTGAGCGTGAGCAACCTGGTAGTCATTCAATTGAAGTGCTATTCTGTGAAAATATTCCAGAGAATTAAGGTCTCTTTCAAGTTGTATTTGTCTCTGATGTTTCCTCCAATCGAGGCAGAGACTTGCCTGCCGATGACACTCTGATGGAGGCCGCGATGCCAATGAAGATCTTCGTAGCCACTCTCGTAAAACGGACCGAGTCTTTCTTGGGCTCCTTGTCAATTCTGGTAAGCGCGATGACCAGCTTTCTTTGTATCAGGTGTCAGTGCACAACAAAACAATATCTTGGTGGTAATCTGATGAGCAAGTGTGCGGCCATGTGATTTGATCTGCTGAGTCAGCACTGTTTGGATTGCGGCGGCGTCCAAAGCTGCCCTCGCCGCAAAACAACTTGGAAAGAGAGCAGCATAAACAGGCGAACTCGAGTGCCGCGTTGCAAATTGTGTGAAATAGCCAAGCTCGCTGCGATGATCTCCATCGTGTCCTGCTAGATCCACCCTACACCTACCACCACCACCGCCTCCGCCCACTCTTCATTCCTCTAAGCATTCCCCGCAGACTACTGGCAGCATGGCCAATCCGCCCCAGGTAGGATTCTTAACCTCATTGCAGCTCCGAATTTGGTTACTCATCAACGAACAGCGCGCACAGCAAGTGCCTCAGCATGTCACCGCGTTACTTTCCCACCTGACCTCCCGCCCAGGGGTGGAATCTACCCTGATCCTCTCCCGCAAAGACGGATCCATCATCCAGAGCGCCGGACTCCTCGCTCCTTCAGAGAGTGGTACTAGCACCCCTCGAACAGCTGCAGCACCAGCTGCCGCCACCTCCACCGAATCAATCACCCAACCCGCCGACTCGTCCCCGTCATCTCCAGCCCAGCCCTCCCCTTCCACATACCAACCCTCGCAGGTAGAAGCGCTGGCAGCACACATCTTCAACTACGTTTCAAGCGCCTCCGCCCTCGGTGTTTCGCTCTCGCGACCAGTTCAGAAATCCGACGGACGCAAGGCTGGAACTCTGGAAGGTGGATACGATGTACACGCAAATGGAACAAGCACCCCGCGAGAGGAAGGAGAGGCAGAGGCTGCGGAACGTGAGGAGGATGACGAGGTGAAACTTTTGCGCATGCGCACCCGCAAACACGAAATTGTTGTGGTGCCGGATCGAAAGTACCTGCTCTGTGTGGTGCACGATATGGCCAATGCGAGTGGAGGAGCCGCAACTGGGGGTGTTCGCTCGCGGTAACGTGGCCAATATACATCCATTTTTTCTGCAGTACGGCCTGGCATTTTTCTCTTTGCGTTGTCTCATTGGGGTTTGGACGATCGGACTTGTTTTCTTTTCGCTTTCTGATTTATCTGCTACGTGGGCTTGGACTTTGGATTTCATACGAGATATACCCCATTCAAGCATGGTTTCGCATTCGTGCTGCTTTTTAGGTCCAGTGGATGCGTTTCATATTTCTGTAGCAAATGCCGTTGTGTAATATCCCGCTTTGCGTTGAGGATGGGCAACAGCTATTCTTTTGGAGGCCAGCAGACCTCATTATCACACTACGACAAAAATAGGCACGGTGGGAATCTGCTGGGCATGACCTGCTTCTTCCCTTTTCACATTCTGTAGCCACCGTTTCCACTTTCTATTTTATCGGAGAAACCGTCCATGGTCCACGGGCGAAGTGACCGGCGAAGTGAGTGAAGCGGACAGCCGAAATTCCGAGTAGCAGACACAAACAACTTTGAATGACCAAGGATACTATCTCCAATCATGCTGAAAAGACCTTAATGTACCTTATCCCCCACTGCGTCATCCCAGAAGCTTGGGGTTGAGCATGGGCTTGGATCTCGGCCGGAAAAAGTCCGTTATCAAATATGATCCACCATGCTACCCCCAAGTGTAGGGCGTGGGGAGCACGCCCTATACTATACTAAGCCATACCCCTCTCCTCTGCGGAGAAGACTTCGTGTCCTAATTACACTACCTCTAACTTGTACATTTGATATATCAACTCGACGAAATGACCTCTTCTTTCGATGTGGAAGCTGCGCGGGTTCATTTCCCTGCCCTGCAGCAAGAGCAGGTGTTTATGGACAATGCAGGTGGGTTCATCACATGCACCACAACCCGATATATACCTGATCGGACTCCGTATTTGATGCATGTATTGCTTACACCATCCAGGAGGCAGCCAAGTGCTGGGGTCAGTGGTGGAATCGTAAGTAAATTATGAAGGCAGCGCTTGTCTAAAATATAGCATCCTCACCAATGACTATGTTACTGCAGCATTTGCTCGTACATGATCAATACGAACGTCCAGCTTGGCGCAACCTACAAGGTCTCCCAAGCATCCACCGAGGGATTCTCGAACGGATACAAAGCAGCTGCCAGCTTCATTAATGCCCAGCCAGAAGAGGTGCGCCAAGAATTCTGGCTTTTGATCTGCACGCGTCTATAAGATGCAGAGTCTCCCCGTGATACCAGAACAAGTATGAATGGTGATGAGATGCCAACTGATGCGACCAGATCAACATCGGCGTTTCGACCACCCAGTTGCTGCACAATCTGTCTACGGCTCTGCAGTTTCAGCCAGGCGATGAAGTGATCGTGTCCAAGCTGAACCACGAGGCCAACTCTGCGCCATGGGTTCGCATCGCCGAACGGCTGGGCCTGACGGTCAAGTACTGGTCGTCTTCGCACCCGACGAACCCAACGTGCGAGGTGGCCGAGTTGAAGACGCTGCTGTCGGATCGCACCCGGCTGGTGACCTGTCCTCATGCCTCGAACATTACCGGGACCATCAGTCCGATCCGGGAGATCGCCGACGCAGTTCATGCGCACCCACGCGTGCGTATCCCTATCCCTATCCCATACATCGGGTGTCGGATGGGTTTCGAACATGTCCACTGACATCGACTTGCGAATAGGCCTTGCTGTGCGTGGATGGAGTGGCTCTCGTGCCCCATCGTCCTGTTGATGTGAAAGCGCTTGACGTGGATTTCTACGTGCGTTGTGTCTATCGTGATTTCTGCCTGGATATCGGCTTACCTCCTCGCAGGCGTTCTCTTGGTACAAGGTATACGGCCCCCACCTGGCGCAACTATATGCCTCCTCGCGGGTCTTCGACCAGATCCAGTCGCTGGCGCACTTCTTCAAGCCGACCGATACCCTGGACCTGAAGCTCAACCTTGCATCGGCCAACTACGAGCTCACAAATAGCATCCCCGCGGTGGTGGAGTATTTCGGAGCGGAGCCCAGCAAGACCTGGGCGGAAATGGCAGCGCATGAGGAACGACTGCAGGCGATTTTCCTCGAGTTTCTGGCCTCGGATGCGCGCATTACCATTATCGGTGACCCTTCGGCGCAGCGAGACGTGCGGGTGCCGGTGATTAGTTTCACGGTGCAGGGGGTTGGCAGCCAGCAACTCGTGGAGGCGGTTGAGGGGCGATCGGCATATGGCTTCCGCAGCGGCCATATGTACAGTCACCGACTGCTGAAGGAGGTGTGTGGGTTGGCGGACGTGGAAGACGGGGTGGTGCGGGTAAGCTTCCTGCATTACAACACCAGTGAGTGGATTCCCCAGCCTTGTCTTCAGTATCTACCTTTCAGAGTGATCCCCCTCCCCCTCCGGTGCCTACCCTTCGGCGGCGTCTGGTAGGGTATCCTAAGGTAGTGTGTGTGGAGTAGACGCTGACTAGGCAGCAGAGGCGGAGGTGCAGGGCCTGGTGAAGGTGCTGCAGGAGGTGCTTGCATAGGCTGCACGGCCGGAGCCTACCCTAAAGTACCCTACGGTATGTCTACCTAGTGCTCGAACAGAACTCAGAGTATATTCAAAGTTTAGTTCCTATATTATCATCTTGACTCATTCTTCTATCTGATTTTGTCGTTATCTCGTAGTATCTTAATAGTGCTAAGGTGGCAGCATGTATATCTGAAGGGGAATGGGGGAATTCCGATCGGCGACCCGGTTGCGGCCGGCAGTTCCGAGATCGGCCGACCGTACCACCAAATGCGAGTGAGTCAACATGAGGGCAAATGCGATAGCATAGTCGCGGTGAGAAGTCGGATGATAGTTGTGACAAAAATGATTCTGGTCACCATGGCTCTACCGACGAACGATCACCCGATCGCATAGAATCTGGACTGACGGTCAGACCTCGGCAATACGAGCGCCCCAACCTAAGCGCCAGCCCGTAGTACTAGGAGAATGTATACAGTAGTACTACTTTGTATCTTAGATACGAATTGCTCTACCCTAGGATGTACTGCTTATACTAGTAGTGTAAAGATAGGGCACGGCTGCTGCATTAAGGTCCCGGTAAGATGTCTTCAGCAGGCCTCGATACCCAACTCCGAGCGGACAGGGCAGTCTTCCCCATATTTCACGCAGGCGACCCCAACCAGACTGCCGATCGGACGAGACGCCAATCAGCCGGCGTGTAATCGGGTTAGCTAGGACCCGCCGCCGGATTGGCTCAGGCCGAGAACAGCGTGGCAAGCACTAGTCCAGCATACACTAAGTCCACCCGACTGTACATAGTAATGTTCAGGATGACCCAAGCACGAGAGTCAAGATGATGTGATAGAATAGCAGTTGAATATTATCAGGACAGAAGAGATAAACCATCAAGAAACAATGAATCATCGCATCGCCGTCGTACTGTGCTGAAGACAATAATAGAATAGAGTGGCACTGCGCCCCTTCCGCCACCCTCGCCACAGCGTGACTCCCCTCCTCTTAGTCACTCCCTCAGAGTCATCCGTGGTGAGCCTGAAAAACCTCTCCGTCGGTCACGACTTTCGCCTCGTCCCCTCTCCAGTCTCTCTCACCCTCTCCTCTCCCCCTTCTCCCGATTCCTCCCATCTCTCACCATCCCCAAAATCGACTGGGTTGCCGACTCATCCTTTCCGCCCGCCCCATTCTGCCTAGTCACCGCAACGCCTGCCTGACAGCCAGCCTCCGCCGAGTCTGCCTGTCTATGCTCCGTTCGGTGCCTTGAACTCTTCGCCCCCGATCTCGTCTCCTTCAAAATGTATACTGAGTCCTCCGTCCCGATCGCCCGTGTTGCCGCTATTGTCTCCCGCTCTGTCTTCGCTGGCTCTTCCGCCTAATTTCGGTCCTCGAGTCATCTTTGCCACGTCCGGGGTTAGCCTCAACACTGGTGTGATCGGTCCCTGACTCTTTTTTCGTCTGGTACTCGCCTTTTCGTCTGTTCTTTTGGTTTTGTCTGATCTTCTATTTATTGTTCGGTGACGAACATCCTTCTGAGTATTCCTTGTGACCTTTGGATCTCTTTGATTTAACCCGCCTCGTCGCTGGCGGTTCTCGCTGAAACTCTTCCGTGTCAACCTGGCGCTTCTCAACTTCTAAGGCTTTGCCGTCGCCTCCCGTAAAGACGGCTCCTGTCTCCTCGGCCTTCGTTCCCGGTTTATTGCTCAACGGTATCTTGACACTTCGGTTCCAAATCGGACCGTCCTTTTGCTCCGGTCGCGTCGACTCCTGAACCTCCGCCCCTCCTCGGTCCTTCATGAATCCCTCCGCGCCTCCGGATATGTCGGGGATGGACGTCTTGGGTCTACACATCTCTAACCCAAGCTCAAAAGCGCTTCATGCGCACCCCTATGCTTCCTCGATCGCCTCCTCCGCTTCCTCCTCGTCGTCGTCCGTCTTCTCCCTCGATGCCTCCCATAGCTCGATCTCCTCCACCACCACGAACCCGGTTGATGTGATTTGGGAGAATGATGCGGACCGCGACGCTCAGCTTGCGGGAAGGCCTGCGGTTGCATGCCCTCGGGCTTTCGCCAAGGGAGTTCCTCCCAAGATCGATGGCCCGGTGCCGCCGGAGTTGCGCACGCATCCCCGGCGCACCAACAGCGTCGCCCCCAACGGGCCCGGCGCGCGTCCTCCGCCCTGCCTGCTTCGCCAGTCCGAGCGGAAAGTCAACTTTGTCGATAACCTCGTCGGTAAGTCGTGCCGGATCTTCCGCACTCGTCGTCTCTTGTTCCTCCCGCTAAAAAAAGCCCCTGTTGTGAAGATACGGCGTCGCAGATCGTCGAAACCATCTGGCCGCTCTCCGCCGCGGCCTCGCGCAGCGATGCCGCGACCGGCTCAAAAGGTGTATTACCTCTCCGGACATTCATCCAAGAGACCCTCCGTCGTTCGCGCACAAGCTATAGCACCCTACAGGTGGCCCTCTACTACCTGATAAAGATCAAGCCTCATGTGCCTTCTCATGATTTTACTAAGGAACAACCTCGGGACCAGTCGTCGATGCGGGCCATGCAGTGCGGTCGCCGGATGTTTCTGGCGGCGTTGATCTTGGCCTCGAAGTATCTACAGGACCGTAACTATTCGGCCCGTGCCTGGAGTAAGATCTCTGGCTTGAACACCTTGGAGATCAACCAGAACGAGTTGATGTTCCTGCAGGCGGTTGGATGGCGTTTGCACATCTCGGAGGCGACTTTCCAGCGTTGGACTGACCTTGTCCTCAAGCTCACCTCGGGCGCTGGTGGCCCCCCAGCCAGTGAGGGCCAGTGTTGGCGAACCGTCCTGCCTCGTTTGACTCCGGAGTTGGATTCCGTCGACCCGGAGCCGATGACTCCGATCTCGATGATGAGCAGCATGGACGTCGGCCTGGGCGACTCTCCCTCCCCGCGCAGCACCGCTAGCAACGAGTCAATCCGGTCGACCTCCCGCGAACAGACTCCCACCTGTCCGCCGAGTCTGCCTCGGGCCTTGGAGCCGACTCCTCGCATGGAATTTACCAACCTCCCGATGCCGGCCCTTCCGCGACCTCAGATGCTCCCGACTCCCCAGATGACCCCTCAAACTCATGTGGCTTGCACTCCTGCTGCGAGTGCGGCGGCATGCGCTGCTCCCCGGCGCCCTTCCATCGGCACGGCGATGTCCCAGGCCCAGAACATGGGCATGGCGCGATCTACACTTGATCAGCGCCCATCCCTTTCGTTCTACCCTCGGGCTCAGTCTTACGATGGTTACCCGGCTCCGGTTCGTCGGTCCTCTCTGGCTAGGTCGACTTCGTCAGCATCCTCTCCGGACTCGATGGTCTCGGATGTGTCGACTCTGTCGTCACGGTCGTCCCGCTCATCATCGGTATCATCCAACGCTTCGGGTGCGGGTGCCCCCGCCCCTTCGCGTCTTGCTGTCAAAGCGACTCTACGATGCACCAGCAACTCTCTTAAGGAGAGCCGGAAGACTCTGGCGATCGCTTCTCCGATAGACGAGAGTACTCTTGCCGATCTCTACAGCTCGCCGGATTATGAAGCCGCGAGGGGCTCCGCACCCGATCTGTCTCAATATTCTCTTGATTCTAGCCTGAGTGAAGCAGCACAGAGCCTGTGCGAGCTTTCCGGTGCAACCCCCGAGCGTCGGCAGTGCCGCAAACGTGGGCGCACCGGATCGGACGATCTTCTCCTGCAGAATCACGTTCGCCATCTTATCGATGGAGGTGCTCCGGGTGTCTCTTCCATCTTGCCCGATGGCAATCTCGCCACCTCCTTATTGATGACCAATGGGTTTTCGGTTTCGGGTCCCGCGGGCATGAAACGGGCCTGCTGCGGCAGTGAAGCGCGCAAGGTCGCCCTGAACCCGAGCATACGCGCGGACTACCTGAATTGATCGGTGCTTCTAAAAGTTCCTTTTCCTTTTTTGGTGAGGTTTCGGAAAAGCCCGTCTTTCTTTTTGCGTCCAAATTCTTCACCTATAACCATACCACCCCGGCAACCGAACCCGGACTGTCTGCTTGTACATACCCCCTCCTTATTTTTCCTTGTTTTCTCTCCCTCTCTCCGTCCGGGCTCTCGGTCGCCGTGCAACAGTCTCACCTTACCCACGGGTCTGGTTGACTTTGCTAACGTGTACGATGTACGTGGTTTGTTCCCTCGTCATCTCTTCTTTGATCTTATATTCTTGTGCCTTTTTTTTTTTTTTTTTTTGCGTTGCGTACGGAGTGTGATGGGCATGGGACGGTCTGTTTTATCTACCTTGGACTTATTATTTGGAGAGTGGACACTGGATGGTGGCCTCTCTGTACTACGTTCTCCTCTTCCTCTGGCGCTGTGGGCGCCTGCGAGGAGATCGGCGTCCGGACTCTTTGGAAAGGTTCGCATATCGGATAGCCAATCGTACAGTTTCTTAATCACCTTTGTTTCTCTTTGGCTTGTACAGTATGATCGTGTAGACTAGCCAAGGCTGCCTTGGTCGTTCCACTTTGCCACAGATGCCTTTGTGGCTCCGCAGTGACTCACCGTCGGGTCAGCCGGTGGAACTGTTTCGGATTTGCCACCTTTTCTCTCCCTTCGGTCAGACGAACAGGCCTCCAGTGTTCTGAGTTGTCTGTCTTTCTGACTCATTTTGAGTGTTCGCGGGGGCAAAAAAATTCGATCTCGAAATTGGTAAGCGGTCGGGTGTGGAACCACTGACATAAACTATGAACACATTTAAGCCCCCCGCCAATCAGGCAGACTTCAGCATGGACCATTCATGGCTTGGAATGACATGCAGCATGCAGCGACCATCGGAGTCATGAGATGCTTAGAAGAAAGAATGTATTGATCAATCATTTGTGCATAACCCAAAAATATCACCCTATCAGGGCACAGACACAGAGGCTGGTCTTTATAGGTACTGACTTGCATACAGATTCCGACCAGGTGCTTATAGCGCACCGGACAAGCGTCAAATTATAGCTAATGAGACTCCCATGAAATCATCCATGGATTCTCCTCGATTGATAAATCATCCGAAACTCACCCTTGCAATAATTTGACCAGTCACCCAGTAAACCAGGGACGTGAAGTCCTGCCTTAAAAAGCCAGCCTGACCTAACGTCGTACATATATTTCACAATCCTTTAACGCCCCTTTTAATTTGAGAAGATTCCGATATTGTCTCCCAATGACGACCTGCTGATTTCTTTCGCATTTCGTCTGAGATGCGACGCTCTTCGCGAACTCCGTGGTCTTTACGTATTTAACCACTGTTAATCTAGCAGCCTTTTTGGTACATACCTGCTCGCATGTAGCTTTCATCTTCAAGTAGTTTGGGTCCCTGGGCGTGTTCTTCCGTTGGACCCGCTCAATATAGCGACGAAATATGCGACACACACTTTGAATATCTTGACTAGACTCTGTCAGCAGCCGCAATGTATAACTCTTGGTAATCTGATTCCTTTCGAAGAGCACGGGGTTGCGGTAACACATCTCCAAGTTGGCCAAAGGCCATTGTTTGGGGAATAGCACAGAAATTGAACATGTTCTGCTCACGCAGCTGGGCGAGATAGGAAATGACAGTTGTCCGCATGATCAAACGCATTCAATATCATCTGGGAGCTGCAATTCAGAGCGACTTCAATACTTTCAGACTCAAACAGATCTTCGAACCGATCCACGTACTTGGATCACGCCTCTTGAGGCCATAACCGGCGCCCATCGCAGTGATCTTCCCAAACATCACGAATGATATTATTCTTATATAACATCAAGCCCATAGATTTATGTAGATTCGAATCTCCAATCGTGAAATCAACAAACTCGGCCTCGGTGAAAAGACGGGTAAGACCGTCGCCGGCGACATACCAGCAATAGAGATCGTACTCCCCGACAGTCGTGTCGCCTTCCATGCTTTGAATGAAGTCGGCCATTCCATGCCCCATTATTCCAGTAACCTCTCCGATGGCCTTCTGGTAGGCAGACTTCATCTTTTTGAATTCGGCGTTGACGTTGTTAAAGTCCACAAGTAGGTCGCGGTCTTTCTCTTCTGGGCGATTTTCAGTGAATGCCCAGCCATCCAGCTCCAATTAACCCTTGAATTGTACAGATGGAGCTGTAAAGATGGAGCGCTTTCTTCCCACTGGGATCGAGACGTCATCTTCAATAGTATCCAATCCACGCAGTATCAAGTAAAATATGCATATGGGGAGGGCTAGCTCGGGGTGGAGCGCTTCGATGACGGGCCTGAGGCTGCGGCCGGTCTTTCGCAGGTAATCAAAGCAGACTCCCGCTGTTGTAGCTTCGTAGGTGAGACCGTGCTGCAATTGAGAATGATGTGAATTAGTCTGCGAGCTTGCAGGGTAGAGGAACAAAGCAGACAATTGAAGCAATGACCGCAGCTGCTGGGGCCGAAGCGCGAAATAGAGAGCGTCGGAAGCAAGGTCCATGATGGTGGTTGGTGGGGGCGAGACACTGTTGTACGTTCGTTATTCTAGGAAGCCCAAGCAAATAAAGAAAAGAAGCAGTTAAAGTATTCACGTGTCGACGCGACCACAATCCAAATTAATATCTGAAAAACCACATCGGCGAATTGGCGAACTGGAACCCGAAGCAGATTCCATGAAAAAGAAATACACCAGGGATAATCTATTGGGAATTAGGTATTCCAAAACCTATATCGATTTGAATTTTGCGTTTAGTCAAATTGAAACCCTGCGTCTCGGATCGGTGATAGTATTGCAGCTTTCTGTGGCTCTCGTCGGGGTTCGGGTTCGAGAAGTAGGTGAAGCCCGACCAAATATTTCCAGCCGCTTTCCTTGAATGATCGACTATATCAATCAGTCTTGGGATGCAAAATGATCTAGAGAACTTGGATTTACCAGTCTTGAGTTTTCCTACGACCTTTGGCTGGCTAAACCTACACTACTCATTGACCTCATACAGCGCATATTCAATGTTTCATTCTGTACCGGATGTCCGTATCGAATCCCTTTTGGCCACAAATGAGAAACAGCTTCCTAGTTCCAGCACTCCTCGTACTTTGGCTTCTGTCAGCAAGCTTCAGTACAATGGCCTGCTTTGCATCCCTCACACAGGTGGGTGTGGTGAGGACCCTTGGACGTTTTGTTGTTTGTAGGCGGCTCCACATGAATCCCGTTCCATTTTTTGATGCGGTAGGCCACTCGCTCTGCATACGAGTAATCAAGAGTTGGACGGCTTAGCCTGTTGCAGGATCTACATCGTTGATGGTAGACTCTGGCATTGTACATGCCGCCAGGGTACATCCGGATGGTAATGGCGATTTTCTTGCTCGACCATCCATGAGAGCGACAGGCCGTGTTTTGACACTCAAAACGACCCATTATATTAGTGTCGTATGCTTCGCACCATGAGAAGTCGTCGTCTTTTCCATTAAATTCGAAGTGAAGACCCGCCTGCTCCAGCAGATGGGCTACATCGACATTGAGGTTTGGAAACATGGACCATCTATTCTTCGCTTTTGGGGGTCTGGCGGGCATCTTTGACAGTTCACAAGTATTATTTGGAAAATTCAAAGCGATAATTTCTGAAGTCTTGTATGGCGAGAGATAGACTGCAGAGGAGATGGATATTTGAACAGGCCACCTGGGCACAATAATAAATAGTCGATCATAATGGCGGCTTTTGTCAGTGCAAACATTTCATCATTCAACACTGTGAATACACTGTGTAGTGGAAAACATCACGGGTGAGCAACAAAGCCCCTGCATCCCAAAGAAAGTGAAAGAGCTATCTTCTACCATGTTCCATGGGACTCCTTGGGACATCAACTTGTGCCGCATCAAGCGTTGGACCTAGGGAAGCTTGGCGACCATCTGATAAGATCAGGCGATGCTCTCCGCACCCCCACCTTTCCTATCCGCTGTTCCGCCATTTCTTTATTCTCTGCTTCCACCTCGCCAGCACTTCTCTTCGGAGACCATACCGTTATTCTACGTGCATTATAATCTACGGATACATCATGCTTTCTCGGGCGTTTGCTGGGCTTCTCGCCCTATCAGCGCTTCCCATCGCCTCAGCCTCGGCCATTCCGCACGGGCAAGCCATTCTGAACACGGATGAGATCACTAGCTCTCCGTTGCTACAGGAGTCGGAAGCAACCGACGCAAATACCCTCATCCGGCCGACCTGGTTCGAGTCTGCTCTTCTGGCCCGTCGCATGCTGGCCCTCTCGCCTTCGGGGGTGGTATCGACCATCTTCCCCGACCCGATTCCACCTTCCTCACGTACACCTGCCTCGGTCGCAGGCCTCCCTATCGGACTACGCGAGTATATTGCCGACTGTGACACCTCCCTCCCCGAGGATCTCTCGCACGGAGATAACGGGGATCCCACCATCCTCGCTCTGCGCGTCGCAACCACTTTCAAGAACATTGGCGCCGGGTCGAACCTCTCCCTCGAGCTGGACTGGTGGGACCACGTTGATAAGGCCATCCCCGTCTATCCCGGACTTCCCTGGAGCCCTGCAGCGCTGCCTCGCATTACGCTCTTTGGGTATCTCGACCCCTTGCCCCAACTCTCGAATCAAAAGGCCGCCGCGCTCGAAAAGTGTTTCCTGCGGTCGCATCCGGATGCGAAGGTGTGGCTGCCCGGTGCACCTGGTTCACCGCACGCGAGCTTCTGGGCTCGTCTGATTGTCACACAGGTATACTGGATCGGTGGATTTGGTGATGTGCAACAAATCGGATGGATGAACGTGACGGAGTGGAAGGGGATCGGGCGGTGGGAGAGTGCAGCTGGCGTGGGAGACGGACGAGGATGGGAGGACGTGCGACTGCCGGGAGAGAAGAGTGAAGATAGCATCTGAACAGATACAGAGTGCCGAGACGGGACTCTTGCTAGTCGATTAGGCGAGGCTGCCACTGTCAGGCCAGCACAGAATACGAGCGATAGCTGCAGGGCGCCTTCCTTTCATTCGGCTGCTGTTATCAGCGCCTGCAGGGCTTATCATCTTATCTCGGCATCATCAACCGTCTCGGGGCGCGTTGGGAGCTGCATGCTGGCTGTATTTTGGTCTTCTGCTTTTATTTTTGCTTTTGCTGCTGTTCCTGCAACACCCCTGCGTTGAGAATGCAACGGCATTTCATACCGTTCTCGCTCCACTCCATCTACTAGACTCGGATCCAGACCTCCCCAGTAGCTCTTAAATCAACCTGAAGCATGGGTTTCTCCCGGCCTCACCTCCGGGTCGCACAGGACCGGTCGGCCTTCGCAGAAGGTAATGCGCGCTGGACAAACCGAGACCTTGATCCAGTACCACGACTCGGTCGCAAGTGGGGGGTTTCTAGCTTGATAGGTGCTGTCTCTCTTATGGATCGACATAGATGTGTCGTAAACGTCCTCTAACCCATCCCTAGCTTACTGGATCTCCGATGCATTCAACGCAGCGACATGGCAGTTTGCCAGCAGTATCATTGCCGTGGGCCTGACCTATCGCGAGGCTCTCGCCATCGTGGCCATCTCATTCTTCATCATGTCCTTCGTCATTGCGGGCAATGGCGCGGTCGGTGCCATCTACCACGTCCCGTTCCCAGTCATCGCTCGCGCGAGCTGGGGCTTCTGGGGCTCCTATATTGCTATCATATCACGACTCATTCTTGCCATTTTCTGGTTTGCTATTCAGGATGTCAACGGCGGAAACGCCGTGCGGGTCATGATCGGCGCCATCTGGCCCAGTTATCTGACGATACATAATGGTATCCCTGAATCGCAGGGGATCACGACCAATGGCATGGTTGCCTTCCTGATCTTCTGGATTGTTCAGTTCCCTTTCCTCTGCATGCATCCGAATAAGCTGCGATGGCTGTTCACTGTCAAGTCGGTGCTGGTCCCCATTGCCTGGATCGCCATCCTCGTCTGGGCCTTTGTCGCTGAGAAGGGTGGCGGCGGTGTTTTCGAGCAGCAGCGGTCGTCTGTGTCGGGGTCCAAATATAGCTGGCTGTTTCTAGCCAACATGACCAGTGTCCTTGGGAACTACGCGACACTGAGCGTCAACCAGGTAAGTTGGGGGAAGGTCTCCACTCCCAGCTTAAGCTTAAATCTTAAAATAACCCCCAGCACAAGCTAACAATCACCAACGCTAGTCTGATTTCTCGCGCTACTCTCGCGTCAGTCCTCGTTGGCAGCTTCTCTATATACCCATGCTGCCAATCGTGTTCACTTTCATTTCTTTCATCGGCATTGCTGCCTCGTCAGCCGGCCAAACACACTATAAGCTTGCCGAGATCCCGTGGGATCCCATGGTCCTCATCAGTCTCTGGCCAAATCGGGCCTGTCGCTTCTTCGGCGCCTTTTCCTTCGCGCTGGCATCACTGGGGGTCAACATATCCGCGAACTCTTTATCTGCCGCGAACGACTTCACCGCGCTTGGCCCGAAAGTCCTCAATATCCGCCGCGGCCAAATCCTGTGCGCGCTCCTCTCATGGGTGCTCGTTCCATGGAAAATCCTTGAGTCTGCGGGCAACTTTCTCACTTTCATGTCCGCTTACGCCATATTCCTTGGACCTATTGCTGCAATCATGCTTTTTGATTTCTGGGTCATCAATAGCCGCCGGTACGATTCTCTTGCGTTGTACCAGCCCCGTAATCCAATCTACCGGTACACTTGGACCCTTCCAGGGTGTTCTGGTCGCTCTCTATCGGGAGTCAACTGGCGAGCTCTGATTGCTTTTATCGTTGGTGTGGCGCCCAATCTACCTGGTCTGATCAATGCAGTGAATCCGAAGATTGATGTTGGAGTTGGCGTGCATCCTTATCAATTCGGCTGGCTGCTCGGGTTCTTCTCGACTGCAATTGTTTACTTAGGCTTGTCCTGGGGTTTCCCTGCCACAGAAACCAAGGTCGACCGTGCCATATTGCCCGAAGAAATATACGACGCGAATAATGTGGTCGAGGGATTGGAGACAGATAGTGCGGAGCGCATGGAGACTTCCATGACGGAGAAGACTCACGATAAATCTGATTCTGGGAAAGTCGTTTAGCGGGTCTTACAGATCCAATGCTTGTTTTCTGAGTTCTTATAATGTTTACGCTATGAATTTGACGAATGGATGATTGAGAGAGCAAGTTTGTTTCGCTGTACATGGTATGCATTTTATACGGGTATCTTTGTCCGTGCTACGGACCAGTCAGGCGGCGCACCCTAAGCCTAGCTGTAGACTTGAGTACAGTTATATACATTGGGTGCCGTAGTTGGTTCTTTGCAGCTCACATCTTTGGAACGAGACAGCACGACCCAAAGGTCAAAGAAACTGCGGGATCCATCCTCCGCCGAATCAAGTGCCTGAACTTGCTCATAATGTCGACGGTTGTTAAGTATTGCTCTATTTCAGAGCCGGCCTCGCCACAATAGCAATCGTTGGAGGATAGTCGGCACATCCAAATACCTGATGTAGAAGGGTTCGTTTGTATCGCCCTACTACCCATATATCGCCGGGACTGATACAGGACTTCTAGGCATTGGTCAGTCGTGACCAATGTCACAAGAACTTCATGGCCATCTCATCGAGGGCAAATGAATCGTAATAGCTCCACGTGGATATGAGATCTCATGGCCCTGGTCCATACGAGATCGCCTCTTTGAGAACCTTGGTCACGCCAGATGAGGCACGGCCCAACTCTCCACCTTCCTCTCTAGCACTTTTCAGTCCACGCTCGATGGCTGGAAGGAATCTGCTGGAAAAGACACGGTATCGATCTTCGCGGGTCTCATACATTTCACCCTCTTCATCGCGCGGCTGCCCAAATAGGTTCAGGTATGCGTATGGTGTGGAAGACTCGGAGATCATGTGATGACCCGTCTCACATAGGGGAAAGGACCATGAATCGGCAAAATAGGCCTGCCCAGAAAGTTCGTCATCCGCCTCACCGGGCTGTCCGATTCCGGCTCCGAGGAAGTCTGCCAGAGCGCCGAGCACTTTCACCATGGAGCGACCTTGGCTTCCGGACTTGCCGAACGAAGCACGGCTTGATGACCATCGTGATGATTCCTCCGTGTGCCATCCCAACACGGATAGAAAGCAATTGAGTGTTTTTATCCACCCGCCCGCGCAGGAAACGACCTGCTCCCCAGCTGTCTCGACCATCCAGGAGAGAATTTCGACTGCAGATACACGGATGTCTGCGGCCAGATGTGTCATTCCGGCTCGGATGTAAGGAAGAAGCTGAGCGACATGGTCTGAGACATCATTTTGGGGTAAGGTACGAAGGAGTTTGAGGAGCTGAATGCGAACGTTGCTGTTCCCGTCCAGTATGAGCGGGAGGAGGGAAGGGAGCATGACGCTCACGGGCTGAGGGAGGCTGGAGTTGACGGGGCGGGAAGCGATCGAGGTGGTCAAGTGTGCGAGGGAATCACGGCGCTGGTTGTCGGATTTGGATGAAAGGAGCGAAATGTGATGCGCAAATTGGCTATTGGAAGAGGGAGCGGCGACATGAAGTGATTGCTGGTTGAGGACAATTGCTGCAGCACGCAGGTTAGAAAAGAAATCGACAACTCAAGAGGCCTGGAAAACTGTACCCTTTGATCGGAAGCTGGTGTCTGTGTAGTTCTCCGGCTTTGCCTTCGCCTTGCCGACCTTCAGTTTCGGTTTCTGCGAGAATCAGTCAGTTTTTTTTTCCTTTTTGCGGCATTGTAGCAACACCCGTTAAACCAACCTGAAAGTCCTTTTGTTTCTCCTTCTTTCGTTTGGCGCTGGAACCCATGGCTGCGGTTTTTGTCGTTGGTGGAAACGTCTGAGCCGCGGAGCTTTTTTTTAGAATGGGGATCCCACGTGATTTTACGCATCGCCTCAGGCACTAACATGCCGAAAGAGGAAATTGGATTAAGTACTGTGAGGATACAACATCAGAGCTGAATTATGGGCAATAATATTCGAATAGTAGCTCAATTAAAGAGAAACAGAACAATTTGATAGACTTCCAGTTGATTTGTCCCCTTCAAATGCACACCACCGAAGGATTGCCGCCGCGTTGCAAATGTATTTTACCGTCGCATACTTCTGATAATATCATTTCGTCGCGAGCCTGCCAGAGCGTTGATTGTTCCTAAAACCTTTTTGAAGTATGGTGGACTACTGAGGCGCCTTTTCCCCAATGGCAGCATTTTAGCAGGAGCTATACTTTCCTGACATAGACTAGTGGGGTGCTGTTGCCTCAATCGGAGTGAAATCAACGGAGCAAGCGCGAGGGCGGATCATCAACACAGCTCCACCACAGCCTTGAAACATTGGCATCGGTCCATTCCCACCAACAATCGAAATCACCTAAGCGCGGCTTCTCCTGACATGCCTATTTTTAACCCACAATCCTGGGGAATGCCCCTTCTGACGCTCCCCGACACCCCACTCTGGACGGACCCCAATCCCTTCATCTGGACGGGCTATCGACCAGAGTCGCGATCATGGACCCGCTGCTTCGCCTCCTGGTTCTACAGCCACAATGAGACCGGCAATATCTACTCACACCTCCTTCCCGCAGTATTTCTTGCTGCAACTTTGCTTCTGAGTGTATCCGCGGGGACTCGCTTCGATACGCACACCCTGGATGGCTCTGTCGTGGGCTTCCAGCTCGGCTCGGCTCTGCTGTGCTTGTTCCTGTCGACGATGTACCATACGCTACTAAATCACTCGTCCTCGGTCTCGCGGCGCTGTCTGCAGCTTGATTATGTCGGCATTTTGGGGCTCATCCTGGGGAATTTAGCCAGCGGTTTGCATTTTGGGTTTTATTGTGCGCCCACTCTCAGGAATGTATACTGGTCGATGGTGAGTCCAAGTCTCGTCTTCAGAGTCGTCAAAACAGTTACTAAAATGTGGTTAGATCGCTTGTGGATGTGCAACAACCGCAGTAATCCTCCTCAGCCCATGGTTCTGCGACGAAGAATGGCGGTCTTTGCGCCTGTTCAGCTGCATCGCCATCGGGTTGTCGGCCGTTGCACCTATCAGCCATGCGGGGTATCTCTGGGGGTATGATTACCTGCTCGGTATTGGAGTCCCGTATTATCTCCTCGAGGGGGTGTTGCTCTTGGTTGGCTGTTTCGTTTTCCGAGTGAGTACATGGCCTGCCTTGTCTTGGCTTTGCATCTGGACCGCTGAGACAGGCTAACATCTTTTCAGACCCGAATCCCCGAGTCCTTCTTCCCAGGCCAGTTTGATATATGGGGGCACTCGCATACACTTTGGCATATCTTTGTGGTCCTCTCTATTGTTGCCCATATTGCAGGGCTGTCTCATGCAGTGAACTATATCCATCAATCTGCGCTATGCCGAGGATAACACGGAGGGAAGGGGCGCCGTATGATATTGAAACTTGAAGGTTCTGTATTCTTCCGTATCAGACTGTCACTCCTCTTTTTCAAATTGATTGTATTTCTCAGTGTTCCAGAGTTCATTCCCCGAAATTACCAGTAGGTACTCATACATCAATCGGCTCTTAGTTCGGTCACACAAAGAAGCTGTTTCAGGTCACAACAGCGAAGCTCACCTTTTGAGCCCCCTCCAAGCGCCTTAGCAACCATCTCATATGCTGACGATAGAAGCGACTTGCCCTGTTCCTGTCCCGCCTGGGTACTCATCTCGTTGTATTGGTGGCGCAGACCACTCGGGACGTCTGACATGCGTCGGGAAGTTTTCTTCGTATCTCCTGCCAAGGAAGAATATACATGATGAGTATGCGATCCATGGTACAGCTGGGGACCTCGGAGAACTACCTGGCTCAAAGGCCCAAATGCTAGCAATTCTTTCTCGGGAATTGCTGGCAGATTTGTGGTGTTGGGTAGCGAAAGTGTCTTCTTTGCTTGCGTCTGCAGACGGAGGCTCGAATGTCTCTAAGTCAAGTGAGATTATGCAGCCAAGCTGGAGGCATGGTGTTCAAGGGTGCAATATACCGTCGGTACTAGAGACATCGCCCTGGGATTGTCAATCTTTTAAACTGGTATAGTGTTTTTTTCATCAAAGGGTGTGTACCGCAGATCCGGACATTCTGTAACAAAAGATATGAGCAAAGGTGTTGCCAGGGTGAGGTGCAGTGGACGAAATAAAGAATCAGTCGAGTAGTCAAAATGTCCGAGTTAGAATTAACTTCCTTTTTAAGCGGGTTGATCTATCGTCGCCATGACGTGAATTCTCTTACCATGGATAATATGGGGGAGCGATACAAGGGTTGTTTATCAAGTCACAATGATGTCAGTCGGGTATAAACAACCCACTGCTCATTGTTTTGCCTACTACATTAATGTATTATCTCGGCTTCGAAAACACGTTCGAAAACACTTTCGAACGTGGACTGTCCTTAGCACAGGTGTCTATTTCGGTAGACATTCGCCGTCATTGATCAGTGACCAGCGAGGCTCTCAAAGCAAAGTGTGCCCGTACTGGCGATGCTTCCATATGTGATATGGCCGGTCAGGCGTCCTACGCTCCGTTCGGTGTTATTATCGAGGAAACTTTGAGAGGTATGTCAGGCAGAACACAAATTCAAGCAGCTCTGAAAGCCCATCGTATGCTTAGATCTCAGAGTCGAGTTAAGTAATGTCATAACAATCATGATCAAATTCAAGTCTAAGAAAAACATAAGTGCCAACACATCGGGCGTGCTCAGCGCAAACAAAATAAATAGTAAAGTCGAACGTCAAATCGAGGAAAGATGAAGATGAGGAATAAAAAACAGACGAGAGATGCGCACTTCTGCCCGGCCCCGAGCTGCACATAAGAAACACAGCTTTAAAAAAAAATGTCAGGACAGAACAATCAGCTCGGAACCGGACAGACGCGATTGTATCAATCAAATCAGACAGATCATCAGAAGTCACGTAACGATAAGAGGACAAAGCGGGAGAAAGAATCATCGGTTCGGTAGGAAGAACGGGGCGTACGAGTGCGGGTCATAATGTCAATGGGACCACCGAAGGAGGACATTGTTCGTAAATAAGTGAGATTAGAGAAGTGGTGACCAGCCTCCGTCACATCGAGATCTCGACAAAGGAAATGATGCCCGTAGAATATAAAAGCAAGGAAAAGTCGTTCAGAGACTCATGGTGAGCCATTCCCATTCCTGGCTTGCACCCTGACCACCTGCAATACTGTGGTTGGCCGGGTTGGCAGCAGCCGGTGGCATGGCAGGTGCCAATGGCACCACCTTGGATCGACTGGCGGGCGCGTTGGCCCTGGGGCTCTCCTCGGTATCCTGTTCGGGGCCCGCGGGGGCCTTTTCGAGACGGCGCTGCCGTCTGGGGGCCACTTGCACTCCGGCACGAGCCTGAGCAACACCAGCTGGGGGACCGGTCTTTGGCGGGGCGGCGGCGATGGGGACCACACCAGATTTGCCCATGCTGGATCCTGCCATCGCTGGCGGTGACTCAGGGGCGTTGTTACTGGGGGAGCGAGAGGCGGCTACGATGGCCGCGCTGGCGGATGCCTGCTGCACCGAGTTCTTGCGGGAGGACTTCTTCGACGAGCGCGAGGCGCCGACAGCCAAACTGTTAGCGCTACTGCGGTTCCGCTTCTTGATGACATCAGTCTTCAGAGAGAGCGGGCGAACCACACCGTGTAGCTTCAAGAACAAGCCACAGGCGTTGCAAAGTGGCTGGCCTTCAGGGTTACGGCGCCAGAGAGGAGTGGTCTGGGTGAAGCAGTTGGTGCAGGTAGTCGGCCCCGCGTTTGGATCGCCGTTCTTGGAGCCACCAGGGCTGGCGGGTCGAGAGGGCACCGCGCTGCTGAGACCGGACTCGGGGGGCGTGCTGGGGGAAGGATGGTTCGTAGGCGGGCCACTAGTCGTTCCGTTCATGCTCTGCCGGAGCAGCTGCTGCGCGTTGGGGGTAGATGAAGTACGGGCAATTTTTTGTTGGCGGTCGCGATTACGCACATCACTGACCGAGGCGGCCGACCCATGTCCACGGCCCAAGCTGGTACCGTGCTGCCACTCAGCAGGGCCATCAATCATGTCCGTCGAGCCAATAGTGACATGTTTCCGGTGATGACCACTAAAGCCTGGCAGAGACTGCACAGATCCGGGGAATCCTGTGTCCCAGTTCAGGCCTGTGTTCATGTCGCTGACATCGTCCATGGAGGCGAAATCGTTGGGCATGGCGATGCCACCACGCTCAAAGCTGTGGTCGTCATCCTCATTGTCCGAATCACCTCCAAAGGTGAACATACTGCCGGAGGGCGCGTTAGTGGAATACTCGCCACCGCCAAGAACTTGCGTCGGATCAACGTGTTGCTGGGACATAGAGAATCCAGCCGAGTGCATCGCCGTTGGTGGACCGCTCGTTGCTGATTGGTACTCGCCGTTGGCTGAGTTGAAAAGGTGGCGGGGTTGCAGGGATGCCGACAAGTTGGACGACCGCTGCTGGATATAGTTAGGGATGCGGCGGTGGGCTTGGGAATCGACCGAGGGCGCATCGTTGAAGAACATAGACTGCTCCCCCTCGTATATGGGCTGAGGGGTCGAAACGGCGGACTGGTAACCCGATGGCGGCGGGGAGAAGAACTCGGTGGAATTCAGTGACGATGCGAGTGGGGTCTGAGCATACAGACTAGAGAAGGGGTTGCTGGCGGTCATGGGAGAGTCGGATGGGGAAAAGGTGAAGTGCTGCTGATACGGACCAGCCGAGTGGATGCCGGTTTCTTCGCCTACCCCAAAGGTGTCGAGGCCGAAGGAAATGCCCGAGGCCGTATGGTGATGCTGATGGCGCCTAGGACCTCCACCAACGCTGCCGTTTCCAGGCATCGCGAAGGCCGAAGGTTGATCGAGTGAGTAGTCCGGCAAGCCGGCTGTCAACTCAGAGTGATGGGCCATCATGGCGTTCGATACGGGCGGCACTTGAGGGGAGGCATCCGCGGGTCTCTTACGAGTGGGCACGGCGAGACCGGCAAAGAACTGACGCTCGTCGACGCTGGTTTTGCGCACTCTACGAGGCACGTAACCAAACTCGCTGTTCTTGCGCTGGTCCTGCGGCGGATGCGGGAAAGAGGCTGCGGCGGCCGAATCGACTAGGTGTTGCTGGTCCTTGCGGGACTTGATGGGGATGGACGACGTCGGCGTAGCCGTGAAATGGCGGTCAACCGCTGGATGCGAAGAATAGTCGACAGGTGAGTCAAAAGGCACGATGAAATCATCCAGGTTCATCGCATCGGGGTTCGCTTCCAGATTCATTTGGTCCTGGGGGGATGTCGAGTCCTGGTCGGACAAACGCAGCTGCGCGATGCCGCTGGGAGCGGGGCTTTCCTCGTTTTGGTTGTGCGCTTGTGTCCTGCAGGTTAGGTGAGCAACGTGCCCGGACGGTAGGGGGAAATCCGGAGATCGATCTCGCTCGGGTCCCAGAAGACCCTTGGAGATGCAAGAGAAAAAAAAAAAAAGAGTCTAAATCAAAAAAGGACTTACTGAGACTTCTGTGACTGCTGAGCCCGCTGTTGCTGTTCCTTGCGTTTCAAACTCATGGCCATCATCCGCCAGGTCAGATTCTCCATCCGCTCCTGGTTCGGCAGTTGAGATTTGGTGCGCGTGTAGAGCCTCCAGATCTGGGCGGCCAGCGGATCTTGTTTCTGGAGCTCATCGGGGTTATCGCTACCGCGCTGGGCACCGGTCTTCCACTCCGGAAAAATGGGATCTTGAAGGAAATTGTCGTTGTTGTTGGATCCGGTCGGACTGAAGGGCGAACCGAAGGAGAGGTCATCGGACATGATGTGGGCGTCGTGGTCGATGCCGAAGAAAGACGCGGCGTTCTGCGGTCGGGCGGCCCCATGCCCTTCATGATTCATGCCCGCCATGAGTGCGGGCTGGAGGTTGGCAGAGGAGGGGAAGAGGAGATGGGATGAATCAAATGGTTCGAATTGGAATTCCCCCGTACCCGCCGTAAACGAGACCCTTGTCGACGAGGCGATCGAGGAACGAGGCGATTGGCAGGATGGCGCAGCCCGCGACCAGGGTCAGCACTGGCGGCGACGTCAGTACCGATCGGCTGGCCTGCTAATAGAGGAGAGAATTGAGTCGAAAGCACTCACAATGAGCCGGTCCAATTCCGGAGTGGTGCACTCTTTGCTTTCTTTCTTGAGTCGTGGAGGGGGGGCTAGACCCTCCAAACGCTCATGCCCCGAAATGCGATTGCGAAGAGGGTGTGCGTGAGAAGCGAGGGGACGCGGGCGTCGAGGTTCGCGGTGTTGGACGAAGACGGAGGCTCCAGACGGAGGGCGAGGGCGATGAGGCACGAGGAGGGAGGTGGTCCTGTCGACCACGGAAGAATGGGGGAGGAAGAGGCCGATCGAGGGAAGGTGATACCTTACGGTCGTGCTGGGCTGCTTCTGGGGATATTTCCATACGGTATGCGTGTATTACCCGTACGGAATTACACCCCACGCCTGGCGCACCGCACCGATTTACGGCGCTTCCCTCGACTAACTGCACTTTGCTACTATCACCGTCGTAAAGTACGCCGACGCAAACTACATGATTCACGCCGACGCCACTGCCGACTAGTCGCGATGCATGGCATCCACGAATCGGCAGGCGTGGATTTGAGGCTAAAGGGCCGACGACGAATGCTTCATTTGCGACAGCGCAGGCCTCGCATGGCCCGTTGTTCTCTCGACCTGAAGGGCCGTCGGGGAAGAGATCTAGGCTTCGGCCCGAGTCCGAGTGGGCATCGAGACGGGGTCGAAATACAGCTGGAGTACTTTGCACGCGACAACCTACGGAGAAGAGTACGACTGCCAGTACTAGCACCATTGGAAACTCCGGGTAGCCAGAATCAGCGTTCCAGGCGTTCGACTGCGCTCGGAGCAGCGACCAGATACAGGTGGATCCGGTGGGACCGGAGCGAATTGACCGGTCCGCACGTTCACAGCTCGTGGGAATGCGGTTCACGTCTGATTTTCCAGCCAAACAAAGCAGCCATGCCGCCGTTGGAGGGATTGGTATTATGTATGCTATGCTGTAGAAGATGATCTATACTTCCCGCCGGACGCCTTCTTTCTGCCGCATACCAGCGAAGTCGCCGGGGATGCGCCGAGAGATAAGGAATGTTCTTCGGGGCTTCGTGCTGACCGCGAGGCTCCGCAATATAGTCCTTAGTGTGTTTAGTACAGGTAGTTCCACTCTGGCGGTTTTTCGAGCGGTGGTGCTGGGTGTGCTGGGAGCCCTAAGCAGTCGCAGTACGAAGTAGTGAGTTGCGAGCACTCACCGGCCATCCCTACATTACCCGAGACGCGTATCGAACGGTAATCCACCGCCCGCCCGCCGCTGCTCGTCACAGTCTTTCCGGCCTGGCCGTCTTGCCACCGTCGGTTTCCCCATCGGCCCTCCAAACGATGGGTCCTCTTTTCTTCCGGAGATACTCCGCTTTGCGCCCAGCCAACCATCGTCCATCCCAGTTGAGGCCCAATTGCATGCGACCAAAAAAAGACAGGACATCGTGTGAGATGGGGTTTGGATATCCTCGAATCTCTCCATGTGGGGAGTGTCATCGTCTGAATCGAGGAACCTCTCAGGGCGACAACATCTCAAATCCGGTCGCTCGACACATTTGTTCGGGCCCCACAGCTCCACCCTGGGGCATGACAAGATAAGCCCGGGTGATAAGAGCGAATCCAACTGCTAATTAGCCATGGTCATGTTGATAGGCGCGCAGATCGACCGAGACAGGTCTGCATGGCACTGCCAGCTCCGCTGCGCCGCCGGTATAGCGTCGCCCTGGGCCTGCCCATGGACATCCTCTCTGGAGGTGGAGCAGCATGCAGTATTCGATCTTATCTGGACGCCTTCAGGGCATGATTCGTAGGTCGCTGGTCCTTGCCCTCCGTCGATGGGTCCTCTGGTCTTGTGCGTGGGGTGCGGTCGTGCAGCGATGTCATCTATCGCACACGGGATGTCCCCGGTTCATCCCGCCACGCAGATAAAACCCCCAGCTCAATCAGCAATCCATCAGCAATTGGATGGATAATATAGGAAGCCCCCCTGAATAATAATTGCCCGCGGTGGGCCGTGGCGTACTGCAGCATGTGAGTTGGCGTCGAGGGACGTACTTTTGTTGGTTGGTCTTACCCCCTGCTCAGTGGGGGGCAGGCCAGGGTGGTTGTCAGAGAAAGAGAGAGAAAGGAGGGGGTGAGGAGAGGGGGTCTGAATTTTTCAATCGCCTTCTGCGGTTATGGGTGAAATCGCTTTGCGCCAGCGAGGAGTGACAGGTCCATATGAGAGATGGATTCTCCTGCGTTGCGAGCGTGGAGGAATGAAATCGACACTGCGCATATGTACCTGCTGGTAACATCCGGGGCACCCGAATCCCTGGCCCGTTGCGCTCGACACTTGGTGGTTTTGACAGAGGCCAAGTGGTGAAGACTGCCAGACTTTCCAAGCCGCTGTCGAGGCTCGCTCGCGGATTTCCAGTGACTCTCGAATCCGGGGACTCAGAATCCAAACCGGCGGCAGTGATGGCTGGGACAGCGCTATATATGTCGCAACGGAGCGTGTGGTTATCACCCCACGGCGTTTCGATAAGGCGTGAACCTACTCTGCCCAACTGCAACGTTGAGCGATCCGACATGCACCGACTCGGGCCTGGTCAATGTCCAGATAAGTTTGCATATCTCAGATAACGCCCTGGGGGACGATCACGACAGACTCTGGCCAAAGAATAGGGTCGTTATCTCCTGACGTGTCTGACTTTTTAGGGGTGGTCCAGTGGAATGTGGTGATTCCACTGGATCCCTGCAGTGAGGCGTCAAGGACTCCCTTGTTAGCCATAGAGAATAGCCATAGAGAACCCAGGGCTCGTCTACACCGCCGCCTATCTCCAGGTTTCAACCCCAGGATTGGGCCTCCGACGGATTCCCCGGGTGATCCTCCATGGCGTAAATGCTCATTCCTCAACGGAACGGGTCTTATCTTCCCGATCCGATCCCGGCGTTTCATGGGTTAAATTCAGTTGGTAGGTTGTGCAGATATGGGGATTTCAGATAATCCATTTCGATGTGTCTTCACGAGAGTAGAGATATCAAGCCCTTTAGCCCGCCATTGGAAAAATTCTTTCGTATCTACCGACATGTCTGTCTCACGACACGCCATGGGATTCACCGGTTGCGGTAGCACTGGAGAGATGCGCATGGACGAGGGCAACGGTCCAATAACACCCGAACAAATGATGAAACTTCAGCCTGACGCCATCGACTTGGTCGGCGTTGAGCCTCTTGGGGCCTCTTGAATGGTCGTGGAGCCTCGATAAACAGCATCATCTTAATCTCCTCGGAGAAACACAAGCAGCTTCATAGAACGGGTGTCTCTCATAGGATCATTGACGGCCTCTATCATGCCGTCACATTCACACTCCGGAGACTGGCTGCCACTTGGGCCCCTTGCGGGATAAGCAAATGCCCAATCTACGTGTAATAGAGCTGATACTTGACAGGGATGCGATTCATTCTCGCCCACAGAGGCGATATCTCGAGGGGTCCGATTCCCATTGCTTAATTTGCACCTTGCTCAATGGTATTGTCCTGCTACTTGCCACTTCGGGGATGCTCTCGGATAGGCAGGTGACTGTAACTCAGTTGATTTCATTGACATCAGAACCCCGAAGATGGAACTCTCTCGCCCGACCAAGAAAAGGCACGGTGCAGCACGCGGTGCTACCAAGGCTGCCCGAGGGCTCAGACGGAATTGTACCGATGCCGGGAGCAGGGGCCAGATTGGCCAAAGCGATCATCACACCGCCGAAATTGCCCCAGAGCTATGGCTGCATTGAGTATTGATGAGCTATAGTCGTCATGGCATTAAACCTGCCCTCAAAAAAACAAGGGTAGTTCGCATTAGACAGGGCAAGTACCCCGACCGAGGACGAGGCATTTGAGTTCTAACGGGGTTGGACTGTTGGGAGTGTGGCAGTGTTGCTATCTGCAATTAACTTTCCGCTATTTTCAGGAGAACCCAACACGTCATCTGCCTGGATTCATCTGCCTGGATTGCTCTCGAACGCCCTCTTATCAGGCGTTGAGCTGTTAGCAACTGTTAGGTTGAAGAGACCATGACGTCGCATACCGATGAGGGCCGATACGTGGAAGTTAAATCGGTTAGTAGAGAGGGTATGTCGCCTTCAACTGGAATTATTATCATGCCAGGTAACTCTTGACATCGGGTGTGGTCATCAACACTGCGACAGGCGCATGGCGACGTCTGGTAGTCTCTTTTCCTGCAATTCCTGCAATTCCTGGTGTGAAATTTAAGGCTGGGCTGACCAGGACAATACACTACGACTATTGCCTAATAGTCCCCGTCGATCATAGCCAGTAACCTGCTAACACTTCGCAGCACCAACTATTGAGGTTACAAGGCTGAATGGAGCCGTCAAATGCATACTGCAGGGAGAGGACAGTCTTTTCCATCCAATGGTTCACGGTGTTTGACGGCGGTGCTCCAAATGCGACTACAATTTGAACTAGCGAAATGAGGTTCAATACACACTATATATCTGATCTCGTGATGTATGGTGGCAGCTCTCGAAATATACAAGAGGACCATCTACTGCTATGTCTATCGAGCTCAAGTTCTTTGACCTTTATGAAGTGTTACGTTGGATCTTTCCACAAGCATCCCATCATTGATCGAAAATTTGGTTATCATACCATGAGCGTCAAAATCAACGTCAGTCAGTGATGTAACTGATGCGACAAATCGCCCAACGTCGAATGACCCACATCCACGTGAGTTCGATAGGGCAAATATTCAAACCCTGGTGCTTTGGAAAGCGAAAGCCCACGGTGCCACACTAATCAGCATTAACAGCAAAAAATACAATAAAGTACTCATGATGAGTCACTGGATCGGAATATAGAAGAACAATGATAAGTGGTATCCAATGCATAACAACACTGTGAAGAATTAAGAGGCAATTTTGATTGTTCAATAAGCACATTTCACATTGCTGTCGTCGAGATCATGGGCTATATTGGCACCCACCTCGTCCTACGTGGCAGAATTTCTCGGATAATTGAGTCTCATATTTTTTGACATAGTGCAGGCAGGTAATTGAATCAAAGTCTTATCTTGCCCCGACAAATCCCCATGGCACGATGGTAGGAACTTCCGAAGCTTTTTGCATGTCAAACGAAACGCAAGTATCTATGTCCCCGCTTTCTGCTTTCCCGCCAGCTCCAGCGGATAGTAGCGAAATTGCCCATTATCCCTGAATTTTGAACCTTGAAAGTGACGAGACTCATACCCTGAGGAGACAAAGGGTCAAAGTTCAAATCCGGGATGTATTCTTATCTGAGACAATGACGGGATCGAAAACCCTACGCTTATTCCCCGTGATACAGATTCGATTGTTTCCCGAGTTTTTCTATCACCGAGTAGAGAACGAGATCAGCCAATATGTTCAAAATGTGGTCAATTCCGAGCTTAGCAAGGTTCCCTAGCAATGATTTGTGACGACCCTTCAGATGAATACCTAAGACCCTCGCAAGTAGGACGACGATAATTCGGGTCCGGATCTACTAATATTCCGGCGCGGCGGGAATATGGTTCCTCGGAGATATTTAGCCAATCAATTATTATCGTCCGATGTACTCTTTTTGTCTGGAAGTACTGCACACGGCCTTATCCTACATACTGTAGATTCCACTAATGGCAATTCAGGCGAGGTGCTTTTTACGAGGAATTCATATCTGACTTTGAGTATCGTATGATTGGATTTAATTGACCTCTTATCTTTCCGGCATGGCAGGTGATAGTGGCTGGTACTGTATGCATCACAAAAAGGGCGTGAGAATGAACAGAAGAAGAGAACAAGAAAAGAAAGGAAATCTATAGAGTGCCCGAAACAAACTTCTCCAATTGCCACGCGACACGATTCGTACCACATGTGCCTCGAATGCCACGTCCCAGATTGTCCAACCAATCCGACGTCAGACAATCTCAAAAGAAGACAAAGGTGAAGGAGGCAGAAGAGAAATGAACATGAAAAAAAGTCCTCCGGTGCAAAAAAAAAAAAAAAAAAAAAAGCCCGTTAGACAGATAAGTTGGGCCATGCCATGATATGAAACGGAAAATGCCACCCGAAGACCCTTGCGCCCGCTAATGACCAGCTGCGAAAGCAGACCCGCCACGGTGTATGAGGATGAGGCGAATAATGGAAAATGAAGATTGGAAAAGAAAATAATCATGAAAGAAGCAGGGGAAGAAATCCAATTGATATATCCCACGGGGTATTAGTAATGAAACAAGCCGTCTAGGAATGGTGTAACGTGACGAAGTCCGGACCCGAAGAGAAGAGAGGGGCTAAGTTCCGGAGAAATTGCCGGGAAAATGACCGTGGAGAGGAATTGAATGTTGAGAAAAGGGTATATATGAGGTCGAGGTGAAGGGGATTCCGCCCGAGGGCGTCATGTTAGGGTCCTGTTCGTCCAGGGGGATGTCCCATCGGGGGATTCGGGTATGGTTGTTGTTGAACCGGGTCGCCGCCGTACATGGGGTACGGTACCACATTCATGCCGGCCATAGCATTATTCACGGGCCATTGTGCATATCCCATGCCTGCTGGCGGCGGGTACGAGACCGAGCCCGGGCCGGCCTGCATGTCGGGGGTTGGTCCTGGGGAGGTCTGCGCGCCGGACATGGGTTGCGCGGGCGTTGTCATGCGGCGCTTGAGATCCGGCGGCATCTGCGGAGGGAATTGATTCGGGTAGGACGAGCTTATGTCGGCCTGGCCGGGGTAGCTCACAGTTCGGGATGGTTGTGGCGGGACTGGCCAGACTGAGCCGTCTGGTTGCATCGTATACGCCTGTCCGGTATTCATGGGCTGTGCCTGGGCAGACATGGGCGAATTGGGCAGAGCCGCAGGCATAGCATTGGGGTTCCAGACGCCCGGAGCGAGATTCATCATCTGGCTCTTGTTGGCCGTCATCGTGGCTAACATTTGCGGATCGGATATTGTCGTGAACTCGTCCCAGGGGACCCCGGTCTCCATTGTCGGATGGCCCGTGAATTCACCGGTGGCCATCGGGCGATCTGTATCTCGATTGTTAGGGGCTGTTTCGAGGTCTCTCGCGTCCAGACGCTGGGGCGTTTGCGACACCGCGCTCCACCATGGACCATGGACCTACCAGGTGTGAAGCCCGACATGGGGGTGGCCGGAAAGGCACCAGGGAAGGTTGACATATCCTGCCCTGACGACGCACTCAATGGCATTGGCGAGTATGGATAGTAGGCATCGACCGCATCCATCTTCAAATTGGTGGGCGAGGAAGAAATGGGTGTCGTCACCGATCGATCCGTGGACTGCGTCTCAAGTCTCGAGCTGGGACGAGACTTCTTCTCGACTGGCGGTTGTTGATCGACAGGAAAGAACTGGCACTCCTTGCGTAACCGTATACAATTCTCACATCGTCCCTGTGTATCGTCCGCCGCGACCAGACATCGGATCTTGCGTCGCCGGCAATGCACTGCGACAGGAATGAGCCGGACCGTCCACGAAATGGAGTGCTGTGCGCGGAGGATGTGCGCGCAATGCGCCGAAGCACACGAGCCCTGATAGACAGGCTCAGGAGGGAAGGAGAGGGAGGAGAGGAAGACTGACCACATGCGACAGATGTCCGATGGTACCCTAGCTTGTTGCGTTTCTTGTCGTTGGCGTCCAAGGCGCCTGAAGTCGGTGTTGATGCCATCACCTCGACAGCCGCGGGCATCGCTCCCACACGCGTTTTGTTTACCACCACACCAGCACGATGCGCATCAATAGCGCAAGCGCGAAGCAGTTGAGAGATCCGGCGACAGTGTAGTCAAGCGGTGGGCCATCCAGCGGAGCAGAAGTATCGAAGTACTACGTCGTGTACGGCGTAATATTCCCCCAACGTCTGGCGTCAGATCCACCACGCCACGGCGTACGGTAATCGGTTGGCGCGTTTCAGGCTGCGTGTTGAAAAAAAGGTGGGCGAGTCGAGGAAGAGGGGGAGGAGGGGGGGGAGGGGGTGGCTCCGCCGAGGGTGTTTCGTGGTGGTCGACGAGCGCAGGCACGCAACTGTAACGCGATGGAGGGTCGAGGATAGATTGGCAGGCGACTCCCGGCAGCCCGTAATTGCGAATTGATCAATGATAATTATAGTAATTAGAGTGCTTCATGAAAGGGGTGGTGATGTGGTGCGTTGACGGTCTAGATGTTGAGGGTTTGCACGGTTTCAAAGTGACCACCCAAACGAGATTAGTAAGGTTGAGGCGAGTTTAAAAAAAAGGGAAAAAGGTAAAAAAAAAAAAAAAAAAAAGGAAAGGAAAAAGAATCAATCAAGAGCCAAAGGAGTGAACGAAGTGGATGTGGAGGGGAGAGAATCCAGGGAAGAGAAAAGCAGATCGAGGAGGTCCTATAGACTCAGAGGACCAGCAAGCTAATCGCGGGGTGAAACGCCCCAAGGGCTGGTTTTGTTGTTGCTGAATTGCGCCAAAAGGGAAAAGGGAAATTGAGGGAAAAAAAAAAATGAAAAAGAAAAAAAGAAAATTAATTTCACAGTATATCCCACCAGACGTGGAACACAGTGGCTCTGCATCAGGCCGGCACTAGGACCAAGAGGGATGTATCGACTTAGCCCAACTCAACTGCAGGTCATGGAGCATCGATGATCTCAGGGGCCGGGGAGAACTTCCTCATTGCTCTACCTGATTGACGAGCGATTCGACTGTCAGATATGAGAAATTTGAATTTTTTGAATTTCTTTTTTTATTTTTCCATATTTTCCCCCTTTCCCATCGCCCTCTTTTTCCCGATGAAAGCTGCACAATTGTTCTTTTTTTAACGGTACGTCCCATGGCCCGATGGGGTAAACCCCAAGAGCCCCTGATTGCGTACGATAGACCCCCCCTCCCAGGGCCGGTTCATGGCAAATGAGGCGACGAGGAACCATGGTCTGGGAGCCCTGACACAGTGGGGTGGGTGGGTGCGCGCAGGAGAATGGCGGATGGGCAGTGATGCACCTGTCAATCCTTGATGAACTGGGGAATTCGTCCACCACCGGCTGATTGGCGAGAACTGCTTGGGTCGGCTGCTGGAACCAATGAGCTTGATGTTCCTAGGCCCCGCGTAAAGAACCTTCTGAGTCTGGTCATTCCGGAGGTGATCATTGTACAGTGCGCTACTAGTCCTAGTTCTGAACCAACTCGTCAAGGTGAACCTTGATGGCTTCAGCATGCAAGTCCTCCAGTCAACATACAGTCACACATGAACAATTCCCATCCATGACAGTCCCCACTGTCTACTGTCGAAAATCGGAGTCCGCCGCGGAGTGGAACGAACCACCGATGCGCTGCTAAAAACAGATTCAGGGTCCACGGCTGACGTTGTATCGACAGCCTACCGAGCCCAGCAGCAATGGATCGGATTGTTTAATTTCTTTTGTTTAGTAAAAAAAAAAGCAAAATAAAATAAACCAAAATAAAAAGCAAAATATGACTTGTACGGTTTAGTCGCCCCCCCTTTTTTCTACGGGGTTTCTTTTCTTTTTCGAAATCTTGGCCGAGCAGGTCCGGGGCGTAGCTTAATCGTGTTAGCGGGTGTCGATGACATCGTGTCCGTTGGAGCCCAAACTTCCTCGTGGAAGCGCGACGTTTATTTTGCGCCCGTTGCGACCTGCGTGACACTGCCCTCTCCAACTCTCCCCATCACCACGGCATTTCACTGGCCCAGACTACCCGCACAGGGTACGCGGAGGGTCCCTCCGCGTACCTTGGATGGGCGCCTCCCACCGGTCAATCAGGACAATCTTAATATCGTGGGACGTCGCGACCATGTGCGCGCCGTCAGCCATGCCTCCAAGTGGACACATCGCACATGGCAACTGCACCGATTGCGCAGCAAGACTGCCTTTGCATCGTGGAGGAATCCGAACTTGCCAAACCTTGCATATGAGGCTACGCCCAAGAAGGAGATCGGTCCGACAGGCTGAAGGCATTGGCCGCATTGTACCCTACTGAGTAACTGTACAGAGGTACAGTGCGTCCAGTAGTTACCTTCACAGTGCGCAACAGAAGCGATCGATTCTGTAACACGGATCCACCGTAGTGGGGCCGCGGTCAAGGTTTAATTAAGGATCGTCGCGACGTGGTAGTGCGTTACAGAATGGCCCTTGGCACCCGTCGGAGCGAGGGAAGAGCCACGATCGCCGTTCGTTGTCGTTCTTCGAAGCCTCAAGCGAGCTTCCATCGGCGACGCGAGGGAGAAAGGAAGTTTCTACGAACCGATGCTCCGTTGGCACCAAAGGTCCCCGAGAAGCGACTAGCGATCGATCTGCGATGGAGCCTCCATAGCGGCCACGAGCCTGAGCTTGTTAGCAGCAATCGATCCGCCAGTTGCAAAGCAATGAGCGCGCAAGAAAAAGGGGGTGGACATCCCCCCCCCCTCCTCCTCCTCCCCTCCCCAAAGAGCAAGGCTTGGCCGCGAAAGGTAGCTGCGCGAGGAACACAGCCTTTTTGGCGTTGCGATCTTCACGCTCCTCCCACTCCTCCGTATACGAGGCGACCGGGCCAATCACCGGGAATAGGCATCGTCGCAAGGGGGTTTGATTGCGTCTGCGTGTATTCCCACCTGCTGGAGTCGTGCTGCTGGGCCAATTCATCCTCGCGACCCTCCTTGGGAAGAGGGCAGAGCCCCGCCGAGGCCACGCGCTGAGCGATCGACAACTGGTCGAGCCTGGCGAAACGCCAGAGGTCGGGCGGTGATTGGCAAAGCACCGCGCAGGCAGAGAGGGGCATGTCCCAAGAGGTCGGGGTGCGTTTGCTGGAGATCGATTTTCTCCGACATGTGCGGACAAAAGGTCCTCGGTTGAAACAGGCGATCGATGAAAACTAGGGTCCATTGCTGAGTCAGATCTGGAGACATCTGAGACACGCACGCTACTCTACAACAACAGCATCCTACAGCGGATAGTACCATGGACTATCAACAACGATAGACTACGGTTTTCTGCGGATCCTACTTGAGTATAATCTGTCAGATTCCGAAACACGATACCTAGACCGGGCTTCTCACCGGCGCATGCGAGTAATTATGGACTCCAACGCCGCGACGGACGATCCTGCTCTAGCCTCCAATTGTCGCAACTGTTGACGTCGGGGCCCTTTCGCTAACCTCTTTCCGGATTAGCTGCCAGCCTGGCTAGCTGCCAAACTGCAACTGCCGAGCGCGGGATTTCTGCGAGCCCTCGTCGCCATCTTATATCATCTGGGATCCTTCGGAGCTGGTGCTGTTTTGAGATCGTGCCAGCGGCGCACCAGCTGAACAATGCACAATGCACCAGATGATATTCCATCCACTACTCCTGTCATCCCTCTCTGGCCTCCGTCCCCTCTCATCTGGATCGGAGAGGCTAGGCGGTGCGTCATGCCCAGCGTGCACGCTTTTTCGGATGTGCGTCAGATGCCCTAGGCTGCGATGCGGTTGCGGATGCCTACCCAGCGTTCGTTCATCTGCCCCTATTCGAGTCCATACGAATCGCCGGTGGGGATTCGGAATGGCTCCAGCTCTCACGGTCTCTCGCGCTCTGTGTCTCTATGAGGGTGTTGATTCCGACCATTCCGACATTCCGATACCAGTCGCAGGTGCTCCTACTAGTAGTATCGTATGCGCGGAGAGCATCCGATTGTAGTTCTACCATACCCTCGAGTATACAGTGTATCAACTCAGTAGATGGCTGCGTATACTCCGATCTATACGGCTTATCCGATCGCAGTGGAACCCGAATGCAGGGACCTCACTGGTGTTTGGGCGGTGGGTCCAACGGGCCCGCCGCGGTTTCACCATCTCGGGCCCTTGTCCTTATTCGGCCGCGTGTGTAAACCTGCAACTGGCACTTACGCGTCCCCCAGGAAGAAAATTTTTCCTCTGGGTCTGCACTGCCCTACGCGTGGATCCCCTCGTGCTCCAGATACTTTTTTTCCTCGCTTGTCTGATTTGCCCGGCCTCCCCCTGTGCATTCTGGAACTTCCATTAACTGAGCCTTCCTATCTGGGTCTCGCACGTCCAAACCCACAAACCCATCTGGCTGGAGTCGTCGACTAATTCTACTACTGTGAGTGCGGTGCCTCGACGGGCCTCAGCAGATAATTCCTCGATTTGGGCACCGGCTGAACCGGCTAAACTGGGCACTTCAAATAGGGGCCCGGCGAAAAGCCGAGATGTTCCCCACGAAACAAACACTCGAGGTGCCGAGCTGGAGATGGACCTGCCACCCTGTCCTGCCATTGGAGAATAGCAAAAGGCTACATGTACATCCTGGCCCAGCTCCATGGCCACCATATCAAGAACCTTCGGCACTCCTCCGTTTTGCCACCAGCTGCGGCCTTTTTGTTCTGCGGAGATGTGGAAGGGATCGACGTGAGGAGGGGAAGGGGGCCGCCGAGGATGATGTACAAGGTATGTACAGTAAGTATTGGCTCAACAGAGACAAAGGAGGTAGCAGGATGGAATGATCGCTGGTCCTCCGCTCTCTCACTCGCCCACTCGCACCACCACCTGGACGTCCACAGCCCTCGCCTCGCGCACACAACATGCGATGCAAGTCCGCCCCGCTCGCCCGATGAGGGCGTGGCGGCCGACTGCGGCGCACCACGCTCGCACGAAGGTTTCCCGGACTCGGTCCCCGCGCGCGTCGATGACGAGCACCGCCGGGTCTGGGTCGCCGGCGCGCCCTGGTGTTGGCGGTCCAGTGTGCTGGGAAAGAGTCTCCAATCCCACGCGCTCGTAGGGGAAAGACCGGTGTAAGGGATGTCCTGCGAGACGTGTACCCTTACCACACCCACGGACCGAGGAGGTTGTCTTACGATGCTCAGCAGCGGAGGGCGTCTCGGCTTCTCCGGGGTGGTGCAATGTGCTTCCCCGGGGTGGACAGCATGCATGGGCTGATATAAACCGCACATTATGCTTGAGTGGGAAGGTCACCACCCTCGACGACTGTGTGTCTGCACCGCCACCGCCATGCAGGGAGAAAGAAAGTGATGTCTCGTCGCTGGTTGTGATAGCTCGCGAGTTCGACGTGCTGATGGACAGCGTCAGTGCGCCCAAACTCACAACAGGTGTGGCCGTCGACTGGTCAATTGGCAACGTAAAGGCATCAGCGGTGATGTCTCCTATCCCCAACGGCGTCGACTCAGCCTCTAGCTTGCATCCTTGCTTGATTCTCGGTTTGCCCGATCGTTCCAACGGGGCCTCCGTCAACACTTCAAACCATCCGGGCCCAAGCACCTCCAACTTAGTCGCATCGCGGGGGAGCACGTCGCTGCCGACCCATCCCATACAAGTCTGGGCGCCGTTGAGACTAGATAAGACGCGCCCAACAATGCACGCTTTGCTCCACCAACTGCGTCCGGCATATGCAAAGCCGCCGTAGAGATTAGCTGTTGGGCCGAGGTGCTGTACTGCGGCCGCATCGTTCTCTAGCAACGTCCCGATGAGTAGGTGACAAATGGGTTCGCCCGGAATCACGAATCCAGACAGCCAGCTTCGCGAGATCCAGCCCAGTGGCTCGTCTGCATGCGGATCGTGGTCATCGGCACAGCGACTGTGGAGCCGGACGCACCGGCGTGATGCGCTGCGGCTGTACATGTTCTCCTTGGCCAGTGACCGCGCCGCGGGCTGGCTGGCTGTAGTTTCCTGTTGACTAGGCCTGATCCCGGGTTGCGGGGAGAAAATGTCTTTGTTGTCCCTTAGCTTCTGGTCAAAGGTCATCCTTAGGGCGTCGATATTGGGCCATCCGATATTTTCGGCGAAATTGTAGAGTCCTTCGAGTTGTTGTCGCGTGTGAGGAGAATTGATGCGGCATAGCCAGGCAGAGTGAAGTTCAGTTTCAGCATTGGATGAGATGCGGCGACCGAGTGACTCGAATAGTGTGAAACGACGTGGTTTGGCAGCTGTCGCTGCCTTCTCGCTGGCCTGTGTATCGACTGGCGTCCCATTGGATGTTGATGTTGGTGGACAAGTAATCTCAAGATTGTCAAGGAAGCGACGTACAACCACAAGATCCCAATTGACCTTGCCTTCTCGCAGCTTGTCAAAATGATAGAGCTCTTGTACCGTCATCTGACCACCATGGGGATCATGTAACATATCGATGCGAACGAATGCATCCAAACGAATCAACAGCTCTGCTGCAAGAAGTAGTTGAACCAGCAACCATTTTCGCTCCATGCCCGAGTTCACCCATGGTTCTTTTCGTGTCCCACCATTGCAAACACCCTCATCGATGTAGTCTCCGTCTCCATGCGGCGGCACTTCCCACAGTAACTGTCCAGCTCGAAATCGCCATTCAGGCAAACTGAAATCGACCCATGCCCCGGGAGTGGCTAGCACAGTGACCAGCGTTTTGATCTGAGACTTGATACTTTGTGGGTGTCCGGGCAGTACGTCTGCGGGGGGTGGACGCGGATAAAGGAAATGCGAATGCAGCATATTGTACTGTTCATGGGGGGTTTCGTAGTCCAAAATCGTCATGGTCGATCCATCGCGTAGAACACCTTGGCGGATCTGTCGTAGATGATCGAGACGTTTCATCAGAACTCGCAGATTGATATCACGTACACCAATGCGTTTCCAAACGGAAGGGCCATCTCGGAGCAATTGGTGTCGGTCATATACGGCCCCGCTGAGACATTGCGAATAGGGCTTGTTGTAGTTCTCCATCAGATCGAATGCCTCTGTCGCCGGTAGTGAAGACACACACAGAAGGTTTGGTGCTTGTCGAGGCTCACCTGGACCGGAAAATCGAACCGCATCGGCCAGGGGTAGCTCTAAAAAGTGTCGGAAGCCCACTGTTCCTGGCTCTCTCCCATTATTGGCGAGCATGTTGGGCACTTCGAAGATCCCGACATCAAATGTAGCTCTTCTGGAGGCATCCCTTCGACCCCAATCTTCTATCGGGGTTGGCACCCCACCTCTCACGGCCCAGTCATCGGGCACGGGTAGGTGGGCATGAAGCGTGCACAGCGTGAAAGCCGGATGAGGAAGCGGTTTGCGGTCTAGCATGCGCTGAATGGACGGGTTGTGCTCATCCCAAGGAAAGATGACTTGCGGATACCAGCGTTTATGCTTGCCTCGCTCCAGGAGAAAATGAGGTGCTCCGGAAAAGAGGGCTTTGATCTCGTCCTTGGTCATAATTGATCCATTTGATGTACTCGGATCTGCATCATCTTTGGGCCTGCAGGCCTTATCAAGCCTGTACTCAAGATGATCTTGGATGTTTCCCGGTTGCTTGGGCTCATTGTGAGCCGCGGCGGCAGTAGCCGGTTTAGGGGGCCCTGGGATGCTAGGGGTCGAATCTCCGGAGCTCTGGGAAGATTCATCTCTGTTTCTTCGCCTGGGAGACCGATCAGTCTCAATACAAAGTGGAATGGCTGAAGTCTGCTTCTGTCTTAGCTTCTGCGACCGCTACTCGGTCCACGTCCTCATGTCGGCTTACCGGCTTTCTCTCGTGTTTGGGCGTATCTGCCGACAGCGAGCTATCACTGCTTCGGCGGAATAACCCATGAAAGAACCCTTCGCTTGGCCCACTGCCATGCGAGCCCAAGGATGGATGACGTGGGACCTGCTGGCGGGTCGAGCTGTTGTCCTGGTCGGCCAGCGACTGAGAGCGACGACGGCGCCCAAAGAAAGACATTACTAAGAGGAAGTCGCGAGAATCATATCAGCGACACTTGAGAATGCACATATGTATGCGAATAGGTATGTATGCGACAGAAATGCGATTCAAGTCGGGAACGTGTAGAAGTACAGTTGGATCCACCTGATGCTCGGCTCGCGGCGGAACTGAGAACGGCAGATGCGTCCGAGTTTGCGCCGACGGGCCGTTCTACCCTAAACGGTAGTACGTTGATCCTGCACAGTCCTAAATAGATACCGCCCTGTGTTGTCCTACTAGTAGTGTACATGAGGTATTATTGTACACTAGTACCTTGGTAGTTCGTGGTGGCAAAGAAAACGAGATAGTGAGTCTACATGGCCAGCAACTAAGGGAATTGATACAGCCACGCCCCTTCTGCCTCGAACACACACGCCCTCCCTGGCTGGTATCTGCTAGTTCTTCGGCTTGGGTGTGCTGGCTATGCGAGTCGAAGAATGAACTTGCTGCTCTATAGGAGAGAATTATTCTAGCCCGATACCATTCATTTTGCATGGCGTATCACACCCTACAATAATTATTCAGACAGCTGATCACGTAGGTGATTGGGTAGATGACTAGGTAGCTGACTGAGTAATGGACCTGGAGGTTATGAAGACCAAAGTCGGGCCGGGGGGGGGAGGTGTATTCGGCGTCGAAATTGCCTAGCACCATATTCGATCAAGGTTCTAGTTCTGTACTATCTGAGCGACGCCATGACGGGGGTGTGGAAGCATCAATCTCCGCAACTAATCACAGGGGACGGTGACTGCATGCTACGTGCATCTTATCGCATTCAGTTCGCTCAGGAATTGCAGATAGTTGATTCGTTGATTTTGCAAAGAATATCTAGGGCTTGCCTAACGCATTTTATGAAATGTTCATCACACGGGCCTTACGCGTGCTAGTGGATGGAATTGACGTGCTGGTGGAAGAAATCGAGCACAGTCTTGTAGCCGCGTTCATACTCCTTGACCACCTCGGGGTCCTCCAGGTTCGAGCGGGCCGCCATCCAGCCGTGGATCTGCGTGGGGAAGGTCTCAACGTGGCTGGGGACTTGCAGGTTGGCCTTGAAGGCGTCGACGTCGGCCGCGGGCTCATCCTTGGAGGCCAGGCAGACGAACGGCACGTTGATGCTCTTGGCGTCGTTGGGGTCGACCATGGCGGGGTGGCACTGCGCAGCGGCCTTGAACAGCTTGTTATCATTGCCGGCGGAGATGGCAGCAATCTTTCCACCCCAGCAGAAGCCCAGAATCGACCAGGACTGGAAGCTGCCGGCCGCGGCGTACTTGTTGCCCTCCTCAATGACCTTGGGGATCTTGGAAAGGGTCTTGGGTGGGGCGGCCTGGGTCGAGAAGAAGTTGCCGAGCTTCTTCTTGTGCTCATCGGTGGTCGGGGGGTACCACGAGATATCGGCGGGGTTACCCTCGAAGAAGTCGGGCATGAAGACGCGGTACTTCTGCTCGTCGGAGGTGGCCAGAATGTCGGCGCCCTGGATGGTTTGGTCAAAGAAGCCGAAGATATCTAGAACACGGTTAGGATTGGCTCCTGTCGCGCCCAGATCGGATCGTATCATTCCACTGCGAGGTATTTACGCACCATAGACGACCAGAATGGCCTTAGTGGCCGTCTCGGGACCGGTCACATCTGTTGGCGGGGTCAGTCTTCACGATGCATGTTCGGGTGATAAGGTCGATCCACGTACAAGTCTTCATGCCATTGATGGTCTGGTAGCTTCCCTTGGCTTGGTAGCCCTTGGAAACGACGGGTGGGATCCTATACAATGTACAAGTTAGTCATGGCTCACCAATCGTCGAGGGACAGACGCACGAGCAGCAGGCTTTGCTGATTCCGGACATGATTTGCGGAGATGTGAGTGAGGTGATAACTGCAGAGACTGGTCAGGACTGTGTCTGGAGCTGGAAGATCAAGCACTGACAAGTGTGAGAGGTCAAAAGTGGAATTGGCGAGGGTGAGAAGAGGTCAGAGTCGAAGCGATGAGCTCAGGATGTCAAATTCAGTGCGAGGTGAGTTGAACCCCGCGGTCGTGACGTCATCGGAACAACACGGGTATGCGCTGAGCATGATGCGACCTGGTGCGACGCGGGTATTTTCAGATGTCCGTCCAAGCTGAAATTCATGAAAATGAATTCTATCTAGTTTTCCAGGTTCTATTATCTCCCGAGAGCAAGCGTTCGCCAAAAATATATACATATCTATATATTTTAATGGACCCGGTCGCCGCTTCGATGTATTTCGGATATATATTACAGCTATCACAGCCGAACTGTAGGGTACTGGGAGTCCTCTAGGCGCGAGAACCAGTTGACACTACTGCACTACAATGCATGGCCTCGAGAACTCGAGGGGAATCAGACTGCAGAACAAATTGAACGGGTGTGACGTTCCAAGGTTACACAGTACAATATCAACTGCAAATGTTCCACGATTCGGAGTGCCACTGCCCCTCGGGATATTGTTTTATGCGATGCTCCCATCAGGTCCGGTGATCTGCATATAGCCGACTCTGATTCCAAGGTTGAGCTGCACCATTTACCACATTAGATGCGAACATAAATGACAACAAGCAAAAACTTGTGAAGGGCTAACTCGCGACAGGTTTTTTGCCTCGTGGCCTTAACCAAACCTACCTGGTAATATATACTGTGAAAGTGATTGTGAAGGGTCCGACTACAACGGCAGAATCCTGGGACCGCTCGCCGTGAAGGGACGCCGACTTCGCCGTAGCTTCCATCCTCCCTGTTCGTGCTTTATATGCTCTGCATGCTATTCCTCGCCACATTGATGTGGACCAGTTCGACTGGTCACTTGCTCCACTGCGATCCAGCTTCCTCCGTTTGGAGTGGAGTCCCACAATAACAAAAATAAATATGAACCGGAAGCCACAGGACTTCGACCTGGAGGCCGTCTGCGGCTCCACGGGTGTCGGACAGCACCAGGCACTGTCTCATCGCCAGGGCTTGGGCTCTGACCAGCCATGACCAACTTTAAATCGACGAGACCCGCCCGCCAGGCCCTCATGGACGCCGCAGATCTCCCGCACAACAGTGCAAGGCGTCGCGGCTGGCGTTGACGCCCGCAGCCACCCACCGGCATGAACCGACGTGGACGACGATCGCATGGCTCGAGCCCAGCAAGTGGCAGATTCGACCGAACGGCGAGGTGGATCCACTCACGCTGTCACATTTGGACCGTCGGAGCCGCCTTGCAGGCGACTGGAGCTCGACAGCAAATCGGTGTCGAACCGTCCAGGGTGAACGGAGCCGGCAGCAGACGATCGATCAGGGGAGGCGTTTGCAGTGATCGACGGGCGATCGTGGCTACGGGAGTGGAGGAGAGAGGCAGTCCATGCATGGGGGTTGCTTATTGGATTTTCGCCGGTTGATTTTGAAGAGGGATGGGCTCTGTTCCCTCGTCCATTGCTCATTTATTTTTATTTTGGTTTATTTGTTTGTAATTAGGGGAGAAAAAGGGGGGGGGGGGGAAGGCAGATGGTCACGTCCCCTCGAACTGACGCTCGCCGGTGCATGCACTATCCGACTCTGGCCTTCCCTCCGGAAGGCGGGTTCCTCCCTTCGCAGCGTGTTGGACCGAGCAGAACAAAGAATGCCGGGGGCCAGCGACTGGACCATGCCCAAGGATGTGACCGGAGCGGCCTCCGCGACTCCTTGACTCGTTGACGGGTCCCTCCTCCCCCTTTCTCTCTGGCGATGGCACGATGCCGGCCAATCAGGCCAGGGAGCTCGTTGATGGGGAAAGGTGCAGATTGCACGTCGGACTAGCCAAGACCAATAAACAATGCGGACCCGATCGTGATCCAGTCGCGATGCATGCGGGTCGTGGAAGCGAGCCCTACGGACGGACCAGGACGCCGACACTAGGGATGCGCGGCATGCACTAGACAGAACAAGAAACTCGACCATTGCCAAAAAAAGTGGGTAAAAAAAAAGTAAAAAGGGCCAGAACGAGGCGACAGATCAGCTCGTCTGTGTTGCCTTCTTCCGGGGGGGAGGCGCGACGTGTCCATCTGGCTGGAAGGTGCAGGATCAAGAGATGAGTGATGCGTAGAGTAGATTGCCTACCATATCTACTGGTCGAGTTGACTAGCAGTCCGGTATGGATGCGATTGGGAGGGAAAGAGCGATCAATTGGACGATAAGCGGTGGACCCATGGGTGCTTATGTTTTATGTTTTTATTTTTCCTTTCTCCCCAGTTCAAGTGTGTCTGATTCATGCAGACGGAGAGGCTGTCGCATTCACGCCACCCGAGGGCATGTCCCGGGAACTTGGGCGCGGGTGGCGATTGGCTTTGGCCGGCCGAGACACCTACCAAACCAGCTCGCAGAACCAGGGAGGAGAACCAGGCATACTACCAGAGTTGCCATCGGGATGATTACTTTCGTCCGTATGTGCCTAGGTATACCAAGGCATTATGGGGGATCTGGGAGGATTGGGACTGAGAATGGCCACTCGACAAAATCAGACCCATGGCCGGTGAGCAGCGAGGCCCAATCAGTCGCCGGCGCGGTGGGGGCCGAGAGGGTTTGCAGATGACCCTCGCGCGCTTTCGCAGTTTTTCACAGTTTTTCACGAGCAATGCGGCTAAGCTCGATCCAGTCGGGCTGGCGAATCAGCAGGGTGCGTGCTCGCTTGGGTCTGCCAGAAGTGCGGCGCTGCGGAGGAGACTGTGCCAGTCCGCGGCTCGTATTTGCCCATTCCGAGTCCGTGCGAGGCTATCACCTGCTCAGTCCTCTTTCCTGGTACCTCAGGGTCTTCGAGACTCTCTACGTACCTACCCTAAGGGACAGGACACTAGGCACAATGGGAGAATTCTTGTTGCGGACACTACTGCGAGGCAAACGGGGATGTCTTTTCGTTTCTTGCGCTCCCTAACCCTAAGTTCACGAGGTAATGATTCCTACTTAGTATATACCCTACCCTGGTGCGGTGTCCCTAAAGTATTTGTACCCGAATCCCCTAATCCCTAGATAATACTCGATAACTCTTTTCTCCCGGGTGGACCGCTGTCAACCACGCGCAGATTTCCCCACGCTGGCCAGACTCCCGTCGACCGTGGGCCATTCCGAGATTGAGCGCGATTCTATTTACATCCCAGAGGATCTTCTGGGCTAGCCTCCCCCGACGGCATCCCCTTTATAAACTGCTTTCCCCCGCGCTTCTGCGCCTCTCCAGCGCCACGGCTTTCCTCCCCACCGCTCCATCCTGGACTGCCTTGTCTCGACTCTCCTCCACTTTCCTCCCCCCCCGATCATGCCCTTGTCGCGCCGCCGCCCGTGATTATTCCTTTCGCCGCCAGCGCGACTGCTAAATTTTCTTCTACTTTTCTCACGACCTGAGTTTGCTGCGGCCCTCCCAACTCCAACTCCAATCCCACCCCCCACTCACCCCATCGCACCCCCTCCCGTAAAAAAAAATAACAAGACGAACGATCGCAAAACTCCGAAACCCCCGACGCCAACCCCGAATCTCACATTTCCGATCGTCGGGTCGTCGACTGCTGCACCCCCCGATCGCGACCCTCAGCGATCGACACTCGCCCCTCCTGGATCCTTCGAGCCCTTCCGGGGCCCTGCCAGAAGGTCGAGATTGGTCTTTGCATTCCGGGCAGCCGTCGTACGGACCGTTACCTCCCAACTTGTCCACTGCCATCCCCGACGACCTGTTCGCCGGTGCGCGAGACCCGTCCACGCTGGCGACTCTCGCCGTCAACCCGACGCCCGGCATGGGCTCGGCCTTGGAACTGTCGCAGTCGTTAAACTCGCGGCGGCCGGCGGCGCCCTCGCTGCCGAGCTTCGAGCTGCCCCCGCCACCGTTTGGGCTGGCGGGCGCCCACAGCGGCCCCAAGTGGCCCCAGAATCCCGGGGGTCCCCTTCCAACCTCGCAACCCCCCGCCAGTGTGAGTGTGGGCAACCTGCTGACACCCCCGGCCACCAACCAGTCCGGCGAGACCGCCACCTCCCATCCGCTGGCGCCCTCCTCTGGTGTTTCTGCAGACCTGCCGCCGGCATACTGGCCAGGAACATCGACTTACGGGAGCGGAGGAGGAGCTACGGCGCAGTGGGCGTCCGGCGTCACTCCGGGCTACACGCGCTCGTCCTTCTCTCCGTCCGGGATGGTGGGTCGTCCGGCCGCCGTGACAGCTCCCTCCTCGACCGATGGCCTGTCACAGCCATTCGAGGCGCCCTCGTTGACATTCCCACAGGCTTTGCCCGCTCCGCCCGCCACAATTCCATCGACAGCACCGCAGATGGCTCTCTATCACTCCGGACACGGCAACTCTCCGGCGCCGTTGCCGTCGAACGACCCATATACTCCAAAAGGCCACCTCTACGGCACCTCGCCACATATGCCCAGTCCGCATCAGGCGGGCTTTTCCCCCATGTATGGCGGGCCACACGCCATGAGTCCTGCGGGGCTCGGCATCCATCCGCAGGCACGCATGCCCGCGCAAAGTCCTGGCGGACAACCGCCGCTGGCCTTCCCACGGCAACCATGGCCTTCTTACTCCTTGCCGGCGATGAACGGTCCCGTCATGACGAATGTACATAGCCCCAACAGCCCCATGTCCATGATGGGCGGCATGCAGTCGGGCCTGCTTCCCGGCTTCAACAGCGGGCATGTCGCCAGCACCCAACATCTCTACAGCGCCCACCCGCCACCCCACGGCATGCCGGCACCAGCGGCGGACCGGCCGTTCAAGTGTGATCAATGCCCGCAGAGTTTCAACCGAAATCACGATCTGAAGCGGCACAAGCGGATCCACCTGGCTGTCAAGCCATTCCCGTGCAACCATTGTGATAAGAGCTTCTCCCGCAAGGATGCATTGAAGGTGAGCCATACTCCGGTGTATAGTGTCCTGTTGTTTAATGAACTAACTCTGATTCCCTGCAGCGACACATTCTCGTCAAGGGTTGTGGCAAGGATGGCGACTCGGATTCGACGAACCAGACGGGCGACGTCAAGGGCGAAGGGCGTAGCGAAGACGGCAGCCCCGTCCTCAACGGGCGGGTCTAGCCCCGGCCCACTACAATTTTATGCATCCCCTGTGGCATCTCCGTATCCGCGCCTCGACGACACCATCCCCGTTCTCCTGTATGTATTTCTCCCGGGGGAGGCGAGGACGACGGAGCGGGATCCGCAGCGGCCTGGGAGTCGGTGGATTTGATTTTTGGATGTGCCTTTTGATTTTTTTTGTGTTTCTGGCGACGGTGCACTGGGGCATCTTGGGACGGTCTGTGTATTTTGATCTTTGTGTTTTCCAGCCTGACGTGTGACGTGTGTACTCTGATTGAACCGAGCGAGCACGGGATGGGATTCGGTGTTGATGGTAAATAGCAACTGCATCTGATAATTGTTAGGATTACATGACTTGTTCTACTTTCCACAGTCTGTTCCAGCAAAAAGAGTATGGAAGTATTCTTCTAGAATCAGTGGACTCCTAACCTTTACTTCTCTGCAGTACTACTTGCTCTTTATTACTCTTTACTATTACTCACTACTGGTAGTATTTAAGTCTACACGTACCGAGACTCAAGACCGGGCGTGGTGGAGACATCCAAACCCTGTTCTTTGATGTCGCAAAGGCTGTTTCCGCCCCTCTTGGGCATCCTCCGCCATCCTCACAGCCCCTTTCCCTGTCGCACTCCTTTGTCAGCGGAGGATCTTCTCAAAGAAATCGCAAGACACAATCGTCCCCATCCCTGCGCAGCCTGATTCCTCGATTGGCTCCAGGCCCATCGATCGATCTGCCCAGCAGCCACGCTCCGTCTTTGGAGGCTCTATCTCATCTCAAGAGTCCACGGATGGGCTGCTAGTTGCCCTGCGCACCAGTAACATGGCGAACTGGGCCGCCCTCCACTGCTGATGGCGCTCTGTGGCGTCGTCGTGCAAGCTGAGGCGACCCAGACTTCGCGCAGAAGTGTCTGGTACAGAAGGGTTTCAAGGCAAGCAAGCATCGCTGCAGACGAGATTCCTGCATGTTGTGATCGGACAGGTCTAGTTCTCTCGGTCTCTGTCTCTCGGTGTCGGCGTTTCACATAGACAGAACCTATCATGGCTGCATGATTTACGACGAGGGTCGTCGTGCTGACCGCGATACTCGGTGTATCTCACGGAGCCATTGCATATGCACTGCGATCACCACTCGCCTCTGCAAGCCCCCACCGCGGCACCTATCGGATCCCTGCTCACGCCCAGAGCGGAGACAGCCATGTGCAATTCGACATCGAGACGGCCGGCGGGGATCTAGGTGCGCAGAGCCGACTGAAACTCGATGCGTCGCAGCTGAGCATCATCAATGCCTCTGTGTTCGAGTGATGGTACTTTGACGCCGTGTCGTCGGAGAATCCCTGCGAATTGCTCGCGGTGACATTCTTTGCCTCCACGCCGCGGGCATTTTCCTTCTTTCATCGATATCGGAGGGGGGGAGGGGTGAGCACAAGCTATAGCTCGGGAATTTGGGAGGATACGGGGACTAGATGGGACGCGCTGAGGGAAGATCTCTCGGTATACGAGATTTCTATTCAGTCGAGGTCTTGCAGATTGAGGGGAAACTGGGGCTGGTTGCGGTGAGTCTGACACTCATTTTGGTTTGCGGCGCCGGCTGACGAAGATTCCGTAGCGAGCGTCACCACATCTTCCCTGCGGAATTCAATCTGATAACACGTCGTTGGGAGGTTGCGCCGCAAGTTGGATGGGTCAGTCTGGTTACCGATGCAGTGGAAACGGTCGATGCTTCGATCCAAGGGTCGCGGTTGATGTTCCAAGGGAGCGGATATCATGACAGAGTGAGTTTGGTTCATCCAATAAAAGGCAAGAAATGAGACTGAAAGCAACAAAATTGGTCCAATCGATCCATTATCGACACCGTCCATAGCTGGTACTGGGGTCACGGCACCCTGGGCCCCCACCCGATTGTCTGGTTCAGTTATCTCGAGCTCAACGACACCACGAACACAACCTACGTGAGCAGCTATGTGGCCCGAGATGGCGAGACCTTGGTGTCTAGCTGCAATGCCTCTGCTCTGAGTGTCCGTTCCATCGGCAGAGCAAACACCACCGGCGCCCGATATCCGCCGTATGCTGGCAACATCCCTGATGGATTCCAATTGGATTTCGATCTGTACGAGAAACGATCGCCACCGAGTATATGTTACGATTGCATTGCTCATCGCGGATGATAGAGTACTATATGCGCTGGTCCGGGAATCTGACGGGTGAGGTGGTGGAAGGGGAAGACACACCGTCCAACCTTCCTTGTGCGACCAAGCAGCTGGGTGCGGATCGTCTCGTTCAGGATTCGAATCTCAGGGGAGTGACCATTTTCGAGCAATTTGTGATTCTTGAATAGGATCTGCTTGTGAAGCAAAACATCAAATTCCAATGTTTTTGGGTACGCCGAGCAAGAAAAGAGTATGCACTCTATAAATGGTTGAACGTTTTGACTGTGATATAGTCCGAGAACCAATGAAATTATCAGTTGCATTCACCCAACGGACTCGAAATGAAAAGGTTTAGTGTTTGAATAAAGAGTAAATGACAAGTTATAGGGGTATCTCGCGGCATACGCGAAAGGAAACAAGAAAATGCTATCAAAAATATCACAGAGGGAATGATTATTTGCGAGACTGCTTCGCCTTCCACTCATCCACCAGGCCCGGGTAATCCTCCGTGCCATACGGGTGGAAGCACCGGGCCAACATGCCCTGCTTTCGCTCCGGGGACAAGCCCAGATCCCGCAGCATGAGGTCGATGAACGGAATAGCATCGAAGACGAAATCGGGATTGCGATGGCCAAATCCCCCGGGGTAGCGAAACCGGCCAAACTCGGAGTGCAGCGCCGTCTCCCAGGCCAAGTCGAGCTCATCGAGATCCTCCGTCTTGTAGTCCGAAGCAGCACGTACTGCAGCCGGGCACGTTTCGACGGCAGTCGGCGTGAGCTGGCCGCCAAAGTAGGCTGAAATCCACAAGGCTTGGGTCTGCGCAATCAGCGTGGTGTTGATGGTCATGGTGACACCCATAAAGGCCAGCGAACGCTCCCGGGCGAGCGACAGAGGCACCATGAAGCGCGCCAGACGGAATGGATGCGGTGCTGAGGCCTCGGCCTGGTTGTTGAGCGGGCGGTAGAGAGGGTTGCGAGGCGGTCCGTTGCGCAGCCGCGGGAATCGCCGCAGGATCTCCTCGTCGGCGGCCTTCACCATCTTCTCATCCAGCGGGTCAGCGCTCCACGGGAAGCCCAGCTCGCGGTCGATGCCCTCAGGGAGGAACTTGAGGTTCGGGGTTGCGCGCCAGCCAGTCGAGCAGATCAGCGCAGACGTCGGCAGGGCCTCACCGGTGCCCAGATGCACGGTATGGTCCGAGAGATGATCGAGTTCGGTGACGTGCACCTTGATAGTGCCGTCCTTGACCAGCTCGAAGAAGTCGGTGGGGTAGTTGAGGATGCTGAGGGATGAGGCGATCCAGAAGGGACTGACCCATGGCTGCAGCTTCTTCACCTCGGGGTGCTTGTTGAAGCCATTGAGCTGCACCACGTCGTCGGCTAGCACTGCCCAGAAGGCATCGACAATCTTGCGGCCCAGCCAGGTGCCGTGCAGGAAGCCTCGTACGCGCGAGTAACCATCGGCCTGGCCCCAGATACACGGGCTGAACCACGTCAGGAAGCGTGTGGTGACCAGCTTCTCGAGCCATCGCTTCAACGGAGTCACGTAGGGCGGCGCCATCCAATTGGGGCCGTGGCCAGACTCGCGGATGATCCAGTCGACCTTCATCCCCGATGTAGCACACGCATACGCTGCGTCCCAGGCGGATTTGGTCCCGCCAAACACCGTCACGCGCTCCCCAGCTTTGAGGAGGGTCTCCTCATGTTGCAGCATGTCGCGACAATGGAAGAGCGGTGCGCCAAAGGTCTCCTGTCCCTCAAAGGTGGGTAGGTAGGCTTGCGAGGTGATGCCTGTGGCTACAATGAGCTTCTTGGTGTCAATGGTGATGGATTGTGCCTCGTGCGACACCACCAGCTGCCAGGTTCCGTCCAGCTTGTGTTCGGCGCTCTCCACGCGGTGGTTCAGTCGAATGTTATCCGTGAAGCCGAAGTGCGCAGCATAGGCCTCCATGTACCGCTGCACGACGTCGCCGGGAATGTGTTCGCCGGGCTTCACGCCAAACGTCGTCTCGTCCATGGGAAAGTCGCTGAATTCGTACGTGCCCAGCATGTTATTCGATTTGAGGCCCTTGTACAGGCGGTGCTTCGCCCAGACTCCACCAATGGAGCTGGCCGCCTCGACAAGAAGCACATTCGCGTCAGGGTTGAGTTCGCGAAAGGCCTTGACGGCAGCGAGCCCGCTCCAGCCTGGCACGTTCACGACAATAGTTAGAATGTTCCGCCAAAATAGACAAGAAAGACCAGAAGTTGCCGAGAATCACATTCAGCGTCAGAGACTGGGATGACCTACCTGCGCCAATGACCACCAGATCCATGTTGTCCATTTCTGCTGTAACCGGCGTTGACCCGTGAAAATGCATCGCGAACAAAGGAGGGACGACGACGACTTTTGAGCCACCCTCCCTCTCTCGAAGAGCCTTGCGGCTTGTACTAAACTGTCTAGGCGCAGGCTCGGTGGGCCTGTCAAAAGGCAATTACCGAGGAAATGAATCGGTCCTGGATTAGGGCCAGGTCCGCATCAACCGCGTGTGTCCTACTCGCTTGCGACCCAGCACAACTCCCCATGGGACCTCGCCGCTCGTCCTGGATGACTTTTTGTGCGCGTGCCTGGATCCAGGGGCTTCCCCTGGCCGCACTTGATCTGCAGCCGAGCGAATGTGGACGAACTAGCAGGACCAGGTGTGCTGGGCTAATGTTTTTATTTTTTATTTTTTCTTATTTTTTTCCCCCTCGCCTTCCAAGACGCCCTCAGCCGGACTGCCTGCTGCTCGGCTCTTCGCTTCGAGGCCAAAGTCAATTCACACTCCTTTGTTTGACGTGGCCAAATCGAGGGTGGCTATTCGCCGATCGTCAACTTTGCTGATCCTATTTTCTGCTTGTTGCCAACCCGAGGGCGTTGAGCTAGCGCTTCTAGTGCATTTTTTAGCGCACTCTCTGCACATCGACCACCAACTCCACCTCGAGCCCACGAGGAGTTGGGTTATTGCGGTGGGACACCCTCCCTGTCTAAGAAACTCAAAATCCAAACCGGTTCAGAGGGGAAGTACTTTTGTTTCTTCGTCATGCTGGACACTGTGATCGATTTCTTCTCGGGCCAGGAGGAATCGCAATCGACGTCCGCTCAGGAAGAGATCTGCCTGCAGCCCATCACCAGAGAGAGCTTAGATCTGTCGCCATCGAGATTTGGAAGACTATCGATCGACTGCAGACACGATCGTAGAAGCGTCAAGGACCAGGCTTTGTCGTGGGGGTCTAACGGTGGCGGGGGAAGGGGAGGCAGAGCCGGAATTGCGCTCGCCGTTCGCTCCACGGCGGGTCATCGCGTCTCCACTGAGGGCGTTTGACTGGCGGAGCCGGGTTGACACCAGCTGTCAAGGTCCAAGAAAAGTTACCTCCCGTTCTGAAACATAGAACTTGGCCGGGGCGACATGGAGAGGGCCGGGAGGGTGTCTCGACTGAACAATGTGGAACAAATGTTGATCATAGTCGTGTTGACGGAGCAGGAAAAAGTCCATTTGGACTCGAACCGCCCGAGGATAATTTTCTAATGATCGTGCTCCCACGTAAACTCACAGCAGACCGAATGAAGAGTCGACAGAAGCAAAAATAAAAACCGAAAGCCCCTCATTCATAGATGGGGAGCACATTCCGAGGGCCACGCATCGTTTCTTTGTTTACTCTTCCAGGTCCTGTGTTAGTATCGTTTCTGTTTTCCTAGGTCCTTGAATTTTGTCCGCTCTATACTACAAAAGTAGACACCAGGAAGAAGGGCGTCTTCCTCTTCGGCTCAGCCGCAGCAGCACCAACATCCGACGTTGACCAACATCCCGTCCGGTGTCATGACTGGTCCGGCTATGGACAGCTCGGTTCTTTGACAAAAAGTTCACCCTCGCCGTATCTGGCCGGTGTAACCATTCGCGCAGAAGCGATCCGAGTGTCGTTCAGGGACGCTAAGCTCGACCGCTAGCTGTCAGAAGCTATGCACTGTCGATCAGGCCCTCGATGGGGAAACTGACCTGTCCTTCGGGAGGAGTACGGTGGAACGCTTTCTTCTCGAATGCCCACATAATCACTTCCCGGGAACCCGTTAATCGGCAACGAGTCAACGACCTGGTCTGGGCCTGCAGCCCCTCCCGGGAGACAGGTCGACAAGACCTACCTACAGGATGGTGCCAGTGGGACAAATGCTCATACAGCTCCATTGCCGCCAGAACCTGGCCTGTCGGAGCCCATCGCGCGCTAGAATGACCCCATCGCTCTGCCCAATGGGTCAATTTTGCAGAAATAACAGTGGCCAGCCCCCCCACCCGTGGCGGGTAAGTGACGGGGGCCCATTTATGGGCCGTTCCTGGCGCCGTTGATAAATCGACCGGGTTGCGGGCTTCTTTGTCCAGCCTGGTTCCAATGACAAGACGGCCGAGGGGAACCTGTTCTTTTTCTTTCCCCCTTTGCCCGGCACTCATTTCTCTTTATCTGGGTGCACGCCCGGAGGGAAAACCGCTGAAAGAACCGCTCGCGCACGAACGATGGGTGACTTCAACACCGAGGCTTTTACACTCTTGGCCGTGGCCATTGTGGTCATTGCTCTTCGTACCATCGCGCGATGGATTATGGTAGGACCGCGCAATTTCCAGCTCGATGACTATCTGATGCTGCTGGCGTGTGTAAGTTGGGTTTATTCGATGGTGGCCGTGGTGTCACTTTTATGATATGTTGCTGAATGATTGTCTAGGTAGTATACGGGCTGGAAACCGGCGCCGCATACATGGTGGGCGCTTGGTTCATGGGTCTCGCCAACAACGCAATGACCGATGAGCAGCGCAGGACGCTGTCGCCAGACTCGAAGGAATATTATTACCGTGTTGGAGGCTCCAAAGTACAAGTGACGGGCTGGTCTCTTTACACATTGCTACTGTGGCTGCTGAAGACATGCATGGCCATTTTCTATTCTCGCCTCACGTAAGTACGGATGCGAAGGGAAAAGCCTTTGTTTTCCCAACCTGCATCATTTGATCACTAACGAAAAGTCCACGGCAGAGCTGGACTGATTAATATGAGAGTCCGAATTCATGTCGCTTATGGATTGATTGCGGCAACATACATTGCTACCATTTGTTCCATTCTTTTTGGCTGCCATCCCATGCACAAAAATTGGCAAATATACCCCGATCCTGGAAGTGAGTCATCCGATTCCGGGTGCTCGTCGAGTTTGCAGAAATCTGAGCTAACGGAAGATCATCGCATGCAGACTATTGTCAGCCGGCTGTATCAAAGATCGATATTTATGTCACAGTGGTCCTCAATGTCGTAACCGATATCTATCTCATCAGCATTCCGGCTCCGGTGAGTGACTCTTAGACCGATTTGAATTTTCTAATTCTGACAATCTGCAGATGCTCTTCAAAGCCCGACTGCGATGGAGAGAAAAATTGGAACTCCTCGTTCTGTTCAGCGGTGGTCTTTTTGTCATGATGGCGGGAATACTGCGCTGTGTATTAATCCTGACAGTAAGCACCTCCTACTCGCATCGATCGCGCACCACTGACTGATGACCTGTTAGGCTGGCGCCAATGGTGCTCAACAAGCCGGGAGCTGGGCTTGCCGTGAGACCTTCGTGGCTGTTGTTATTGGAAATATGCCGATGATATACCCACTATTCCGCCGAATTGCTCGCCGCACTGGACTGTATCTAACCACCAGGAGTAATGGCTCTCAGAGCTACCCGGCATACCCGCTATCCGAAGGTGAAAATACGACGGGATCAAAATACGCGAAGCGCAAGAAATTCCGGCACCCGCTTTCCCTCCCCGCTGATACACAATGGAATACCATTAGCGATGAGCAGATGATACTTCCGACCTCGCGACAACAGCCCCCGACGTGCACGGCCGGAGAGGGAGAGTGGGATGCCCAGAGCCATGTCAGCCACGGGGGAGGAATCAAGGTCATCCATGAAACAATTGTACACAGTGCGGAGAAAGAGCCCAAAGTATAGAGGGAATTGGACAAGAGAAATATTCTGTGAAGGATTTTGGGATATTTATCGCTGACTTTCTTTTTTTTGTTTTCTTCAAATTTCCTATCGGGTCGAGCTATAGCGGGAGAAGGCGTTCCGGGCGAACTTGATAACATACTTGGGATAATACCCTCGGTAGAATGGCGGGCTTAATTTGATCGATGGCACCTCATGGATTGTTGATTTCCTCTCTTGATGTCATTTCAATATGCAACAGCTTCGCCTGTGTGTTTTGTGAAGACGTGACATATCACATGACGGACAAAATGTTTGCACACACGGAGTCGATGCCAAGTCGGAAGCTACACTAGTGTGGTTTTTCGTCTTCTCCCACCGGAAAATTGCCAGCAAAATGGAGTGTTTCTCCGGTGGAGAGACTGTGAGGCACAATCATCAAGGCCAAATCTGAGGGAAAAATGGGGGCGGCAGTTGGCGCCATCCCGTCTTTCTGCAGGGTGGAGGACTACCCCAGACAAGCATCTGCGGGGAAAAGCACAAAAGCAGAAACCAGCCTATCCTCTTTCTATCGGAGTTCCGCATCACCCCCACATCGATATCCCCGTGGAGAATTAACAAGTCAGGCCAAGCTGGGGATAGCTAGAAACGATGAAGAATATGGAGCTCCGGCGAGGAATCCGGAATGACTTAAAAGGGCGCACTTGCTGTCCCCGACAACTCTTCACCTAGACATTCTCCGAACCCCAGGGCATTTACGAAAAGAGCGAGAGAAGATGTTCGTTCTGGGCTTCACGGCGGTTCTGCTCGCTACAGGCCTCGTGAGGGCTGACAATATTACTGCCACTGTGAATCTTGCTGTCTCGAAAGGTGACCCTGTCCACTGGGCGTCAGGTGTTATCTATGGAATTCCCGACACCCTGGACCAAATCCCAGACCACTGGTATACAGATATCGGATTCCGATACGGCCGATCGGGAGGAGCCCAGCTAGAAGCGCCTGCTCGTGGTTGGATCTGGGGCGAGGAAGAATACAAGGGACGGCTCGAGTCCACTTTGTCCAACTACAAGACTTGTCGCCGGTATGGAGCAGATTTCATTCTGCTGCCTCACGATATATGGGGAACGGACCATGCCAATGACTCGACTGTGTGGCCCGGCGATAATGGTGACTGGGCGGACTATGACAACTTCATCAAAAGACTCATGGCCGATCTGAAGGTAAATGACGCACTCGACGGGCTTGTTTGGGATATTTGGAATGAACCCGACATTTCCATTTTCTGGAAGCGCTCTCAGCAGCAGTGGATCGATCTGTATATCCGCACGCACAAACTTCTCCGGTATGTTTTGTTCTAGGCTATTTCCGCGCAGGAGTACGAGGTACTGATTGATCTCCAGTGAGGATGGCGATTATGACCGAGTCGAAATCTCAGGGCCATCACTGGCCTTCCGACCTGTGTCTGATAACACCTGGTGGACGGACTGGCTTGCGCAGATTGCTGGCAATGATACTGTCCCCGAGCAATATTCCTACCACCTGGAAGGCGAGACAGATGAATGGGACAATGATCTGCAAAACACCAATGGCACGCTCGAAGAGCTTCTCAAGACCTATAACCTCCCAACCCGGCAAATCAATATCAATGAATACGCCAACGCGAATGAACAGATTCCGGCCGGTGCAGCGTGGTGGATCTCACGTCTTGAGCGCTACGAAGCATACGGATTGCGAGGAAATTGGCTAGGTGGTTGGAATTTGCACGACCTCCTGGCGAATCTTCTCACCAAGAAGTCTGATCCGCTCGACTATAATGCCAGAGACTACGCCTCAGGCCCGGAGTATCAGGTATACAAATACTACAACCTCAACATGACAGGTAGCCGTGTTGAGACCAGTGGTACGGGCGATCGCCTCTTCGATGTATATGCCACAGTAGACTCTGGGAAAGTTCGCATTCTATCCGGGGCACGAATTACGACTGGAAACTGGCAGATCACAGTGCAAGGCCTGACTTCAATCGGGCTGCCGTCTGCGGGATCGATCGACATTCAAACCTGGGGCTTTGCGGGAACCGATGTTTATGCCGAAGTGGACGCTCCAAGTGACCGCGGCATTGTTTCTCATGAGTACTCTGATGGAGTTCTGACCTTCCCGATCTACCAAACTGATGCTAGTACGGCTTGGGCATTCGAGTTCAATGTTTAGCCACGTGTCTACAAGGTAGGAGACAGTGAAGAGATAATATAAGAACATAAAATCGACCAATTGAGCAATTCCAGCCATAAATATCCGTCACTTTTGTCGGTAGCATCCTTTGGCCCGTCTCGGCAATCAGCTTTGGGGGCTTGCCGAAGCTGGCTGCGATGATCATTGGTAGCGAGATCCCGAGTAAATTACATTCCAAATCTAAAATCTCCTGTGATAAAGTATATTACATCGTATTGATTCTATGCCATATTTTTCTAGCAACTGTGTGGCTACGAGAAGTTCTCATGGTAGTCGTCGCCCTGTCGCAGTCCCGTTCCGCCCCCAACTTTCAAGATTCCGATACTTCCGCCCGATCCACACCGTCTTCCCCACTTGAATTCCGTTTCCCCGTCGCCCACATCGGTGCTTCGCTTCCCATGTAAACCGGTAGGGCTCAATTTTCGATGACGCGAGGTGAAGCTTCAAAGGACCAGGACAACGTCCAGCATCCAGCAAAACGAGCCAAAAGAGGAACATACGCCCCGAGAGCGTGGTATGCCGATCGCGAGCTCGCACATGGAACAATAGCTGATTGATTCTGCTTTAGTGATCAATGCCAAAGACGAAAGATCAAGGTATTGATGGCCCAAGCAATGGAGCGTTTTTCTAGTGTCCGAATTAACAATTATTGAACAGTGTGATGGGAGGATTCCGTGTCAAGCTTGTTCCGCCAAAAGCCGCCATTGCCAACGCCATGGGACGGACATGCGTGGGCGATGGAGAACAGCTAGCCGTGTATCGACGGGAAGCGGAGACCTCGCGTCCCGGCTGAGTCGAGTTGAGAAACAGCTAAGCTCAATGAAGGCGTCAGGGGATCAGGCCCTCCATTGCACCAATTCTACGTATGGCGACCCGAGACAGCCACCCGACCAGCACGATACGGAAATTAGTGCCAGGAGGGAGGAGAGACCAAGGTCGAGCAGTACCCCCTCTGCCGAGGTACCTACATTCTCTGGAGAGACATCCATCACCCACAACTTGACTGTGGTCGAAGGGAGATTGGAGCAGATGGGGGTGCAATACGCAGGATTCAGATCTACGTCCCCCAGCAGCCAATATAGATCCCGCCTTACGCCGTCCCCAGAATCACCCCACCGATATAAAATGGACAGAGAGATGAGCTTTACGCAAAGAGTTCTCGCTGCCCACGGAATTCTCCCAAATCGTGTTCAATGGGAGGGGCTCATGCACACCTTCTGCGACGAAGTGCACGTGCTTGTTCCATTTCTCCATATTCCATCCCTGTGGATGGCATTTGAGGAGTCATGGGACACTTTACTTAACCAGAAGTCGAGAAATCACGGCCCAGATGTATCCCAGCGGTTCCAAGCAGCCCATGTCTTGCTCTGCCTCGCAAATGGGAGATGTGTGGAATCGTCTCGTTTTGAAGGGGACGAAGGGCCATATTCAGCAGGTTGGAGCTTGTATGGTGCTGCAAGGGATATGTTTGGAGATCTGCTTGACGGCTTTCGGCAGTGTCCAGATCAGATATTCCTTCTCCAAACCGTTCTTCTGATGGTAGCAATATCCATATCCGGAACCATACAAGTGATCTCTCTAATACTCATGTCTAGGTTGTGTATCTTTTTCGCCTTGATGCCCATGGCTCTGCCGAGAAGGTTCTTGCCCTGACAATATCGCATGCGCACCATCTTGGTCTTCAGAGAGAGAAAGTGGTTGCAGCCATGAATCCATTCGAGGGAGAGATGGCTCGCCGGCTTTGGTGGTGCATATATCTCCTGGACCGACGACTTGCTATAGAGACCGGTCGTCCGTTTCTTATCCAAGATGTTAATGTCGATGTCCAACTTCCCCACGACGTGAGTGACAGGACACTTACAGCATATCGCCGTGTACCACACTCCTCCAAAATTGGAGAGAAAATAAAAAATGGACCCACTGTGGTTCCATATTTGATCGCGATGACAAGCTACTCCCGTGTGATCGGGAAGGTGTGGGAAGCTCTTTATGGCGCGGCCACATCTGATACCTCCCCATCTACGCTACTTAACGAGTATCTGGAGCATTTGATTACACAGTCTCAGAAAGGAATTCACCGAGAATTTACTTATGACCCTCTCAACCCGGGAGATTGCGGCTCTGAAGGTCTGGCCTGGTGGCAGGTGAAGCAGCAATTCATGATGCGAATTGTAAGTTCTTTTTGTATAATTGCCAGTGAGACAGGCCAATTTTAATTCTTCGTCTCAGAGATGGTCCTCAATCTATCTACTCATAAGAAAGCCTATGCTTCAACGCGCAAGTCTTTCCGATCAACCGGATATCATTGAAAATGAAGTCATATGCATGCGTCTGGCCCAACAGATCATCGACGATTTCAGCAACGTTCCCGAGGAACATCCAAAGTACACCTTTCCATTCCTGCATTATTTGACCAGTGCGACGATTATTGCATTGGGTCTTATAATCAAGCAACCTTCTTTCAGAGCAAACTACGACAAGAGGACACTAGCGGCAGCAAGATCCCTCCGCAACCACTGCCGTAAAACATGGATGTCCGGGGAAATGGTCCGCGCCGTTTGGAAGCTTAATCAGATGGCAGATGCCATCTTGGTCCGTGGTGAACAATCGCCGGAGCGTCATGGGCGTGTCTCCAATGCAATCCCCGAATCACACCTTCTATCCCACAATCGTCGAAATATCAGGGAACACCGAGATATGAGAGCCCAAGACTCGCTTTTTACAGCCAACCCATCGAGAGAATCAGTAACAAACTCGATAGCAAGATACGGGGTATCGCATCTACGCCCAGGTGACACAAATGGTCCGCATGCACAATCTAATGCAAGAGAACTGGGACTGAATTCAGGCCGAGGGCACAATGGAACTGTATCGGACGATTCTATTGAAGCTATGTTCCGTTTTGAAGAAGAGGCACGGCCTATATTAAAACATTCCAGCCTACACAGAATGCGACCGGACCCGCGTGAGCACACTGAAGAAAGGGCTGGGGGTGAGGGGGGCAACAAAAATAATGTTTCGCTGCCATTTTCAGCCAATTCAACAGGGCCATCAGACCATGAAATGCATGCATCGCTTCCAGGGGAGATGATAGAAGGCGGAATGGAATGGCTACAGACTCTATTCGCAAATGGCCTTGACTCTGAACTGCTTCCGGTTTGGGATTAAGAACTATATCTCGAATCTCGAAACTAATGTTTATTTTAATGATTACTGATGACCCCCTTCACAATCATGGGGCTTCTCAGTCTGATTTTATGGCCATATTTGTAGAAGAAAAACGGGATTGGGATAAGGACGAGTTCAATAAGAGCCAGCATTGTTCCAGCCCAATTAGCTCCCAAAGTGACATACATCTTGGCGCCGGCAAGAGGAAGCACTCCGGCAAGCCCGTAACGGATGATAGAGTTTCCAGCCAAGGCTGAAGCGGCATAAACTGTGTAGCTTCCCGCGAGATAGTTCGTTGCATAGATAAAGGTCAGACCGTTTCCAAGGCCGAATGGCAGACCAGCCATTATTGGGCAGATCCAGTGAATAGTAGGCTTTGCGGACCACGCAAACCAAAGCTCCCCGATAGGGATCAAGACGCCCCCTATGCAGACTGCGATTACGGCTGCCTCTGGAGCCGGTCGTCCTGTGCGCGGGTCTTTAGGGTGCATGGCGATTATTCGCCGAATTAAGGGCTCCAACATGACCGCAATTGCCGTTCCGACTCCAATGCCACAGTAGCTGAGACCTGCAAATCCTGGGGACCAGCCGCGATGCTGCTGGAAGACTATTGGATATGCCACGAAGCAGAGGAAAAGCACGGCGTAGACAATACCGACATAGAGATTCCAGAATACACTGTTCGTAATATTAGCTTCGCTATGGTTTGATCTTGGCTAGGGCAATTTTGTGTCGTTACCAAATTGGCTCTGAAACAATCATACGAACAGGCCGAATCAAGTTTGTTTTAAGCATTTGAAAACCGGACTCCTCATGATCATATCGGCACCATAATCTTAAGTCACCTGTTTCCTGTTTCAATTTCTCGGTCCTTTTTCGCAACAGAGCTGGGGCGTAGGTTTCTTTGACAATGAACATCAATGACAATGACAGCCCAGTGCAGATTAGTACAAGCCAGTTAATCCATCGCCAACCCAGATATTGGTAAACAAAACCTCCGATAATAGGACCTAGCAGACGTTGTCAAATATTGTACCAGGCAGCATACGGGAAGTAGAGCTAAGGGGTAAATACCTAGGACGGGGCCATTCATTGTCCCAAGACTCCAGCAGCTCAGAGCAAGGGCGCGATACCGATCATCAGTCACATCAGTTACACTTCCAGGTGCACTTGAAATCATGACACCCCCGAAGAAGCCACCGAAGAATCGGCTAATTAATACGGCTTCAATGTTCTGCGCGAGAGCCACTGGTAGAATCAAGATGCCGAACAGCAGGACCGATACCAGATAAACAGGGCGTCGACCATAAATTTCAGATAGTGAAGACAACACGACAGAGCCGATCGCCAGGCCAAAGAGATTCGTCGTGAGACCCAGAAGCACGACGATTTCGGATGAGATGTTAAATGCTTCCTGCATCCCCTCGATACCTGAGGTGTACATTGTCGTATAGATGACACTAGTCATCCGATGGGTCAGTATATGCTTGGTTTCTTGAAGAGCTATCTTCCAATCAAAATTAAAGCTCACACTATTGTCGTTGAAAATGACATGGAAGCAACAATGAAGCTTCTATACCAGACCGGCCATGTTCGCGGATTTTGTCCCTCTTCGCTCTTCCATGTCACTTCGAAGCGAGGGTCGCGCGAAGCGACTGGGTTCTCACTAAGCGCAAGTGATATGGACTCTTTCGAGTCTTCCATATTGGCAAATGGAAATGATTTCGAGAATATGGTTCTCGATCTGGGCAGGGTGGACTCTATAAATGCCGGGATCTTGCGGGGTAAGGCAAACTCGGAATCTTCAAGATTCCGTCGTGACTCTCGGCGACATTTAGCGAACCATACTTACGCAATGGCTTTGGTGATATTTTTCGTACTCGCATAGAAGATACTAGCCTCACGTTTTCAGAGCCTCGGAATACAATTACATGTTAGGAATTTTTCTGACGTGGTTCACAATGTAAGCCAAGTGCATCGGATCGAGTACCTGGGGCTTGCCGCTAACAAAAAAGGCCTAGACGCAACACCATAATGTCAATTCACCAATATAGGCTGGTCCTATGGCTCTAGGCACTTATATTTCAAAGTTATGCATATAATTGTCTTCTATGTTGGTTTCGGCTCAAGTTTCATGATATTCAACATGACTCCGAGATGAACTGTAAGGTATGCCACCGCGGAAACGTTACAAAACATAGCGGAAATATGGGTTTTGACGGTCTGTGAGATCGTCGAAAGCGATTTTGTCACGATGGACCTCATCAAGTTCCAATGATTCCCGAGAGCGGTTCTCTTTCCACAGCACCGCGTACAAAGCAACAGCCGCAGCAATTGTAATACAATAGCTGCAAGATTGTTAGAAAATCGATATAAAAACAAATGAGGGTAATTTAACTCACCAGATAATAATCCCCTTCCATAATTCAGGGTAATGCTGTGCTATGGTCTCACTTTTGATGAGCTGTGGCCCGATTATATTACCAACAGTGTACGCCACAAATGTCGTGCTTGCCATGATGGATTTCTTGGTCGCGCCGGCGACGTTGCTAGCACCGATTGTGATGACCAGACTGACCACGGGGCCAAAGAATCCAGTCAGCGCGTATCCAACAACAGGCGTCGCAGGTTGGTAGCCCCATTCGGACTTCCAGATCATGATACATCCAGCGATTACAGGAAGGCAGCAGGCGATGAGCATTGGGATTCGCGTGTTGGGAACGATTGTGGGAATGTAGCCACACAGCGGAATGAAGATCACGCAAACAGCTCCGACAGGGAATTGGAACAGGATGGAGTCCAATGTATCGTATCCAAAGGTTGATACAATCAAGGGTCCAAAACCAGCGATCGCACCGTTGATAGTGTATCTGCTACTTGTTAGGAGTGAATCGCATGCATGCAGTATGAAACTTACGCTGCCGCCATCATGATCGCCACCAAGTAAATCTTGACATCTGTCAAAGATTCCTTCACCTGGTCGAGTTTGATTTTCTGGCATCTGACACCAGTCTGTCCTTTTCGAAGGCGTTCCACGGCCACCATTCGCTCCTCGGGTGTCAGGAACCAGGCCGACACAGGAGAGTCCGGCATGGCACAGCACCAAAGTCCGAATAGAAACGTCAGTGCCCCCGCCAGGATATAGATGTACTGCCATCGGGTCAGGGAGCCCGATGTGATCTGGCCGAATCCATAGTTGAGGGCGCCGCCAATGATGGTAAACCAGCCAGTCCCCGAAAACCACCACGCTTGTCGGAGAGCTTGTTCCTTTTGCGTGTAATAGCTACTGACAATGGTCATGAAAGCCGTCGGGATGACACTCTCAATCGCACCTGAACATTCGGTGTTAAAAAGTTTCCTTTGGACAGAGGGGTTGCTGATGGAGACCTGCCTAGAAAGAATCGCTGGACGAACAGCCCTCGCCATGTCGTCACACCTGCCGTGGCAGCACAGACGATGGCCCAGAGTAGCACGACAGGGCCGAGGACGAAGCGAGTGTTGAATTTTTGCAAGGTGAGCGTCATGGGGTAGAGACCCGCCAACATTCCAAAGTAGAAGATCGACGTTGCCCAACTGAGACGCGACGTATCTACGGACGCAGGCGTTGTCGAGTTGTCCACAACCTGCAATGCCAAATCCGTTGTCATTCCAAAGAGAGACGCGCTTCCCAGGATGGCCTGCATCTCGCATCAGCAAATCAATATTTCAGCTCAGAGATCTCAGATCATATCTCACCTTGTCATAGTAAACCATGCCATATCCTGACGGGCACACCCGCGGTCAGTATAAAGATGATCGGCCGTGACACAAAAATAAGCTCACCTATCAACATGGCCGGCATGAAGTACCAGTCAATCTTTCGGAGCACTCTTTTGGCGACCATAGGGTCAAGTTCCTGCGCGACATCACCAACTACCGCCAGCGCGGCATCCTTTTCGGTGTCTTGTACGGCTTGCGCCGCGCCACCCACGCCGTCTATTTGGATCATTGTCGGATCCCAGTAATGCTCCTGCACTCGTGCCAGCTCTGACGGTCTGCGTGTCTCTGAGCGTAAAAAATCAACGCTGCGAGATTGACTTTTTTGCGTCCTTCCCAATCGGGCTGTCCGATATCGCACCCTCACCGCCCTCGTGACGCGGGCAGAATCCCCCCTGGCGATGATCGGACGCAGCTTGGCAGCCATCGCGCACCCTGCCAGCGATGCAGCGATGCAGCAGTGATGGCCCTCGAGAGTCCAAAGGGGGTGTCTTCACCTCGAAGAGACCGAAATTCAGCAATACCGCTATCTCCCAATTGATCAGGTAAAAATTGTGTCGCTCACCAAAACGGGAGTCCCCGCAGGTTCTATTGCGACCGTGGAAAAATGACTTAAAACATCATACGAAGCAACGCTACAGATGAATAATATCGAGTTACTCAATAATACTAACCTATTGTTGACTTTGTCAAATATCGACATACTGAAATGCAGCTCATGCCTGCGTCTTACATGCATTTGCTACCAGCTCCGAGCAAACGCTCCAACCGTCTTTCGAAGGTTTTAAGCATTCAGCCTAAAGATCTAGCCTCCGGATAATCTATATTGTTATCAACTTGTACCACAATATTTTTAGTCTGGTATTGAAAAATCGGCGCCTCATGCACATATGCGTGGTACGTCGGCCCAACCTGCGAGTGAATGGTGTGCATTATGTCCTGCTAGTAAGGGATGATGCTTTTGCATGACCTCATCATTGACTGCGAGAGCATAAATGCCCTATCATTATAAGCCCACGCATTGGGTTTCGATATCGAGATCTTGATTCCAACATCTGTCGAGTCCCAGGCCTTCCGGTCAGCAGTCAGCAAGCAGTCCTGTTCCCGGAAGAGTAGGAAGTAAGAGCTGTAGGTGGTGATATCAGTGGCCCAGCCGGCTCCGTTCAGGCCCACCGAATTGCATCACAGAGTCCTCCAGTACCCTCTTTTTTTGAGATCAAAAGTTTGACTGCAGCCACAGGCTATGAGATCGAATGCCACTGGTACTGCTCGTGTTCTTTTGTCATTCCATAGTGACGTAATAATGTGAAGCGACTTGTATAAATGGGCGAGATCGCCTGAGAGCTTATTGTCTGCGAGTCGACAACCACAAATATACACCTCTCTTGATCGAAATCGAACTTCACAATCATGCCGATTGAATTCACCGTATTCAAAGGATCCAAGGATGGATCCATTCGTCAGGACACGACCCGACGAAACGACCTCCAGCGCGACGATGTGCTCGTTCGCATCACCCACTCCGGAGTTTGCTTCACCGATGTCCACTACAAGACCTCCGATATGGCCTTGGGCCACGAGGGAGCCGGTGTCGTGGAGGCCACTGGCCCGGATGTGAGACACCTGAAAAAGGGTGACCGCGTGGGTTGGGGTTATGAGCACGACTGTTGTGGCCAATGCCGGGAATGCCTGACTGGCTGGGAGACCCTCTGCGCCGAGCGCAAGATGTATGCGATGGCCGACTTGGACCAGGGCTCCTTCGGAAGCCACGCGGTGTGGCGCGAGGCATTCCTGTTTTCCATCCCCGAAAACGTGGACAACGAAGATGCGGGTCCATTGATGTGCGGTGGATCGACAGTCTGGAATGCGCTGCACGTCGCGCAGGTTCGGCCGACTGCGCGCGTGGGAATCATCGGCGTGGGTGGTCTCGGGCATTTGGCTATTCAATTCGCGGCCAAGATGGGTTGTCAAGTCACCGTCTTCTCAGGCACCGACAGCAAGAAGGATGAGGCCATCAAGTTGGGTGCCACGGAGTTCATTGCCACCAAGGGTGCAAAAGAACTGAAAGTCAAGAAGCCCCTCGACAATCTTATCGTCACCACGAGTAGCCAGCCGGACTGGCAACTCTACCTCAATGTGATGGCTCCGAACGGTGTCATCTCGCCTCTCTCCGTCGATGCCGGCGATCTCAAGATCCCGTACATGCCCTTGTTGCTCAACGGCCTCCGCGTTCAGGGCGGCATTGTCTCGGCGCGACAGGTCCACCGGGATATGCTGGAGTTTGCAGCAGTGCATGGCATCAAGCCCGTGAAAATGACCTTCCCCATGACATTGGAGGGCGTGAAGGAGAGTCTCAAGACATTGGAAGACGGCAAGATGCGATACCGTGGGGTTCTTGTTGCAGAGAAATAGGGGGCGCGCACTGCCAAGTATCTGTAATTAATGACATAACCGGGCGGAACATCGTATAATTTGAGCTTCTTAATCCCATATGTCACCGTGTCGTAGCTCTGCGTCGTAGCAAGGAGGGTGTGGACAGGCAATGAGGAGATGTGGTGATGGAAGGAAGAGAGGAATGGGAAGGACGTCGTCTATGTACGGCAAGCCGCGGATGATGTCAAACGGAGGACCTTGTAGATGGCCACTCCCAAATGACACGGTCGATGATGGAAGCAAAGGTCACTGTACTTGGATTGTTGAAAACAATTCGTTTCCACGTATTTGAAAATCCGTGGTACCTCTTTGAACGAAAAATTAGGCATTTGGTTGCTACCGGTACATGAAGGCAGGAACATCTAAGATTGCATTCAGCTCATGTCACCCTGGGGCATGTTCAGAACTCTCTTTTCTCTCCCTTGGTTTAATCATTTATGTCACCAGTGTAGAAGGCAAAAGCAAGATTCTATGACAAACTGAGGAGGTGGTCAAATACCACTAGAACCCTTCGGGATTGGCTTATTCATCGTTCACCCAATTTCCACCTAGTATGGTGTCATAACACGCCATAGTTCAACTATAAAGACCCCTGAGATCGCTCAACCGATCGGAGTACCTACAATCAATCATCTTATTCTGTTTGGACATCTTCAGTACTAGCCAGTACATCGATTCCTCATCCTGGCATTCTACACTAATTATGGTTGATGTGTCTCGGTTCGGGAGACAGAAACTCTCATAGGCGTCCATGAAGAGGGCTCGCATCGCTCGGGTTGGCAGCAGGAAGACACGGTTGAGGCAACCCCAGGTTATGCGCAATGGCTCTCGCAGACCATAGGCCCGTCACAAAGGCCAGGGCAAGACCACCGGCGTACCCAAAGTTGCTGAATCCGCCAGCATCGACGCCCGCCACAAGAAGACCGGGGATGACGGTCTTGTCCTGGGTCAGCGCTTGGCCTTGGGAATCAATTGAAATCCCACCATATGTAAACGTGACTCTGTCATAGGCGTTAAAATCGGGGATTCCAGGCTGAAATGAAAGAACTCACGATGGCTGAACTTCCATGGCATAAAAAGGGCCTTCGCCATCAATCAGGGGTGCCGGGGGTGATCCGCAATATCCAACAGGGGCATCAAGGATAATGTCATTCTGCTTTTGGCGAGTAACGCGGTCGTACTCATCTAGTGTACGAGCTGCCTGTTTCTTGTTGATGCCCCATCGGCCCAAGATGTCGATCAAATCGCCCAGAGTAGATGCCTCCCCGACATTGCAGCCGTAGTCGCGGGCCTTATCAAGTCGATGGATGTCTCCGGCATTAGGGAACAATGCACCGGTACAATGTTCAAGTCGTGTTACCTCACTTTCGATCGTGAATCAGCTTTTTGGTCTGTACTTTAGTATCAGTTGCATTGCGAGCTTACTTGAAAAGAATGAAACCGCGACGGTTGCTTTGCTTTGCCAGATGTTGATTGACGATTTCATCACCTGTTGTCTCATCGGCGAACCGTCGTCCTGACTCATTCAAGAGTAAACAGTACTTGCTTTCTTTCGTAGAGTTAGACACACGACATCGATCGTCATTGGGCTGGGGCCCTTACGATACTGAGCCAAAGCGAGATAGTCTTCTGGATTGACTTGTTCCGCTCGGACTGGGGCAGCCAGGAGATGCCCGTAGAAAGTGTTCATCCCGCGACTTGTTCCAGCGCCAACTGCCAGAGCTAAGCTGAGACCGTCTCCCACGGATCCTCGATTGGACCGTACAAAGATATTGTCAGCCCCCGGGCCGATGTAGGTGGCTGTGAGACTGGGTGACCCTTGGAAGCCACCAGTAGCCAACACCACTATCTTGGCCCGGACTTCATACAAGACTGATGAAGGCCCGAAACCCTCTTGGCGAATGACAGCACCAGTGATACGCGATCCTCGGACCTCGGGGTTCTCCTGGATCAGCTTGACAACAGTTGTACGAGTCATAATCCGGGAAGCGTTTTTGCTTGTTTCGATACGGTTGCTGTGAAGGCTGTGCAACTCAGCGATCTTGATGGGAAACCCGATCCCTGGATTAAACCAATCAGAAATCCTGAAAGAAGAAGCATTGAATACACCGGCAAAGCAGCATACCAATAGTCATAATACCATCAAATCTTTTCGCTGTAGGAACGCCATTTTCGCGCATCCACTGTACCGCCGGTAGATAATCGTCAATCCACGCACGCTGCAAGGCCGCGTCGCCATTTGGTATCCATGACCGCATCTTCTCGAAAGTTCTTGGTGCCCAGCTGTGCTCATTGTTCGTTAGCTGCGCGCCGCGACACAAGAACCAAAGAACTCACAACATGCCGGCCGATAGATTTGAGGAGCCTCCAATTTTCTCCTGCTTCTCGACCAACAGCACTTTCGCCCCTGCTTGTGCAGCAAATGCAGTGCATGCCATTCCAGACATGCCGCCACCACATACCAGGGTATCGACTTCGAGAACTTCCATTATGTGATAGAGAATTGAGAAAGGATTTTTGAACCGCCGCTCCTAAATACCCTCGATATTAATAAATATTTTGGTCGTGGGGGATCGGTTTACTCTGCTACTGTGTCCCCGAGCCCCGGGCTATTAAATAAATGACCGGATCTCCACTCGACGAAGATTGATTCGAAGCGAAGGGAATGAGCTTGTCCGACGAAGACATGTAACCGGCTGGCGGAAAAGTGATTACCAAGTGTTTTCGATGGTTTCGCTTATTTTACGCTGTTGTTTCTATTCAAATGGAAAGTTACCTGTCTTACCTGTCCGTTCATTAGTTCCGGCGTCTGCTGGTTGCCAGTGTAGTGGACGCTGAGCTTGATTCAAACAGTAGGCGTTGGATGCCCGATCACATTACAACCTTATAGGTGTGCGACTATGGATGCTCTTCAATAGTCTGCGCGATTAGGGTTTCAGATTCATCCTAGGCTCGATGACAGATACCGACTTGGCTGCTGGTACTATTATCGTGACAGTATCCGAACCAAGCTAAGTGAAGCGAATTTCGGTGTCAATCAGTAGTTCAGTAGCCACAAAATTGGGTTTCTTATTGATATGTGTAAAATTCTGATCTAGCGGCGCAGACAAAGGAGACTTGTTCTTGAAACAGTGCTTATAGTCGATGGGTTACCGCTTGTAATCGTTTACTAGTCCGAGCCACGGCCGACTGGATGTACTCCTTATTTTGCCAGAAAGGAGGCAAGGATATCGCGGTCTCTATGAGACTTTGCATTGCAGTAACTCCCCTCACTGCATGATCTGGTGGGATGTTATCACCCGGTTTGTTCAGAGATGCATTAAAAACCTCCAGTGACACCGGCCCTTGGTAACCTGTTCCGAGCACAGCGGCTGCGACCAGCTCCACTGGCATATACCCACCGCGAGACTGCTCTAGAGGATACAGTCTGTGATTCCTCGACCACGGTAACAGAGCCGGGATTGAAGGATCGGATGGAGGTACAAAGGTGGACGGGTTCACAAGTTCAGCATCACCGCACTGGAAAAAGAAGATTTGGTCGCCCGGAACAGTGGCTGCGAGTGCCGCAAGAGAATTCGTGAGGATTTCGAGTGACTCTCGCAAAGTTGGATAGATCCTTCCATGTCCTGATGGGTTGTACGGATCTGCAAATTCGACAGCCAAAATATTGAACGCGTCGAGTATCAATCCGACGTTCGGGCGATTCGCAAATCGCACAGCCTCCCATGACGATGACCAGGTATTTCTTGTTGCCCACGATAACCCTTCATATCCAATCTTCAGCATGCGACCACCATCGGTCTTGGAATACGCTGCGGCCATATCGCCGAGCTCTGCGAGGTCACGCGCAACAGCTTTCAGATCGGAGGTAACGCCGCGATCGGTGCGGATATTGGCGCACAAGAATACCAGATCGGTATCGAAAGCTCGCATAAAGGGGAACCGTTTGGCGACCAGCTCTAGACATGCACGACGCTCGGTTGGGTCTTTGACGCCTTCGATTTGCCGAAGTGGTTGCGTACAGGCGATGCGCATGCCGAGCGACTTCACCAGATCGCCCAATTTGCGGGCCACCTGTAGATTCTCGGGGGTGGCCTCCCATAGCCGGTCCCCTGGGAGGTGGTGCTCTTCCAGGTATGCTGCCCAGCACTCGTCGAAGAGATCAATCCACTTGTATCCTGCTTGGGCTGCCGCTTGGAGTCGAGGTAGCAGCCGGTGTTCTCGCCAATTGCCCAGAGACAAGGTCGCGATTCCAAGTTCATTTCGTCCAGACGGAGGCCACGCAGTCGCCATGTTTTGCAGTCAGGAGAAGAATCACCAGGTGATGCTTATTCAGGTCCAACGCCGGTCTTAAAGGAACGGTGGGTGATCGAATATCCGCGCATGCCGACGCCCCACCCCCACACTCCGGCGTCTTCTTTTAGGGACCGGGCCACAGTGACAGCATGGACGAGCTTTTCACGCGGCACCTGTCCAACGAGGACATTTGCTTTGAGCTGCTTCGAAAGTCGACGCACTGAGAGTATTTGCTGCCCTTGTGGTCAACAGTACGTCACTAGGGTAACAACATAACAACACGCCATGGCGCGTGATCTATACGAAGGCTTTCTAGGTAGATGCGGCTCTGTCGGTGGGGGCGACATTCCCTACTGGCGTCGCATGGCAGACATCGAAAAACCACAGCTGCAGGGCCGTCACTACGGTGGTCACCTCCCAATCCTCGCCCAGGGTGCCGGTGAGTCCGGATCCCATAAATGCGAAGAGGAACCCTTTGGTCATGCTCATCGACATATTGTGCGCGAGAAGGGCCACGATCTCGAGTCCATCACTAGAGACCCCCAGATCACGCTCCTTTCTCTTGCCGCCTTCCCCGTGGACTGGCCCAGACAGCCGCACCAATTTCCAGCCGGACGAGTGGCCGGACGCCAGTTGTTTGATCTCGTTGCCATGACTGAACCGCCATTCAAAGTGCTCGCATTCCGTGCCTTTATTACCCGTGGCGACTTCGAAGGTAAAAGCGGCGGAATGATGGTTAGGGGCCGAGGGGAACATCTGGCTAGTCGTTTCCGCTTCCCTTGGGTGGCCAGGCCGCGGGTGCAGGACAATTTCGATGGGCCTCGTGCGACCCCATTTGTCAATGCGCGAGGTCGCGAGAATCGGATGCTTGTTGGTCGGGCCGTTGTATAGTACGATGGAGGGTTTGTTGTTGAAGAAGCCCGTCGGCATGGACACGGCGAAGAGCTTCTCGTCGGCGGTCGGGCCCATGTGAAACGTCGTGGTGGACTTCCAAGAGAAGTAGCCATTCATTGTAGGAGGGAATCGAATCGTTGCACTTTGTAGGCTTGTCGAACCGCCCACAGACGAACCGCTGACGATGTCATATCGCGGGGCCTGCTGGGGGCGTGTCTGATCATGTTCTGAATAAGGCGGCGGCAGGGAGTCAGCACGGTCGAGGCCGGAGTACGCAGTGTCTGGGAAAGTCGGGGGGATGTCCGTCGGTTTGCCCATGGCTGTCTCTTGAAGCAGGTTCACGTCCCGTCTGCAATTGTGCAGCGCGAAGATGGCGGGAATTGGGCGATTCTTATGTGCGGCGTTGCAGAGTTGACATGCTGCGGCGCAGCAGCTGGGAGGCGGGGGCGGAACGAGAGCGCCGCATGTTTCCTCAGTGGGACGGCCCACTCCATTCATCTTTTGCCGCAAGAGAGCCGCAAGAGAGCCGAAAACAGTTGATACATAGCACATTTAGAAAGAAGGAGCTTGTAAATCTTTTAAAATGTCGCTACAAACATTTAAGGAGTAGTATTCGTGGGTGACCAAGGGTTTCAAAGATGAATATGTACTACGATATATATCTCTTTCAATCACGTCCTTCGATTCATGGCCCGATCAATAGACTGAACGCCTCGAAGACTGAACAATGTTGAGATGAGGGATAGGATCCGGAGGGAATCGCTTAAGCCAGCAATAAAGTAATATTGAAGATGTCTAATAATCTAAGATAACCCCTGAGTGGAAATGTGCTATACACACTTCCCGAAGGCCCGCGTTACCGTATAAGGTTAGTGCGACTCAGGGAGGATGGCATAGTAGCCCTCATGGCCTCAGCGGCATTGAAGACTGCTGAAACTCAACAAACGACACGGCATATTACGAGCGCCGAAATCGCAGCAAAATGATAATCTCACATCGTGAACTATATCACACTTGACCACTGTTGCACACTCGGACATTTCCCTCATTGAGATTTCTGATGGTGAGACGCTTCTAGATTGTTTGTACATTCCCTATTCGAGAGATATAGCGGGCCCTCCGATTGGGTGGGACGACGATCGGCATCGGATGGTGGATGACATTTGAGAAAATCAAGGCGATCACCACTCGGGACAACCTGGACAAAACCGTAAGTCATGGAGGAGTGGCAGCTCCTATCCATCACCCTAGAAGCTACGAAGCTACGGTGGGGGGATTCCAAGGTTATACCACAGTAACGTGCGCTGCAGCGGATGCGATCTCCCAGCTTACGCCACTAACAACATTTCTAGGACTTCGGTCTAGCTCCTACCGACCGGGGGAGAATGCGTCGATGAGCAGTCACTGCCTCGATCCAAGCGCGGTTTCTGATGGTCGGGTCTGGGTGTTTATGCATGCGCCGGTATCTCCTTTCAACAAATGAGGGGCATCACGTTCGGAGCGACGGTCTTTGGGAATGTTCAACATGGCCCACTGCTGGACTCGCTCTCACCACCTGGCAAGGCCCCGGCTATACCGGCAAGGAGAGCGTGATTGTGTGGCTGTCCGCCACTGCGACGGCGTCGAGCGCCCGAAGCCAAGTCCAGCCGCCCGCGACTTCGCGCCTTGGGAGGCTTCCAGTGAAGTGGACTCGCGTCGCCCGCTTTGCGTTCCGGCACGCCATCAATCCATCCGAGAGCTGTGATTTCGCGGAGCCCCTTTCATCTCGCGCGTGCGACGGCGTTGCATCGGGCTGTCAGGAACGCGAATGGCCCCAGGTTGAACTGCGCCGAGCCGGCCTGAAGTCTCGCCAAGATGCGCGAAGCGTCGATTCGATGGAAAGGGGGGCATATGGGCAGTCTGGGCTGACGTGGGGGAGAGCAAAGTACCGGATGCTGCTGATCTTTTGCTGTCGTCCTGGTCTGTTGGTGAGACCACAGACCACATCAGCCAAGCAGTTGGTGGCACATGGCTCACCAGACCCATGCGTCTGTTCCTTGTATATAGAACCCTTCGCATGTCATGCTCTGGCAGGGAAATTAGCTCCCAGGAGACGCCCATTCCTATTGAATCCACGCTCTGAGGGCACGGCCACAAGCAGATGTCCCCTTTGGGAGCCCCCGTGATTTGGTGGCGGGGTGACATGGCTTTTGAAAGGCGCTTTGTGTATGGTCGATCTTTCACAGATCGGGGGCCAGCTCGACGGCAACGGGCCCGACAACCACAAGGGGCGGCACGGACGAGTGAGCTCGAGCAGGAGGCACGTCGCGGATTCGCCGAGATGCTGGCCAAGGTGCCGAGTCCCAGATGCCTGCTGACAACACCAATGAGAGAGGTATTACTGACGTGGGTGACCGCAGCCGAACCCGAGGACCGCCAGGGTCCCGTGGGTGAGAAAGGAGGCCAACCGCCTGCGATTTCATGGCCAACGACGGAAGAGTACAAAAGCATCACATTGCCCGAAAGCCCGAGACACAAAGGGAGGGAGGGTGGAGACAGATCGAGAGAGCATGGCGCGATGAAACCATGTGGCGTTGGCCGTCGACCCTTGAAGTTGCATGCGCTGGCGGGCCCAAGCGGTCGGAGGGTCGGTCATGATTGGATCTGCAGCTCAAGAAACTCACATTGGCTCGGCATGGAAACTCTCCAGGATTGGGTGAGGACTGGATGGAGAGTGAAGAGTGAGCAGTTGTCGGAAGGGAGTGGAGGGTCCAAAGTCCGGGGAAGCCGTGGATTGCCTTCTTGTCCAGCAGTGAGCCCACCACAGAAAGAGACTCCGGACAGGAGCAACTTCTGAGGGACAATGTTGGTCCACCGGGCAAAGACGTCTCGGAAAAAGAAAAGAACAAAGAAAATCCACAGAAATCCACGCAAACAGGTTGAGGTGAGCAGTCCACCTGGAAGTATACGAGGCGTGCACATGTTTCCCCCGCATCTCCGCAAACGGCCTCTCTGGGTCCATCCTTGCGTTTACTTGGTTGGGCTAGCGTGGGATCCAGTTGGACGTCTACTACCAGCAGGACAGTAGTAGTACGGGTCATTTCATTCGCGCTTTGATTTTCTGGAATTTGCCTTTTTTTGGGTGTCCGTTTGATGTCGTGGATGGCGTGGGGGACGCGGGCTATACTTCAACCCGCACCCCCCGCCCTTCCTGGCTCTTCTTTCTTTGCTTTCCACTTCGAAATTTCCATCGGTTTCGCCAACCCTGACTCACCCTGATCCGCAGGCCCAAGGAGGGATCTGCCGTCCCCGAGATCATCATGGTTTATACCATCGGGAACATCTACATCATCACCACGGTGGCCGTCATTGGCGGTGCACTGTTTGGTTTCGATATTGCCTCCATGTCTGCCATGTAAGTCATGCTCCAGAGACCCACGCCTTCAGGGTGGGTGACTTTTTCAAAGTGTCCTTGCTGACAGCTCGTCGTCTCAGTCTTGGCACGCAGCAATATCGATGTTTTTTCAACCAGACTGGGACCAACGAGGAAGGCAGCTGCGGCGGCCCAACTTCCAGCACCCAGGGCGGCATTTCTGCGGCGATGCCTGGAGGTTCCTTTGTGGGTGCCCTCATTTCTGGTATTGTGACAGACTGGCTGGGTCGAAAGCACGCGATCCAGGTCGGCTCGGTCATTTGGTGCATCGGCTCTGCTATCTCCTGTGCCTCGTTCAGCATTGCCCAGCTGGTGGTGGGTCGATTCATCAACGGCCTCTCCGTCGGTATTCTTAGTGCCCAAGTTCCGGTGTATGTGGCCGAGCTGGCGCAGCCCAGTAAGCGTGGTACCGTCGTGGGTGCGCAGCAATGGGCTATTACCTGGGGCATTTTGATTATGTTCTACGTGTCGTACGGCAGCAGTTTCCTCGAGGGCCCGTCGGCCTGGCGTCTCCCCTGGGGCCTGCAGATGGTACCAGCGGTCTTCCTCTTTTTTATGATCTTCATTATGCCCGAATCCCCGCGGTGGCTGGCCAAGCATGATCGCTGGGAGGAGGCACATGACGTTCTCGCCCGGGTGCACGCCAAAGGCAATCACAACGACGCCTTTGTCCAGACCGAGCTGCAGGAGATTCGCGAGATGGTGGAGTTTGAGCGGCAAAACACCGACGCCTCGTATCTCGACCTCTTCAAGCCGAACATGATCTACCGCACTCATATCGGCATGTTTACCCAGATCTGGTCCCAGCTGACGGGAATGAATGTCATGATGCTCTATATCACGTAGGTCCTTGTCACCAGAACCCCTCCCCTCCTCCCCCACAACCGACAAGGAACTCGAACAATGGGCTAACCGCAATTCCTAGATACGTGTTTGGCATGGCCGGCCTTTCCGGCAATGCCAACCTGGTCGCATCTTCCATTCAATACGTCATTAATGTTGTGATGACCATCTTTGCCCTGCTCTTCATCGATAGATGGGGCCGTCGACTCCCACTCCTCATCGGCTCAACGCTCATGATGACCTGGATGTTTGCCAACGCGGGGATCATGGCCTCGTACGGCAAGCCCGCACCCCCGGGGGTCTGAACAACACCCGGGAACAATCGTGGGACCTGTCGGATGCCCCTGCCGCGGCCAAGGGCGTCATCGCGTGCACCTACCTTTTCGTGGCCAGCTTTGCGCCGACGTGGGGCCCCGTCAGCTGGATCTATCCGCCGGAACTGTATCCGCTGCGTCTGCGAGGCAAGGCCGTGGCAGTGTCCACAGCGTCTAACTGGATTTTCAACTTTGCGCTGTCATACTTCGTGCCACCCGCCTTTGAGAACATCAAATGGAAGGTGTATCTGGTCTTCGGCGTGTTTTGCTTCACCATGACCGTACATGTGTTCTTCGCGTTCCCCGAGACGGCGGGCAAGACCCTGGAGGACGTGGACCATATGTTCAACACCCCAGGCCTCAAGCCGTGGAAAACTAAGGTGCAGTTCCAGCACGTGCGACAACTCGAGACGGGGGCAATCCAATCCGAGAAACTGGCGGCCTTCCACGAGGAGCGCGCGCAATCGGTGGACAAAGAAGCTGCGGGCGCTACCAAGGCCGAGCAGGTATAAGGCAGGTGTCGGTAGCACGCTCTTGACGTACAATTGTGTTTCGGGATATCCCCCAAGCACGAAATTGCTTTGCGTAGGATCCCTAATAATCAGGTGGGCCATTGAATTACTTTGAATCACAGATATTACCGAAGGCTACAATACCATATCCGTGGATATGTTATTAGCTTCGCATAGTTGGCATCTGACAAGTAATTGCTATTTCATGTATACCTCTACATTAACATTGTGCTTCAGAGTAGGCAAACCTAAGAAAAAGAATCTTCTCTAATTCTATCGGAACGAGACGGAAAAAGCTGATCATTGCAAGAGAGCAATTTTGTCGACAGGAGGGCTGTTGATCTTCTTGAGTTGTGGCATGTTCGAGCAATGTCGGCAGTTGCAGACAAGCCGAGCCCGCAAGGTACCCCCGGCATTTCCTCTGCAACAACCCTCAAGGACCGCAACCATGTCGCAGCCATACGCAATAACAAAATCGATTAACAGTCCCATATTATCCGAAGCAGCACTTTTCACGGATGAAACAAGTCGACCATGTCTCCTTGCCATCCCCGGGCTGGCTTGGGTCATGCTTCGCCGTGAAGACTCAACGCTCGCCGACCGCAGATCAGCTGCCTCGCTCCACACAGCCCCGGCCGACGATTCTGAGCCAAGCCAGCTGATCGAACAGTCAGACTGTGGAGAGCCACGGCCGCCTTAATAAACTCTCTTCGCATGATGGACCGGATGGGGAAGAGGAGGCGGAGGAGGAGGTGAGACGGTCAGGCTCGATGGCTCTCCACGCGCCTACAGAGTCGGTCGACGTCGACAAATCACAAGGCAATATCGGCGGAAGCCTTGCAGGTCGTGATGCTGGATGGCTTCGCAGAAGAAAATGCGTCTGGGATCGCACCTCCTTACTAGCCTTCGTGCGTAAATAGAAGCACGAGACCCACTGCAAACAGGTCGCGGATGGCATCTGCTACCCACAGCAAAAGCAACGGGCGAGCGCGAATCCCCCATATACATCATGGAGGGGCGGCATCTCAACGAACTGCCACCGAAAGTCCTTTCAGGGCGCAGGTCAGCCCGCGCAGTGAAGCCAAATGAAGTGTACAGGTCTATGGTACTTGCTCTTGGTGTTAGCCACCTCGTCCATGTCGCGACCGACGGTTTACCTGGTTCGACATGGCAAAAAGCCCATGCATGGGGGAACCGGCCTCAGTGCTGATGGCGTGAAGCGGGCCCAGTGCCTACGCCATGTGGTCGGCGCCGATTCCGAGTATGAGATTGACTATATTGTGGCCCAAAGGCCGAGAGCAAGTATGCAACATGAGGCTCAGAAGAGGCAAAATGCATGTGGATCGTATAACCAAGGCGTAGATGGTAGAAGAGCGCGGCCGTACGAGACCATGATACCACTAGCCAGTGACCTGGGTTTGTCGGTTGACACATCGTGCAAACGTAACGAGTACAAGTACGTCAAGAACATAGTCGACCGCTACAATAGAACAGGAAACATTCTTATTTGCTGGGAATATCGTCGGATGACTCATACTGTGGAGGAGTTGGGAAGTAAGGATGCACCAAATTATCCTCATGACCGGTAAGATCCGCGAGAATACCATTTGAGAATTGGATGGAGGGACTAAAGATCGATAGATTCGATATTATCTGGACTGATCCAAGCCCTTATCATGAGATTACATCAATTTATAGCGAGAATTGCCCGGCTTGGATCAGATCCTGAGTCATAAAGTAGAGGTTTGATGCCCCGATTTGACCCCGTGGACCTCATTCCGCACGAGGGTGAGATCGGATACCAATAGACAGATTCATCTGATTCTTAGGATAGCATTGACTTTATCTTATCATATACTGGTGTCCTCTTTAGATTTTCTGCAAGTGACGAGTGTATATTTAGCAATCCATGGCATCACTATGTATACCAAAAGTCCGGGACAGAAAGACACCTGGGTAAGCGCAATGCGGTAAAAGGTTATCTCGACTCCGAGACACTCAGAAATTGAGGAGAGTCGAGAACTGAAGATGCATCTCATAAGAACATTGCGAGTCCCCTATTTGTATATTGCGATTATATTAATTGACAAACTGAGGGGGTGGTCAAATACACTAGGACACTTCGGGAAAGGCTTATTCATCGTTCGCCCAATTTGCCTGAGTGTTTACACAACATGCCACAGTTCAACAAGGGAGACCCCTGAGATCGCTCAATATTAAAGATCGTAGAGTTGATCAAAATTGTGTCTCTAGTCACGGCCCAAGATGATGTCGCGTTGAGAGAGACGAAAAATGAGGACTGTCCATTGGCAAAGTATGCAGCCCTCGTCCATGTTGAATGGCTACTGAGTGTCCAGTGCTGCAATTATAAGCAACAAGATCGCCATTCAGTTCAGACTCGGAAACAAGAACCGTGGCTTCCGCAGAGTTTGTGGAGTCGGCGAAATGGACAAAGTCCTGGGCGACTTGGGAATAATTGGCGACCACAAGGATTCCAGAGGCCGTGTAAATGCGAGTACTGACAAGTATAGCACTGGCGATGACGTTGCCAAACTAAAAGCCAGCTCCTTCTGCGGACTGAATAGATAGTTACGGATTGATTCAAGGTGAATTCCAAGCCGGACTGGAGCTCTCCAGAAGAAAAGATGACCGCACCGGCAAGCAGTCCAGCACTCAGGTCCGAGTGTATATATCCATTTGGGCACCATCAAGAATGTAATGGGTGCATTCTTGGCAACTCCAACAATATTGTGTGTGTATACCGTCCTTTGACCGTAGAAAATAGCACTGCCAATGCCGGCGGTATGTGCAACGGAGTCATAAACAAACACGTATCCTTTTGGACTGTCGCCGGCGAAGGAGGAAGAACGATATGCGCCCGAGTAGTGGGGTACATTCTTACCAACAACTGTACCGTATCCTGCGGCGTGAAGCCGAAGTGAGACAGGCCCGGAGCTGTTAAGGATCCGAATCCAACACGTAGGCGTAGGAGCTATTCCCGTAGATGTAGACATTGGCAGCTCCATTATGCACAGTGATGTTGACATTATCAAGCCACGTAATAGAGTCATTGGCTACGTTCACCGCATAATTCAAGCCATAAAAGCTAGTTTGATATGAGTCACTGGAAAAGCCGCGCTTGATGAGACTTTGACAGATGAAGCTTCTGTTACAACAATGACGCTCGTATCGATTGCAGATACTTTGAAGGTCCTGTGTGAGACAGCCTGCTGTGTGCCATGCCATGAATTGGATAGACTTGATAGGCTGTTTGACTATAGCCCCAGCTGGCAGTTAGTGCGTTGTCGGTAGCATCAGCCTCGAGGTCGGCATAGTCGCTGGGATTGAGAACAGTCACGGCGGCTGTTCCCACCGTCGCAAAAAGGAGAGAATTTCCAGCATTCTCACTATACCTAGAGTATGAATGGCTGAAAGGAGAAAAAAACTGAGATCTGCAGAAGATCCAAGTCTGCCTTGCCAGAGTATGTGGTTTTATGTAATGTAGGCATCCGGAAATTGTTTCTCTACTTGGATATTTGCACAAGCCACTGATGGACCAACTTCATTCCTAGTGTAACATTTTATTTAAGGGAATAGGCCAGACGATGCCGCTCCAGGGTAGAAGCGCAACCTATCCCCAGGAAAAAAAAAAAAAAAAAAAAAAAAAAAAGAAATTTCAGGGGCGCGTGATTAGCCTTCGACATCCTTGATATGTGGAGCCGATACCGGCTGGGGAATTAAAATTCATCATTATCACAGATTTGGAGATGTAACACCTGACGAGTAAAGGAATATAACCATAAAGGTCTTCTGGGAAGACCCTGAGAGTTGTAAGGTTGTCAATAGCAGATAGTTGCTGAGAAGACACTCATTCGGCAAACTGCGTCCAAAAACCGGCGACCGATGTTGGAGACTAACAGAGTGAAATTTCTACAGACCCGCCCAGGATCGCCTTCCATGTTGGAAACATAGGGAAGCTCTTTCAAACCCTAATCACACGATCCTCTAATTCCAGTTGTGGTTAGTTCCGTACTTTAGATCATGTTTCGATTTTGAACAGTAAAATTCAAACGGACGAGGGCTGTAATGTTATGTATTATTACTGATGCAAAAATAAGCTATGCCAGCCATGCCATCGTCCCAACTCAAACACCCCTAAACCGTTGCATAATGGCGCGCAATCTGAGCCCATGGCAGCATAAGATGATTTTACACATGATAAGCAGCAAGAACAGACTATTTCATAGATGGCTACTGTAGGACTGAATAGTACAAAAATAGGGTTAGACCTCGGCCGAACATGTAGCAGTGGTGTGTAACATATGTGACAACCCAGGGTGTAGTGGATATATGCTTCAACCAATGGAATCGCAAAGGAGAGTCTGAATTAATATATAGCCCCTATCCGGCAATTTATGGGGGCAATATGACTAATACAAAGCAATCGGCAATTTAGATAATCCACCTCCGAGCTATGGATTCCAGCATCATATTTCTGTACCCAAACATTATTCCTACCCGTCCTCTATCCACAACGCTGCTTGGAGAGTGGCATTTATAGCTAAATAGCTATGATTTCCTGTTTGCAATGTTAGCCTCTAAAAATGACATAAGCAGAGGCTGCCACTTACACATTACACCAGAGCCTCTTATAACTGGAAAAAGCACAGGAGCTTCCGTAGTCATTGCAGCAATCATTAGAATAGGGTTCAATTCGATCACAGGCAATATCTTTGTCATAATATTGAGTGCTTTCGACAAGCTCTTTGCCAGAATCAATGTCACCGAGTTTGTGGTCACTAGAGCCACAAAATGGGGCGACTCCATACCATTCACACTCCCTGTTCTGATAATAGCATTTACAAAGTGCAGTAGGAAGTGAAATGGCAATTATGGCAAGTTGGACTTTCATAATGTCAAAGAGGTGATTTCCGGAGATTTCTTTGAGGGTGTCCGTGGAGGTTTGAAAAGAGCGATGGTGACGTTGAGTGGAAGAGTAGAAATATCGCGGTATTTATACTAACTCTGAATCACAGAGAACTAAGAAAATCCAGCAGCAGCATAATTAATTCTTAACTCAGCCATCTGCGTTCAGCAACAATGCTAAGACAATGTCAAGGGAGTCTCGCCCGCGCTAGTGAAGTGATTGAATGCAGCGAGAGGAATGCTCGTGAAACTGATATTCTTTACTCGCCCCGCTAATTTCTTTATTCGGGTTTGTCTGCTAATACATTAAAACACCATCCTTGCGTCCTTGGCCTGAACAGTCTCAATTGGAAAGCCCCCTTCGTCGGCGATGTCGGAAGTGGTAATTCAATGCTTCATTTTCTTGTTGGTCCAGTGATGACTGCTATGCTCTTGTGTCACCACTTGACAAAAAGAAAGGGAGAGAATCTGGATTATGCTGGATGAATAGAAAGCCTTCCCAGGGCTTTCAGCCCGACTCAGCAAAAGTATGACCATCGCCCAATGAGATGTGCCAGTGCGCGTAGAACATATGTAAGTAGTAGCATCATTTCAGCTCAAATTACGGCAGCCACACCGGATTAGTACCCCTAGCTACCACCCTTATGTGTACATCTTGCTTGCAGCTGATCAGCTAGTGATAGTCCACCTCATGAATGGCAGCAACGGTTCAATTATGGAGATCGAAGCGGCGTACTACTCGCGGCATGGCCAATGGCATCTGAACACCTGTCCGCAGCCCCGTGGCATCAGAGCTGTGACGAAACGTCACCAGAGACAGTCTTTATTAGTGGTACCGCAGAATTCCAGGCCCCCTGCATAATCAGATACGCTGTGCGACATATGCAAAATGCGCGCCAATTGGATCATTCAATATGGCTTGAACTGATGATCAAGGAATGCATCCAAAGTACATCAGAATGAGCCTTGCTTCCGCAGCTTGCTTTTCCAGATACCAACAGATTCAGCCAGCGTCGCTGAACGGGCTGCCCCTTATTATTATTTATATGCGCACCTTTTCTATACCTAACGTGTTGTATTCCTGATCCATTCGTTGTCTCCATCATCTTTTACCGTGCTTCCTCCTCGTCATGTCAAGTGACAATGAACCCCGTGATAGTCCCGAAGTCTCCAGGGCTTCGGAACCCCCTGCACCGAGCATGGAGGAAGATCTTGAAACGGCAGATCCCATGAGCGCGACTTTCGAGGTCGAATACCTTATGAACGTTAGACTGAAAGAAGACCTTGGGTCTGATGTACCACTTCTCGATTACCGGCTTAAAGTGGATATGGAACATGGATTGTGGAAATTCCGCCAGTTTAAAGGTAACAACCAGTTCGATGATAGCAAAGAGGACTACTGGTTGTTCTCCGTCCATGTGAATGCGGCCGAGATGTTCTTTTTGATCGGAGGCGAGAATGCGGCATTCGCGAAAAGTGTTCCCAACTGGCATGACGCCTTCACAGACGAAAAGACTGAAAGAGACCAAAGAAGTAGTCATTATTCTTCCCGCGCCAAGTTTGGTCTCAAGAAAGAAAGACTTGTGGCTGTTCGTGCCCCCAAGGCGACCAATCCAGCGATCACTGTTTGGGGCAGTGGCAACTATGCTGCCCTCAATTGGGTTGGATTGTTCGTCAAGTCGGCCAATGATGGTACAAACGAATTCATCGCGGTGAGGACCAACAAGAAGCTTCTCCCTAAGTACGACGACAGGGGGACCGTATCGAAAATGCAAGGGGCAGACGTGTCGACCGGCCGCACTATCACGCTGTTTCCCAAGCAGCTATTCGGGACTAAAGGGAATAATCGGAAAACATACGACAAGTTTGTAACTGATGACCCTCACAACAAGTTGGGTAACAAACACTGGGCCTCTATCCCACCAGAGGTGAGTACCGCTGTTTCCGCCAACCCGCATTATTTTACTAATTTTGATCCCAAAAAAAGAAAAGGGTCCATGGTAAGTATCCATCGCATACATGGAATAAAAACGAGGACACCTTGATTACAAGTACCTCTGATTATATTATGATTGGAGGTGGATTCCCCAAACCGACGGAGAAGTTTACTTTCAACTACGCCAATGGGTCATCTCTGAAAGAAACAGATACACAGGGCTTGGAAATGCTGACTCGCACATTTGGATCACTATTACGGGCGATCCTAGGCTTGGCCAGGGGGGACTTTGCGCAAGTCCTGGATGCAATCATGGACATCCCAGACGATATCATTAAAAAAGAAAATCCGGATGCCAAGGGCTTGGTCACAGCAGTGGTGGAAATTGGGAAGGCCCTTTCGGATAAGGCGGGCGAGAAAAAGATCAACACAGATGGCGTCAAAGACCTCGTCACAAAGCTCAGCCTGGTCGACACAGATTTTGGTAGTGGCTAGGGGTCAACAACCTGTGGAGGTGCAGAATGATAGGCTCCACCTGTTGTTTGGTTATTTATGGGTTGTGTTCAAGAATGCTGTTATATGTTCCCAGAAGCTGCTAGATGTTTGCAGACTGAGCGTTTTGCTGTCTGTCTGATGTCGGTTTGTCAGCTTTGTTTGTATGTTTGCCAGATTGTCAGGGTATAAATACCTGCCTTTTCTATAGATCTAGGAATCAAGATTCTTCTCTCTCCCTAGATCTTCTTCTTACAGCTTTGACAGGTTATAAGGCTCTCCTTCTCCCCCTGAATATTGAAAATATCGTTTTTTTCATTAAGAATAGCACTTAAAGTGCTATACAGTACATTGTGATGGTGCTCAATCCTTAAACCATCATTGTGGGATTCAGGGTAGCAATCTCGAAGATATTCAACATAGGAAAGAGAAAGAGAGAGAAAGAGAAGAGAGGCATGAAGGTTACTAATATATCACATGATAGTAAGCATGCATATGGCAATTCGAGACATACCTTGCCCCTTTTCGACTTGGTGTCCTTTAAAGGTACTAAGTACTTTGACTTTACTTTACATTGCTTTGTATGTCTTAAAGAATCATAGTATTATTTTAACGAGAGCTCACCTTTGTTACGGGCCGTTCGAAAGAAGCAGATTCATTAGGTGCCTACAAATGAGTATCTCTAAGATAAAGAAGGATGGAGAAAGAAAGAAAGTCCGCCAGAAAAAGAGGACTTCTATACCCAGCAAAACGCGCACCAGCAAACGCGTAGTGCAAACGACCCAAACTTATGCCTCAGGCACCCTTCCACGAGATGAGGCTATTCCCAGGTTCATTCGTCACAACCTTGCTCTCACTTTGACTTCACCCTTATATTAAAGGGAGAAGTTTTATTGGGGTTGCCTCACGTTGGCCACGCTGTCTCACGTGACATCTACACCGACATTTTGGAAGGCTCCTTCCTACAACTGCCTCTGAAGAGTCAGTTGCTTGCTTCTGGTGGTAGCTTGTCGTCTCTCACGCAGTCAAGACTCGATTTTGTCCCTCCCACCTCCCCTCTGTATATAGAAACCAGTATGGCAATATACAGACACATTGCCTCCTTACGAGGGAGCGCGGACGGGCCTTCTCTGACGCTACAGTCTAATGCGTTTACGCATAAGACCGCAGCGACAGGTGACCCGTTACGGCCAAACTGTACACGTTTTCTGTTCTTTTCTTGACTGCGAGAGGTCACCAATAAATAGATAATCTAATAATAATCAATATATGATAAGTTGTATATCTCGGTGGCATCTCATCATATTCGCCACTTTTGTGAAGGGCTAAAGCCAGACTTGATTAAATCTAACTAGGTCACGAACTGTGTACAAAAAGCTTAAGGAAAGAAGTCTCCTCCATGCGTTCTGTTTGTTTAGTATGCCAAGGACTCGTGGCACACGTGACCAATACCGGGCCAGGGCCCGTGACAATCTTCTTGCCATTCAACCAATGGAAGAAAGCTAAGAAGATCGGACTGCCGCTGGTCCGTGGCACAATCCGGGGCAGCGCTAGGAGAGTACAAGGTGGCGGGCGTGCGACAGAAATTACCAGGCGTGGGATAGGCAATGGTGGAGATCCCGAAACTAAACCTTACTGTTAAGCCTTGCCTATCACTTTGACCCCAGATGGACCCCCAGGAAGCACCAAGCGCTGCAGTAGAGCAACTGTGAGATGCAGAAGGGAGAAGTTGACACTTTGCCAGTTCAGATGTTGTTTTGTTTGCGCTATTTGTTGCGTTTGCGTGAAACTTTCTAAGAATTCCAGGGATCTAAGTTCTAGGCTCTTGTATCTGTCAAGGAAAAGATCACGGAGGCCATTACTGCCTAGATGCCTGGCAGAATCGTGTCCATAACCGAGTCAGACTGAGCGGTCAACTTCAGACTGAGCGGTCAACCTATGGGTCTAAGACCCCTCTTCTAGAAACCGATACGCTTGAGCTCTTTAAGCGTTAATCTTGTGTTTACGCGAATACACGCATTCTATCCTAAGCCTCTCTTGCCTACCACCTAGTCACCCGGCGCCAACCAACCTGGCATATTCCTCTACAGTATCTGTCTTACAATCTATAAAAAGGAAATGGTAATATTACGAGTATGTACAAACCTGTTATTTTTCCCGTATCATGTGATTAGGGTTTGAAAGGGTCTTTTTCTCTCTGTTTCCAACGTGGAAGGCGATCCTGGGCGGGTTTGTAGCAACTTTCTGGTGACTGAGCGACTAGTAACTGAAAAAATGCCTGGACTCTCTCCACATCGGTCCCCCGCATTGTCGCTGCCATAAACATGAAGCATGTAGATGTCCTCGGCTGGACGGCCAAACCGGATAGAGGGCTTCACTTCCTTTTAAGTAGGGCCGAGGAAGTACGCTCTGTATTGTTTTCGACTGGAATTTCGAGAGATGTGCTCAAGCCCTCTGTTTCAAACCATACAAGGAGACAGAATGCAGTCAATAGAGCAAGTCTTGTCATAGACCTGTTGCTGTCACCTGACTTGTTTCTTTCGGTCAAGGGCATGCCGCATTCCATTCTTCTTCAAGCAGTACCAAGCTTCAAGTCCATTCCTCTATATCCACTCCGGCCATCAGATTCAGTACGTTCGAAATACACACTCATTTCTTTAGCACTCATTACCATTGCTCTAGGCTGCCTGCTTTCGTCATCGTACGTGTCCTGGTAAATGGACCCACTGGGCTTGATATGAAAACCAAAATAGATCAAAGCAGCAAAGCCAGAATAAACGAACACAACGGATTTCTGGAAGTGAGTGTCAAATGCAGCGGGGATGAGGGGATGAGGGGATGACAAATTATATGACATCAAAGAGGGGCCACACACAAAGCCCAGTCATGCCGTTTGAATGATCACCTTGGATTACCAAGGGTCGTGAGTTTCAAATTGACGCCAAAGGAGAAAATCAATCCGACAACGATGAAAGACGATATCGCCAAGCCGTGGTCTGCATACTCCCCGGTTTTCGATGTTAAAGAGCGACTTTCGGTGCTTTCTTGGGTGATTGGCTGGGCTCCTAAACCCTAAGTGGAACATTTGGCTTTCGACTATAGAAGACTTCGCCGTGTCTACATCCAGAATTGGACGTCACAGCACAATGCAAGCACAATGGAAGTGGCATTTTTTGTCATTTGATCTGTTTCAGCCGTCGATGCGTTCTAAGCATAGTGCACATTGGCAGCTTTTTAAACACCATCGAAGAAAAGTATTTAGGAAAGGGCATACACCAGTAGATATGTCTACTGGGAATACAACCTCTTACTAGGTAGCAATGGACAAGATGAAGAACCTAGAATTATTTTTCTCAATTCTCTGTGGAATCCTATCCGCCCTGCAAGTGATTGCGACAGCTACACAGCAACGGAATGGAAGCCCGACCAGTTACCCAGAACAGCTTTTTGACAACTCCGAGTACCATGAGACTGCCACTGGCAACTACAAGACCCTGGGTGGCACTCCCAGTGGAGTTGAAAGTCGTTTACCACAGAACAGAATCAGAAGAAACGAGACTTCTTGGAGACTATCGCTTTACACCGGCATGGACTGCGATGATGATTATTACTTCTTGGAAGGAACAAACGTGAAGGATCCGTCAGAGTGTCTTGATCCACATGGAGATATTGGCACTTCATACACAGAGAACGGCGTCTGGTGCAAATATTTCACGAACGGCGGGTTTGATTCGATCTCTTGCGGAAACAGCATCGCCACACCGATCAGGTCATGGAGACTGAGAGGGGGTGTTTGTCTGGCCAACGAAGGTAACTGTACCGCCTCAGGAGGAACAAGCAAACTACTCCTACCCCAGAATGATTGCCAAAAGGCGGGATCGACGATCGATAAATGTATCGCGATCGGATCGCTCAGATGTATGGTGACCTGACGGCATAGCAGCGCGATTGCCAGGGGCAGACTGACAACAAGTGTTGCCATCTTATTCTGGAAGTCTCATTAAGGCACCGTCATTGGGTGCGACGTGAGATGACGCATTGGTGGGAATTGACAAATTTGTGTGCTTCCTTTCATCTACACTATGGATTTATGATTTGATGTCAATCTTGAATTACAGCAAAGACTATTCCGCGATATTGTACAGTACTTGGAAAGACTAGGCTTCACCCGAAGCTAGATCAAGAAAGAGACCATCAAACTGCACTGGGGACGATTTCGAGTTTAGTAATAGACCTCATTCATGTATCGTATCGTGTCCGCTGAATCGTCCTCTGTCATCTGAGCTTGCACTCGCTTCTGAGATTTCAGATCCATGGCGTGGTCTTTGGAGATTTCCATTTTCAAAGGATTCCTGGAAATAGGAGGTTCGGCCAGTAACCACATCATCAATAGACACGGATGGCACGTTAGAAAGGGAGGATGGACTCCGATAATGCCCCGGCTGATATGGCTGACCAGAATCAGATTCGGCAATACTCTGCAGGGAGACCGGGGAGTCTGGGCTCCGCAAGGGGCTGAGTGGCGGCGAAGTATTCGGCGTGGATGAGGTAATATTGTATTGCGTTGGCAGTTCGGCCGGCGAAGAATCTAAGTAGAAAGCTATTGTGAGAAATTGGCATCATGCCGGTGAAAGAATACTGTTCTTACCATGCATTTCGTAGACGGCATCTCCGCCAGACTCAACCGTCCGAGGGGAAACGGAGGTCCCAATCGAGTCTTGGACGGTAGAATGGGTTACACCAGTGTCCGCGCCCGTGGAGTTGGAGACCGGGCCAGGCCTTGGAGAGGTTGGGCCGCCTGCGTACATCAATTTCCGCTCCTCCATATTCCCGGGATCTTCCGTTGTTTGAGATTTGGACTCCTGGCGCTGACGGCGACGACGACGATAAAACCAAATCCCGGCGATGATAAGTGCAAGTCCAAACACACCACAGAGCACACCGATTACCGCCTTGGCCCACGTGGCGAGTCCATGGCCCTTGGTATTTGATTCTGCAGCGCTGGTGCTATCGTATGGCCAGTATGTCGCGATAGTTTTTGTATATTTAATGTCGAAAACTCCTTCCAGAGAACTATTTGTCCACGAAGATGGAGCAGTGATGGTGGCTCCTCCCGAGGAGCTAGCAAGGGTTAGCGCGATCAATGAGCTCTCAGGGAGTCAGGGCCAACTTACTCTCCTCCTATCTGATCTGTGAGTATTTTGGGGACTTGATACTCTGCCCACTGCGAAGGATCATATTGTTCTTGGAATTTAAGGCTGTTGAGATTGAAGTTGACGATGACGCCGTCTTCCAAACAATGGGACGTGTCGACATGCTGCCCTCCGAACACAAGCATTTGGTCTGGATAGATCTTGATGCACCTGTGACCACTCCGACTGTGGGTACTTGTTCCTTTGTAGGCCTTGACCCACTTAAAGGACGGCAGTGAAAGAATATACACGTCGTCGGACGGATTACCGTTATAGTCGAGGCCATCGTACCCGCCGTAGATGTAGATATTGTGTGATGAGCCATCCGAGGCGCTTGCCAGAACCGAGCAAAACTGCGTCAGCTGCGGCGGTATATCACCGGTGGTGTTCTGAAGGTACCAGGCCTGGCTCTTGACGTCGTACACCGAGACTGTTTCCATGAAGGTAGGGCTGATATTCTTGCTGTTCGCTATCTGCGAGTCATCCAATTTCGTTCGTCGAAAAAATTCAACGGGGTCAACAACCCCTCCAATCGCCACCAGAATTCCCGATTCAGCGACTGGGACCCAAACCAGCTCTGCTTTTGATCGACCTAAGATGTAGTCCGGCAGGGTGTCGTTGGCCCACTTGCTGTCCCCCATTTCCGACATGTCCACGCTAATCAGCGTGTTGGCCGTGGTGTTGGATTGCAAACCTATATAGTCAAAAGAGCCCCAGTCCGGGGCGCGCATCCCACTGAAGTAAAAGCCCAAATTTTCGCTCGGGGCGGATGCACCTGCTCCATTCGTGATATACCTTGTCATCCCCGAGGGAAGATCTTCGGCGTGCCAGCCGGGAGCCCAGAAGGAAGCATCGGAGCCATATTGATAAGCCTCATATCCAAGGACCGTGTCATCAGCTGGAGGATCTGTCACATTAGTGGCGCGCAACATGCCACTGGACATATGTTAACGAGATGACCGAGCTGCAGCCTTTGGGGAAGAGCGACGGACCCGTAGAGATAAAATTCATCATCATTGGAGAACATAAAGCCGTCCACATAGTTCGGCGCCAGATTGCTGGCAACACCACCCGCCACCGTTTTGTTGTTGAGAACGGTCATGAAGTCCGAACTGGCATTGAATGGTGTTGATAGATTCAGATAGTATATATAGCCTTGGTAATTTCCTGTTTGCAGGTCAGCTTCCAGTTTCTGCAATCTTCATTTTCATCACTTTCAGCGTACCGTCGTTAATTGGGCTTCCACACCCGTCTTCATATCCCCTATCGTCATCAGCAGACGTCCAGCGCAGCCCGGGTAAGCTCCAGCGATCACGTACTTCATCAACCAAAGAAGACCCCCGTCCAAGAATACGGTATCGTGGAGCACGTTGACTACGGCCGTCAGAAGGGAACAAATTGGACAGGGAGAGGGCAGCAATCCATGCAGACATACCGCGCAGTCCTTGCCAATTGCACATTGTCAGATTGATTTGCTTCTCCCATGTATTGCACGCTGCAGCGGCTCTGTCAACCGCGACCGCCAGCATGGCCCATGCGAGCCCTGAGAAGGATCGCATTTTGCACCGTTCGCTCTCTAATCGATCTCCCTTCCAAGCTAGAAGGCTTTCGCGATCAGATTGAGAGACAGAGAACTTCGGAAGGCCTGGTGCAGTACGAGACGAGACCCTCTCGCCCTGACCCTCTCCGAGCTAACTGGGCTCCGTTGCTATTGACCGATGAAATGTAGCTCAGGATTGGCAAAAAGACTCGATCAAAGCGACATACGAGGCTGGCGGTGGGCGCAGCATCGACTTTCTTGGTCGTGGCACTCTTCGTCTCTTTGTTCTCCAGCACGTCTTTGATGTCGCCCCTCCACAATCTCCGCCCCGTGCGCACCCAACGAGCCAACGGGAAATGAAGCCCCCCGCACGACCTGGCGAAGACTCGAAGAACTCCCTGCGCGGGTTTCTGATCATTACTCTAACGGGGAACTCGGGCACCAAGCTGGAGGCTGCATACAACGCACTAATCCCGCACAATGGTGCAGGACAAGGCGGTGGGGTCGGCACAGATTGGTGGGCGCCGTGGGGGAACGAGGTCGTGGGGCGCCTGAATGGGGGCATCTCATGCAGTCGGGAGGAATGCACGCTTGGTGATAGAGTTCATTGCTCGGACTGAACTCCGTTCGTGGACAAGGCTGTCAATCTCTCGATGGAGGGGTTCCCACGCCCCTCGCGTGTGCCGTGCGGCTGAATGGGCCTGCATTCGCTAGCGCTGCCGCGTAGCTAATCAATTCCCCATCCGGGCTTTCTCGTGCTTGGATGTATTGAAAGAGATGCAGTCAACACGAGACGGAGGCTGTCGGGCAGACAGGCGGTGTTGGCAGTCTGGGCGTCCTCGCCGGCTTTTCTTTGAGCCTCGCACCATCTCCTTTTGGGAACTCGGCAATCTACTAGAGGGGAGGGCCGTGCATTCCTCTCTACTTCTCGCGGCCTAGCCGAACTGCTTTTTGTTTTCCCCTGCCGGCCCTCGCCAAGCGTGTGCTGTTCTCGAGACTCGAACATGAAGGCCTTCGTTGCAGGGTCGTCGCTGCTGGCAAGTGGTGTTGCGGCACTCACCACTTCGCCCAGCGTGGGAGACGATATTGCGCCAACAGCGGTTCCGGTGCTCCCAGCAATCACTGAACAGCCGGTGCCGAGGGGACTATGGCAGCCAGCAACGGTGACGGTCACAGTCTCAGTCGGAGTGACCATTGGGATCGGCGAGGGCGAGATACATACAATCACAAATACCGTCACTGATACTATCACGGACACCATCACGGACACTCAAACGCTCACCCAGACTGTGACTCAGGCTGGAAGCATTAAGACAGAGACTATCACGAGTACTGTCACCAACACTGCTATTCGCACGATCACAGAAGGCGGGAGTGCCACGATTACAGAGACCGTGACCAAGACTGTCAGTGGCTCGACGGGCCCAACGGTGACAGAGACGGTGAGCATTCCGGCAACAACCGTCACGAACACCGCGTCAACGACCATTACGGCCAGTCCGACAACAAGAACGATCACAGATACTTCGACAATCACAGTTTCCGCCGGGGGTTCGACGGTTACAGTCTCCGGATCAACAGTGACTGCCCCAGGATCGACAATTACTGAGCCGGGATCAACGATAACTATCACAAGAACGGCGATATCTAGCGACACAGTCATATCAACTGAGACGTTGCCAGGGTCTGTTACGACAGTCCCAGCGTCAACAATCACGACGATTTTCACAGTGCCTGCGAGCACTGTAACAGTACCAGGGGGCACTAGTGTAATTCCAGGATCGACGACGACGAGCGTCATCACACAGCCCGCCAGCACAATCACCGTTGCCGGTATTTTCGAACCGTACTTCGTATATTGATAACGGAACTAACAAATTGGAACAGGCCCGGGAGAAACTCAGACAGTGCCGGTCACGGTTACTCATACAGTGTCCAGTCCCGGGAGTACGAAAACTCAAACTGGGAGCACGGTCACCACCACTGTGTCGACTTGCGCGAGTTTGGTCTTGAACCCAACCTACACGCCCAGCTCTGTATTACCAAGTGACTATACATGGGGCTGCCCACCAGGCTTCCTTTGTCAACCACCCCACACGGGTGACCGATCTGGCTGCAATGTCGAAGCAGGCCTTCCTGCCGATGGGTACGTGTGTGATCCGTCAGAGTGTATCCCGGCCCCGCCAGTGGTCTTCAACGAGTCATGGGCCTCGGATACTACGGGTCAACACTTCAACTTTTCCCGGGATTATTACAACCTAGACCCCGAGGACTTCGGACTACAGTATGATATCTTCCTCACCGCAAAGGAGCACAATGCAACCAATAGCAAGCGGGACCTTTTCCTGCTTGAAGGCGGTGGTTCGGCCCCCTGGGACCTTGTCGTCGATCGGATGGCCAAACGGGATCTTTCAGATATTCCGGGTGTCTGCTGGAATGATTGCAATGATGCCGCCATCGAGCAGCAGTCGATCGGCAAAAAGCCAGAGCTCTGTGAAGAAGATTCGGTGTATCTGATGGATATCGGGAACTGCAAGACCTGCATCAGCAATTGGGCAAGCTCCCCGTCGGACCCATACTCATCCAGCTTGCTTCCCACGTTTACTCAGTTTTTGGCTTATTGTTCTGACCTGAGTACCACGGCGACTGCTAGTACAACAACGGATACCAGCTCCGCAACGACAACTGATGTCTCGACGACGGGGACAACGACAGCGGTGAGCTCGACAACAGATAGTTCGGCGACCACAGCTGCCAGCACAACCATGGAAACCAGTTCTGTAGGAACGACAACCGATGTCACATCGAGTGGTGAAATCACGCGATCGACCTCCAACCACCAGAGCAGCGACGCAAGCACGGATACCGGCTCTGTGACGGAGATCACCGCTTACACCACCATCACTGGCATGACAAACATCGCGGGCTCCACGACTATTATTGGATCCACAACGATCACGGGATCAGCCACCATGACTGGCTCAATCACGATCATTGGCTCGCACACTATTGGTGATTCATCAACGGGAAGCAGATCGACATCGGCAGCTCCATCATCCCGGGGAAGTACTGCCCTGGCCGGAGTGTCAACGGTTATCGAATGCAGAACCACGATCCTGGGACCGGCCCATGACAAAGAGCCAACGACGACGGAGATGGCGACGGCGACAGGCGAACAGTCTCGTACCGAATCTTCAACGCCGGTGGAAAGCTCCGGTGGGGAGGCCACGGCGCCCGCATCGGCGACTTCCTTCAATGCGGGCAATTCAGGTAGACGGATCTCATACGGAAGCCTAACAGGGGGCCTTTTGGGATTGATACTCCCATTACTATGACCTTTCGGGGGATTATGACGATGTGATGGTATATCTTGGGTCTCATATGTATGCAGCGATATATAATAAATAATCATGTTCATCTCAAATTCGCACAATTGTGGACATATATGAGTGTCTCCTCCCGTTGCCAAACACTACATAACCATTCACTAGAGTTTTTGCAGCGCATCCGAGGAACATGAATCTGCTCTCTTGCGAAGAGCTCATGTTTGCATCTGCGATATTGTGTGATCCTGCCCAGCAACTCCGGGTTGTGCAGAGTAAATCTGGCGGCAGATTCACACTGGTGCATATGATGGGGCTCTAGCCATTCTAGGGGGGCCCTGCACACCAGTGCATCGTGAAATTATTTCAGGGTACGAGCGCGGTTTATTTGTGCTAGTTCACCCACTTCTCACGCGTGATCACCTCCCCGTATACATAGATACTACACTACTACAGAATGTAGGGCACCTGAGTCGCCCGGCTGCTCCCGACAGGCCCACCCGCGAGCTAAGGTTCACCGCAGGCGATCCTTGGATGAGATCAACCTTCACTCCCCTTCGCTGGCTTCGCTGGCTTCGCTGGATGGGAGCGTGTAAGTGATATTCGACTCAGATATCACCCGAATCATACGGATTCGATCGCCTCCTGGTCGTGGAGCATCACGTGGCTATGCCGGTAATAAAAACATTTCTGCTATCACCGATCCTTTCCGGTTTCGCCGCCATTCTCTTGCTGTTCCTGCGAAATACATTCGGGTGGCATTGCATGCGAGTGGGAATGAGTTTCACCGCATCGGTATTCAGGGCTCCCCGTTTCCCTGTAATCAGCTGCTGGCTTGCTTCGATTTCGTATGGGAGCAGAAGACGCAACGGAATTCGGTTGGTATCATTGCACCCTTTGCCCGGGTGCTGACATGCCCTAGCCGTTCAGTAAGCAGTCAATACCTTGCATGATTGACTCCCTTCCGCCTGGCACCAAAGTAACAAAGCCCCGAGAAATGAGCCGCAGGCCGAGAATGCGAAATTCTTCAGCCTTAGCTCTCGAGCGCGTCCCAGCATGCGTTCGGTGGCGGGAAAATGGCTGCCTCGTGGTCGTCCGCTTTTCGCGGGGTGGTTTCACGACGCACTCGGGTATTCTTACGTGAACTGACAGTATACTAAGGCAGACTACTCCCTTTACAACGGCTGGATACAAACACACCATCGACAACAATATGCTGGGTTGACTGGGCATAGTGTGTATGATGTCTGCATTCGTGTCCTTGACCGGGTGGCCAATTGCAACAAAGACACCGAGAAGGTACAGCCGTTCCGTGATCTTTTAACAATGGAACAGATGCACAATACACGTCAGTTTGGGGAAGAATTCCAACTGTGCTGTCGAGCCTGCGAAGCGCCCATTGGAATTTGATCCGACCATTTTTGACGCGGGGTCCTGAAGCCAAGACTTGTATATGCAGGGGTCTCAAGCCCAGCCCCTCATAGGCAATTTCCATTAAACGTGATTGTCCCTCTCTGTTTCTCCTCTCTACGCACCCATTTTTTTCCGATCCTAAGCATCTCCTCTCAACGAGGCGCATTGCTCTTGCCTTATTCACGAGGTTTGCTCGTTCTCAAGTCATCTCGTCCGTGGGACACTGAGAATAGGGTCGCTAGCTCCCAAGGGCAACGGTCGCTGTCGCTAATGCCATATGTATATGCCGGCAAATTCGCGACAATAGCCTTCTAGAACTTCCACTGATTGATCCTCGACTTCATTACGTATCTCGCACAGTCGCCGAGAGAGCTCCTGTGTCATTACAATGTCGAGTCAGACCGGCCACGTTCCCGTTCACGAAACTTCCCACACATATCGCCCGGTCGCACTGGAGGAAGATGAGCAGATCAAGAGCGGCAAAGGCTCCGGTCAAGGCCGTCCATTGTGGACACCTTTTTTCTTACGTCGTTCGACCATGGTGGCATTCTTGCTCGCATTCATCGCCATTTTATGTTCGCTGGCTGGACTTTTCGTCTATACAACACGCCGGGATAGCAGCCTGGGAATCCAGACCGCAGGCAAAATGTACTACTATTTATGGACGTACGGCCCAACCGCCGGTATGTTGCGAACACCATCATGTGATTGACAACTTCGTCATTTCTCGCTAACCAAAAGCTTCGTTGGGTAGTGCTCACAGTTTTAGCTTCGTGTTGGACGCAGGTCGAATATCGTGTCATCCAGCTGATGCCCTGGGTCTTGATGTTCCGCGGCCCAACAGCTGCATCAGAGAGCATCTTCCTCGATTACTTATCCAGTTGGAATGTGGAATCGTTGTTCAAGTCTATCAAGCGCAAGCACTACTTGGTATCTCTTGGCGTTGGAGGCTCACTGCTCCTCAATGCCGCGATTGTGTTCTCGACTGGTTTGTTCGAACTACGACCGGTCTCGATAAGTCAACAGGCCAGCCTAACCGCGACACACATGTTCGACGGGACCAGTTGGAATCCACTTTCTAACGATGGTCGAGCATTCGCGGGCTGTGTCGGGCTTCTGAAAGCGAACCTGACTCCACCTATTGGCATTCACGACAACTACATTTACCAGCCTTTTCAAAACGCCAAGCTGGATCCTGTCAATAATTATACCGTCCAGAAACATCACGGATATGAAGCAAAAGTGAACATTTTCAAGCCAACCCTGGAGTGCTCGAATGCAACAGTGAGAATAGACCCGCTGCATGGTAAGGTCAACCCCAATGACCCTCAGAATTCCACAGCCGTTTACACGTCGGAGGATGGCTGTTCTGTGGACATTGTCGGTGTCCCAAAAGCTTTGATTCTCAGCAAAAGGATTGGAATCAATGTCTTTATTGCTGGATGCCAGGGCCAGAGCGTTGGTTTCTTCGATGAAAATAATGCGCATATGAACTGGAGTGTTGACTGGCGTCTCTGGGCCGAAATCGCGCCGACCATGGGGAATGGCACCAATGAGTATGCTGAGCCCGATGGGTGGGAAAAGAAAGAAATAAGAGTCACCATGTGCAAGCCAGGGTATGACTTTCACCGAGGTCCTGTGAAGATCGAACGAGGCGCCGGGGAAGGCAACATCATCTCTTCCATAAACCTCAACGACATCACCATGGAAAGCCCAATCACGGACGTGAGTGGCGGAAAATTGGTTTATGCTGCTAGTAGGTCCCTTGCGATCGCAGATGGCTTCACCGGACTCACTCACGCGACTGGTTATCAAAATATCTACGCGTCGAATCTCGACCCTGAGCAGCTTTGGGACTCCTCTGATCTATTTACAGAGGCAATTCACAACTCATTCTCCTGCCTGATGGGGCAGGTTGCTAAGAACTCTCTTTTGGTTGAAGGCCCACAGAACATACAAGGTATTGAGCGAACGACTGAGGCTCGGCTTTTTGTGCGTGAACTTTCATTTTATGCAATGACTGCTCTGATCGCTCTTCTCTCCAGCATCGTGATCTTTCTGCTTTCTCACTACGTCCCCGTCACTGTGTGCTCACGCGATACAAGCTCCATTGGAGGGCTAGCCACAATATTTGCCCGAAGCCCGGATTTCATGGCTGACTTGCACTGGATTCATCTACAGTCTGAAACCCAGATGGCAAAGTCCATCTTAGGACAAAATAGATATACTTCAGGGATATCAGAAGACGGATCGTTCAGAATCTCCTCTTACAAAGAGGGCGCTTTTTGTGATGAGAACATTGCCACGTTCGTCGAGAAGACAGAAATTACTTGGTGGCGACCTCTGTCTGCGACCTGGGTTGTTCGGCTTCCTCTAGTGGTCATGTCTATTGCCGTGATAGTTGGCCTAGAAAGTGTTTTTCACATTTCTGAGAGTTCTCATGGAATTGCTCTGGTCGAGGACAAGTCGCCATACCTTCATTATCTGTGGGTCTATCTGCCGGCAGTCATTATGTTTGCCGTGCGATGTCTTTTTCAATCTGTTGAATTCGGTGCACGAATTATTCAACCATACTCTCGCCTCCGAAAAGGATCCGCTCCCCCGGAGACCACTATTTGGGAAAATCAGCTGCGCAAGATAGCTGCGTACGGAGTATATGATGCTTTTCGAAAGGGACAGTGGGCTCTGGCTACAGCGACAATTGCATTGCTTTTAGGAGCGATCACTCCTATTTTTGTCTCGGGCCTCTACACGACAGCAGACTCCGAGCCCACATTTACTTGCCGCCTTGCCCAAGAGACCAAGTGGAATCTTGAGACACCTTCCAATGGCTACCAGTCATACTGGTTCAGTCGGAACTTGACTACAGACCTCATACCAGGCATGATACTTGGGATGAATCTATCATATCCCCAGTGGACATACAAAGATCTTGCATTTCCCCAATTTGCTATCTCCGATCCCGAAAAGTCCGCTGTCAATGGATATGTCCAGGCGCGTTTGCCAGCTTTGCGTGGTCGACTTGAATGTCAAGAGCGCAAAGACAGCAATTGCACCTATGATTCGATTTTTCATTCATGGAAATGCGATCCCGATTTCAACACCAACGGTACTGGATATGTTCGATCTGTTTCATGTCCCGGAAAGAGAGAGTATTATTTTGATGGATCAGGCGCGGTTTCCAGACATGGCCATCCAACCCACCGCATGCTATTCAGCAAATGCTCCGCAGGCAGTGGATACAACACATCGGAATCCTTGCATGTGGTGGACTGCAATGCGAAAATCGAAGAGGTTGACGTTGATGTCCGCTTGGAAACGCCAAATCTGTCCTTTGATGCCGATTTTGAACCTAGGGTTGTGGAAGGATCCACCCGCTTAATCCCGAATACAAGCATACTCTCTTTTGTTGCATTTGGGGACATGAGAAGGTTCCTGATCAACGCGCAGCCTTCAAGCGGCAGTGACACTGTTTCCGATTCAGGAGACGCCGTGACCTGGACTGCAATAAATGGGATCAATGGAGTTCCTGGAGAGGAATTACTGAGCCCGACCACACTCATATCGCGGGTGAATGAAATATTTGGAATAATCACAGCACAGGCCTTGAATAGTGGTGGCCGAGAGCCCTTCGACCTCTCTCAAAACCAATCATCGATAATCTGGCCCACAATGTCGACAGCGCCGACTTACAAAGCGGTTCTCCATGACAAGCGAAAATATCTGGTTCAGAACAAGGTTTCAACTCGGATTCTCGAAGCGCTTCTTGGTTCTATGCTTCTGTGTGCCTTGATTTCGCTATTTTTCATCAAAACAAAAAAGGTTATTCCTAAAAACCCATGCAGTATTGGAGCCGTGGCAAGCCTATTGTATGGATCTGGAATGCTCAGTCCAGGAGCCATTCCAAAAGGATCCGAATATTGCACTGACGACGAGTTGAGACAGCGAGGGGTTTTTGAAGAAAAGAAATTTACAATGGGATGGTGGAGGGCAAAGGAGCAATTGCCAGGGGACAGTGGACCACACCCAACGACCGAGGAAGCTCAAGGGAACTCTGATCTTGTTCGTACATCCTCCTATGCCGCGAACCACTCCGAGGAAAGTGCTTATCTCAATGTGGAGGGTGCAAGGGGAAGGAGTAAAATATTTGCCATTGACATCGATTCTGGGGAACAGAGAAAGCTCCTACAATAGCTAGTGGGCTCCTATCTAGCATTTTCTTTCCCTGACGGGTTATCAAGGTCCAATGAACCCCATATTTGAATTTGATTTATAGTTAGCGATCAATTTTGTATTATTCAGCCGATTTTCAGGGTAACTATTTCAATGCCGGGAATGTGGGTTTTGTTAGGTTCAAATGTAGTCGAATTTTTTTGATAGGGGGGCCATCACCCACTAGTTAACAGTGATGTAGCACGTATTATTAATGTCAAGGGAAAAGTCACTGAGGTCATTACTGCCTACGTGCCTGGCAGAATCGTGTGCTTAACCGAGTCAGAACTGCTTTAATTCAGAGGAAATTCATTGAGTTATTGTTTTTTCAGTGGGAATAACTGAAGCTAGTTAGTATCAAATCCGATGTGCTTGATTTCGAAGATAGAAAACAATGGGCTTGTAAATCAATGTAGTTCGATTTTAAAGCCGCCATCTGCTATATTGAAACTTTGCCAATATAAGTCTAAATGCTTCCCAGAAGGGTGCACATTGAAGAATAGATTAAAATACCATGAACACTAAGTCTAGGCCATCAACGTGCAGTCCCGGCAGAGCATTCTAGGTCCGTTTGCTATGTACGTGGGTGACACCTATGTTCAGTGCCGAAGCTTACTTGGTTTGCCGGCATCCAATAGGACGCTATATTTACCTCCAACGGAAGAAAATGCGCCCAGAGGGTGCCTAAAACTTCATTATTCCACTTCCACTGTACGAACTCATGTGACACCGGGGCCTTGTGTTCTGCCGCCTTGCAACCCGCCACTGTCTGTTTGTTCCTCATCTATATCTGCAACACCTTGGAGATCATCCAACTTGATTTATATTGTCTGAGAGTGGATCTTTAGTTTCTTTTGCCAACGTTTATTGCCCTCGGGGCTTTACCTTCCACGGGAGGGAACAGCAAGTCCATGTATCGTCAAATAAATATAGCCGCAAAACGATTAAATTAGAGCAGTCTGGGTGTGTCTCCTAAGTCGCCTAATAAAGGAGAGAATTTGGCTCGGTAGAGCTAGTTAGAAATAGTAAATAGAGAACGACGAGATCGAATAAATGCTGCAAATAGGCAGGCCACCAATGGCCCAACGGTACTTCATCCAGATAGATGATGACCTATCATCATTCAAAGCTTTCCCTGCATCCCATCCTCAGCCATCTTCAAGACCGGCTTCAGATTCCCCGGCTGCACCTTTTCCCATAGAGAGCCACTGCCATCCTCGATTCCCTGAGCATTCATCTCTCGAAACCACTGTTCAGCAGTCTTGAACCTGTTTGGATGGATCTCATCAAGCAACTTATAGTCTCTTTTGATTATCCCCTGATTATGGCCAGAATGTTTCCACAGATTCCAAAATCCGGTGAAATTTTGTCGAATTGTCATGAAAGCCGGGTCACTGGGATCGGAGTTGTAACCACTTCCCAGCTCCGCAGCCATGCTCATTGGCCCTGTTGTCCAGTATGTGTCCAGATCCACATCAATAAAGCGCGCCGAATGTCCTGTGACGGCTTCGAAAGCCCGGGCTAGGTCCTCATAATGTAGATGTTCAATGGCGACTTCCAAGTCCAATCCATTTGCTTTGTCGATGTTGTCGAATAGCCATCGGGCATAGTACCCGCAATCCTCTAGCGACACATGGGGTACAGCACCTGCACCTAATGGCGCCCGCCAAGTAACGATACCATCTTCCACCGTTGGAGTCATCGGTGTCCCGTTCGCAATAGTCATATCGATATAAGGACCAGATGTCAAAATAGAGGCCTTCATCCGATCCTGGTTGATTTGGTTTTGGAAAAGCACCCATTCAGCGATTCGTCCTTTTCCATCGTAATGTCCGCAGCGGAACTTTGGATCATATCCACTCTTCTTATATCCATAATCCAAGTTTCCGTAGACAAAAAAATTGATTCCTTCTTCAAGGGCAAGCTCGTAAGCGCGAATTGCCCAGTACGTCTCAGTTTTTTCGCCACAATTGAACCCATCAATATTGATAAACGCGCCATCACAACCTCTGTAGCCTTGACGTAGATCGGATTCACTGGCAAAAGTACCTTCTATGAATTCGACGTTTCCAAGAGATGCTAGGCGTTTAGCACGAGGGGAAGTTTTGGAGCGAGTCAGCACTCTGACTTGGTACTTTTTATCACACACTAGTCTTGAGACAACGGGTATGCCCTGGGCACCGGTTCCGCCAACGACAAATATCTTGGACACTTCTTGTGATGCCATGGTGGTGGAGAGAAGCGAAATAACGGAGCAGTTCAGGGAGCAATTTGGCGATTTGGCGATATTGCGATTTGAATCTCCCAGTAAGGTGAGATGACGAAGCTCCCGACAGTATTGTTTTTGCAAGTCGTTCGAAATACGTCCAAGGGCTTCATATATGTTAAACCATTGACTCACAGGCTGCAAAGTGAAGTGGCGTTTCATTCGGACATCTGTCGTCATCCAAATATCATCGATTTCCTGATTACTGAACGTCCCGTGCGTGACCGGTAGCCGACCACCAATATTGCTAACCGGACCACGGCAACGATCGATTAGTTACTTTCTAACATTTTTGGTCCCGACTTAGTAGCTCCAATAATAGAATACGGTATCTCGCAAGCGGAATTGAAGATAAAGAGTTGTATTCGGATCGAACACGGACGGCATGAACCCCAAGTCCCCGGGGCTATGCAAGCGAACATCACTGGAACATACGGTAATGATTAATTGGACGTAGTGATTAATTGGGAGAAGTGATTAGAAGAGGGGGTGGGAGAAGGGATGAATGGGTCGGTCTCCTCATCAAGACTTAAAAAGGAGGACTGTCAAAAACGCGTGAAAGTAGATAATGAATGGGCCGAACGCGTCAAATGTAGAGTGGAGCCAAACGACTGCTGTCGGTATCAGTGGAGAATCAGTATTGTAAGGGATGGTCAGATTGAATCATTGTAACTTAGCCAAGAGTATTAGTCATGCTCGGTCGCATACAAATTCGTGTGAGAACGAACATAACCAATGCAGATGACAAGGTATCTATGATTCGTCTAGGTGATTGGGTCTAAAGCGGTACCGACAACTGCGAACTCGACCATTAGTGACTCGCGTACGATCATGAGTAATCGTATTGAACTACAATATACAATCAGAAGGCCAATTTGATTTCCAGCCAACTTGTTTCTTCGTATAGACATCTCGGGAATTATTTCCGCCGGTGCGGCTTTGGTTCCTGTTTTGCACCTGCCTCATATCACAACAATATTGACACCTTGAAGTTCAGACTATCGTCTTCAAAAACCCTACGATCTCTTTGTACCAATTTGTGCTTGATTTCTCATCTGCGACTACGAGCACAGATTAGATGAGGAAAATATCGGCAAAATGTCCCGGATCGAAATTCTTGAGTAGTTGCATTGACTGAAGGAGCATCTTGTTTGGTGAGAGTTCAAATGTTGAGCCCGTGGTGTTAAGTAGCATCGTATGTATCTCGAGCGTGTTTTGTTGTGTTTATGTCCAAGGTAGGAGACAAAAGTGGGACAGTGACCGCTTCATCTCCATCTGCCTTAGCCTGCAACGCCCGGGCGACTCGGCCAACGTGGCAACTTCTCGGCAGGGCCAGCGTCACCATTACGTCCCAGGCGGAAGTCGTGGCCCATGCTGACAGCGTCAATGATGCCAATGTAGTTGGCGTCGTACGTAATCGAGTCATTTTTTAGGCAGTCCGCCAGAGCAGATGCATCCGTCGCTCTTGCTGCTAGGTCGTCAAGGTACCTAGGTAAGCCTTCCGATTCACCTTAGTATGAATCGTAGTTGTTGTGATATGTCGTATCGTAACGGAATCAATTCCTAACCTCACGGAATTACCAGTTTTGATTGGAAATTGTCAGGATGAGGAATCGATGTACTGGCTAGTACTGAAGATGTCCAAACAGAATAAGATGATTGATTCAAGGTTCCCCCGATCGGTTGAGCGATCTCAGGGGTCTTTATAGTTGAACTATGGCGTGTTATGACACCATACTAGGTGGAAATTGGGTGAACGATGAATAGGCCAATCCCGAAGGGTCCTAGTGGTATTTGACCACCCCCTCAGTTTGTCAGAAATCAATCTGGAGGTCGCATGTGTATATAAACCCTCAAGTTTTCTTGTCCAGAAGGAAGAAAAGCAATCTTCCTTTGACTTACAACAGTAGTATATAGCGACATAGCCCTGTTGGGAAAGCCTTTTGGCATACGTACTGGCAGCCTGCTCTTTCACGCCTCCAGTGGGATGAATTACAGCTAGACCAAGAGCCTTGATGAAAGAAAGGATGGCTTGAAGACTAAGTCAGCGAGCTTGATAGATCTATTAATGATCGAGATTGCCGACATGACCGTGAGTTTCGGTGAGAATAAAGAGTTTGCAATAAAGCGGTGCTGATAATGGCCAGTCTGTACTCAGGGTTATATAACAGTCGCCTTTCGCGGGGAAGAGCAGTTGAAATTCTGCGACAGGACGGATATAAGAGCGCTGACACGTGTTTGCGGCACTCTGCCTCAGCCATGGAATCAGTCAGTCAGCCGATATGACATCAGCAAAATGTTACCGCAATGCAAAGTTAATCAATCTTTTTCGTTAATACTTGAATAATCACTCCTACAAAGGAAGAGAATGGATACTTATGTCGATCGGAAAGACTGATATTACAATCAGGAGCAGGATGATTCAGCAGATACCCAATCTCCTACCTGTTTTGTATGGTAATCGGGTATTCTCTGAAAAGCAGCGCTGTAACACACTAAAAACCCCTGAATAGATGGCATCCTGAACGGGAGCCGAGAGATAGTTCTTCAGTCAATCAATCGATCGCTGGGATAGCTCAATTGGCCCCTCACGAGTACTAGTCGATACCGATATCCGAAAGTCCGACAACTTATTCTAGATCCCCGCCGAAGTAACGTAACGAAAGATTTCAATGAAACATTAACTAAGTGTTCACACGCCTGAAATATTAACATGACATCCATAGAAGCCGATGACCAAATTCTACTTTGATTTCAACGCAACTGGAGCACGTCGGAGCGGACGAGATTATTCATCACGTCATGATGGATCCTGTCAGAAATGCCAGCAGCACCGCCCACGCCCAATTCCGAACTTTATTTCCTCGGTTGTGGGGCTGAGTGCAGGGGGAGAACAATGGTTTGAGAATGATGAGGAATATTGATTAATAAGCAGTAATTACAACTTGCGACATGCTCTTAGGGGGATGAAATAATTGAACTTCTCAATCAAATCATAGATGATCTATGTGCGAACACAATGGAGCGCGCAGCAGGGACAATAAACTGGACTTCAACTCGTTTTGGCCAGATATCGTCATAATGCTGTTTCTGATTGGTTCAATCACGTTCCGCGAAGGACTTGATACCCCACAAATACGTACTACACTTGTGACCGGTCGCATGTAGTGGGGCATATATGATGGCCCCTACCATAACTAGAGAAACCGGACAAACCCAAATTGCTATATAATCAACCATACGGCATTCTAGGCCTCCTTCACCGGATTAGTGGCTTTTTTGTACCTCATCTGCTTCCTTTTCATGAGTGATCTTTCTGCATTGAACGTTTTCTTGTTTGCCTTATCGGTTAGGAAGGACTATTTGGGTATCATTGAGTCCTTGAATATTGGAAGGGAGGTCAACATCAACATTAATCGTCCTCCTCAAGTATGAAACTAAAAGCTCCCTTTCACCAACCCGTGCGGGTTCTCCAAGCTCTATTGGCAGTCGCTCTCTTGGGAACTTCGATTTATTGTTGGTCTACTTGTTGTGCTTACTGATACGTTGAAATAATGCTAATTTATAGCAGTGCTATGGTGTTTGTTATTCATGGAGATCGTTCTCTACACTTTCGCCGTCGCAATTTGGACATCCTGTTTTGCAACCCCGTATCTTGCTCTCGCCCCAATTTACGTTCCTCGACTTGAGCTTCGTTTTATAATTTCGGCAATGGAGGTTCTCACAATGATCCTTTGGCTATCAGTCATCATAGCACAAGCCTACTATTTATCGCCCTTTGGAGAAGCCTCCTAGATGACATCAGGGCGTTCCAGACAACGACAGCACTAGCAATACTCGAATGGTATGTTATCCTTAACTAATTTTCTTATGTTGTTTTCTATTCTTTCAGCTTAATGGGAGCTTTTTAAGTGAAGCCTGTCACCGTGCAATCTCGAAAGCTTACGCTGGCTTGTTTAAGGATATTATTTTGTTTCACGAGCATTCAATCATTCGAAGAACGAGACAGGTAATGTCGACCACGCACGCTATTGCGACGTTCGCATACTACAGAGAAGCGAACGGCTGTCGCCACCTTTCCTAGGGACCTAGCTTCTCAATATACGCAACTTGTGAAGAGTCTAACTATGTGAAGTTGCTGAACTTATGAATTGAAGTGGCTAAATCCTCGGGGTCTTAAGACTGAACGCAGTACATGAAAGCCTGCTCGTATAAGACAAAATTTTAATGGCCGATATAGACCTACGTTAAGACGCATGCATGGAACAAGCCGATTATGCACAAAGTTCACGCGTAAGTGACCTCGATAGTTATGGATTCAAACATGGCTGATTCCGAAAATACTGTACTTTCGGACACTGAACTGGGGCAGTACAGAGATAGGGAACGATCAACTGGATGCGATCGAGATATCTATCCGGACAGACTACGTTGTGATCGATGTTATCGCGATCCATATAAACTTGTGTTGCACACCGAGTGGGAGCGATCCCTTTACGGAACGCGAACTCACTATGGGGGTCTCCCGAGCCCGTTGCTGACACGACCACGCAGAGCGCAGCGGCGACAGACGCGTGGGAAATCCCTGGAGCACTGGTTGCATGCAGGACCATGATACAAGCATCTGTGAAAGATGAAAACCATTCGAATACACTAATCACCCAACTGGCCAACCCGGGACCCACACCGTACTTAAACGACTCGGGGATACCACTGAAATTCCACGTGCAGGCCGGATGCAATCAGCGAAACAAAAAAAATACCCTCCAAAACGATATGCCTCAATAAATTTTGAGTGCTATGACTACTTAAGGATTCCACGATGACGTAAGTTTTAACGCCGCGTACCCGAGTGAGCATTTTAGCGGCGTTTTTCACCAACGGCTGCCTGAATTGCCCAGGCATTACGCGGGACGTGTACCATTCTCCGACTCCATATCTTCCTCACTTGCTTGGTTCGTGTTTGTATGCTCTATCTTCACGTTACTTACGACCAGTTACAATCCGGTCAGTACGAACAGTTAATGCAATGATTCTCCCACTTCCCACAGAGCTGGTGCAGCTCATCCTCCGATTATGTGATCCGACAACCTTTCTACAGCTGGCCTTGGGCTACGTTACTCTGCCGTCGATCTTAACTAGCAGTCGTAAGTTTCCCATTCACCTTATAGGACAGATTCCCGGGTATACCGTGGTCATTGGGCCAAGGGGTAAACCCAGCGGTGATTGAGAAGAGCTTTTTGCAAAAGTTGGTCTTTCGATTGGATACGATTCTTTCCGGCCATTGTCGCATTTCTGTGATCAACGGCAAGGCTACTCCTAACTATGGGTGGTGTTTCTAGTTATTGTATTTTTGAGTATGTTGAATTGCAGAAAGGGAGACTGATTGTACGAGCTATAGAAAACCCAAATCAAGGCGTCTCTTTCTATACACTCCAGATACTTCGGGGGTCCTCAATTTCATACGACTCGACTTTTGGGTCAGCCACAAGTGAAATGATACTGCTGAAGTCTCCATATGCCCTCATATGATTTGATACAAACGGTGAGACTCGACACTTCATCATTGTGCTATCCTCCTGAAGAAGACAATCCTCTAAACCATGACATAATTGAAACACCGACGGAAAATTGAACAGAGACGCCCTGTGCACCTGTACCAAACATACTCCTCGATTAGAAAATTAGACCTTGGATCGCGCCGGAAAAGAGGAATACCTCAGAAAATTAAGGTATCGTTTGCGAATTGGAGCGGCAGACAGGCGTCATAAATGCAGTAGGCCCCGTTGTCCTCCAACTCTGGGTCCAGGTCGGACAGCACAGGGATATATTCGACATTCCATTTCGTAGCTAATACATTATCGTTGGAGGCCAAAGTGTACTTACGACATCGGATTATAAGACTGGGTCCAACAGGAGATTTTTGAAGTAAACACCCCCGGACGAAATTTTTCTTCCATCGGATGTTCGAGTAGGCTACTTCTCCATGTATCTCCGCCTTGACTTTTAATGGTAGACGTGTGTAGTTCATGTGAGACCACTTTGTCGTACAGAAGAGAGAAGATTACATGAAGCGGTGCAGCGAGGGAATTTGGCGGCAGCATTCGACGATGCCCTTCAGCTATTCCGTCTTATGATAGACTGACCGAATCAACCAGGACAGCACACCGATCAATGACCACACCAACACTCAACCTGGAATCCAGACTGATATTCAATTCAACGGCCAAGCCGACGACCATTCAGTGGATCTATACGACTTTGCAGCTTGCCACCCAGATGGCAATGACCAAATGCTAGTCTACGCCTCTTAATGCCCAATTCAACCTAAGGAACATGCTAAATATCTAGGAATCTGGCTGGACAAATGTCTTTTATTTGACAAACATAGAAGTCAGCTGATCGCGAAGGCCAACGGCAGTTTGGACGCTCTGCGCGGAATCTCTGGCTCCACATGGGGTGCCTCGCTGCTGGCGATGAGGAAGGCCTACCAGGCAGTAGTGGAGCCACAGATGCTCTACGGACTATCAGCCTAGTACTGCCCTGCCACAGGGGCCCTTCCCGCCGCGGAAAGGAATTGTGTGATAGCGGAGTTCACCAGGGTCCAAAAACGTGCGGCGATCTTGATCAGTGGGGCTTTCAAGAGCACTAGTCGGCGACGCTCAATGTGGAGCTTTTTATCCAACCAATCCATCTCCAGATACAACAAAACATTGAGGAAGCAGCTATCCGCATACAGACAGGGGCGCGCTGGGCTCAGCCAGCATGCCTGTACCATCAAAGGAAGGCAAAGCAGAGACGTCTTGGAGGGTGGAGCCCACTGGAAGCTCTACGGTGGAAGAGAAATGAGGTCTTGCACTCTCTGGGTTCTCAGGCCTCTAGCCCACAGAAGTGGGAGACGAGACCTTCATATTAGCGCCATGGGAGGCACGGATTCCATGCGTTATTGAAGATGCAGAAGCAGCGCGAGCCTCACATGACCAGATTGAGAGGGAACTCCTTGATTGGGAGTGTGAGCGTACTTTTGACCGGTTGCAGGACGATCTCCAACATCTCCAGGAGACCCAGCAACTCCAGGAACACCAAGATATCCAACACCCACAGATTATCCGACAGCCCTCAGATGCCAACAGCCCTCCGACGGTCTCGTTCTTCACCGATGGTGGTGGCTACGAAGGCCATGTGGGTGCCTCCGCGGTTGCCCCGCGCGCAGGCATCTTTGAACGAAGACATCTCGGTTCCATGGAGGAGTCATGAGTATACGTTGCTGAACTCAACGGTATTGAGATGGCTCTTTCTAAGATTTTCAAACACCAAAACCAAACATATGACCAGAAGAGTGCAGCAAAGAAATTGCGGATTGTGGAGCGGCCTCAGGATCCATTGGAGCGGATGTGCCGCAGCCTACGTACCTGTAGTTTCAAACTCCTTGGGGCTTAGAGGACGCATTGTTGAATGTGATATTAAGAGATTGGGTTTATAGAAGAAGAAGAGAAATAAGTAAGTGGGTATATGTGTGAGTGTAAAAGTATAAAAAAAGAACTCAGGGGTTACAAGTGTGGTGCAGTGCGCTACTAATTTAGGCCTCCCAGTCGCACCCTATTAAAACTCAATTTCAAAAACCCTCAGGTTTTCAATTATCTCGTACGAGATCTCTAGTAGGCTGCTCAGGCCAAAATTGAAATAAGAGATAGGTATAGGGCTCAGAATATCTGAAAGTTTGAGATTAATTGTATGAAAAAAAGAGCTTGCAGTGGACTAGGGAAATTTCAATTGCAGTGGACTACATGGGTTCAAATTCTGCCCATACTTAAGGACTCTCACCGACTTGCAGTGGAATCCACTGCAATAAGTCTGGGTTGACACCATCCTCAGTTCCCCAGTCTAACATAATCCTTCCCAATGCGACCTAACCAATCCTCAAACGAGATCACCTCATCTCCAAACGGCACCATGCCCTGCGGGAGGCTCTTCAAGGATTCGTCCATCCTAGGAGCGTGGAGGAATTGATGTGTCTTATTACAAACCGAAAATGGGAGCGCATTCTGCTGGATCTTCTGGCTACACTCTTCGTCAAAATGGGCATGGATGCAATCCTGACACCACTGCATCTCCTCTGAGATGGGCCAGGTGCGGTTGCAGTCACCATCGCAACCAATACGTTGTTCCTCGTCGAAACGCAATGCCACGAGCGCCCGGGTTGCCAGCGCGTTCGTCATATCGCCAAAGGTGATGAATACCGACAGGAGTTGGTTGTAGGCGGGAAGGTCGTTCCCTTCATCATCGTCAGAGAGTATATCCAGACTGAGCTGCACGATGTCTCGAGCAATATGCTTCGCCTGGACCTCTTTGCCCTGCCTCCAGTAATACCGGGCAACGTAGACTCTCGGAGGCAGGATGACATCGGCCTCGGGAATGCCCTCCGGGAGAAGCGTTTCGATTTTCTTGAGATAAGCCGACACGGCTGCGGTAACGTAACCCACAAGCGAACCGCCCACACAAGCGAACCGCCCACCCATCTCAACCTATAATTTTGATTTGCATATAAAATAACCACAACGCCATTAAATTATTGATATCACTGCTTCGGACATCTATTTATCTTATGCCCTATCCCTCCACAACCACTGCATCTTGGTGGCGCCCGTTGTCGTGGTGTATTAGTCTCATTTGCGACCGGAGCTAGTTCTGGATGAACAGGATCCAGAGATTCAACGGCTTGGTTCGAACTGAATATTACGTCTCTTCCCTCCTGAATTGACATGCCTTCAGTACGGTCGATGCGTTTATTAGACCTCTTGCGTTTTTGTTTCCGAACCTCATTGGCAGCGCGCAAATCCCGGATTTCTTTCTCCAACATCGCTAGCCTTTGAAGCGTGACATGGAAGCCTTTAAGAGTCTGCTCTACCACATGCTTTGTAGGCGTTGGAGGGCTCACGGATCGATATTTGAGTAGAGCTTTGACTGAAGATTCTTGCCGATATAATTGTTTTGTGTTGAGTGGTGTTGTATGGCTCCACTCACTTGATCGGCTTCCTGGTCGGCTTCCTGGGGGGGTTGGTGTTCGAAGCTGAATATTAAGCTTCGATATAACCCGATCGGGATCAAAGGGTATTAAACCAGCAGATTCGAATGCGCTCTGAATTATATCCGAGTGATATGAGATCTCGCGAGCGTGCGGGTAGGCGGCAAGGAAATCAAGCTTGTCAATATGGTTGATATTGCATCGAGCTTTTCGCTCAACCAAGCCACCATATGCGCGCTTTAGGTTCGCAAAACACCCGACATCTAGTGGTTGTAGCAAATGAGATGAATGCGCTGGCATGCAAATTGGTATAATATCATGTTCAGCGCAAAGTCGGTCGAATTGAGGTGTCAAATGGCTACCATGACCATCAAGGACTAGAAGACGATATTTACCCTTTGTACGGCTCGCCGTACTCGGAATAAAGAGATCTTTCAGCCAGCGAAGGCCAATAGCATCAGTTGTCCATCCATTATCACTGATTTCGATCCTCCAGTCCGGTCCTACCCCTTTATCTTCGTACCAAGCCTGGTGATGTGTCTTGGATTTGAAGATAAGACAAGGTGGTAATTTGAAGCCCGACGCACCAATACACTCGATAGATGTGACCCATTCACGATTTCCAGGTTGTTTAAGAGATCTCCGACCGTAGTATTCAGCACGGGTGACGACTTTTGCAGTAGCAATAAGACCCATTGCGAAGCCAGTCTCATCAAAGTTATATATATCGTCAGGTTGGATGCCGTTCTCATTAATCGTGCGTTGAACCAAGTCGAACCACTCTCGTATGACCTTTGGATCCTCGCATTTTGCTCGTTGGTAGTTGTACTTTCGAGAGAACCGAGATTTAAGATCATCATGGCGATTAACAAAGTTGTAGACCCAGTTGACGCCAACAGTCTGCGTACAGCGTTCGGCTAATAGAAGATTGGCCATTTCTGCCACCATAGCAGGCCGAGGAGCTGATCCACGTGAATCCATAGAGAGCACCCATTGTAGAAGTGATCTCTCCTCGTCTTCTGTCAATTTATGGTTGTTGGCGCGTGTTTCTGAGCGACTTTGTTGACCGTTGACGCGATCGCGTAGAGTGGACCAGGGGACGTCGAATTGGCGTGCTGCTTTGCGAATAGAGGTAATTTGACCATTTTGAATGGCATGCAGGGCTAATGAGAGTCTGCCCTGCCTATCCTGCGAAAATCGGGCAGAACTAGATCGATTTGGTGGCATGGTGGATGGTTATAAAAGAGAGGTTATAGTACTCAGATCAAAATTGATGGGGTGGGCGGTTCGCTTGTGTGGGCGGTTCGCTTGTGGGTTACGTTATCGGGCCCGGAAGCGTTGGCCTTTTGTAGATAGTATGGCGCGATACTGCTAATTAGCGTCGACAAGAGGTAGGGGTCGGCGCCGTCGAGGGCCTGACGCCAATGCTTGATCGCTCTAGACGAGCCGTTCTGTAGCGCATTGGCCGCTCGTCCACAGTGATACCGGACATTGCATAGCGTAGCGCGCTCCCCAAGCTCGTCAACGTGTTGAGTTGAGCGCTCGTAGGCCGACACGACGAATTCCAGCTGCTCCGTTTGAACGGCCGCCTGCAAAACCGTCATATGAGGAAATAGTCGACCGTCACCAGCAGCGATCAGTACCGATAGACCGTCCAGCTGCTCCGTCGATTTCTCGTCCATCTTTTTCAGAATCGCAATGATGTCCGACTGTCGCTCTCGCTCGGCGTAGCATTTGAGACACTTGATCACGCGAGCGTAGTCAGTGAAATCGACTTCCACCGCTCTGGTCCAGAAATCGATGGCGGCATCAATTTGCTCTTCATGCCAGCTGAGCTCCGCCATAATGAAGAGCATCTTGGCGAGACCTACGCGCTCGAGGGAGGATCGCTTCCATTGGCCGCTAGACTCAAGGGCCTGCGCGGCAGGCTCCAAGATCGTGAGCCCATCACGAGGCTCGACCAAACCGGACAACAGGGTGGATGCTCGCCAGTTCTTTGGATCGATTCCCAGGGCTTTCCGGGCTCGCTCCTCCGCCAGCTTTTTGTGTCCGAAGACTTGTAGGACGCTGCCGATTTGCGTGTGCCACAACGAATTTTTCTGCACTTTCAATACTTTCTCGCACCACCGCTCGACCTGTTCAATTCGTTCCACAGAAAGACGTCCTTGAATTTCGTCCCTGGGTTCGAACTACAGCACGTCGTTAGCAAGGGTTTGAACCCGTCATTCCATCGAAATCAAGAGGTAGCTGACCTTTTCGAGGAAGCCCGCGAGAAAGAGAAAGGCATCCCGGGTGAGTGGTATGAAATGGGGTTCTTGCACCAGATGGGTTGCCATTCGCTTCGCAGCTGGCGTCAGCAACTCTCTGTGGTCCTTAGTTTGAAGCAGACCGGTGACCCAATCCCTGGATTCATTGTCGACTTCCAACATGACCGCCATGTCACCAAACCAGTGAAAGAGGAGTGTGGCGGTCGTATCGCTGAACATCAACTGACGGACAACTTGACGTTGTTTTGCCGAGGGGCCAGGCAACTCGTTATTGTTCAGTGCGATATCAATAGAGGCGTGGTTGGTGAAAAGTTTGACAAGGTGGGGCCCAAATGTCCTCTTGTATTCAATGTCCACGAGCGCCAAATTGACGGCGGACAGATGTTGAGCGAAATTGCTTCTCGCGTACGATAAAAGGTCTTCACTTGGTTGCTTTATGTCCCCCGTGATTAGGCGCAGGCAAGTGAGCGCCATCTTCGCCTCCTCAATGTGCAGATCGTCCTTATAGATTCGGTTTCTCCGATCCTGCTTTTTGCCTTCAAGGAACTTGTCCAAGTCTAACTTGTTATATGTCTCCCGTGGACAAACCGTAGAGAGGAAATGTTTGACCATAGCCATCTCGCCCGGGGTGACTGCTGCCCCTTGGCTGTCTTGCTCCTCCGCCTGCGTAGGGGAAGAATGGCGCTTGTTGGGGATGGAATCCTCAACTTCGGGAGCCCGGAAAGTCACGTCGCCCCTATTGGTAATCCTGAACAGAGGGTACTTCTCCTTGATCTTACCCGCTAGCGTCAGGAGGGATGATTCTCCACCCTCCGCATATAGAGCCGCAGTCATTTTTCTTTCCGTTAAGAGGTCTCGATAGCGTCGAATCCAGAGAATGATCGTATTTATTTCACAGATTTCCGTCTCAGAGCAGTTGTAATTGAGTCCTTCGATTTCCTTTGTGATTTGTGTAGCGCGCCCGTTGCTTGCGTTCTTCAGGGCATTCAAGATATCGGAAATATACTCTCGCTTGCTGATATCATCGAGGGCGAGGTTGATTCGGAAATAGTCACCAGTGGTTGCTCGATAGAGCTCGTCGCAAATCCTGGCCCTTAACTCTGGAATCTCGGGACGTGTCTTATCACTCAAGGCGAGCATGGAATCCATTCTCGACCGGATCAGCCTTTCCACATCAGATCGATTTTTGGAGCTAATAGGGATAGAATGGAAAGATAAACCATCCACAGTCGCCAACTGCTGGGAACACTCCGAATCGACCGTAAGGAGGACTCGGACACGTTTGCCCGGCTTTACGGCGGACGCGCGCTTCAGAAAGCGCAGCATGCCTTCTCCCATCTTACCACTCAGGCCGTCGATGACAATATAGAACACGACGTTCATATCAAGCAGATCGGTGTTTTCAAACAGGAGGTCGCCGGAGATGGCGGAGGGGTCGATCACCTGGGACTCAGTACAGATTCTCGCCACTGACTTTTTATAGTGCCTTTCGGCCTGGGCGAACTGCCAGACAATGGATTTGGCCGCGGTCTCGAGATTGCTTGCGTTCTTCACAGCGTCTCGGGCTGTCCCCTCGAAGAAATAATACGCAGTGGAAACCCGGGGGCCCATGTCTGTGGCTGATTTCTTGTGCAGAAAATGTTGGATGATGGCCGAGGCCAGACAGCTCTTGCCGGAGCCATTGCCCCCCTCGATCGCGAGGATGTTGGCTTCAGACTGTCCTCTCTCCCAACTGGCAAATTTCGGCTCATTGAAGATCCACTGGCCTGTCTCCGGCAGCCGGTGGTTCAAATATTCACGGTATCGGATGCGCCAGGGTGTTGCCGGCTCCTCCTCGAGCCCTAACGCCCCCGTGATGGCCTTGTTTCTGTTGACCTCTTTGTCCTTATCGTGCATCTGGGAGACGTAGCCTTCCACCCTCTTGGTCGCATCCAACCCCTCCCGGGCCGCATCGGCCGCCTGGCGGGAGAAAAGAAAGGTCTGGGCGGAGACCAGATTGCGCTCTCGGTTGACGAGCTTGGCCATTTCCCCTAGGAGGGGTTGGACGCCGTCGTCCGCCAGAAACATGACTTTGAGCGCCATTTTGACCTTTGAACCCGCATTGTAGCGCAAACTTAACGCCGCTTCGCAGACTCTCACAAACAAGTCCAGTTGCTGGGCCGCCACCTTGGTCAATTTTGCATCCATCTTTCCTTTGACGTAGTACGGTAGGCGGTTGAGATAATCCGTACATTCCTCGAGAAGCTCTCCCAACCCGTCGAACGCACCCTGGTAGCCCTCATACGCGTCGATGAGAAAGCTGATGGCATTATAGCATTGCGCCGCGGGCGCAAAGACCTATTTTCCGGTTAATCATCCATGCGGGACGATAGACAACACACAAGCATGGTAAGAGAGGGGATATTTACCTGTGACGCGGCATCCGCGACGATCCCGCCAACCTTCTTGATGACGGTCAACGTATTGCCGAAACACTTCTTGACTGTGTCCGTCTTGCTTGGCTCCTTGTTATCGAGATTCTCGAGGACGTCGACCATTTCCAGGTTTTCATTGACCGATTTGCCCTCTCGCTCCGCCAGCTCCCTCACCCGATCTCGAATCTTAACCCAAAGCTCCATTAGCTCTTCGTCCATTGCCGGGACATCCGGATGCATCGTGACATCCTTGCAGGCGCTGCCAGAGCCTTGCATTGCGTCTGTTGGCAGCCCATTTGGCTGCGATGGGGGCGATGGCGCCGGCAGCGCTTGTGCCGGCTGATCGGATCGTGGCGCAGGAGTCGTTACCGGGGCTTTTGCAACCGGTACTTTTGGGAAACTCCTTCGGGTTGAGCGTCGCCCGCAGGTGGTGGGACCGCGCTCGCCTTCTTCTTGGACTTGAAGCAACGGAAAGGCATGTTCAGCCGCCGGAGGGGACGATTGTTCATAAAAAGCTTCGCTGGAGCATCAATCCCCTTTTTATCTCGCGACGCCGGTCCCTGCTAGCCACGCTATTATGGATCGGTCGCCAAATCTTGACGCTAATGCGCAGCAGTGGAGCTGATGATGGACATGTCACTTACTAAAATTGGAAGGGTTCGGCTGGTTTACGAGGAGGTTGAAAATGGCACTTAATAAATGGGAAGTGTCATATTAACAAACCCATGGATCAATTTACCCAGAGGTAGTAGACAGCAGGAAGGCCAGAAGAACTCAAGCACTAGGTATTATTGCTTCCGAAGTCCAATCAATAAATTTTTGAATTCCATAGAATATGATAGTCCCTTCAGGGCCCCTCCGGCTCATGCCAATCTTCTGACTGGTGATCTTCGAGGTCGATACAGTAATTGTTGAGAACTGTAAGATTGATGTAAAATCTGCGAGTTCATGGATCCATTGTGATGATGCTCTGGCAAGCAGCGCTCGGTTACTAAGACGTCATAGAATTATTTGTTTATTTGTTGATCCCATGTTAAGATCCACAGAGAGGCGCTTAGGCCACGACCGAACGCGGCCAATCAGCGGTATTGCGTTCTGACCATGTACAGTACATGCTCGGCATTCAGATTCGTTTATGCTGATGCCACTTTCGGATATCCCGGTTCCATGTGGAAAGGCGTCCTCTTAGTAACTGTCCAATTCATCATCTTGCTCCTGAGTAGTCTTTGAACTATACAAGATTTCGTTCTTACAAACGACAACCCAATCAATATTAGCTGATCCATTATACGAATAGGAGAAGAAAGGGAAAAGAGAACCTCAACCTTCTGAGGCACTTGGAACGTGTAGTGTTTTGTTGTGGTGTGAGGCATCAGGGACGCCTGCTGTATCGTTGTGGTCTCGAAATGCACCTGGGTCGTCGTGTCTCCTGTGCTGGTCTCGCCCCCTTGGGGCTCCGTGCCTGAGGCTGTAATGTCATGCTTGGAAGATTGGTCGATCATGGGATCCGGTTGCGCTTGCTTTTGCTCGGTAGACATGATGAAGAGCGGGAAGGTTGCGAAGGGGGAGTGGAAGAGGGCAAGGAAATAAATATGGGAAGGAAGGAAGGAATACACAAGTCAGGGAATGGTCCTTATTATTATTGCTCTTATTCTTATTTCGATTATGTATGAGTTGGTGTTGCTACCTAGCCCGCAGCTGAGACCTCGGACATCCTGATGCGGATCAAGCTGCATCAGTCCGAAATGGGAATGTGGGAGATTCGGTACTGACAGATCGAACTGCCGACGATCAATCGGCGATTGGCTCATGTTTGACATGTGTGGGGATCTGGTCCGACTGCTAACGCAAACAGACTCCCATCGCCAACCGATCATTGCGGGCCAGAGGGTTGTGCGCCGCAGTCTTCTGTGACATTACAGTCGCGTACCATAAAGTACACTGTCAACATCTAACCGGCCCCACGTAATTTTTACCAACAAGCGAGGGTCCAGTAATTTTGGTAAAAATTACGTGGGGCCGGTTAACTAAATTAGTTTGAACACTTGTGGTGCTTTTTGCAGATAACGATCGGCAGCTTGCTATTCACCCAGCCAGTCATAACTTCTAGTATTGATTACCCCGCTTAGTATACACTCTAACATCGCCGAGCAGCCCACAGTGACATAAACACGAGATCCAAGCACTGTCTTGCTCGGTCTATAATTGATCTATGGAGCCCGATCCTCCACTCCTACAGCTGAACGGTGGGGCATGCGTCATAAATATGATAGGCGCTGAAGACGATGCTATCCTATAGTTGCCGAATGTCCCCACTAGGCTGTAAAATTGGACTCCCGTGGGAGCAATTTTGCTCCCACCGCTCCCATGGGAGAAGGGCTGCTCCCACTCCCCTCCCATCCCAGAATCCACAGAATCCCAGAATCCCAGAATCCAGGTGAGCCCATTTTCTGCCTAATTTGGCCTGATTCTGCCTAAAATTTGCCCGATTTTTATGCCTTAAGTACATGTGTTTTGGTTTGGTTCTGTATGAACTACCTTATTTTAAGTCACATATGATAATTTGTATTTTGAGGAAACATTTAAGGAAAATGTATATTCATCTTAACATTATACGGTCGCATATGGCCAAATTAGAGATCAATCTAATATTAAGGCTGATGGTCTATGTAATTTTGATATGTGGTGGTTGAGTTTGGAAATATATATTTTACGTAGAAGTATACTCTATCATTTTTTGTTCGAAAAAACTGTTGAGATCGGCTACGACGAAGCACTGAATATCGAATGAGGGCCTGCTAGACAAATCGACCTTAATGGAATCAACAGAACTTGACTTGACTGTATTAAACTGTCCACATGCGATTCTGGGAGTATTTATCCCTGAACGGGCGACAAGCCCCTGACAGTAGTAAACCCCTCATAATCGGTCTCGATCGGTGTTCTTCCATGAAGATCCCCTGAATGCACGAACCTGCGGAACTTCAGAAATATGCGAAAGTCCTACATGACCTTTTCTGACTGGCGGATGGGCTTGCTACCCACTGATCTGTCCACTGACATGGATGCAGGGAGATTAAGGTGGTTCTGTCATCGGCATCCGAGGCTGCCTGTATTAATAGGACAGTGATATCGATTGAGAGGACAGCCTTCCCCATCAACCAGGAAGATACACTATCTTCAATCTCCGTTCCGGTGGCAACACCACACTTCCTCGACATCTTCCAGTATAGCGGATGTAGTAATACGATCCCAAGCGGAAAATTGGATAGCAAGCGCATGCCTTTTACTGACAGTCGATTCCCATTCAAACCGTGACGATGCCACGTCCTTCTAGAAACAGTCAATTCCTTTGCGCACAAAACCGTGCGGTTTCATAGCGCATAGGCAATCGGTGAGTAACGGTGACTGACGGATGGAACAGGAACATCGAGGATGGCTCCACCGTCCACCCACATCCCGTGGGAGATGAGGCCAGGCAAACGGTCTACAACTGAAAGAGGGAGATTTCCACGCTCTCAAACACGACTCTCCTCCCGACTTGTCAGAATGTCTACAACACGCCCGGTTCTCATCATCGGCGCCAGACTCGTAGATGTATCCTTAGCCCGAGTCCTCCTGACGGACGACATCCCGTCAGGGTCTACGAATCCGAACGCCGAAGCAGGGCTCAAAGGTTATGGCATTGAAGCGGGTCGGGTTGAAGGGAGATGCCGTTCACGCCATGCCAATATTCGCAGGGGAGGGTGGCAATCATGCGCTGGTGGACGCCGTGAAGCTAGGTGAACGCCTGGGAAATTCTTGCTCCCCCATGTCTCTCGAGACCTTCATTGAGGAGGGATACGCTCGATGCGAGATGGCGATCGACGGGTCTGAGAAGCGCGCCTTTGCGCTACACCGGCCTCTCACGGTATGGAGGATGCTCGCCGAGAGAGCAAGAGCAACAGCGTGACGGACATATTTCTCTGTGATTGACGATAAACTTAGCAAGTAACGTAATTCACCACCGAGTAAGCCACACTGCCGAGTGGGCCGCCCAACCAACTAGTTTCTAATATTTAGTGCATTTTATCAACCATAAAGCCAATATTTATTGATCAATCTCTAACTGGACACGCATTTCTCTTATGGCCTATTTCCCCACATTTACCATATTTTGGTAGGCGTCGGTGCGATGGTGCTACAGCAGTTTGAATATGCTGCGACGGTAGTGCTGGTACTGGTGCCGGTGCTTGTGGTATAGGCTCAGGCGCTTGTACGAGCTCCTGAACTTCCTACACTGATAATCCTCCATCGTGTGGTATTATTCTATTTGATTGACGTCGCTTTTGCTTCTTTTTCTCTAGCTCAGCCCGTAGACCCTGGTTTTCTTGCTTGGTAAAAATTAGCTCTGTCATGACTTGCTCAAGCGCTCTATACGCCTGGTCAACCACTTGTTTTGTAGGCGTTGGCGAGCTTTCCGATCGATATTTTAGTAAATTTTTAGCTGATATTGCGTGCTTTGCGAGCTGCGCAAAATTTACAGGTGTTGTAGGGTAGTAAATGCTTGATCGGCTTGAAGGTCGCTCGGGTAATAGTGTTGGCGTTTGAAGCTGAATATTAAGCTTATTAAGCACTGGTTCTGGGTTTATTGGCACTAAACCGGCTGCTTTAAAGCTATTTTTGATCTTATCCGATTTAAATGCGCCGGTACGAGCTTGTGGGTATGCTGCGAGGAAATCAAGCTTGTCGATATGGTTAATACCGAGCCGCAATTTCTGGTCAACTAAGCTTCCGTATGAGCGTTTAAGAACTGCAAAACACCCGATATCGAGCGGCTTTAAAAGATGAGAGCTATGAGCTGGCATACAGATCGGTATGATCTTATTTTCTGAGCAAAGTTGATCGAACTGTGGTGTTAAATGACTGCCGTGGCCGTCGAGGACTAGTAGTCGATATTGACCAATTGTACGGGGATTTGTCGATGGAATAACACTTTTGAAGCCACCGAAGGCCTATTTCGTCGGTTGTCCACCCGTTTGCGCTAACCTCGAAGCACCAGTCGAGTGGAAGATTATCAAACCACGACTCTTTAACGTGATTCCCGGCTAGCCGGTCATCCCGGCTACGCGGTCACCGCATCAAAAATTCAAAAATTGTAAATCTTCAACAACGATTTTAATACCCAAAAAAGATTGAATTTTGCTGTTTAAACTTTCTGTGGACATCTAGAGATATTGTGATCTTGTTTTCCACACCCAGAACAGGTTATCCGGCGTCGTATAGCAGGTAAAACCGGTAGTGAAGGTTCAACAGTAGGTTGTGGAGCAGCTACGAGACCAGATATATATTCACCTGCACCACCTCCTTCTCCACCAACAGGATGTATGATATCCAAAACTTCGGTCAAACTGCCTTCATGAGCAATTTGCCTTCTAGATCTAGCTCTTTTCTTCACCTGTTTTTTGTTTGCCTCCCGTAAACGCTTGATTTCATCCTTCATTAAGATATGCGAATGAAGCATTTTGACAGTCATGTTATAATACTGTTGAAGATCTCGCTTAGTGGGCGAAGAGATCTTATCTGTGACTGAACTTAGGCCAGAATCGAGCCTAGATTTCCTTTTTTTGAGTTGTTTGGTTGTCTGAGGGATACCGGCAGAGATATTGCTATCAGAAGTTGAACCCTGTGAGGTTGGTCGATCCGGGAGAGGTGGTGATTGAAGACGAATATTGAGCTTTTCTAGCACGCGATTCGGGTCTAAGGGAACTAAACCAGTAGCCGCAAAGGCATTCTGAATAGTAGCCTCTTTAAAAGCGTGCCCTCGTGTTTGTGGAAAAATCTCTAGGAAGTCGTCTTTCTCAATAGAATCGATACCCAATCTCATATACTCTGCAACTTCCGTGCCGTAAAGCTTCTTTAGAACAGCAAAACAGCCAACATCCAAAGGCTGTAAAAGATGAGAGGCATGCGAAGGCATACAAATCGGAATGATGTTGTTTTCTTTGCAGATCTGGTCGAATCTGGCTGTAAGATGGCTGTCGTGGCCATCAAGGACTAGAAGTCTGAACTTCCCCTTTGTCTGACTTGTTGTATGTGGAATAAAGTGTTTCTGGAGCCAATCTAATCCAATATCATTGCTAGTCCAGCCTCTAGGACTAACATTAAGAGCCCACTGCTTTGGAAGGTGATCGAACCATCTAGCCATGAAGTTCTTGCCTTTGAAAATGATGTATGGTGGAAGGGCCCCTCCCAGATGCGCAGATAGTTTCGATAACTGTGACCCATTCACGATTCCCAGGCTGCAAAACACCTCTCCGACCATGGAAAAATGCTTGCGTGATAACCTTCGAAGTCGCATTTATCCCCATGGAAAAGCCACATTCGTCAAAGTTGTAGATATCGTCCGAAATAATGATATTTTCTCGGATTGTTTTCTCAACCAGCTTAAACCACTCAATTATTATGGCTGGGTCCTCATTCTCGGCCCTCTTGTAGTCATATTTGCGTGAGAAACGAGTTTTCAGGCCTGGATGCCTTTTAATAAACTCAGTTGGCCAATTTTTACCCACAGTTGGTGGGTTTGAAGAGGAGCTAGAACCGCGAGATTGCAGCAGTAAACTAGCCATATCTCTTAACATAGAGATTGTGAGAGCTGCACCTCTCTGATCCATAGATATTAACCAATCCTGGATAGAGTCCTCTTCAAGCTGAGTAAATTTATACAGAGCTGAGCGAGTACCGGACTGATTTTTTCGCCCTTGGATCCTAGCACCGAGAGTTGTACGTGGGACATCATGTCGAGGATAGTGGGGTAGCACCCGAAATAGTTTAGTTCCGTTTGTGTCGTGATATCTTCATTTGTACTAGGGGATTCTCGACACTCCGAGATCGGGAGGTTCAACCCCTCACCCTACTCATGTAAGCAAGGACACCCTAACGTGTCCTCGCAGCGTCCGCTCTTTTCTTCTTTTCTTCAATCAATTCATCCTATCTTTTTGGATTGGTTCCCCTTGGTAGATTAGCCCCATTCTTGCATACAATGCCATACTGTATCAGCTAGCTGCGACACATCAAAAGACCGAGCAGCAGCAGCGACCGAGGTAAATCTGCCATTCTGAATAGCTTTGATAGCAAGCAGAATACGACCTTCCTGTTGAATTGATTTTTGAGCTTTTTCTGAGCGTTTTGGAGGCATGGTGTTTGTTTGAAAACAGAGGGTTACTACGGAGACGAAAATTGCGAGGCGGTGACCGCGTAGCCGGGATGACCGGCTAGCCGGGAATCACGTTATAGACTTTGCCTTTAAAGATAATCGTTGGTGGAAGCGCCCACCCTGAAGCGCTGATTGACTCGATCACGGTTACCCAGGTGCGATTTCCTGGCTGTAGGACCGATCTTCGACCGTAATATTCTGCTCGCGTAATAACTCTCGCGGTTGCGGTAAGGCCCACCGCGAAGCCAGTCTCGTCAAAGTTATAGATATCCCCCAATAGGATACCGTATGTAGAGATCGCGGTTTGTACGGTAGTAAACCACTCGCGTATGACTTTTGGATCCTCCTGTTGTGCGCGCTCGTAATTATATCGCCGTGAAAAGCGAGATTTAATCTCTGGATGGCGCTCGTCAAATTTTGTGACCCAATTTTGGCCAATCGGTGTAGTGTTGCTTGTACCGCGAGGTCGTAGTAAAAAATCAGCCATTTCTTGCACTGTAGAGGGTCTAGGTGCTCCGCCACCATCGTCCATTGATAGAACCTATTGTAGAAGTGAGTTATCTTCGATTTCTGTCAATTTATGGCCATTTGGGCGCGTTTCAGCGCGACTTGTAGTACCGCGGAGCCGACGCGTGAGCGTACAACGGTTGACTTGGAATCGCACTGCAGCCTGCCGAATCGAGCTGATTTCCTTGTTTTTTATAGTTTGTATGTCCAACGAGATACGACCCTCTTGTTGTATAGCATTTTGGCTTGATCTGACGCGATTTAGAGACAAGGTTGTTGGTGGAAGATAGAGGGACGTGTGGAGACGCGATTTTTTGGCTGGGTGGCTCACTCGGCGGTGTGGCTCACTCGGTGGTGAATTACGTTAGGGAGAAACGAAGAAAATCTGTATGATTAGGATAAGTTGACAGCAGTAGTGGTGCGGAATGAGTTCGTATATCATGAAGCTAGGAAGAGGAAATTTACGTATATATCTAAAATAGTGCCACTGGCCATATCACATCATGATCTTGTTTGCTGACTAGCTTGTGCGAACAACATCAGTAGCACCGCAGCTTCACCCGCCAAGGGCTGGTCCCAGAAACGACGCGACCGAATCTGCTCCACAGCCACCCGATAGCAGGTCTCCAGCAACTCCAATTCTCGCGGTCGACAGTTATCTTTCATCCGTAATCCCACCGCTATCGCCATGTACACGTGAAACTTGGCCATGGAGACCGGGTATCCATCTCCGGGAGTGTCAGGTCGGTGCGACGGACCGTCGATGATATCGAGAAAGATCTGGAACATGTCATGGCCGAGGGGATATCCCATTCCGGGGGTCTTTTGGAGGAAAATATCTAGAAGGGGCTGGATTTCCACGCTAGTCGGCATGCCACTGAGATTGTCCGTCTCGGGGGGCGGGAAGAAGCTGAAGCTCTGTGGTTTGATGTCTTCTCCCATGTCGACCATTGGGAAGTTGGGGTTCGAATGGTCCAGCTCCAGATTGTACTCTGAGATTGACATTGATGACCGTCGCGAGCGGGGCGATTCTACCACGTTCCCTGGTGATAGATGGGGGATAGAATCATGTCCGGGCCACGGAGACACCAACATCGGGGGAGATAACGTCATCCCCATGTTTGGCGGCAGTAAGCGTCCGTCAAACATGGGGGATAGGGGACTCGGAGCTGCAGACACTGTGGACGACATGTAGGACGAGGACGGTGGTGATATGTTATCGACAAAGTCCACCACTTTGATCCGAGGGATGTCCAGCGTGGAGGGACTGCTATCGGGGAACAGGTGCCCAAATGACTCGGAATCAGAGTCGGCATACTTCGGCGGCGCCAGGTCAGTGAGCAGGTGAAGAGACGGCGGCGAGGGATGACGTGCTGAACGATTATCTCCAGAGTATGTAACCGGCGGGTTTGGTAACCCGGTGCTCAACTCAACAATGCGCGCTTCCAGCTGTTGTACGCGCTGCTCCAGCGCCGCCTGGCCATCGCTGCTCTTCTGGGGTCGTACGCAATGCAACGAGAAACGGCGACAAGTCGCACACGGCGTCTCCCCATCGCATCGAATCTTCCTTCTCCGACACCGCTCACAAGCGATGGTGACGGGCTTCGTCCGCGAGGTCCACGACCCAGCTGGGTCATCCCCCACGGTGCGACGGCGTTCAATCCTGGGGGGTATTCGGGTCCGCGACGTGCGAGACACGTCTTCCATCATGGGCGAGCCAGCCACTCGTGTTCATGATTGACAGACGGCCAAAGGAGCAAACAAATGCCGTCAGAGCAGGGCAGAGAGGTGTGTTCGAGGGCAGAACATCAGCGACGACAGGTCCCTATCGGCGATGGCGATGGCGAAAGTGGTTTTGGCGAGAGACTGGCTGCGGGTGGGAAAAGAAATTGCGCAGGCGTTCCCAGCCGACCGCGAGCGTGTTCTGCTTGGCTTAGACGTCAAAGTCAAAATATTGAACTTGTTTTTCCCGATGCGGTGCCCCCGCAGTAATGAGTGAGTCCCAAGAGCACTGCCACGCTCTATCTTTTACCACTCTGGGCATGGGTACGGAGAACGGGGGCCGGCTCCGCTCGCAGGGCGGTCTGTGCCGGGGTCCGGCTTGTCATGCGTATCTCTCATGATATCTGGTGAGAAGGGGAGAGAGACCGTGGAGATGCATCACATCCTGCTGGGAATCTAGTCCGTTGCCACGCAGGGCGGGGAAGCGGGGAGAATTAATGTAACGGGGGAAGGGAATCCATGCCGAGTCGGGGGTGCGGGGGGTAGCAACTTGGAAGGGAGGGGAGTGTTGGAGAACGATGAAAGAGATAAGGAGACGAGGAAGAAAGAAGAGAGAAGAGAGGGAAAGAGAAGATACAATGGAGATTCAATCCTAAAGAGATGTATGGATGGAGTGGAGGAGGATACGATCATGAATTAGGGCTTACGGCTAGGATTACCCTAGATTCTCTCCACATGAGCCGTCATCATTCCTCCCTTTGCAACCTCCATGTCTTCCTTCACCCCCCATTCCGCATTCCCTGGCGCGGGCTGAGCCCCGAACAAAACCTCCATATCCTCCAGCGACTTCCCCTTGGTCTCGGGAATGAACCACCACGCCCAAAAGCCCATGCACACCATCAACGCGGCAAAGAAGAAATATGTCCCGTATCCCAGCGAGGTGATCATATATGGCGTAGTGCGGCTGATGATAAACGACCACAGCCACTGATTCGCCGTGGTCAGCGCCACGCAGAGCATGCGGATGTCAATCGGGAAAACTTCGGAGCAGATCACCCAGGTGATGCCCTGCCAGGTGGCACAATAGATTAGCCCGTACAGGTAGACACAGACCATGGCGATGTAACTCCATGCATTGCGCGCCGTGTCGCCACGAGCTGCTGCGCCTTCGGGGTCCGCCCGGAAGACGTAGCCCCCGATATACCACATGGGCAGACTGCCGACGAAGGCGCCCCAGATCAGCCCGCTGCGGCGTCCCACTTTCTCGACCAGCCAGACGCTGAAGATGATCATTCCCAAGGTTTTGGCCACCCCATAAAACCCCGTCGCAAACAGTTTCGTATCTGTACCTGTTATTCCCAGGGTTTCAAAGATCCGGGGCGAGTAGCTGTGGCAGGGTTAGCGGTGCATGCGTGCCCCAAAAGCAAGGGAAGTTGCTCTTACTATGTGATGATATTGACGCCGGTCAGGTTCTGGAACGCCATCAGCAGAAGGCCAATGCCGATCCGGTTGCGGGTGCCTCTCTGCCACAGTCGGTGGACGTAATTCCAGAAATCATGCTTGGTTCCTGCTGCAGGGACTCCGATCTGGATCTGCTCGCGGATCTGCTGCATCTCATCCTGAATCATGGGATGATCGGCGGGAAGCTTTCGGATCCAGATGAGGCTGCGCTCGGCTTCCTCCCACCGGTCTTGCTTTGCATACCACCGGGGGGTCTCCGGACACCAGAAGATCCCCAGGAGTAGCAGACCACCCGGCAGCAGCTGGAGACCCAGAGGAACCTGCCACTGCGCCATCTTCTCTGGGGGGATGGTGCGATTGACGATATAGTTGATCCAGAACCCCCACATACCGCCCCCCTGGGAACAAATCTCGAAGATGCCGACCAGACGACCGCGAATTGAGGGAGGTGACTAGATGGGCTTTATTAGATCCGTCACAATCCCATCTAGTGCACAGCTAACGTACTGTTTCCGCGATGTACACGGGAACCTGCAGGGACACGGAGCCGATGCCAAACCCAGCGATGGCCCGGCCGGCATAGATCATGCCCAGATGGCCTGAAGCAGCAGTCTTGTTCATTCCTTGTGTATTAGCTATTGAAAACATCTTTCTAGTGACTAGTGATTCAAAGGGGTCTCACCATCAGACTTCCTCCCACGCAGAAAATGGAAATGGCCATCACAATGGCCATCTTGCGCCCAAACCGTTCGGCCAAGGGGAAGGTGAGCAGAGACCCGAAGAAACAACCAGCCTGGAAGGTCGACACGATGTTCCCTTCCAGCGTGTCAGTCTCCAGGTCGGAGACACGCTCCATGCCAAAGTCACGGCGGAAGGGCTCCAAGGCCATGGTGCCTCCGATGACACTGGTATCGTAACCCACTACCCCACCCATCGCATTAACCATTCGCCCTCAAGGACATGCTCGGGGTGAAGTGGACATACTGGCAATGGCTCCCATACTCACGACCAGGGCGATGAGATGCACGCGCCAGTTGCGCACCTCAGGTGGATCGTTGCTGTTTTCGGCATGCAGATTGAACCCCATGGTGGGCTATGCTGGTCACGATTCAGACGGAGAAAATAGACAAAACAAGGCTTGCATTGTTTGGCAAGGCGAAACTGTGGAGATGCCGGGGCTTTTCTATCGGATTCACCCCGCGTTTTTACCCTGGAGCACGGCCATTCTTGCGGACGAGATGCCTCACGACGGAGTCCTCCCCCGCGTTGGTAAGTAGATCCCCCGCAAGCCAGACATCCTTCGTGCTGGTTCTAGCCAGCGCTGGTGAAACCCCTCTGGACTAGATTACAGCTAGTCATCGCGATCATCGATGGCCCTCCCTGCATGGACGGGCTTGGCCCGTCTGGGCCTTCTTGACAATCTCTTGGCATAGCAATGCTGGACCCCATAACGCGGCCGCCGAGACCGAGAGAGTGAGACTGTGCAAAGGTGATCGTTCACCTCCAGAGTTTTATCATGGGAAGTCGTCGCTCAGCGGCTATAACCCTGGCCGAATTCTCTAAACCACGAATGGCTGTGGATGCACGACTAGTAGTTCTCTCGCACCAGCGCCAGGAACCGTTCGATTTTTACCACGATGGAAGCTCGAAGAACGCAGGAGCCAGGCGATCTAGGCGCAAACTCGATTCCTGAGATTACCGTCCAGGTGCCCGACAATAACAGTGCCTCGGGCCTCACACTGGGCAACGACGATACCCTCTCCCGAGATCGATCGAACAGCAACCTGACCGCCATCGAAGGCCAGACAGGCCGGGATCGAGCCATGAGCGGCAGTACGATGGCCCCAAGCAGTCCGCAGGACGACATATGCAAGGAGAAGCGGGCCTCATCGTGTGGAACGTCGGGCATCTACTCGGTCAGCGAGCTGGAGGAGGCGCTTCGACCCGACCCGGGCTCCGAGGGCGATTTCGAGGTCAAGGACAACCCATTCGACTTCTCCCCGGGACAGCTTAACAAACTACTCAACCCTAAGTCCCTCGCCGCCTTCGTTGCGTTGGGTGGATTGCCCTCGTTGGTCAGGGGACTGCACACGGATGTCTCGGCCGGTCTCAGCGTGGACGAGTCTGTCGTCAGCAGAGGGAATACGGAGGATGCTGGCGGCGTGGCATCGAAATCAGCTTGGAAAAAGCCGGCCGACGTGTTTGACGATCGAATCCGAGTGTTCAAGCGCAATACCCTGCCGGAGAAGAAAGCCACGCCACTGTGGAAGCTCATGTGGATTGCATACAACGACAAGGTCCTGATCCTGCTCACCGTGGCCGCCGTAATTTCCCTCGCCCTGGGCCTGTACGAAACATTTGATCCGAACCACTCCAGCGGAGGAGAAGGGTCTCACGCCAAACGAAGCTCCGGGATGGGACTCGATTGGGTGGAAGGATGTGCCATCTGCGTGGCCATTTGCATTGTGGTGTTGGTGGGGTCCCTGAACGACTACCAAAAGGAACGCGCCTTTGTCCGACTCAACAAGAAGAAGCAGGATCGGGAGGTGACCGTCACTCGCTCGGGAAGAATGGTGCGGATTTCCGTTCACGATGTCCTAGTGGGTGATATCTTGTGCCTAGAGCCGGGAGACTTGGTCCCGGTGGATGGCATCTTCATCGACGGCCACAACCTGAAATGCGACGAGTCCTCTGCCACCGGTGAATCCGACCAGCTGAAGAAGACCGGCGGCGAGCAGGTGATGCGTCTTCTGGACGAAGGCCACAGCCGGGCCCAAGACTTGGACCCGTTTATCATCTCCGGAAGCAAGGTCCTCGAGGGAGTGGGCACCTGTTTGGTGACATCTGTCGGCATCAACTCCAGCTTTGGAAAGATCCTCATGGCCATGCGTCAGGATATGGAACAGACCCCTTTGCAGAAGAAGCTGGACCGTCTCGCCGGTGCTATCGCCAAACTGGGTAGCAGCGCTGCCCTGCTGTTGTTCTTCGTTCTGCTCTTCCGGTTTCTGGGCAACTTGTCAGGCAACACCGGTACCAGCTCTGAGAAGGCCTCGCAGTTCACAGATATCCTGATCGTGGCGATCACGGTGATTGTCGTCGCTGTGCCAGAGGGCCTCCCCTTAGCTGTCACTCTCGCCCTCGCCTTCGCAACCACCCGGATGGTCAAGCTCAACAACCTGGTCCGCGTGCTCAAGTCCTGCGAGACGATGGGCAACGCCACGACCGTGTGCTCCGATAAGACAGGTACTCTCACGCAGAACCGCATGACAGTGGTCACAGGAACCTTCGGCGATGCCACCTTCGACGACAAGGGCCAGACAGGCAAAGAAACAAGATCAGCAGACTTCGCCAAAAACCTCCCAGCCGAGCAGAAACAGATGATGATCGGATCGGTAGCGATCAATTCGACCGCGTTCGAGGGCGAAGAAAACGGGGTGCCGGGCTTCGTCGGCTCCAAGACTGAAACGGCACTGCTGGGCTTCGCTAGGGATGTACTGGGAATGACTTCTTTGGTGGAGGAGCGTGCCAACGCCCAGACCATCCAGCTGATGCCCTTCGACTCTGGCCGCAAATGCATGGGCGCCGTCTTGCGCTTGCCATCGGGTCACTATCGCTTCCTGGTCAAGGGTGCCGCTGAGATTGTTCTCGGTTACAGTTCAACCTCCTGGACCTCCGGTGGACCACGACCTATTGATGGCACCGAGCGGGAGCGACTCGAAAACATCATCCTCTCCTATGCAAAGCAGTCTCTCCGGACGATCTCCCTGGCCTATCGTGACTTCGCCGCCTGGCCTCCAGCGGAGGCTGTCGACTCCAGCGATCCGTCGTCCGCCGACCTCAGCCTGCTGCTAAAGGACATGTCTCTACTCGGCGTGGTTGGCATCCAGGATCCCATCCGTCCTGGTGTGCCTGAAGCAGTAGCGACGTGTCATCATGCCGGCGTGATCGTGCGCATGGTGACGGGCGACAATATGGTCACGGCCAAGGCGATCGCCACCGACTGTGGGATCTACACGGATGGTGTGGTGATGGAAGGCCCAGATTTCCGCCGTCTCACAGACGAGGAGTTCGATGAAGTGCTACCCAAGTTGCAAGTTCTGGCTCGATCCTCCCCCGAAGACAAGCGAATTCTCGTCACTCGGCTGCGGGCGATGGGCGAGATCGTAGCGGTCACTGGCGATGGTACCAACGACGGACCGGCTCTCAAGGCCGCCAACATCGGTTTCTCCATGGGCATTGCAGGCACGGAGGTTGCCAAAGAAGCCTCCGCTATTGTCCTGATGGACGACAACTTCGCTTCTATCCTGACGGCCTTGATGTGGGGACGCGCCGTCAACGACGCGGTGCGCAAGTTCCTCCAGTTCCAGATCACCGTCAACATCACCGCCGTCTTGTTGACCTTCATTTCCTCTGTGGCGGATTCACAGATGCGGTCGGTGCTGACCGCGGTGCAGCTGCTGTGGATCAACCTGATCATGTAAGTTACCCCTTTTCCACCTCTCAAGACAATACTAAACATCTATATAGGGACTCTCTAGCTGCCCTAGCACTAGCAACAGACCCCCCAACCGAACAAATCCTCGACCGCAAACCTATCAAAGGCGGCGCCCCCCTCTTCTCAACAACAATGTGGAAGATGATCATCGGCCAAGCCATCTTCCAACTAACCGTAACCCTAATCATGCACTTTGTCAAAGCTCCAGGCTTCCTGGACTACGAAGACGATGTCCGACGCTCCGTCGTCTTCAACACCTTCGTCTGGATGCAAATCTTCAACGAATTCAACAACCGACGCCTTGACAATAAATTCAACGTGCTAACCGGTCTCCACCGCAACTGGTTCTTCATCGGCATCAACATCATCATGGTCGGCTGCCAAGCCGTAATCGCCAACTACGGCGGCGTCGCCTTCAGCATCGTCCCCATCAACGGGGTCCAATGGGCCATTTGTATCGTGGTGGCTGCATTCTCCCTCCCCTGGGCCATGGTCATCCGCACATTCCCCGACCCCTGGTTTGCGGCCATTGTCCACGTTGTCGGCAAGCCGTTCGTGATGGTGTATCATCCGCTTAGTCGGGGGATGCACTGGATCTGGCGGCCGTTTGCGCGCAGATGCCGTCGTCTGGGACAGATGATGAAGTTCAAACGCAAGGATGAGTCCGAGAATGAGTCCGAGAATGAGTCTGATGCTAGTGATGTGGAAAAGGGGACTTCGACAAGGCATACGAATGATTGATTGATTGTGTATTTACGATGACCTGCCCCCATGGGCAACGGTTTATGTTTATGGATGGCTAGCTCGCAGTGCCTGGATGTCATGTCAGAGAAAATCCCGATACAGGAGGAGGCATTTGCCTGAGGTTAGGTTGGTTAGAAGATGACGTTGGCGGAACTAATGTCTGAGCTAATATTATTGCGTTTGGTATACTTCATGTCTTTCGGTTGTGCTTGTTTCAATGGGCTGCTCTCTGATAGTGTGGAAGAGTAGCGGGAATATCAAGGATATCAGGTATCAATACGGCCCTCTACTGGATTTACACGTGTAGGTTCTACTAAACTGCAGTGGTTTGTTCAATCAAGTATACGCAAGATTCCATTCATGGATAGAGCAAAGGATGGGATCGATCCAGTACTAGTGCTCGTCAACTTGAACCAGAGGTATAGACAGACGCTATAAGGAGAATTCGGAGACAAAGGCTAAGGCTTAGATTTTGTGATAGGAGACTTGGAAATCAAGTATGTTAAGGTCGACCGAAGCAGTTGAGTTGAGACAAGGAAAGGAGGGTGCTGAAAGACTCCCGGAAGAAAGGGCGGAAGAAGCATCTTATAGGCGCTCGACCAGGATTGGCGAAAAGGAGGGGGGCCTGGGTTTAGATGCAGAGGGGAGCCATTTTGGGCGTCGTTTTGGTCGCCAGTGGAAACGGGGGGGACCAATCGTTAGTTAGTGTAGTGGGGAGACCCCCTCCCCTACTACATGGGTGCCATCCAGACTATGTGACATAGCCGGCAGTATACAGTGGCCGGATAGCTAGTTCTAGAATACACCTTCTTACACCTCCCCGACCTGACCCCTACATTTGGGCTTCTCGCTGTTTCCTGATTGCTACGCGTGGGTTTTGTGGTGGTTTTTCTGCTGAATCGACCCGCACGTCTCAGCGCGTGCAGCCATCGAGCGTTCCCCTCTTCAATATCTACTTAGTTACATTACTAGTTAATCAGACAGTTCTATCTCTTTGACTGATCTCACTCTTCTTCCACACATTCCTGGTTATATGATTTAGCATCAGTCAGCTTGCTTTGTCATCGGATACCAGCCAATGCTGACAATTCCTCATCCTGACACGTATATCAAGTGGAAGAAAGTGCAGAATAGTACTGGAATAACTGGAACATGCGTATCTTACAATTAAAAAGAAGACATTTTCAGCTGTATAAGAGTCACGTGGGGGTTGGAATAGGGTAAATTAGCGAGAGTTATGCTAGTGCGGTTATCTTGCGGCTAGCTATGGCTAACCAAAACCGCAAATTGCGGGTACGGTTAGCAAAGTGGTAACCGCAAATGCGGTTTTGCCGCACTCTATTTAAGGCATTATGGATTAAGGGAACCGAATTTCAACACCGAAGAGTTCGGGTATTTGATAATCTCAGTCTATTTATATTTCACGCATAACGATACCAGAGCTATGCTTTTCAAGAGTATAACTCGCCCAGCCTGCTTTTGGTAGATCAATGTCTTCATCTCCAGATAGGAATTTCATAAAAATTCCATGCGTCACAATCACAACATGCTTCCTTTCTTGATTCTTCAAATAATCAGAGAGTTCTGCCACGCGAGATCTCACTCTCTTCGCCCGCTCGTTCACTGCTTCATCTTCTGGGGCATAAAGACCCTCTTTCACTTGCCAGCCTTCCGCTAAATCTTTGAAGTCTAGTCTCGGAAAAGCCGCTTCCAGGGCCTGAGATGTGGATCCAGTGTCGCATGGAAGCGCGCTTCGTTCCTGCAAATCTGGGTCCAAAATCAGGGTCGCGCCATTCTCTATACCATGCCCAGAGTCTGGATCGAAGTAGCGTTTATCGAGGACGTGTTGGAAGGCAGCGAGAGTTGTTTGAATGGTACGCCGTAGTGGAGAGGAGAGGATGATGCCCACATGTGAAGCATGAGGGAACGTTTGGGTCAGCTGCGTAGCTTGTTGAAGACCGAGTAGTGTCAAACAGGGATCAAGACGAGAGAAGTCTTTAGAAACATTGTGAACAGATTCCGCATGGCGGACAAGATGGATTTTCGAAGTCATACTGTAGTTAAAGGATTTGGACGGAATGGCTGCGACGCTTTATAAGAGGCATAGCTCAAGGAGATGGTAGAGTGAAAGTCGAAAACAGATTCCCCTTCGAAGACTCAAATATTCTTCCGCAGACCGTAATTTAAACTGCTTTAACTTTGTTAGGGCCTAGCCATAATCCATTTCCTTTACAATTGGTGTGAATCTTACCGGACATCCCAGTCCGGATTAGTCGGGTGTCGGGTACGAGTCGGGAAACAATGCGAGTCTCCACAGGGAAATCTGTTTTCGACTCTCCCTGGAACCTGATGAAGCAATGTCCGTGGTCTATTGCGTGATGCTTCCTAGTTTGGCTTAAGTGGCTATTTCATATGATCCTTGGAAGGCCCACTTGCCGATTAGAAATGCCTGCGGCACTCCCAGGAGCGTATGGAAGCTCCTCGAAATCCCCGAGAAGTTCCTGGTAGCCGTATTGGCACTGGGATCAGTGTAGATATTCCCAGCCATAATCCCATTCCAATTTACTCAGCCTGATCTCATCTTTGAATGTTCGCCCAACTAGTCTATTTGCCGATATTCTCCCTTTCTTTGCCTTTCATGAGCTTGAGTCCCAGTTCGCGCAGGTCAGCAAAATATTTAGAAGCAGCCCCAAACGTTACGGGATGAGTCCAGCCCTCCCTTTTCACAAGCCCATCAATACTTAAAAAGTCCTGGACATCGTTCCAACCCTCTGCGCCTACAAGATGGCTTCTCGACACTTTCTCAGGCACAATTTCCATCTGCTGAGTAATTATCTCCGAGAATCCCCCGGATCGTCTACAGTTTCACATTGTGTCATTGTTGATGTTCCGCTTCAAAGTTGGAAACCCGTACCAGGGCTGCTACCATATACAATGATCAGAGCAAGAAACAATTTGCACCCACCCAAGAGAACTCCATCGCACCCGAAGATGATTATCTTTAATACGGACCCAGTAAGAATATTTATCGGCCCACAGCCCCGTACCAACACAAACCCAGGATAGCACCAATAACAATAGACACAGCCGGAGGCACCTTAAACCACGCATTTCCGGCATAGGAGATGGTAGTGACAACCACCCACCATGGCTCTCTAGCAAGACTCTGTCCAGAGCTATTCTGGGATGTCAAATAACCAATCTCCCACAACCGGTAGACAGCCGTAAACACCAACCCAATTGCAGTAGCGTTTACTCCCCTCAAGATGTGAATGACAAACTTCTTCCTCCGCAGCACGCTCCAAAAACTCTGGAACGCAACAGCCAGGGCAAGACCCGGCACGAAGATTCCTAACCAGCCGAGGAATGCGCCAAAGACCGTGGGGAACCCCGTGGGTTGCAGGGCCAAGGCACCGAGGAAGACAGCGAAGTTAAAATTTGGTCCTGGGAAGGCTTGAATGATGGCTAGACCGATGAGGAAGTCTCGGCCAGAGATCCAACCAGGGGCGACGACGTAGGAGCGCAGAAGTGGGATCACGACGGGGCCCCCACCGAATATTACCGTTCCGGCGAGATACATGCTTGTGAATAGATCCAGCACTAAGGGAGGTGTGGCTAGTTGGCCTCTTGCGACGAGGAGCGCAATAAAGGAGGCTTTTCAATGTTAGTGTCGACCATGCACTTTCAATGCCGGGAATAAGACGTTACCAAAGAAAACCGTCACTATAGCAAATCCAGTGCGGATTCGAATCACATAGTTTGGTGACTGGGTCACTTCGGTCTCGGCTGACCGTGCTGAGCTCGACGCTCCAGCTGTATTGACAGGCAAACTGCTCGGGGCTTCCAAATTATGCTTCTTCCTTGAGCGTATCGTCACATTTCTCTCCGCTTCTCCAGGCTGTATAGACTCCATCTCTACAGGGGTCGTATTTGCCACCTCCGAGTCCATGGGGCGGTTGCGTCTATTCCGCCAAGCAGTCTTGGCCTTTTGGACTCGGGCATACAGCCATCCATCCCAAACAGCGATGACTAAGCCACCGCTAAGCATCAGCACCGGGAAATACCATAGCGTGTTATAGCAGAGACCAGCGCAGGCACCGAAGATGATCAGAATGCGAGAAATTTTGTCGCAGATAGCCTTTTCCGCGAGTTGTACAGCAGATACCGCGACAATGCCGACTGTCGCAGCGTTGAGCCCAGACAGCAAGGCGTAGACGGGCTCGGGAAGAGTACGGCTTAGATTTCCAACGCCGACTGAGAGGGCATACATTCCAATTGCACCGGGCAGACTATAACACGATTAGTGGTGACCATAATGTGTAAGGGTAAAGGACAGCCTTGCCTCCAAATAAGGAACGCCATTAGGGCCGGTATAACTCCCGCATGGAGCAAGGTAAGGCAGAACAGCATCTTCGTACTTCCAGGGCCAGGAAGGCCTTGACAGATAGCGAAGAGTTCTTGATACTATGAACAGAACGTTAGAAGCAGTGCTCGGACGGAAATGCCAGATCTGGCTGCGTGGTAATACAGTACGGTCTGCTCATCTACCCACTGCTCTTTCCCACCCTTGCACTCGACAAACCTGCCATGGAGGATTTGGAAGTGTACGGGAGGGCCTCCGAACGCGGTGAATCCCAGGTCCCATGTACGGAGAAACACATCGGTCAGACGTTGGGCGAGGGGTCTTTGGCTGTCATTACGTCGCGATTGGGCATGAGATGACCATTTGCGACTCAATGACTGGATGGAGAAGACGTATTGCGACAGGGGAGCTGGGAGCAACATGTTCAGAACCTCTTTGTCGTGTTGTTCTCCACAGGCATTTCCTAGGTCGATGTCTCGGATAGATCGATGTTTCCGTCACTTACAAATTTAGGGGGATAGCTGCAGTTTTAAATTGGAAAGTGGAACGCAGAGGAGCTTGGCGTAGCTGTCATCGTCCGTTGGTGATTCGTCATCCTTTCTTGGCATTGCGTGCTGGTGGCACACCCATTAACGTAATCCACAGGCGAGCCGCGCACATGGGCGAGTCGCGCATCCCAAAACACATAGTAAATACGATAAATTACAACTTCATATCTCAACCAATATATATGATTCCCATCTGATTTTTGGTTTATAGATGCCTATTAACTTAGTGGTACAGCTAATATATGTTAGCCTGGAGCTCACCTGATAAATAATACATCAGGTTACCAAAAAATACATATTCAGTGCAATGAAAATATGTATTTTTGGTAACTCTATTTTGTACATCATCTACTTATTTATCAACCTCGTTAGCGAGCTATATATACGCCTGGGAATAGTCATCTTTAACCAGGCTCTGGAATATCTTGTTGTTGGTGGGATATGAAGTTGTAATTTATCGCATTTACTATGTGTTTTGGGCTGCGTGACTCGCCCATGTGCGCGGCTCGCCCGTGGATTACGTTAATTGGCTGAGCCTATTACTAAGGTGCGCTTCGGGCTCCGCATGTAGTTAGACTCGTTTATTACGAGGCGTTAAATTGAATTGCCTGCGCCGTGAACAGTATATGACATTTGCATATTACCCTGGCGGCCTTCTCGACACTAGCTTCAAGGCGCTTTTGGTTTCCGACTCAACATGATCCAAATATCCCGCCACAGACGCCCGCTCAGGACCTTCATGTGCCAGAACCCACGTTCTCGAAGCGCTGCAGCAAATTCCTCAGTTTTCGCACGCTTGGTCTAACTGGTATTACACCAGTCAAGAAAAAAAGAATTCAGATAATCAGCCCTGGTCCTCCTCGGAGTAGTAACCAGTTATATCTAATAAAACTCTTGTGTTTTACAAAATAACCCCTCAATTGGGCTGAGGTTTGGTAAGTTTTTCACACCCTTAATATGCCCGCATTTACCCACCCAAAATCTCTATCTTCAAACCTACCTGGCGAAAATGGCCTTTGGCAATCTCTTCTTTGCACGACTATATTAATACACCACTCGAGGAAGACGTCAATCCCTTGTTCAGTGTCCCTATCACAGTAGCTACGGTGACGCTTAATAAAACTTTTAAGCTCAGCGAGAAATTATTCAATGGCATTTAAATCTGGTGAACAAGTCGGCAAATAAACCAACTTCACCTCTCCATCTGCATACATCCGTGCAATTGACTCCGAGTGATGGAATGATGCATTTGCCATTACCAGTACGGATTTAGGCACCGGCCATCGATCCCGGTTACTGGGATAATCATGGGGGCTTGGATCACGTGCATGCCTATATACCTGTTCACCAGTCTACTTGTATCTTACACAATTAACTCCCCTCAACAACATGAACACTGAAGCATCACTTATAAATCAACACCGACCCACGGGTTGGTGAACAGGTATATAGGAATGCACGTGATCCCAGCCCCCATTATTATCCCAGTAACCGGGATATTTCAACAGTCGGGTTTTCGTGGGCGGGTAAAGAAATTGAATACCCAACCCAAACCCACGTTTGGCGAGGTCTAGTCACATGTTGTACTAGTAACGTGATTGTATCGTCGGTTTATAGTTTCTCCGAATTGTCATACAAAATAGTGCGGTAAGGGAGTCACTTCGATTTCAGACTAGCTTACTATCTCATTTGTGCATGCAACTGGGGTCTACAGCATGTTCCGACATTCACCATGGCCGCTACAGGATGCCGTACCCGGCGGCCACCCCCTGGTACTTTTGTCTAGCTTTTTTTATGTTATCCTGGTGGTACAGTACATGTACAGTGGTACCGCAAAAGTCTGTGAACCACCCCCCCCCCCCCCCCCCCCCCCAAAATTGACCGCTCCCATCTCCGCCTTCCTGAAACAGGCAAATACATTCTGCCGCGTTGAGGTATCGCGCTCGCGTCTCTTTCTACACCCCTCCACATCACACGATGCCTCGTGTAAGAGCTTTACCACAGCGCCCAGTGCCTAAGGGCCTCTCCCTACACCTCCTAGGCCACCTACTCCTCCACCTACAAGCACACCACGTCGCCGGAATTCTGAATAAGACCCTAATCTACGTACCCAGATCACTACGTTGAAAGAGATCGCTGGGTGGTCTTATAGGGAAATCCACAAGAAATTCCCTGATCTACCACTCTCAACTATCAAAATGACATGCCTATGGTCAAGACTTCGGCAAAAAAGCTGTCTTTGAAGCGATCTAGACGTCCAAAGATTAATGAAGATTCACGAAACACCCCCAGTTACATATGAAGATCTACTCTCTGAGGTCAGCAATAAGTGCAAAAAAGACTCAATCGCTCGTCTTCTCTGTGTTGAGAACCTTCGAAAGTGGCGAGTCTGAATCGACTTTATCTAAGTCCTGAACATGCTGAACAACGATTGGCGTGGGCTTTACGGTATCAACACTATACAGAGGATTTTGATCGTGTCTTCTGGTCTGACGAATGTACAGTTGAGTGGTATCGGACTTCGACCCAAGTGGACATTTATTCGTCCTGGAGAGCAAGCAATCCAAAGCGAAGTCTATCCAACTCCATACCGAGGATTCCAAATTAAACAGATGTTTTGGGCTTCATTTTCTGGCTCCCCTCAACGAACTGCTCTTATCCCACTTTCTGGAGATCCGAATTCACATCGACGAGGTGTAAATCGCTTTGTTATTCTTGATTTATATTGCCGAATCTTACCAACTTTACTTGTTGATCCAAGGTCAATTTTTCAGCAAGACAATGCTCCATCTCATACTGCAATAATTTTACGCGAATATATTGCTCAGCTTGGACGTGAAATTATGATTTGGCCACCTAATTCACCAGATCTAAATCCAATTGAGAACCTCTGGATGCTGTTGAAACAGAGGATCTATCAAATCAGACCAGATCTACTACACATGCCTAATAATGATGATACATTAGAGATTCTGATCACTACAGCAAAGGAGGCCTGGCAGCAACTTGACCTTAGCATTCTAGAAGGTCTATCAGATAGTATGGCACGTAGAGTGCAGGCTATTATTGAGTCTAATGGATGGTACACTAAATATTAGTTATATTTGAATATTACGAGTTTTTTTGGTGTGGCAGAAAATAGCGGTGAATAAGGGGTGGTCACAGACTTTTGCGGCGCCACTGGAGACCAGACTCGATATTTCTCCTGAACCGCGACTATGCCGTTCTTTCCCCACCCCTCCCCTCCACCTCACCTACTATCGGCCTCTCCTTTTCCCAGCCATCTCCTTTCCTTCCGACATCGACGTCGACGGCTCCCCCTAGCCTTTAGGACAATACCACGACCATAATGGCCGATATGGAGCACATCGCGGTGGTAAATGTCCTTTCCCATATTCTGATGTGGTTCTTTTTTCTCACGTCTCGACTAGGATCCTGATTTCTACTCCCTGGAAACTGGCGCGAGTACAGACCCGCTGGACTTTCAGTCGTGAGTGCCGATTGCTACAATCAAAACATAATTATGGTCACATTCTCACTTGAGATTGTCTTCAGGGAGACCACCTCTCTTGCGTCCACAATCGCGAAGGGACGGTTTGAAAACGGGCGAAGGTCAGTATATTGTAGTGTACTTTCAGTCCACAAGGGTGTCTCCTGGTACTCACCTGAAAAGTAGATACCAAGCCACAAAAGATGATGATTACTGGTTAGTTGCTATGCATTTATTTGGTCTTTCGTGGAGATAACTAACATGCTCAGGGGTCCTTCTGATGAGCAGCAGTTCGAAGCGTTCGAGATCGGGTAAATCGCAATTCCCCCTATACCTTTCATGTCCCACCAACTAGAAGGTCTACGATCTAACCAAAACCAAACTCAGCCATATGGTGTTCCTCGTGTTAGACCACTATCAGGATAATCCTCTTTTTCGCGCCCCTATCGGCGATTCGCCAAAGGTAAATAAATCCATTACTGAGGCCATGCTCGCTTGAGCGTCCCACTAACATCAAAATGTAGCATATTCTAGACATCGGAACTGGTCAAGGGAGTTGGGCAATGTAAGTCAATGAGTCACACGTTTTATGAGAGCAAATAATAATTCCTTAAGTGACGTTGCCGATATGTATCCGTCAGGTATGAGATTTCTTGAGTCAGCCTCCTTCTATTCTTGGACTGATACGAGTTAGCTACCGTTCGAGGCGTGGATCTCTTCCCCCCACCGGTCACATGGATGCCCCCAAACTGCGTTTTCGAAGTGGATGATGTGCTTCGTGAATGGACATGGAGAGAGCCATTTGATTTTATTCATATACGTCTAATGTATGGCGCCTTCCCTCCTGAGGGATGGGACCAGTTGTACAAACAAGCTTACGAGTGAGTTTTGATCCTGACTATTTAATCCAGTGAACTAGTAGAGCCTTATATCTTAACTTCTGGTATAGTGCCCTCGAACCCGGTGGCTGGATTGAGCAGATGGAATTTGACGTGCGAGTCCGCAGCGACGATGATAGCTTAAAGGAAGAACATCAGCTATGGGGGTGGGGTAACATGTTTATTAAATGTGCTGAGCGAGCCGGGCGGTCACTTAATATTCACGAAACGATGCGCAACTCAATTGAGAAAGCCGGATTCGTGAAAGTGCACGAGAAAAAGAGCAGGATCCCCTTAGGACCTTGGCCTAAGGATAAGGTACTGAAGGAGGTCGGACAACTTCAGTATGCCCACTGGAACGCCGCTTTAGAGGGTTGGGCGATGTGGCTTCTCACCCATTTTGGGGAGCCCGAGCCGTGGACGAAGGAGGAGGTGCATGTGTTCTTGGCTAAAGTGCGTGTGGAGCTGAAGAATCCACATATTCACGGGTATAACTGGATGTAAGTTTTCTTCCGATTGACGCCGCTGAACTATTTTATGTTAATAAGATTTAGCAACCGCGTGTGGGCAAGAAAACCCACTGAAGAGGAACTGAAATCGAAGGAGACAAGTTTTTGAGTCAAGACATCGCCAGAGCTCTGACCATTGATGGACACCAAGGAAAGCACAATATCCTCTTAGTGAGGTAATGACAGGGATGTGGAACAGAGCTGTTCACAATGTGTCAACAGCCCCATTGTTCGCTGAGTCCAAAGGTTCCCCGCTAACCATCCAAGACCTATACGATCCTTCTATGCTTGGGAACCCATCCTTAGTGCCACATATATCAACTTTGACCGACTTATTGTTGGGACAAGCATCAATTAGATCTTGGAAATGTCAACTTTCGCTCCAGGAGCTTTTATTCTAAACTGGGTACTCACCCGAGAAATCTTGGCCTTTTAGCTTAGTGTTGTGATATATCATTTTGTACCGAAAGACCTCAATACCGGTGTCAAATTGAATTTGCTGTTTTACTTGTTTAGCCAACTGGCCATGTTCCTGAGGTCAGCGTAGGGGCCTTGCACACAACGATAGGTGTTCGAATTCATTCTTTGGAACATACTGTTTCAGCACCTCAGAAATAAAGGAGTCTGCCGGCTAAATGAAGATTGTACAGATTATTTATCTCAGTGACATAAGGCGGAGAGGTCAAGCATAAATACATACTACACTTGTTATCTGGAACCTACTTAGCGATCTCACGTCTATAACGTCGTTGATGTGCAGACAGGCGGTGCACAGTTCCCACTGATTGGCCGATTGATACTTCCTGTATGTCATCGTTTGACAATGGAATGTCACTGACAAGACTATGTCGCAAGGAATGTAAACGGAAGGAATCACTAGAGCTCCTCCAAGATCATCTAGATTAGAGATCACTCCTTATCTGCGTGTCTGTCATGTATCTCAAATCAATTCTTGTTAATGTAATATCGGCTAGCATTGACTATTAACTTTATTACATAGAAACTGGTTAAATAAACACATGCCTTGCCATAGTATGCTTCCAGGCACTAGCATTTTTAATATTGATCAGTGAATGGCAACAAGGTAGCCACCAATAGCAAACGAAACGATATGGATCTGAAAGTTTAATTCAGCTGCAGAATGGGAAATTTTCCAGTTGTTTGTTTTAGTCCTTCCAGCCAACTCGTTTAGCTATAAATTTGACAACATAGACAAGGCCAAGTAGTACCGGGACCTCAATTAATGGCCCGACAGTGGAGGCAAGCGCTTGGTTGCTATTGGCACCAAATGTTGCGACAGCGACAGCAATCGCAAGCTCGAAATTATTGCTGGCAGCGGTGAAACTTTGCGTGGCAGCCAACTTATAACCAAACCCGAGCTTATAGGTCACAAGAAGAGTCACGAAGAAGACAATAATAAAATAAACAATAAGCGGAGCGGCGACTCGGACGACCGATACAATTTGATGAACCACCTGCCGGCCCTGGGATGCGAATAACACCAGGATCGTGAAGAGGAGCCCAAGAAGCGACCATGGGCCAGCCCACTTCAGGAAAACCTGGTCGTACCGACGTGGGCTGGTGATCTTTCGAAGGGTAATGCGGGTGATAATTGCAGCACCAAGAGGGATACCAAGAAAAACTGCCACACTTGTGGCAGCGGTGGAGTAAGATAGTGTAACTTGGCTGCCTGAGTGACTGACGACCTTGATGAAAAAAATGGCCAACGGGGCGAAGAGCACCATTTGCAACAGGGAGTTAATCGCAACGAGAATAGCGCAGTATTCACCGTCCCCTCCAGCGAGACCGGTCCATATAAGAACCTATTAGCAATAATAAATTAGTTCAGTTCGGGAAATGTAGAGAAAGGGTAATGTACCATAGCAATGCATCTGGCCAACCCAACTAAGATCAAACCTTCTCGAAGCTCTGGCTCATCCGGTAGGAAAGCCCATGCCAGTGCGAGCTAGGCAATATAACGTTAGCAAGTTTCGCCGTGGCGAGTCGAAAAAGTCTCACCATCAAGAAAGGCGCAATAATCCAATTAACAAAGATACTAAATGCAATCTGGACCCAGATACCGCGCTCTCGGAAGATATGGTGTAAAGATTCGTATCGCACTTTGCAAAGAATGGGATACATCATGACCAGGAGACCGATCGCTTGTAACGTTTAGTTGGAGATTGCACTGTTAAAGATTTTTTGTGCACATACCGATTGGAATAGATACCCCGACGAATTTTCCCTTCTGAAGGGCGGGTCCTATATTCTCCACAAAATTTCCTAATATGATTCCGATTGCCATGGCAAGAAAGATCCATACAGCCAAAAAACGATCTAGCCAACCAAGCCCTTTAAAGGCTGATATTTTGGCTGTAGAATCCTCGGTTTCATTTTTCCTTTGTTTTTCAATATCATCGATTGTTGACTGATTATTCAATGTTGTGTTGCGAGATTGAGGTTCGGCCTGTTTTGCCTGAGGAATTCCGGTAGACATATCTAGCATCAGCAGATTAGATGCGTAAGATGCTTCACCTGCGGACGACCTCTGGCAGATAAGGAAACTAAAGGAAAACCAATAGTAAGGCAGTGGGTGCTCGAAAATCTGCATCAATGGAGCGGAGTAGTCAAATATGTAGAATCTGGAATTTCGCCTTCAGGAGAGAATCTACCGCTAGTCCTGATATAGTAAGTCTGGTTATTCGTGATAGCCAATCACACCAGGTGGATGACAGTTTCCCAGCTTTGTCCAATCATAACCAAGGAGTGACATGGCGGCAATGCTCTAGGCTTGTGATTTGTCAGTGATGAACATCCCGGTTTCCGCTTCCAAAACCTTCGACCAATGATAGTGTCGGGGTGACATTCATGTTGCTATCCAGAGATAGGCAAGGGTGATGACCATGCAAAGTAGTTCTCATTGACAGTTCCTATGTGGCTCGTAATACAGTCAAGTCACCAGCTGTGAGCACAGACTTTTTAAGTAATGAATGCCTAAGATCATTTTTAAATGACCAGACGGTATTTTTGCCTATGGCAATCAATGTAGACTCTATTTAAATGCGGTTTTGGCATGTACTGTGACTACGGCTCACCAAAAGCCCCTGGTCAATGGCTAGTGAGTTGTGGGGCGACAGCCCTGCATAAAGAATGTTCTAGTGTAAGGAGAGATTAATTGTTCCCCTTTTCCAGCCAATGCTTGGTGTATAAAATCCAAGAACAGCCATTTTGTCCCTCCTGCTTCTACACAAATTGGGGCACCACCATATCTTTTTTTTCGTTTAGTGATAATCTATCTTGAAGGCACCTACTATTCATACCCGCGAAGTTCTGCTATCGTGGATGATTTCACCCCGCATATTCAACTAGCTACTCGCCAGGACTACTCAACGCATACTCGAAAGGCATGCTCATCATGGCTAATAAGCCCAGTGTCTTATTTGTCTGCGTTCATAACGCTGGACGCTCGCAGATGGCTGCTGGCTTCCTTTGCCATCTCGCAGGTGACACTATTGAAGTTCGCTCCGCCGGATCGGCCCCAGCCGACTCTATCAACCCCGCCGTTGTCGAAGCCATGCGTGAAGAAGGAATCGATATCAGCAAACAAAACCCCAAGATCCTAACTGCCGACGCTGTGCAAGCCAGTGATGTTGTCATTACTATGGGATGCGGGGATGTTTGTCCTTTCCACCCTGGCAAACGCTATCTCGACTGGCAACTTGACGACCCTGCCGGGCAAGGCTTAGACGCTGTGCAAGCTATCCGTGACGAAATCCGTCATCGTGTTGAGAAACTTATCACTGAAATTCGGCCTCATGGTTCAACAATTTGAGGATGCCGTACACAAGACCCGACTCTGTGGTGACATGGCAATATTCGGCATGTGTTAAGGATGGTGAATGGCCGTGTGGCTGGCATCTCCATTATTCTGTACTACGTATACTTATTCTTCTGGCGGCTACGATATCACTTCCGCCGCATTACCTTAGCGGAAGAAAAATGCAAAACAGCATGGAGCATTTCGCTCCAGAATAGTCCCTAGAGTACGTCGAAAAATGGTGCAGAAAAGAGGAACTATCCATTCACCTCCTGATGAGGCTGGTACCCCATAATATAGAAGTTGTGATCAACATATGCCTCCGAGACATCTCACGGGAAATACATGGGTGGCGATCCCGCATCGCAGTGAGTTTACACTTGGGGTCTCGGGTGTCTCTTTTGTTACGGAGCAGGGTCGGTTTTGCGACTCGTACAATACCTGAAGAGGAAGTTGTAGCATCAGCATTGCATATTTATATTCCAGAGTTTTGATGCTTTGAGAAGGCCCACCTTCTACAACCCCAGCAGTAGCTACCAAGCTGGAGATATCACAGATAGAAGGGGCTCGATAAATCCACAGCAAATATCGGCCTGAGTGTGACGTCATGTTGTGCGCCAATTGTGAGTCTGGTCAAAATGAGTCAAAACTGAAGGCCTTTCATCTTTCATCTTGTCAGTGCGGTGACTTGCAGGCTAGAGGCCCGTAAATCTGGCAGAAGCCGTCTTCCTAGTCAGCAAGCCAGATTGATTTCCAAGTAGCCTGCGGAGCTGAGATTCTGACGAGCAGTAATTCTGGCCAGGGGATTTGCAACCTTTCATTGACGTTATATTCAGGAAGTACAGACCGCTAATCACTGGAGGCTTTATTTGGCGGGTTTTCCTTAATGGACATCATTACACTAACATACAGTAGCTACAGTATAGGCCTCAGTGACTTGAGCGCAGAATGCTTAGATAGACCACCTGCATGGAGACCATGGGGCGTTGTTTTACTACCTTACTGATTCCGAACGCGAGCGCAACAAACCCCCAGTCCTCCCATTATTTTCCGACTTCTGTACCGCTCATAACCCAAAGCGAGCTGGAAGTCATGCGAGTTAAACACCATTCAGAGTCAGAGTATTAAAGTCTAGCCAGTGCTGGCCCTGACGTAAATTCAAGGCCGGTAATAGGCACTGCTACGTGCTCACAGGAAATCCCGCATTGATTTTATTTAGAACTAAATACAACACCCCATATACCCATTCTTGAATCTTGAAGATCAAGTCTCCAATTTCTGGACGTCATATGGTTCATCAACTGTACGGCATAGCGATGGTGGTTTTGTTCTCGTTTCTAGAGAATGAGTCACAAGTAGGGAGGGATTGAGTTCATCACGAATCCTCGGCGGGGAGGTAGCAGAATGCCAATGAAGGCGTAACAAGTATTTCAGGAAGCGAGCTGTGACGGACTAAAATTGGCAAGCTCCATGTGTGTAAAATATGGAGACACTCGCTCAAGCCGGGTCTACTGTAATCAAGCCCCAAGGCCCAAGCTGGGCTGAGACTTTGGATGGTGTATGCGTGGCGCGGTCGGAGACCGCATTGGTGCTAGCCCATCAGATGCTCTCACCAATCACCAGACAGGTTCTTGCCACGGGGGAATGGTGCCAAGAGATATTGTGGCCAATCACTAGTCACAGATGACATAATTCTATGCCGAAAGACTAACGTAATTCACGGCTGACCGGGTCACACGGTTGAGCGGGTCACCCCAAAAACACCATACTAAACGCGATATTTTAAGTCATAATATATCAACAACGAGACTATTATTTTGCTTGATTTTAAGTATGCTATGATCTTCTAGCATAAGAATTAGTATAGTATAACTTATATATTCAAAAACTGATTATTTACCAGTATTACCAAAAATACGCTCCGATCGAGCGATGTAGATATATATATCCATTATATCATACCGTATAATATTTCTAGAGCACATAAAAATATCTAGTAGGATATATTTAATACTAGGGTAGCATAAGATCATATAATCAGCCTTAAGCGTTGAAATTTGAAGTGGTGAAATATTCCATTTAGTATGGTGTTTTAGGGTGACCCGCTCAACCGTGTGACCCGGTCAGCCGTGAATTACGTTAACTAACCTCCTGTGTTTAAACCTAGGGGTCCATTCCGGAGCAAAGACGCGGTTATCATGGTACTGGCGGCGATATAATAGCCAAAATTGGCCAGCAATACAAGTTCACTCAGTGGAGATAAACTTGTTCCAGCTAGGGGACCTGGGGACAAGGAGGGTCTGGTCCGTATCTGCGGGGTTGTTGCTTATTCTACTTCGGCTGGCTAGGGACCGAGCCGACCAGGCAACTGCTATCTAATCTAAGCGCCGCGTTATTTTGAAGCTAGTTAGCTCCCTAGAGCCTAGCTAAGATGGCCCAATCGCAAGCTTGGCCCAAGCCCAGACACCGATTTCAGGTTAATTTGTCGAGCTCTACACGTCGGGTTTTTCTTTTGTCGATATTCCTGATGCTCCAGCTCTAATTATCCCGTTATTTGGGAGTGTATTCGCTGCTGAATCTCCTAGCACTGGTATCTGGCCCAAGAGAACGAGCTAGCGTGTTGCCCCTCGGGCGCGGCCCCGACCTCTTCTGCTGCACACTCTTTCATCTGCTACCTGAAAAAGAGAATTCAAACGATCGTTGTTTACAAGCATTCTGCTAGCAGAAGTTAGTCAGCATGGTTATTCCTGCGTTTCTCTCACACTGCTCACCTTCTCCATTCTGGTGCATAGAGGCCAGCCCCCACGCCATTACGAGAAGATCGACGTTCTGTGTTGATGCCTTGAGATGGTATTGAATTGCGCCGGGACGGCGGGGGCATCCGAAAGATGCGTAGAAGTGAACGTAAAACGGACACAGGGAAAGAAGCCTGGAGGGAAAAGCCTGTGGCAAAGACGCCGAAAGGGGCAAGTCAGCTCGCTGATCAGCGAAGGGATTCTCGATATTTGGTTTTCCATCCCTCATCAAACTCGTACGTGCCATACCATGTGCTGATTTCGGTTTCCTTCTCTTCGGGAAAAGAAGGGCGCTTAGATGAACGGCCTTATCAGCCATTGCATCAAGCTCCTCATGAACTATTGGCGACAGCGGGAGATCATGTGTAACGGCGAACCAATGGCACTAAATTTTCAGACTTTTTGATCCCTCCCCCGCTCCCAACGATGATATTCACTAGAACTCATCAATGATCTTTCATTGGCCACCATTTCCTCGTTTCGCTCAAAAAAATCTGGGGAAGAGAGCGGATTAGGCCCCGTGCAAAACCCCATGGGGTGGTTATATGAGTCCAGTCTGACTCCCTCTGCTTTGCCTCATCACCAAAGGCTCCCAACATGAAAGATTCTGTCGCAAAGGTCGAGGCCATTTCCCATCCAGCCTCAAACATGTCCAACAATGAGGTTGGAGAAGTCCATGACGCACGGCCCAAGGTGCATTTCAGCATGCTCAGTTCTCTCGGTGTCCAGTTCTCTATCACAGGCGCTCCACTCACATTGGGCACTGAGAGTGTGAGATGTACAGGATGATCGTGAACGGGTGAGAAGCAGGTGGTATTGGCTATCTGCTGCTGTCTTCTGCTATCAGAGAGAGAGAGAAAAGAGGAAGGAAGAGAGAGCGTGGGAAGTGAGAGAAGAGGTACAGAGTCAGGTGACTGTGGTGACTAAGTGAGTACCTGATGTATGTACATTCAGGCACATATCTCTCCTTGACAATCGGAGTCGGAGGCTCGCCTGCATATTTTTGGGGATTCATTGTGGTTGGAATGTTCCAACTAGTTTGTGGCCTTGTGATCTCTGAGCTCGCATCGGCCATTCCACACTCGTCCGGTTACTACTTACCCACAAATATAGACTATCCATTCTGTTGTGATATGTCGTATCGTAACGGAATCAATTCCTAACCTCACGGAATTACCAGCTTTGATTGGAAATCAATCTGGAGGTCGCATGTGTATGATGATGATGATGAATTCATTTGCCCGATGTAGCTTGCTCTAAATATATGCTGCTATGCGGGAGTGCTGTCAGGCCTGCCGACAGCTTGAAGGTGGTCGCCAGCCCACTGAACGATTGTTTCCCTGGCTTGCAACGCAAGCCCCTGATTGGTCGCCCGGGAATGTATGCAAACATGACAAAATAGACAAAATAAACAAAAGAAATCCAAAAAGAACGTCGCTTCCCCTCTACCCACTCTCCTTTCCACAATCAGACTTCATTCTCTGATCTACGTCGTCCTCCACCGCCTTCATCTGCGCAGCCCTCTGGGCCGTCGGCTGCCGCTCCTGCGCTCGCTTGCATCAAGGGAGTACAGTGGACCTGGCACTGCACTCCTAACGGGCACCATCCTTCTCCTTCCGTCACACTGTCCTGAGGGGTCATCCTTTTTCGTCGCCTTGTTCCGTGCCGAGAGCCAATGGGTCGACTGCTTGAAACTGGTTTAAGAGACCTGTCCGGACCATGAATTCGGCCACAATTATGCGAGCCTCTGGCCGCGTCAGGAGCTCGTCGCGTCGCAGAGCAACTCCGCGGTCGGACAGAGCGTTTCTCATCCAGTTGCGCTCATCTTGGAGTAGCGGGCATTCAAGCAAGATATGATCGACGGTCTGGTTCCCCAGATTGCAACCACATCTCGCTGACTCGCGCCGATTGATGCGAGTCAAGTAGGCAGCAAAGCCGTTTCTTTTACGAGGCGGTTCATATGGATCGCAATTGGTGGTAGGTGTAGTTCTGTGTTCAGTGCCTCTGCTGCCGTAGTTCTGAAAGCTCCGCTGATCAGGCATGCTGCCCGCTTCTGGATGGCCACGAACGGTTGACTGATCATTCGTGCCTTCATCTTGCTGATCATCATTGGGTGGTACCAGGCCGATACTCCGAAGAGCATCTGTGGGATGACTACCGCTTGGTAGATCCTGCGCATAGCTGAAAGAGAGGCCCCCCATGTCGAGCCAGCCAAGCTTCGTAGCGCCTGGAGGGACACGCTTGCCTTCGAAACTGCCTTTTCGCGGTGATGCTGAAACTCCAAGCCGGGATCAAGCCAGTAGCCCAGGTAGCGTTCCGCCGTCCTTGTCGCAGGTACTGTGTGCCCCTGCAGTGACAGTGGTGTGTACCGAGGCTCGACTTCTTTCGTATTTACGAAATGCACGAGCGCGTACTTCTTCGTGTCGAATACTGAGGCATGCTTTCTGGCCCACTGTTCGGCCTTCCCGCAAGCGGTTTTGAGCTTCCTGATGGTCTCTCGCTCGCTATCTCCTTTGGTCATAAAGCAGACATCATCCACCCAGCCGTTACTGGTCACTCCGCTTCCGCATTTCTCAATCAGGTCTGCATTGTAAATCAGATAGAGAATGGGCGAAATCGGCGACCCTTGTGGAATTCCCGTTGGTGTTGGTATTGGACCAGAAGTGCCTTCTGGCATGCGGATCTTTGTGCTTCGATTTGACAGGAAAGCCTTTACCCAAGGGACGAGTTGCCCTAGGCGTCTTTTCTTGAGATTGTGGAGCAGACGTTCGTGAGAGACATTGTCATACGCCCCCGACACATCCAGCATTAACAGGGAGACCACCGGTTTGCCTTTCCCCCAGGCTATTTTGATTTGGTCAATCATGTTGTGGATAGCATGGTCCGTTGAGATGCCTCGTCGACCCCCGAGATGGGTCTTTGGGAGATACCCTCGGTTTCCACGGCATAGCTGATTCGTCGTGCGACCACTGCTTCGAGAAACTTTCCGAGAGTATTTAGAAGCGCCACCGGTCGGTAGGACTTTGCCAGTTGGTAGTCACTCTTGCCTTGCTTTCGTAGGACCACCGTGATTGATTGTTGGAAGTGTGTTGGGTTGTAGCCAGTGCGTATGCAAGCATTGAACAGCTGTTCGAGCAATTGCAGTACCACTGGCACCTCGATCAATTTGTGCCAGAGGGAGTTCGGGATCCCATCAGCTCCTGGCACTTTTCCTGCCTTTGCTGTTCTCACAGCTTCCTGTATCTCTTGTGTCGTAATTGGTGGGAATTCAATCGGCTCTAGGTATCGAAATAAGGCAGTGTCCGTGAGGTCCGCAGGTGGCGGCTGTGGGAAAAAGGCCGTCCGGAAAGCCTCCGCTTTCTGGTCGACTGTCTCGGCAAGTTCGTCTTGTAACGGCAAGTTCGTCTTGTATCAAAGGGTCCTGAACTTTTAGTGAGGGTGTGAGGCCTCTCTCGTAGGCTCCGTTACGATTTCTGGCCCATTTGGCGAGGCGCCACATTCCCTGAGGTCCATCTTCGATTACCTGCTGGACTCGGCGTCGATGTGCCCGGGAGAGTGCCCTCTTAACCAGACGTGTCTTTTTGTTGCGTGCCTTGGAGTATAGCATCCAGTCGTAGGGGTCCTTTGTCCTCGTGTGAATACGTCGTAGTCGCCGAACTTCTTTGACGGCGGCCCCGCACTCTTCGTCAAAGTCGGGGTTCGACCATATCGATGGGTTTGCCCACGGGGTTGAAAAGTCAATTGCGCATTGTACGACGCCTAGTAGCTTCTGACATTGCTCCTCGATCTGTCGGTGGCCTACCATGGGTAGATCTCTTTCTTGTATGCCTTCTTCGACCTTTCGGATAAGTTTGCCGTCATCAGTCGCTTTCCAATTTCTCCTTCTCTGCTGCGTTAATATCGGCGTCTCGATATCAAGCGTGGTTCTAATAGGAAAATGATCTGATGAGTGCTCAATGTCATCCGCCCGCCCACAGCGGATTATTCTGCCGCTGAGGCTGGGACTGATGAAGGTAAGGTCAATCACTGATGATTGGTCGTTTCTCGTCCAGGTCGCTTTCCCTTCCTCGGTGATCAGCTCGAGCTCCTGCTCGTCTGTGATTTGCAGCAGTTGTTCAGCTTCGTCGTCGATCTTAGTTCCTGGCCATCCCCAAGCTGGGTGGTGAGCGTTCATGTCTCCTACTACTATATGCTCGGCCATAGGAAGCCTTGCCAGCTTGTCTCTCAGCTGGGTTAGGGTGCTGCTCCCCGGCCTGTTATACACATTGTGTACGAATAGGTCCGTCCAGTCCCTGTTCCGGTTGGCTCTTCTGAGCTTCAGTAGCTGATAATCCTGTGATACAAGTTGGCACGACCAGGTGCCTGGGTCAACCTTCCTCGAGACGAATAGGCATACCCCTGCTTGGGTAGAATTTGAATCACGGTCGCGAGGGCCCTGCTCCTGGCGGGTCTGCATCGCTGGATACAACAGCTGGAATTTTGCGGTCGCCGGCTGGTGGGTTGTGTGTTGTTGTTCATTCCGCCAGGGCTCTTGGACAGCAATGACGTCCGCCTCTAAGACAGCTTTATCCCTGAGAAAAGTGGCCATCATCGACCATGATTTGTGTGCGTTGTATTGGAGTAGCTCGAACGATTTCATTCGTGGTTTCGTTCGTCATCGCTGCGCTCGCTGGCTTCGTGCCATATGTCGTCATTTGGGTCTTCAACTGTGGGCGCGTCTGTCGTGACCACCGGCGGAGACGATCCGACTGGGACCGTATTTGTCTGGCTATATCTTAGTGTGATGAGTTTTCGGTATCCTGGGCTAGTTGGGTCTAGATCCTGGAGACTGGGCTCGTGAGTGTTGGTGTCGTTGATTGTGGTGACATCGTTGGTGAACTGGGTAAGCTCTTGCTCAAACCTCTCGTCTTGCTGGGTGCTGTCCTGAGGGGGGCCGGGTTGAGGAAGGTGGATATCGAGCCAGTTGCTATCATCAGGCTGTTCATCCATCGTGTCCTCTGGTGCGCCCACGCGGCGCTTTTTGGATGTGGTGTGTTCTTGGATGGCCTTTTGAGAGGCGGCTTGGGATCTTGTCGACATCCGATTCACTATGGAGAGTGTGTTGTCTGGAGGCGGCGGTGCCTGATTTCGGGGCCTGGTTCTTGAGCCATTTGGTCGACCTGGCCCTCTTTTGGGCTTCGCAGATTGGCCGGGCTCACCATTTAGTGCCCCCGTAATGAGTGGTTCCATTTCCAAGTCGATAGTGACTGGCTGGGAATACTGTGGTGCTTCCTTTTCCTGTCGTCTTTCTGGCGCGTGCACTGACTCTCCCAGCTCATTTCTTTCAGGAAGGCCAGACCTGAGCAGGTGCGTCGTCGTGCTGCCTTTACTCGCGGCATTCCGGTAGTGTAGTGGCACTCGGTGATATGTAGGGGAATCAATCAGAGCCTGTTTGGCCTCAGCCATGGCTGCGCTCTTCACCGCGCAATTTTGACTAGTTGGGCGGTGTTCTCCACCACAATTGGCACATTTAACTGGTATCGTCTGTCCCTTTGTCGATGGACACTCCCAGGTCGGGTGCCCATCGGCACAGTGACCACATTTGAAATCGTTGGAACAGTGTGACTGGATATGCCCCGGTTTTTGGCACTTCCTGCATAGCTTTGTCCTCCCTTCTCTACAGAAGCGAACAGCGTGGTGGATTTGTTTTCCCCACACAATGCCGGTGATGATCGCACGGTTGGCCACGATTGGGCTGGTGAACTCGATCAGGATTGAGCCCTCTGCTCGTGCACCCGGCCGTGTCAGCCAGCCGAGAAACTGGATCCTGGCAGCATCGCCCCAGTCGTTCTGTGCAAGTAGCTCACACGCAACGTTGGCCATTGTCTCCGGAGTAAGCTTCATCGATCTCACTGGGATGTTGTACGCTACCACTCCCCACGACGGTTCCTGGGCGATGGAGCCTGGCCCGAATGCCCTCAACCACTCAGTGTGCTTACGGAGGAGCTCCGCGCCCGCAGCACTGTTAGCCACCATAGCTACATCTCCTGATGGCAGCTTGCGAGCTGCCACGAAGCTTGCCCCACCAGCCAGGGCTGTAGAGCTCTTCTGTCGGGCAACCGTCGCTCTTTGTCGTTCTGCTCGTTCCACGAGCTCCTTCGGCGATAGCGTTCGAATTTGTTCGCGATTCGGTCCAACCTTCACGATGACCTCCCGATCCTCACGAAGTTCAATTTCCGGTACTCCTGGAGATGAGGTGCCGTTGCTCCGGGGGTTGGGGGCCGTAGCCGTGGCCAAGCCGCGCTGCCAGTCTCTGGCTCAGAAGCTGCGCCACGCTGCCGCAGAATCGGCAGGGAGTGAGGACAAAGATCTCGATAGAGTGCTTGTTGAAGCTTCAATGGTTGTCATTCGCTGGTTCAAGCGTTCGGTGTCGGCGTTGATCTTGGTCAACGTTTCAAGCACCTTGGCCATCCCCATGGCGTCGCCCCTTTGGGCGTTGAGCGCGTACTGGCGGACAGCCCGGATATATCCTGTGACGTATCGGTCCTCGGTGCCATTGTTCTCAATGTGGTTCAGCACCTGGCGGGCCCCTTCTGCGATGTCGTCCATCGATCTGGGTGGGTCACGGGGTACCATGGTTTTCGGTGGTCCTCTCCTGTCAGGGGGCAATTTCTGTACATTCGCACCAGTCGCAACCATCGCTACCATCTCGCCTACAAAATAGGTATCATACGATAGCGCGTGAAGTTACGACAATGATGAACTAATTCTCAAGGCCCTGAGACCTCTGATTGGCGAGATATTTCAAGAAAACGTTTTTGCCTCAGTAACTCACAAGCAAAATAGTCAGTCAATTAGGTCGCATGTGTATATAAACCCTCAAGTTTTCTGTCCAGAAGAAATAAGCAATTTTCCTTTGAATTACAACACATTCGGATGACCGAGCGCGCTGACTTTTCATCCACAGGACCTGTGCAGTGGGTTATCACTCTTGCTCCTGTCCGCTACAGCCATGCCTTGGGGTATATCATGGGTTGGCTCTTGAACGGCGCTTGGCTCTGCATCACCTGCGCTTCATGTCTCTACCCAGCCCAGCTCACGTTTTCGTTGGTCCAAGCGAATTACCCTGAGTATGTACCTGCTTCGTACCATATTTATCTGTTATTTATGATTTACGCACTCATTTATGTGGTCCTCAATCTGCCTGTTGTTTTTAAATCTCTGGAATATTTGTTGACGGCGTCGCTCTTCTTATTTAATGGGTCTGCACTATATTTTCTTATTACCTTGTTGATATGCGCAAAGCCCAAACAAACCGCAGATATGGTTTTTGTCGATTTTGTGAACGAGACTGGTTGGAGCTCGAATGGATGGGTCTTCTTTATCGGATTCTTGCCAGCACTCGCGGTTCAAGGCCTCTTTGATTCTGCCACTCACCTCACAGACGAATTGGAGAACCCCACCAAGCAAGTGCCCATCGTCCTTCTCTCATCCCCGACCATCAGCATTCTGGTTGGGATCCCGATAATCCTTGCGTATCAGTTCTGCAATATCGATCCTTACAGTATGCTTGAGCCTGTGGGCGGAGAACCGCTGGTTCAACTCCTGCTCAATGCCACCTCATCGCTGGTCCTCACCAACATCGGCATTTCTCTTGTCATTGTCTGCTTTGCTATTGCCGGCACCTCGGCACTGGTCAGTTGGTCCAGACACTACTGGTCCTTCTCGCGAGAAGGGGCCTGCCCTTCTCATCAACTATGAGCAAGCTGTCATCTCGCGATAGCATCCCATTGAATGCCCTAGTTTGGAATACCTTCTTGGCTCTGGCCTTGGGCACAATCAGCATCGGTTCTACGACCGCAATGAATGCCTTGTTCGGCGCATCAGGACTATGCAGCTCCACATCGCTTATTGTTGCAATGGGCCTGACCCTCTGGAATGGGCGCAGCTGCCTGAATAATGACTGATGGCTCAATCTAGGCCGCTGGGGCACACCTCTGTTTGTCGTCGCTCTATTGTGGACCTCTTTTTGTCGCGTGACCATAAGTATGCCTCTTTACCTGCACGTGCACCCAGAAACGAACTGGACCTCGGTAGTGTTCATAGGTTTCATCGCTGTGTCTGGTCTTCATTGGGTGATGTTTTATTCCAGGACAGAGCCTCTAAGTGCTGATAATACCTCTATTGATGCTACTGTCAAAGTATGATTCGGCGGTGGTTGAACCTGTCGCTTTGAATTTGGTGAATCATTAGGCTGGGGTTATGTACTGTGTCTGGTTACAATTTGAGAAATCCAGTGTCTGGAATGTCTTTATCACTATGTCTCAATTCTTGGTTTTCTTTTCTGGTAGCCGTGACTCGGAGATGATCAGAATCAAATAGATACCTAAGTGTCGGTGAGACCCCGAGCCTTTGAGTGATTTGGAGAAAGTTTAAAATTTCTTGGGAAACAATGGGGGCCTTCATATATACTCCAAAAGGACTAGTTGGTTTCTGATACCATGATTTCTCGCAGAGAGCGTCCACGAATTATTTGTAAATTTTACGGTCGAGTTCCCTATCTAAACTGGCCTTGTGCACTATTAAAACAGCAGACACTCATGAGCGTTCATAAGGATAACTCTAAATGGTTGAAATTCAGCAGTAAATATCTTCACTTGCGATGATAATATCTTGCACTATCAAGTTGACTTTTTGAAAGCTGCCTCATAAAAGGCTCTTGATGCCTCCAGAACAGCGGCGATATGCCTTTCCTCATGCATGATATTTGAACATAAGAATCCCCGATGTCCAACATAAATTTTGTGGCTCAGCAAGAAGAAATAAAAGGCATCTCTGAGTTTCTCCGAATCTGGTCCCAGAAAGTGAAGACCTACCAAGCTGCCAAACCCTCTGACAACGGCGGTAGTAGATCGTGAGGCGTTGAAATCTTGTCCAAACCTTCTCTTAGTCGCTCCCCAAGCATATTGGCCTTCTCAATATTTTCTCGAGAAAGAAGCTTCATAGCTGCCAGGCCAGCAGCCATGGTAAACTTGTTATTGTGCCACGTTCCCGAGTGATGCAAACTATTTGCTGCACGCGAGTCCAGAGTATTCATGATCTGTCGACGGCCACCATACGCGCCAAAGGGCATTCCTCCACCGTAGAACTTCCTGTCAATCGGAGAGACTGATAGTTAGTTAAACGAATTGATTAGTCACAAGTCAAGACCACAATAATGAGATCAGGGTAGTGGACTCGGGAGGGGGCTGGATTGGGCAGAATTGTAGGCTCTGTGTTTGTGATATAGGAGAGTGGTGGAGATGGCGTGGAGGACACCAATTCTTCCATATAATTTATGCGATGTTTGACAGTCTCATCAATCCAGCTATATATAGCTATTCGGGCCCACTGAATGATCCTCATTCTTTCGGTGGTAGATAGTCTGTCGGTCTTAATTGCGTTATTGCGTAGCCGGTAAGAAAAGAAGCGTTCCTCAAGCCTAATCGCCAAGAGCTCAATCGATATACTTTCACAGTTTTTGCAAATCTCGAAGGCAGGACTCATAGAGTATGATATTCCCGCCCTAGAGGTGTCCGAGAGGTCGCAGTCCGACGACGATGACGAAATTTATTTTCGACGACTTGATGTGTATGCGGATAATTCTCAACAATCCCATAAACATGGCCGCGGCGGTAAAGTATTTTCGGCCCTGCAAGGCTAAAGCACAAATGCGATCTGCGTCCACGTCGAGACAGGCAAGCGTCCGCGATGAACCACGACTGGGGAGCCGGTGGAGTCGCTTCAGGAAAGCTTAGGATGCGCGCGAAGTCTCCGTGTCGCATGTACAGCCGTGGGCAAAATGCGCTCTGGCGATCGGTAACGCAGGAATTTCACATAAGGGATTGACGTTTCCAAATCGTTTCAGCGAAGCATCTAAGTTTTTCCTCGGAGATAACTAAGTCTCTTCGCTGGGAGTTAACGGAAGTTCGGTTGAGGATTTTTTCGAGTGGAAGCGCAAGTTGGGTTGTTGGAAAGCTTGCTTCATTCACGTAACTCTCACCCGTCACTGATGTCTCATTGTTGGCTCGGGATAGCTTCACGGATGTAATGATGCGTGCCGCAGAGAAGTGTGATCGAGTGCGAGTATTAAGGCCTCGGGTGTCTCTTTCCCATTGTTGAAACACAACCTCTGCTTTATCCCGTGGAATACTGATAGTAAGCGCAAGCTGAACAGTCGAAGATTCGCTCTCCAGCCATCCTCGTGCGTCGAGAGTTAGGTGTCCCACTGACTCTGCTAAGCCCACCTCAACAATAAATGTCAAAGGCGGATCTGTATCCGGAGTTGTCGGGCTAAAACAGGAATCGGCTTCATTTGTCCAGTTATCGAAGTTAACGATCACGGACCCAGATGGCTCAATTTCTTTGCCCATATTTATCGCATCCATCTCCTGTAGAAACAAGCGTTCGAATGTGCGAATTGCAATCTCATGTATGCGACCGGGCATCACTTTAGCCACCAAAGTCCCTGTTTTAATATCAAAAGAGAATCTGCAAAACTTGCTCACTTGACTTTGTTCATGGCTTAAGGCAGAGGCTTGCGGTAGTGGGACAGAGGAAAAGCAGAGGTATTGTTCGCGGGTTTCGTCTTTAAGTAGCTCTCTGTGCCGGCGATTCAGTTCGTTTAACAGGTTCTCCTCGCTCGTAAATTGTTGTTGGAGCTTGACCTGCTTCGCGAGTTTTGTAAGCGGGTGCTGAGACTCAGATTCAGTTGAGGAAAATCCAGATGACGAGAGCTCTGAAGGCAAAAACAGAGACGCAGACGCGCTCGAGCTTGAAGGATAAAAGGAATCCATGGTGAGTGGAAGGTTAGATGGGGTTGGGTGAAGGCAGGAATGTGAAAGAGGTATGCACGACTCGCACAGATGATGAGGCTCGAGTACGGCAGCCGATAGTGAGGTAGGGGCCAAAAGTCGAATTTGGCAGGCAGAAAACGGGCGGTAGGATTAATATAGTAATCTCGACACCTAAGGTACGTAATTTTCTGCCAGAATCTATGGATAGGGAATTTTGACATTGCCAATTAGGTTTCGTAGAGAAGGTGACGTTGGTTTTATGGATCATATGACCATATAAAAAAAGCTCTCCAAGTGCCCATAATCTGTTTACGTGCCAGAATTTGACCAATTTCGATGATTTTAGGTGCTCAAAATGGCCTAGATATGCATTTGAAAGCTACTTTAACTAACCAGACTCTGTTGTTCCACCACGAGGGGCCATACTGCGCGTACGCCGCGGTGAGGTGGCCCCTGATAGTGCCGAGAGTGCTGCCACTGGAGTACACCTAGCTCTATCTTTCCTGACACCACCACGTCGCCGCGGGCGCCCACGTTGCCGGGCACCTGAAGCCTCTCTTCGCTGCGTTATGTCCTCCTGCGGTATCTCCTTCGATGTCTCCTGCTGGTGTGCTTTCTCTAGCTGAACAATTTTCTCACTAGCAATTCTAAGTCTCTCAGCGAGGATCTCCTCCTGTGACGCGGTACGCGACTGGAAGCTTAGCCCTGGGGTCTCTGGATTGCTCCAGTTACTGACCAAGCTTGCCTCACGGAGAGGCTCTGACTCGGACTCAGGCTTGATGACCACGTCCTTATCTATCTCTTCTTCACGTATGATGATAAGGTAGATCTGGCGTGCTTGGCTACCGAAAGTAAACTGCGAAGCGAGCTCTGCCGCGCACCGTGCATGGTTTTCAGTAGCGGATAACCACTGTGGTTCCTTCTTTGGTTTTTGGCCCTTTAGCCCAGTCGCGAGCTGGTATCGGTCGATGTGTGGTATCGGATTATAGGCTCCAAGCTCCGGACTAAGCGCAGGAAGAAGGTCTCTTGTAATAAAGTCTTGGAAGTTAAAGACACGGTGGGGAGAGATCCACTGGGAGACGTCAGCTACAGTGTAGCGTCTATTAGCAAGCGCGCCTTGAAAGAATCAAGTAATAGAGTCATACTTACTGAGTTCGTCCATCGTCCAAGTTTTTCGATCTGATGATGGCTTTCGCCAGAGACAGAAGTGGATAATTGTCGGAATTCTCTGCTGCTGTGGTGCTAGCATCTGCGCTGGTCTGCTCTTCTGCATATGGAGCTTGCGATGCCTCCCTGCTACCCTACCCGTTATTCGCTGGCTGACTAGGCTGTATGGCTCAGGAAGGAGGTGTTCGTTTGGTATGAGCTGACCAGGTCGTCTCGGTGGTGCTCCTGAGTAGACGGAAGACGAGGAGGATGGTGAGTCATCGTATGTGTCTGTTAAATCAACGAGATCGGGTGTGTCGCTTGGGTAATAGTGAGAGGCCATGCTTTGTAGATGTAGTAGCCTAGGAGATGCAGAGGGCGCAGAGTAGGTGCAGAAAGCCTAGGACGCCCTCTACACCCTGTCTCCCACTAAAGTTGAAAAAACTAATGATTGATAGTCATTAAGGTCCTACCAAATATAGGTATTGATCTCCATTGATCCCCATTAATCTCCACCACGGTGCGGGCCCGCAGCCCGCACCCTTAATCCTGCGCCCAGTTAGGGGGCATAGTTGGCTTCTCGCATAGTGAGAGGACGGGAAAGAGGCCCCCTTCGGTATGATCGACAGCGAGCTCCCGTAACCGAAGGTAGGTATTGACATATGGGTGGGTGCCATGGTCTCTCGCTGGTGGTTTTTCAGGGTCAAAGCCCATGCCCAGTAGCTGAGTACGGCACCAGTGTATAGTCTCTGTAGGTAGATATACGTCAGTATCCCAACTCCCCACGTCAGTCTTGATAGCATCAAGCTTTGTAGGGTCAATATGATGCCTATAATCCTTAATATCCTCCTCGTCACGCCCTGGGTAATAGTAGTTCAACCATGGCTTGCCTGGAACGCTATAGGGGCGACCCTTCTGCTTCCTGATCCGATGGGAGTTCCATGTGAGCACGAACTCCGCACATGTATCCTTAATTGAAGGCATGTAAACAGCAAGAAGTGCAACTTTGTCGATCTTAGACGCCTCGTAGTAGCCTCGCTCTTGAAGCCAACTAAAAAGCTCACGCCATACGAAGTTCGTAGAGCTTGTAAGCTGTCCCCACCAGGACTCGATGCGCTGGTTTTGGGTGCTGCGACCGTACCAAAAGCAGTCGGTAAACTGTAGTTCTGGGTGGCCATCAACAGCTTCAGCGCCAGCTTTTCTTAATGCATAGTGGGCGTCTGCGATCAGCATGGTCTCTGTACCATAGTCAGAGCGGATCGCGCGCGGTTGGAAACCAGTGGTCGATATTGTATTCAGATACTGGTGGAGGACACTGAATCCGGTCCGCGTGCTGATGCCCACGTAAAACCAGGTAACATAGCGCGAATACCCATCAACCGCAGCATATATCTCGATCCCGAAGAGCTCTAACTTCATATAGCCATCAATATGCCATACAAAATTCGGCCCAGGGCATCGGTATGCACCGCGAGACCGCTGTAGACCGGTCGAGCGACGTAGGAGGGCGTCAGGCCGTAGAGAGCACCATACATCGAAGATTCGGTCTCGGGCGAAGACATGACCATGACGGCGTAGATGGGCCCAGAGGTGACCTTTTCCATATCCTTCAACAAGGCCAATGGCCTGTTGGTCCACTAATATCTCGAGTATCTCGTCCTCCTGCTGCTCCTGATCATCCTGGTCGTCAATGCGAAGACGTATACCAAGTAGGCTACGAATTCGCCTGAGTGTGTCGGTAGAGATAGGTGTTTCATCGAGCGAAAGTACCTGAAGAATCTCTTTCGAAGAGAGATTACCCTCACAGATAAGGGTCTCAACACGCATTTGTAAGGCTCTGTTATTGGTGATACCATTTGGTGCTCGCTGTTGGATGCCCCAGGCCCGCGTGCGACGTTTGAATGTCCTCGGTGACATTTTGAGACCGTAGTATTCGTGTAAAATGTCTAAAATATTGCTTATAGGTATCTTCTGTGCCAGAAGCATGGTAATTTGGTCTTTGTATGGCTCCACGTCGAGCCGTGGGCGACCAAATGGCATATCAGGTCTCTATAGGTGGTCAGCGTAGTCAAAAAAAAGAGTATTCAGGTCATTTGGGGCATACAAAATGGAGCAAAATTGGTCAAAAATTAGTAAAGAAACCAGAATTCAGTCCCATGGAGATTTATTTTGATGTATTTTGAAATCCAGGTTTGGATCCAAGCCGAATAGACTTAGTATGACTAAAAACCCCCTACCATATGACCCACAAACCAGCGGTATCTCTCTTCCGAAACCTGGTTGGTGGATGCTGGCTTGAGCGGTCAGGCCGGCGGGGTCTAGGGCGGTGAGCCGAATGATTGGTCCTCGACTTTTGACCCCTACCTCACTGTCGGCTGCCGTAGCTCGAGAGTGGGGGTCATTATGTCATCATCGGCCTGGAGTCGGGAATTGATAGGGACGGCACAGCTTTTGTTCGGGACAGGGAATTGATAGGGACAGCACAGCTTTTGTTCGGGACAGGGAATTGTTACGGACACTACAGGATTTACTAACGTGGATCCCGGCGGGTCCGTCATCCCTGCCGGTCCGTCATCTCACCTCAAATTTTCTGCTCCTACCCAGCCACCTATTCTTGAACGCATACCATGCCCCCAAAACGCAGTCAAAAAGCTCAAAAATAAATTGAGCAGGAAGGCAGGATCATGTTTGCTAGTAACGCTATTCAAAATGGCAGAAATACCACGATAGCTGCTGCTGCTCGCTCTTTTGATGTCCCCCGCACAACTCTTGCTGATCGGATAAAGGGCATTCCTAATCTATATGAAGCAAGAGGTACAGGCCATAAATTCGCGCAACAGGAAGAGGAATCAATTTAGGATTGGTTAATCTCTGTGGATCAGAGAGGCGCAGCGCTTACAATCGCGATGTTGAGAGATATGGCCAATTTACTGCTTAAACACCGCGGAGATAATGCCCTCCAGACCGTTGGCAAAAATTGGCCAACACAATATATCAAACGACATCCTGAGCTTACTACTCGATTCTCTCGCAAATATGACTACAAACGCGCCCTAATGGAAGACCCAAATACTATTATGGAGTGGTTTAAGCTTATCGAAAAAACGATAGCTCAATATGGTATCACTTCAGATAATATCTACAACTTTGACGAATCGGGGTTTGCGATGGGAATTAGTGCGACGACGAAGGTTATTACGCAGTCATTTTACACCGGTCGGAGGGGCGTTTTACAAGCTGGAAATCGTGAATGGGTGACTGTTATCGAATCAATTTGCGCCTCTGGACGAGCGCTCCCACCATACGTTATCTTTAAGGGGAAACAGTTCATGGTACGATGGTTTGACGACCTTCCAAAGCATTGGGCTCTTGACGTTAGTCCAAACGGCTGGACAAGTAATGAAATTGGTGTTGATTGGCTCCAAAATCACTTTATTCCGCACACGACAAGTCAGACGAGAGGGAAACATCGTCTTTTGGTCCTCGATGGCCACGAAAGTCATCTTACCGCAACATTCGACAAGATTTGCCAGGAAAACAACATCATACCAGTCTGTATGCCTCCGCATGCCTCTCATCTTTTACAGCCTCTTGATGTTGGTTGTTTTGCTATATTAAAGCGCTCTTATGGAACGCGGGTTGCAGAATATACCCGATTAGGCATCGACTCTATCGAGAAAGATGATTTCCTTGATATTTTTCCAGCAGCCCGTGATGATTCATTTAAAGAGTCTATCATTCAGAGTGCCTTCGCAGCTACTGGTTTAGTACCACTAGACCCAGATCGGGTGTTATCAAAGCTCAATATTCGTCTTCAATCTCCGTCTCTACCAGATCGACCAGTTTCACAAGGT